TATATGATTAGTGCGTCGCTATTGTCAGTGGTATGTCAGTCTTGTCAGTCTTGTCAATATCATGTACTCCAGTCGGCCACAGGTGCAGGGAGTTGAGGAAGAAAAACGACGACTCACGCTGGAAAATGCGCAGTCACAATGTGTTACCCAGGTCACATGACTGTGACCTCAAGGCCGTCAGTGTCCGCAACTGTGGACAGGACTGGCGGCATAGGACGAGCGACACGCAGGACGACGAGAATAAGAGCGACGAGAAAACGAGGGCAGAGGAGCGAATATATACGAGGGCGGATGCAAGCCAAGGGTGGGGTGGCCCCTATCCATGGCCTGAGGGAGTTTCAGCGCCGGCCCCATGCTTGCGGGCTTTGGGTTTTCCCCGACTCCCTATGCCGAGCTGACGTCGGGATCGGGGCGGATGGGCGAGGGGCCAAGAGGACGTGGGTTAAACCCAATCCGGGGACTCCGGGTGACCCCGGGGCGTGGGAACTCAGGTTAGACTCGGGACCAAGCTCTGGCAGTGTAATGCAAGTACGGGCGAAGTACACGATGCAGCCACAGCTGTCCCAAAACTCCAAGGCGCGTGATACCCCGCGCCCGAGCATGCCGAAAAAGGCAACTGTGGCAAGATTGATCGAACGTTTGGGGTTACAGTTCTGACCACACTCGCAGAGCTTGCCCGGACTGGATCCAAATGCCCCCGCTCTGCTAAACATGTCCAGCTGTAGCAATCCACAGCTTGGCGTTGTTCGTTGCCAGCGCGCCACAACCGACACGTAAAACTCGCATCCAGTGATCCCATGTTCCGGATGTACAGATCAGGTGGCCTGGTCACGCTCTTCCGTCTATGCGCCCGGAAAAGGACTTTTTGGCAGTTCCGACGCCGGATAGCGGATGGAAAATTCGAATAATGACTGTTCGCTCCTGCGGTTATATCAAGGGCAGCAGAACGACGGGGTATCCACAGACAACTTCCAAGTACCCACCACCATCGTCATCTCTATTCAGGTACCTCAGCACCTATCACCATGTTTGAATTCATGCGCAGAAAGAAAGAAATATTGGGCCAAAATAAGGACGGACGGACGGAGGTATGATTATTATTTTCTCACAGATTAACCCTGACATGACCATGCTGCGTGCCAGGCTGAGACCGAGAAACCCAAAAACAAGGGTCTCTTGCGCCGCGGTTCGTTCATCCCCACCGTGAAAGCAGATGGAAGTTCTGCCGTGAGTGCGCGAATCCTACCCTCGGTAACGCAGCTAACGCGATAATGCAGAAGAGAGCCCGCTATTTCAGCGGGCCGCCTAAGCCACCAGACGTATGTTCATCCAACTTTAATTGTCAGACTACCCTATAACCATCCATCAACAGGACTTGAGCGACCGTCTCACAGAAAGGCCACCCACACTGCGCACGCGCAGCTCATCGTGCTCTGCCGTCTCGTCACTGGATATTCGAAACCCCTTTCAACAGTACACTGAGGATTCTGCGATGACGGCGAGCCAAGTAGCGCTGACGGAGTCAATGAGCAGTCTCGTCGGACCTTCAAGGGAAAGCGTCCGATATGTCGTCAGTCATGCTCCGGTGCTGGTCAGCCCTCAGGCCGAGCGCGCGGAGATCTTCTACTCCGATGACGTCTTGGAAACACCGAACGCGAGTTCGCTGTCAATCAACCCATTCGCTGATGCAATCCCTCCTGTTGGAGTGACGGACGCTGCAGAAAGAGCTGTGGGCTGTGAGGATGTACGTATTTCGACGCAACGCAGTCGAGCTGCGCTGACGATTTGCTCTACAGTCTGGATCGACGAAAAATGTTTCGCCAACAATATCGCGGTCTGCATCACGAAAGTCCTGTCACACGCCAACAAAAAGACCGTTGGACTACCTGCATGTTAAAATACCAGCGGGCATGATGAGTCCACCCATGTCAGAACCTCACAAGGCCATTTGGGCTCGGATATAGACATTTGATACTGTATACCCACTGGATAGTTACGTTAACGGATAGTGCTCAGGACATTCGAGTCGTGTCCTTCGATAATTACCATCACACGCTATGTTGTAGCAAACATTTATAATTGACAAAAACATTTTATACACCATCATAGCTTTCTGATTAACCTAGATCCTAGGCGGATGCATCTGCGCAAAGGTGCAAACCTTTTAGGCGTGTGCATAGCTCGCTGCCGGCGACTGGTCAGTGTCACAGTCGCTCGGGCGAAATTGCGCCCAATGCGGATGTTCATGACATATCATGACATAAGCCAAGAATGGAAGTCGCATATCGTATTCTTGCACGCGCCTCTTTGCTACTCGCCGTTCTCGCTTCCGTCGTTAGACTTTTACTCTCCGGTCCATTCTCAATATGTTTCAGCGTGATCCTCGCGCAGGCGCGTTCCTCGGTGGCGACAGAATATCGGGGCAGGACGTTCGCGATCAGAATGGTGCGTATATCTCGCATGCCTGCTATGCTGACAGCCCCTCACGTACCAAGCAGTACTCGCTGCACAAACGATCGCGAATGTTGTCAAAAGTTCTTTGGGGCCAATGGGCCTAGACAAAATGCTAGTCGACAACATCGGAGTAGGTGCCCTGTCTGATATCCTATTGGTGTATGCTTACCGTAAGCTCTAATTTCAGGAAGTCACGATCTCCAACGACGGCGCTACCATTCTCTCTCTCCTTGCAGTCGAACATCCAGCAGGGCGTGTATTTGTGGACCTTGCACAAAAACAGGACAAGGAGGTTGGCGATGGCACCACCTCCGTCGTCCTCATCGCCGCGGAGCTCCTCCGCCGCGCAAATGAGCTCGTGAAGCAGAAAATCCACCCTACGACGATCATTACGGGGTACAGGTTGGCGTGCAGGGAGGCATGCAAATTCATGCAAGATCAATTAAGCGTGAAGGTGGACGCGTTGGGCAGGGAGGCACTCATTAACGCGGCCAAGACGAGTATGTCGAGCAAGATCATCGGAGGGTGAGCTTGTGACGGGGTTTATTTCGATTGGACTAGCACTCAGGTCGTGGATGCAGAGACGACGATCTTTTCGCGCCTATGGCCGTCGATGCTATGTTGGCAGTGAGGACCATTAACACCCGGGGAGACATCAAGTACCCCGTCAAGGCGGTCAATGTGCTGAAGGCACACGGCCGCAGTGCGCGGGAATCCATCTTTGTGAAAGGGTATGCGCTGAATTGCACGGTGGCTAGCCAAGGTCTGTCTTTATTTCGACAAACATACTACCTGCACATCCTAATAGTGACGATCTTCAGCTATGAAGACTCGCATTACCAACGCAAAAATTGCGTGCTTGGATATCAACTTGCAGAAGGCCCGAATGCAGCTTGGCATACAGATTCTCGTAGACGACCCAGACCAGCTGGAGGATATTCGCAAACGGTGGGACGGATTCCCCTCTAGTACCCATTTAGCTGATCGAATACCGCCAGGGAAGCCGAGATCACATTGGAGCGGATCCGCAAAATCCTGGCCGCGGGTGCAAATGTCGTGCTTACTACCAAGGGCATTGACGATCTCTGCCTGAAGGAGTTCGTTGAGGCCGGTGCTATGGCCGTTCGACGGTGCAGAAAGGAAGATCTCCGGCGCATAGCGAAGGCGACTGGCGGTACTCTTGTTTCCAGCCTTGCTAATCTTGAGGGAGAAGAGTCTTTCGAGCCCAGCTATCTCGGCACCGCCGATGAAGTCGTACAGGAGCGAATCTCGGACGACGAGTTGATCTTGGTCAAGGGCACGAAGGTCGTCAGCTCGTCATCGATCATTTTGCGAGGCGCGAACGACTACATGCTGGACGAAATGGAGAGGGCTCTCCACGATACGCTATCCATTATTAAGCGGACCCTCGAGAGCGGCGCAGTCGTCCCCGGTGGTGGAGCCGTTGAGACGGCACTTTCCATTTATTTGGAGAATTTCGCGACGACACTGGTCAGTCCTCTGCGTCTCATTTTCTGCATTGTCAGTTTTGAATCAGTGATGTAGGGCTCAAGAGAACAATTGGCAATTGCGGAGTTTGCAAGCGCTCTCCTTGTGATTCCCAAGACGCTCGCAGTCAATGCGGCGAAGGACTCGACCGAGCTGGTCGCGAAGCTGCGCGCGTATCATAACGCCGCACAGAATGCACCCGCAGGGGATCCCAAGAAGGCCCTCCTGCGCTTTGGACTCGACTTGCTCAATGGCGAAGTACGGGACAATGTCACAGCCGGGATCCTGGAGCCCACAGTGAGCAAAGTCCGCAGCCTGAAATCGGCGTTCGAGGCGGCTGTGTCCCTTTTGCGGATAGATGATGCGATACAGTGTGTGCCAGGTGAGCAGCCAGTCTCGACTCGTATCTCCGGGTTTGAATGCTAACACCTTGTCGCGTCTTACAGAACAAAAGGGTGAAGACCCTCATGGCCATTGATAATTGTGTGTATCCGTGATGACTGCAGGGGGTGGAGCAATGGTAGTGATACTTAGCGTCTGCTACAGATAATGTACAACACTTGCGAATGTCTCTAATGAGATACTGCTCTTCGAACTCATGGTCGGGTGTGCTGTGACTGAGCCTGCGACTCCGAGTCCGAGTGCATGGCGCGTTCAGTGATGGTCACGTGCATGACGCGACAGTGACGCGGCGCATCACATGATGGATAGCGCGGTTCGTTCACTGACACGCTTGTCTCAGACTGGAACAATCAAGCTCCCGCCACTACTCACAGATATCCTTTTCCTCTTCCTTCGGAGGCCCCCCCCATCTATGCCCTAGGTTCCTATGCAGCGCGAATCTCCCTTAATCCTCATCCCCCATCTAGGTCCACACTTTACGTCCCTCGTATGGTCATGTCTTGACGCCGATCTACACAAGTCCGCCTTGTTCTATGCTGAGCGGTATTTTGTTCTCGACACAAATAACCATGATGCGCGACATCTGTATGCCACAGCATTGCTACGTGCTGGTCATCCTCACTCGGCACACTACCTCGTAAACCCGCCGATCGACAATTGGTGTGGTGGCTGTCTAGAGATCAAGGCAAGGTGTTGCGCCACACTAGGGAAACACAGGTTAGCTCGTGAGGCTGTAGAGGCAAGCTTACGGATTCCGTCGTATACCCCGAGTGGTGCGTGCAATCGTCCTCCCCATCGTGTGGCCCTCTCACGCGTGGGTATCTCGCTTGCGGCCATTGCAGCATCGATGGGTACTCGGACAGCCAAAAACTTCCCAGAGGAGTCCGTGCTACACTGTCGCGCTGGTACGATGGCTGCGAAAGATAACTTAGTCGAAGGGGCGTCTGCTAGCTTCCGCCAAGCTTTGGCGCTCAATCCCATGCTATGGGAAGCATTCGAGGGCCTATGTGCAATTGGTGAGTCTCTTCATAACCACAGAGTGTCACCAGGTAGTACCGACAGTATCCGCCGTCAGTAAGACTCAATTGGCACAAGCGTAAGCTCGCTCTGCCTACCGTTCTTAGAGGAAGCAGTTGGCTACTCTCACCTGACCGTTGTCGGCGTAGCCATCATGGCGCAGTGTACATGCGCGGACACAGGTGCGATGTCGATGGAACGCGCCTCGCTCTCATGCACGCAATTCCAGAGAGCGCTTGCCGATTATGAATAAGCATTTGGTGTGCGTTCGCATGAGCTATGACAGACCCTCTCAACGATACGGCGTTGGATGGTACCAATGATCGTCAAGGGTACCGGATATTTATTGTGCAATGCCATGGGGAGAAGGGCAGTGCCGTTTATAGCGGTACCCCTGATGTCTCTCCAGCGAGGTGGATGTCCTCTCGCTATAGCACCTTCTTCGCCTCATATTTGGATATGCGTTGTCCGTTTCATCCTATTTGTTATGCTATGATTGCCGATGTGAGCCAATATCCACTGCTGCTGGCAACCACGACCTGTCGTGATTACACATGTCCATGGCCGACAGCGACCGGACCTGACCTCTCGAAAAGCAACGGTTAATCTAGTCGGTCAAATTTTCATCCTTAGTCTTGGTCTCCCCAACGGAACGGCATGCTGTATAATTTTTTCTCGACCTTCAAGACCTGTGGCGAGATTTGAGCCAAGTGGGGCCGATGTGTGCGCCATTGGAAAAGGGAGTCAATGACATACTTGGTGGATAGGCTCAGCCTCATTCATGCCCTTGTCGGAGCGTCAGAGAATAATTTAAGCATTAGTGCGGCTCCCCTCTCCCTTAACGCAGTTGAGGCTGGATTAATCTTTTGATTTCTCTCGACACATAGTTGTTGCGACCTCCTCATTGATTGTGCCGTCGCTCTGTGCGATTTTGTCAGCTGCTAACCAACATCTAATATAGGCAACGTCCCGGATGTCGACGAGATCTTTCCGCCCCGACCACTGCCGATCAAGCAAACACCACCCACTGAAGCCAAGGTTCCTGTAGCGACAGGTGCTGGATTTTTCACGCCTGAGGCTGGCAACGGCGGTAACCTCTTTCGCGGCTGGAAGCCTGATGCAGGCCTACCTCAATCGTTCCTTCCCGCTGGGCCACGCGATTCACTGTACGTTCTCAGACTCACTCGCAAATAAGACGATGATAGATATAGTATGATTATAGAGCAACAAACGATTCGTCCTTATATCCGGAGGCGTCTTTCATACAAGGAAACCTTCGGCCTAGCTGGTCGCAACCGACCGGATCGTTGGCTGCCCAACCACCAGCTGTGCGTCCCCTTTCTTCCGCAGATGAGGCGGGCCCGGTAACCAAGAAGCTCCGGTCTGGTGTGCGGCAGCGCACGGCTCCTCCCCCCTCGGCTACCGCGAATTCGAACACGATGCTAAAATCATCCAAGTCGATGGGGACCCTGCTCCCAGCGGACGATCGTTCGAAAAGCTCAAAGGCACGCGCACGCCCGGCCCTGACAATTGCTAACATCTTCTCATCTTCCGGTCGTGCCCAGACTGCGGCAATGTCGACCAGACCACATGCTGGCAATGTCGGTATTGGAAAGAGCTCGCGCGAGCAACAACCAATCCCCATTGGTGGCACCCGGCGAAGCACGCGCCTACTGAGTGGGTCGAGTACCAAGCCTACGGCTACGAAGGTGGGCCGTGTTTCGTGACGTTAGCCATGACACCCGCTGATTAACTTTCTTAGCATACAGCTACACGTGAGCGGCGACGAGTTCAGACGCGTGCGCGCTCGAGCACCATGGAATCCGATATGGACGAAGAACCTGTCCCCGCAGGTGGGCAGGCAGCTTTCTCGCCCTCACCTCCGCCGATAGCAGAGTCCCCACGTGCAGATACCTCTCCAGGACCAAGCAACTGGACCGCCGCACAGGAACAGGCCGCGCAAGAAGCATATGACGCCGAGCTCGCGGATTGCCACATTTACGAACTCATGCGGATGTTTGCGCACGCGACAAGAGCGATGGCACTATATGATTGCAGGGCTTGCCTCGAGGAGCTTGAAAAACTCCCGACCGCACATCAAAGGTCCGCTTGGGTCATGGCCATGGTGGGTAAGGCTCATTACGAACTCGGCGAGTATGCTGCAGTAAGTGTTTGAGACCACTCCACCGAGCGAGAACCCTGACTCATGTGTTCGATACCAGGCGGAACGCGCGTTTGAAGCCGTGCGAAACCTTGATCCCTATCGCTTATGGGATATGGAAGTGTTCTCCACGCTTTTATGGCATCTGCAGCGTAACGTGAAGCTGTCCTTCCTCGCGCAAGAACTAGTGGCAACGGACCCGCGGTCGCCGCAGGCATGGATCGCGGTTGGGAACTGCTTTTCCCTGCAGAAGGAACGGTCACAGGCTCTGACCTGCTTCCGACGCGCGGCACAACTTGATCCCAACTGTGCGTACGCGTACACGCTCAGCGGACACGAGTCGATCGACGAGGACCTCGATAAGGCCATCAACTTCTTCCAGTCTGCTTTACGTGCTGATCCACGGCACTACAACGCCTGGTACGTTTGCCCATCTTACCTCGGGCATTGCTTTGATGTCGCGGAGACACGATGTGCTTATCTTTACGCGTACGCGGCTTTCGCTAGGTACGGATTGGGCACATGCTATATGCGAATGAGCAAGCTGCGTCTCGCAGACTACCATTACCGGAAAGCGGCCCAGATTCATCCCCAGAATGCCGTTCTGCTTGGCTGCGTGGGCATGGTGAGTGCCCCGGGTCTTGGACACGGGCGTCTGCGAATCATAACGTTTAATTGCGTGCAGGTCACCGAGCGAATGAACGATCAAGAAGGTGCGCTGCGGCTATTCGACCAGGCCGTTCGACTATCACCCGACAATGCGCTTGTTCGTTATCGTCGGGCCAAAATCCTTATCGCGCTCAAGAGATACACGGTTAGTGTTATAGCCTTTCTTTGCCAGCATTACAGGACCATGGTGGCTGATTGATCCACGTTTTACGCGTGACGCTTGCCGGTGCGACCAATAGGAGGCCGTGGCCGATCTGGAGTACCTCCGCGACTCATCGCCGGAAGAGTCAAACGTGATCTTCCAGCTGGCGAAGGTATATCGACTGCTCGGAGACGAGGTGAAGTCGGCACAACTACTGGCGGTGGCGCGAGACGTGTCACCGAAGAGTGTCAACAAGATTCGGAAGCTGTTGGAAACTGTCAAGGACACGGAAGCGGCAGACGTGATGGACGAGGGATGAGGCGGCGGAGGCGGCAGATTGTCTCATACTTATTGTACCTAGCGGACGTGATGATCTCTACACGGTGTGTTGCAAGTGTATGTGCTGCGATGGCGACAGCGAGTGGTCGTGTGCGGCTGAAGGATGGCGCGAGCGCGCGCAGGCGGCGGAGTGGCCGCGGGGTTGCGCGTGGTGCAGCCAATTGCCAGGAGCGAGGCAGGGAGGGACCACAAGAAAGGAGACGCTCGTGGCATATCGGAGGAGGCCGAGAACACCCGGGGGAGTGGAAACGGGCAACAGGCGCCGCCCAGATTGGGCGATTGAGTCACCGCTCAGCGCGTCACGGAGGCGTTATAAGACCACGCCCGCCCCTAGGTCTTCGCCTACCGCCTCCTTTCCCATCAGTCACCATGTCCGCGTAAACGAGCTCCTCCTGCCTCGCGTCGACCCCCGCAACCCTCTTATTTCTTGACACGCCCCGACTAGCCCCCAGTCCGGCGAGTCCTAGAAACAAGCATGGTCAACACTTCCGTTCATATATCCAGGAACGGCACCATCCTGTTCGAGCCCTTCATCGTCTACCGTATACCCCGGTAACACCCCGCATACGCCTCGTACGTACGCATACATCCACTCTCGCTGTGTATCTCCAGCTCAGGCGTTGTGTACATCAGAACGCTGCATTCACCCCTTTCGTGTCGCTCAACCGACTGACCCCCGACACACTGTACTCTCCCCCCCGCAAGTCGATGACCTCAGTGTCAACCACCGAACCCCAGTCCCTTTTCAGGATGGCCCGCTCTAAGCTGCAGTCAGCTATTGGCAGCGGTGTCAAGGACACCTGCAGCCTCTATCGCTGGGTGCTCCTCAAAAACTCTATGACTCACTCTACTCCTTCGGACGCTGCCGCAGCCTCATCCGACAAGGCTGATGTAACATGTGTATATAGACCTGATGTAGATCAGGGACGTGAAGAGGACGACGAGGATGCCTTCATGTTCCCGGACCCTGGCGAGGCCGACGCCGCTAATCCGGAGCAGGCGTGGGTGAACTCGTTGCTCGAAAGCCTCGGTGACGAAGACGACGACCTGGTGGAGGAGGGTACTGTGTCCGTCACTGCTTGTCCTGTGGACGACGACGACGAGCCGCTAAGTCCCCTTTGTTCCCCCATGTCCTCGTCGGACGACCTCGTCAGTCACTCCAGCTACTACTGTAATCCTCATGCAATTCCCTTTCCTTATCCCATTCCTTATCCACCTCTTCGCGACTCTCCGTTGTCACCATGGCTCGAAGGAGAATCATCTCGCGACTCCCTCATAGACGCTCGCCCGCCCCTGTATCACGACCCCCTCCCTTACTACAACGTCGACGACACCGAAGACCTCCCCGTTCCAGACGCGATTGAGGACACGTCTGACGACGAGTCAGATGCTCCTTGTACGCCCTTTGAACAGTCAACGTCATCGTTGTCACCGGTTGACCCGGCTTTCATCCCCCTTCCCCCTGAGCGGCGCGTGCATTCCCTTCAACCGCAAGTATACATTGACACGGACGATTCGTATTTCTATCCCTTTGAGCTCGACCCTGTGCCTCCCCATGACGCTAATGCTGTTGATCCTGCTCGTGCTTTCCACCCGTCTGTCTACCAGGAGTGCTAGTATTATATCTGCGGCTATGCCCTCGCCTGTCCCCCATCCCCCATTCCCCCCTCATCCACTGCCTTGTCCTGTCGCTGCGCGTGACTTTACTTGTCGTATCATAGCTGCTCGTGTGCTCCATACACCATGTCATGTCTATAATCTTTCGTTAGGAATCCAGGGTGTTGATCACGGTCATCATACTTGCGTCGACGTCGGAATCTAATCTCAATGAGGATCTCCATCAGAACGCCACTGACGCCGTGTACAGCCGCTCTAGGCCCGCGGAAAGGCAAGAGCCCTGATATGCAGTGCCCCAGGACAATAGATACCACTAGTCGGAATCCTGATACAAGAGAAGCCGACACAAGGAGGGTCATAGCATGATGCATTGCTTCTAACTTTGCACATGTTCAAACAAGGCGCACTGAGCGATATTGCCACAGCCTGTCCACGCGGACAAGACACATACACAGCGTATCAGAAGCCCAGAATATCAACCAGTGTCAAGGAGCCGGGCTATCGCAGCTCGGCTCTCCGACGTTGTTGCTGCCCGATGCGGCCCTAAGTTCAGACTCCGTGCACGAAGGCGGAGGTAGATGCGGCAGCTCCCACCAGCCGGCCTCCCAGGCGGCGAAATCTTCAGTTCGCACGCACTGGATTGATGTGTTGTTGAACGCCGTCGGATAGGCCGTACAGATCGGGAGCGGACGGGAGGTGAGATAAGGTGCTGCAAGCGGCGTCATAATGCGAAGCAATGAGTGGATGGACAGGCGCATCGACGAAGGATAAGCTCACCAAGACGCCAGACGCAGGGGCGCTCCGCGGCGAGCTTCCGCGACGGGACGCTGGCATCGTTGGAGGGACGTCAGTCACGCACGGGCACGGGGTCCTGCAGGGGTGGGGTGACATCCACTGGTCGGATTCGATGCATGCTGAGATCACGGCCGCATCACGCGGCACAGAGGTCATAGATGCAAACTGCGCGTCGCGCTGGGTGCCCCCCTGCTGCTCAATAGGCTTTCCTGAGGCCTTCCTTACCCAGCTCGGGCTGGTGCGCGCCTGGGAGTGTGGCAACGGGAGAGCCTGCGCCCGACGTCGCATCGGTGTTCGAATCCGGCCAATGGAAGCACGGTTCCCAAATCCCTGCAGGGGCAACGGCACGATGGAGACCTCACTTTTCGGCGTACTCGCTTAGACGGTTCGCGATAAGGACCAGGTTGGGCAGGCGCGCTTGCGTCCAGTTCTCACGGAACAGGTTCTCGTAAAGGTGCAGGTCACAGTGCGGCATGAAGACGATCGTGGGCTCGTCGACAGCATAGCCTGCTCGCTGTATAACACGCTCAGAGTCAGCGGCGCGCGCAAGAGAGCGCGTTGTTTCGCAACCAGCCGCACCGGCGAATCGCACCCCGCTACCGGATTTTCCAAGCAACGGTGGCGGGGTGGGACCCGCGAGTTGCCTGGATACGGAAGCAAAAAGCGCTGAAAAAAGCGACATGCCCTGTTCTCGGCCAAGCGGTGGACGCCGAGCGCGTCCAGGAGCCGCGTGTCATCCGCGGTGAAAACGGGGTCGTACACGGATATGTGGGTGCGGTCCTAGACATGGAACGCGCGTGGGTTTCGGGGCCGGCGGGCAGATATCGGAGGACGCACGCACGAGGCTCAGGTCGTCGCATACAGCGAGGAGGAACGCGAGTTGCGCGCGCGCATCGCGAGATGCGGCGGGGCTGCCTAGGCCCAGGCACAGGACGCGATGCGCGGAGAGGCGCAGGGAGGCGAGCGCGTCGCGGAGGAGCTCTGCGCGGAGCAAAGGTGAAACGCATCAGCGACCGCAACAGGGACGCACGAACAACACGGACGTTTGCAATCACGCAGCCAGTCGGTTGCCGTAAGCTCCTCCGTGGCGCGATCCAGGAGGACGGCAGGTGATAGGGCGTCCTTCCCGAGCCTGATCCTGCGTTTCTTCCGGGTGCGAGTGGGTGTGAAAGAATCGGCGTATCCGAACGTCGGTGGTGCGTCTGCCATGGTCGCCGTATGGGGACGCTGTACGGCAATGGCTGGCGGAGAATCTAACAGAGGCCGGGGAGGTGCAGCTAAAACTTTGTCGGGGTTAGCCTGCCTCGAGTTCGATGCATTCTCAAGGTATTCGCAGATGCAGAAGATCCGCTAGGACGTGGATTGGCGCTCGACGCCGCTTAGCGCGACAGATCCATAATAAAGGCCAGGCGCCGAAATCATTCAGAATCTGCTGTCTGCAGTGCTAGTAGACCTCACATAAATACATCGGGTAATGAGGATCATGGGTATGTGGTCGAGATGAACTTGCTGCTGTCCACACAGCCATCACCGATCGCGCACGCACAATGGAATATTACGTACAGCCCGCAAGGGGCGGGTATGTGGTAGACGATAAGATGCTCATGTTCGTTAGATAGGTGCCGAAATGAATGGGAGTTCCAATGGCGAGTCATGACATGCAAATACGGGGTAAGGCATGGCGATACGTGATACGGACATCCTCATGCTTTCCTCAGGACACCGCCCCCGGCCACTATTAGAGGGAAGTCAGATGTCTCGGATAAAGACCTCCTGTACACCGAGTCATCGCGCAAGATGAACAGCTTCTTGTGGCGAGATTGGGGACAGTACAGGATGGTCCTTGACGTACCAGAAGCCTCACTGTGAACTCCGGCTTTCCCCCGTGGCGGACTTGCCATAGGCTTCGATGTATAGTTTGAAGTCACTTACGGCCATTCGACGATCGTCGTTGCCTGTAATGAGGAGGTTGTCTAGACTCCACCAAGGGGAGTGGTATCGGACGCGGGGTACAGCATCCTGGCTCTGGGCACCCTGTTTCGCGATATCTGGGAGGCCGACAGGTCGGATGTGCAGATAATAGCCTGGCGGGGCGAGGCCGCGAACCACATTGGCAGCAGTGCGACAGGACCACTGAAGCTACCATTAGAGGAACGCAGTGGAAAGACGTACCAGGCGATGATATCACTAGCCAAGTCTAGCCTACTGTCTGTCTCAGGTAGTCCACTCGCAGATAGCCCAGTAGTCATGCGGAAAGCTCGGGGCCGTTAGTGCGGCATCCTTGTCATCTGATATACACATACGTATACAACTTCCCCTCGGTCTCTTAAATTGACTGTACTGCCCAGAAGTCATCTCCGATGTACGTGACGGTCTCGACCCCGACGCCCTTGTTCACCTTCTTTATCTCCTCTGTGCCGAGTTTGGTGAGGCCGATGCCTACGGCGTGCTCCTTCCCCTCGGCGTGTATCGCAACGGGTGAGCCTGCAGGCAGGGCAGATTCCGGGGGAGGGAGGTAGCCTCCCGCAGACGTCATGCCCGGGCACATCATGTGTGCGCCAGCGAGCAGGAAGCGGATGGCCCCGCGGTCAATCCTCACCGTAGGCAGGAGGAAAGGGTCTGTGCGGGAGTCACGTCCAATCAGCTATTGTCATTGTGCGGCGAATTTTGAGAGAGATCCCCACATTTGTGCAAGAGCCGGAGGGTGGGAAAGAAGGGCCCGTCGAAATGCTGGAAGAAGAGTGGCTCGCCGTGGAGTGAGTATATGGATATGTGTTCTCTGCTATCATGGAAATGGAGATGCTAGATCAGCGATGGCATCCTATAAGTCTGCACCAAACAGACCATTTTACTAGTGTCAATGGCTCTTTCTTGGGCCATATTTGTTCTAGTGTCTCCACATCGATCTTCCAGTGCGAAAGAATGTTGGATCGGATGGACCGTTGAACGGACGACTTGAGGCTCGTCTGGCCAGACACATCGATCGATGGTTGAAATCTGCAAGCGTGTCAGGATGGCGTTAATGAGACCTGGTCGGGACAGTACTTCTTGAACATATTGATTGTCCCGCGTGTATGGTTGAAAGTCCAAAAAAAAGGGATGCGGTTAGATGAAGAATCGAAACGCAGGTACGGTGACAGCGGCAGACGAAAGTAAGATTGTCGATCAATTGTAGGCGCCAATGACATCTATAGCACGTGGCAAGACCCCCACAGGTTCAGGTAGTTGTACTTGGGATACTAGGTCTTTTGCTCTTGAATACTCCGTATTTTCTGTTGCCGCGAGCACCAGAGTATCCGCCATCATTCTGATATCTTGGTCACTATCATGTTTATCCAAGATATCCAAAACACTGCCGAGTGGCAGCGTCGGCATCTGCCGATTCAGTGTCACGATCTGATCTTGTTACCGAGGCGGGGAACGTCGAGTTTTTGAGCCTGTCCTCTGACTGCATACAACCCTCACCTCTATAGAAGACTTCAGCTTGCCCGCATATAATCTCTGAGATCCTAAGAAGGTCTATAGCGGAACTATGCCTCGCAACATAGCGAAGATTCATCCCGAAGTTCCACCACCGCCAGAAGGTGTTACTTCTGCGAAGAAGGCAGTGGCGGCCTCCAGTACTAAGACGCGGACAGTACGCGGAAAGCGCGGTGGACTGAAGGTTATGCCAACCATGCCGCTTGACATATTGCTTGAGGTATGTGAAACCAGCTAAACATGATAATACGAAGTTGACAAAGGGCCGCCTCTCGTTCAGATATTCAGCCATCTCCATCCTCGGGACCTTCTCAGCTTGGCAAGGACTAACAAGCCCTTCCGAGACTTCCTCATGAGCCGCGCATCTAGCTCTTCACTGTGGAGAGCATCCCGCAGGAATGTAGAGGGGCTCCCTGATTGTCCTCCTCATCTGAGCGAGCCCGCATACGCCAATCTGGCATTCTCCCCATACTGTCATGTAAGATATTCGATAGCTGACTATTACGTGTCGATCGTGCTCACGGGAAATGTATAGGGATGCGATAAGACTAATATTCACTCTATTATCTGGGAGTGGGGCGTTCGCTATTGCAACACTTGCAAGAAGAGACTGTGAATATGTTTTCCGGAATGAGCTGTGCGACATACATACTGATTCGATATCAGATGCACAGAGTACTTTAATGTGATGAAGTTTCGTAACAAGACTCAGGTAGAGGGTGTTACGCCTCTAGAACTGCTCACAACCGGTGTATGTTATCGAGACAATCCTCAGTATCTGGTGCATCTTCCTCACCAGCTGTTTCAGATTCTCGCTCCCGGTCGTGACTATGGCTCAATGTACCAATTATATCATACGGCGGAGGTTCTAGAGATCAACGAAGCAGTCGACAGACTCTCCGAGGACATGGAAGGGCTGCGAGAGTATGTAGAGAACAGGAAGAATCGCATCAAGGTCATCAGAGAGGTGCATCCTTTGTGCGACTCATCAAATACCTTTTTTGTTGACGCTTATGGCTTCATAAGCACGCCGCACTCTGTGCACGATGGCAAGCACAGAAGGTGGCATCCAGAGCGACCGAGTTGGAGAGAGTTCGGAAGGCCCGTCTCAACGCGTGAGTATGGAGTTTCGCCGTGCATATAGTCAGGTAATTTAACATTTCCCTGCAGAATTGTCGCTCGGCTGCGTGATATGGGTTGGTCTCAGGACCTGGATAAGATGGGCACATCTTACTATCCACTGACCCGACATCCGGATGTGAGGGTATCAAGGCAACTCACTGACCGAGGCGGGTCTCTTGATGTTACCGTTGAAACCCAACTGATGCGCTATGTAGGATGGCTAAAGATCCGTGACAAGCTTGTCGCTGTCATGCAGACAACTCAAAGCCGACGCCTCCTGAATGAAAGAAGAGAACTCCTCAAAGCTCGTCTTCGTCTGTTTGGCATCGTCGTCAATCGATTCTATGCTTCGCCCCGTAGGACCGAGGAGACCGAGCTCCAGCCTGGCGTCACTGACATTGCTGTCATGCCTGAAGTGCGACGATTGCTCGACGTCCCGAGTGACATCGCTGTCACCCTCGAGACGCTTGAGCCCCTTCGTGACGAGCTTCCTACCTTGATTCAACGATGGCAGACAGAAATTCGTGAGGGTCTAACGCAGATGTTATCACAGAAGCTTGGAAACACCCACTCTAGCAGGCTCCTGGACTTGGCTATCTCGTATTTCGAATGTCGAGTGTGCAAATGGGCTTTCCGCTACCCAGAAGTTCTAGCTCATCGTTGTCCGCGCACTCACGTAAGTAGCTACGGCTACGACGACACCATTGCAACTGCGTTCGAGTGGGCTATTCACTCGAATGGACACCCAGAGCCATGGTCCATCACAGTATTTACAGTTGACCATGCTCTGGAATTCAGCAGTATAATTGTACGAGTGTGTGGTAAGGATCCCGATCATGCGACACGACAGGAGATGGATGCCTGGGACCTCCGACTGTGCTATGTCCGCAAGTCAGCCCCAGAGAGACGATTAATTGTGCCGTGGCGTGATGCTGTAGGTCTCATCCGCTCAATCTCTTTACGGAAGTTGAAAATGCCACAGATCTTGCACGAGTGGCACAAGCGCAGACATGAATTTCAGCCCGAGGGCGAGCGCGAATGGACCATTGCACCTCAGGAAGACATTGACCAAGCGAAAGCCATTGAAGCGTCCGACAAGAGCGGAAGTCACTTTGCGAGATTGGCATCCTCCGTCGGCTGGTCTTGTTCGCTATGTACCGATGGCTGGAACAGTCGTGCGCAGACAATCCCCATCATCAAGATGCACCTGAGACTCAAGTGAGCGTATTGCCATGCTATACCTTGCACTGGCTAATTTGACCATTTGCACGCAGACATCTGGTTGAGGATCCGACGAGCGCGAATGGCGATATGTATTTTCACCCGGACTGCAAGCCTCGCGGAGCACGGCAGATTTGGAGGCTACCAGCTCGATTCCAAGACGAGGTCGAAGAGGCATATCTTGATAATGGAGAGCGGGCGGCCAAACTCAAAGGAGACGTATACTATGTCTAACGCGAAGATCCGCATCTGTCAAGAGTTCTGATGATCGTGTGCCGTTGTTGTGACAGTCCCAGTGTGCGACATTTGTATGTGTCTCCGTTCTCGCATTGCAAGGCATCAATATTCCTCTCAGTTTCTATAGTTTCTAATGAGTGATACACTATTGTCTTGTTTTGTGATCCTGCATAAGGTACTAGTACATGACAGATATATGCTGTTAATAGCGAGATGACGATAGCGAACTTATACATTGCTTCAGGAAGGCGAGACACATTATGCAGGGGAGGGGTCGGCGAGGGTACGGATGGGGGGAAGGGTAGGGGGTGGGGGAGGCAATATGAAGGTATACATAGCGGAGCAGTCAGCAGAGAACCAAGGATTACATGAAGACAAGTGATTCTATCGTACAACGCCAGAGCAACTTTGTGACCGCCTAAATGTCCTCGTCCTTGTCTTCGAGCTGCGATGGTTTGAGCATACCGGGGATCCGCATCGCGGCTTCCCGCTCTTCCTGCGCCTTGCGAAGTGCCTCGTCTTCTTTTTCTTCGAGGTACAGCTCGGCGTTGTCGCCAGAGAACTCCTTGAGCTGCACCAGGAAGTCACGGAGGGCAAGCTTGAACCGGTTGATATCGCTATGATACTCGCCGAGACTGAGTACGAACGTCTGTATTTGTACGCTGCAAGAACGATCAGTACCACGAGACAGTAGCATGCAGCGGAACCAACGTACTTCTGAACGTGAGGGAATGCCGACTTCAACAAACTGGCAGTGTATTCGCGCAAGAACATGGGATTGCTCATGTTCGGATCTGGCACACTCGCGGGATCGAAGAGCGGAACAGAGATGTGGTTTGTTTCCACCAACTGGAACATCCGTGCCAGGAGCAGTGATTGCAACTTGAAGCCGCTCTTGTGATCGGTATCCGTGAGCACGAAGAAAATGTCCTGCATTATACTCAAGAAGTATTGCTGGAAAAATGCGTTCATGACCGTAGGCTCAGCACCCGCAAAATTGTTCACGACCTCCAGGCAGACTGGATTGCAAGCGTTAAATGAATCCAAATGCGGGAAAAAAATCGCAACTTACGATTCAAACCAGTCTCAGCAATATCCCGCATCGTGTGTTTGATAGCCCAAATGATGCTGTCCATGAACAACTTAAACTGAGGCGGTGGGATCGTGAGTAATGCTATACAAAATGTGAGCTCTCATCAGATGACAAAAGAATCACCAGTGACAGACCTGGGAAGCAATTCAAGTTGATTGCTCGCAACAGCTTGAAGAAGCCTACTCGATGCTCAGGGAATTCGGAGAAATCCTGATTGATCATGTTGAGCGTCGGTTCAAATACGGCCTCCAGGATGGCCGGTACTTGAGGAGTGAGTAATGGCTGTTGATTTAAGCATAAGGAACTCATACAGGAAAAATGAGACACGACATACGCCCAATCGCGAGATGATGGTCGCCATCACATTCAAAACCTCCGCGTCCCGCGCAGCGGGGACATTTCGGTTATAGTCGCCAAGAATGGCGTCCAAGAATGGTGGCATGAAATTGCCGTTGACCGTCTCGAGATCCTCGGCTCTCTTGATGAACGTCTCCATCAACTTGAGAATTTCCTTCTTAATTGTCCGCAGGTGGCGAACCTTAGGAGTTTTAGTGGCGATCAAACCTGGAGATACAGCCAAAGATGTTAGCTGAGTACCCACCGCCTGAACGTCGAAGACTCACCGTCACGCGCAACAGTCTCGCTGATGATACCACTAACTGCCTTGTACAGACCAAGCATGTCGAGGAAGACTCTACCAATCTGTGGAAGGTAGAAGGGCCCAATAGACGTGCAAGCAGCGACATTCGTCTTCAAGACATTCGATAGAATCTTGATGTTATCTACATTGTCCAGAACACTCATGCTTTGTGCAGCTTGTGCCATCAAGGAATCCCACTGCGCAACGAGTGTGAGCGTTTCTGTTTAAAGTTTGTACCATGACTCACAGCATTGTTAGGCAGTTCCATAAGCTTTGCAATCAGTTTCTCCTGCTGTGGCTTGTTGGGCTGCGCAGAAATCATGTAGCCGACGGCCTCGTAGAAAGTATGGACCTAGAGAGGGACCTCGGTGTGAGTGTCGAGTCTTCCTTAAACACGTATGACTGACCTGCTGAGGAGCCAGATCCACAGTAATCCTGTGGAGAAGTCGAAGGATCTCGTCCACGAAAGGTTCCGTTTCTCCAGCCTGCTGCATTACAAAGTGCCTCCGGCACTTCTGCGCAATCTTGATGAACGTATCACATGCCATATCTTGAACACCTGGAAATCGGGTACTTTGTTAGTCACAGCACATAGGAAGCCCAGCTAATATGTTAGTAGTGACGGTTCACCTTCGTGGGTCTCGTGCATGAACTCGAATAGCTTATTGACCACCGTTTTGAGGAACTTCCAGTGTGCCTTCAGGAAGCGAGGATACTGGCCCACGATATACATGATATCGGAGGCGACGACCGCCTTGTTGTCTTTGCCCCGTTTGAGCTCACAAAGGCCGAGAAGGTCCTTGATGACAGTGACCAGAAACCGTTTTTCAGTCTCCTCATCTATGCGACATAGTCAGTACGGAATGCAGACAATTCGCTGGTGAGCGCACTCATTGCCCCTGAGATAGACCCAATAGCCCAACAAAGCGTGTTCAGGTTCTGCCACGACCATTCACTGCCATCGACTTGCTTCGCGAGTTTCTCCGTCAGGATGTTCTCGGTGTCGTTAACATCCAGATGAGTGAGATAGACGAGTAGCTCGCGCATTGACTTATAGAGAACGATCGTGTCGCTTTCTTTCATGAACTCGCGGACAATCTCGCCTTCTTCGTTCTCGACAATGAGGACCTGAAGGGTCGAAGTGTGAGCTATGAAGATGTATGACTGTGAATGTATTTGGAATGCGCACCTCCTCAGGCTTAACCATCTTCTCGATCACAACAAGACGCAAGTTGGACAGAACGTCACTGTAGATGTGTTTTCTCAGCGTTAATTTGCTCAACGCATTCTGGCTATTGCCACCGAGGCTCAGGCCCATGAGTAGGCCGCTGTCGCCAATGAGGCCAGCGTCGCCGATCGGCAGGCTTTGGATCTCCTCGTACAACTCAGAGACTAGTTTTAGCCAGTACTCTAGGCAGATCTTGAATATCTCACGCTCGTCGACCTGCGAGATCTTGACCATGTATAGATGAGCATTCAAGAGGACGTCACGATTTGACTCCGTCTCAACCGCACGCAAGTGGTTGGACAAGAAATTCGACAGGAATAGGGCGAGGTTGAGTACCAGCTCCTGACCTGCATCCCCGGCGTTCGCGTATGCCTGGGCGATGTTCGTGCTGGGGGGAATCATCCGGTTGACAGAGGTCATGACCATGGCGAACAGGATGACGAATTTTGGGTCGTATTCAGGACCGACGCTGAGAGCGGCAATCTCAGCGAGACACTTCAGAGTCACATTGCGGAACTCTGGTGCTTCCAAGAACTGAAAGCAGGGGAATCATGAATTCTAGTTCGCTGGTAGAGGGCCTTCATGCACTTACGCGATTGAGCAACAGGTCAATGATGGTCGTCTCGAAGATGTATCCAAGGGGGATCCAATTCAAGAATCTGAGAAGAGTTTCCAGCGTCGCTTTAATCAAGGTTGTTTTCTGCGCCTCCTCTAGAATCTCCGAACATAGCTTGAAGATCTCGGAGAACTCGCCACACATCTGGTTCTTGAGGTTCTTGACCTTTGCTTGGGTCATTTGCTCTGCAGAGTAATCGAAAATTTCCTCTGACAGCAGCTTCAGGATCACCATGTTGTTTTCGCAAAGTGATAGATTCGTCTTGGACGACTCGACAAGCTCAGTGATGAAGGTCGGCCAATTATGTGGCCATTCCTGCTTGAGAATCTGCAAGGAACGTTGAGCTCAGGGAATGTGAGTACAAAACGAAGACATTACCTGAACCAGCGCTAGGTTCAACTTGTTCAAATACGTCTTTTCTCTCCGCATTGTCGCCTCATCCGACGCGACCTTCACGTTAATGCCGACAACAAAGTTCCGAATACCTGATTGAAACACAATTGATAAGAAGGGAAGGACGGGGATCTAGTTACCCACCTTGTCGCTGACCGTCAGGCAGTGACTTCCATCTCGTCGTAATGAGCTTCTCGAGAATCTGCAAGCCGATATACTGCACGACCATCGGGCATGCGTGAGCGCGCGACGAAAATGCAAAGCGAAAGTCGCACCTTCGTCTGGGGGAATGATGAGCGTTCCAAGACATCCGGCACCCGTGTCCATGCATCCGGGTTGTCCTGAAACTGCGTCAAGACTTGCTGAGCCATTTGTTGCTGTACACAACATTTATGTAGCACTCAGTCAGTCCTAGAGTTCTACCCGCAGCCAGCACGACGCGTACCTCCTGCCCTGCTCCGGTGTAGAAGGCCATAACCACCTTGTCCATGAGCGAGACATCGAACTCTCTGGAGAAGTCCAAAATGCCCTACAAGATCGTGTCATTGCTGCGCGCGGCGACGAGCTGAAAGCCGCTGCTCACCTCCATGGCGAGAATGCTATCGATGAACGCGTGCAATCGTTGTCGCTGTCGAGGTCGATGGCAAACTTGCTTACTTAGAGCGGGAGCGGTGGCTGGGCAGAGGGTGAGACGCGTGAACCAGATCTGCTGACAAATTGCCGAAGATGCGCATTTCGATCTCCGACGTGGCCCTGGCCGGCTAGTCCCTGATTCCGAGATTGTCGGGAGCCGGCACCAGACGCGGGACTATATGACGCGTTGAAGCGGCGACGTCAAAAAGTGCTTACTGCGATACTACTGCGATCTTCAGTCTCGGTACTGAACTTATAAAATCTGATCCATGGCGAGGTAGGCATGCTTTCAACCCTTTTCAACTTACTGGATAACCCCATGTCGACCCCACAGACTCAGAATGCTTGGTTGGCAACTGCGAAGGGCGAACCCTCCGAGGTCTTACAACTTGACGAGAGTGTGCCGGTGCCAAAGCTGAACTGTGGAGAGGTCCTGGTAAAGGTGCAAGCTACAGCTCTCAATCCAATGTAAATCATTATTGCTCGATTATCAATCTGCGTTGTGCTCATGTGGGGTGCACAGTGGTTACAAGATCATGACACTATTCCCGAACTTCCTGATAAAGCGACCTTACATTCCAGAGCACGACCTCGCGGGCATCATTGTAGATGCCAATGGCACCGAGTTCCAGAACGGGGACGAGGTCTTTGGTTTTATACCACCTCGTTCGTCCTATATTCTTAGGTCTCTACCCAGCCGCTGATACCTCACCTTGCAGAACCCAGTCTAAAAGCGCACTCCGGTACATTAGCTCAGTATACTCGTATATCAGCCTCTCACGTCGTCCGTCGCCCTATAAACATCACGCCTACTCAGGCGGCCGGCATTCCTGTCGCTGCCTTGACAGCCTACCAAGCCCTGTTTAACGTCGCACACCTCAAACCCGAGCAACACGTCTTTATCAATGGCGGCAGCACATCTGTGGGCGCTTTCGCGATTCAGTTTGCAAAGGCTATTGGTTGCAACGTCACTGTGAGTGCTTCCGGAAGGAATGAAGCGTTCGTGCGCTCCCTAGGCGCTGACGGGGTGAATGTCTCGTTCCTGTCTTCTATAACCTGTCGCATGCGCTGACCGAGTTTGAGTAGTTTTTTGACTATACAACTGGCCCTCTGCATGCGAGGCTCGCCTCCAACCCTCCCTCTTCCAAGTATCACGTCTTTTTCGAGACAGTAGGCCTACTCGACCTTTCCCTGTACACCCACAGTGAATCCTATCTGACACCGGGCGGTACCTTCGTATCTGTTGGTGCGGTCGAGTCAAAGGCCTACGAGGTCTCATATATTGGCAAGCTGCTCTGGACAGTATTCCTGCATCCTCGCTGGCTTGGTGGTACCAAGCGGACTTATAAGTGAGTCTGTTCGCACAGTCAGAAATATCGCTGATGTGATCGGATAGGATGATCATGGTCGACAACAAGCGCAAGGATCTCGAGATTGTGGCTCAGCATGTTCGAGATGGTACGGCCGTCAAGCATACTCGCTTCTGATCTATATTGACAATTGGTGTGATCCTGCAGGCAAGATCAAGCCTTTGGTGGATTCGGTGTTTGCCTTCGAGAACGTTCTGAAGGCTTATGAGCGGATCATGACCAGCCGCGCGACAGGTAAAGTGGTCGTAAGAGTGGATCCTGAAGCAGAATGAAAGCTGTGAGGCCGCTCAACGGTTCTTGGCTGACGGCTGCCATCTTTCAGTGTACACATTCTACTTTATGCTGTGGATAGGCTAGATTATCGTGTATTGCAATTGGGTATTGTGATGTTTATGTATGTAGTGTATACGTTCGCTGTGATATTTATTCGCGGACTCGTGGCTGAGAACGACCTGTACCATCTGACTACTGAACCTTCCATATTTGGTTGACACACTTTTCGATCGCTCTAAACCAGGAGTCGCCCAATGATCGAGCGGTAGAAATCACCTCTTTCTCTGGACACGCACATCTCAGAATAATAATGGGAGACGATTTTCAGTCTCCTTCTCTTCGACTACTTGCCTCAGGGATCGCAGTGTCGCAGGGAGCCGAAGCTGCAAGTCCGCTTGTGCATTTTGCTTTGACCCCTCTGACCGGCCTCTGTTGTGCACATGGGACACCAATGACCCCCGCAGAAAGTCTACAAATGCTATCTCCATTCAGGACTCTGTAGCTCTGCCTCCCAAGACTCAGCAGACGCGGAGCCTGTGCTGCTGAAATATCGCTTTCACAAGCAATACCGCCATCCTTCACTGGATACCTCTTTGACAAAATCACGGGTGGCAGGGGAAGCTCGCGCGATCATAAGATGCCTAAGGTGCGTGATCTGTAGCAAATGGTCGAGCGCAGTTGATCGTTCCAAAGGCATGGTGTGAATGTGCCCGGCATTCGCATGGTCGATGCCGCAGAAGGAATCCTCGTCTTGGAATGGATTGAGGGACAGAGTGTCAGATATTTGTTAGGGGGCGGTGCGGAGGGAGAAAAAGAGATGGACGAAGCAGAGGATGAAGCTCAGGATCTGGAACTTGGCGGGATCGAGGAGGATTCATTGTCCGAATACGGTGTAGCCCCTGGTACGCCCTTCAGCTCACAACCAGTCCTTCCGGGATGATCACACTACTCGAAGACGCCGTCATGCGGATGATAGGTTCGGAGATTGCAAAAATGCATCGAGCAGATGTCATTCATGGCGATTTGACAACCTCGAATATGCTGCTCCGGCGACCTAATCCTCCCAAAGGCCTGCAGCTTGTGCGTTACTGTCCCCGGGTCACTACTAAATCATACTTACATAATCGGCGCAGGTCTTGATTGATTTCGGCCTGGCGTATACGTCGGCGTTGGTCGAAGACAAGGCCGTTGATCTATATGTTCTGGAACGAGCATTTGCTTCGACGCATCCTGCATCTGAGTCGCTCTTCGCTTCTGTCCTGAAGGCGTACGAGGAGAGGATGGGCCGTGACTGGAAAGCTATTTCCAGAAGGCTAGACGATGGTTAGTCTTTTTCTTATTGCAATGTACTTCTATGTTGACAAGCCTTACTTGCGCTGTTCAGTGCGTTTGCGCGGTCGCAAGCGGAGCATGGTGGGTTAATTCTGTTCATGTAGACCACGCGTATTTCTATTGTACTAGCTCTGTTATATATGCGACGTACAACTGTCCAACTTCCCTAGTCAACTGCCAAGATCTGTGATATGTTCCCGCGCCGAGGGATAGTAAAATCTCAATCTCGATCTTGGGCAGGATCTGCGTGATCTTGTTTACCGACTAGCGTGGCGACGGCTACGATCAATATTAATGTTGGCTTGGCTGACATCTTCCACCGATGTCCACCGCTCGGTCGCATGCACTCAGAGTAACCGAATTTTCTTGAAATTCATTCGTAAATCCATTTGTCGAGCCACAGTAGACGCGATAGGCGGCTATCTCTAGTTGATCAAGATTCTTCAGGGTCCTCGAGAAGTCAATGTTCTTTCGGCAATGCACGTTAGGCGCATGCTGCAGAGCCGCGGCATGCATAGCTCGTGGATTGACCCAATCCACCCGTGGTGTAGCAACTCTTGTTGACCTTCAAATGAACCAAGTGGCGACTGTAGCGATCGGTGCGGCCCAACTCGCCTCGAATTTAGGCGGCGTGCCGGCGCTCGGGGTGGCAGCGAGCGCCGCGGCGGGCATTCAGGCTGCTTGCCAGAAGGTGGTCGTACACAAGGTGAATAGGCCACTCGTTCTCTCGTATGCTTACGGTCGTTGTACCTCTAATATGCGCAGAAACGATGCGAGACATTGTCCAATAAGACTGCTCAGCTACTGTATACCATTGAGGCTCAGGCAAGTACCATAGACGCCGAACAAATGCGCGGCGCCGTGGACCAGGTGGCAGGGTATGTGGTGCGATTTTGGGCGTACGGGTCCGCGATTCATTCTTATCAGCGTATTGCAACGAGTGAATGGACGAGTAACGAAGTGGGCTCAATGCAGCCGCGTCCAGGCCTTCCGTGAGCGTGCTGATTATATGGATCACACATTTATATTGATATATCTCCCCAGTTAGAGACGGCAAGATTGGGGATGGCCTCAAGCAATGCGAGTCGGAGATTGATACCGCCTTACAACAGTTCACGGTTTGTCATCAGCATGACACTGAAATCACTATTGACGGCAATCCTCCTAGATTACAGCGCACGTCCATATGGCAAATGCGCAATCATTCCTCGTCAAACTGTTGGAGAAGAATCAAGACGAGTGGCGGAGCTTTAGCATAAATCAGGTTGCAGAGACACGCAGCCTGGTCCTCCAGATTTTGCAGAGCCCGCAAGACCTTCAGGTCGCCGCTGAGATGCATCGTGTGGGAAAGCCCGCTGCAGAGAGACTCATGGAGGTCGGACAGCAGGTGGTCCCCCATCTCCACGTGTTTTTCGCTCTCCGGATTGATGCTCCCTTCGTCTCGAATAGCGCCTGGCGGACCCCACCGCCAACTCGTCAAGTAAAGACCGCGAGATGTGGAAGAATGGCCTCTCTGAGCTTCAGCGTCTTACTGGCATTCCGCCAACCTTGAAGATACTAGACGGCGAAGTTGTGAAAACGTCCGAATTGCCCGCTGGGAGGGGAGGGCACAGCCTAGTCTGGCCAGGGCTGTGGTTTGGAAAGAAGGTACGTGCGCAACAAGATCAAGTCATGCTTCTGTTTGACTGTTCGTTGGCAGGTTGCCCTCAAGGTTCTTCATGGCATTGAACCATCAGACAGGGCTAAAGCGGTAGGTGTCTTGTGTAATGTGTCTTGTGCGAGCTGAGATCCCGTCCAGAGGTTCGTCAACGAGATACGGATATGGGCTGGACTTCGAAACCGACACATCCAGCCGCTGTATGGCATTGTTACCGACATGAGTCAATTCCTTCATACGGTTCGGCCACTCTTGACGTATCCAACCATGAACGTGACTCACTTAGAAAGATAGGTCTCGCCTTGGCAGGATAATGGCACTCTCTTAGAGTATGTCGCATATCGCTTGACACCGTAGTCAATCGTTGATGCGACCACAGATACGTGCAGGCGAACCCGTCAGTCAGCAAAGGACACCTGGTGCGCAGTAATGCTACATGATACTGCTTGATCTGACCAATGTGAGTAGTTGCTTGGAGCAGCTCGAGGCCTAGCATACCTTCATGGTGAACAGATAGTGCACGGGAACGGTGAGCTATTCTGCTATTCTGGGTGACTGAACGCTGATGATACTGCCGATAGTACGATGTGTGAGTTGATCAGGTCCGCTGAAGTCTTCGAACTGTACTTGATATGTGCACCCCTTAGGCTAACATTCTAGTCACATCCGAGGCAAGGCGACCAGATCTCTCTCGAAGTCAAGGTGCTGATAAAATGGTGTAGGGTGAGACGGCAATTTGTGACTTTGGCATGTCGACAATTATCGGCGAAATCACCAACACACCTGTTGCAGCAACTCTTACCACCGCTGGCTCCACACGTTGGCTCGCCCCAGAGCTGATTTTCGACGAGGCGAACCAGGTGCCGACATTCTCTTGCGATACTTGGTCCTTCGGCATGACCATGCTCGAGTGCTACACCATGCGGCCGCCCTGGGAGGATGTACGGCGGGACGCGCACATCATTCAAGTGATGGGGCGGCGGAGCCAACTCCCTGCGCGTCCACGGGACACGACGTCACCGACGGACGCGGTCTGGGCGCTGATGATCGAGTGCTGGAACTGGGAGCCAGACAAGCGGCCTGCTATGAGCGATGTGGCCATGGGTCTGTTCCGCTGCATACAGGGCGCTCGTGGCTCCATCGATACGGAAGACCTCCGTTGATTTGACATTCATCTTGTTACGCTGGAAAACGCTATCAGTTGCTTTGCGCCTTTGCTGTGTAACGATGCATACCTGTGTTAGCATTGTGTCTTGTATACCAATTGCACACCTTGTATCCTCCTCTCCCACTCCGGATTTCCCAGCTCGACAGCGACTGTCCCTTTATTCGAGCTAATTGAGCCTGGATAGCATTGTAGAGCGTGGCCTGAGTTTGATTGTGGCGACGGGACTACGAGACAGTCGCCGTGTACGAAACGCTCGACCATGTCGTTAGAGTGGATAGCATTACCTGAAATCAACCATATGCCTCACACGACCCCGGGTTGACATGAACCGAGACAGCAGGCGCTTGGATATATTCTGTGGCATGACCGTCGCAGTCTGCGGAATATGCAAGCTCGCCTCGCAAATGAACAGTGATCAGACTGTCGCGTAATCCAGTTCCCGGAGCACCGCAGGCTGAAGGAACTAGTTGGTTCCGTGGCAACCGTCCGATGCAAATGTCTCGCGAACTTCCCTTTCTGAGGCACAGGAATTCAACACGACAGTCACAGGAAAGGCAAATTTGCTTGGTCGCAACGGGAGGAGAGCGAAGAAACTGAACGTCCGCAGGTCCGCCTAGAGTTGTATTGTTGTCTCTGGGCGAATGATATTTGAGTTGGCGGAGGACAAGCAGGATAGGGGTAGGGGTAGCCACAGACGAGAAATGGCTTCCGTTTATTGACATCAAGCTTCTTCGAGTACAGTAACGAGATTATAGCCCGGAGAAAGCATTGGTAAAAGGGGAAGAGGGGGGAGCACGCGCCGGGCCAGCAAGTGCAAGTCGGGAGATCCCGCATTCTATCGAGGGTTGAGATATGTCTGACCGGGTCCCCCAAACCCAACAGCGCTGTGTTGTAAGGTAACAAATATGCGGGCAAGCCGGGATAACAATTTTGTAAATTTGTAAGAAGACCTCCTACCCATCTGATGGGTAAAAAGGGCGGCAAAAATAGGAACTCACCGATTCATCCACAGTCCATTATAGGTGTTCAAGCCGCATCGGCGACCAGTATAAAATCCAGCAGCTATCATTCCAACTGGTCAGATTTGAAAAGTGCCCATATAACTGCGTGGCGCGGCCAGAAGGCAACGTCAGATCTAGATTTTGTTTTGACTTGGTCTGCTAACAGAAGTACGTGCCTGGTTGATCGAGGATCTCCTCGACTACCCTCATTTTGTTTCTGACTGTACGCTCAGTCTCACCTTGTCTGGATCTTGTCCCCACTTGAGTATCCATCCTTACCACCATTACGCCACGACCTACGAGCACCTCTAATACAGCCTGTCGAACGGCACGGAGAACAATTTATGGGGACCTCAAAATGAGAGGAGCATGACTTGTGAAGACAAGCAGGGGTGGGGGTAGGGGCTCATAGACTGAGGATGGTAACCTGCATGTGGCTGCGCGTGGTGAAAGGATACTGGAAGGTCCGTGGCTTACCGCCTATCATACTACTCAGCCTCAACTATGCAGGAAGGATCCTTGATCGAACAACCCGGAATCTGACACGAGTCGATTATGCATCTCAGTGTCGGCGCTGCCGGCTTGGGATCCTCATGTTCTGGCGACCGTGGGCTGTAACCGGACGATGATACCCGAGGGTATGGTAAATTCCGCCGGCCGCCCTAGGGGATCCCTGCGACGAAAATCGAGAGACACCAAAGGCGTCGCGATAACTTGGAGACTATCGTCGCCGGCATATCGTCCTACGACGTCGCTCTTTGACCAGAATGCAAAGACGAGATATATGCACCCTGTACGCAAAGGGGACAGATGCTCGGCAGTCCGATGCGAGTATTGGGTCGGATGTTTAGCACTTGGGATACTGGTCCATCGGACAGCTCGTTAGACAGCTGGTGATTGATCGAGGACCTACCTCATTCTACCTGTCGCCCAAGCTCGAGCACCCCTCACCTGGAATCACCGGTCCTTTCGTGTGCCTTTCTGTAACGCACTCGCCTCAAACTTGCCGTTAGAGCTCGTTCTCGCGTTTACGGACAACCTTCGGGACTCGTACACTCGCGCAAAATGTCAGCGAGACTTCGAACAAAGCACAAGCGATACACCCCGACCCCCCTTGCAGTGATCGGCTGATCACTCGGACACGCGTATCTTCAATACAAGCCAGGACCAAGATGCAGGATACTGCGTCGATTGCACCTTCCTTCGAGCAGAACGACCGACCCCCGCCTGCGCTGATTCGGCCTGTCGACTCCCAATTGCGTGGCGTGACATCGTTTGTCGTCGACACCATGATATCCGGGTGGCAAGTAGCTGCACGACGAAGGTGTGAGATGAGGAATGTTAAGCACTAGTAAGTATCACGAACCGGACGCACCACGGATACGATGATACTGATTCGATGACAAGGCCCATTCCTCTTCTAGCTCAATGCAAACATTTCAAACCCATGAACTGCCACATTCCATCCGCCTTGCCGAGGCCGGACTCCTGCCTAGGATCTCCTCTGGCTCGAGCACTACAGACAGGATCCCAAGTTAATCGACATCGTGAAGAGTGAACGTGGGTCGCAGGCTATAGCTCGCCACAGCCGGAGTGGATAGCAAGGAGGCGTTTCACAACGACGCAGGGAGTAGGGAAAAGTTGTACGAATGCGGTTGCAGCGAGATCCAGGGAAGAGGCGGGAGTGTGTTGCTTCCTGCCGCTGCGGTTGAATTCTGCAGCGTCATCCAAGATGCACCCATGTGCTGCAAGGTGTTTTGCTGGTCGGGAAAACGCGCGCGGATCTGAAGAGATGGTTGAGCCGCCGCGGAGACTCGGACTTTCGTCCATGGATCGCGGCCAACCAATTCACATCTGTTCTGCCCGAAATCCCGCACAACAATTCTCCGACGCCGAAGAGGGGATCGCTCCGCTGTCTCTTTTTCGACAAACTTTTCGCACCTCGCCGTTCTGCACATTAGCGACGCATTCACAGTGCCCTTCTGTTTCCGAGGCTCAGGCATTGTCTTCCCTCCACACTGCTTTTGGTCGGTCCCAGGCATCCAGAAGGGCGCTCGATAGACCTGAGCTCGCCGTTCGTTACAGCCCTGCGTACGTGTGGATTGCCGAAGGGCTGCCACATAGCATTTCACGAATGCAGACTCTCTGGAGACAGGAATGGCGACCAATATCGTGGAGGCTCCTTCGTGCGCGCGGTCGATACCGGTGCAGGCTTTCGGCGACTGAAGAGTATTGAGATGCTCACCGCTGCCTTCACATCTGGCATGGTCGAAACGGCGGAGAGGCAGGACAGAAGACAGGTACGCCGAACTGGAGATGCCGTGATTTTTCAGGTTGGACAGGCCGCATACACGCACTACTTCCGCCCCACGTATACGCCAACGGTCCTTTTGCTGGTCAGGCATGCCAAAGCGCACACGCGGTCCGTATATAATCCTGCTGGGCAGACATATGCACAAAATGCTGCATATAGCTGAACGTAATCGTTCGGTCCCGTAAATGAGGATCACATACCTCTAGCCTCTTCGCCCTACGTTGGCCGCTAGCCCCACCACTTTACCGACTTTCCTGCCCGCTCTCCACGCTAGGTGTTGTGCACACCTCCAGCCGTGCGCTGTCGGCCAGGATGTCTCATCGCCATTGACGTGTATCCCACGTGCATTGGATGTCTGTGAGACTCGTCCGCTACTGAGGATCATTCGTGATCACCCCTTCTGCTCCTTCCACGCAAACCATATGCCAAACCAGCCATTGCGTGTTGCATTGAAGATAGCGGGCATCGACAAGTATCGGAGCCATACGGATTGCTGGTGATGCTTGACGGTGCAGCTATGGTCGCGGCACGCCTCCCACAATGCGGGCCTCCCAATGCAGTGGACGTCAGAAGAGAAGATAGACCAGAAATATTCCGACAATGCCGTTGACCCCTCGCGCTCTAATGTGCCGGTGTAAGCGGCTCATAGAGACGAGACTGGGCGGTTGACTCGATGCTTTCGAGCGTCTTGCTTTCTGTCTCTTCTCCGGGCGTTCATTCTCGCCGAGTGTCGTCTAGGGCGTCCAAGAAGAGCACAATAGCGAATGGGGGTACTGAGACACGGGCACACCGACATACAGAAGGCAAGGGGACGCCCGGCACGATCGGGGACTGGTCGCTCAGTCTGCATACCGGGGAACAGGAGATCGGGTCGGCGATCCAGAAGCGCGTCGCGGCGCGCGGGATGGCCTAATCACCCAGACATGGATCGCGGCGACGCGGACCTGAAAATCTAGTCGCCAACAGCGCGAACGTAGATCAGGCATTTTTCTCGCTCCGCCGTTGTCCGCGGCGCTGCCCCAGCATCCGGCACATTGTTACTCGTCCCACCACCGTGGTCATGCCACCACAGGTAGAAGGCGTGGGTTCCATCTCCGGCTGCTGCACGCTATCCGTCTGGTGTGAATGCTGTAATACCCTGGGCAGTGGGCGTTGCTGGCGGCCTTGCTTCGTATCCTACCGTTACGATCCCCAGTTCTGTGATGTGGGAGCTACGGATGGTAGGATGTGCAGGCGCATACATCCGACTATCTCGGTATCATTTAATTCCCTGAAGCATCACAAAGATTACACAAGTCAGCGAAACTAGGGCGCGAAGAAGTCTTGCAGCCTTACAAGGGCACTTTGGGAAGCACTGCGAGCCATCCATGTGGGGCCGCCTAGGATCACTCAGGCTGCCGCACCTCGTCCGGGTCTAATCCTTACATATATAACAGGAGCAACTGACCTTCGACGTCTGTGGTCGCTCCGTATGCTCGCGGATCCTGAGCAACCGCTGCTGGCAAGATAAGGGTGATAGCGCAGGATATCGAGGACGCCACCGACTTGTAGTCTTTCTAACTGCCCATAGCAATTCCAAGCCAGTTGTAATCGTTTTGTGCCTAACTCAAAGGTCCAAGATGAGCTCCTCGCCCTTTTATTCAAAGCCAAGGGCGCCGTGGACATACCGGGTAGATGCGAGCAAGACGGTAGTCAGGCTTGCCCCACGGAAGCAATGCGTACTACATGCACTGCATACAGGCGGCTCAGGCTGTCCGCGTGAGTCTGGTGAACGTACGTCAGGTGAGTATACGTTTATCCCAGCTGTGGACAGTAGCACTGACTACGCACCATAAGGAATACCAAACCGACGCATTTACCCATCATGTATTTCCCTGCGTCGCTCGCTACGCCAGTCTCCACTGGTTTTCTTCATTTGATTCCAGCTTCAGCCCATCCCTTCCTCCTCGCCGGCACACCAACTGCGTCACCTGCGTGTGGACCATGCGAGGTGGAAGGACTTCTCCTTTGCGGACGCATACTCCTTGGCTATTGTCTGCATGGCGTCGTCGGCGACCGTGTGCCCCTCATCGCGGATCGTCTTGAGGGCCTAATCCCAGCAACGGCGGTGGCGAAGATATATATCATTTCCTCCTATGGCCAAACTGGCGCGGGTGTCTATGTCATGGGGGCCTCCCCGCTGTCATTCCTGCTGCCATAGCACAAGAGGAACGAGGGATGGTGGCCGCCGAGACTTTCTATGACGCCTAAAATCCAGGACAACAAATAAAAGCAGACAGCCCGCCGTGTCGCGCAGGTCACAAAGCCAGACGTAGGTTGCTGCCCGTCGACGAAGACAGCGCCCGAGCCGTTCCCTGAGGTGAACAGCGCTCGAGCCGTTCCCTGAGGTGAGCAGCCCGCCGCCGTATTATCGTAAAGTTCCGGACGCTGGCCCGCGTCAAGTAGCTGCCCGGCATCTTGGTACCACAGGAGATTCGCTGGGTCCACGGCCGCGCCGCGCATCGACGCGGAGCTGCAACCCCCGCGGTTCCCAAGCCAGCGGTGCCGGTGGATCTGCTCCGGTCCATCAACGTTCGCCATTTTCACGGCGACCCGCTCAGGATATTTCATTTTCTGCCTCCGCGCTGGACATCTGCGGGCCGTGCAATCAGGTCGATGCAAGCTACCCGATCGACTGGTACACCCCATCGGCGATCCTGTTCATCGCGGGCAGTCGTCATCGGCCATACTAGTACGTCTATCTGTCTCCATTATTACGCCCCATCTGCGGGATTTTTTCTTCAGACCCACGCATGAGGGCCTCCTCAACAGACGGACAGCATGTTACAGCTCGATGTATGCTTAACGCTGCTTTCCAATATATTTTGTTTTTGTGCACACCAAGAACTACGTCACGCGAGCTTCCAAGATCAACCACGCCAGTATATTGTACAGCACAAACAATAGATATATACTACATCCTCGGGCAGAACAGGAACGAGCAACGAAAGCAGCACGTACACAAGCAGGAGATAGATAGCATATATGAGAACAAGATATACAAGCACCAGCACATTCACAGAACCGCTGCCAAGACCATCAGAGATATAGTACCAATAAATCCACCGGGTCCGTGTCGAGATGACAAGCTTCCTTCCTTGGCACTACTTGCCATGATGACCATGACCGCCGTCAATCACCCTGCCGGGCTCGAGACGCGGATCCCTCCTGCCGTCCGCGACCTGCCCCGCAACTTCGGAGTTGCGCGAGGGCGGCTTCGGATACATCTGCGGGTACGGCGCGTAGTGGTGGGGATGATGATGCATCGCCCCATCAGGACGCGGCGCGTGCATCATGTACGCTCCCGCATACGCCTGCGGAGGGTACGGCGCCGGATACACGGGGTAGAACGACGGTGGCGCATACGCTGGGGCAGGCTCGCCGTCTTGTCCGACGTGTCCCGGGGGCGGCATCGGCTGCGGAGCCGGCATCGGCGCGTAGAAGAGCTGCGGCACGTAGACGGGGGCCTCGCCAGCCTTCGGCATGTGTGTCGGGGCGTACTGGCCGAAAAAGGGCGGGTACGGCGTGATGTAGGGGATCGGCGAGGGAGCGCTGGGCTGGGCGACGGGGGGCGGCATCATCGCGCCCGGCTGCGGGCTGCTATTGTCGAGCTGCTCTGAACCGCTGGCTGCGCAACCGTTTAATACAAGGTACAAAGGGAAATTGACAAGGTCATTATTCGTTGCAACTACGGAAGTACAAGGGCAAAACACTTACCCTTTCCATCGCGCTTCTTGTAAGGACCACGCTTGATCCCCTTCTGGCGCTCCTTCCTCTGCGAGTCGATGCATTCTTCGGCGATACCGTACTTGACGCAGCGCAGACATGGGCGTGCGTCGTCACACTTCTTGCACGCCTTCTGGCAGTTAGTACACGCATTCTTGACCTGCCTGCGCTTCGTACGCGCCGGTTGGCTAGGCATGCTACCGGGCGGGAACGGGTACATGTGCATGGGCATGCTGGAGTACGTAACGGGATGCATGGTCATCTGAGGCTGCACCGAATCCTGGGAGGAGTTTGGGCTCTGTCGACCTTCGGCGTCGGGATTGTTATCGACCATCGCTATAGCTGAGATAGGGGGTGAGGGGGGCAGAACAAAAGGGAAATGTGGACGGGCAGATAGTAGAGAAGCAGGTAGCGAGCAGGGAACGATGTGCCCTAAATGAGGCCTCTACAATTGATGCCTCGCTGACACCCGACACGTGCCGGGAATCGGACGGTGCCCCTGGGCGCTGTGCTGGGGGCGTCGCCGCTGTCTAGCTGTGAAGCGAGGAAGGCATGGTCAGTGTGGTAGGCAGTGCGGACGGAGGACGGCTCACGGTGGGTGCAGGGGCGGCGCTGCGTTCGCTGAGCTGCCGACGTGGGGGCGTCTCCGACTCAAAGCGGAGGCGGGGGCGGGAAGAGAAATGCGGAGCACGAAGTCCGTCCGGCCTTTCCTCTTTATTCCCGATAGTGGCGCGCGCCGGCATCGCCGGGCCTTACAAACCTTAATCCTTGATTGGCACACCGCTTTTGACACCTTCCGCTTACGTATGTCACGCGCGCCCTCACGCCTGGTGTCAACTCCGCGACCCCCTCCTCCAGGCCCTGCCCCGATCCCGTCTGCACCGCGCTCGCTCCGATTACCGCGCGGTTGCCTTCGGTCACCCACCGTGCCCGCTGCCAGTGCGCGGGGTAATCTCTGCGACTGAGTGTACTCTGCCCCGCAGAATCCCCTCAATCCTTGCCACGGAAACACCCGATGCCGAGAGATGCGAGCCTTAACTTCTGAGAACTTCTTCGCATTGCCAGTTCTCTCACAGTACGCGCCGTGATGCTCAGGCAGTGTCCATGAGACCGCGGCTGCCCCGATAACCGGCGTTCTGACTGCGATTGGTTGCCTCAGCCGGTCGGTTCGCTGGATGGCATGGTATTGGCCGTGATGAGTGTGTATCCGCTCACAGTCCTGTCGTTCTACTAGCGTCCCTATTACGTGAATGGCAAGAATTTGTAGACTGTCAAAAGGCTGCGAGCGACGACATGCGGCGAATGCAAAGACACGGCTGTAACAAACGACGGTAAAACGTCTTCGGCATTTGTTAAACTCATATTAAGTGTCGTCATTCCGCGCTCCCCCATGTCTGGGCTATTGATTGGCAATCGGTCAGCTTACGCTCTCGGTTCAAGAAGATCTTCTGGGCCTTGCGAATGGACGAGTCATGCTCATAAAACTGGAACCCTGCGTGCGAAGGCGCTTGAAGACATAACATAACTATAAACTTTCTAAATTGTCGACCAATGTGCTCGCCGCTATTAGTGAGCGGATTGAACGACTGGCCTTCGAACGTTTGATATAATTTGAGAATGCTGCAAGAGGGACGGAGCATGCATCGGATCGCTGCATTACTGAAGCTATGTTTCATGCCGAGCGCTGTTCGATGGGAGCGGAGAGCTACGCTATAATACGCGTTATTTTGCTTCCCTGGTTTGACATGCTGCATTGTTTCGTACATGTATAGACCTCAGATATCGTAATTTCATGGACCCTACCGCCGACAGCGCTAAAGTCTATCTGAGTCTCACATGGTAGAACGCCAGAATGCCCTCGTCTTCCGATACTAATGCTTTCCACCTGACATGAGCGTTCGTGCCGCCTGGGCGCTGCAACCACCGCCGCCGCCAACAAGCGCCCACAAAGTGGTCGATCTGACGCCGATCAAATAAATCCAGCCACCACTGTCTCCCGCGAACGCCTATTAACCCCGCCCAGTCACAGTCTATCATCCACAAATATCGCTCTTTCAATAAGCCAGCAACAAAAGGACTACCAATAGCCTGACAAGATGACCGACCCCTATTCACAGCCGAGGTTTATACCAAATATCGCGCTCCGATCCGCTTCCTCGGCCGAGCTGCCTTTATTCGGGCCACGGCTTGCTCGACTAGGCGTCCAGCGCCCCGATGGGTCCCCCCCGCTCGAGGTCTATACCCCCGCGCTCATCACCGCGACGTCCCGCGGTGTGGTCCCTCATTTATCCCGAGATCATGTCAGGACCACCCAGGCGATTCGCTGGGTCCATGTGCCCTTCGAGTCTTTGTAAGTTCCCTTTGCCTCTAGATATGCGCTGAGAGTATGTACGTACGGCCTCCAGCTTGGGCCATTCGCCTCCCGTGCCGACCTTACAGCCTGGCCGCCAACCGCTGCACAAATTTCTCGGATATGTCCCATCACAGCACATCGTCGTTATGTCCCTTCGAGACCCCTTCGACGGTAGAGATATGCCGTCAAATAGCAAAGATCATGTGTCTGCTTACTGTACCCGAGGCGTGCGCAAGGCAGGATACATCGTCTCAATTGATCAATGATCTTCTCTGATCGTGGATTGCAGGTGACACCTCACGCATGGGAGTTATACGTCGCTGCTTGCAATCCCGACGCTGTGGTCGCTCTGTCAGACACCCCATTCACTCCACACCCGCACTCGCAAAAACGTCTCACCAAGAGCATCGAGCGCTCAGCCATATGGCTTCTCGAGACGCTGAAGGCGCAGAAAAAAGGAGCAATCCCTGTCGCAGAAGACACTGATATACCACAGGGCCGCCATTCTAATGTGTTTGTCCACATGGCTGGAGGCGGCAGCGCCCAGGCACGGACAGCCTTTTCCCAAAGCATGTTGGAGCCGCTGGAAACCCGGGAACTCGAACAGCTCAAGCCCCTGCAAAGACTAGACGATGGGGTGGCTGGATATATTTTCGATCTTGTGCCTCTCCATCAAGCCCTCTCGGCAAAGGAACGTACAGCGCCAAGCATTCCGGACGAATCGCACAATGCGATGAATACGATTACCCCAAGAGCTGAGGATAGCTCGCATACCTCTCCGGAGCTGCAAAATCTGCTCAAGGCGTCCCTCCATGATCTCCCGCCTCATAAGCCGCGGCTCGTCAACTCGGCCCGCTCTCCTCATGAGATACTGCGCTTGATACGTGACGTCGGAATAGACCTCTTCGACGGGCATTGGGCACAGCGAGCCGCGGATATCGGCGTTGCACTGGACTTCTGCTTCCCCGCGCCAGCTCATTCAGCAGAGCCTCGCAAATCCGGCATTCTTGGGCCGAGGAGGCGAGATGACGGTGCAAACGACTTGGGCCATAATCTGTACAATGCTGCATATGCTCATGATCACTCGCGGCTCGCTTCGTGCTACCTCGACACGGTTTCCTCACAGAAGAACGCGGACAGTGCGGTGTCACCGTCGGCAGGCTTGCGTATCTGCCCCTGTGCTGCCTGCTCCCCCGTCGCGCCTTCCGCTTACATCACCCACAGCAGCGTGGACAAACTCTCATATACCGATGAGATGGGCCCGCCCGAGTCGAAGCGATATCTGCCGCCCTTCACGCGGTCGTACATCCACCACCTCCTGCACACGCACGAAATGTCGGCGCACTCTCTGCTGGTGATGCACAATCTGTCCGTCATGGACGCCTTCTTTGCCGGCGTGCGGTCTGTGCTGGAGAGCCCCTCGGGCGGCGACACGTTCGGCGAGAAGGTGGACGAGTTCGTGCAGATGTACGATGAGTCTATGGTTGTCTTCGATGAGGCGACGGTGGACTGGGCGGAGGTCGAGCGTGCGCGAGGGAAGGGCCGGATGGCTCGGGAAAAGATCAAGCAGGCAGAGTCGAGTCTGGGTAGAGCGCTTGATCTGTGACTGTCGTTCAGAGCCTGTCCTGCGAGGACATGATGATTCTTTTGTACTCATCTGCGTTGAGTATATTTGGAGAGACTTTGAGAGGAGCTGCATAAATACGGTGGTCAAAGACTATGCAATGATGCATCATGGCCGACTTAAAACAAGGACTGTGGCCGCCAAATTCCTAGGTAGTGACACGTCCAATACATGTACTCACTAAATTATACTATCTACACGAGTTGGGACACCCTCTCTAAGCGTCCTTGCGAGTGGTGCATGTTGCTATAGTAAGGCGGTCACAGCCGGTCACCGGTGGCATCAGGATTGGTTTTGCACCACTTTATGCGCTCCTAACAACAACCAGTCGCTCAGCCCTAATCCACTTTACCCTATACGTCAATGAATGAGCGTGAAGATCAAGTCGCCATATTTTGGGATTACGGTGCGTTTCGTAACCCCTGTCACTTCCGTCGACGAAATCTCATCAGAGAATAGCTAGCAAATATCGATGCATTCATTCCGATACATAACAGGAGTCTCATGGACGGCGCTGATGTTGTTCTGAGTGTACATACATTACCGAGATGGTGCTTTTCCTTTGATACATATGTTGCGCGAACCAACGAGTAACCTCCCAGCCATCAGATCAGCAAGAGCTTGCACACAGTCCGGCATCTTGTGCTGCAACATTTGACAAGTCTTCACCAGCTATCAGGATGGATGTACATATCTCCACTAGAGATAGATGGGTTCGCGACTCCATGCCTACAGCGCAACGTGAGATATCAGCAACCAGCTTCGAGAGAGAAAAGTGTCTTACTCTCGTTGCAGATGCTGACATATGCTATAGTAGTAAGGCACACGGTTCCACTGTTCACACATGGAACAGCACCACACATTCATCAGCTGACGGTCAGTATCGTCGTTTTGCACCCTAGCATTGATCATGTCAGCCTCAGTGGCAATTGACAAAGGGTCCGCCCCTCGGTGGGTCCCGCGTTTGCGGCGGCATGTCCATTCCTCTCGTATCTGCAGCCGCGTGGTTAGGCACGCACCCGCACGAGCGAAGAACAACCTACAGCCCGGTCCCATGTTACAATTCTCTTGCCAAGAACTGACTTGCGACAAATTCGGACGTTTGAATCGTCCATGATGGGTCGAGTCGCCCGATCAGGATCTTGGCCGCACAGCTTGATGACCTTCCGCAATAATACCATAGCATTTTCCGACGGGGCATGCAGGTGTTGTGTGTCCCATGGTCGGCGATGCGCGGTCCCACAGACTAAGGTATGGTATTCAGTCCATGCGGGCATCTTCGCTTTTGACGCGCGACAACACGAATGGGCTAGCACGTCAGGGTATGGCATTAGATGGCCACAGGCGTCGCACTCGAAGTACGCAATTGCTAGCTTGAATACATCTGTACCTCGTCGGGGCTTGATTGCTGGCTCTAGGATGGACCTCAGAGCCTGGTCTGCATCGGCCTTCCAGCGTTCCACAAGGGTAGGAAATGCAGCGCGGAAAGCTTTCTCGCCTTCAGCATCAATCTCATCTCCGTCAGATGCAGACATGATGTCCTGCACCTCAGGCATAACGGCAAGGTCAATGAATTGCGGCCGAAACTCGGCCTCGCGCGTCCTGCGTGTCGCCTGGAGTCCAGACGTGATGGAAGCTAAAATGGTGAAGCGTGCCTTGAATGCCGCCGCCCGCTCTCTCGCAAGACGCTTATCCCTGATGAGCATCAACTCACCGACCAGGCCCCACTTGATTCTGCCCCACTCTGATTTAAGGGATTTAGTATCGCGCGTACATAGCACAACGTTTTTGGAAACGAACCGCGGTCAGTGAGTTCGTGAGTCTTTTTAAAATGTCGGTGGTTAGCTAGGGGTTGGAACCTCATCTCCGAGATCTTGTCGAGTTCATCACCCCATCCGTCCTGACGAAGTCTGCTAATTATACTGGTGGAGGATTAGATGTGTCAATGTCAAGAATTTTCGAGGACACACTCGTATAGTCGTTGATCCAGGATTCTTCTCTCCTCGTCTAATCTGGCCTGAAGTATTCTCGCCTCCCAGTTACGAAACCCGTTGGCGTGCTGGTCACAACGGGTCAACGTCTGTAGTCACTTGCATGGCACACATTCACCTTCTTGATGTCTTGTATCTTTTGTCTCTGCGCTTTGAGAAATTGCTCTTGTGCATCAGAATCACGAGAAAGCTGTGCCCAGGTTTCCATGACTTCGGACAGCTGAGGTTTATAAAAATGCCATTCCTTGACCTGGCACCGAGGTTCAATATGTGACTGATTACACAAGCTGGCAAAATGGAATACCGAGATTAGAACAGATCTCCATTCACGGATACCGGAAGGCGGTCTTCGAACACTCCCTTGGGATATAAACCTGCAGGTTCACCAGCATCAGTGGCTAGACAGCCCCGACGTATGACATGCGCACTCTGACGCTGCACATTTTTTGCAGAATCGTGCAGACAATTCCCAGACTATGCTTTCAGTGCAAACTTTCAAGCAGTTCTAAGAAAGTGTTATCCCAAGTGTCCAATCAGTGCTGTGGCGCGAAACATACGTGACAGTGCTTGGAGTATAAGACGTTAGCATATGCTGGCTCGTTGAGGAATTCAGGACGTTCTGGTAGCCCGTCAACATTTTTGAAGGCCATTCGCCACAGGAACGCAGAAGCGCGATTCATAAGAAATGTCCTTAACGCCTTGCTCGTTCGTGACAAATAAAGCAAATCATCCGGGCCAAGATATGCAAAAATCTTCGGAAATGCGTGGGTCAGAATGAATATGTATTGAATTTATCAAGAGCTGACCTCCTGTAATATGTCCAGTGGCATGTCAACGATGCCTTCCAAAGTGGTACCGCGCGCCTTGCTACGCCGTGGTTGTTTAGTCGCTGGCTTGTTGGCCTTAGTCTTGCGTCGCTTAGAGGGTGCCATAGTAGCTCAATATGGTGCCGACACGGTGGAACGCAATAGTCCTGGCGTTGTGGTTGTAAGGGTAAGGGTAATAAGACAATGCCGCCACACTCGTTGAACTGGTTATGATCACTGTACACGTGCCCATGGCGCAGTGACTCGTGACCAGCCAATCGCTGCCACTCGCGGCCTTAAATACAAGTTTGGTGTGCTCTCGCTGTTAACCAAATATTGCCTATTTGGAACTTATTCGAGGTATGAAACGTAGGAAATATAATCATTTCGCTCAGAAGAGCCTTGAGGTGCCATTTATTTGCTCTATATAATAGAATGAGCTAACCATTGAGGATGGGCATCTGTCCCACCACTCAGCCAATGAGACGCCGTTGATCACATGGGGAGCGGCGCGTCGCGACGCGCTCGCTGTGCACTGTAACTGTACAAGAGGCGCCCGCCACGTTCCTAGCGGCTTGTTCAGGAAGCACATCGACCTGCGAAAATGTGGGCGCCATGGGCCATCTTGGCTCTTGCTCCTGTCGCTCTCTGTCAGCCTACCAACGACTCGGGGTCTCTAAAATGGGGAGCCTACCGACCAGGCCTGTACTTTGGCTTGAAGCCAAGAGTGCCTCAGTCGCTCACGACAGGCCTCATGTGGTTTGGCACGCAGGATTATCAGTCTCTTACACGTCAGTAACAGACGATACCTCTGGAACCGTTTCTCTTATCTTACTCCGCTAGGCACACGTCATGCCTGTGACCAAGGCGATGGCCTGAGCGGTTACACTTGGACGGAGTACGATGCACGCGATGGCGGCGTGCAAGTAATCAAGGATGGCCCAAACAATGTTGAGATTACGACCGAGTTTCTCAAAGTACCCGGCGGAGAACACGGCGGGAGTTGGGCAGTGCGAGTCAAGGGGAAGCCCATGAATGCAGGTATGTCTCTGGCATCCGTCTTCAATATGAAATTCAAACGAGGACGCGAAGCTTTGCCAAGTCGTGTGTCGACAATATTCTATGCCGGTTTAGAAGGACTTGGCGGGCTAGATATGGAGAACGAGGAGCAAGAGAACGTCAGTGGCGTCTTCCCTACTTTGTACGTTGCTGACAGTCCATGAAGGGGTTCGAGGAACCTATCAGATTCGTGGGGTCATCTCCTGATCTTGAAGACTTCACAATCAAGGTAGTCGACGGTATGCCAGACTTGCCTCTTGCCTCTAGCATCCTCCTGAAGCGTTCTCCTAGGCCAGAACAATGAAGCAGTCACGACTGGCCCCTACGCTAGCGAATTTACACACCGGATCGGCAAGACACATTTTGTTGGCCTTCGCATGCAACCTGGAACAACTTGGCAAGCCAGAGGTAACGCAGCACCCCTCGCAGCAACAACTTCATAGCTTTGAGCTCATAGCTGTATTCAGAGTTCCTACTGAAGAACATACTGGATCATGCCAAAGACGCTATCGAGCCGTACACGGACTCTCCCATTGGTATGCCCGATCCGTCGTTCACGCTCCAATTTTCAGATGAGGTCTACTCGGCAAGCAATATGTACGCCGTGCAGAAGCTCTTTGACGGGCCATTCCAGTTCGATGTCTTCTTCGAGAGCGCCAGCGCCAAACACCAGCTAAGCTGTAAGGCAGTTTACCATCCTGTCACATCACAATTGACCTTGGGTGCTGCATAGCGTCTACTCTTGACGAGGGAGTCCCGGCCCTGATAGCAAGGTATGATCAGCGCTTCGATACCGTCTTCCCGGTTCCTGCATCATACCCCACCTCCGACATCGAGTCTCTCAAGGCATTCTCAAAAGCAATCACCTCCAATCTCATTGGTGGTATTGGCTACTTCTATGGCACGTCCATTGTTAATAAGGGTTTCGCGTATGAGTGGGACAAGGAGGACGACGATGAACGGACCTCAGACATCGACGAAGGTGCAAAGTTGACCGAGCCCAATGCACTCCTAACAGCAACGCCTAGTAGGAGTTTCTTCCCGAGAGGATTCTACTGGTATGTCGTGTACAGATGCCTGCTTGACCGAAATCCAATATTGCACTCCAGGGACGAAGGTTTCCACTTACTGCATATCGGTGAATGGGATAATGATCTCAGGTGTGATCCCATTGCAATCTTCAAAGATTTCCAGCTGATTGCGCTGCAGTTTGGAGATCCTCAAGGACTGGATTAACTTGATCGACGAAGACGGATGGGTCGCTAGAGAGCAGATCCTAGGAGAGGAGGCTCGCAGCAGGGTCGGTGTACATGGCATTAAGTGTGCCGTATAAATCTGAGTCATTCGTTCAGGTCCCTGTGGAATTCCAGACGCAAGTGCCCACGAATGCCAACCCTCCGACTCTAGCCATGGCAATTACCGCTTTCATACACCGTCTGAAGGCCTCGAACGTCGAACTCTCTGCTCAAGAGCTGGGTATGGACTATGGAATAGGCGAGCAGGTGCCTTTAGCTGCACCCGGCACATCCTTCCCTGGAAGCCGTCTGCTCGAGTCGCACGAGCTCGCGCTCGACTACCTCAAGTCAATCTACCAGCCCCTAAAGCGCCATTACGACTGGTTTCGCCGTACGCAACGCGGGCAGATCAAGCAGTACGGCCGAAAGGCGCGCTCACGCACTGAAGCGTACCGCTGGCGTGGGCGCAGCCAGCAGCACGTATTGACGAGCGGGATGGACGACTACCCGCGCGGACCGCCACACGTGGGCGAGCTCCATCTCGACCTGATCTCGTGGATGGCGTTCTTCTCGCGCACCATGAAGGAGATCGCGGAGTTCGTGGGCGAGCCGGATGATGCCGCCGCATTCGAGGAAATCGAGAAAGCGACAATCGACAACATTGATGGTGAATCCTATTCATCGTATCTCCGAACAATCAGCTGAGCAATAACCCCAGATCTACATTGGAGCGAGGAACACCAAATGTACTGTGATGTCGGCGTGAACGACGAAGGTATGCTCGATTGACGAGGCGCAAAGCACGCTCTGATTTACCACCTCATAGACGAGTCGTATCATGTCTGCCATAAGGGCTACCTGTCTCTATTCCCCCTCATTCTAGGGCTTCTTCCTCCGGACTCGCCGCACCTTGGCCCCGTACTCGATTTGATGCATGACCCTGAACACCTCTGGTCCCCATATGGACTGCGCAGCCTTTCGCTCTCGCATCCCGAATTTGGCCAAGGCGAGAACTACTGGAAGGGTCCTATTTGGATCCAGATGAACTTCCTCGCTCTTAAGTCACTTTACAAGGTACGTCTGACCGTAGGTGATCATTATATTTTGATCTCATCGCGGCCCTTTTGTTTAGACCTACGGTGCCCAAGAGGGGCCCCACCAGGCACGCTCCCAAGACATCTACGCCGATCTGAGGCGTAACATCGTTGACAACGTATACAAGGCACGTTTCCAGACATCCAAGCCATCTGTCATACTGAGTGCCTTGCAGGAATATCAGCGCACAGGATATGTGTGGGAACAATACGATGCAGTCTCCGGCGAAGGCAGAAGGAGGTTAGAAACTTCAACGTTGCCCTCTGTTTAGTGATCTAACGTTTTGTTCAAAACAGCCACCCCTTCACCGGCTGGACCTCGCTTGTGACATTGAGTGAGCATGGTCTGATACCGGTCTATGCGTTAGCTAACATTCTCCTACAGTTCTGTCAGAAAAATATTGAGTAGTGTTTAGTGGCCCTCCCGTGTTGAAGACTTGATCGGCCGCATAACGAGTCACCATCTGCTTACGGTAAAATTCACATCCTAATTTATTTTGATATCTGCAATCTCGTTGCGAGTGCCCATGATGAGATGGAGATGTCATCTCGACATCGCTACTGCCAACACTATCATTTTCTGGCATTCCCAGACGAAACGAGCTGACAAATGGCGGCGGCCTTAGGCGTGACTAACGCGAGCATATAGTTTGGAATGCAACATGAGAAGTTGTAGACATTTGTACCATGAGGTGAGTACTATGGCTTGCAATCAATATGCTCATGTCACGCTATCCGGGAATTACCGTCATCACATATGGGTTTCAAGAATACCTATGCTGTCCCATCCGAGCCACCGAGGATGACAATACCTGCTTCCACCGCTAGTTCTGCCTAATATTTCTAGCGCTGCACCCCTACCATGGGGTAAGCATTGCTGTCTTGTTGCACGAGTGTGACGGCTACAAACGGCGCGACGGTCGCAAGGCGCCGGATGTTCGACATTCTTTGACGAAGGTTCTGTACCCGGGAGGGACAACGCTGAGCCTAGCTGTCTTCATCAAAGGTGTCGAGGGCGGTGCAGCAGGCAGCGCTGAGGGGCGGGGGGCGGGGTTAGGTCTTACCTCCACGAGTTGTCCGCACACCTTCTGCGAGACGCTGTGCTTCTCAATTTGGCAGGAGTTTAAGTTAGCGCGCGGTGGCCCTGAGTTACTAGGATGCGACTTCCCTCGTCGCTACCGCCATATCCGCCCCTACGTTCTCTGCCTATTTTTATCTAGTATAGCGGAGGCGGAGACTCACTCCTTCATTCGTTCCCGGATTTATGACTGATCACGACTCGAATGTCGCTATCTTTTGGGATTACGGTGAGCGTCTTTCCGGGCAGTACGTACATGGAAGCTAAGCGTCGCTCCCACCTTCGTCTATCCAGAGAACTGCACGCCTTCATGTACCGCTCCCGGATACGATATCGTCGAGAATATCCGCCAAATCGCGCACAAATACGGGAGTGTCAAGCTATTCAAAGCGTATCTCGAGATATCTGAACAGCCATCGGCCAACTCAAATCGCCTGCGTTCCGAGCTTCAGTCATGCGGTGTCTCGTTGACGGACTGTCCTCACAACGGAAGAAAGGATGTCGCTGATAAGATGATGATAGGTAGGCTTGCTGCTTTTCACACATATGCTTGGGCGTTGCCAGACTGAGCCTTATATCATTCTAGTTGATATGCTGACGTATGCAATCGACACGTCCGCACCAGCAACTTTGGTTGTCATCTCTGGTGATCGTGATTTTGTATATGCTATCTCCGTATTACGATGGCGCAAGTATCACGTCGTCTTAGTTGCACCTAACAATACCCACGGTAGTCTCAAATCTCAAGCGTCTACGATCCTTGATTGGGAAGTGGATGTTCTTGGGAAGACGGCTCGAGACAGTACGCAGAAACCTAATGGTGACGGTATTGCTAGGACGCCCAACACGATAGGTGACATGCATCGCCGCGCGCAATTCTCTGCTACCTCTACCCTCTTTACAACCCCGGACGTCCCACAGGTTTCCCGGCGGCTATCGTTCCGTGGATCTATCCCGCCGACACAGGGCGTAGAATCTTTGCAGTCACCGGCTTCAATCTCCATCCCACAAACACGAGTCATACATGCCCATTCGAGCTTGCCGGCGGACCATCCGCTTGTCACAGAAAATCCATCCTTGATCGGCAGTACACAAGCGGACCTCACAGCGTCTGACTCACCCAGTATGAACCACACACATGAGGCAGACCCTTCGGCTCGTAGACTAGAGGATGCTTCAATACAAACTGAACCTATCATGGAATGCAACTCTAAAGACCATGCCAACGAACGTTCTTTTTCTGACAGGGTTTCTTCAGACGTGCGCATCCTGGCCTAGCATTCATGACATTAGTGCTGAAGCGTTTCAATCATTCAGCGCATCACTCCATCAGCTACTTCCAACAACGTGCAGAGCGAGAGCCTCACGACACGTCCAACTTACGCTACATCATGCGCATCTGAAACGGTGCGACATTCTGTGTGTTCAATGGGTAGCGTCCGGAGAACTGATGGAACACAGGTACTCTCTGCTGATGGCTCACCGGACACTAAGCATGGTCCTTGTGTCGATCTGGAGGCGCCTCGGCCATGCTCAGCACCGCCTGTGTTCGGCTGCAACGGGCACGGAGTCACACCAGGGTCACCAATACACGACATCAACTCCGCAGAAAACATCGAAGATAGGAGCCTTTCGAGTACTATCGCTCAACCAGGGCTTCCTGCGGGTGACCGAGATACTATTGACGCGGACGACCCACTTGGTTTACGGTCGCAGTCTACACATCGATCTAATAATCATGCAACTACGGTAAAGGTGCCGCCTTGTCCTGTTCAAGGATCAAGGGTACCAAATCGCATCCCCACCACTCTGTCACCGTCGGTACCATCTACGACACAATTGAGCCCCGTTGCGCCAAGTCAACAGGATGTCCCAAATCGATTTGTGCCTCTGGTTTGGTCGCTCCAGCGAGCCTGCGCCATGGGCGTCGAGGCTCCGGTATACCACCTCTTCGGCGATGTCGTGCTGAGGCAGTTCCCGAACGCATACGAGGTTGCCGGCGTCAGGTGCTGGGAGGCATACATTGCACTGGCGCAGATAGAGGGCATTGTCAACGTCTGGGGCCCCAAAGCGAATCCATGGATATCGCTCACCCTGGTGTGGAGAGGGAGGATGTCTTCTGCGTGCTCGCTAATGTCTAGTCCCCCTGTTTGTGCCGCACAACCACAGCCTGTGGGGCGTTCTGGACGGATGGAAATATTAAAGCCTCTATGACGCACCAAAGGATCCGATGCAGGATGCGTGGATCAAGCAGCGGAACCTGCGTATATCTTGGATGAAGTCACCACCCTCGGTATCACTCCATCGACGCCCCAGAACGACCAGGCACCGGTCCCGAATAAATATGTGACCCTCGTACAGATACTCGAGAAGCATCGCGCGGCTGGTGTGTTGCAACCTCTGCGGACTGTGGTAGCAGTCGCACTGACGCAGCGAGACCGCAATGCGTATAAGCTTGCAGGAGCAACGCGTTGGCGTGAATACGCTGACATGGCCGTCGAGGACGGCATTATCAACCTTGGCGGGTCGGCGACAGGGACTTGGGTGTCGCTCGCACCCGCTTGGTATGACCGGGCCCCTCAGCCTTCCTGGTAGGATGATATCTGGCTACGCACGTCCAAACTACTTACACTGAATAACTGGGTCGCGGTTCTGTGTGTGATCCGTGTTATTGTGTTCCCCTTAACGTCACATTGCTTTCCTTGTCCGTCATCCCATCGTCTAAACTGCTGCTTTAATGTTTGGTCTCGGCAATTTTAATTCCGGCTATCGCATAGGAAACAGAAACTGTTGCATTTGATGTTCCTGTATTTGTTGTATAGCTGTAGTTGTGTAATTAGCATGACGACCCAAAACTGCAAGAAAGCAACCTTAGCCATCAACACATCACATAAGTTACGAGCATCTCGTACACATTATGTCAAAGCATGGTGTCCACAAATAATCTGCCAGTGTGTTGAGATGTTAATGTTTTCTGCGCGACGGAGTTGGGACAGAAAGACAATTTCAACCCCGCGATGCTGTAGTCTGAGTTCCCAGATTCTTCGATTAAGCGCTCGCCTGTCACTGCACATCCCTGTGCGAAAGCAGAATGCCTCGCCATATTACAACGGTCCTCGTACCGAAGCATCTCTCGCTATATGTATTGAGTAACACAACGCTGACAACCCCATTCATCTTGAACTTGTTGCATGATTGGTCCCGATTCAGACGTCGCTATCTTTTGGGATTACGGTAAGTTTTCTGCCGGACCTTTTACGTAGAAGAGACTGATCGCATGGTCACCCCTTCACCGAATTGTACTTATTTAGAGAACTGTACACCTTCAAGTGCAGCCCCAGGGTACGATGTCGTTGAGAATATCCGTCAGATTGCACACAAATACGGGAGCGTGAAACTGTTCAAAGCATACCTCGAGATATCCGAGCAGCCGTCGCCAAATTCAAACCGCTTGCGTTCCGAGCTAGTGTCGTGCGGTGTATCGCTGACGGACTGCCCTCACAATGGAAGGAAGGATGTCGCCGACAAGATGATGATAGGTGGGCTTTTCCAGTTTCTCGCTTGTTGAATTCGGTCATGTCACACTGAGGCCTACATTTTAGTTGATATGCTAACGTATGCGATCGACAAGCCTGCACCAGCTACGCTGATTGTCATCTCTGGTGACCGCGATTTTGTGTATGCTGTCTCTGTCCTGCGATGGCGCAGATATCGCGTAGTCCTTGTCGCCCCGAACTCCGCGCATGCCAGTCTTCGGTCCCAAGCTTCCGCCATCCTAGATTGGGAAGCTGACGTCCTGGGGAAGAGGACTGTAAATGCGAGTGCTAACATGCATCGGCGCAGACAGTCATCCATTTCCACGCTCGTACCCACACCGACTGCACCGCCAACTACTCGAAGACTGTCCTTCCGTGGTACCCCATCAACGCCGAGCGTAGAGTTCTTCCGACCTTCGCCAGATGTCATTGATCCTCATCGCCTGCGCTCGCAATCAAATCCTTCCACAAATACGTCAGTCACTCTAGAGTACCTGGCTTCCAGTGGTAGTGACCCTCAATCTATTCTTGTCACCCCGGTCAGCAAGGATGATCCACTTCCTGCTGTGGACAATGCATGTCCATCGACCCTAACTCAGCGGACAGAAGTGGAGGCCATTGTGGATCTCAATGATACTTCGAAGAGTGCTGACGAGGAGCGTTCTCGCCCGAACAGCAGCTCCTCTTATGTGAGTCCCTCACCTTCCCGTATGACATGTCGAATTTGATATATCTCCGCAATCAGCACACTGCCGCATCTATTCCTTGTGATGATATCAAAGACGATGGGTCTTCAACCGTGCCTGCGCATGTGGTGTCCGGTGCCGCGACGGTGGGGACGTCATGTTTATACTCCTGCCCATTGTTTTGTTGATTAACATACTTAGATGCTCACCCCAGGTGATACGTCAGGGATCGAGACCAGCATTGATGCACATATCCCCATTCCGATACCATGCTCGGCGCCGCCTGCCCCTGTGCCACGTCCAATTCCACAGTCAACGATTCTGCTCGAAGCTGAGGATAGTCTTCCCGTAGCAACACCGCTTCATGGAGATCTCTTGGATACTACAATCCCGTCGGACGTTGCTCAACAGCCATTTGCTGAAGTCCGTCAAAGCACCACTTCCCAACCGGCGCAACTTTCCATCAATGACAGAGTGACAGTCGCTCGGAGTATACCTGAGCCATTGTTATTCCTACAGCCATCAACAATGGATGCAAATACGGCGACGCTAGCCTCGTCCTCATTGAAGGAGAGTCCGGCAACGCAAGACAGTGTATGCGACCATACTCAGACGGCACTGACATCCGTACCTGCTAAGCTATTGAGCTCTCCCATCTCTGTACCTACACCGGTTCAGCGGCAGGTCCCTGCTCGATTCATTCCTCTCCTTCGAGCCCTCGATAAATCTCGACTGCAGGGCTTTGATGCTCCATTGTACAACAGCATTGCCAATATCATGCTCAAGTCCTCCCCAGATGCTTACGAGACTGCTGGAGTCAACAGTTGGAAGGAATACGCGACCCTTGCGGAGAAGGAGGGCATCATCATTGTCGGAGGTCCGAAGTCGAGACCGACTATCTCTCTCGCTCCGGAGTGGCAAGACAACGTCACTGTTTCGTCTTCCTCGACGGTAGGAACATTGAGCTCGGCTGGACAGAGCACACTAAGTCCGCTAGTGACACAACTACCGCCCTCTGGGCCTTGCGGCAATGCCGGCTCTCCGTCCTCAATCACGGAACGGATCACAGCACCCAATATTACTCCAAGCCCCCCCACTTCTGTCCCCGTTTCGCCATCTCAGTCTTCCAGTCCACTGAAACTCGTGGCATCCACTTTCGATATCCCTCGTCGAGACACTCCAGCGCAGTTTGTTCCTCTAGTCCGGTCTCTTGAGCGAGCACTATCATGGGGCTATGATGCTCCAATGTACGACAGTGTTGCCTATCAGGTCGGGCATGATTACCCCGACGCATATGAGCTCGCAGGTGTCAAGCGCTGGACTGACTACGCTGCTCTGGCGGAGAAAGCAGGAATTGTGGTCTCTGAGGGGCCAGAAACGAAACGACGGATGTCCTTGGCTCCAGCATGGAGACCTCCTGTTGTAGCTGCTTCGGTGTCAACGTTGAAATCATCGAGCACCGGATGCAATTCCGGCTCCTCCACAACAAGCCACATATCTGTACTATCATCTACCGCGTCAGCCTTTGATGTGAATCCGTCTTGCTTGCTCTCTGACACCCAGTTGGCGGACCCCGTGGCTACATCCTCACCATCTAGCCAGTTTCTAATCAACGTACCGTTCTCGGCAGCAGCGAAAGGAATGTTATGTGTACACGCCGATAGCTCACTTGAAGTGACCACCACGGGCCATACACCCTCGCAGCGAGAGGCGCCGCCCAAACCGGACTACGCTGCTGCATTACGGTCCACACCACAATCTCAGCCGTTTGTATCGCCGAATTCGCAGCCGTCGTCAGGAAACCTCAAGAACCAAGTCGTGTCAAAGCGACCAAAGTCCCCTACTTCCAATACCTCACTGCCTCTCGTTCCCGCAAAGTACAAGGCCCTTGTCCAAATACTGGAAAAACACCGGTCGGCCGGAGAACACCAGCCGATGCGGTGTAGCATCGCTGATGCGCTGGTTGAACGAGATCGCAATGTGTATAAGCACGCAGGAGTGCAGCGTTGGCACGAGTATGCTGCTGCGGCCGTCAGGGACGGCATCATCAAGCTTGGTGGGCCAAGATCAGGGCCCTGGGTATCGCTTGAACCAGCTTGGTATGACCGTGCGCCTCAGTCTTCTTAGTACTCGGTTTCTCGCTGTACTACATTATCTTCAGTTGCTACAATTCCTCTCTTCGCCTTAGAAAATAGCGTCTGTTTGCATGCACCGTGACTAATGTTGTATCGCCGTAATAATCGCCATTGCTGCATTGTTCTCACTCACGGACCACTTGCTGCCCGGCGCTATCATGAAGTTATCTTCATTTGCAGGCACAAAATCCAGTTCATAGCTCAATGCCTGCCATTCGCAACATAGCTTAAGACCCTAGCAGCCATGACAAGACTTTGTAGTCAAGATATCTTGTGCTGGTCCCTCGTAGTATATCAATCCTTCTTTCAAATCGTTAGCGAACTGGTACCAGCATCTTAGTCTCGGTTGCGTTTGGGACGGTTCCTCCGGCTTCGTCAATTACTATGACCGTGCTCCCCCATGTAATTCTGACTGACAAATGTGACAGAGTTCATGAACGCGGCTGGGATGGTGCCGACCCCGCGGCGTTGTTGTTAACATTGCACAAGCGACCACACGTTGAATTGCGGTCGTCATGTACCCTAGGGACGTCAATGCGGGTTCCTCGCCTGTTCTTATATTATTTTTGAAGGTGTCTTAGCATTACATGTGCAGGCCAAACGTAGAATACTTCGCTCCCTCCTCTTGAATTTATAATTATGACCCACTAGAGTCGAACACTGCCATTTTCAAGGATAAAGGTGTGCCTTCTGCTCGGACTTTGAACACGTACTCTGACAGCTTGTTCTCTGTGACGGAGTTGGGACAAAGAAACAGTTTCAACCCCGCGATGCTGTAGTTCCCAGAATGGCAGGTCTATTGAGTTAGCGCGCGCCTGTCACTTCACGACTCCTGTGCGCAGCGAAAACGAGGATGCCTCACCATATTCCAGCGGTCCTTGTGCCGGAGCATCTCCCTCTATATGTATTAAGTAACGCAACACTGACAACCCCACTCGTTTTCCACTTTACTTCATGACAGATCACGATTCAGATGTCGCCATATTTTGGGATTACGGTGAGCCTTCTGCTGAGTTCAATTACGTAGTAGAAGAGGCTGATCGCATGGTTTACCCTTTTATTGGACCACGCCTATCTAGAGAACTGTACGCCTTCAAGTGCAGCTCCCGGCTACGATATCATCGAGAATATCCGTCAGATCGCGCACAAATACGGGAGCGTGAAACTGTTCAAAGCATACCTCGAGATATCCGAGCAGCCGTCGCCAAATTCAACTCGTCTACGCTCTGAGCTTCAATCATGCGGTGTATCACTGATAGACTGTCCTCACAATGGAAGGAAGGATGTCGCCGACAAGATGATGATAGGTGGGCTTTATCCAACTTCCTCATCGACTTAGCCCTCGTCAGACTGAAGCCTGAATTTCAGTTGATATGCTGACATATGCGATCGACACACCTGCCCCATCTACGCTGGTTGTCATTTCTGGCGACCGCGACTTTGTATATGCTATATCTGTCTTGCGATGGCGCAGGTATAGCGTAGTCCTTGTCGCCCCGAACTCCGCGCATGCCAGTCTTCGGTCCCAAGCTTCCGTGATCCTGGATTGGGAAGCGGATGTCCTGGGGAAGAGGGCTGGAAATGCGAACACCAACATGCATCGGCGCACGCAGTCATCCGGCTCCATGCTCGTGCCCTCACCGATTGCCCAACGAGGTGCTCGGAGATTGTCTTCCCGTGAAACTTCATCGACGCCGAACGTAGAGTTCTTGCAACCTTCACCCGATATCATTGATCCTCGGCACCGAGCCACGCGTTCCCAGTCAAATTCCTCTGCAAAGAAGCCGGTCATCCCCAGTCTCTCGTCTTCCAGCAGTAGTGTCCCTCAGTCCGCCTTCGTCACCCCAATCAGGCAGAATGATGCACTTCCCGTCGCCGACGACGCATGTTCGTCTACCCAGGGTCAGATATCAGAAACGGAGACCATTGTGGATCTCAATGATCATTTGCGAAGCCTTGATGAGGAGCGTTCCCGCACTGTTAGCACCTTTTCCTATGTAGGTCCCTCGTCTGCCTATGCGGCACGTCGAGTCTTATAGCTTCCTGGGCCCAGCACACTGCCGCCTCCACACCTTTTGATGATGTAGAAGACGAGGCAGCTTCGACAACCTATCCGCATACGGCGTTTGAGCCCGAGACTGTAGGAGTTCACGCGTTTCGCTTCTAATTCTTGTTTCATTGACGCCCCGATGTAGATTATTGAACCATCTATCAATTCGGGTTCAGAGACAAGGCTTGATATCCCCAGACCATGTTCGGCGCCTGCGTCCATGCCGCAGTCAGAGCCAACGATTCTGCTCGAAGCAGCGGATTATGAGGATAGACCTTCAGTTGCATTACCTCCCGTCAGCGACTGTCCGGATATTCCCATCCTATCAGATGTTGCTGAGCAGCTAGTCACAGAAATCCATCGAACTCCCACTCCCCAGATCGCGCACAACGACAGAGTAACAGTTGGTTCAATCGAGCTACCGGAGCCAGAGCCAGCATGCATACAATCATCAACCGCAGGTGTCAAAACGGCAACCCCAGCGTTATCGTCACCAGTGGAACAATCCAGGACGCGGGACAACACACTCAGCTATCCTCAAACATCATTCTCGAACGTACCTACTATCCCATTGAATCCCACTGTATCTGCATATATACCCGCTCAATGGCCGGTCCCCACACGATTCATTCCTCTCGTCCGAGCTCTCGAGCTCTCTCGGTCGCAGGGCCTTGAAGCTCCGCTGTACAACAGTTTTGCCTTTACCATGCTACAACACTACCCAGATGCCTACGAAGCCGCCGGTGTCAGTCGGTGGAAGGAATACGTGAGTCTTGCAGAGAAAGAAGGCATTATCACTGTTGGCGGTCCAGAGTCGAGGCCGACAATCTCCCTTGTTCTCGCGTGGCAAGGCAGTGCTACCACTGTGTCTCTCTCAACGGCAAAAGCTCCTACCTCGGCCGGATCGAATGCCCCAGGTGTTCCGGACACGCCAATCACATGCTCCAATAGTGCTGACCTTTCACCTTCGGTTGTATTACAACCCACATCTTCCGATAGTACCCAGATGCCCCTGATTCTTGCCAAGATTCCTCCTCCGCAGTCTGTCGGTTCACCCAAAACCTTGACATCCACTATCGAGGTACCTCGTCAGGATGTCCCAGCGCGGTTTGTCCCTCTAGTCCGGTATCTTGAGCGGGCGCTGTCTCTAGGGTATGATGCTCCAATGCATAGCAGTGTCGCACGTCAGGTTGTGCGTGACTACCCCGATGCGTATGAGCTCGCAGGTGTCAAGCGCTGGACCGACTATGCTGCTCTGGCAGAGAAAGCGGGTATCGTGGTCTCTGGGGGTCCAGAAACGAAACGATGGATGACCTTGTCCCCGGAATGGTGGCCCACCGTTGTGCTTGCTCCAGCATCATCGGCAGGATCACCAAGCACCGGAAACAACACTAATACCTCCACGACGGGCCAGATGTTTTCCCCTTCATCTACGACCTCGGTCCCTGGTGCGAGTGCTTCTGGATCTCTGTCTGCTGTCGAAGTGCCAGATACCGTGGCTGCTTCCGAACCACCTAGCCGGTCTTTGAACAATGTGCCATCCTCAGCAACAGCGAAAGAATCGTCATGTGTGCACGCCAGCACCTCACAAGAGGTGACCACCATGGGCCAAACTCCCTCTACCCCGCAGCAGGACGTGCCACTCGATTTCAATCACACAGCCGCCTTCTCTAATAAACCACAACCTCGACCGCCGGCATCCTCGACCTCGAGTTCGCAACCATCGCCAGGGGACCTCAAGAGTCAAGCAGCATCGACACAGCCGTCACCTGTGTCCGGTACTCCGCTACCTACAGTTCCTGCGAAGTACAAGACACTTATTCAATTGCTGGAGAAGCACCGCTCGGCCGGTGTTCTCCAACCAAGGCGCTCTATCATTGCAGTTGCGTTGGTCGAACGAGAACGCAGTGTGTACAAGCTAGCGGGTGCACAGCGGTGGCGTGACTACTCCGACATGGCTGTGGAGGACGGTATAATCAAACTGGGCGGTCTGCAGGCGGAAGCGTGGGTATCACTGGAGCCAGCGTGGTATGGCAGGGCGCCTACGCCTTCTTGGTAGTCAGTTTCCTCGCCGTGCTGAATTTCTTGCATTTTCATTGAATAATAGTCACTGTTTGCCTGTATCATTAGTGTTGTATCGTCATAGTAGTCACTAATACCACATATCTACATCCGTGAACTCATGATCAACTCGTACCAGCTTCCTAATCTATTTGTATTGCGCGTAGTACAGTTCTTTGATTTCCGCCAGTTGAATGACAAGCAGAGAAATTTTCATCACCGCGATTCGGATGGCAACCCCGCGGCGATGTTATGCAACTCAGGAGTTGAGGCCACACAAGCGCCCACATGTCAAATTACAGTCGCCGCGCCGATGCGGTTCCTACTAGCCTATGCTGTTCCCCCTACTATATAATCGCTGAAGAGGTCTCAGCATTCTATGTAGCACGAGCATACGTGCGCAGAATATTTCCCTGCCCCGCGATTGACTTTCATTATGACCGACCATGAACCGAACGTTGCCATTTTTTGGGATTACGGTGAGCCTCCTAGAGAAAGCTTCATAGTCCAGAGAAGCTTACACCTCGTGGTTCACTCTTTGCTTCACGCTTATACAGAGAACTGTACGCCTCCAAGCGCGTCTCCAGGCTATGACATCATCGATAATATCCGGCAGATCGCACATGAGTACGGCAGCGTAAAGCTCTTCAAGGCTTACCTCCAGATATCGGAGCAGTTGTCATCGAATTCCAATCGTCTGCGCTCCGAGCTTCAGTCCTGTGGCGTGTCACTGACAGACTGTCCGCATAATGGAAGGAAGGATGTTGCTGACAAGATGATGACTGGTGAGTAAATATGACTTTCGACTGACTCAGATAATAGGGATATCGCCAGTCTAACTCGCGAGCCAGTTGATATGCTGATGTATGCGATTGACACTCCCGCCCCAGCCACACTAATCGTGATCTCTGGAGATCGTGATTTTGTATATGCCGTCTCTATGTTGCGATGGCGCAAATATCGTGTCGTGGTCGTCGCGCCTAGCAATTCACACCTCAGTATGCGATCTCAAGCATCCACAGTCCTAGATTGGGAAGTGGATGTTTTGAAGAAGGCTCCAAAGAGTGCTCCTGGGAGATCCACTAATGTCAAAATACCTGACCCTGCAAGCGCCATCGCCAGCACGCACAAACGGGCACAGTCTGCAGCCCCGCTGATGACTGAGGTTGCTTTCCAGAAAGCATTAACGCGTGATGTTGTGTGGAACCCGAGCGGGGATTCTCAACAACCATCCTCAAACTTCAACGGTCAGCTCCATTATCCCGTTCCGAGTGTTTCTTCGACCTACACAGTGGATGTACCACACTCTTGGCCGCCGATAAGCAGTAACTTGCGGCTCGCAGAGCCCACGATAATTAGTAACAATGGCATGGGGCCGACCGTAGATCTCAACGTTTACTTACAGAAACTGGGAGGACGGCATCCTGATGTAAGTGACTCAAACCTCTGCGCGAATTTCTCAACACATACGCTGAGCTTCCTGGAATATCTCAGGATATTGTCTTGCCCTACCCTTCTAAAGAACAATGTTACAGTAGCTTGACATCGCCGCCGCGTCAGATAGCAGTTGCAGGTGAAATGGTGCGATATGCTTATTCTGCTGTTGAACTACATGTTGATATCATAGGATAGGTCGCTACAGTTGCCGTCGAATCACTCCAAACACAGACCAAACACAACCTCGAACACAATGCACCTGCTATATCGCTGTGTTCCAACGCCCTGGTTCGCCCAGATCCATGCGTACCAATGATACCGAGTCAAATGCTGGAACAAGAAGTGTTCGTGGTCAACCAAGCACAATCCTCGTTAACGCCTTACTGGAATGGGGAGCATTCCACAGACAGTGCGCAGGGTGATGGAATTCTGGACGGCGAAGAGATCGGCAAAGCCCACGAAAGCTTTTGTACAAGTGCTGACGATCAAGGTCCAATTAGCACCATTGTCCATTCTGTCGTCCAGGGGTCTCCGGCAGCTAGCATGGATGTGCCGACGCGAGACCCGAGTGTTCGACTTACCAATCGACCTAACTCGGTACCTGATACACCGTTCCAGCAGCCGTCAAATCTAGGCCCGTACGATGTGAAAAGATTGTTTCAGCAGCCCATGAAGTTCGGATCAATTGATGTGGAACATCTAGCTCATCAACCGGTCGTTCCTCAAGGAGGGTCATCCGAGCGCCCACGATTGATAGGAGTTGAAGCTTCAGGAGTGTTACCGTCATCCGCAGGGACGCAAAAATGCGAGGTACCTGCGACGGTGCACCCTTCTCATACCCCGAAGGCTGCGTATTCGCCTACCGATACCGAGGCGTCCGACGCAATGCTCGCGGAGACGTCACTCACATCTAGCGATGATTCAACTGGTTCGGATAGCGATGATTCTTTCCGGGGCGCATCACCATACCTTCCCCAAGCTCTGGGCAGCGAGAGTCCCGGTCGTGTTACCACTCCCTCATTGTCCCCTCCACATGACTTACCATCAGATGCGCGCACAGATGCCGCTGGTTCGACGCCCTCTGCTCGCAATGTGCCCCCAACCCACCCTCCGTCTCCATACACGTCATCCATGGCTTTACTGCCGTCTCGACCCACGTCATCCATGGCTTTTCTGCCGCCGGTGCCCGCAAAATACAAGTCGCTCATCCAGATCCTGCAAAAGCACCTTAGGGCTAATGTAAGCCTGCCAAAGCGCTCCCTCGTCTCCCTCGAGTTGGGACAGGTGGATCGCGATGCGTATGAGCTAGCGGGAGTGAGTGGCTGGCGTCAGTACGCCGACGCCGCTGAGCAGGACGGGATTGTAGGACTGGGGGGATGGGGCGGGTACGCCTGGATATCGCTGATGCCCGAGTGGCATGACCGGGCGGTGTAACCCTATTGATAGCTGGCATCATCTCGCTCAATTCACCTTGCATTAAACTTGCGTTCCCATTCAAGTTGCCTATCCGTATCTTCTGTTACAGACTGTCCGACATCAATGACGTTGCTATTCTGCATGTGATTGACCATTCCGTGGCCACTCTCATGCTGATCGTTACCTTCTAGTCTCGTCGGGCACCGTGATTACTTCTTGGTGAATCTTACAACTCAAATAATCCGACTTTCTAGCAGGCGTCTACATTATCCAGGTTGAGCGAGCGCTAATGTGGCTTCCCGGGGTTGCCGCGATCCTTTCAGAGGGATTTGTCACATGTCGTGAATAGTGCTGTCGCTCTCAGCACAGGGCGATTCCATAAGTTATCAATATTCGCCTTACAATATGGGCGACCAAGAATCAAATGTTGCCATCTTTTGGGATTATGGTGAGCTTTCTGACGGCTACTCTGTTGAGAAGCACCGCAGGTGATCGCGAACCATCAACTGACGTAGAGAACTGCGCGCCAACATCATCGTCTCCGGGGTATGGCGTCGTCGACAGCATCCTCCAGATCGCGCACAAGTACGGTAGCGTGAAGCAATTCAAGGCTTATCTTGAAATATCAGAACAGTCATCGCCGAATAGTTCTGGTCGGCTACGATCCGAGCTCCAGTCGTGCGGCGTATCGCTGACGGACTGTCCACACAATGGAAGGAAGGACGTTGCCGACAAGATGATGATGGGTGAGCCGATCAGAATTGTATCAGCCTCGACGGAACAAAGTTCCACCAAAATTAACTTCAACCACAGTTGATATGTTAACCTACGCGATCGATACCACCGCTCCGGCGACCCTGATCGTCATCTCTGGAGATCGGGATTTTGCATATGCCATCTCCGTCTTACGGTGCCGCAGATATCGCATCGTCCTCGTCACACCCAAGAGCGCGCATGTCAGCCTCAGATCTCGGGCCTCTATGGTCGTGGACTGGGACGCGGTGAAACGATCACGCAAAGAGAGCCCCACTCCTCCGATATCCCTCAGTACTGATGGAACTGCCATCGTCAACCCCCTTTCAAGAATGCCTACAGAATCTGCAGTACCCCCGGCGATAGCAAAAGATACAGTTCAGCCTCGCAGATCTCAGCGTATAGCTATGCGAGATACTGCACTGATGCACTGTGTTGACGTGCCAGGCTTAGCCGTGGAGATCACAAATCAGCAAGCTCAGACAGTGCAGGACAATGGAGATCTGACGGACCCTGGCGACATGCGAGGTGACCACGGGCAAGGCGTCAAGCAGTCTGGTAAGGCATGGCGCGGATTTGCTACGTTTGCCGACTCAGTTGACCCCACAGTCCAACAACCCGCAGAATCGTCGCTCCCACAGGAGTCTCTTACATCGAATACGAGCGCGGCACCTGAGACCGCGGATCAGCACGAACCAGTGGGCACGTCCGCATCCGATGTGGGTCCGTCGTTCCAGGGTTCCACCATGTCAATCACGACACCATCAGTCCCTAACGACCCCGTCCCAGTATCTCACACTGCACCCACACCGCCGAGTTTCATCCCCCTCATACGGACCCTGGAGCGGTTTCGCAAAGATGGCGTTGACTCTCCCTTATGTTGTCTCGTACCGTCTCTTATGGTCAGGAACTATCCGGGTGCATACGCGCTTGCTGGCGTCTCGAGCTGGACGCAATACGTGGGTTCGGCGGTAGCGGCCGGAATCATTACCATTGTGGGCAAGGTCACTAAAAAGAGATCTCGGATGTCGCTCAAGCCCTCGCTGGGAAAGACACCAGCCGTGCTCCTGTCGCCCACAGGGCCGATGGAATGCGAGGCAGTAGTTGTGGATTCGAATGCTGTGAATATAGCGCATCCTTACATCCATACCGAAGGTCTCAGCGCAGCGCTCACGGATACCTCGCCTTCGACCAGTAATGGCTCGGATGGCATGCATAATGATGATTGTCGCGTTCGCAGCGCGTCGCCCTGCAACATCCGCGCTGCTAACGGTGACGATTCGGGCCAAGCTGCCGTCTCTATGATGCTGTCGGAACCTCGACATGATCCTTTACCACAGGAGGGGAGAATGACGGACATGCTCCCAGCCAGAACCCTGCCCTTCGCGCAGGCTCAAGACTCGTCGCGCGATGTGTGCACCCTGGGAGCGTCGCCGCGCAAGCTCGCCATACCCGCCTACTATTGGTCGCTTATGCAGATCCTACAGAAACAGCTCCAGGCGGGCGTGTGCTGCCCTAAACGAGATATCGTCGCCCAGGAGCTGGAGCAGCGAGACTGCAACGTCTTCGCGCTAGCAGGAGTTACATGCTGGGAGGAATACGCCGCTGCAGCTGCGCAGGACCACGTTGTCCAGCTGGGCACATGGGATGGATACGCGTGGATCACGCTGGATCCTGCGTGGTACGGCCGTGTGCCCCGAGCTGCTCGGTAGGTCGGTGTGACCGCCGGAGAGTGCGCCGCTTGCTTCACGGTTACTGAAGTATGTGCATTGCTTTTTTTCTGTCTCGCGCACTGGCTCGCGACGTTGTCAACATTGCTAATGACAATTGCTGTCTGATCGATTCGAAGAACATGACTAGTTAGTCTGAATGTAATAAACCTATGGATGTCCTGTCATAGCTTTGCTTCTGTCGTCTCGGAACACGATTTATAAATTCGCTCCAGCTGGCGCTTTCTGCTTGTTGTATGCTGTATAAAGATGCTACGAACTTGAAGACGATAGCTAACCAGGGGGACCTTTTTATTTTATGGCACGCGTGCGAGCTAGGTCGAACGTCCCACATGTCCTCGGAGCTCGCACTTCTAAAGCCTACATGTTCCTTGCCGTAAATTTGCCCCAGGCCAGGCTCATCGAACTCTCGTTAAGTATATTGATCTGTATTTCCATGGAATGGGGCTGGATGCGTCTGGACCGTGGGCTAGAGGACGCGTGCACCGCTTCGCCTTGACGTAGATTATCGGGTGCGCCCCCAATGGTAAAGCAGAGTATCCTTCCCGGATACGCTGGATAGAGCACGTTGTGAGTAGGCGGTCATGGGGCGCGGATGAGGTGGATTGGGCGAAGAGATTACGAGGTGAAATTCTACGCAGCACAGCATCGTGATCGCCGTACGGAAGAGGGGTGCCTCCCCGGGAGCGGTGCGTGTTTACAACTGCACCCTAGGGGTGGAGACAAGCCATGAAAATGATGCAAGAAAGGGACACTGATGCTGATGACGACTTTCGGACAAAGTAGATTCGACTGCGGATTGGCAATTTCAATTTGGGACGCGTCGACGCGAGGCAGGCACCAAGACGAGACGCGTACACGTGATGCGTGACTGGACGCACCGATTCGTGAATGGCGGAGCGTCGCACGGGACAGTGCTTGCTCTCAGACACACAGGACCCGGTGCCGCTGTCTGGATATGTGTCCTTTCACACCGCAGCAGGAAACCCAACTGGAGCATGGGCGAAGTACGCGTCTCTGGAGAGAGAATGTGTGACGCGGAAGAGACAGTGGATGACATCATAGGTGTCTGCGGTCTCCAGCGCACGTTTGGCCAGATCCCTTCACCAGAGTCGTCCCTCGGCAGTATATAATGACCAGTAAGATGCCCCGTCCCATACAGCGTTTACTCCCTTCGCTTTCTCCTATCCACCATGGTCCTCTCGAAAGTTCGTCCCCTCATCGCTCGTTCCCGACTGCGTTGTACTTACAGCACTATCGCACAGCACCTCAATGCAAGCAACCTCGTCAAACAGGCGCAGGTATGTTCTACACTTGCTAGCACATTAGGTGCATGCCTCAGCCATCTTCTGTAGGACCATCCCAGCCACAAAATCGTGCACAGCTCGACGGGACATGAAGCCACTTACCCATACGGCGCTCGCTATGGTGTGCAGCCCATCCCGAAGTACAAGTTACCCTCTAAGGTATGTAGTGCTTCTCCTTCGACCCGATGGATCATTAATCACACACGTGTGTAGGGCACCGACGCAGAGTCCGCGTACCAGCTCATTCACGATGAGCTCGCGCTCGACGGAAACCCCGGTCTAAATCTTGCATCTTTCGTGCACACTTGGATGCCCCCCCAGGCTGACAAGCTTATGATGGAGAATATCTCCAAGAACCTCATTGACCAAGACGAGTATCCTATGACTCGTATGTTCCCTTCCTCGTTTGTCCAGACACATGCCTTCAATGTCTTCTGCAGAGGTTTTGCACACCCGCTGCGTCTCAACTCTCGCCGATCTGTGGCACGCCCCCCACGCCCAGCAGGCCATCGGCACCGCCACTACTGGCTCCTCAGAGGCCATCCAGCTCGGTGGTCTTGCCATGAAACGCCGCTGGCAGGAGAAGCGCAAGGCCGCTGGCAAATCCATTCACGAGCCCGGCCCCAACATCGTCATGGGTGCCAATGCTCAGGTCGCCCTTGAAAAGTTCGCTCGTTACTTCGACGTCGAGACCCGTCTCGTCCCCATCTCGGAGGAGCGTAAGTACTGCCTGGACCCCAAGAAGGCCATGGAGTATGTTGATGAGAACACTATCGGCGTGTATGTGATCCTCGGCAGTGAGTGGAAAATCTTGCGTCGATATATGCGTACGTACTGAAATCTTTGGTAGGCACCTACACTGGCCATTATGAGCCTGTCAAAGAAATGGCAGCTCATCTTGACGAGTACGAGGCTCGGACGGGCCACTCGGTCCCCATCCATGTTGATGGCGCGTCCGGTGGCTTCGTTGCGCCGTTCGCGACGCCCAAGCTCGAGTGGGATTTCCGCATTCCACGTGTCGTCTCGATAAACACGTCGGGGCACAAGTTCGGTCTATCGTACGTTGGCGTCGGCTGGGTCGTCTGGCGCTCGAAGGAATTCCTGCCTAAGGGCCTGATTTTCGAGCTGCACTACCTTGGTTCTGTCGAGTATTCGTTCTCGCTCAACTTCTCGCGGCCCGCGCACCCTATCATCGCGCAATACTTCAACTTTATACACCTCGGATTTGAGGGTTACCGCCAGGTCGCCCTCGCGGACCTCAAGAATGCACGCCTACTGAGCCGCGCGCTCGAGAACAGTGGCTTGTTCACTGTACTGAGCGACATCCATCGGCCTGCCAAGGGACTGCTGAGTAGTGCAAAGCAGACCGTCGCGTTCGACGAGGAAAATGTTGAGGTGAAGCTGCCCTAATGTCTCAAAATTCTCAGAGGCTGACCGCGTGTGATTTTGTGCAGAACTATGTACCCGGCCTGCCTGTCGTCTCCTTCCGCTTCTCGGACGAGTTCCGGCAGAAGAACCCGGACGTTGAACAGCGCTGGGTGCAAACGCTGTTGCGCGCGAAGGGATGGATTGTGCCCAACTACGAGCTCGCGCCGGACATGCAGGACGTGCAGATCCTGCGTGTTGTCGTACGCGAGAGCACAAGCGCCGTCATGATTGATCGTCTCGTATCGGATATCGTGAGTTTTCAGCTGCTTTCTGAAGGATGAAGTCCTAATGTGAATGTTTGACTAGCTCGAGGTTACAGAGGGCCTTGCGAAGGCGGACTCGCCGATGCAAGCGCTGAACAACCTTCAGTCGCGCAACACCGTCGAGGGGCACCATGGGAAGCTCGATGAGGGCTCGGGTAGCAAGTCTAGCGGCACATACGCGAAGCAGTGCTAAGTCCATAGCACAGTCACAGGGTTCATCGTGTAATCAACAAAAGACTGACGGACGGTTATGCCGTGTAAAACAAAAATGTAAGATAACGGGGCCTCGCGATGTTGTATGACTATTGTAGCTGTTGTGATCATCCAGCCAGTGAGATACAATGACATCCATGTGAACTTCAAGATGTACAAGAATGGGCTGCAACCCAAGAAAACAGACCAATATTGAGGCGTCCAAGCTGAAGTGGCTGCTGCGAACAACACCTAGGTCTAGTCTTTGAGGGATGAGGGCAGGTCACCCCTCGGAGGTATCGAGCGCCACTATGCTCCATCTGTAACTTTTGCGAGGGAGGTCGATCGTAATATTGGAGAACAACAAAGAAAACAATGCAAAATACATGCACACCGAGGCACTTATCCACAGGTACAGTCGCAGCAGCAACAACCGCAGTAGCAATACTGTCCGCACCACAGTCCACATGCCCAGTGGAAGGCCCCACACCGTCATCTAGGCAACGGTAGCATCCGACATAAGAGAGGATGTCGAGCGAAACAAATCGCTCTCCTCGAGGACCTCCGTCTTCGTGTACTCTGTCTCGATCATAGACTGCGTGCTGTACGTGCCGCCGTTGAGCGCATGCACGCCGTTCCCGTTCCCGTTCCCGTTCCCGTTCCCGTTCCTGTTCCCGTTCCGCGCCGAGAGGACGCCATTCGCGACGGACGTCTCGGCGAAGCCGATTGCTGACTTGACGATGCCCATGACTGGCACATGGTTGTCAGCGGACGCTACACGCTGCGCTTATAACGAGGAGGGTACTCACTGGAGCTCGAGCGGCTGATGCTGCCAGGCCGCATAGGGCTCGCCCCGACGCCCAGGCGGAAGCCAGGCGCCGTGCGGCTGGGGCTCTGCGGCCCGTTTCCGTGCAGGCGCAGCTCGAAGAGGATGTCGCCCGCGCGGGTGAACACGGGGTTCGCGAGCGCGTACGCGTGCGTGCCGGGGAAGCCGTAGTGCCAGACGCCCTCGAACACGCGGAGCTCGCGCAGCACGTCCGCGAGGTCGATGGTGGGCGGGAGGTGCGCCTGGAGATTCGTGTGGAGGTCTGTGAAGCGCGCGGCGATGGTGTCGCCCTCGAACTTGGTCTTCTCGAACTTGACGGCGGGACTGCCGACGACGGCTACCTTGAGCCCGTCTAGGTCGGACTGCAGGACGATGTAGGCCTCCCAGCGGGCCGCAGATTTTGCACTATGATGGATAGAAGTTGAATACGGGGAGGCGTCAGTGGGAAAGGAGAGACACACCTGCCATTCTGATGCCCGTTCCTATACGTCATCTCGAGATCGACTTCACCCCATATCTTGATGTCAAGAGCCTTGTGCCTTGCAGCGACAGGGAACTGGACGTAGTTGCGTGTGACGCCTGAAGGGAAAACTTAATATGATAGGGAAGTATGAAGGGATGCACTTACACGACACGGAGTACGAGCCGTTTGCCACCTCGCCGCTTCCCTCGTGCTCGTACGTCCAGTAATCACGGTGCTGCCATTTGTACTTCAAGTGACCCTCCTCGTCAGTCACTGCAGTCCAATCACACGCCTGGTCCTTCCGCCATTCGTGTTGTGCCCATGTGGTCAGTTCCAGCTTCCAGGCGCCATTGTGCACCCCGTAGAACTTGGGCACCACTGTGGTGAGCGCGTTGATACGAGTAAGGAGCTGAAGAAGGCGCTGGTCGAGGAAGACTGAACGCGAGACACTGACGGTGCCGTAGGAGATGCCCCTCGAGGCGGTGATGACCAAGTCGGCGGTATACTCAAGGTATGTGCTTGGCAGCGAGCGGAAGCCGATCATGCCAAGAATGACGATAGCTGGTTCCGCAGCGACATGCGCCCAAGTATGGCGGGTGATCTGGGTCTTGGAGTATATATGGTAGGCGATGCTCGTCAGTGAGCAGGAAGGGAGCGTCTCCAGAGTGCCAGAGTGCCAGATGGGAACGGTGTACAGGATGTGCAGGCCCCAGTGGGCCAGGTGCGGTAGATAGTGGCTTTTGATGTAGTGTACCGCGGCTTGCACCTTGTCGATGGGACGGTGATCCCGCTTCTGGAACAGACCCTCAAAGCTCGAGAACTCGTGCAAGAATTCGGCGGCTGGTGAGAAGAACATTAAGCTTGGTCTTGTGAAGCAGAGACTGAGAAGTAGTATGCGTACTCTCAAGGTCGAGATAAATGTGCTCGAGGAGGCGAGTGCTGTGGTGTTGCCCGTGCTGCTTGAAAACAGCGCTTTCTTTATATTTGTGCCTGAATTCGTCGGAGACACTGATATCATGGTGGAACTGCTTCTTAATATCGACCTCGAAGGCGAGATGCCAGCCGTCGAAGTCATACTTCTCGTTTCTACCATCATATAAGTGACAGGCGAAGGAGATATGGAAAGTATGCGCTTACTCATGCCACAGTTGCCAGTTCCGTAGGGTCTTCAAATGGCCCTTCTCGAGATGGATCCAGACAATAGCACGGCCGTTGCTGAGGAGCCGCACCGTGATAGGCTTGAATGAAGCCGAGAAGTATTCTTCGTGGGCCCATTGCGACAGCACCGCAGCGTACTCTCCGGCCTTTGTTGTAAGCCCTTGCTCGTGGAGGGAGGCAAAAAGAGCATTGATCGAGGACTGTGAGATCGCAGTGATCTGGTCGAAGCCGTGCATGCTGTATGTCGTAACGGTCTCGGTCCACCTCACAAATGCACTACCTCCAGCGCTGACCGTCCCTGCACCCGTTGTCTCGTGATCCGCCGTCCAAGACGGCAGGAATTCTGTATCGTCCTTGACTGTGACCCAGCGGGTGTCGTTGTGATAGATCACGTGGAAATCGACGCTCTCCATGATGTCAAGGTACCCGGAGGTGAAGAACTCGAGCAGGGTCGTGCAGTACGAGAGCGCGATCTCGTCGTGCTCCTCCAGTCCGGCAAATTTGCAGAAGCTGTTGTACGGGCGAGCAGCTGTTCCAAGACCATAATGAATGCGTAATCTCATTGAGAGCTGTTTCGATACTCACTTGACAAGTCGAGAATGCAACGAGTAGCATGGCCGGAAGAGTCCACTTCGTAGATAACATCAACTAGAATGGCGATTTCCCAGCCAGAATACCTACGAACTGGCTCGCTAGAGGACCACGTCAATTGTACGCAAGATACCAATCACAATAGCCAGTACTCACACTTCGAAGTCAGTGCTTGTATAAAATGAAACTTCGTCGACGGCGAAGTACAGGACGACCTCGCGCGAGCAAATAGGCTTGATGCGCGGGGCACCGAGGCGAACGGCATAGTGCACTTCCAAGTCGACGTGCTGCGACCATGTGCTACGGTACTCGGCGAAGACCGTCTGCTTCCAATCCGCTGTGATGCCGTCGGGTCCGCCGAGTAACATCGCGGCCTTTAGCCACACGGACGAGAGGTACGTATTTATCTTCTCGACGCTGATACCGTGCACCTCCGCAACTTCGGGCACGGCCCCGCCCATGAGCGAGTAGTCGATCGTCAGGCGGTAGCGGTCGTCGTCGAAGTCGGGTAGCGAGAAGAGGACGTGATTGCCAGCATGATGGAGGAAGCTGAGGTAGTGTTCCAAGTAGTGGACGAAGGCGTCCCGGCCAATGATAACAGCGGGCTTGACGGAGACCAACTCCGCCTCTGTGGGGAGACAAAAATCATTACTGCGCATGGCCATGATGGCATGTAGACCACATACTCAGCAGATCAAGGATGACCATTTTGATGACGTTCTGGCCGTTTCCAATCTTATGGTCCTTGCCGCGCAGGCCGTGAATGTCATATGGGACACGGAATGCGAGATCCACCTCGTGAAGCGACTGTATGCGATCCCTATAACACGCGAAATAAGTGCACATTCCGGAGAACCATACTGAACTCACTTCTCCGCATATGTCATGTTGGATGCCTTGGTGTAGTCCAAACGATAGAAGCCCTTGTGAATCTTCAGACGCAAGACGGCGTCATGGTTGCAGATAAACTCCACAGAGGGTTTGTCAAAGGTTGCCTTGAACATCGTGTGTAGTCCCCTGCTATCCGGGTCGATGTAGGAGTACTCGGCCAGAGCATGAGAGTATTCTACACGGCAGGATCAAAGACTGCCAAGATAAATTCAGGAGAGAATGCGTACTGGTCTGTTCCGGGTGCTTGTGTGCGACGTCATGCTCCTTGACGCACGAGAGGGCATTCTCGTAAAGAGCAGTCAGTTGCGCGTTCATGTAATGAACGGCTTGAGGAGCGCAATTCTCGCCTACACACATCTTGGGCGATGGTGCTAAGTAAATGATGTAGTGAAGAAGAGGGGCCTAGTTGTTGGTGGACCTGGATTGTCTCACCAGATCTCGATGAGGACGCCGCACAGAGCACCTACACATCTTATATATGTGCAGCGGTCCCTGCACGGATGTTCGTCACTGCGACGCATCCGGGTTAGCATCAGGGTCCATTGCAAAGAATCGGATGGTAACATTCGCCGCGTTTATTCGCTTGCACGAATTGCACCCGCAGTGTCAGGATGTGGGAGCGTTGCATTTAAGTTCCATCTATAATAATGCAATTGTCTGACACGTTTCGGTCGTCTGCTCAAATGGGCGTTGGCACACCTACATTGAGGCTCGTGACTATGTTTGATGATATAGTTTGAGTTTGTGCATTGACGTGCTTGATGGAATGGAACTCCAAATATACAGAGGACTGGGTGCGGCAGTATTCTGTGGGCGCGCAAGAGCCTAGTTCATGGACCGAAAAAAATGTCTCGTCCACAGGTAGGTGTATAAGCAGTCCAGGTACGCCTAAAGAATCTCAGTAATACCTAATTGAGTAAGGAATGTCCTATGACAACTCTGGATGCTGAACGAACAGAGGTTGACGACATCATAGGCTTCGAGTTGGGGTGGTGATTAGGCGCCTGTATCGGCCAATCGGGGGTTATCGGGCGCCCCTGGCTCTAGACCGAGATAACGATTGTGTCGACAAAGGGAAATGCCGGAAGTCTCGTTGACCAACCGTAGTGGGTCCTTCCAATGACAGCACTTATGTCCGCTTGAAGACTGCGGTGCGCTGTCGCCGCCCTATGATAGTGTCTCATCATCATATATCAAGACACCACATGCCCATATTGCAGTCGCGCCAACGAAGCCATTGGCAGTGCACTGACGTCGGATGAACGAAAAGTGCGCAACCTACTTGGAGTTAGCGGTCGTCGTATTGTCGCATATCAAATTTATGGACGGCGAATTACTTGAATGGGGATGAATTCCAGTACTCTGATTGAGTTCAGGTGTCAGGTAGGGTTCATAGCCAATTACATTGCACTCTTCTACGTCCAATTTGACATTTGCATGCTAACGCACCAAAGAGGCTGATATATGTGAAGTTCCCGACACTGTTCGACAGAAATTTGTGCACGGTCTGTCCTTTACGAAAGGCATTCATTTCCCTCTCTGGTCGAGACCTAGCGTCTGCAGTATCGACTGTTGTAATCGCCATAGTGAAAATGGGCATGGCTGTCCGGAGAGAAGCCTCACCGGAGAAGCTGTGTGGGAATGCATCCCTCGTGCCTGTACATACAATGTCTAGGCTGACCAATGGCTATCGGCGCAGCAGCAACACAGAAACTCCGTGACATGCCTGCACTTCCGCAGCGTGCCTAGCTTGCCACTCAAATGGAGGACGTACTCTAGGAACATCAGCTGAAGACCATATCACACTCTTCACACATTTTGCTAATGTAGAGACCACGCTGGCAATATGATAGTTTGACATGGCAACCAATGGTCCTATTCATTCCAAATCATACCCTCTGCGGTGAATGAAAGGTATATTCAAGTCCCCGTTGTATGATACGCAATCGGACAGTGACGATTGGCGCGAGACAGCGGTCACAGAGCGAACGATCGTATAACATGCAGCGTATCCGTATTACAACAGAGTGGTGACTGAAAAGCTATATGAATTAACGAACGAGCGGATGGATGCGGGCTATTCCATAATACAAAACAAGTGTCAATAGCAGCAACAGCAATCGCAGAAGACCGGCAACAGGGAATAAAGTCTATGCCATTGCCACCTTAGGCACCAGAAAGGATACTTCGACCTCTTCTTCAACCTGCACCGTACTCTTCTCGGCAAGCACAGTCTTCACGTCGAGTTGCATCGTCTTCTCAGAGTAGACAACGTCCTTGTGGCCGCTGACGCGGCGTTTGTTCCCATTCCCAGTTGGACTGTTGTGGGCGCCGCCGTTACCCTTGGCCGATGCTTTCCCGTTACCGTTGGTCGATACTTGTCCATTACCGTTGGTCAAGGTCAATGATTGTCCGTTCGCGTTGTCCTGCAGGACTGACTTGATGGCCGACTTGGCGCGAATGAAGACTGCGAGAGAACATATCACCACCGCATCAATAAATAACGACACAAAGGGAAACTTACAAGAGTCCGACCGGATGATGGAAGGCGCGCGGCCACCACTCATGCTGACCTGGTGGAGACTAGCCGACAGTGGCTTGGGGCGCACGACCTGCTGGCCATGGGGGCGCAGCTCGAACAGGAGGTCGCCATGGAGCGTGAATACCGGGTTCGCGAGGCAGTAGCCCTGCGTGCCGTGATAACCGTAGCGCCAGACACCCTCGAATGTCCTGAGCTCCTTCAAAATCGCGTTGAAATCGACAACTTTAGGGAGCTGTGCCTCGAGGGCAGCGCGCAGGTCGGGGAACTTGGCCGAGATGGTGTTCCCCTCGTGGCTCGTCTTCTCTATTTCGACTATCGGCTGAGCGCCGACGGTCACCTTGACGCCGTCCATATCAGTCTGAACGCAGAGTACGGTGCTCCATGTAGCCTTGGACTTCGCGCTGGATGAGGGCATCATGAGTCCCCTAACAGAGAGCGTTTCAAAGATGGATCGTACCTGCCATGGTGCGTGCCGGACTTGTACGACATCTCGAGGTCTATCTCACCCCAGACTTTGATGTCCAATGGCTTGTTCCTAATTGCAGTGGGCAGCTCCACATAGTTGCGCGTAAAACCTGCAGTCCCGATGGTCCATAACGAGCGCAAAATTATGATAACAAGGAGTGGACTTACAGTACACAGAGTATGTCCCGTTAGCAACCTCACCGCTGCCCTCGTGCTCGTAGTTCCAGCAGTCGCGATGCTGCCACTTGTATTTTACGACGCTGCTGTCACCACCGACAGGAACCCACTTGCAATCAAGGTTCCTGCGCCAATCATGCAGTGCCCAAGTCGTCAAGTCGAGCACCCAGTCGCCATCATGGACGCCATAGAACTTGGGAACGACGGTCGTGAGAGAGTTGACCTGCTCAAGGAGACGGAGTAGGCGCGTCTCCATGAATGCCGAGCGCGAGACGCAGACGGTGCCGTGAGAGACGCCCTTGGTCACACGAATGTCCCAGTTGGCCGAGTACTCGAGATGCATGGAAGGGAGCTCGCGGTACTTGGTCATCCCGAGGACAATGATGACGGGCTCCAGGGCTCCATGCGCCCACGAGTGCCTCGTGATCTCCGTCTTCGAGTAGACATGGAAGGTGAAGGAGGTCAGCGCGCAGGACGGAAGCGAATCGGCAGGACCAGACGTCCAGACCGGGACAGTGTGGATGATGTGGAGACCGGAGTGAACCAGGTGCGGCAGGTACTGCTTTTCCACGTAATGTCTCGCTGCTAGTACGTTGTCAATGGCACCATGAGTGTGCTTGCCCTTGTTGAACAACCCCTCAAAGGTCGAGAAGTCATACAAGAACTCGGCATCTAATCCAAGGTTTGGGGTCAGCATTCGATTCAAGTTAACGACAGATAGGAGGGGTCGTACGCTGGAAATCAAGGTATATGTGCTCGAGCTGGCGATTCTTGTCATGGCCGTGCTCCTTGAAGATGAGGCTCTCCTTGAACTTCTGCCTCCAGCCGTCGGAGACATTCAACTCGCTATGCTTAGTCCTCTTGATGCCGACCTCAAACACAAGGTGCCAGTTGTCGAAGTGGCGCTCGGCATGGCTAGAGAAATTGGGTCAATAAAGGACATGTTTCGAAGGACCTCTGCTTACTCCGCGTGCAGTTTTCCGCCCTTCAATGGCTTGAGGAACCCGTGCTGAATGCGAATCGAAACAATCGCGCGCTCATGACTGAGGAGGCGTATTGTCACAGGCTCGAACTCGGCCTGGAAGTATTGTTCGAACTTCCACGTCGCCAGTACCGAGTGCCTGACTTCCCAAAGCGCACGGAAATGGGCGTTGACCGACGACTGGGAGATGGCAGTGATCTGGTCAAAGCCGTACATCTCGGATTGAGTCACGGTGCTTGCCCAACCGCCGCGCGTTGTGCCGGGCTTGGGGACCGTTTCCCATTCGCCGTGAGATGGCTCATCCTCATCCTCAGAGCCGTCATCCGCATGAACTGGGCTCAGCCAGCGGGCGTCGAAGCGGTATATGACGTGGAGCTCGATGCTCTCTAGGATGTCGAGGTAGGCTTCGGTGAAGAATGTGAGCATACGAGTGCAATACGAGAGTACGGTCTCGTCGCTGGCGACAATGTCGCCGAAATTGCACTGAGAATGGTACGAGCGCGCCGCTAAGATAAATTTGTCAAACTTTCATTCCGAAGATAAACCGTGTCTCTTACTGGAAAGATCCAACTTGCAGGTCGTGACGTGACCGTCGTGCGTCTTCTCATAAATGACGTCAACGAGGACGGCAATCTCCCAGTTGGAGTAACTATGGCATGGTTCCCTGCAATGCCCGTTGTTAGCACCTGTGTCGCACAGAAAATCAATTAAGCTGCTTTACTTCTCGAAATCAGCAGAGTCGTAGAAGTGGACCTCCTCGATTGTGAAATAGAGGACGACTTCACGGGAGCAAATGGCCTTGATGCGCGGGGCTCCAAGCCTGACGCGGAAGTGATTGTCACCATCGCCGTGGTGGGACCAGGTGCTGCGATACTCGGCGAGGCAGGTTTGCTTCCAGTCATGCACTTTCCCATGCGCGCCATCCATGAGCATGGCAGCCTTGAGCCACACAGACAACAGGTACTCGTTGATCTTGTCGATCGAAATACCGTGGAGTTCATGCACGTCAGGCACGTGTGATTTCATGAGCGAAAAGTCAATAGTCAAACGATACTTGTCGTCGTCGAAGTCGGGCAGCGAGAAGAGAACGTGGTTACCGGCCTGGTGAAGGAAACAGAGGTAATGTTCCATGTAGTGGACGAAAGCATCTCTGCCAATGATGATAGCGGGCTCGGACGCAATCAGTTGAGCCTCTGGAAAATTTGTTGCGTGAAACATCTGCACAAAACACGGAATATACGACATACTGGTCAAATTGAGGATTACGAGTTGAATCAAATTATCTTGGCTGGAGATCTTAGCATCTTTTCCGCGCAGGCCTTGGATGTCAAAGCGAACGCGGAAGGACAGCTCGACCTCTTCAAGAGGCTGTACGATATCTCTACAGTGGGCGGACCGTTAAAAGGCAAAACGCCGCATGATTTACGACATACTTACTGTTTGGAATAGGTGATGGGTGCTTTATGGTAGTCAAGACGATAGTGACCCTCGCGGATCTTCAAGTGAAGGATGACATCGTGGTTGCAGATGAATTCGACCCAGGGTTTATCGAAGCTCGCAGAGAACTTAGGTTCGTCTTTGTGCCCATCGAAGTACTTGTACTCGGCCAAGGCATGAGAGTACCCTGTGCGGATTCGTGAATGAGTGGCAGAAGTAGAGCGACGAAGAAACCTACTCGTCTCTTCAGGCTTCTTTTCAGTGACATGGTGGTCGTCGAGACAAGCGCGGGCATTATCATAAAGCGCAGCTAACTGCGCATTCATGTAATGCACAGCTTGAGGGGCACAATTTTCGCCGACACACATTGTGAGGATTTCCTGAACAGAATGAGCGGCGTCAAAGAGTGAGACAAGAAGCAGAAGGTAGCGTAAACATACAGATGATAAAAAGTAGTTCTCAGAAGTGAGAGTTTAGGGGGTACTCGAGTGCTTCCGGCGATGAGCTGGATGAGAGTCGGTAGCGGGCGACCCTCCTTTTTATACCATAGCTGGCCACGAAGCGACGTCACCTACCGTCATCCAACCGCGCAATACTCCCTAAGCAAGCCAGGGGCCCAGTCCGGAGATTGATTTGTGCCGTTCCGTTTCACCAATGAGGGACAATTAGTACGCTAAACAAGAAGCATGCTGATCCCGCTATGAGAAGTCCCTGACGGGTTGGCGTCAGATTCCCGCCCTATGATAGCTGGTTCCATAGTATTAGACCTATGGGACCATAGTCCCGCTAAACTATGCATCAAACCTGCCTGCGCACAGATATTCCCGGGTAGATCTCACGATATAGAATCAGCTGGAGTAGACATTCCTGCAGCATTTAATGCGGGGTATGAGAAGTCGAAGCCCACAGGTCCAGAAGAAGCAGCACGGCAGGGCGTTTTCACCGATGACAGTCAGGTCGCGCGCAAGGACGGCTTCAGATCGGGGCCTACAGCCCAGACACTTCACGTAAATACGGGACGTGCTTGGCTGGGCGGCACCGCGGACATCGACTACGTCCGCGCATCGGAAACGAAAATTGCATCCGAGTCGAAGAAGTCCAGCAGCCGCTGTGCTGTCCAAAAGACTTTTGGATTTGAAGTAATAAATCATAGCTGTTATTGCGGTAATAACGACACGCCTGTCATTGGTTCCGTCCGAGGCACACTATCGCCAATACTGACCGCAACCAGCTGAACGGCTCAGGTACACGGATGATGAATTGTAGAGCGGTGTCAGATGATATCAGCACTTATACGCTCTGTGTAAGTATTTTATAGATGTGCTCGTACCTGCGAGTCGCGGAGATCTTTCGCGCTCTGATGCAGTCGGAACCCACTCGCGACGCTGTGTATTGCTCATGAGTCTGCCCCTACATTCGACTATGTTGCCAGGAACAGTCATGCTCCGTAAAAAAGGGTCTCAGGACATAAGTACTGCAGTCGTAAGTAGATGATGGTTTCAAGTTGAAGTAAATCAAATGATCGACTGAAAGAGACCCGCAATGATCGACCTGTGAGAGCCACGTGCCATATATCCGGTAGTTCGTGCGCGCTCTGCCCTGGTGTCAGCCACGACTCTGCTCTCGGTTAAGAATTTGGATCACAGCCTGGCAGTCTACACGCTCGAGTGAAACTCCAGCGCGCGATGGGCGGCCCAAATCTTGAAGTATTCAAGTTTGCCGTCTATGTGTTCTTCCCAGTCGCCATGATGCTGCACTACGGCGACCCTGAATGGTACCGCCGGAACGTCCTTGCGGTAAGACACATGCCGCTATATACTCACAGTACAAACGGGGCATACGTTTCGGACGTAATGTTCTGGACGACTTATCCATGCGCCTTTCCAGTACAAGGACAAAATATTTCCTCCTGACGAGCGGCTAGTCACGGCAAGACTCCATCCTTTTCCGACTGTTCTAAGGCGCAAGCTCATGACCCTTCTGAATGCAGAAGCTACCTACAGAACAGAGCGCACTGAAGGAGGAACTGGCTAAGATACGGGTGCGCAACGCTGAGAAGAGGGCAGAGAGAGAACGTGAAAGTCAGGCCTCCGGGAACACGGACGAGCACTAAGCTTGCTCTACCGACGACTCGGTTGAGGTACGCGTAGGAATTTGGTATCTATAATAATTGAGGACCCAACATCATCATGTCTAGCACACACGAATCTATCTATACAAGCGCTACTCCTTGCTGCCGTCGCATTTGTACAACTATACACACCCCTCATTTGACAATCACCCATTGCTCACCATTACAGAGAACGTCCCATTGCTTTGTTTCCCGCAAACTTGATTCGACAATTGTACGGTAATCTTCTAGCTCCTCGAGCGAGATCTTGTAGCCGCCGCACACAACGAACACAACTGTCCTAGAAGTACCGGAAGGCGACGGTGGAACCAACTTGTCGAACAGCGCGCGATTGTACGCCGCCGTAAGTGTTGTCGAACAAGCGAGCTCCACCACTGTTTTATGGTCCTCTGCGGAGACTCAGTAAGACAACGGGAAAGGTACGTCAAGGATGTACGCACCCGCAAATTGTATTGCCGCTTGCATAGCGAACTCATCAGGCACGCAGACACTCTTGATACCCCCCTTCCTATCGAGCGCCATTCTGACCACTCCTGGTGCTGCTGAAGATGCACCGAGAGACGTTGCTTTAGACTTCAGGGTGGCCAGGTGTGCGATGTTGACGTCGTGAGTAGCGTCATATTCTACTCGCACGTTAGCTGAAGCGAGACCGCTTGTGGAGAAGGCGCCCGTATTAGCAGCCAATGCCTCATAGAAGCAGTTGGAGCCAGTCGTTTCGAGCGCGATGAAAGGTACTGTCATGGTCAATTTAGCCTTGTCAAAACAAGGGAGACACCGCTTACCGTCGTCCCACCCGACAGACTTGCATCCCATCATGACGCCTCCGGAAAGCCCTCCCCCACCGACGCTGCACACTACGGCATCGGGCCGAGTTCCAGGAGGGAGTTGCTGTGCAATTTCCGGTATCATTGAGCTGTGCCCTTCCCAGACAATAGCGTCATCGTAAGCAGGAATCATTACGCTGTTAAATTGAAAAGCGCGTGTGAGTGGTAGACCCGTGTTGCCCTCAGCTGTATACGGTACTCACGCGTTCGTCTCTGCGTTGACGACTCTTTCGGCCGCTCCCAGTGCCTGAAGGTAGTACGACCCCTCTATGATAACCTCTGCACCTTCTCCTTTCAGGAAGTCCAGAGTCGATGCACTCGCGCCTTCAGGCAGAAACACCGTGCATCGCAATCCAAGCGCATGGGCGGCACATGCGGCGGCAATACCTGCATTTCCTCCTGAGGCAATGACAAGATGTACGTCAGGGCCATGTGTTTTCCGTGCATTTTGTGCAAAGTGAGATATTCCACGGAATTTGAAAGACTGCGAAGGCTGCAAGTTCTGTCTCGAAGACAACGATTCGAGACCGGATCACGTCCCACGCGAGTCTAGCACTCACTTCCAGCTTCAAGTAGACATTGCACCCCAAACGAGAGGAGATATGCGGTGAGTGTATGAGTGGTGTTTCGAGCCAGAGCTTCCCCGGAAACTGGTCTTCGACAGACATACTTGTGCACTTTTTTGTTGCCCGGAGGGCTAGGGACGCTGAGTTTATAAAGGCTTCACGTATGCTTACAGAGGTTCTTCCTAGGTCGGTCAGCGGGGGAACCGCCCGAACGGAGATTACAAACACAAGCGTTAAGTAGCTCGCTGATGCACCCGGGTGCCGTCTTCAAGTCGATCGACGGTGATTTCGCGAGTTGCGACGCGGACGGGAGTCATGATCGATGATCCCACGTGATTGACGCGTCCAGGATGACGCGTGTGTAAATGATCGGCTCAAGACGCGTTCATCTTCACGGCCGCAAGTCGTAATTCACACAGTCCTTTCAGAGGGCCACATTGAACTGGAGTCCATTCAAATTGACATCTCACTTCTGTTGTTCCTCGCGATTCCCCACGCATAAGGTCATCGGTTCCTGATTTGTTCCAGATGGTGCATGTGGACAACAACGCCGGCTGCGACGGTCCGCTACATCCAATGGGTATATATGATTCACTCGACGAGCCTGCGGGACCTACGGCTACACAGAGATGCGCTTCAACGACGGATTTTGGCTACTCAAGAACGGTGTCAAAGCCCATCACGGGCTCCAAGTCGTGCAAGCGACCCAAGACGGTGACGGATACAATCTCCAAGTCTCCACAAAGCCCATACGCCATCGAGGAGACACGCTCGCCGGTATGTCCACATACTCGTCTTATATCTCGCACACACTGAACCCGCCCGTAGGACCCGTACTGAGCGTACGAGTACATTCTCCGACTGAGGGTGTAATCGGTGTCAGGATAGATCACTTCAGGCACATTGATCCTACCCCCAACTTTTCCTTGTTTCCCGACGATCCTCCAGTACCTTCAGCAACTCTGACGAAGAGAGACGCCTCTTGGTCGCTGGCGACGGGTGACCTCAGTGCAGAAATAGCCGAGAACCCGTACACGATCACGTTCCGATCTCCTTCGCGCGTACTGACTTCTGCAGGCTTTAAGCACCAAGGCATTTATGACGTGCCGTATAAATGGACTTTGAGGAGCGCTTCAAACGCCTCCTGTCTTGCAACCGACATAGATTCTAATCCAAACCCGTTGCCTCCTCCGGAAACCGTACGATATATGCACTCAGAGCTGAACCTCTCGCCGGGGGAGCTCGTATATGGGCTCGGAGAGCAATTTGGCGCTTTCGTAAAGAACGGTATGTCCTGCAAAACAATTTCTGATATATGAGACATTAACGCCCCTTCAGGCCAGTCGGTCAGCGTTTGGAACCAGGATGGCGGCACATCCAGTGAACAAGCGTACAAATGTGTCCCGTTTTACATCACCAATCGCAATTATGGTGTGTTCATAAATCACCCAGGCGAGGTGGAAGTCGAGGTTGGTAGCGAGAAGGTCAGTCGGGTCGGAGTGAGCGTAGCAGGGGAGAGCCTGGAATTCTTCGTCATCTATGGTCCCACTCCTTTAGAGGTACGTAAGTGTCGTGTGCGTGTATAAACTATTCATGATTTCCTCCAGATTCTGGAACGCTACACTCGTATGACAGGCAGACCAGCGTGAGCGAGACGCAAATAGGCTCATCTATGCTATTAATTAAAATTTATCTTACCAGCTTACTGCCTTCCTGGACGTTCGGGCTGTGGCTCTCGACCTCATTCTTGACTTCCTATGACGATAAGACCGTATCCAGCTTCCTCCAAGGCATGCAAGACCGCAACTGTCCGGTCCGCGTTTTCCACCTCGACTGTTTCTGGATGAAGCAGTATGAATGGTAAGCTTACGAAATGACAGGGATCAGAGACCGGCAGATTCATACTATCTACCCCAGGTGTTCCTTCACGTTTGACCCCGACAACTTCCCGAATCCGCGGGGGTACTTGTCTGATATCAAACGCAAATACGATGTAAAGATTTGCGTGTGGAGTGTGTTGCTTGCATTGCTCAACTTGAAACTGCGCCTTATTTTCATTCTACCTCAGTAAACCCGTACATTTCCCAGCTGTCCCCGATCTTCCAAGAAGCGGTGAAGGGAGGGTACCTCATCAAGCGGACAGATGGGACACCTTGGCAGTGCGTCTAAGTCAATATTATTCGGCCTCATATATCATGCTCATACTTCGTAGATGGGACCTGTGGCAGCCTGGCCTAGGCGTGGTAGACATCACAAATCCCGCTGCACAAAAATGGTACGAGGACAAGCTAGAAGCCCTCATTGACCTAGGCGTCGACACCTTCAAAGTCCGTGTTGCGTCTCGAATGATTTGCGAGCGAGGGAACTCACTTCCTCCAGACCGATTTCGGCGAACGCATTCCCCACGCCTCCGTCGTTTTTCATGACGGATCTGACCCGATGCGTATGCACAACGCGTATGCAGTGATATACAACGAGATGGTGTTCCGGGTTCTGGAACGTCGTTTCGGCAAAGGGGAAGCCGTCGTCTTCGCACGTTCCGCGTCAGCCGGTGGACAGAGGTACGTCCGTGGCCATGTATGATTCATTCGCGACCTGATGAAACCCTGTTATTCAGGTTCCCTGTGGTGAGTGGCTCTTAACTATTGGCGTAAAGTGCATCGTCAACGCCCGACATGAAACAGCACTGGGGAGGAGATTGTGAATCCACATTTGAAGCAATGGCCGAGACTCTCCGCGGCGGTCTTAGTCTCACGACGTCAGGTTTCGCCTTCACATCCCACGACATCGGCGGTTTCGAGGTATGATACGCCCATGTCTAATGTAATTAGCCTCATACTCTCTACTCTCTTAGGGGCACCCACCACCCGAGATTTACCATCGTTGGGTGGCCTACGGGCTCTTCTCGTCTCATTCTCGGTTGCACGGGTCGATGTCATATCGCGTGCCATGGCATTACGGCGAAGAGGCTGCGGCATATATGGCGCGCTTCCTGGACGCTAAGCATAGGCTAATGCCGTACCTGTATAACCTGGTAATTGACATAAGCAGTGCATTTGTCATGATTGCAGATAACTTATGGCTATTTGTCCTGCAGGCGCTGAAGGCTCGCACCCACGGACACCCCTTGCAACGAGCAATGTTTATCGAGTTCCCCTCGGACCGCACAACGCACACTCTCGACCGGCAGTATATGCTAGGCCCCTCGCTACTTGTCGCGCCGGTATTCGTTCCTCAGGGCGAAGACACCGAATATTACGTACCCGCGGGGCGATGGACATCGTTCTTCCATCCCCAGCGCTTTATCCAAGGCCCCATTTGGGTACAGGAGGCCATTCCGCTCGATGAAATTCCGGTCTGGGTCCGTCCGGGAACAATACTGTGTCTGGGACCTAGAGGCGTAGGTCGTCCGGACTATGACTACGCGAAGGGGTTAGATGTCCAATTGTATGAATTGGAGGACGGCCAGAAAGTCGAGACCGAGGTACCTACCGGAACCGGAACAGAGATCGCTGGGATCATCACGGCGGAGAAAAGAGTGGGTCAGTTGCAGGTAAAAGTGGAAGGGAACCTGGAACTTGCGAGCGTCACCTTGCTTCAGGGTGGACAAGAGGTCCGTGTAAAGGTCGAAAAGGGCGAAAGAGTAGTATCTCTTAGGCTATGAGATGACGGCCGTACTTTTGGATGAATGGTTTGGATACCTATAGCTAGTATGGAACACATTTCTATGGACCCGAACGGTGAAGCGAATCGGACCTCCCTAATGAGGAGCTGCAGCGACAGCGATTGGTTTAATTGAGGAACACACGAAATGATCCGCTACCTGGGTCAGGGACGCGCATACGTGAACAGTGCGAGATGCCGTACTCCTATTCACTCATCCCCTCTGTATGAGGCTTGGCGCCCTGTCTGGGCAGTGGTGCCGGGCGCAGAGTACAATTAACGCCCTACAGGACGGTGACATGCGGGCTCAGTGAGCATACAGAGCGCAGCGAGGATAATCATTCGTCTTCACGGATTTCTTTCCACGCCTGCTCGGTTTTCTGTCGTCGCTCTTTGGCACCCTCTCTGTTTTTGGTCGTGCGCTCGATGCGCTGACAGGGCAGTATTTCAGCACAAACATCACACAGAAGATCAGCGCACTCCTACCTCTTTCCTCAGGCACATGTTAAGGTCTACCTTGACTTGATTGCAGGCTCCGGTCCACTTCGCCCATGATTTGGCGTGACACGCGTCAAGTGCTTGAATGAAGTCCATACATACTAAGAATGGGCGAGTACCAGACAGCACGTCGCCGAGTTGGAGATGTCCAGAGACACGCTTGACGGATACGCGCCATGCTCACCTATCCGTTTGTCAGCCTGCGACAACTGGGGGTGCATGTTGGCGCAAAAGCCAAGTAAGACGTCGAGGACGGTCAGTGATACGAGGTGACTGCAAGGGGGGCAACGAGATGTAAGCAGGCTTGCAAAACCTTGCTCCGAGGACCGGACGGTGAGAAGAATGAGACGCGATGAGGACGCAAAGCCGCGGTGTCGCTGAGAAACCGCGTCGCGATTACAACATCGATTGGTCCTTGATCAGAGCACGTGATCCTGTCGCGCTATATATCGCTCTCTGGGGAACGCCTCGAAATCCCTCACCCGCCTCCCCCTCTCTACCAGCCCACAGCCATGTCCAATTTCGTCAAGCAGCCCGCAGACGACATCTGTGTCGCGACAATCCGCGCCCTTGCCGCGGATGTTGTCGGCAAGGCCAACTCCGGCCATCCAGGTGCGTACTCCGGCTCGGGTAGTGGACCGCCGCGCGCGAGCTGATGTTCCCTCCCCAGGTGCGCCGATGGGCATGGCGCCCGTCGCCCACGTCCTCTTCTCCAGGTGGGTTTTACTATTCTCACGATCATTGGTTGGGTAGCTAAACAGCGTACCCCAGATTCTTCAACGCAAACCCCAAGAGCTCAAAGTGGTACAACCGCGATCGATTCGTGCTGTCGAATGGGTGCGTAGCAGAGCACTTTGAAGTTACCCATAAGTTTGATTGTATTTCCTCTACAGACATGCGTAAGTTCGAATTTCTACATGGTGTGTATCCATGAAGGACTAAAGTTGGCGTCAGTTGTGCCCTGCAATACATCCTGCTTCACCTGCTAGGTTACAAGCTTTCAATGGACGACCTCAAGCAATTCCGTCAGATTGACTCCTTGACGCCTGGTCACCCTGAAGCCGGCCATACCGACGGTATTGAAGTCACTACGGGTCCTCTTGGCCAGGGCTTTGCCAATGGTGTCGGCCTGGGCATTGCACAGGCGCATATGGCCGCTGTTTACAACAAAGACGGCTTTGACCTCATCAACAACTACACATACGGTGAGCACAACCCGTCTGGTGGAAACATCAGTCGTTAATATGTAAGGAAAGTGTTCACCGGAGACGGTTGCTTGATGGAGGGTGTCGCGAGTGAGGCTGCCAGTCTTGCAGGACACTTGCAACTGGGCAACCTGATTTATGTTAGTCACACAAAATGTCTGACATACTACTCTCGCTAACCTTTCCCCCAGTTCTACGACGACAACCGTGAGATCATGTCCGCTTGGACATGTGAGTGGTGCTGAATAAGTCGTAGATATCTCCATTGACGGTGACACCGCCGTTGCCTTCACGGAGAACGTCGAACAGCGATTCCTGTCATATGGCTGGCAGGTCCTCCATGTAAACGACGGTGACCAGTAAGTCTGCTTGGGGCGCCAGTGAACGTTCACTGACCATGACCGTAGCGATCTTGAGGGCATCTACAACGCGGTGGTCGAAGCGCAGAAGGAGAAGAGCAAGCCCACTCTCATTCGTTTGAGGACCACCATCGGCTACGGCTCCAAGCAGCAGGGTACTCACGGCGTCCACGGTGCCCGTACGTACATCCCTAACCCTTGCGTCGAAGCCTCGCCTGACAGAGTGATGCAGCCCTCAAGGCCGATGACATTCAAGCATTGAAGACTAAATTCGGTCTGCCTGCTGACCAGTCCTTCTACGTCCCGGAAGAGACATACAAGGTCTACGGCGAGACCGCGGCGCGCGGTGCTGCCTTGGAGAAGAAATGGGAAGCGTTGCTCGCGTCGTATGGCCAGAAGTACCCTACCGAGTACGCTGAGCTTACCCGCCGCATTGCCGGCAAGCTCCCCGACGGCTGGGAGAAGAGCCTGCCGACATACACCGCGAAGGATGCTGCGCAGGCATCTCGCAAGCTGTCCGAGATCGTGCTGTCAGCGGTCGTCCCCATACTGCCGGAGCTGATGGGTGGTTCCGCCGATTTGACGGGAAGCAACCTGACGAGGACTAAGACGATGGTCGACTTCCAGCCGGAGAACACCGGCCTTGGCAATTACAAGGGCACGTATCTTCGCTTCGGTGTCCGTGAGCATGGCATGGGTGCTATCGCAAACGGCATGCACGCATATGGTGGTATCATCCCCTTCGTCGCCACGTTTATGGTCAGTGATCTGCGTTCTGGCCCATCTTTTACGTCGCTCACCCTCTTCGTCTTGTTCTATCAGAACTTCGTCTCATATGCTGCCGGCGCCGTACGACTGTCAGCTCTGAGCAAGCACCAGGTCATTTGGGTCGGTAAGTGGCCGTTCCCCACTTTCCGGTCTCACCCCGCTGATGTCCATGTCCACTTAGCCACCCACGATTCCATTGGTCTCGGTGAGGACGGTCCCACCCACCAGCCGATTGAGACCGCAGCCCACTTCCGCGCGATGCCGAACATCGACTTCTGGCGCCCCGCTGACGGCAACGAGACTTCTGCATCGTATTATGTCGCACTGACGCGCAAGGAGACGCCGTCCATTCTCTCGCTGTCTCGCCAGAACCTACCCAACCTTGAGGCTTCCACGATTGAGAAGGCGTCGAAGGGTGGCTATGTCGTGCATGAGGTGCAGCATGAGGACCTCACCATCGTCAGCTCCGGCAGCGAAGTCAGCATCGCGCTCGAGGCCGCCGTGCAGCTCAACTCGGAAGGTGTTAAGACGCGTGTCGTCAGCTTGCCATGCTGGTCGGTCTTCGACGCGCAGTCGGCCGAGTACCGCCTCAGCGTCCTGAGGAGCGGCGCGCCCATTTTGTCCGTCGAGGCACTCGCCGTGAGTATACTGAATTGTGCTGCGTGAGGCATGGTGGCTGACTGTGAGTTATGTCTGCTAGACACTGGGATGGCAAAAGTACAGCCATGAGGTGAGCATTTTCATGAACCAGGGCGCCATCAGTGCTCTGATATTGGGTTTCAGCAATTTGGTTTGTTTGGATGGGGTGCATCCGGTCCCTACAAGAAGGTGTACGAGAAGTTTGGACTTACAGGATCTAGTAAGCATTTATTCATTTCCTACCACGCCTTACCTTGTTTGCTGACGCGAACGACCAGACATTGCGTCGGTCGGCAAGAAGGTCGTTAGCTTCTACAAGCAGAAGGGTGGGGAGGTTATCTCTCCCCTCGTCAAGGCCTTTTAGATGGTGGAAACATCAACGACAATGTTCCCGGGGTAGAAGCATCAAACTGCAGTGATACATTTGTATTTTCATGTAATTTTGGTTATAGAGTCTGTGTGTCACCAATAGTGAGCTCATCTTATGTGTACGACCCGAGAATGGTAGTTGCCGATCGGTGAGTGAACATGGGGGCAGGCCCTCTGCAAATGACGTCTAGCCGGATGTCGTGATCCTCTAAATAATGACGCGGTGGGCTACAGAGGTCGATGTCTACTTCCTGGACACGACCAGGTTGTCCCATGCTCTCCTCTCCAGCTCCTCCTTCTCGACGTTCTCGACGTGCGGCTTGAGGTAACGGATGTCCTGTCCAACAAGATATATATACTGGTGCGTACCTGTGTTCCCGAAACACGTACCTCGGAAGCCTGCGTCCACTTGTCCTTGGGAAGAACATCGTGGAGCACGCTGCAGTGCGAAGCTCGCTTTAGTCGGTACTGGCGGTCGTAGTGCTCGCGAGGAGTTAAGCGGGAGAGGGCCTATGCCGGTCAATTAAAGGTCCCAATATTATCGAAATTGAGGTAACCTACCCTTTGAACGTCGGGACGTTCCTCCAAAACTGTGCAGTCATGGTCAGTCAGAGGTTCTGCCACCAAGCACCGGAAGAACACGTACGGAGGTCATCATATTTATAACCGACCTTCCTATAGCCAGCGAGGTCGGCGTACCAGTCGGCTACAGGCTTGATCCACCTGTAGAGTGTGCGCGACTTGCGGATGGTAGGGGCGAGAGAGGGACCGAGGGGACCAGCGAGGACCATGGCGGGAGTCGAGTAAGTTGCTCTATTCGCCGTTCTTGACCGTGACGAAACTGCCCGAGAGGTATTTGGCTCTGTATGGCACCGGTGGCTGCGGCATTTGATTGCCCGATTTGGCGCGATCATCGACCTGCTATAAAACCGAGTCCTGCAGCCGGCACTTCTCATTTATCCATCCATCCATCTCTCTTTCACCCTCTCACCTCATCCATAAGCCCACCATGTCTGTCAAGGAGCGCACCTACATCATGATCAAGGTATGCAACCGCAGACGCTGCCAACGTCCGAAGCGCGCACCTGCTAACAGCTTTTCTCCTACAGCCCGACGGCGTGCAGCGCGGTCTCGTCGGCAACATCATCGGTCGCTTCGAGCAGCGCGGCTTTAAGCTGACCGCCCTCAAGCTGGTTCATGCTACCCCGGAGCACCTCGAGAAGCGTAAGTATACGCGTGATCGCGAATGCAGAGACGCTCATCGAAACTTGTGCAGACTACGCTGACCTCAAGGGCAAGCCTTTCTTCCCCGGCTTGATCAAGTACATGGCCTCGGGCCCTGTCGTTGCCATGGTTTGGGAGGGTCTTGACGCGGTCAAGACCGGCCGTTCCATGCTCGGCGCGACGAACCCGCTCGCGTCTGCACCTGGTTAGTTAAATCCTCCTCGCTGAGATTTCTGCCTAATGCGGATCTACGCGACAGGCACCATCCGTGGTGATTTCGCTCTCGCTGTCGGTCGCAACATCTGCCACGGCTCCGACTCTGTCGAGAATGCGGAGAAAGAGATTGCTCTGTCAGTATTGATATCCGCATCTCTGGATTTGTTATTCACGCGTCTCCGCTCAGGTGGTTCCCTGAGGGTGTCGTCCAGTACAACCACGACTTGGCTCAGTGGATCTTCGAGTAGATGCATCAATAGGGATTGAGTGGGGGACAGAAGTGTAATAAACCTAGAAACATCTGTATTGTTTACTCAAGAATTAGGGTCGTTTCTCGATGGAATGAGGTGGTGCGTCTTTGTTCACAATGGTGGCACTGGTATGCACAGTAAGCTGTATGCTCACGCGTTCTTACATGACGAGTACCTGAGCAGTGTGTGCCCTCCGCCGGCGCTCTAGATCCGTCCAACGTTTGCAATCGAATCTTCTGCGCTTGCAATTCCTGATTCGCTTGGCGCCCTATGAAGTACTGAGCATGTCTTCTGATACACGCTGCTTCCCTGGCGCACTGATCCGTAGACTGATAACAGCTCTTCAATTCAAGATTGACGTACGAACAGACAGCTATATAGACTAAAGCCATGTCGGTACGTGTTCAGTTACCCCTCCTGTATGTAAAAGTCGATGCCTGCTACCGCGCTCGTTGACAGTGTACTTTTCAGTACCTTTTTCCCGTGGCCGTCCCCAGGAAGATTCATGCTTGGAGGACGCTTTGACTATTGAAGTCATGCTATATGTCTGGTCTCGCATGAGAAAACCTGACTTTACGTTCCAGGGTATACTTTCTATACGTCATAAGTATCGACCATTCATACAGAATCCAGTCCCGATCGGTCTTTCTGCTTGACACAATCACTTCCAGCACTGATAGGCCTGCCCGCATGTTGGAAATCTGTTGGCATCACCTCAGTAAACGGATTGCAATCACAGTGGGTCCCCTGATCACAGCACCACCGAACTGATGCTCGGACTCGGACGTTGGACCCGTTGCGAACGGAGCTCACTACAATCAAAAATGAAGGCCGGCGCGTGGTGCGTTTAAGCTTTCTACATACGATGCTAGATCCGATGAATTTCATGGATAAGCTGAGCCCCCTGCACTATACCATAGAAGTCCACCTAAGTCAACCTTGCTTGAATGCCCTGTCCACCAACGCTCAGCACTCAGGGTAAGATATGTAGGATGTTCAGGTATGATCCTATTGCATTCTCGTTCGCAAATTAGGGATATTTACAGCACAATCCCCGACGTGAATATCGAGCAGATCCCGCGTTTAGATTTCGCACTTCTAGGTCAATGGCCGAGCGTACACGAGAACAGGCGCAAAAAGCAAGGCTTGGGTTAGCAATAGGTCTGAATTTGTGAAGCTGCTACGGGACAGTGAGCCCTTCGCAACCCTACATTTGATTCTATATCGATAGACCTACCTGAGAATATCCGTGCGCAAGCGGGGTTGATGCCCAATCCGGAATCAGATCTACGGCTCCGACATGACTGGACCCGTCAAAGTATCGACATTTACTAAACCGCGCCCTTGATGTCAGGGTACGCGGACGCAGGATCTACTCGAGATCTACGTCAGAATTCGTGTGGATACCCCTTGTACCCCTAGTGTACGTCTCAGACTCTAAGCGACTGCGACAGAGCACCCACATGACCGTGATGGTTGTTATTGTCGGCGACAACACGCTGGGGACAGATAGGGGACAAAGGCGGTGGTGTTGTTTTGTGCGCCTGTGAGTGCGACGGGAAGTAGGTGGGGGAAAGATGACAGGGTGAAAGGTGGTGCTTGTAGGAGAAAGCACAAACAGAACGAGGTTGAACGGATTGGAGCCCCGTATGCTTAGGCCAAGCTGACGCTGACCAGAGAAATCCCCGGCGATTTTAGACATCATTCGAGAAAGGAAGTTTGGAGCTGAGATGTGGACACGCTGATGAATAGACGACACGACAGGGTCTTGGCCGCCGGGACGGGGGTCGTCGCTTACGATAATGTTTGGGGCGTACACCGACTCCAACCCTCGCTTAACTTTGTAGATGATGGGCGCTGTCAGGCTCTGTAGTTTCAAAGAAGACGAATACTCACGAATGCCAGAACCATGTTGCTCTCATTTCCAATGCAACCATGTCCAAGATACGCAGTTGATGACGGAGTCTCAACGCGGGTGACGTATTCATGATGGCGTTTAGCAGGGTCGGCTCTACATTGGGCCACTGCTCGTCTTTATGGTACAACGTGAAATCTTTACGCTGGTGCGTAGTAACAATGCAGGAAACTGACTAATATACACGGGTGCTACAGCCCGCAGCGCACCCATATCTCCAGTCGAGCTGATCCTCCAGTCTGATGCGAATGGGGATGCGGCGCAATCATTTGCTAGTGCGTTGCCGGCGTGTGCTGGAACGGAGGCGATGTCTATAACTCCATGGATACATCCTCGATCAATAAGTTAACGAGCCTGCGCAAAGATTAGCGTCGCAATGAGGTACCAACAAGGCACAGCGTACCGTGGGATAAGAAGCCTTCTACTCGGACAGTAGCTGTCGTATTGGGAGATATGCTGGCCGGTGGCTGAGGATAGAATATGCTTCGTGCGGGTGAGCCTACGAGCGACGACGAGAGACGGAGGGTGGGACTCACAGGATCTGCAATCATCCCAGAACAAGAGACATGACATTGTCAAGATAAATAGTGCGCCGGTTATTGCGAGCCCGAGCACGAGGCAGACGGTCGACAACAGGGTAACGTCCCTCTCGTCTGGCTTGAAGTCGGGGTGTTCGTACAGGCGGATCTGGGGACGCATTGCGAGATGATTATGAGGGCGAGTAGTAGAGTATGCCAGGTTGTTGCTCAGCGGTGGTCAGGCAGACAGTCAGAGAGCTTGAAGTTGTTGGATCCGCGGCCCCTTGTCGCTCCTTTATATCAGAATGAACGCGCCTAGCCTACCGCGGTTGTCCGCTAGACGTCAAGCCGCATCGGAGATGCGGCAGGAGTGTCGCAGACAGATCAGCGCCATACATGAGTTGATTGCGTCCTGTGCTGATTGTGTCCAGGAGGCGCTATGACTCGCCGGTACGCGGTCTTGTTGGCCTCACGCTAAACTCTGAACGGACTTATCTCGATTATGGAAGAATGAGGCGCGATCGGGATCGGAGGCCAGTATGCAGTGTCCTTGTCAGGCGCGTGGAATGGACTTGATAGTATCCCCGGGCCAAGTGCGCGTGGGCGCTGTCCTGAACTGCCATCCCAACTACTCTCAGGGGACTCACAGGGGTCGCATGTAAATTCCACTGAAATCGGAGCAGCTTCATCCCGCTGTCAATTGTGGCCACGAGAGAGCGTCCTGTGGGCCCAATTGGGGACTTCCATACCCTTAGTTGACTTCGGGTGTCCCAACCTACGATGTGAACCCGAACGGCGCCACCACGGCCCCCCATCGTCTGTCAGGCCCGTAGCTATTGCGCCGTCATCGGCGTTATACGATCTGCCCTGAGATAGTGTCTGATTGTGGCTGATGCTGTGTCGAATGGTGTGCGGGAAGGTACGCGGCCGTCGGATACAAGGGCACTACTATGTGCGCGCGCTACCCTTAATACTGCTGCTTAGACAGCTTACATTTACCTTCAAAATGCTGAATGTCAATATTCAATTGAGATTCATGAATGCAAATTTATGATGGTATGCGAGCGGTGAGTACATGTGCTACAACAGAATACGATATTGAATGAGTGAGAGCAGGTGCATCAACGAAAGACATTGTACAATACTGAGCCCGAAATGAACACAAATAAATACTAATTGAAGTGAATAGTGTACCCATCCCGTAAGCCAAAACGTTCATGAGCACGTCTTCCTAACGAGGCCGACATGAGATGCCAGCCGCTTCCATGATGTCCCCGGGTGCCACAAGCGACTGTTCGAAATGGCAGGAGGCAGGGCGATCAGCGCCGCACGGTGATGGCGATGGACAATAAGGCGGGGCGAGGTATCGACCTCATATGCACCCCATTGAGGCAACAACTACGCGCCGCTGTGTGGTACGTCAACACACAGCGGAAAATATGCATTATCTGCTCGTGCTGAGGATTGTTGCTAGGTCCTGTTCATTGGCAGCGCTCAACTGTCGTGACCGCGCTTTGAGGCGCACTGTAACAAGTAAAATCGAACAGTCAGTCATGACAACCTCCCGAGAATTCAAAAGGAACTTACACATGCGGTCAAACGTGAGCAAGACCACCTTTGCTGCCCCGGTGGTGTCGCGGGGGCCGTCACCTGGCTGCAGCATGTTCGATCGATCAATCCAGTGCTCATCTTGCCAGATGGTAGCACGGAGGATCAAATCGTCCATATTGCGCTCCCACGACGCTTCGTCCGTGAAGTCAACTTGCTCGGTGCGGACCGTAAGGGAATTCAAGTAATTGCCTTTCGAAGTCTGTACCTTGAGCGACTTGCCATGCGAGCGGAAGTGGGTGGTGATATACTGGAGGGCCGACCCAGCAGCAGATCCCAACTCGGTATGCTGGTTTTGCGTCAGGCCGTCAAGCTCCATGATTACCGGGAGCGGGACGACGACGGTCCATTGGAGCGACTCGACCAACGAGGAGAAAGCCGGTAAGGAAGACAGCAGGATGTTGGTATCGAAGACGAGGACAGTAAAGCCGGGGACGGCGCGAATGGATTGTTTCGGCCGCGATGATCTGCCAAAGTTCGACTGTCGAGGACGCTGGCGGCGCCCTACGGACGGCGCCGCTCCGCGCGAAGTTGTCTGTAGGCTCTTGAGATACCTCCGTCGCGCCTATCGCAAGTCTTAGCGGATTGCCAAGGGATGTTAACACAAGAATAACTTACCTTGAGCGCCTTGACCTCCGCTGAATCATACTCGTCGTCCTCGGTATCGTCCGAAGACGCGTCGGCAGCGAGGCCCTCATCGTCATCGACATCCATCGAGTCGTCGTCCCACCTCCGACCCCTGAGCCGGCGCTCTTCCTCTTCACGCTCGCGCCGGTCGTCATCCTGCCACCGCGTGACCTTCGCAGCCAACGCACCACCAATGCGCCACTGACCCCGCTCCTCTTCGCGTGCTGGAGGGATATACTCGAAGCCGTTGACGTACTTCGCAATCTTGAGACCTGCACGAGCAATCCGCACCCATCGCTTCATCAGCTCACTGTCCCGCGAGTCGGCCCGGGAGTCGTCATCATCCTTCTCGATGATGCCGTCCCTCTGGTCGCCAGCCTCGACCTTGTCGAGCACCTCCATCTCGATGTTCCGCTCGCCCGAGTCGGCCTCCTTGCTCCAGAAACCCATGGGGTATACTCGCTTGCCGCCCCATCCCATCCCACGCAGACACCAATCCTCTGGCATGGGGTTGCACCCACTTGTCAGCAGCGGTGGTGCATCTCCGCGCTCCTTGTGGTACTCGCGGAATATCAGGCGCCGCGGGGCACTGTTGAGGAATTTTACGAGCGCGGTCCACGGGATCACACGCTCGAGGGCAGCGAGCGTCTGGCTATCCTTGACGGTGGTCGCAAGGAACGTCAGGAAGATGGTGATGTAGGGGTTCAACGTCGAGTGAGCGAATGGAGACGGTTTCCGCATCGGCTTCTCAAGAACATGCGCGAACATCGAGAAGGAGAGCAGGAGACCCATCTTGAGCGATTGCGGCAGCTCAGGCGAAGATGGTGGTTCAGGCATGATGGGAGAAGTCCGCATCGGAGACGGCTTTGGCTCTGTGGTATCATCCTCGTCGTCGACGTCCATACTCTTCTCGTCCTCCTCAGCACGCTTGGCCATCAACTTGACCTTGCCGGCAACCGCATTCGCAACCATGGGGCTGACACCCGGCTTTGTTTGATGTGCGTCGCGAGTAGCCAGGCCAGAGACCCGGCGCATGGCAGCGTTCGGTCGGCCGTACTCCAGCACAGCGCCTAGATTGACGATGGCCATCATGATCCAATCACGCTCCTGCACGGCGGCACTCTCTATACAATGACGATATGGGTCAGCAAAACGTTCACGCTATAAGGAGAAGACCAAAACAGGTCCGAGCGGGTGGTAGTAGGGTCTGGGTATAACGGAGGGCCAATCATATTGGCCCTCCTATCGGCCCCGCTCGCTTGGCCCAATCACCCGCTAGGCCAGGGTCTCGCAATGTTATTGCCTTTAGGGCATGGAACGCTCACCTTCAATGTACAGTTTTTCCTCGAAGCGCTCCAGCACGCGCCTGAAGTCGTCGAGTTGGATATTCGTGAATAGCATGCCATGCAGCGCGACGAATAGCTCCGTGAGCCCGGCCTCCGGCAGCTGTCGGCGCGCCTGGGCGGCGGGCGACCACAGCTGCAGGATTGACTCACGTGCTTTCGAAAACGGGTGCAGTGCGATCATGCTGCATTGATCCTTATTAACATTGCGCACCGTACGCAAATAATTGTATCACGTACCTCTTCACGAAGTGATACAGGGCGCGAAGTTCCTCATCGCTCGCGTCCTCCTCGCGGCTCAGCAGCCCCAAATGATGATGTAGCTTGCCCGTACCCGGCGTGAGCGATAGACCGCGCGCGAACCAATCCCGCGCGATCTGTCGCCATCGCTCCTTCTCCGGCTCAAGCTCCATCATACGCGCGGCTGCGAGTCCGACGCTAGGGACGTCCTGCTGTTGCTGCCGCATATCGGGCGACGACGGCGGCGAGTCGTCGATCCGGGCAGCAGGTGTCGGGGACACTGGCTTGCCCGCCGGGATCGCCGGCTTGTCGGAGCTGTCGTCCATCTCGGGGTCGACGGGCTGTGGAGCGCTGAGGTGCGCGTTCAATAGGGGTGCGGCGCCCGACGGGGTGATGCTACTTGAGGCGGCCTGCATATTGTCAAGGAGAGCGCATGTTGCCATACGATACCGTGCAAGGTCCCCGAGTGCCTCGACCCATGTGCTCCGGAAATCAAACAAATTGCGCTCCTCCAAGAGACCGGAGTAGAATGCGTATGAATAATAAATAAAATCCTAGAATTAAACACGTGGTGTCAACGTCACTCCTCGATCAAAGATCAAGACGAAACCGCACCTGCAGATACTCGAGCGCGATTGGCGAGTTGTTCGGCGGTGTAGCTGCTCGGCGAAGGGACTCAAGGAGACGATGGAAGGCGTGCGTCCACAGACGAATGATGAGATTGTATTTTGTAGGAATGTTTCGTAGAGACGCAGGGACCGCGGGCGCAAGAGTCAGAGTAAGCATTTGATGCATTTTCTCTGCGAGCCTGTCAAAGCAATTTGAGTGATCGCTTACGGTTAGCAATGAGCCATCAAAATGCATGAGTGCACCCACTCCTTGTGGTCGATCATAAGCCTCCTCCACCGCTCCGACTCGTCTTCCCCCACTTTCGTCTCCGTGCCCCCTGGGCCCGGTCGCCCCTTGAGAAGCACGCCCACCCTCTGCACATCCCGCTCCCCATCATCTTCTCGGTCCTTATCTCGATCCTCACCTAAGATCTTTGCCTCGAGCGCACTGATAGCACGGTACAGCTTCTTCAGCTGCATCGAGAAGGCGTTCGTGCTCGACGCGCTGTCTTCTGATCTTCGCGCATGGCCGGCGTTATCGAATAGGGATGACGGTGCTGAGGAGTCGGTCGTGGCAGACGAGAGTGTGAAATTCGACGAGATCGTTGAATGAGCGTAGGACGCAGACGAGGTCGAGGAGGCGGAGACATAGTCTCCCGAAGACTTCGGTGTCGGCGTCGGCCGGCCTGAGGACGGGCTCCCCCCGACGTTGGAAGATGCCTGGGGGCGAGTGAGGACCGAAAACTTGACGGGGTCATCTTTCCGATGGTCAAAAAGCTGTCGGTGTGCATCAGGAGCCGCTCGGGACTGAGCGGGCGGCTGGTGGGCGCGGGGCCCATGCGGCGCAGGTCCGCGGGGCGCATATGAGCTGGACGCAGCGTCTGAGATAGTGTCCGGTTCTGCGGTAAGGATAGGACGGCGAGAGTAGTCTGCGTTCGGGTTGTACAGCTTGCCTGGGCTTCCAGAGGGGCCAGCATGGGGTTTGGCGTGGGAGGTCCGAGGGGAAGAAGCCGAGATCTTCAGGCGGCGAGAAAAGTCGTCGGCATCAGCCTCCATAGCAGAGGAGGAGCTCTGCGAGACAATGATACTGGGATTTGGATGCAGAGGAGCGTGCAGGCGGCGTGGGGAAGGGGGGCGGGGACGTAGTGTGGAAGAAGAGGGCAGCGGAGGGCGTTCCGCACGCTCTCGAGGTTTTGTAACACTGTAGGCGCAGTCAGGCGGATCAATAAGTGCGTACGTAGCAGTCAAATGGACGTACGCGGCCTGCCTGCGCTGTAAAGCGACGATTCTATCTGCGAGGTCGGTTGGCTGCGCAGGGTCGCGGTCGCGGTTCGTGCGCCGTGCCGACGCGGCTGGATTGAATGGGGGCGAGTCTTGCATGGCGAATGGAAGAGCTGATGAGCTGAGAGTCGCCAACAGCCTTCCTGGACGCCAGAGACGAGGGGGGGAGGAGAAAGAGAGCGACTGCGCCGTCGGGCGTGAGGAGATCGACCGTCTGCGGACAACTGCGCAGCCAAGGCCAGCCGCTGCGCAGGGATCTCGATCGATTGCTCGTTGGCCACCTCAGTCACACTCCCATGTGGCCGTGTCACACCGCGCCTCCTCCGCCATGGCAGTGCCGCGCGCGACCCGCAGAGCTCTTCCGAGTTCTCCACCGTTGCCCCCGCATATCCACCTCTTGCTCATCGTGGCCACCGTCTAGCACGGCTTTCCGCTTTGCCTCTTATCGCCCATTACGTCCAACACACCCGAGAAAGCATCATCGATGTGCTCACGCGCCGTCCGCAGCTTCTCCGAGCATGCCCTCCGCAGCCCACACCTGCCCAGAGGCGCTATCAGTCACCCGGCCGTTCCCTCGGCCCTGCCAGGCGGTCTCAGACGCTGTCTTCGTCCAGTCACCCCTCTGTTCACTCTTCCCCATGTCTGTCATGATATTTTTACCCAGTCCCCGCGTCGACGTACCGAATGACCTCTTAGTCCCACACTGCCTATCGTGTATCTTTCCATTCGTCTCGGAGCCGGCGTCTCATCGTATTCATCGTGCTGCTTCGAGGTCACGCGAGGAACAGCTTGTGACGACTGATCAAGTCATTAGTGGCGCTCAATTTCTCCGATCTCTATCCTACGACCTGTCACGCCCAGGCGCCGCGCATTTGGCCGTGTCATAGCGCTCTATATATCCCGTATACACACAGTACTCGTCGTTGGAGTACAGCCCAAATGAAAGAAAGTTTCAGCCCGGGACACAATCTCCCTCGTCCATATAGCCGTCTAGGCGCCCCGAATGCACGGTCCAACTTCTTACCACGCGTGGTGTCCGCCGTTGACCAGGATGCTGCACGGGGCCATTAGTACCTTGTCTAGGCTCACGAACCGGATCGGAACACCGCTACTCACTCGCTGCCTGTACAGTACGTACTCGCGTCACTGGCCAACCATGTCACCACACCGCGCAATTCGTCTGGGCGCCCCAGTCTCCCGAGTGGGTTCAGGCTTGACCAGTGATCGATGAGATGCGGTTGCGGGTCCACGTACGCTGCGGTCAGACTGCGGAGGACCACCACGGAAGTGGCACGAAAGCCGGCGTGTGTCCCGAGAAGATGGGAGATAGGAAGAAGGGGCAACCAGGTTAGTCACGGAACGAAAAGAAGCCTGAACTGTGAATCTGAGACAGCAGCCAACGTGGGATGGCGTCAAGCGCGCCTGCGTGGCGCCACCACTCGGAGCCTCGCACAGACCCAATAGATAGTCCAAGATAAGTGGCACAACGGTACTCACTGTGTATAGATGTGTCCGGGGCTGAGTGTGTTCACTCGTATGCGCTTTGGTCCTAGCTCGCAGGCCATGTTACGCCCCATTTGGAGAACGGCGGATTTTGAGGTGTTGTAAGAGATCCAATTGTTACCCTATCGAGAACGATGATCACTCTGAGAATCCATAGGAGGACATCGACTGACGCACCTTGTTGACTACAGTGCCACTCATGCTTGCTATCAGAATGATACTGCCCCCGTGGCCGAAACGTTCCATCTGTCTGCCTGCCGCCTGTGCGGTGAAAAGAACCCCGTTGACATTTACTTCCATCACCTACCGCCGCGGATGTTACAGGCATTTCAAAAAAGGAAACGGATCAGAACTCACTTCCTGAAACTGCTTCGCAGGATATTCAAGACAATCCGTTATGGACTTGAGGATGCCTGCCGCGGCGACGCAGGTGTCCAAGCGCCCTTCTCTGTCACCGATGGTCTCCCCAATCTTCCACATTTGCTCCTGTAGACGTCAGTAAGCGTAAGCAATTGATCTCGGGAAATCTTCGAAATGAGCCCACTTGGTCCCGCACGTCCGCGCTAATGTATTCCAGCCTACGCTGTCCAGGCTTGCCCTCCATTCTGTTGAGGTAGTCCTTGACCTTTGTCCATTCCTCCCCGGGCTGTTTGGGGAGGTCAACGCAGTAGACCGCGCGCGCGCCGGCCTCCGCCAAAGCCATAGCCATCTCGAGACCGAGACCGCGGTTCCCGCCCGAGACCATGGCGACTCGGTCTGTCATGGTGAATTCATGTTCAAACAACGTAGGCTTGACGGCTACACGGAGTAATGATATCAGTGTGGTCAACACCATGAAGCACTTGGGAAGACGTGCCACCGGACGAAGGTGCCGCGAGCGCGGCAGACACCCCGACGGGTGCGTACGGCGGTAGGACGCCGGTCGTCTTCCTCTGGTTCTCCAAGCTCGACGGCGAGCCTGTGGAAGACCGTGCAGAGGTGACAAACCCCGCGCGTCTGAGGGCCAAGCCGCGGGTCGCCGGACGCGCGACCGAGAGCATCCTTGTGATTGCAGTACCCATCGGCATTCTGACTAAACAAGCCCGAGAGAGATGTTGAAAATGAGGAATGGAAGTAGGTCCTTGACAAAAACGATGCCTTGGTCCTCCCATTGATGTGAGATTTATAGTCTGCGCTTGTGCAGCTACACGTAGGGCTCTTGTGCCCAGCGCGGAAGGAATGCATCAGGAACTATTACTCGCGCTCAGGTGATGGTCATGAGGAGGCCCAGGATTGGCTTGTCATCCACGACAGGGTCGCGCGAGTGAGAGGATGGGCGACGGCTTAGCCAGAGTCGCCGCTGCCTAGACCAAGCGTGCGCGTACAAGGCGGAAAACGCGTCTGCCAATTGGACGTGTATTGTCGAAGCCGGTCAGATGACAGAGCCGTGACCGTGGACGACAGCGCGTTGCAATGATGGGTGGGGGGTAGTGCTCCCGCTGGGGCTTCCCGATTGGCGTTCCGCAATAGCGCGTGATCCTGTGTCGGTATTTTCCCACATATGACAGTGAGTGTAGGCAATTGGATTGCACGAAGCCACTTTAACCGCAAGGTTTGAGACGGAGAACATGCCACATGCGACGCGATCGCCTTCCTGTTAAGACAGTACCGTAATTTCTGATGCTGTAATCGCAGCGCCCCGGGCGAGTGCCAGGTCTCGGCCCCGAGATCCCTTGGCTCGAGAGCTAGAAGCCTAATTTGGGTCCGCATCGTGCACAGGCAGTACCCGAGTTGTGCCAACGGGCCTCCGTCGAACATGTGTCCACTGCAAATGTCGAAATGACGAGAAAGTCGAAGTACAACTATGTCACCTGCCTAATCTGGTTGTGGGTGTGGGGGTCGGCGATGCCCGATCTGTCCATGCGCCTCAAGGCCGTCGCGCCCATGCCATGCCTCTACGGGCGGGTTTGCTCTCCTGCGGAGTGCGTTCCACGCCGTACTTTGGTTGCGATTATGGCTTAGACAGATAAACGCAAGTCTGATAGGAGAACCGTTGGTATGCAAATACAGCAGGTTGTCCACCAAATATGCTCTGTGCGATTGCGAGCCGAGCAGGTCGAGAGCCGAGAGACGATAACCACCATGGGCGATGCTCCGAGAGCAGTGCAAGGCGGTTCTCTATCTGTGTGCATTTGTTTTCGTCTGTGTGTCCGCACCGGCAGTATCCCTGCATTGTGCGGGGCACATGCTGCCGGTGCCCTGCCCGTGGTATGCGCGTGCTTGAGGCGTATATTAGGCGCTGAGCGGATTGCAAGTCGCGGGCACTCTTTGGATTCGACCACCACCGCGGTGGTGTCTCCAGTGCATATCCCGATACCCCCCTTGGATATCACGCTTTGCCATGTCAGGACTCGACAGCGTAGCCATATTTTGGGACTATGGTAGGTGTTTCGGCAGTTTTGCATACTGCGCCACTCTGACAATCAATGCTAAATAAATTCTTTGTATTGTCTCTGACCAGAGAATTGTGCACTCCCTTCTAATGCTACCGGTAGCATTATTGTCAATAACATAGCGCAGCTTGCGCGTAGATATGGGAGCGTTAAATCGTTCAGGGCGTACTCGGAGCTCCCCGAGCAACCGTCTCCGAAGAATATCGCCCTACGCTCGGACCTGCAGTTATGCGGGGTATCAGTCATAGACTGCCCTCATAACGGCGGAAAGGATGTTGCGGACAAGATGATGATAGGTAGGACTGATCATCGTCTTCGAATAGCTTAGTGTGGTTGACGCCACTGTCGCTCTGATCACCAGTGGACATGATGGCGTTCGCAATTGATACTCCGGCACCTGCGACCATCATCCTGATCACGGGGGATCGCGACTTTGTGTATGCCGTGTCGATCTTGTCGCTCAGGCAGTACCGTCTAGTCGTACTTGCCCCGACTGCAGCCCACGGTACCCTCAAGGGTCAGGCTGCAGAGGTGTATGCATGGCCAGCGGATCTTCTGCCAGAGAACAAGGCGACCGCTCGTCGTGTCTCCATGTCGAGCGCAACCAACGCCGAGGCCGCGCGCTCCTCCAGCAAGGCGAGTGTGTTCCCGCCGACTCAGCCAGTACAGCCCGCTGCGAGTCCAGCGTCCCCACCCCCGTCACCCGAGCGCAAGGGGGTTCTCGATGCGGGTGCATCGACTACTGGCAGCTCACAATATGCCCCTCCGTCATGGATGTCGGCAAGCTCCCTCTTTACACCGGCGACGGAAGCACGGCCGAGTCTCTTGAGTACTGTGAGTATAATGCGCGGGCGCTCTATCTATCCTACGGCGGCCTAAAACTGCCATTGCAGCCCTCCAGCGACAGCACAGCTGTCGACTCTGGATCTGAGGCATCATCGTCTCATAACCTGTCAAGCTCGCCGAAGCCTTCAGGTTTCACAGACTCCTTCAAGCCCAAGCTAAGTTCGTGGGCCGAACTGGGCGCGTCTTTGGCACAGCGAGTCGCTACTGCCGCTACGCCGCCCAGTCCGCCAACGGATTGGGCTAAGAGTCTGCGGAACCTCTCCGAGATCAAACTGAACGCAAACTCCCTGCCGTTCAAGACCGAGTACGAACCCCCCTTCCAGACACGATCTCCCGCCCCCAACCCGCCAACTGCACCTAGCACCCCGTCGTGGCCGAAGACGATCCCGCCCGAGTTCATGCCCATAGTGAAGGTGCTCAAGAAGCAGCAGAAGCTGGGCCAGGACCGGCTGGACTTCTCCATGCTGGGCTCGCTCCTGCGCCAGGAGTGCCCCAATGCCTATGAGCGCGCGGGCGTCACGAAGCTGAAGGAGTACACCAACCTCGCGCAGGAGCACGGCATCGTCGTCAGCGAGGACGACATCCACGGGCCAGGGGGCATCGACGGTCAGCGATGGGTGTCGCTGCACCCACGCCTAATGGGTGCGAAGGTCTATCAGGCCTCTGCGAGCGGCTAGGATTAGCCGCGCACATTCTGTTGCACGTCGTTATCCGACTTGGGCTGCCCCTTAGAGTCTACGCGGCTCGCAAGGGCAGTATCAAGTCAGGTTGTACTTTTAGTATTGTTTCGGGCGGAGGGGTATCTATGCGAGTGTATCGTTATTGTCACACATCTCGACGTATCCTCGCATCCAACTTCATTTACATCTGACTCATTCTTGATTGATGCGCAACAACTGTACAATACCTACAATGCGGATTACGTTTCGTGGTCACCCATACAAATCACAATGTTTGGAGGCTTGGTCGCGAATTGCTCGACGTCTTCAAGTTTGACGCGACGATCGTGGTATGATGTCTAGAAGGAGTGAATAGATATGATTCATGACAGCGATGCGCGCGACACTATTCTTAATACAAGCCCCATTATTGATGCTAGGATGAGATGCTGGTAACCGAGAGATCCTGTTATACGATCGGAAGATTCCAGGACGATGTAAGGTATGCGTGTCGTGAGCCTCACATAGGCTATGGACCGCCATTTTGGTTGCCCTGCCAGAGACCGTAGCTCTTCCCCGGTGTGGTTTGCCACAAACGGATTGTACCTGACAACGCATTCAGTGCCGTCGCGGGGGTCTAAAAATAGCTGTCACTCACCATCCTCTACGATTATGAGTAGTATACGATGAATTATCATGAGCCATTCAGTAAGAAGCGTTAAATCATGAAGACGACATGCTTACCACTACCGCTGGCAAACATTTCGCCATCGGGACTGAATTCCACACAGTGGACCGGTCCATGATGACCCTTCAAGACGTCCCTTTCCTCTCCTGTCACGTCATGTACTCTCACCCACTCGTCGCTCAGACTGCCCGTGACGAACCGGTCCTGGAGGATCGGGTGGATAGACGCGGACGACGGCGCGTACGGCAGCGTCAGGCTGTGTGTCTGCCCGCCGGAGAGCAGCGCAGGGATGAACGACACGGTCTTGCCCGACGTCACCACTAGCCGGTTCGTCTGCGGGGACAGCTCCATGGAGGTAATCGGCCCCGGGAACGTGAGGCTCGTCGTCAGCTGTCGCGTGCGCAGATCCCACCACCTAGGTACATGCGGGGATTTCATGAGCCACGGTCGAGCGGGGGCAGGCAATCTCCGCAAACGCAAATGAACGGCAAAGGCACGCGCACTCACTTGATCAGCCCGTCTTCCCCTGCCGTCACGCCCGTGTGGTCGCCGACCCACACGACGCTCTTCACGGTGCCATCGTGCGCGATCCCGCTGCCATTGTCGCTGAAGACGTCCGGCTCGGCGTCCGGGCGGCTGAGATCGAACATGCGCACTTTCTTCTCCTGCCCGCCCGTGATCAGGTGCGAGGTGCTCTGGGACACCGCGACGCTCCGGACGATGTGATTATGAGGGAACGAGTGGAGGACCTCGCCAGAGTACGTGTCCCATATTTTGCTGCACCGCCACACCCGGTCAGCCTCCGTAGATACATGTATGCGTGTATGGAGGGAGATGCACGCACGCTGTGAAGTCCGCGCTGCCAGAAGCCGCGCGCGACGTGTCCGGAGACAGCTTGCTGCACCACACGGCACCCTTGTGCCCGATGAAGGTGCCTATCCAGTCACCCGTCCATTCGCGCAGCATCGGGTTCCCGTCTTTGCAGCTGGAAATGAGCACGAATGTGCCATCGTCTTGGAGGGGAGAGAAGGAAAGATGCGTGACGGGACGCGTATGGCCGGGTGCGACGAGAGGAACGGCCTTGGGATGGTATGCCATTGGACGGATAAATGGGGTCGTACAAGAAGAACGTGATGGTCGTCGTGATACAGGCGCACTGCGCACTGCTGGGTGAAGAAGAAAGGCTCGAGCGTCGAGGCATCGACCTCAAAGACAGGCAGTACATGATGCTGCCACGTGCTCCGCGCCACTGCCTTGATCCCAACGCACGCAAGGACATCTCGACTGGCTCTCATTGGCCTCCAGCTCTTCGTCTGCAGAGCGGCTGTAGACATGCACTTCTGTCTGCATGCTCCATTGCCCAGCTCGACTTCTACCTCGTTGCGTGGTGGCCACAAAGCCCAATCGCCCCCACTTCGTGCTATACAGACGAGATGCTTCCGTGTGATCCCCGGCTGGAAGCTAAACCTTGTCTTGGATAAGGTGCACTGTGTCCACAAGCTCGTGCCCTGCTCTCCTCACACGGAGCGGTCCTGTGTCTGAGATTTGCTTGCCATGATAGGCCTTCTCAGGTGTGTACCGCCAGTGCGTCTACCAATCATGGCATACCAGTGCGATACTGTGGACATCTATGGAATTGCTGTATATGGTACCCGGTGCATCACTGGCGGCTGTCCCGTCACCATAATTTCCATTTCTCAGAGACTGTGTTCGAATACCAAAGTCCATATGCTTCTCCATTCCTCCGATAGTCCGGCTGTCACAGGTGAACATATGAACGGTCTTACAATCCTGCGAATGGCTTGGGGCTCTATTTATTGACTGCCCGTACTCTACGGACGACTTGCATCAGCAGTCATATAACTCGCAACGCTTCTGCCAACATGATATTCTCACGTCCTATCTTGAGGACGGCGGTTGGCCCATTGGGTCAAAGGCATCAGAAGCGCAGCAGTGTTGCATTTTCCTTCTTGGTCTAGGCCAATGCGGCTAGGACCGTGGGTGACGTTTGCTAGACTCACTGCATGGTGCCAATGACGGTGGCGTTGTGTGGATTTCACTCGGCGCCCCTCGGGAATAATATGCAGACCGCTTCTCGTTTGACGACCCGCGCTTCGATGATCGAGGCGATCGGGCAGCGTCGTTTGAGCGCGATCGGGATGTCACGTGGGAGTATGGATGTCGTTTTGTGGCGTGCAAGAGTGCGGGGGATGGCGTGCTCGCTCACCAGCGGCTGCTCCTCAGGCCCCGATAAAATATCCCATGATGCCGAATATCCGCGACTCATTTTCCAGGGCCTGCGATGGCCTCATAGAAGGCCTGCCTGTCGCGACTTACCGCCCTGAGTTGGAGTTGACCGCCCACGTACGCTTCTGCTGTCCTTAGCAGCACCGCTTTCGTCCACAACATCCCGACGCAAGCTGTAGATCGTTTTTGAGTCTCCTGGTGCCTGAATCCACGGCTGTCACCATCCACATTTGTCATTTCCCTTGGCTCTCGACCAACTTCTGCACCATATTGCGCGCTCCGGCCCATCTACTACTATATAACCCGGCCCAAGCTCCATAGCGTCTTTGGATTCGCTCGTTCCCCCCGCCCCCCCCAGACATGCTCTCAAAAATCAAAAGCGCAGCCAAGCGCATTGTCGGAGCGCCAGAAGAACCAGTCCCCGTCGTCAGCGTAGGACACTGGGTCCGCAACCTATCCCGAGATCCAAAACAAGATGTATGTTATTTTCATTGATTTCGTCTCGACGCTTGATGCGACTGCACCGCAGGCGATCGACTATGTGACGGGCATATTCCCGATCTTTACATGGATACACCGGTACAGTAAGTCTTCCTTCTTTCCCTGCTTCACAAATCACTAACAAAGCGGAAGACTTTGGATGGCTCTACGGTGATCTCGTTGCGGGTCTGACGGTCGGCATTGTTGCCGTCCCGCAAAGCATGTCTTACGCTCAGGTTCGGCATACGCCTTGTGACGCAAACGCTCGATCTTAATACATCTCATGATCGACAGATCGCGACGCTTCCTGCCGAGTACGGTCTGTATTCCACATTCGTCGGCACATTGGTCTATTCGGTATGCTTCCCCGTCTTCGGCATGAATTCCGTGACCGACGATCTTCTTCTGCAGCTCTTCGCGACGTCGAAGGACGTCAACATCGGTCCTGTCGCGGTCATGTCGCTTACGGTCTCGCAAATCATCGCATATATCAACAGGACGCACCCGGGCGAGTGGGATGGCCCGCAGATCGCAACTACCGTGGCATTCATTTGCGGTTTCATCGTCCTCGGCATCGGTATTCTTAGACTGGGATGGATTGTGGAGTTCATTCCGGCACCGGCAGTCAGTGGGTACATGACGGGCTCTGCTATCAGTATCGTCTCCGGTCAGGTCCCCGGCCTCATGGGCATGTCTGGCTTCGAGTACGTGTCGTGATCTTCGTGAAGTACTCAAGTGCTAATAACTCTGCAGCACACGAGCGGCGACCTACAAGGTGATCATCGAGACGCTCAAGCATCTACCAAACACGAAGCTCGACGCGGCGTTCGGTCTGACGGGACTTGTGTCGTTGTATACAATTCGATGGACGGCAGACTATTTCATGCGGAAATACCCCCGAAGGCGTGAGTGGCTTCTCGGTCACTATTGGTTGTGCTTCCCATACTCAAACGGATCTGCCCCACAGAGCGGATCTTCTTCTTTATTTCCGTCTTCCGCAATGCGTTCGTCATCATCATCCTCACGCTCGCATCGTTCCTTTTCTGCCGGCACCGGAAGTCGAAGTCAGGCAAATATCCCATCAAAGTCTTGGGAAACGTCCCGCGTGGTTTCCAGCACCTCGGGCCCCCGCACATAGACCCCGAGCTTGTCACGGCGCTCGCCAGCCAGCTACCGGTTGCCACAATCATTCTTGTGCTCGAGCACATTGCGATCTCCAGATGTACGTGTCTCTCACCGTTCGAGTTGACCGCTCTCTCACGTTACTCCCTCACGCTGCAGCCTTCGGCCGTGTGAATAATTACAAGATCAACCCCAACCAGGAATTCATCGCCATCGGGGTAACCAACACCATCGGCACCCTCTTCGGCGCATACCCTGCCACCGGTTCCTTCTCTCGTTCCGCTCTGTCGTCCAAGTCTGGAGTGCGCACCCCTGCAGCGGGCATCATCTCCTCCATGATCTGCCTCGTCGCGCTGTACGGCCTCACGCCCGCGTTCTACTACATCCCCAGCGCGGGCCTCTCCGCCGTCATCATCCACGCCGTCGCAGACCTCGTCGCCTCGCCGCGCCAGGTGTACTCCTACTGGCGCGTGTCGCCCGTCGAGTTCGTCATCTGGTTCGCCGCGGTCCTCGTCACCGTCTTCTCCACGATCGAGGACGGCATCTACACCGCCATCGCGACGTCCTTCGCGCTCATGCTCGTACGCCTCGCGCGCCCGCGCAGCTACTTCCTCGGCAAGGTCAAGCTGCGCGCGAACGCGAAGTCGGAGGCGGAGACGCGCGACGTGTTCGTGCCGCTCGAGCCGAAGGCGAGCCTGATGAACCACGCGGTGAAGGTGACGCCGCCCGCGCCGGGCGTCATTGTGTACCGCTTCGAGGAGAGCTTCATCTACCCGAACTCGTGGCTGCTCAACAACGTCATCGTGGACTACGTCAAGGCGAACACGCGGCGCGGCCGGGACATGAGCACGATCAAGCTCAGCGATCGGCCATGGAACGACCCCGGGCCTCGGCCTGGGCAGGACGAAAATGCCGAGAATCTGGGGAAGCCTATGCTGCATGCAATCGTGTTCGACTTCTCTGCGATGTTCGTCGTCATCTTCGTTGTGAGGCGTGTGCATAGTGCTAAGCGGCCGTATGTTCCTGTAGTTCCCAGGTCGATACCACCGCCATCCAAGCTCTCATTGATACTCGAATAGAGGTCGAGAGATGGACCGACCGACCAGTTGAGGTATGCAGTTCGCGTCATATTTGCACGCGCCATGTGCTGATACCTCGCCCAGTTCCACTTCGCAACTATCCTATCACCATGGGTCCGCCGAGCCCTCGTCGCGGGCGGCTTTGGCACCGGAGCCCCAGCATCGAGTGTCCCAACAGAGATCGCTGCCGTCGTCCCCTATCGAGACGGACAGTCGAGTCCTGTCTCCGTTCCCGCGTCCGGCGACCTCGAGTCTTCGCTTGTGAGCGAAGAGCCACGAGCAGGTAGCGAGGAGAGCGCGCCGATCGATCTCCAGGACACGCCCTTCTTCCACTTTGACCTTGCCTGTGCTGTCCGCTCGGCTGAGAGTGGCCTGGAAAGACGGACAGCGTCGTCGCGGTCAAGTCTGTACAAGTCAGAGGAGCTTCGCGATGACAAGGCTGTGATGGAGTGACGGACTACTATATATCCTCGATGTTATGCACGATGACGACCCCGGTGTATGTATTGGATAGATTGTACTTCTATACACATGATAGAGCACACTAGTGAAACAATTAGCCTGCGTTCGATTGATGTCGTTACGCTGCGGTACTCGGGATGAGGTGTGGCACACTGATACTATGGGGGGTAGGGAGTTGCTCAAGGCATAGAGTTGCTCAAACTGCCTTGTATAGCCTTCCACATTTTTATTTTATATCCCGAAAAATCTGTGAGAGTGTATATAGTCTCTATGGATTCCCCCCATGGCACGAAAATGATAAATTTGTGAATGTGGAGAAAGTAGCATGCTCGACAAGGCATTTCGGCAACAGTATGCAATCGCCCGATCGAGTGCATGATCGGCGGGGCTTGCCGTAGTCGCCACTGCAGTTCTCGGCCAAGCCACTCACGCACGTCCTCCCGTTCTGCTGCTTGTTGAAAGCAGTCCTGATGAATGTCCTTCGGCTTCGACTGCCTGTTTACCCGCATCTTCGTAGAGCATTCTCAACGTCTATTGTGAGACTCTCGGGACATAACAAAGTAAGCTGCAACGTCACATTGTCCCGTCCGCTGCATCTCATGCTCCTTGTGGTAGTGGTCAAAAATCAAGGAGAAGAAGGGTGCAAATGATTCGCGCAAGGGCGCCTTGTATAGCAAAGCCCACCGCGTGAGTGTGGTACCCCAATCCTACACTATGCCGTTCGTAACTCTTCAACAGGACATTGTAATAGCGGTGCGAAGTACGCCCCATGCAAACGCCGTCTTGTTTGACTTAACCAACGATCATTCCTAGCCGGTGGAAGTGTAGATCCAGAACAAAATACTACCCTTGCCGCGGTGATGAAGCGTTGCAGGTCCCAGGGCGTGCCAAATGACAATATAGAGAGCGCGCTCAAGAAGGTACGGTCGACGCTAGCACCACTAGCTGCTGAGCTATAATATCTACTCGCAGATTGCTGGTGCAAAAGACCGAGGAGACCAGCATCTGACATATGAGGTCATGGCGCCAGGTTCCATCGGTCTGATTATGTTCGTATCCTGCCTCGTGCCAGCGTGAATGAATACTGACTCTCTGCAGAGAATGTTTGTCGGACAACATCAACCGCACAATGCACGCCGTTCGGAATCTGGTAACCGGCCACGGGTGAGTGTTCCCATGACGCCTTTCACCACAGCGCATACTGAAATATCTCCAGCGCTCGAATAGCACCGGTCAAATTCTTGTTTTCACGAAAAGGCTCTGTGAAAGTAGCACTCGACAAACAAGACGGGTTCGAGACGAAACTTGACAGCCTCATCGAGCATATGCTCGACTCCGGAGCTGAGGATTTCAAAGAGACAGCGGCCAACGACACGGAAGTCGAGATGGAAGTAAGTGCAGCCCTCATTATATGTCGTGCTCTTGATGATCGTGTCCACCAGTTTTTGTGTCAGCCACAAGACCTCGCACAGGTAACTGCAGCAGCTTCGGGTTCTGGTCTGTGCCGAGATTTGCTGGCCAGTGAACTTGTCTATTCGCCAGTGGAAGAAGGCGAAGCTATCGATGAGGACACAACTCAAAAGCTAGCGGAGTTAGTTCAGGAACTTGAAGACCATGACGATGTTCTTCGGGTTTGGACGACACATAGTATATAAGACCGTATAATCTCTCATAGATGGGATATCATGGATTGTCTGCATGAGGGATAGAATGCCATTCCCAGAACTGGCTATGAAATAATCAATGACGTGACGATGAGACTAATGAGACAGCGAGTTATGAATTGATGTGACAGAAAGCAAGATAGCTGAAATTGGGAGGGGGGTATCGCGAAACGTGTATCGTACAGCGTGGCATACATACAGCGTGACTTCGTGTCGTGGCATCCAATAGATAGTCTGTCCGTTGAGTCGTAATCAAAAAGCAAAATTGAATTCATCCGGATCGAAGTGCAGTGAGTCGAATTGCAGCGAGTCAAGCCTCATCTCGAAGCTGTCTCTATCCGATGTCGGGAAGTCCGTGTCTGAACCGTCAGATATGAGCGCGAAGGACGAAGCCGAGGAACAAGACACCAAGTCCGAATCCGGTGAGCTTAATGGATCTGAGCTGGAATCTGACGGGGAGAATGCATCGACTGGCACATCAGGCATCTGTGTATCATGCAGAGAGCTGGAAGATGATGAGGGATTGAGCGTGAAGAGCTTCTGTAGTTCCAGGACAGATAGACGACGGCGAAACGACTTTCGTTTTGACACTGTTGGGTGGGACGATATACCGCGACTGGGAGTGGTGATTGGCATGTCCTCGAGAGAAGGTAGTGGATGTGGCTCCCAATAATGTGGTTCGGATGGTGAGGCCAGCGAAGGCACGGTGTGCATGGTACGCCGATGCGGCAGTGCAGTTATGGGCTTCGGCTGGGAAATAGGCATCGCATGTTCGTCAATTTCTGCAGCAGACTTGCTGTTCTGAGAGAACGTGAATAGCTGTGAGAGCACGAGGGATCGCCGTCGCGATAGGTTCGGGGCACTCGACCGCGAAGCAGCGCCTTGATCGTGGCTATCCTCCGACAGCCGAACATTCTCCCCCGACGACCATGAACTCCCACTGGTGGAAGGTATGGGTCCCCGACTGGCTTTGCGCACATTCTTGATGGACCTGAACGCATCCGTCGCGCGGGCCCGGAATGTTTTCGACTTCGTCATCTGCCCCTTTTGCTGGCCAGCATCCTCCCTACCCTCATTCCTCCGCACCTTGAAGACCTCTACGATCTCCGAATCCTCGTCCAGCACCCTTGATCGAGATGACCGCCGGGGCTCTCTCGCAGGTGCACTGTTCTCCTTCAGTTGGGCAAGGGAGCCTTTCCTCGGCAGTACGATGGTTTCTTGCGAGACATTCTGCAAGCAACGATGGAACGCAGGTGCGCGGTTGTCCAGTTGCTGCTGAAGGCTAAGGGCGGTATCCAGCGCATCGATGTCTGGTGTCGTGGACTGAACTTCATGTGCAGCGTCGTCGGCGTGAAAATAGCACCATGGTGGATTCTCGTGTTGTTCCTCCTCTGGAGGGCTCACGATCACGTTCGGCATGATAGCCTCCTGCATGGACGTATCCTGAGACGGTGGAGGGGCGTAAAGGCTAGGCAGCGACGGGAAGGGGGTGGATAAGGAGAGTGACGAGGCCATTTCGAGGCCGGTTTGCAGCAAGAAGATTACAAGAAAGGCGAGAGAGGCGTTGGTGAGCGAGGTGATAGGACGCCGCGAATTCGAACCAGACGCGTCGAGGCACCTGACCGTCAGCCAGTGGGCGCGTATGTACGTGATCGTGTCTGTTCCTTTTCAGGCAAGTCTTTACGTTCGTGTTCAGTATTCCTATTAGCACATTTACTGAGCTATACAGCTTATAGCTACGCGTCTCGTATGCACTCTGCCTGAGATATACAACTACTCAAGGAAGCTCGCATATACACTCAATCTCAAAGCTTGCACCCATCGGTAAGACTGCGACGCCGACGCATGTCCGCGCGGGCGGGTGCTCGGAGAAGTACTAGTAGGTCCGCATGAACGGTTAGCGATCGTCGTATCGTGTCATTAAAATGTGCACCTCTGCATATATTTTATTCATGGGCGCAAAGTCTTCCTTGAGATTGGTGAGGAAGATATTCACTTTCAGGATGTTCTGCAAGTCCGCCCCGGCCGATCGCACGATCTTGAGCATATTCTCAATCCCTGCGCGCTGAGGAGCATTTTTTCAGTGCGGGACAAGATATCTATACATATACTGACTGTTTGTTCCTCTAGCCCGCCGACGAGCTTGAAGTCCTTGTCGCATCCGATGCTGCCAGAGACGTACACAGTCTTGCCCGATACTGTTGCGTGAGCTGACTCGGAACGGATCGCTGAGATATAGATGCTATATAACACAGAGGAGAAATGCTCACAGAAAATAGGCAGAGGGGGGACGGCCTCCCTGCTGGTCACACACGACTTCACCATAACTGTCTCGACCTTGCTTATAGTGAAGTAGATGGGCTTTTGTACTTGGGGAACTCAGCGCTCTTCGGATTGAGTGTCAGCACTCGGGCGGTTGGTCATGATCGCCGAATCTCAAGGACCGGTCTTTGTCAGTGCACCCTTGATCAGGTTGATCAGTTTTAGTGCGCGTCTGCCTTTGGATAGTGCAAGCTTCGTAGGCTAAAAATCACAGCCTTGAAGAAAGTGATCATGACGTAGAGGTTCATGAGAGATAATAAATCTGTCGGTAGGATGGTCTTAGACCGTGACGAATGGATCCCACCGCTAACTTGCGGATTAGCCAGGTCTTGGGTCAGCTGACACTGGCGGTGCTCTACACTACTCCTTTGATGATGTCAATGTAATTTTAATGACCTTTCGAACTCTGCCATGGGAGGATAAACCTCAGGCGTCAGAAAGTATGAACGCACCAAGACGCGTCGTGCCGTGAAACAAGTCGCGACGATAAGCGCCAGGACGCGCCACTCACGCGCGCGAGCGCTTGCACGTCCTCTGGTGACCGTGTGCTTGAAAGTTACCGCACTCAATTTGCCCTAGGCTTCCTCACATTCTTGGCCTACCTTCACCCACGTCGGATATGTCGGACAACTTTGCTATCGCTGCGACCCCGCAAGCCCATGCTGCAGACATCGAATTCCTCGTCCGCCGGGGAATGACGAAAGGCTACCAAATAATGTCTCTCCTAGCACCTCCGCTGTACTCTGCGTTCGCGCTCTCGCGGTACGGACGGGCACAGTTCTCGATCAACCGAGTTCTGCGTGCAACATGGGTGGGCGGCTCGATCGGTGAGCAATGACCAAAGCGCAGTGAATTAGTCGGTTTCACCTGAAGTCTCGACATCGAATCTCCTGTACCGGTTAAAAGGCATCGTTGGAGGCGGCGCATTCGAATACGTGCGCTCGGCGTACTCAAACCCGCACAAGGTCAGGGCAAGACGCATCCAAGCTGCTTATGATGTATGTTCTAGTAGAGTGGTGTATAAGAATCCTGGTATAACGAATGCTCACGGACGCTTAGACTGGCTCAATACGGGCGGACGATCATTCTACCATTGGTGGTATTCTGCTTGCTGTGCTTACCCCGGCCGTCTTCTGGAAGCGGGCATCCGTAGCAAATCGTAAGGATGACATTCTGCCTGGTTACCTGCTGCTCATTCTCTATCAAACTGCAGTTATCCTTGGTGGGGCGGGAATAGGTTCTGCCATCGGTCTCCTGGCACATCATGGCAGAACTGTGACTGGCGATCCCGCGCCGAGAGTGCGGATACCAGAAAATCCTGTCAGCGGGCAACCCTGAGATGAATGAGTAGGTCCACTCTGCAGGTTCGACTGTCTTTCACTATGGCGCGCTCCCCTTTGAGCAACATCATGATGTCATTCCGTATTCAGGCTCAAAGTGTTTACCTCACCCTCACATTTCATTCCCTAAATGGTCGAGATAATACCTTAACTCCTACCCTCGTCTCTAAGTCTACCGTCAAGGACAGGGTGAATCTCCGCCAAGTCTTGTTCGTCTGAGCCGTCATCTCCCTTTTTGTCCTCCTTGTCGTCTGGTCTCCCCCGCCTAACGGCCTTTCCGTCAAAGTGGTCGACCTCACTCATATGCTCTCGTTGTGCGATGTCGATGTGGTCGCGGTAGTGCCCGCGCGACCAGCGTAGCGCTCCCTTCGCAACGCTCCGCAACTTATTCACCATCCCTCCAGAGTGCTGGTGGTGCGGCTCCGGCCGGGTCTTGGACGTCGACCGCCGCTCGTAGTGTCGTTGTCTGGCCTTCTCGCGGCTGATCAGATGCGGCGTGTCTGGGTGTAGCGTCTCAACTTGTGTATGATCCTCGAAGCGCGACATGCGATTCACATAGCGACGTCCTACGCATATATTCAGACAGCGATTTATAGGATAAAAGAAGAGCGCACACCTAGCAGGTATTTGCGCACTATTTGGCTCATCATCTGGCCGCTTTCATCGTCGACGAGGTATTTCTGGTCTTTCAGCGCGAGAAAGCCGTCGTGCCCCTGCGCCATGTACTCGCGGGTGATGATACGATACTTGCGGCCCTCGCGGGAACGCGGTACGGACTCTCCGTCTACAAGGATGACCGGAGTTGAGGCACCACTGTTAGTGCTTTGCGTTGACTGGAGACTGGTCTTCGAGGCGGTGGCTGATGACAATGGCGTGGGTGACGCGCTTGTATTAGTGGCACTCGCGGGCTCTTGCACGAGCCAAACTCCCAGGACCCGTTGTCCCGGTGCCCGACGAGAATCCCAGGACACCCGAAACCCAGAGATGACGGGGAATCGTCTGTGTACATCTGTTATGCACTCGTTGTGGTGGTGTATTTGTGCCGTGACTCACCCTTCCTGTGCCGGCCATGTTGACAGGCTCTGCTCGAAAGCATCCCAGAGAGATGCTCCATCTATTTCGAGCGCAACGATAGGGTCTTCAAACGGTAGTATCTCCATGATATCGCCGAGCGTGATGTTACCTACAGATCAGGTCAGTGCGGTGGGCTGCGGAGTATTGTCCGCCAAGTACCAGGGCCGTATGTTGAGTCACCACGCAATGTGCCCGCGCAGATAAATACGCCATTTGAGCCGCTGCCCATTGTCGGCGCGTCATCGTAACAGTGTCTCAGGACATCCGCAAACCAGTTGGCAGAAGCAGTCTGTTGACAAGCAACGTCAGTCAGGCAGTGGAGGCGCGAACACAGATGAACGGACCTCTTGCGTACGAATAAGCTCCGAACGAAGGTCAAGCTCGACGGCGGTCTTGCACACCGGCGCCTTCAGCGCGTCTGAGACAGATGAAAGGACCGATTCGAGGATCTTCGCTATATGCGCATTCTTCTTCGAGCCAGGCTGTGTCGAGTGCCGTTTCCCTGTCACACAGCTCAGTCTCTGCGCACTCGCCTGCATCGGTCGCAGGACGGACCTCTGATCGCGGCGATGGCCTTCCGGCGCACACCACCCGGCGGGGCGTCGACAAGCTCAAGCGCAAATTCGCTGAGGTCGCGGAAGTCTGTACCGCTTTTGATGACGAGGACGTCGCCGCGGTCTGCTTCGGCACCGAGCACGGGATGCGTTGTGTCGTAACCTTCCCAAGAGGTGACACCGTGCGAGACGTAATAGAGATGGTCGTGTCCGCCAAGGATGAGGTCCACGCCGTGTGTCATGTGCCATCCGGGGCTGTCTGTCTGGCCGGTGGGCGAAAGCGCGCCGATGGCTTTTGCAAGTGCGATGTCCTGGTAGCGGTTTGTTACGAGAAAGGGGACGACCAGGTAGCACGTACATTTGGTACACTAATCCAGGCGCTTATGAGTAGAATCTTGACGTGCGGGAAAGTGACGTACCGAGCGTGAGTGAGGGCAATGACGATGTCGCATTTATGCTTTCCTTCGGGGTCGCGGAGACGCAGGGAGAGTTCTTTGGCTGTCTCCGCCATGTCTCTGTACTCGAAGTTCTCTGGCCAAGATGATACCGTACTGATCCATTCTCTGCAATCAACGATTGAGTCAGCCTCTATGTCCCGAGAATTTATACTAGTGTGAGTGCGGACTTTTCTACTAAACCTATGACTCCTATACGAATACCCGCGCGCTCGAGCACATGGAACTCGTGTACATGCTCCGGAATACGAGACGTTTTATTATCTACAATGTTGCTTAGGAGCCAAGGCTGCGAGACATAACCTTAGGTAAAGAGTGACCATGAAAGATCGGCAACATACGAAATTTGTGTCCTTTATCAGTTCAGTCAAATGCGGATAGCCTGCAATCATCAACAATCATCAGATGAGATTGAATATTACATGAAGTGGAAAAACCCTGCCGAAGTCGAAGTCGTGGTTCCCTGGACACGTACAACATCTTGTCATGTGGAGAGCAACTAAGTAGAGCGCAACGGAGACAGACCTGTTACGGCTACATCCGGGGCAATCGCGTTCATTACGGGCACCTAGCGGAATAACTTTAATTTTGGTCCCCATTAATCACGCCCCTATACTGTGCGCACTGCTTCTCATAGTCCATTGCGACTGACCATATGACTGCCGCGCGTAACCGAGCTTTCCACCGACGGTGAGAAGACATCTCCGGAGAAGAGAACAAGACCGTCGGGCTTGCCAATCGGTCCTTGCGGCCATTGATCACGTATGTTGTCGAGCATAGCTGCCCATTGCGTGACATCGATGGTCTCTGGGGACTTTGGAGAGAGCTTGAATGGCTGGACGCGATAGACGTCATTAAAATGCAGAATCTGCAGTGTTGTCATTCTGAATCGCTGAGGTTCAAGTATTCGCCGGGTCGACAGCCGATGCCTACCAGTCCTACAACTTATCGAAGCAGATGATTTGGAGAAGCAGATAACTGCTTGGTCTCGCCGAGATGACCAGTTTGACGCCCGTAAGCACTGTAATCGTGTGATCCGTTTCGGCATGAGGTACGTGAGAAATGGTGGTGGTTCCAAACGGGGCAAGGGTATTGAATTTCGGCAAGACGTACGCAATGTTAACTTTAGCTTAAGTCCAGACAATAAGTCAATGTTCTGGCTGGTTGAGAGAGTGAAAGCAACAAGTTTCACTGCGCCAATGAATACTGATTGCGGGGCAGCCCGATCCCAATCTTGATGTCGATCAAGACTATGGGCGCTCAGTGAGTTGCCGTCGAGCGTCCGTCCGGGTTATCCGGGACCATTTCTCGGCCCATGTCTTCTTGTCAGCCTCGGCATTACTGCTGTGTGAGATAGAACACATCAATTTATACGCCTTCGGGCATGCGAGAGCACATATAACGCGACATAGGGTCGCATCACCTCAGCCCTTCCGACTCAGGGAATCTTACAGCCTCTTCCCGACATCGCTCGCATGCTGTCTGTCATGCAGAGGTCATCAGAGCATGATATACAAGAGCACGCCGATGACTCGCAGAAGGTTGTCGACCCTGAGAAGGGCCCAGAGATCGAGACCTCCCTCAGGATTCACGAAGAGAGCCATTATCCCGGCAGCGGCACTCACGAGGATCCTTACATAGTCGACTGGGACGAAGATGATACTGAAAATCCAATGAATTGGTCCAAGTCATGGAAATGGGTCATTACTTTGCAAGTGCGCCCTCCCCCTCAGCTTCTTTGCTCGCGAGATACAAGCTATCGAATTAAATCAATCTAGCTTGCGTTCGCCGCATGGGTTGCATCGTTCTGCAGCAGTGCTTATAGCGGCGGAATAAATTACACCATACGTGATTTACACATCTCCAAAGAAACAGCTCTTTTAGGCATATCTCTATACGTGCTCGGTTTTGTGGTCGGGTAAGCAGGCACAGCTTCCCTTGAACCTGGTCACTCATGTCAAGTCCTCAGCCCCCTACTGTGGGCGCCGCTCAGCGAGGTGAGTTGGTACAGCGTCAGTACGTTTGAGCACAATTAAGCGTACGCAAAACAGCTTTATGGAAGAGTACTTGTTCACTTTCTGCCTTACGGCGCTCTACTCACACATACACCAGCGGATCATCTTCCTGGGTACCTTTGCAGCCTTCACACTCCTACATCTCGGAGGCGCACTCTGTACCAATGTCGCAACGCTCCTCGCCACCCGCCTGCTCGCCGGAATATTCGGAGTCTCACGTACGTTCCGGGGTGAATGGGTCACGCTCAATGCGCTCACTAGCAGTTAACTTATGCAGCTTTTACGAACTCTGGTGCTGCATTAACTGACATTTGGGTCGCCCGCGATCGGGGTGTCGCGTCATCTCTCTATGCTTGTGCACCGTTCCTAGGACCGGGTAAATATCACAGCCATCTATCTGACACCGTCTTAATGCGCCTGTGGCAGTGATTGGACCTATCGTGGGCGGCTGGGTCTCCATGTCCCGTTTAGGCTGGCATTTCGTTTTTTGGATCATGTTCATTGTGGCGGCTCTGTCGTTCTTGGGCTTCGTGTTCATCGCGCCGGAGACTGTACGTCTTTCGCATGCACACTCCTATTGCACATTTCAACGATTCTGCATAGTATCCGCCAGTGCTCCTGAGCAGGCGTGCGCGAAAGCTACGCAGAGCGACTCAAGGAAGGGTCGTATACATTTCCAAATACGACGTCGGACGCTCCAAAGATGTCTTCGAAAAATTCAAGATAAATATGGCGCGTCCCTTCAGTATGTCGCATACGCCTTCGCTATGCTCCTTGCACTAATTATCTTTTTGGAAGTCTTCCTTGTGACGGAGCCCATTGTGTTGCTCCTCGCTATTTATATCGCCATCGCGTACTCGATACTGTATGTATTCTTTGCGGCGTACCCGATTGTGTTCCAAGAACAACGGCATTGGTCTCCCGGGCTGGGCGGACTCGCCTTTATCGGGGTCGGGGTGGGCACGACGGTAGGGTTGTGTCTATCCCCATTGCAGAACAAGTACTATAGGGAAGCGATGGCGCGGAACTCAACCGGCCTCCCCGTGCCGGAGGCGTAAGTAACAATCATCTCGGCTTTACGCTAGTGCTGACTCAAAATAGGCGGCTGTTTTCTCCAATGATCGGAGGCGTATGTCTTCCCATTGGTCTGTTCTGGTTTGCCTGGTATGTTCTGCGTGGCTTAATTACTTAGCTGATGTTCCCCTGATTTCTTGCCCTCAATCTGAAAACAGGACAAGCCCGCCTCATGTATTCTGGCTCGTGCCCATTCTCGCGGGCGTGCCGTTCGGGACCGGCGTTGCACTCGTTATGCAGGGACTCACGCAGTACCTCATGGATGCGTATCAAACCTACGGCGCGAGCGCACTCGCAGCGACGGTCGTCCTCCGCTCGATTTGTGCGGCGGTCCTCCCTGTCATCATTCCGATCATGTACAAGAATCTTGGCGACCAATGGGCGATGGGAATATTTGCCTTCCTCGTGGCGGCGTGCATGCCGCTGCCCTTCCTTTTCTACGTGAGACATTCTCGAGCTTGTGTCGTGCTTGGTTGTTCTGACCGTTCCATGCACGCTTAAGGTTTACGGCCCGCGAATACGCCAGCGCTCGCGGTGGGCGCTGAAGGATACCCTACCACCTCTGGTGGGTATGACAGCCATCGCTGGGAATACGCAAGTGAAGATGTGATCTGACATGCTTCCTCCACCTGTATTGCTATCATGACTATAGACTCCCCCGACGATGACTGATCTCATAGAATAGATTATTATGACACAGCCACGATATGTTATATTACGAATAGAATCGACAGCTAGACCAATTGCTGCCGATCTAGGCGAAGGAATATTGACCTTGAATAGCTGCTGAAATACTACGCAGGGTAAGACGATGGGAATCGCGAAGTTGAATCTATGATCGATCAATTGTTATTCTTTCGATATGTATGCCGTGGCAGCGGGGTTTTAGAATCTGGAGTCCGAGGCGAAGACCCGTAAGAAGGAATGGCGGCTGCATAAGGCGCAATCCTACGGGGAACGCGGGATCTACATGTCAATGTCAGACAGTTTATGCTTTCCCAATCACGAAGTAAAGAATTTCATGAATTACTGTGATTGACTGAGACATCGGCGGCTGTCCGGGAACGATCCCGCGCGCGTTGCCAGCGCCTGCATTAAGATCACATGATCGCGTTTGCTTACGTACACACAAGCGGTGGCTGGTCGCTGTATAGTTTATGCCAGAATCGTCCTGAGTGTTCACACGCCTATGGACACCATAGGCTCCCTCATCCAAGCTACCGCTCGCACGTCCCAACACACGAATTTATCAAGATGGTGAGTACAGATGCTCCTCAGGATATGCCGAGTATGTATTGATTGCGCTCCCTATGACAGACGAAGCGAACCCGCAAGGTCGGCGTGACTGGAAAGTACGGTACCGTAAGTCGCGGCTGTGTGAAATGGCAAGGATGCATAAACGGGGGTCTAACGACGGCTTTGTTCCTGTCAATAGCGTTATGGTGCCTCCCTGCGTAAGCAGGTCAAAAAGGTTCGTAGACAGTGCTATCGTTGTGCGATTGTGAGGGTCTCATGTATCTGGCATAACAGATGGAAATCACCCAGCACGCACGATACACCTGCACTTTCTGTGGCAAGGTGGGTTATGCTTATATGTGTGCGTCGAGTATCCGGGCTCACTGTGTCCGTATGATCCTTTCAGGACTCCGTGAAGCGTCAGGCAGTCGGCATCTGGCGCTGCAACTCATGCAAGAAGGTGATTGCGGGTGGTGCATGGACGGTCACGACGACGGCAGCTGCCACTGTCCGCAGGTACGCGCTTACTCGACCAGTAGTGTGATGATAGCTAACTTGCGTACAGTACTGTTCGTCGGTTGCGCGAGATTACGGAGGCATAGACGATCTCCGATTTCCATACCTTCCATGCTATGTCATAGGCTTTCTCGCTCGCATTTTCATATCATGCAAATATGTACTTTTGGCACGGTCAAGATAGACTGCCATCATCGACAGCTGCAGATCATTCCAAGCAAGATATAATGAGATGCCTGTATTACAAGAGGGTATTACAGTGAGATTGAACAGCTATATTCTACGACCATTCACTCTGAGTCATGGGTCTCAATGACCTCTTCATTGGCATCTTCCTCATCGTCATCACTCTCGTCATCGTCATCTTCGTCACTATCATCATCGCTCCCACTTTCATGGAAAGTAAGAGAGATGAACTCGTCACCAAGCTGAGCCTCTTCAGCAGTGACAGGGTGAGAGCTGGAGGCATCAGCAGTAGCAGAGTTAGAAGAAACAGAGGCATCAGCTCGTAGGGAAGTCTGGCCAGCAGAAGCATCCTTGGAGCCAGCGCTGCTCGCAGCCTTGCGGTTGCGGTTGGCGCGGATAACATGCGGAAGCTTGCATCCCTTGGTAGTGCACTCCCCTTTCTCCGCAAAGTCGGGGCATTCACGAACATGTTGCTTGTCGCAGTCGAGGCCCTTTTCGCAGTAGCCGAGCACCGCGAAGTCGCGGCAGACACCCTCACGCTTGCCTACGCGCACGTGGGGGAAGGGGCAGTTGGCGCGGTGACACCGACCGTTATTAGCAAAGTGCACGCAGAGCGGCGTGCGTTCTGGAGTAGGATCGTGCGAGAGAGCACAAGTTTCCGCTGTGTTGGGACAGTTGCCCTGCAAGAAGTTCCAGCAGATGGCGATCTTGGTGGGATCGTGCTGATACATGCAAGTCAGGCCACGATTGCAAGCACCTACAATGCCATGGTGCAAGCGACGGCCATCGCGATCATGTTTGTAAAATATCTGAGGGGTCCGAACAGCGAGACGCACCTGTTGTTGTAAATCGTGCGCATGGCTTGTTGACCTTGCGTTTGCTTGATACGCGACGACCTCTGCGAAACGGGTAAGGTTGAGCTTGCCTATGTTCAACACCTGCCACGAACTGGTAAGGCCTGTGAGAATTGTTGAGGGTCATGTTACGAGCACGGCCACGGGAGACCTTCGGCTTGTATGTGCGATTAGGGTTGACGAGGGTGCCCGCCTTGTTCCGTGCGAGAGTGATCGGGGGGACAGGACGGCGTGGCGGTTTAGAGTCACCCACTGAGCTAGGCTTGTTCACTGGCCATGGTATGTTAGATCCCGCGTATAGTATAATGGAAAGCGACGAGGGCTTGAGCATACAGTCTTTGCGGACGAGCGAGCGACCCGATGATTCGAAGGCGACCCCTCCGATAACGACATCGCGCTTCTGCGAGCTTGAGGGAACTGGCAACCTTGGGGGGTGAACAGTTGACGGTACTGGCGTGGTTGACTTGCTGGGGGGCTTGTAGTTCGGGTTCACGTATACGTTGCTCCTAGGTGGGCGGCTTGCGGGGTGTCCTGCGGGGTGTCCTGTTGAACGCGCTGGGGGTTCACTGGTCTTGTGCTGATTGATCATGCCTAATGAACGGCCGTAAGCGAATGAAGGATCGCAATCTGGATCGAGGAACGAACCTTTGAGGCGTGCGATTTCGAGTTTGAGGGCTGCGGCTGAAGTCGAGGGATCCATGGTGATGGTCGTGGTCAGCTTGACGATGCTGAATGAGGACGGGGAACCACGGTCCTATGACTCGGACCGATTTGGCAACTGTTTGTCATTGGTTTGCCATCGTCCCAAAAACGGACCTAAACCAAATTGCGTCCTCTGCCTTGGTCTGCCCGCGCCGCCATAGCCCACACAGCTCCCCATGTAGTATCGACAACCCATGCCAAAGGCACGCAAGAACACACGCAAGGCCCCCATTACGCATGGAGAGGTGGCCGCACCTGCAGGCTCTTCCAGCAACCCGGCTGCAACACGCGCAGTGATCCGTCGCTTTCATGTCCTGCTCAAGCGCAAGGCACAGCTCGAGAAAGCCCCTGGGGATGCGCGCACGGCTCAGGCCCTTGCGGATGTCAAGCACGAGATTGAGTCCCTCGGCGGGCTAAAGGCGTATCAGCGGATGTCCACCATTGGGCAAGGGAACGACCGTGGTGGCGGCAGCGAGAAGATATTCGTAGGATGGCTGCAGGACATCGGCGTTGCGGGCAGCGCACAGGCTGAAGAGAAGCGTCTCAGGTGTGTTCTGTATTATAGCATGGCAGCTACTCAGAATTTATTCCGACGTTCGTTTGTCGGCCTGCGCGATGCGCTTTCAAGGCTGCTGGAAGTGGGTGCTCTCAAGCCCGATAACTATGCTTCCTGCTCTGCATGGATAGAGGCGACGCCGATCGACCTCCGCTCGAACCACCCAGCCATCAAAGAGCAAGATTTTCTGCTGATGGACGAGGAAGAGAACTGCGCCCAATGGGACCTCATAAGTCTCAGTCTTGTCCTCAACTTCGTACCAGATGCCCCAAATCGAGGCAGGATGCTACGCATGGCACACTCCATGCTGCGTCCAGGCGGTTACGTCTTCCTCGCAGTATGTGTCTTATGTCGAGAGACCCAAGAGATCGTTCCTAACCGTACCACAGCTGCCCCTGCCTTGCATCATGAACTCGCGTTATCTCACGTCGGACCATTTGGAGGCCTTGCTGCAGACCGTTGGCTTGTCCGTCGTTAAGACCAGATGGAAGGAAGGCGGGAAGATGGCATACTGGCTGCTCAGCAAATCCCAGCCAGACGACGCCACAGCTATCAAGACCTACAGCAAGAAAGTCGTGCTACGTTCTGGAAAGAGGAACAACTTCGCTATCCTCTTGTAGTATACAATACAATAGATTGGTCGTTAGAGTGGGTAGTCGTGCTGCACAGATATGACTGTCGAGCGACAACGACGTTGCGCCACACTGCCAGCTCCTACTGCTTGCTTCTCTCCAAAGTATCAGGGTATAGCTGTAGATGATTGTGAATCAGTGAATGCTCGGTTAGTCCCGCAGTTGTCGATCACTTACTTTACCAGGGTTGAGAATGTTCAACGGGTCAATAGCCTTCTTAATCGTCTTCATCAGTTCGACGGTGTTTTCACCCAGCTCATCCACTAGATATTCCTTCTTTCCGACCCCGACGCCATGCTCGCCAGTACCTACAGAACGCGTGAGCCATTGCGATCTCTCCACGAAAGCTTCAGACTATCACTCACACGTCCCGTCAAGCCGGATCGCACGATGCACCAAGCGGTGCACGGCGTCGCTCACAGTCTGCAGCTCCTTGTCGTCTTTGAACAGGATCAGAGCATGGAAGTTACCTGGATAATGCTCAACTCCCGCCGGTTTCATAAGTGGCCACAGAAGACCCACCGTCGCCCACATGCCCGACGATCGTCGAGCGCAGCCCATTCTCCGCCAGATCCCGCTTCGTCTCGTGCACCAGCTGCGGCAGGCGCGACGGCGGCACGCACACGTCCGTCGTCCAGCAGCGCGAACCAGGTTCGCTGCCAATCGTGCTAATGAGCGCGTACTTGCGGCTCTCCCACAGCTGCGCAGCCTCCTCGTCCGTCTGCGCGAACTCGAAGCGCGTACTCCCATGCCGCGCGACCGTGTCCTGCACTGCGCGCGCTGTGGCGCCGATCGCCGCCTCGTCGCCCTGGATCTTGAAGAAGAGCGTGTCGCTCACGGGCAGCGGCCGTGCAACCTCGCCCGCGGCATTGATTGCGGCCATCACTAGAGAGGTAAGAGTTAGAAGTGGCAACAGGAAAAATATCTCAACAGACTACGGACTGCGATCATCCAGGAGCTCAACACATTCTGAGAAACGATAAGCCTCAAGAGATATCACCGGACGAGTCACTAACGCAGGTGCGGCCCATGTGGGCTATTGAGGACTTCTTGGACAGCGCTCACAGCGTGTCCGACGTCAGGGAATTGCGCCATTGCGACCTTCGTAGGCATGAGCGGAGCCAGGCGTAGTGTAGCTGAGTTACCCTTCCTTAAGCATGCCGAGCTACAGTTCTGACAATAACACGCACCTTCGGTAATGATGCCTAGTGTACCTTCCGCACCAATGAATATTTTCGTTAGATCAAATCCAGCGGAGGATTTGCGGGCTCGCCGCCGTGTCTTGATGACTTTGCCGTTGGGTAGCACTGCAGTCTTCCGATAGGGATCAGTCCGGAGGCCTTGTGTGACGTTTGGACGTGGTGGCACGCACGATGTTCAGGAACCATTCGCTCTTGGCGGTACCGTAGCGGACGGCATTCGCTATGCAAGCCAGCAATTAGGTAAACCAGGCATCCAACTTCGCGTTAATATGTCTCGCGTACTGCCTGAGCAACCTGTGCCTATCATTCCACCGATAGTCTGGGAGTCATTCGTTTAGTGGGTTATGCTCATCTGAAAGGATGTCATCGGACATACCGCGCCTGGACCCGGGTCGAGCTGCAAGCCAGTGAGATTATGTACGACATTATGCCGGTTGCACCTACCGGGAAGAAGAGAGGGATCCCCTTCTCTTTGAGAGTTTCGTTGACTACCTCCCATTGAACGCCAGGTTGACATATTAGGTCTCCATCGTCCTCTGCGCGAGCATGACTCATTCTGAAGATGCTTCTGATTGCATGGAGTGCATACCATGAATCTCCAGAATTTTGTCCATGCCTGACATGTCAAGGCAAATGTCGCCGTTTGTCAGCTGTGAGTAACATGTCCATCAGCGTTTTCTTTGGTTGTGGGAACATCTCGCACCCCGGAGAAATGACCCTCGAGGCTAGTCGCGCCGCTGTAGGGGACAATGGGTACTCGGTACTTGCGGGCAATGTTGACGATTTTGACGACATCCTCCGTGCTCGATGGACGCACGACGACGGAATGGGGGGCAGTAGGGTGGTAGGTGTTGTCGGAATGTCCGTAAGTAGTCAGCACGTCCGGGTCAGTGGTGACAGTATCCTCGCCCGGTAGGGCCTGACGTAGTTCAGCAATGGCCTGCTGTATCTCCTCCTTTGACGCGTACTGGTACTCGCTCGGCGCGTGAGGAAGGTCCTGGTCCATAGTAGTCTTGGATTGGTGGTCCGGTGTCAAACTATCGCTGCCGTGTCCGATGTTCGCACCATCAGCGTTTACTGTGCCCCTGCGTTGCATGATGTATCCAAGCCCAGCCGCAAGGCCCGCTCCTAGCAGAAAGCCTTGGAGGCCCTTGTAAGAAGGACCTGATGGGGATGTGGCATTAGACGAGACACGTCTTGCCGCGGATGGGAGAGTGCGCGACGACGAGAGGCGTCCGGACGCTGTGCGGCCTAGAGTGCGCGTCGCTCTCAGCATTGCTGTGGTGGTGGTATATGGTCAAAGGGCGGACGGTGGGATGACGTGCATGGGGTCGCATTCATATTTATCCTCCACACGGCGATCCGTGATCGCGATTAAACGATCGACTCGGTGCCGGGGTTCTCATCGGCGCCTCTTTCAGCAGACGCTCATCTCGCCCATCTCAAACTCGACATACCACAGATCCCGCCTTCCACTGGGCAGTGGGGCATCATCAGTTGCCCTCAAAATCAACGTCCCTTCATAGCACCTTTCTGGTACTCTTATGTCCGCCGAATATCTGGACACTACTCTCTCGCAGATCAGAGAACTTATTGCACGACTGCAAGCCCCGGTGCCCGATAAACTTACTCTGCTTCAGCTGCTCAGTGCTCCTCTGGACCACTTGGGACTGCTGCCACCCAAGTTCAAACGGTACAATGTGTCTCCTTTACCAAGTGACTCCCTCCACATTTACCGACACATCCCGCTGCTGCAACGAGCGCTCCTCGAACACATCATACCTTCATGGGAGCCCATCCTCACACAGGAGGGAAACCAAGCGTTGTTAGAACAATATTTCTTCCCAGACGCCATTTCCTTTACTTCCCCCTCGGCGGGACAAGTCGCTACGCTCGCGTACTCCACCATCCTTTCGTCGCCCCTCACAGCGTCGTCCATTCGCATCCTAGTGAGACTGGTGAAGTCGTATCCGATAGATGTGCTGCATTCAGTCGTGTACTCTAGCCGAAACACGGGTGCGTCAGGCAAGCAGGAGATTTCCTGGGAAGATTGTGTGCGCAATCTTGCAGCAATCCCTGCAAAGGTAGCGAATGCTCTCGGTGGAAAGGCCGACGTCCCCGTGGAGTTGCAGCAGGGCACGTACTTCCATGGTCTCAGCATACGCTGCGAACGTCTGATCGACACCCTGGCTGCGGACTCTTCCCGAGGTCCGTAAAGCATTGCATTCCCCAAGTCTCACCGACTTATCCCACGTTTAACCTCAGAAAGTGTTTCATCTTTGACATACCTACTCGGAAAGCTTGTCAACGTCGGCGTGTTTCCCCCATCCCATCCCACATCTCCTTCCGAGCCCTCCTTCTTTCAGGCCACTATCCCCGCCATCCGCGCGCGTCTTTCCGTCCCCAATGCGTCCTACGCGGCAATGTGGCGCAAACTCCTTACCTCTCTTCCCTCTTTCTCAACCCTTCAGTCCATTGTCACATCTTTACTTGCATCGCTCGCAGACATCCCTTCGGACTTCAACGCCACACCGCTCGCTCGCTCATTCGTAAAGCGCGAGGCGCAGCTACTCAAAGACCTTTTGGGTAGGCCGTGCAGTGGGAACGGCGAGTTGTTGGATTGCTTTAGCGCGGTAGCGCTAGGGAGGGAGTGGCCCGAGGGTCATGCGCGCATCTTTGCGTGCTGGACAGCTGGGGCGGAGAAAGACGAAAGCGATGCCGAAGGTAGTGTCCAGCGCCATCAGAAATATATTCTCCAGCTGAGATCACATTATCTTAGCTTTAGAAGCAGTCTTGTCGAAGGTAGTAGATATTTGGACGAACCCAGACCACATCAGGCACTCCATCCTCTCACGGCACCGGTGTATGTGTTTGCTTCCCCCAGCCCAGCACAGGACTCACCACTGCTCCTACAGACATGACATCTCTCCTCCTGCTCACTCTCGCCTCGGCCCGGCCTCCTGAGCCCACGTTTCAATCGCTCGCATTCTCCCCGCCTTTCATACGCGCGATCTCGACGTACATCTCGCACCTCGACCCCGCGGTGCGCCGCTGCGGCATGCTCGTCGCGGAGGAGGTTGCGCGCGGGGCGGGCAAGAAGCTCGACTTTGGGGACTGGGACGGCCACGGCCACGGGCGCGACTGGTGCCGCCGGCTGCGCGCCCTGATGCGCGAGCGGGACGCCGACGCCGACGTAGACCTCGCGCCTGCCCTCGAGGACGGTATCACTCCTCTAGACCCAGAGGGCGAGAGCGAGAGCGCTGCACCTCTCACTCCCACCGCCGAACCGATAGAGGCGGAGACTCCGGGTCGGCCTGCGCGCCCCACGGTGCAGGACGCAGGGTACGACTCCGACGACTCGCTCACGGGCTATGCATCCCCGCCGGCGTCCTCGCGCTCTGCCTCGCCGACACCGTCCGAGCTCGAGGAGATCGAGCGCGACCCCACGCTGCGCGTCGGCCAGAAGAGCGTGCCGCACCCCGTGTACCTCGCGCAGCTCGGGGAGCTGGTGCGCAGCACGTCGGGCGTGCGCTCGGAGCAGGAGGATATGCAGGCCCAGAAGCACGAGGTCGCGCTCAACGTTGCGGAAGAGCTTATTCGGCGCAAGCGGGCGTATGGCACGGAGCTCGGTATGTGTGCAGATGCGTTTAGCCCTGAGAAGGTGCTGATAGTTGTGCGCGCGCAGAGGAAAATGCGGTGAATTTGGTGCATGGTTTCTTGGGGCTTCAAGATAGTTATGATATTGAAGGCTTCGAGGAGAAGCGGCAGGCGGCTCTGATCGCTCTCGTCGCGTGCTGTCCCCGGAAAGCGGCCCCGTGAGTAGCCCGGTTCTCCCTGAATGAGTTTAGCCTGACCGTCCGCAAATAGCACCCTCATTGAAGAAATTTTCCGCAATCAGTACTCAACCAACCAACGATACGTTACCCTCAATGCCCTCGCTGTCGGCGCCAGGGAACTCGCATCAATGCCTCTCCCGCCGAACTCGTATACATCCAAGATTCCAGCAGATCGCCTCACATTCCCCAGCAAGCGTCTTCCGCCCGCAATGCATAAGAAGTACGTAACTGCTGGCGACCAGATGCACAGCAACGATCCGGTGCGTGACTTGCTGGACGGTATCAGCCGCGAGGCAATCGAGAGGGGCAAGGAGGCCACCGAGGACAAGGTGCCCGCCGTCGTACGCGAACGCCAGCTTCGCGTCCGCCAGACTCCGAAAGTCTCTGAGATGCCTGCCGGTGGCTCCTCCTTGCCTCCCCTGTCCGCAGGCCTCGCCCCGCCGAAGACGACGACTTTCACGGATGTGGCGGCGGAGTGTTTCATATGCCCTCTGGTGAATCGCTTCTGGCTGTTCCTGCGCGACGAGCAGGCACGTGAGGCGAGGACCATGCACCAGCCTGCACTTCACCGGTATCGCGGGGCAGGTACCGGGCTTGTGCTCAACGCCATGGTTCTATCCCGCATGCTGGGCACGCTCGCCGTGCTCGTGCATGCGGCACGACATGCTAAAGAGTGGCTTGCCATTATCGCGCCAGATGCTCTCGAATTGGCGGTAACGCTCGGCACACGGCCGGTGTCTGTCGTGGAGGGCGATGACGACGACGACGAGCCCGACGAAGCGCGCACGGGTGAAAAACAGAACACCAAAGAGAAGGGTCGCGGCAAAGACGCCGCTCTGCTCACAGCTGCATTGGAGCTTGCACTTATCGTGCTCGACGGCAGCCTGGAACTTGATGAAGGGCGTTCCCTCGGGCTCGAACATACTGCTCTTTTGTTTGGGGCGGAAGAATGGGCCAAAGAGGTGTTCTCTAAGCTGGAGAGTGGAGTTCGGACAGTTGGAGAAGGTGGCGAACATGAAGTAAGACTAAGGAGGGCGGCAGCCGGGGTCCTGTTGAAAGTCGATGAACTCACGTCGAAGTGGAGGAGATCTATGATTGACTTCGCGTCGCTGTAGCCTCATAACGCGAGGTTCTCTGCGTGTTGTGATCCCATATAAATGGTGGTTCAACTTGCATGCCGAAACGAGGGGGAGACTGGCATTACCTGCTAAGGTGACGAAGGGACTGCCTCCGTTCCGCGGCGCGTGGGACTCCAAGGATGTCCTTCAAGGAGAATATCATTTGTGGCGTATTACATGTGCTCTTCCACATGGGGGCACGCATTCGCGAGGGAGTAGTGGATGGTGGCCATAGCGTGTAGGTGTGACGGGAAGTATTGATGGCCGACGTGCACGCGATGTGCTTCGCGACGATGATTTGCTATGACAATAGCAGGGCATTCAGTGGGAGCTCGGGCGTAACACACTGCTGGGCTTCACCACAGTGAATTTGAAACTGTCGCTTACGGAAAGTAGACGCCCAGAAAAGTTGTTGGTCCTTGTGTGACATGGAAGCTATAGCGCCTGAAATGCACAGATACTCACATCTATTGACGTTCCAGAACGGTACAGTTCCGGGGAATTAAATGGCGCAATTATGGGCGAACGCCAACAGTGATATACAGATACAGTAGTAAGATACAAGCCAATCAACATGCAAACGACAGGAGTACTAGCAGTCAGACCGAGATACAGCATCAGAAGGAAGGGCCCATGTCACCGCCTCTTGGTGTTCTTGCCGTTGGTCTTCGGTTTCGGTTTCGGTTTCGGTTTCGACTTCGCCTTAGGTCGGTCAGAGTCATCTGACTCGTGACCCTTGCCAACTTCGACTCGTTTCTTGTCCGCTACAGCCAAATCAGCGGTCGACCACAAACATACAGAAAGCTGCATACCTTTGGCAGCTTTTCGCTCGAGCTCGTCCCAGTCGTCTCCTATACGAATACTGAATCAGCCGGATGCGAGCATTCTACTCGTTGAAACACACCATCGCTGTCGTCAGAGCCAAAGTCAGAGCCACTGCCCTCATCGTCACTGGCATCCGAGCCGTCGTCGCTGAAGGCACTCTCACTACTCTCCGAGCTTTCTGTGACATCCACCTCGGCCTCGAACTCAGACTCAGTATCCGATCCTACATCTGCGTCGCTCTACACGCGGAGAAAATCAATACGGTCGCTCTCACCCGTCACCATGGACATACCTCTTCGCCACCAGGAGAGCCACCCAGGAAGCTCCAGCCGCCCTGTTGGAAAAACTCATATGGATCCTCGTTTATGGTCTTCATAATGGGTCCCCAGTTAAGGTTGACCGGGCCTTCGCTCAATGGAATATCGACCGAACTAAAGGAGATGAGCAACACGATTCAAGATAGCGGGACAAGGCACTCACTCCAGCCAGTTCTTCACATCGTCAAGCTGAGAGCTTGGTATAGAGTTAATGTGCAGGGGCGTCTTCGTGAAGTCTTTAAATATCAAGACCATGTCGAACTGCTTCAACCCGAACTGGACACGCTCCAGGGATGCAATCTCGATGTCGGCGAGAGTCACAACAAGGAATGGAGGGTCCGACAGATGAACAAGACATTCGGTCGTAGGTTGCAGGCGAACATTAGTCCGGAAGGGGACACCTTCGAACGAAAGTTCGCGGAACGGAACATCAGGCTCTAGAGTGTCGCCAGTCTAAAGAACGGTCAGTCGCTCGTATCTGAGTTCTCAAACACATCAGACGCACAGAAGCTGTCGCCGCCTCCGCGATCTTCTCCGAGAATAGTCTGAACTCCTTGTTCAACATCTGTCTGCGTTTTCTCTCCTGCTGCTCTAATTCCAGCTCATCCTCATCACCGTAGCGATATTTTCGCTTGCGGTTGCCTGTCTCATCGAACTGCACATCGGAAGCCTCGCGATAGAATTGAACATCCTGAAGGTAGCATAATAAATAACTGTGGAATTACGGGTTTACATAGTCCACGTACGTGAGCTTTCTTCTTGCCAATAATAATGGGTGCCTTCAAGTGGATATGAATAATGACGAGAAGTTCATGGTCACATGGCTGAAAGAACAGATGCTTGACATTGCTGAATAGGATGTCTATGCAATTGTGTTCGACGTCAACGCATTTGAGCCCAGTGCACCAAATGCTTACCAATCTTCTGAGAGCCCATGGGAGACTGGTAACGCAGACCATTCTGGTGGATCTCAACCTCACCCGGCAGTCGCTTTCCATCCAGCGCTGGTCGGACAAACACCTCGGGCAGCTTGGTTGGACGTCGGCCTTTTATCTCCACGAGGACATCCTGTTCAATAACGTCCGCCATCTCCTTCTTTTGTTGCTCCCGCTTGTTCACCTCCTTCTTGAGATCGGTGATCTGCTTAGAAACAGCGTCAAAGCGGTGGCCGTCGGGCGACCGATAGGTGATCGATCGGATGAACGTCGCATCAGGGTCTTCGAAGGGCTGCAGCCCAGTGAGTAGCTGGAGCAACATATGAATAACTTGTCACATACCGTATCCTCCTTCTTGCCTGCGAGTTGGCCAGGTGTCTGAAAGTTAACACGCAGGTAGGTGAATTCACCTTCGTCGTTCTTGCTGACGTTTTTTATGGTGTTGATATGGAACGGCACCGCAAAGCCGTGGATAGGCAGAACAATCGTCTGCGCCTTCCTGTCGACGTAGATCTATGCGGTTCCCACATTCAGTCGCGCGCTATAGCATCAGAGCGAGCAGGACTCACGCGCAGGCCCTCCGCCTCCTTGGGCAGGGCGACTTCGCCTTTGTAGCTCTGGAACCGCTTCCAGCCCTTGCCCTCGTTGCGGCCACCCCCGCCTCCGCCCTCGGAGTACTTCGCAAGCCCCCCGGACTGCAGCCGCGTGTGTAGTTCTCTCTGATGCTCCGTGATTTTTGCTACCGTTGACTGGACGAGCTCCTCCTGGGCTGCACTGCGTGTCTTGTTCCGCAAGACCTTGCCACCGGCCATTTTGTTCTTCACAGGTGAGGCGTTCCCGTTGGCCTTCGTGTTCGGGGCCTTCTTGGCTGGCGCCTGCTTGGAGTCACCATTTTCTTGATTCAGGAAGAACATAGTGTCCTTTATGGTTTTGATGCCAGCCGTGAGACAAGTTGCTTTATCGTTGCTTATTTGAATGGTGTCAACAAGCTGCAGGGCATACCTGTTTCAATGTGCTTAGTAAGCAGAACATATAGACTAAAACAACACTCACTTCTTCCCACCATCTTCGAGGTCCGTGAACCCAAGCACGAGATTAAAGACCATATTTGAGCGAAGCGTCTTCCCGTTCTTGGGAGAGAGCAAGTACGATGAGTCACGGAACTCCATACCCATCTATGAAAGAGATTCAGAATAGATCCATCCACAGAAACATGATTCACGTACCCCATGGCCAATGTTCTTAACGAAATGCTTCTCTAGATCGGGCTTCTTTTCCTTTACGAACGCAAGCGCGTGTTGATAAGCGTCGCGGGCAGACACGCCATCCTTCAGATATGCTAGCATCTCTGTCTGTAAAGAGAGAAGCAATGCATAGATCGACTCTTGTTCCTGAAAGGTGCATGTTGGGTTAGGTCCCGTGATATGTGTAAAGCGAAAGTAGCACACCTTCGAAGGATCGACAATGAGACTTCGTCCCAAATTAGCACAGTACGCTTTGTAGCGCATGCCAAGTGCCACGAGGAAGACACCCTTGTGCGCAATGTCATCGGACGATGACTCGGCGGCTGGGCTAAGGTCATAGCTCGTATTGGTAGACTGAGATTGGATGATGGGCGTGTAGCAAAACTCAGTCGACATCCAGTCGACCTGATAGCATATCAGCCGAGTCCGCCCAAATGTGTTTGGAACACTCACATCTGTCAGTCCCCGCCCTTTGCTCCAGACCTTCATATCAGGCCCTTTTGCATTGTCACCCTCTCCCGACCCCAATCTGCGCTCTATCTGTGACGCGAACTCCTCATGGCTGATCTTGGCTTCACGGTCCAGAATCGCCTCGAGCTTTAGAATCACGTGGTGTGCAAGGAGAGTAGAAGTTAGATTGGCCGCAGTCCGCATGTATTTCTGCACAATTATGAGCGTCATACGATGGGAAACAGACTAGTGTACACACCAGCTCCTCCTCGTCCTTGACCGCCATAAACGCCGAAACCGCGTGTGCGATGTCTATCACTGCCGGTTTGCTTTCCAGGCTACTCAAAGCCTTGTTCCATTCGTCAACCAGTTTTCCGGAATGCGACTCTTTCGTCAGCGTTCCCACACGTTTACGTGTCCCGTATGCTTCAAGGAACTTAGGAACTGCGTCCGTCGGGGGGTCCTTGGCTTTTGCTTGAATAAGAATTTCGATCGTAACAGGTGAGCTAGAACTCTTAATCTGCGACAGGATTTTGGCTGTGGCGTATTAGCGCTACAGAGACTTTGACGAGGATACGGCACCCGTGCGTACCTTTAGACGCGGAGCATAGTATCTGTAGGCGGTCTTTTTGGAAAAGCATAAACGTAGAGGGAAATTCGTATCCTAGAAGCCACGTCTGCGGCGCGCGTTGAGCAAGCGTTTACGGGCTGCTCGCGCAGCAGACGAACTACACATACCTGGAATGCAGTACCCTTGCGGATGGGCTCGTCTTCGCCGGCAGGATCACCTGCCGGGAGGAAAATAGCATCGACGTCTGCTATCGAGCTGTATTCATTGCTAGCACTCGCGTTCTAAGGAGCATGTCCGTCCGATAGGTAAGCAGAGAGCCCCGCTACTTTGCGAGGCACTTACGTTCCATGCATTGATGACGGACCCGAGCCGCTTATTGAAAAGGGACGCGTTCAGTTGGACAGCCATGATGGCAGAGGGAATAAGAGGCGGAACGACCGCAGATGGCGGTTCAAGAAGAGAGCGCGTCCGCACGTACGGTGGCGCGTCCAGACACGGTCGCGTCGGAGATTCAATACCGTGGCTGTCGAGGTTAGGGTTCATCAATATCACGGTGAGCGCCAGCCCTTGCGTCAGCTGGAGCCGTCGTGTTCGCCAACCACATAATTGTTGTCGACGCAAACGCAGTCGCCGCTGCAATCCAGCAGCAACCGTGGTGTAGAGATAATGTCTCTTTCTGACTATATCGTCACGGATGACCTCACCATAATCCTGGGTCTTGTAGCGGCCTGTCTGTTCTTGCTGCATAACCTCTACAGGCCGCAATCTCTAGTGCACCCTATCCTTCTTGGTAGGCAGAGTGATGTCGCCCGAGTTAGGAACCCAGGAGAGAGTGCAGTCTACAGAAACTATGGAACTGGGATGATGGGAAGGGTACGGGAGCGCATTCAGGCTTAGAAACTTATATTGAACGCTGTCTAGTTTCCCGTCAGACCAGGCAAAGAACAGAACGTCCTGCTTGACCTTGTCAAACCCGACTATGATGCCCCGCGCACACTATGGTCTACGAAAGTGAGTGCCATTAATATTTGTTTAGTCTTAACGGTCTAAGCCGTGCCTACAGATTACGAATCCCGAATTAAGGGAGAAAGTAGCAGCTTTTGGCAGTGGTCTTATATCGACTGCAGGTCTCGCTCCTCAGGAGTCAAATGTCTTACTACTTTTGAATGACGGCATTGGTGCGTTTGCCTCATATCATGTCCCAGCGGCTTCTGACCAGCTCCGTAGAGTTCCTTATCAGCGACCTTGCGCTCGCCTCATACTCGATACCGTCATTTGTTTTGAGCTCTCTGTCTCTGCTTTCGCCAGTGCTTGATAGTCACCCGCCCTCGGTCATCATTACTCACGCAACATTCCTGTCTAATCTCCTTGAACTAATCTACGACTCAAACGACAGTGCATACCCCATCATTGTAGTGGTTGGGGACGTTGACGACAAGGTGATCGCGACTACAGGCCAAATATCCATTGTGAAGTGGGAGGAAGTCGAGCGACGTGGCACCCAAGGTTCTCGCCTACCGTTCTCCACACCGGGTGAGTTGTTAGACGTCGCAAACTTTCCCCAACTCACAGATTCCATGTGCAACAGATCCACAGGATGTGTTTAGCGTGACATTCTCCTCCTCACTCCCGGGGAGGCTGCAGGCTGTTCAACTCACACATGAGAATCTCACAGCAGGCGTCGCCGCTACACGCAATTTGTTACCTCTATCGAGCGCAATGTCCACACTTGATACAATTGTGTCAGCGTTCCCGATGAGCTCGCCTTATGGCCGCGCTGTCGCATATACGGCTGTATATGAAGGTACTAGCTTTGCGACGTTGAGTTCCACAGAGCTCATGAAGAGAGAAGACAGTCAGTATTCATGTATTACAGCTGAAGCAAGTCACTGAACATGGTTACCAACCAGAGATTTCTTCCCCTTTGCTTGACTTGCAATCTATTAATACATTGCCTATCCCATCACCCACCATACTCTTTGTCAAGCCAACACATCTGAGCGCCATCACGTCGTCGATCCTTGAAAGGGCCAGGTCCTCTGCATCTTTGTTATATCCGTTTGCATGGAGGCACAAGTTTGCTGCTGTCTTGGAAGGCTTTTTGACGAAGCAAAGCCTATGGGATCGTCTCGTCTTCGACAATGCACGAGTCAATGTCATGGGCAGAGGCGCTGGTACCATCCGAGCCCTCGTCGTCAGCGGAGGTGGGCGATGAGCTGACTTTTATCTGTAGTCGTCACATTGATTAAAGGGTTCTCATTCTTTCAGGCCCTGTAGAAGCTCAATCGCTGGTTCCAGCACGCATTGCCCTCTCAATTCCAGTTGTCAATTCTCATTCTCACCTCCTGGTTGCTGGGCCTATCTTCGCAAGTCATCCATTAGACCTGCAAACCTTCCCTCCTGTCCCACCGGCTTCTGGAATTGCATCTGCAGCGGACGCTTATGCGTTCACATATATGGCGCCTGTTGGCCCTCCTTCAGTCAATATCGAAGCAAAGCTTCTTGGGGTAGATGATGCTGCCATCGAAAGTGGTGCCGATCCCCGCGGCGCGCTATATGTGCGCGGTCCGACTGTCGGCAAGATCTTACGCGGAGAGGATGACTCGGGCGAAGGTAGCGAAGATTGGGTAGAAACTGGCGAGAGAGCCCAAGTCTGCCCGAACGGCACGTTCAGAGTCGTGCCGGTGACCAAGTCCAAGTGATCCCAAGTGCTCCATGATATTCGATAATGCTCTCATGTCTAAAATCTGTGTACCAGATTTGTGTGTGTACTGAATCCCGACAGTGTTGCGCATTACTGAGGTTTTATGTCGAGACTGGAGACTGCGATATATCGTCAATGTGATGACGTGTGAAGTGCTCGTAAGTAACTGGTTGACGTCAGGGGGTCACGGCTCGTGACCAGGTCCGTGACTGTGTAACCGTAACGCATACTGTTTGCGAGCCTGCCCTAAACGTTGCTGGGGCGGCGGGCTTGGGCGGACCTTCTCCACACCGTCTACTGTTTCACCACTCGCTGACTCACAATTCTCTGGCTTGTCTTCCGAAATCTTACCGTTTACCCAATGTCGATGACAGCCCTCATGGAGACTTTCGACACGACAATGCTCGACTCTAGCGATGCCGACATATCAATGTATACAGGGGACTCTGCCGGAGCCTGGCTATCGGCAGAGGCCAATATGATGGGCGATGGGTCTGGTGCATATGCAACTTCAGGCCAGGATCATCCTAGCATTGAGGTCGATATGGAATATCATGACGATGATATCACAGAATACGAGATGACCGATGATGCAGGAGTGGAACAGAACGACCCAGAACTGCTTGACATCGATTTCGACGTATCGCGAGCACCGACACCTATTCTGCACGATTATACTCCTGGCGAAGCAACGCCTGTTGCAGACACAGAAGTGCGGTTGTCTACGCTCGTAGATCCTGCAGCGTCCGTCGTTCCGAACATCTATCTCGACGCTGCCGTGACGACTGCGGCCCCACCAGAGTTGGCCCTCGAGATTACGACAGCGACCAACAAGGGCACTATGTCTGCTTACTCACAGCCTGCCGAGCTTTTGCCGGGCCACAGAGACTTCGATGACATTACGTCCCACATCGTGTCTCAACTGGAGACATCGGACTCGGCTACTTCTCCGCAGGGCGAAGGTGCTCAACGCCTATCAGTAGGGCAGAATGGAGAGGAACGGTTGTCATTGCCAGAGGCCCAAAGTTCAATTCCACAAGTAAGCATTGGCGACTTGTCTACCACCCACGAAGATGCGGACGAGGGCCGTGAAAGTCAAACTTTGGGGCCACAAACTAAAGAATTCTCTGATATTCCCTCAACCAAGCCACTGGCAACAGAGGAACTGGATCAGACGGAGGAGCTGTCAGCAAATTCAAATGGCGCAGAGGGCGTGCAGACGGGAGACACATCCACGGACGTCGACACGGCCAACGACCAGCACGATACGATCTCGACCCACACCGTTGAGACCCATTTAGAGGACCCACACGAGATTTCTGAGGGCGTCTACATCGACCCGCCGCCTGCTGTGCTTATCTCGATTCCTGCGTCTGCCCTGGCAAGGGAATATTGTCTCTTCAATCAACCTGTACCAAGTTCTGGCTCGCAGAGCCCTTCCACTAGTTCGGCTCCGCGGATGCTACAATTGCTCCTGCACCATCGGCCTACTCTTTATTACGAGCCTTTATCAGTTGTTTTCGATGCCTTGCGTCACGATGAGTGCCTCCAGGACCTGTCTGATCTAGATGGCGACGAACTGGTACTGGATGCATATGATCTACAGCTTGTGATATCTGAGGTGAGCATCTCCTCCCACAGGATCTTCACAACACTCATTACTCCCGTAGGATAATGTGCACGTACACGAAGTGACGCTTCATGATTTGAATGTGCTCCATGATGGTGCTGATTTATCTGGCCCACTTCGGTTGGAGTTGCGTGTCACATCACCGCGATTCATCAGCCGTTACAACGCTCTTCGAGAACAAATTGCACGGCTGGATCTGGCTGCAGAAGGCCGTGATGGTGATGAGGAGGCACATTCGTCTATTTACGATGGTCAAGGTTGGTCATTCACATCCTTCACAACATCCACGAAAGACAGCTGACTGTTTTTCAGAGGTCGACCAGCTACTTTTTGCAGAGCAATCGTCGGTCCAAGGGCACGAGGTGAACATTTCAGTTCCCGTGCCGGCAGCGGTCGCTGTGAACACGCGACAGCATGAAGGGCACGCTGAACATGAGGCATCTCCTTCCAACCCCATTGATCATCAGGAAGAGCGGTCTTTCAGGGAGCACGCCCCACAAACCGGCGATGAGAGTCAAGGCACGTTGGAAGCCACGGACACCTTCAACGCTTCGGAAGACGCTGAAGGTGAAGCCGACGATTCCGAAAATGGGATCGCGTACCGCGAAGACGACTTCGGCGAGGACGGTCAGAATGTCGAAGCGCCGCCTGGTTTTGAAGACTCCCGACCTGACGAATTCGATGGAAATGAGGTGCATCAATACGCTGATGCAGAGGAGGGAGGGGACTACATAGAGTATACTGAGTACGCCGATGATGAGCAGCAGTTCGGTGAGGATCTGCCGGAGGAGCTCGGTGGGGTCGCCGATGGAGATGGAGATGTCCACAACGCATTTGCCGTCGAAGGAGAAAATAATCCAGCGAACGCCGGGCCTCTAGAGTTCGATAACGTCTTTGACGATGTGTCCGATTCTAAGCCTGCCGTCCCATATGCAGATTATGCAGGTAACGCGACCGACGAGATCGAAAGTGGTATGTGATGTTTCGTCGTCCATCTATGGCACAAACTAATTGCGGTACATTCAGTTATTAGCACCCATGAACGTTCCCGTGCCGGTGAGGTTATTCCTTCTGACGCGATCACCAATAATGAGAATAGAAGTATGTATCAATTTTCCCTTCCCTTCGGACTCTCAGGTTAACGTGGGGATTGTAGGTCCGAAAGATCGTACAAATGAGCCGTCTGATGAATTCACAGAGAGTCCTCAACAAAACTCCGCTGCAGTCAGACTTGATACCCAGGCACAAGACGTCGATGGCAGTAAGTGTACCAGCCTGTGAGAAGTCGTCGCACCTAACCGAATTGTTCAGGTTCAGATGAACTCAAGAATGAAGGTACAGAATTGTATAGTGATGAATTTGAAGATGAAGATGCCGAAGGCGAGGAAGATACGAGCCCGATGGAGTCCTTCGAGGACGCCTATGCTCCAGCCGCATACTCTGACCTCGCGGATATTCCACATAAAGTATCACCAGTATCGCCTAGTAGATCATCGAAGAGGGGACATGATGAGCTTGACCCCGAGGATGAGGGCGACGGTGTCGAAGGCTCTGCGCTGGGTTCTCCAGGTTCGTGACTTCCCTATTTGCAAGTGTTGTCAAATAACAAGGTTGCGCATCAGACACCAAGCGCTTGCGATTGCAGTGAGCCTTCGCACGCTGTTCATTAATCGCGACCGCGGATGAGGCAGTCCTGAGCACGATGCCGTGTCAAACTGCCCTCCGACACGACGCTTCGAGATGACGGAGTGGCTTGGCACGTCCGGCCGCATTCTTGAAGCATGAAGAATGCCGAGGGTTTGCGGGCCGGCATTGCTCGGTCCTCTCCCATTCCCATGGTCAGCTTGTGTAAACCCATTCATACGCTTTTCACCAAAAAAGGCTAAGTCATCCATTTGTATTGCCATCACTGATCTTTGCAGCCATTTCTTTCGTGTCGAAAAAGCTGACTTCCCACAGCAATAATGGTGTCACCACGTGTATCCCGACATACGCTTCGTTTCCAGGGACTCTTGTCGTATGCAAGTACTGTCATTGTCATTGTATCGTCGCCGGTTCTCTCGTTTACATCCTCGCTCCATGTTCCACATGAGGCGTTTGTACACGATCGAGTCTCGTTACGTAACCTTGCAATCCATTATATAAGATGAACTTCAACGGCACTCTGGTGTACGTCTATGCCCTAGGGCGATAATTACATATATAGCGAATTGCTAATATGGGCGTCTACATTGGCGCCAACTGGCTAGACAATTCTCTTGATCGAGGCCTTCGCTCAGAACGAGATCTCGAGAACAACGATCGCTTTAAGCCGTTGTCCCTTTAACCTGCTTTTCTGGATGCCTGACTTCTGGGTGCTCGCATTTTAATCTACAAACTCGGCCCTGACCCTCGCTGATAGTCGGAGCATTGACTTTCGAACAGACCCGGCTCGATGGCGGACGCAGACACAGCGAGACTATGTAAACAAATTGTCCAGTCACAATTTGGCCCCCTGGCAGCAGTGAGTATCTAACGTTATTCTGCTAAAGATGCCTAATCATAGTGTGCAGTCTGTGGTGTCAGTTCTACTGACGCGGGGACGGTTGCCCCTACCGCTCATCGCTCGGCTCTCTGGGCTGAAACTTAGAACGACACGTGCTGCCATTATAGTTCTCGTCCAACATAACATTCTATGGCATGCTCAGTCAGACGATGATGGCGAAGTATTTGAGGTTAACGTCGACGAGTGCCTTCTAAGATTGCGGTATGGACGATATGTATGGCAGGCAGAGCAGTTGTTCGGGAAGGCGGTGCGGAGACCAGTTGAACACCATCGTGCAGGGTAATTCACACTATTTCTGCAGGGCGCAGATATTGTTCAGCTGATACTGGACCATGGCAAGCTTCGTCCGCTAGACATCATATCTCGGCTTTCCGTATATGACCCCTTGAAAGGTGTGTCGACTTCACATCATATCACTGTACATGACCTCATCCTTCGCGTAGCGTCCGCTATGTACTCGCAAGCTCTCCACAGACTAGTCGACGGCTCGTACCTAAGGCCATCTACCATCCTATCTCACATTTCTCCGCGCGATAAAAGGATACGTTATGAGGTCGAGGAGAAGGCAAAAATATCTGGATTTCCCACGGCAAAGGAACTTCGTGAAGCGAGGGAGACCGCCGAAGCCAGACTGAAGCGGGAGGAGGACGAAGCGGAACAGACCGGCATGGTCTGTCATTTTCGAAGTCTCCGCGTCGTTGTGGTCTGATGCATGCAGGGTTTAGAAACGAAAAGCCAGAGACCAATCTGGCCGGTCATCCAAGGTACCCGCTCTGCCTATCAGTTGCTACTATAACGGGGCACAAAAGCTGAGAAATGCATTTAGCGAAAAGCAATGGACGAGGACGTTGTTAATGTGGGTATACAGTTCAACCGCGAGGAGGAAGCGATCTTACTGAACGTCTGCGTTTTATAAGGAGGAGGTTTACTTCCGTGTCAATTGTGAAAAATTCAATATTCACATCCGGAACAAGGTATGTGTTTTGACATAATGTGCAACTCAGTGCCCATTCCTCCCTTTTCAGCTCATTGTGGATGCTGTGATTGAACGTTTCAACGAGTCGGCTGGCCTTGTACTACAAGCGACGCTGAAAGCCACGGATGCGAAACAGATGAAGCTGTCAGACGTTCGGACAGGTACAGGGAGCCCAAATGCTGACACTTACCTCTGATTTACTCATTTGTGTTGATAGATACTACATCGTTGGCGAATATTGCCATGCAATTGTCTGACGATGACGATTTGTCCGCGGGCCTCGTTCTACAATCATCGAAAAAAGCCTCAACTATGTCTATGCTTAAAAATTATCTAGGCATCCTGGCCTGCGCCGATAATCCAACACCGGCAGGGCGTGCTGCATCGTTTGTGTCCGTCAATGGCTCCAAAGTGCAAGTCGAATTTGAGATAGTGGGGCGACGACTGCGGAGGAGGGTGTTAGAAACAGTTGCCCGTGAGCGCCACGGAGACGACGGTGTTAGGGTTGTGCGCCTCCTGCTGGACAGCGGCAAAATGGACGAAAAACAAGCAAGTCTCCTGCTTCTTCTTCGTCTACGCTCTCAAATTGACCGAACCACAAAGATCTCTAAGATTGGGATGATGGCTAACAAGGATGCTCGCCCTCTGCTGTCCGCCATGTCTGCAGACTCTTTGATAAGCCTGCAAGAAGTACCGAAAAGCGCAGATCGCAACCCAACGCGAACGTTCTACCTCTGGTTGGTGCGAATCGTCGATTTGATCTGCCCTTTAGCTCATGAGCCGACATCAGGTTTATCGATCTGCAAAAATCATATTCCGTCCTCTTAGACAATCTGTACAAAACGTTGTATAATATCGCCACGCGTCGTCAAGCGGAGTCCGATGAACCCGTAGTCAAAGCTGTGCTTGAAAAGCGGCAGCGCAGCGATGTCAGCCAGGACGAAGAGCGTTTGTTAACGCGGAACGAACGCGAGATCCTCGCGCAGTGGGAGAAGAAGAGAGAAAAGCTTACCGTACTGGAGATGCGCGTGGAAGAAGCTGTATTCATTCTGCGCGACCTAGGTGCCCTGGGCAATAGTGACGATTGACACAGGCTTGTGCGTTAGCGTGAATTTGAACCCAAGACAGTGCGTGTTTCCCGTGAATCAGACATTGAGCTCATGTGTCCCACCTGAAACCCCTAATGCATGAGGGATTAGGTCCGCGATTACTTTATGAGGTGAGCACGGACCACGCGCGGCGAACCTGTGGTTCATGACGCGCGCAGAATAAGGTTTGCGTTAAACAGACGCGTCGAGACGCACACGTGACACGCGTCGCGTTGGGTCTATAAGTAGCGGAGTCTCATTGTGGACCGGCTCCCTTTCCCCTAACTGCAACTCCCATTTATTCCGCTCTCAACCCCATCAGCAATTCTCTGCACGCATTGTTACCAGTATGGTTTCTGCCAAGTCAACTAAGCCTGCCTCCACGAAGGCAAAGACTCCGAAGTCTACCACCAGCAAGGCTAACGCTAAGCCTATTGCGTCTCATCCCTCGTGGAAAGAAATGATAACGGTACGTAGTTGGAGTATGCAGCAACTGACAAACGTTAACATCGCGCTCAGGAATGTATTGTTAACCACAAAGAAGAGGCACGCTCTGGAGTTTCTCGTGCTACGATCAAGAAGGTGATTAGATTCCTCGAATGGTGTAAGGCTGGTCTCTGATAGATGCTCTAGTATATCAGCGAGAAGTACAAGCTTGACATCGAGGGTGCAAATGCATCACAACTCAACCGAGCTCTTACGCACGGTGCTGAGAAGGGCGTCTTTGCGTTCCCGAAGGGTCCGTCTGGCAAAGTGAAGCTTGCCCCGAAGAACAAACCTACTCCCGCCAATGAGGTATGTTCTTCAACCGATCGATATCTTACATGTGTGCTTATGTGCGCCGTGCATCATAGAATGTACAGCCTGCTCCTGCGAAAGAACCTGCAACCATCAAGAAGGCTGCAGCGAAGGCTCCGGCCAAAGCACCTACGAAGGCATCTTCTAAGACAACCGTCAAGTCTTCTGCTAAGGCGGCAGCAGCACCTCTGAAAAAGACGCCCAGGGCTTCTGCTCCTGCGAAGAAGTCTGCGTCAAAGGCAGCCCCTGCTCCTGCGAAGAAGTCAACGAGGCCGGCTCCGACAACTAAGAAGACAAGTAGTGCGAAGGCGGAGAATAAGAAGGTCAGCTCTTCGTCGAAACCTTTCCTTACTCATGCATATTAATCATTCTTGTGGCTAGGCGGCAGTGAAGGCAGCGGCAACGAAGGCGAAGGCGAAGAGTGCTGCAAAACCGAGGTCAAGATCGAGGAAGGTATGTTACTTACATTTATTCATTTGGAGGCCTGTGCTGATGCCTGCTTGTGATAGACACCAGTCGTCTAAGGATGGATATCTTGTATTTCTTCTGGGGTTTTCTACTTTAGCATCTGATTCTATCCTTATACCTTCCGTTGCCTGCCTAGTTTGTACGAGTATGTGCGCATGTATCGAGGTCTGGCTCGCCTCTCCGGTGTATCATGCTGTGCCTTTATTTTTTGCCTGCCATCAACTGTGTGCTGTGAATCCAACTGTGCTGTGAATCCCTTGTGCATACAGCACAAACCAAGCGAAGCAAGTCTGGAGCCAGTCTGTCATTAAGCAAATATCTACGAGGTTGTACACGTATAAATGTGTGGTCTAATTCACCGATTCCGCGGCGATGGGGAGTTGATGTGCGAGATGCCGAGCACTTAAAGTAGGATAGGCATTTCAGTACACGTCCTGAACACAGTAACTGTAGCTTCTCATCGTCGTGTGCAGATGCCAATGCGAGAGTAACCGTATGGCAGCTGTATAGAGGCACGTGCCACTCAAGCTGAGCCTCTGCGGTGGATGTGTCTGACGCCTTTCATCTCCCTTCGTCGAGTCCCGTTCGTGCACTCACCCTTGCACAGATAACGTCGTCATAATCTAGTGCGAGACGCTATTCGGAAACTCAGAACATGTGTTCTGTCCGTATTAAATCATTTCACTGTGGATTTGCTCGCTTACCTCGTAGCATCTCATAGAGCCACCTGGATAGAACGCTAGCCTATGCTGTAATATGCTCCTGGTAATCAGGCATCACAAGCACGGCTATACCGTAGAGGTCGTATGCGACCGTCTCTTCCTGGGACCAGGATTGTACGTGGTCTAGTGGTCACCCAAGTCATGCAGCGAGCGACGAGTGATGCGAGCGTGGTATTCTCTACGTGCTCAGCCCTGACCCGTAAGTGTCGTCAGCCAGTCTCTCATGTATGGCATAGTACTGATTGTTGTGAAATGCAGAGTGAGCCTTGATCTGTATGGCCGGTGGTCAAGCTGTGCCCTGCCGACGATCAAACCCATCCACTTATAACGATGCGTTCAACCCCTGCTTTCCATCCCTGTAGTCGGGAGTTATGTGCGAGAAGTCCACCTGGCGGCTCAATCGAGCGAATCCAGTGAGGTGAGTACAGTTCAGGATATTGTTCATAGTGCACTTCTGGTCCTGGTGCATGGCGATCTCATTACCTCTCGTGTCCCATGCGTTTCACAGGCTTTGAACGCTTGCATTTTATTGAATTTGAGCCATGGAACAAAATCTGCGCATCTGTCCGCCAGCCGTTGTTTCGTCGCGCGCCAGACGAAGCCCGCCCTTGCGCATCAATGCGCTGCAAGCGCGCCGAACTCGTGACCGTAACAAAAGAACGAGGCGGCAACAAAAATGGCCCACGTCATTGATACAGTAAGCATCCCCTCACCGCAGGCCCAGTTTCAAGTTCCTGCGCGGGTGATTCCTTCAGCTGCGCAATGTGACCGCGGCAGTGTCTGCGGGAGTCCGGCACTCTCGTTGTGGGTCGCTGACAACTCCGGTTCTCTCAGGGGTGTCTCGCAGCAGATGGTGAGTGGGCTTCGTTTCGGTGCAACAATGGGACAACTGAGTTCGGGATGATATCGCTGTTGCCTCAGGGATGTTGGGCGTTCTTTTGCTGCACGTGACAAAATCACGTACGCGTCATGATAGACGGAAGAACTTGTCGGTCCCAAGCCGTTCGCGCCACCCGACGGGCCTGGAGTCTGGGCGGAAGTGTTATCGTGGGTTGCCCGCAACACTGTCTGTATGCGACTGACTTGTGTGTCTTCGCCGCGGACGGCGTGGTATGCATTCGCGGGGGGCGCTGCGCGCGGGTCAGGGGCGATGAAGCTATTGTAGGGAGTGGCCGGGGACCCGGCGGACGCAGTAAATGCGTGACGGTGTGACGTGGTGGATCTCGATGGGGCGCCGCGGCCATCACCTAGCCTAATTGGGTGGCCTGGCACGGTTACCGCTAGGGCCTTGCCGCGTCCCTGCCTCTCTCACAAAGCGCGTGCTCTTCTTCTCGCCTTCCTTTCTCCCCAACTTCCAACTCTCCACCTCTCCGTCTGTCCCCTGTTCCTCCGCCTCTCCTTCATTGCTCCGACTCTGCTCAGCCCACTGCCCACCACTCTAGCCTCCTTCGCTGGCCGACGACTAACTTTCCGCTTTACCCACGATTAATGGTCCGCGCCGCATGGTCTCCTCCGTCGTCACCCCAGGCTATCGCACAACGCCTACCGCCCCGCACCAGTATGGCACGCGTATACGTTCAAACTCTGTAATCAAGCCCTCCGTCCGTCTTCGTCAAGTTGCCGATACACCGCCCGCCCCGCGGCGCATCAAGCCGGTCCCTGTCCCGAAGCCCAAGCCCGTGCCTGTACTCGCGCCTGCTGAACCACCACACGGCGACTGGCCCCCATTCCCCCCAGATCATGTCATGCTACATACAGATGACTTGAACAGCCGAGTTTTCCTTGCAATAGGTCGCGCATTCATGTCTGTCGTACGTATACTCCTCTGCCAGCAGCGTGGCATGTTTGTGTGCTGACGGCGAAACCACCGTGTAGGACAATCGCGCCATGACCATCAAGGACCTTGCGGAGATGACTTTGAAATTCGGGTTGATGTGCCAAAAGTGCGTCCTCGTTTGCTCATGTTTGTATTGACGTATTGACCGCCTCGCCTTTGTCCACAGCGTGTCCGCAGCGGGCCAAGCCATCACCACCTATATTCGGGCTCATCTGCAGCGATGTGATGTACAGCAAGACCATCCTCTACTACTTCGCCATGTCATGTCTGGTACGCCTTCCGACGACGATCTTGTCACAGCCCTACACTCTCGTGTCGGCGGTGCGCATTGCACACTCAGCGCTTCAGACAAGCGGATTACCAACTTTAGGCGTGGCACCATGGTGTGGTATCTATCTCGAGCAGCTGGTGCTCCTTGCCCATTTGCCAGGGCTGGGATCCGGCTCTGTGACTACACTGAGAGTGGGAAGGTTGGTTGTCTTCCTACCACCGGGAGAGAGAAGAAGCGCGAGAGGGATCGTCTCAGGCGAGCCGAGCAATGTGGTCAGAAGCGGAAGCGACTTCTCCGTGCATGCGCTGACAAGGGATCTGATTCGGATTCCACTACGAGCGAAGAAGACAAGCGGCCTCCCAAAGTGAAGCTTACCCTTCGATTGCGGCCCCTTAATGCAGGCGCCTCCCGTTCGCCGTCGTCAACACCCCCCTCAGTGCAACTTGACTCCCCTTTCCCATCCCAGCCACATGAGATCATTGACCTCTCGAAGGACGACGACATGGACACAGATACGGAGTCATCTGGCGAATCTGACTCTGAGAGTGACTCCTCTGACAGCGACAGTGACGCGATGTCCGTTCAATCATCTTTTCAGGACCACGTCCATGCCTTCGGGGACACTTCTAACGCTGGGGTTGAGCCACAGAACGCCATTGTTTCGCCACATAAGGCGCCTCCCACAAACGCGCATACCAGCCGTTCCCCTTCAGTCCCTTCTAGCGTGGTGTCTGCATCTCCCCCACCCGATTCTGCAGATGAAGATGAGGAGTTGCACGGCAGCATGTCTCGGTCTCTCGATCATTTCCTCTTGGACGAACGAGGCTCGTCCTTCTATGATGATGAGGACGATTACTTGAGTTGGGACGATAGTGTTTTTGACTTGGATGGCGACGCGGAGACTCAATGGGAAAGTCCTGGGCCTCGCTCACCCTCGGCGCAATTCGAGGACGAAGTGGTAGTCAAGCAAGAGCCGAATGATGTCGGTGGCCTTCTTGACGCTTGGGACTTACCAGGGGACATGAAAGTTCTTGATGTGGTCGCACAAGCAGCAGCGGGCATACTCCCGGAGCAGCCGCGTTTGAAGGCGGAGGAGGCGGAGTCCTGGACCTTCAAGCATTTCGATCCCAACTCTGACAGCTTCCCGCCCATCAGCATTGAAGATGCTACGCCGTCCATCAAGCAAGAGGAAGTGGAATCTGGAGTACATTTTTTCTCGACAGGGTTAATGACTCCACTCAACCACGCACCCATTTCGTCCTCCATATCGCCCGTATCGCCCGCCCTCGCGCCTGTTGTACCTTGTCCAAGCAGCAACAACGCCACCACTCGCGCCAGCGGCGATCTCGAGTGGCGGGATGCCGAGCTACTCGGCCCAGACAGCGTACGCCTGGATGATCTTGATGGCAGCGTTTGGCGCGAGAGCAGGCGACCTGAGCATCATGTGGCTGATTCCCCCACATTGGAGGCGCGTGAGGGATCAAGACCAGTGACAGAAGGCGCGGGTGTAGGCGCTGTAAGCTGGTCAACGCGTTTGCCACCGCCCCATTTGGACTTACAGGCGTCTAATGCTGTGTCAAGGCAGAACTCTCCTCTGCCTGATCTGACTTCACCGACTCTGTTATCGTCCATGACTTGGTTGTCGCTCAGGTCGCCGAGTTCTCCCGATGTACTTCAAAGCGGCTCTATGTCCGCGCCGCCCACGCAAAACGAACGATCTTCCAGTTACGAACCTCATGTTGTTTCTACTTCCCGCCATTGTAATCCAATGATTACGGCCACAAAGCTGGAAGGTGTGTACTTTCGGTGTTATACTCGCCACTGATCTGATCTTATTCAAATCGCTGCAGGCATTACAGTATATCAGATGTCACTTGGCTCATCCATAATATTGCGGCGCGCGGACACAAATTTTGTCAATATCGCAGCCATTGTCAAGGCGCTCGGGCTAGCTTATCCGTATACACACAATGCTGTGATCGTTGCGCATGGTTCGCCTGCCGTCGTTGGCACGTGGGTGCCGTTGGTGACCGCGCAGGAGATGTTTAAAGACCAAACGGCCTTGAGCACCTTCTTGTCGGATCATCTACGCGACGCCCTCCCAGCCGCGTTCGATGGCATCCTACAGTCGTCACCGCGGCAAACCTACTCATTGCACCATTTCGGCCCCAGTTTCCAATCGACCATCGAAGCGAAACGTCGATCTTTGACGTTCCGCTTGCAGGATCCTCCACCACAGGAAGCCGACGTGTCCTGGGAGCCAGACGTGTGCTCACTGATAGACCCTGAAGAACGGCTATTCTCTCCGCAATCCATTTTTGCGTTAGCATCTAATTTACCCAGTCCTGCAGCGTCGCCGGAAGCGGCAATTCCCGCGGAACTTCCGTTGAGTCCGACCGAGGAAGAAATGTTCCGGGTTTTGTGCTCGGATTGGGAATGGGAGACGCCGTCATCAGGTGCCTCTGTGATGGGACGCACGGAGAATGTCGACTCGTCCGGTGCTGCCACGGAGACGAAGGGCAAGGAGTCGCGTTCTCGCGACCGTCCATTGAGACGTTCGAAACGTGTCGCGGATGCCATCGCCAATCGATCCCGTACACGCTCAAGCAAGAGGGGCTCGCGGAGCTCGCTCTCGTAATTTTCCCGCCACGGATGTTGCCTTAATGGGTTTCGAGTCCTTTTTGCTCGTGTTGTTGAGCTTTACTTATTGCCTTCGTGTTTCATCTCCCCGTGTTGCAGAAATTGTTAGACTGTGTATCGACTACCACGACTTCGTCTTGCTTTGCCATGCTCTTTTCTCCTGGCACGCGTGCGGCTGCTGCTTCTTGATTCAGCGGCGAACCGACATCATTCAAGGTCCCTTCTGATGGGGATGCACAGGCGGCCGAGGACCCCAATACCCTTCAGTATGCATTATGCTCTGCCAGGTACGATAGACCTGGTGGCACCCCCACTCCGTATAGTGCGCGTATGATAGTTGTATGTGTATGTTGCGTATGAAAATATAGCTGTTCTGGTGGCCCGACGATATGGCTGTGTTGTTGCAGTCCAGGCTGGAGAAATTCGCGTGAGAGCGGTGACTAAATGACAGGAGGGGGACAAGGCCCGCCGTGGGCGGCTATAGAAGGAGCGGAGTTGGAAGGCAGACCAGCTCCTCTCTCTGCGTCGAGTCTCTCGCTCCCGACCACCATTCACCCTACTTAGTTCTACTATTTACCGGAGTCTACCCTACTGTAGTAGTCCTGGGCAGTCCTTGTCTACCCTCAAAATTTGGTTCTTGCAAAATCGCCCTATTACGACCTATTACCCTTGCTCATAGTTACCCACGTCGCTCTCGGACTCTCGAGCTCTGGTGGTTTCCCACTTCTGCTGCTGTCCTGCTTAACCTGCAATCAGCTCTGCATCATCCGCTATCCCCCCAACCTTCAATAATTCGTAATATCAGCACGTGTCACGCAAGATGTCTCTGTCTGCGACGGACAGCAACGGCTCCTTTGCCAGAGTTGCATCTGGCAAGACGCCTCCTCCGGCGCCCTCAGCTGCCTATGCGAAAAGGTTCGTTCCTGTGCCTTCGCATGTCAGCGTCGAAAGTTTTGTCTAATGAGGATCACAGAGCGAGGGAGCTCGAGGCTGAGCAGGGGATCGGTGCTCGATACAGGCCTCCCGCGCTGCGCGCCATAGCCACTGGCGGTTCTCCTCCTAATGACGGACCTCCATCTGCCACCAACACGGGCGATTCTTCTACGCTGACGCCCACGAACTACCCTGCGGGTTTCAGGAGGGCGAGGGCCGGTACCTTGCCTTCCAACGTTCAACTCGCCGCTCAGCGGTTTGCCGCCGCGTCCAGCACATTGAGCGGCACCACCGCGGCTGCGGCTGCTACTGCGTCTACAGATTCATTCACGGATCAGCTGCAGAGGCACAGCCTCGCCCCGCCACCTTCGACGGCGGCTGCCCCCGTCCGACCAGGCTTACGTCACTCAACTTCCGTTGCATCCTCCGCCGCCTCATCAGCTCTCACGGAGCGCAACAGTCGCCTCAGATCGGGCTCATTGACTCTGCCCTCTGCTGGCTTGTCTAACGCATTCGGCAACTCGATTTTTTCCACCTCGTGGCTCTCGTCGCGGAACGGAGGCCTGCCGGTTTTGGACGATTTGCGATCCGTTACGTCCATGGACTCAGGCGCTGACGACTTTGACGTACATACCCTCGACTATCTCGGGCTAGACGAGACACTCCGCCACCCGCCAGCGGCCACCATTTCGGAGTTGCGCAACCAAGCGCAGGCGGCGATCGCCGGCAATCTCGCGTCTAATCCATCCCGGCTGCGTGCGACCACGGTCTCGAACCCATACCACCTTAGGCCCTCTGCAGGGACGTCGCTACTTTCTACGCCTAATCCTGAGGAGGAGCTGTATGGTCAGGATGTTTATGGCGGGCAGGGGCTGGATTCATACGGCGATTCCGAGGGTGATTACCTGTCATCCGGTTACGTTGCGAAGGGTTTCAAGCAGGTTGATCACCTCTCCGTCGGTCTTGGATCGCGCCCTCGTGCGATCTCTGTGGGCAATCTCGATGATACCACTAGAGCTCTTCACAGGCGTGCTGGGGTCGCGGAGGCTCAGTCTGCCTATGCAAATGATATTGCCCTTCAAGGTGGTTTGGGTGGCATTCTGCGTAACGACAAGGCGAATGTCCGCGGTGGTGTGTCCCCCTCGGTTCACTTCCCCAATGGCGAGCTGTCTCGCAGCAACTCGTACTTGAGTGCGCCTTCGAGTCAGAACCGGGCGACGTCTCCCAAGTCGGAGAATTCCACGCAGATGCAAACTCCCACGCGCTCCTTGTGGATTGGGAATTTGGACAGCTCAGTCACCAGCGAGCAACTCATTCATGTGTTCGCGCCTTATGGTGCCATTGAGAGTCTGAGGTTGTTGCCCGAGAAGGCGAGCCACATCCCACTCACAGCGTTTCGGGCTGAACTGACCACCGTTCTTTGCGCAGGAATGCGGCTTTGTGAACTTCGTCGATCAGACGGATGCTATCAGGGCTAAGGAGGATGTGCTCAACCGTCTTGGAGGGGATATAGGTATGCCAAACGGACAAACCGTGCGCATAGGTTTCGGCAAGGCCGACAGTGCGCCTGTGGCCCCCGCAAAAGGCACGAACATGAACAGCCCTTCAGCTACTTCTCCCGGAGGTCCGCTGGGGAAGAGTACAAATAACAACGCAGGGCTGGCGGGGATGGATGCGCAGCTGCAGTCTACGCCTACAAGGGCGTTGTGGATTGGATCCATCCCGTCCACTACGACGCCTGCTACGATTCTGAGTGTCTTCAGTCCATATGGGCCGATTGAGTCTGCGAGGGTTCTGACGCACAAGAACTGTGGATTTAGTAAGTATATGCTATCCATGTTCGCGTTTATCTTCTCATATGATACTTCCAGTCAACTTTGAGCGACTGGACGATGCCGTGAGGGCTCGGAAGGCTCTCAACGGGCGTGACGTGCTTGGGAGCGACGTTGGAGCCATTCGCATTGGCTTTGCCAAGGTTCCAGTCAAAAATGGACCTGAGGGAAGCACCGGTCAAGATGAAACCGCAGGCCTCAACGTACAGGGTGTTGGTGATCTCAGTGTCGGAGCTACGATTCACGCCCTTCGCAGCATCAAGGGAGCGACTACCATCCCCGTAGATCAGCAGGTCCTTAGTGGTGCAGTGGAGAATTACCGATCTAACTTGCTCCTGAGCTTGATTGCGTCTGGTGCTCATACTGGCGCTTACGATAGTGCTGGTAAGCCGGCTGGCTGGACCCCATCGGTCACCGAGCAGCAAATGATTATGAAGGAGCTCAGTGGCGGCAGTCCTGATGCCGAGGCTGATATCCAGATCCTTGCTGGTGAGCTGGGCAGAATTGAAATCGCCGTTGAAATTGGCTGACTGGTCTGTAGAATTCCGACCGCCTACCATGTACTATACCACCATTCCTCTCGTGTCTGAGAGGCCGCACAACAGGCGATGGGATGCATCGAAGCTGCGTGAGCTGCGCAAGCGCCTTGACACCAGCACCATTTCCACGGAGGAGATTGACAATGTCGCTGCCGACTTCTTGGACGGAGAGATTGTTGACCTCGCGTCGGATTGGCTTGGTAATACGGTAAGTCAATAGCCTGAAGAGATTGTCTCAAGACCTACCGCTCATTACAACCGCAGGTTGTACAAAAATTGTTTGAGAAGTGTTCTCCAGGTCCCAGGCTGGCAATGTTGGAGCGAATCAGCCCGCACCTCGCCATGATCGGCATCCACAAGAATGGGACGTGGGCAGCGCAGAAGATTATCGAGTGTGTCCAGACCCCGGACGAGGTCGCTCTGATCACGCAGAACTTGCGGCCTTACGTTCCGCCGCTCCTTCTGGACCAGTTCGGCAATTACGTCGTACAGTAAGTTCTGATGTCTTTATTGAGTTAGACACAATCTCACGCACGGCTCAGGTGCTGTCTCCGCTTTGGTGCGCCTGCCACGGATTTCTTATTCGATGCCATGGTGGACCGCTTGTGGGAGATCGCCCAGGGACGTTTTGGAGCCCGTAGCATGAGAGCTTGTCTTGAGAGCAGTCACATCACGCTCAGCCAGCAGCGCCGTATTGCCACGGCCATCATTCTTAACTCTATTCCGCTGGCAACCAACCCGAACGGCGCCCTCCTCCTGACATGGCTTCTCGACACATCCAGCTTCCCCTCGAGATACAATTTGCTCGCGCCGCGTTTTACGCCGCACTTGTCGCACCTCTGCACGCACAAGCTCGCTTCGCTCACTGTCCTCCGGATCGTCAACCAGAAGGTGGAGTCTGAAGCGTCCGCGCAGATTGTAGAGGCCTTGTTCTCCTCTCCTGGCGACCATGTTCTCACGGATGTCCTTGGCGACCAAGTCAATGGTGTGGCTGTTGTCCACAAAATTTTGACGAGTCCCTTCGTCGACCCTGTCAAGCGCCCGAGTTACATCGAGGCCACCAAACGCGTCCTCATCGAATTGAAAGTGATCGCCACCCAGGCCTACCGTCGTCTAATCGAGGAGGTCGGTTTGCCAGTACCCAACCTGCAGCCCACCTACACGACGAACGCTCCTCCTTCCAACGGCAAGAACAAGTACACTGCCCAGAGCAACTTCGGGATGCCAGGTTTGCCAGCTGGGTATCCTTCGAGTGATCAGGGCCTTGCGTCGATGATGGCGGCGCTCCAAATGGGTGGGCAGAATGCTGCGTCTGCACCCCCTCGCCTCCAGATCGACCCGGCGTATGGCCAGGGCAGTGTTGGGGGACGAGGTCGCTCCCCTAACCCTGCCTCCACATTCTCTCCCTCGACTGACCCTTTCAACCCGTTTGCAATGCGGTCTCCCGATATGTCCAGTCCCCGCAACAGCGTTCCTCGCCGTAATGGAGGCGTCCAGTCAGGCAATCACCAGTCGAGCGTTCCGTTCGGTGCACAGTCCCCTAGCCTTACGCAAGCTGCCAACCTGATGGGCATGGGACAGCCCTCTTACAACAACATGACGCCGCAATCAGTTCCGCCGCACGTTTACCAAGCATATATGTACCAGATGTACCAACAGCAAAACTCGCCCAACGTCGGCACCTTCCACGCTTAGAGCGCAAGTCAATCGCACTGCTATCGTTGACGACCATCACGAATTGCTCTCGGGACAAAAGTTCCAGATATGAAGTACTGTTCCTCTGTTCCCTCCTGCTGTTATATATACTGTTCTCTCACTGGGCCCGCGAACGGTTGTTTGCTACCCGGATTATATACCCCTCTGAAAGCAATAGTTGGTGCGCTCTCACACTCCCTTGCTCATTTACAAACAAAAGCAGGTTCAAGCACCATGGGGCGGTGTCATATGCTGACGCTGTGAAGTGGGTGCATGGTTGGTTGTTCAGGTCTCTACTACTCCTCGGTCGCTACAATGTACAAGTACGGAAGGCTGTAGGATATGGCCGATAAATCTAGCGTATAGATGAACTTGTCTGAACAAATGCATTGTGCTATTATGTATCCACATGACCTCATCAGGCCGTACGCCGTCAGAAACAATTGACCGGAATCGCTGTATGTTCCGTGGTGGTGCAGCCATGGTGTACGTGGTTAGGTGAGTGGATTGAGTTCGAACGTGGATCAGCGCATTTATACTGAGTCGCAATATGCACTGTACGGCTGCATAATCCACTCGGAGAATAGCCTTTGTTGTGACAGATCATTGAAGTTCCGCGACAACACAACTGATCTTCACATCAATCACATGTCGATCGATCATATCAACGGCCGTCAGCACGAATCCATGTCTGCCCCATTTCAATTACAGCTCTCAGCTCACGAGCTCGAGAGACTTCGGGCTTTATTTCTGGTATCGCGATGGCACTCTTGTTCTACTTGTCGAATCTGCCATATTTTTCTCCGTGTACAATGACCTGCTCTCGTACCCCAGCCACAGCTTGCGCCCAGACTTGACGATTGCCCTGTTGTTTGCTTGAATCATTCATCGACGGGCATTCGTACCTTCTACGGTTCCTGATTTACACAGTGCTTCGTGCGTATCAATGCCGTCTTGACGATTCAATCTGATATCCTCACAAAACGACGGTGAACAGCTGCGTCTGGCCCGACACAGCGGCCAAATCTCTAGCGATCTCGGCTCTCATCAGGCTGGGACACCAGTAGTAGGTGGTTTGAATGTGTTTTTCTCAACAAGGAACCAGACGAGAGTATGTGTGTGGCCACAGTACATGATGATCGATGGCCTCAGCGTCGGGAAAATAAGGACTGGAGCTGAATACCTTCCCGCTGCGATGTTGTCTGCTTATGCAAACAACCAGTGCAGAGAGACGACTGCCTTCCGCATGTGAGGTCCTCCGATCTACAGGCGACCTAGATTTGCTTGACAGGTGATATTAGCCCCGATATCTGGAGCCTTTCATGACGATGCTGCCTGACCATTATACTAATCTCGAAAGCACTCACGGCCGTACTCGTCGAGAAACCATGTTGCTGTATATCGTGTTGGTCGAAAATATAGCTTATTGTGGTATATACAGTCTTAGATTCAAGTCCGCCGAGTACTAGTAATAGGTGAGGTCGATGAACCTTCACTGAGACACTGAGATAGCGAGAAGCTGTTGGGTTGATAGCGCGCGTTTTTGCACACCCAGATGTATATTGAAAGTAATTTAAGTTGGACATGACTTGGCTTCGTTACAGTGCCATGCATGAGCGAGCATGCCACTACAAGTTGGGGAACGTGCTACAAGCATGAACTACAGTTAAATAATAAGGGAATGGATGACTGCTAAGCTGCATGAAATAAGTACATGGTACCATACCCAATAGCCGACAACAGAGGAACCATCTTCACCGTGCAGCTTCGTAAAACGCTATCATGTCTTCAAATTCCGGCAGCAAGATATCCAACGGAGGTAGGCCAACGGCCTCGATACGAACACGCGGATGGAACCTGGGGTGGCGTTGCTTCTTGTAAAGCATCCGATACACGACGTGCAAGTACTTGCAGACGACGAAAAGAACCGCATAGCCATACCACCCGGCTATAGCAGCTGCGTTGGGGGTCAAGTGCAGTTGCTTCAGGTGGCTGACATTGTGCTTGTCTAGGACCATGTCCGTGCGGAGCATGCCGATGAAGCCGATCGCCGCCCCGAAGGTAGGAACAAAAATGGGCGCGCATGGGCCTGCTAACAGCTCGGCGGTGGCCAGTCGAACATACAAGAGAAAGCGGGGGCGATGCATGCCCTTCCAACGCATGTAAAGGGCACTAAATGCTGAGACGACGAGGATGAAGAACAGGGGAAATGCGACGACGGGGAACTGCCCGTATGCCGTGGCGGCGAGGGTCTTCGTGACCGAGGCATCGAAGTAACTTGCGAGCGTAGGCGGGAGCAGGCGGCGGAGCAGCGCATGTCCAATACAGACGGGCATGCCGAACGGCAGCGGGAAGACACGCCAGAAGACTCCGACTAGAGTAGGCTTGTACGTGATGTCCAGCACGGTGGTGTTTTCGGGGGTCAGCTGCTGTCGGTAGTCGGAGAAGATCATGATGTTCGTCAGGGGGCTTGAGAGATGGGCAGGATGCTCGAGTCTGAGAAATTTACAGATCGCAGAAGGAGAGTTTAAGTACTTGAGCTCAGATACCTCGTGTCCACTGTGTGGTGTGGCGTGTGTGGCGTCAGATATCGATCTGTAGTTCTTTGTCCCATTGCTGTGCCGTAGCTGTTGCTACAGTTACGAATACACGTTCCCGCTTTAAGCGACATTTGTACCCACGCAAGACAATAAAACGAGCCACCTTCGCCTCACCCTTTGATGCGTGTCGCAGAGGTAGCCCCATTTTAGAGGCAGATAGCATTATTGACATGATCCCGGGGGGGGGGGGGGCACATCAAACAGGCGTAAGGAATGATGAGGAGGGTGACTCTAATCATGGTCCTTGCTGTACAGTAGCATTGGTTCACGAACCTGGGACACTAGCCGTAAACGACGCACCTCATTACAGCATCGCCACCCAGAGGGGGTCATCACGGACATCAATAGATCTGCAGCATGTTCAGGTATTCAGCCTGTTTCCAAATCCATACTCCCCTTATATCTCGATGACATTTATGACCCATTCCGGATCTTTTTGCATGCGGCGAGGAGATTCTTGTAGGGCGACTGAGGGAGGACTGCAAATACGCGCATCAGCCCTCAAGAGATGTCTCTACTAAGGCAAGCTATCCATGATTCGAAGTGAAAGCGCTGACCGATGTCATAATAGCTCTATGCATGTAGGCAGGGTGGATGTTCGGCTCTGAGCAGTAAACTCGACGAGGTGATCAAGTCCCTTTGCCTTTGTCTTGCAGAAACTGTCACTAACAAGTAAGCATAGAAACCTTCTACCAAGTCGGAAATCACTGAAATCTGCCAGCAACAAGGCGATTGGTGAACTTCGACGATGGGGTACAAACGAGTGCCGTCCGGCCCACCCAAAGAGCCAGGACGGACACCAAGCGCCCATTCTAACCACTTTGCTCGTGCCAAAGAAATCGTCCTCTCCTCACTCAGAAAAGGAGCTCTTCTGTAAGCTGTATAGAGGAACAACGTACCAACCACCACCCAAGGGCGTCATCATGGGCACTGAGTGCACAGATTGAACTGAGAGTACGTATGCCTTGAAAGAACAAAATGCTCGGGATGAGGATCGAACTCATGACCTCAGGATCAGGATTACGGGTTTGAAGTTAAACCCTCATACAAACGTATGAGACCTGCGCTCTAACCAACTGAGCCACCCAAGCGCTTACATTGAATGCTTTATAACCATAGACGCAAATGACGCTGCGCATGACTTGTCGTTCCTGGCCAATCATGCAGTCTCCGTTACATTCAGTCCGCCGGAAGTTCGTTGGTATATCGTCAAAAGGCCCTATTCTCATCGGACTGGTGAGCCATGATCAGAGGCGTTCGGCGTGTGATTCGTCTGTCGCGTACCACCGGGCAAGCCGCCCGCCAGTCGCACTCGGAGGCTCAGCATCACCGCACCAACCTCACCGCGGTCATCGCGGCCTCTGCAGCTGTCGCGACGGGAGCCGCACTCTATTGTACGCACACAATCATTCACAATGACGCTCCCGCCGCCGACGCTGCCCAGCAGAAGGCACTCAGCCCGAGACTATCCCTGGATGCGCTGAGCTACAAAGATAACGCGCTGCACACCCTCGTGTGGGGCTCAAACAAGTGAGTAACTATCATGCATTCACCAGAACGCGACCTGTTAACTTCGTGCTGTGTCCAGAACACATGTCCTAGATTTGGACGAGCAGACAACGGAGTCAATCCGTACGCCTGCAGCGGCGGCATGGCTCGAGAATGTCGCCCTCCGCGACCTGGCGCTTCATGAGCGGCACGCGGTGTGTGTCGATGCTCGCGGGGATGTCTACCAATGGGGAGACGGGTTCGGTAGTAAGCCGGGCTGGTCCTCGGGCAAACCGGCGCTCACGCTACGGGGAAAGGTGCGTCCCGAAAGCTGCGGCTGCATACACGTCCGGACGCTAACGCATATACGTGATGCACAGAATATCGTGCGCGTTCAAGCAACGCCCTCCCGCGTCTTCGCTCTGTCTGCGTCCGGCCGCATCTATGTCCTCTCGTCTTCCGCCACTGAGCAGGCCCTGCCTGCGGGCGTCCCCACACCAGCCAGCTCGCCGTGGTGGGGAACTGGCTGGTTATGGGGTGAGGAAGAATATGTCGACTTTGCGGAGATCCTCCCGAGCGAGAAACTCGGGTGGAATGAGAGGTATGTATACGCCTCTGGTAGCGGAGCGTTTCCTGATCATCCGACTTAGATTCACATCTATAGCAGCAGGCTCGGACCATCTGCTCGCTCTCACATCCTCGGGGCGCACGTTTGCGCATCCCATCTCGATGAATGCAAACAGTCATGGGCAGCTGGGGTTCCGCAGGTTTGATGTCCCGTCGCCAGCGACTGCAGGCTTGCCGCATGGCCATGCACGAGTTCCAGTGGAGCTGACGCCGAAGTCGATCGCGGATCCCTATGCGAAAGCAAGTCCGGCAATCCGGCGTGTCAGCGCGTCGCCCGACGAACACGGGGCCGCTGGTGCGGCGGGTGGCCTCGACGACAAAAGCATCCGTTTCTCCGACCGCCTGTTTGAAGTGCCCGCGCTCAAAGGTGTGTATGTTGACCGTATCGCTGTCGGCGCACGAACTAGCTTCGCGAAGACAACTTCGGGGCGCGTGCTCGGCTGGGGTGCGAACGAGTTTGGGTACGTACAGCTTTGATACAGTAAGCGTAACAACACTCAACGCACCACATCTACAGGCAGATAGGACTCGGAAGTCAGGTCACTCTGGACACGATTACCGTACCGACAGAAGTTATACTGTGGCGGAACACGCCTTCTGGGATGCGCACAACGTGTCTCGACATCTACGCGGGCGGCGACTTGACGTTCTTCCAGGTGGAACGCGCAGATGGAAGCGCGATGCCTTACATCGACGTCCTCGCATGCGGGAACGGCCAATTTGGCGGACTGGGCAATGCCCTGTTTAGCAATGCACAGAGCTCGCCTGTGCGCGCGCGAAACGTCAGCGGGCTCCTCGAGTGTACGTGACCACTGTCTAATTGGATCCATGTCTCAACTGACTGTACGTGTCTTTGCAGTCAGTGAGAAGCATAACAATCTGCAGCCTGTCGTGCCTCACGACATTTCCGTTTCGCCGACTGGACATGTCCTGCTGACGTTGGACACCCTCGCCCATAGCGGCCCGGGCGCGACGGGGCGCGATATTCTAGCATGGGGCGCCAGCTACGACTACCAGCTCGGCAACGGGAAACGCGGAAGCGTACCCACACCCACGAACGTGGCGAATGGGGACGGAGAGCGGTTTATGCTAGGAAAGCGGCGAGCAGGGGAGGTGAGGGATCTGCAGGGCAAGCTGTGGAAGAAAAACATCGAGGTGGAGCAGAAGGCGGTCGCAGGGTGGGGGAACAGCATCGTCTATTGGAAGATCTATTCGTAGCTTTTCATCGTCGAGTCGCTGCAATTGGAGACTTGGGTTCCCTGTGCTATATTGGAACGCGCGGCGAAGAGCGTTTGCACCATATATTGTCGAGACGAGCACAGGTAGGCGCGCTGCCTGTGCTAGCCCAGATAAGGGGAGACGTCGAGAGACCCACGGGCGACTGCTCTCCTTGGTTATCTCGCCTCCTGTTCAGCACATGTTCGACTGCTCCCGCCCGTCGCTCTTCCTCTCCTTCTCCCCGTCCATCTTGTTGTAAGCCCGCTCGACGGCAGTGCTCTGCCCTTACTGTGCGATATATCCTGGTATGTTACTCGTACATCAGCGAGAGCCTATTCTCATTCAATGATTCTCAGTACTCTACGCTCGCAGCGCGCTCTGCCCCTATACTTCAGCGCCGACGACCTTGACGTGCCTTGATCATTCCGTCATTTCCGCCATAACGCCGGAGATAGACACCTTACAACTATGTCTACCATGAGCAGCCCCCGCCTGCTTTCTCCGGACTCCGTTTCTTCCTACGACTACATTTCCGCGCGATCGCATACGGAAAGCTACGGCGTGCGCAGTGCGAGCGATGGTGTATCACCTGCATCCGACATGGACGAGATCGTATGGTCCGTCTCGGACCTCTCGCTCTCGTCGATGTCGATCTCCGGGGCGTTCTCGCAGCGCAGCACGGGCGCACGTTCGCCCTCGACTTTCTCCGACGACTACATCGTGCTCAGCAGGGCCAGGTCGCCCGTCCTGTCCCACGCGTCTGCATCATCCAGTAGGGTCTCGTCGGACGTCACCCGCGCGATTGAGAGGGAGCTGAACGCCGCCATCTCCGCGCTCTCGCTCTCGCGCACGCCGCCGAGGGACACCGCCGGTGCCCCTGCGGGTCCTACCCGATTCGACCTCCGCCGTGCAGTGGGCATCCCCACGGCCGCTTCGCCCGCCCCTGCAGCGGCGTCCTCGAAGAAGGCGAAGAAGCAGAAGGCCGCGGAGCATGTCGTTGGAGCTTCAGCGAGGGCAGCCAAGAAGGAAAGGAAGAGGCTCAAGAACGCTCAGGAAAAGCAAGTCTCCATTCCTGAGGCCTCTTTGCCCAGTCCGCCTCCATCGCCCAGCAGGGGGGCCAATAATGTCCCGGCCGCGGTAGCTCCCTCCACTTCGCCCGCTTCGACGTCCGGTCTCGGCGAGCGCGCCATTGTGGACGACGTTTCGGAAGCCGGCGATTCCACTGTAGACGTAGTAACGTATCGCGACGCCACCGCCTACATTACAACGTACGTCTTGACGTCCTAGAAATGCAGCCGGCAACTGACATGCACATCCAGCTTTTTGAAGAATCCGACGTCAAAGCCAGGTTCGAAGAACCTGAAATTACATCAGGCCCTCATCATTGAGCTCGGACTCTGTCCCTCGGCGCTGCTGCCCTCCCTACGGAACACCGTTCCCTTCCCCTCGCTGCCTTCGCTCCCTCATTCCCTCCGTGCTGCTAAGAACCTGTTGAAGTCGCAGGCCTTTGTGAACGTGCGTGACTACCTCGCCGTGCGCGAGGAAGGCCTTGAGGCACTGCGCCGGGTAATGCATCCGAACCGCGGCTCTCTCATGCGCGAGGTGCGCTCCGGGCGGCGCCTGCCGGTGAAGACCATCAAGGACGCAGGACTTAACGTCCTCCTTGTGCAGTGCTTCTGATTAATATATCGTCTTCCGCCGGCGCACCCCGCTCGGAGCCGTTGCCACCAGCCTAACTACGCAAAGGCTGCATGGGAACTCCTACCTCACGGGCGTCCTCTCATACCGGACTCACTTTGTTACCCACCTTCTTGTATTGTTTGACTGACGCTCACTTCCGTCGTGTATGTGTACACTAGCCTAGATATCTCGCTCTCCGACGCGTCGACTCCGCACGCATGTACCATATCATCCACCTCTGTTCTTGTACAGTTCTGTACCCTCCACAGCACGACGGTTGCTCCCGTGTCTTGACGTCGCGCGCTGTTGTACCCTGTTCCATTTACCCCTGTAACGAATCATTCTTGTCAATAGGTACAATAGCTAAATGATCATGTGCTGTACTGGACTGTTGTGGGCACCCTCAACGTAACCAACGACGCAGCCGGGCTCGACGAATAGCCGGACTCGGAGGACATGTCTGGCCTGTCCTTTTCGGTGAGGTAATGCATGATGCACGCGGCTGCGGGCAGGTCCCGGACAGAGGGGCCAACACTCTGTGGCCCTCCGGCACAAAGCGGCGCAAGCGCCCGACACTCCGACCCCTCGGATTTTGGGCGGAGAATTGGCCCTGGTCAGTGGTGGCCCGGTCCCTCTTCAACGTTCTGTCGATCCACTCACGATCCAGACCAGCGGTCGAAGAGCGAAGTCAAAAAGCTTACTCGAGGGTGTGGTGCAATATGGAGCGGAGTTTTCGTGTTGAAGAACGAAAATGCACCCCCCCAGAAATCGTGTACGTACGCATCGGCGCGGTATGTCCATTATGATTGGTACGCATCGCCCCGACGCCCTCGTTTTTCTGTCTGTAAAAAAAGGTCTTCTGCATATTTCCGGATGAGTACTCCACCGCGTCCAGACCGTGAACGTGCGTTTGAGCCTGCAGCCCCTCGGGCCGCCGGTCGACGCCCACGACTAGACGGGCCCATTTCAGCACAACGGACGGGGATTGGTCGCGCAGCGCGTTGCATTGAGGAATGCTGACCACACGCACGCCCGCTCTTTGACCTCATTTCTCCTGATTGATGAGGCGGTGAGTCCTGCGACTGGTCAAAGCGCGATCTTCGATGGGCCCTGCGGCGCCGGCAGCTTTGCTTACATACTGCCTCCGCATGTGGCGAGGGTGCTTTTTGTAAAACATATAAAAGGGGGGGCAGGATGAGGGCGAGCAGCATCCTCGGACAAGAATCTTCGACGCCATGTACTTCATCTTCCTGCTCGCTCTCGTCCTGCCTCTCGTCCAGGGTGCCGCCCTCGCTCTCCGTGAGCCTGGCGAGCTCGCCCGCAGGCAGTCGTACAGCGATGCACGCTTCACCTGGTACGACACTGGACTGTGAGTGCACCCCGCCACACATTGTGTGGGCCATGTGAGATTGACTGCGGACGTGCAGGGGCGCTTGTGGCCAGACCAACCAGGCTAGTGACTACGTGAGTGCCACCGTTCGCTAGTCATGAAGTGTAGGTGACTGACCCACCGTCTCACAGATTGTCGCTCTAGATTCTGCTGTCAGTATACCGCAGCCGACTGTGACCTTGAGCATAGACTGATGTGTGTATGAACCCGCAGTTGTTCGGCAGCGGTTACCCTGGTCCTGAGTGCTTCAAGAGCATCACGGTCAGCGCCAACGGCAAGCAAACCACCGCCACCATTATGGACGAGGTATGTCGTCAGTATATTTGGATTTTGGCACAGCCCCTCACCGTAACTACAGTGCCCCGGCTGCCCCGAGGGCGGCCTCGACATGTCCGAGGGCCTCTTCTCGTTCTTCGCCGACCCCGGCGTCGGCGTCCTCACCGGCGAGTGGTGGTACAACTAGACCCACCGCTCCCACCTGCCATTCACTACCAGAACGTCTCCGTCCTCCCACGTCTGGACGCGTCGAGGACAGCCTCGGTTGCAAGCCTGCCGAGCCGTGCTCCTGTCATTATCGGTTGTATCCTCCTAGAGCTAGAGCTAGAAGTCTCTGCGCCCGTTTGTATTGCTATGTATTCTCAGAGCCTGTATCCGACGGCCTGTTGACCAGGGCCGCACGTCTTCTTGTTGTCAAAGCGTTGCTCGGGCTGCAGCAGCTTGAAGCATAGAGCTGTATGTCTTAGCTATGTGTATCTAGGAGAAATATAAAGATGTATCTTATTGGGTTTGGTATTGTGCGATAGTGACTGCTTGCGTGAAGGACGAACCTCAGCGGACCTCATCCCACGCACTGCCATCGTTTCTTGTGAAACAGCTGCCACCGGAGCCGGGAGACTCTTTGGCGAGCTCGAGACTGGTTTATGATGGTTAGTAGTCAGGGAAGTCTAACAAGGGGAACACGAAGCAGTCTCATGCCAACACGACAGGTGCAACATCAAAGGGTATGATTGCCTACACTCCGTGTACATCGCACCGAGTGTGTAGATACCAGAAATGGGCTGAAAGTGACTACGATAGAGAAACAAACAGATTCAAAGCGGATGAACGGCAAAGTAGTGCTGAGAAAGATAGGTGTTGTACTCGGGTATATTTCTAGGTCCGTCGCCACGGGGGAATGTCTGGAAATGTCCACGCCGAATGCCGCTGGGCAGTATATGGGGCAGGCGGCCATTACAATCACTGGCCGGTCAGGCTCATTGACATTGCCGACTGCTTTACTGCTGCGCCGCCTCAGCACCCGCTACCATGAGCCCTGCCATGCCGAGGAAAGCCTGGTTCATGCTCTCCAGCTGGTCACCGCTGGTGTTGTCGTCCGCGGTGCCGCTCTCCACAGCCGCAACAGCCGAAGCAGTGCTACTCGCGGCTGAGCTGGACCAGCTCGCTGAACTGCTGGACCACGCGGAACTGCTGCTCCAAGAGCTGCTGGACGACCACGAGCTGGAGGACGAGGACCACGAGCTGCTGCTGCTCGGCGTCCAGGCGGGCGAGGAGGTTGTAGGGGTCCAGGCATCCGAGGTGGTCGTAGGCGTCCAAGCGGGTGACGAGGTCGTGGGGGTCCAAGCGGGCAAAGAGATAGGCGGTGTCCACGCTGGAGACGAAGTGGTCGGAGTCCAGGCGGGCGACGAAGTGGTCGGTGTCCAAGTATCGGAGCTGGAGGAGTCGCCGCCGCCGCCACCGCTGCTGCCGTCGTTGTAGTACCACGTGCCGTAGAGCACACCAACGCTCAGGTCGGCGAAGAACTGGAACAGGCCCTCAGACATATCGAGGCCGCCCGACGGGCAACCGGGGCACTACATAAGCGTGAGGATAGCGATATTTGGTAATTGAGATCAATTCGTACCTCGTCCATGATGGTCGCAGTGGTCGTCTTGCCGTTGGCAGTGATCGTAATGGACTTGAAGCACTGCGGACCAGGATAACCGTCCCCATAGAGCTGTCGTAGAAGACATCGAGCTCCGCCCCGAGACAAGCACGGAGAATACTCACTGCAGTATCTAGCGCCACAATCTGTCGAGTGGGCATCAGGGATCTGGAAGAGCCCGGTGATGGATACTGTCACTTACGAAATCACTGGGCTGGCTTTCCTGCCCGCAAGCACCCCTTTCGTGGAACATTGGCGTCAACGATAATGTATGATGGCGCTAAACACTTACATCCCAACGGAGTAGTACGTGAACCGCGCGTTACTGTACGACTGGCGGCGCGCCAGTTCGCCGCGGGGGCGGTGCGCAACGGCATTGTGGTGATGGTGAGCATCACGAGCACTGTGTCCGCGCCCCGCAACGAACGGGAGCACCAGCGTGAGGAGAGAAAAATTGAGGATCGTCGAGCAGCGCATTATGGACTATTACGCGTTGGGAATGTCAACAGTGGGTGTTGGCGTGTATGATTTCCAGACGTTGCAAAAGAGCGTGAGGGAAAGTGAGGGGACGGTGCAGGGCCGAGTGAGGGAAGGAGGCAGGGTGCTGGCCGGGGCTAGCGAGACCGCGTCGTGTGTATATTTTGTTCCTAACAACGCCAAGCGCGCCCGCCATAGGCCCCGAAATAGCAGCTAGTGTTTCCCTCTTTGGCAACTGTTCAAGTTCACGCTCGCATTCTAATTCCGTCCATTCTTGCACCCTCTACTCTAGCAAACTATCGTAGTCAAGCGGCCGTTGTTGACCAAGAGTCGTCGCTGGCGAAAGCAGCAGGAAAACAAGGGGCTCAATGCACGGCTCGCTAGAAACAGCCGACCGAAGTGGGCACACGGCTGAAGGTCTGGGCCGGTGTTCTGTCCAATTCGCCCCATGCAGGCGCCGATACATTACTTAGGCTCATTGTATAAACACTCAATACTTTATGATACGTATTAAGGAGCAATATTAGGTAGCATGTATCATACATTTCAGTATCGTTGTCAATGCGAGGGTATGGAGACTGAAACCCGAATATGCATGAACCGCCTTTGTTTTCGAGCGATCCCCCACAGTGGCGAACATTGGGAAAACATCACGTCCAGTTGGCCGCGTACAGAAGACCGCTCATTCCGACAAGGGCCATGTTGAACTGGTTCAGATTACCTTGGTCGAACGCAGGTGATTCTTGAGCAGCAGCAGTGGCAGTGGCAGTGGCACTAGCGGTCGTCGACGGCGTCGCGCTGCTCGAGGGCAATGACGACGTGCTGATGGACAAAACGGAGCTGAATGTCGAGATCGAGCTGTAGCTGGAGAACGATGAGGGCGCGGAGTATGTCGACGTCGGCTCCCAGGTGGAAGTCGGTGTCCAAAACGTAGTGGGCGCGACCCAAGTCGACGTTGGTGTCCATATCGTGCTCGGTGCAACCCAGGTACTGGATGTGGTGGGTGGTGCGCCGTCGCCGAAGACCCATGTGCCATAGATAATACCCTGGGACTCGGGTGCGAAGAAATCGAAGAGGCCACGGGAGAGGTCAAGACCGCCACTCGGACATCCAGGACACTGTAGAACGGTGAGTGGACCATATGCAACCATTTTACAGGGGGCAGTCAAGAACACCAACCTCATCGGTGATCTTGGCTTGCGTGCTCTTCCCTCCGTACGAAATTGTGATTGTCTGGTAGCAATACTGCCCACCACTCCATTGCTGCAAATGCCCGGTAAGTACAAGCAGACAAGCCGTGGATCTTGCTCACGTCTGTGTTCAAAGCAACAATCTGCTTTTGCGATCAGCAAGGTGGTGCACAAGTGCAGGGATATACTCACAAAATCACTATCTGTGTCTACTGAGCCGCACGCATTTTGGCCAGCATCGTAGTAGCTCAGCCTCGCGTTGTCGACGCGCTTCGCGTTCGTGCGCCGTGCTTCGACATCGGCGTGCTTCCTGGAGCCCCAATGATGCAGGCTCCTCCCTACTGCATGCGTGTCGGCAAGCACGACCCCAAAGAAAGACAAAACAAGGAGAGAGACAGAAAACGAAAGACGAGTCGGCGCGTGCATGGCTTGACAAAGACTGGTCTGGTGGGCGTGTGGGCGTCGGGTTTCTTGAGACTAGTGTGTATAGGCGTAACTTGGACGTAGCGACAGGACAGGTCGTGGGCCTGGTGACCAAAGGACGTAGCGACGGGCTTGGCTTGGGGGACCCTTTATACAGCCGCGAAGACGAGCACGCTCCTCAGCTGATTCTCGGGAACCAACAACTTCCAAAGGCCAGACCCCATTGTTAGCCGAGCTGACCTAATGGCGGGGCACGTCCAAATTTGGAAACTCTGGCGGGGCCGCCGTTAGGCGAGCGCTGGGTGCAACCGCAACGGCTTGGGCGTCGAGTCTTGTCATTGTCGCCGTCGTTGTCGCCTCTGCCATCGGTCTCTTTCCGCTTCGCCGTGTGTACACCATAATGTCTGGAGGCTTCCCTTGGTTCAAAATGACTATTGCAACTGGCGGAGGTATGCCTTCGTCCTCACCCACGAGCGGTCCTCCTCTTACTCCGTTGGTTGACTATTCGGACGTCGACAACTAGTGATGGGACTGGGTTATTTCATCATGAAGTGTGAGTGGTGCATACCTCCACAAATCTAAGTCGTACAACTTACAGTCAAAATTGATAGCTACTTCTCCCACACCTGAACAGACATATGCTGTGAGTACTCTGTCGTATTTGTCTAAGGGTCCTTTTCGGAGTATCACCGCGCTCTCGAATAAAAACCGCCTCAGTCCTTCTGCTGTTCTTGCATTGGTAGCAGTTCAAGTAACGGCATGCTGACAAAATCACTTCCCAGGCCATGGCCCCCGACCTGCGACGCAAGGTCGACGCAAATCGTGCAGCTCGGTTAGCTGCGGAAAATGAGACCAAGCGACAGGTAGATGCACAGGTTCGTAGACTACCAATTCGATTCCAGTCATTTGCTTGACGCTTACGGCAATGTTGACATAGTTGAGCGATCCCGATTCACAAAAACCTATCTGGGCCGACTCGCCACGGTCATAGCACGTCCCTCACCGTGCAGCCATCTCTATCTCCTCCACATATCTGTCGCTGTACTAATACTCGTAATGCTATTGGAACACCTCTCTGTCCAATCATATCCGTCGAACACATATGGCCAAAGCCTAATACACAGGTCAATGTATCGACTCAGGCGGCCGCATAACATGTTGCATCACTATTGCACAGTAGGTATGGCGAAGACTGAGAGGGTAATTATAGGCCAGACACGACGGACAAGAAACGAGACGATCTAAGTTACAACGCCAGCGGCACCTGCAATCTGCGCATAGCACAATACAATGTCTGTGAACTGATCTCCGCCACCATCCTACACCGCTCTGAGCCGTTCATTATATCACCCCGTTCTCGCATCACCCCGCCAGCTGATTCACGCTTGAATCGGCCGAGTCGACCGCTTGTGCAGGCGGCGTCCCAGGGCGTGAGCGCAGCAGTGGCTTGTGCGAGATGGCCGAATCCGAGTCTGGCGAGGACGAAAGCACGTCGTAGGTAGACGGCCCCATCGACGGTGCGAGCGATGACGAGAGCGAGTCATGCCGGCCATACGGGATAGGGCGGGACTCCTGGACTGAAGCGTCGTCCAGCTCTGTCGCTGGCGGTGTCTGTGGGCCTGCGGTCTCGTTTGAGCTTTCTGGCGAGTTCAAAGCAGCCGTGAGTGCAGCATCTGGGGCGCCGGAAGATTCGGTGCTGGCACAATCTATCGCGGTATTGGGTGCCGGCGGGGCAGGTGGTGTTGTCAAAATGAGAGGGTGAGGCTCACTTGCCAGTGAGCGGAGCGGCGAGCTGGGCTCCGCGTTGGCAGAGACTATTGAGGAGGTGGATGCAGTCGGAACAGACGTGGACGAAGCTGAGGCGCTCTCGGTAGTTGGTGATGGAGAGGATTCGATAGTAGGGGCCGCAGATGACAGACCCGCGCCCTCGCTCCCGCTCCTGCTCTCACCCTGAGCGCCGACTGCGGTGCCGTCACTGCCTTGCGCCTTCTTCTTCTTCTCTTCCTCCTCGCGCTGTCGGCGTTGCTGCTCTTCGTGTTCCAGGAGAGATAACCGCATCGCTTCCATGACCATAAGCTGCACGAGGCGTTACGGTGAGATCTGTATGGTATATACACCCGGAAGACAACTCGCCTCTTCAAGATCCTGACCACCAAGACCCATATTGCCCAATAGATTATGAATATCCCGGTCCTGTCGTCTTCGTGACCGTCGGCTCCCCCGATCTCCAGAGGCCTCTGGTGCCTCCTGCCCATCCTCTGTAGATAGAGGATGCACGCGTCCGCTGCTGATACCCACTGGAATCAGTCTGTCGCCGACTTGCCGCATGATGATCCGCCTGTTCGCACGCCGGGCAACAGCAGCACGGACAGCAGCCAACTTCGCCTCCCAGTCCGGACGGATTTGATCTATAGCAATGTCAGTCAGCCAATATGAGGACTAGAACGTTTCGTTAACAAACCTATGGTGACAACTTCGGGGCTGTCTGCACCAAAGCTCTTGCGCGGACGTTTCATAGCTGCTGTTGGCGATGTTTCAGGCTGCTTTGGCGATTCCGGCCATGAAGGCGGTGTCTAGAATACCAGAGTCAAGGATGTCACTGTCAACTGAATCTGAATCGAGCATCTCAGAGTTATACTGACCGCTCCCTCGCTCCCAAGTCCCGTGCGCCACGGTGGTGGGGTATACACAACGCCGAAGTTCTCCTGAACACAATACGGACATGAAGCAGGCTCAGAGACCAGGTGCTTAGGATCTGGCTCCGCCCGTTTGATCTGGACAAAACATTCCGTACAGATTGCTTGGTCACAGCACCGCGAATGATTAATGTTCGGAGGGTAGTACTGGAGGTCGCACGACTGAGCACGGCCTAGTAGGAGGCGAGGGCGCACGCACCAGAAAACAGATCGGGCACTCCGCGGCGCCCTTGTATATCGCGGCCTCCGGATATCGTGTCAGATCTTTCGAGTTATTGTTATTGTGCCCCCGCTTGTGACTCGACTTGGACGCGAGCGAGATGGTGTCGGAGCGCGAGCTGGACGACTCGGGCTGTGCACCGTCCGCGTCGGTCGGGAGCTCCTTTCGGTGGGCGAGGATCTGCTCGTCGTCCCAGGACTCGTCAAAGTCCTCGAGGGGACGGTAGAATGGTGCGAGCTTGCGCTCGCATATGAGCTGCGCTACTATGGACTGGTTCCAGTCCTTGGGGCCAGTATATATGCCCTGAGGGGTAAGGTAGCCAAAGTCGACGGTCTCTTCATGATGACCGCGACCGGAAGAGGCACTGTTGCCCATGGTGCACTGACGAGGGTGCCGCGGAGGACGGAGAGCAGGCTCTGAAGACAAGAGTAAAAGGGCTTTCGTCACGCCGCCCGTCGGTGGCACCGGCTCGCGAGGACAGGAAAGTATCGGTCTCCACCGGAGTCTGCCGCCAATGTCCTCCAACGCCCGCTGCGGTTGCCCGATCGTGCACCGCTTGTGTTTCTGACCGTTTCTCGCCGGCGTGTTCAAGAGCTTGTCTGAATCGTCGTGGACAAGATTGCGGTTGAGTCACTGTTCTCTGACGCTTTGTAAGTGGACCGTGACGCTGTGAATACATGCAACCCGAAGATATCCATCACGCATGGCGGACCACCCTGATAGAATGCTTGCTTGCTTCACAAGACCATGTATATGGGGAACTGGTATGTCAGGAATTCTGATTAGGGCTATTCAGCTATCTCAACCAGGACTGAATTGACGACCGCTTCGGACATATCTCACGGCCGTTACCGCGGAAGACTCGCCACTATTCGCCCGTAAGCCACGCCTTGTAGGGTTCATTACCAGTGTTGGATATTATGGCGGATGTCTGTCTTTTCTGCCTGTTTGCACAGCCCGCCGCCGAGAACACATATATTTCCTGTCCACAGAACTGGGTTCATCCTACGCCAGAAGAGCTCACTAGAGCTCACTCCACGCGGGTACGTCCACGAAACTTGCCACGGTTGGCGCTCTGGAATGCATGATCACAACCACTGGGCGTTTGGCATGTCGTTCACCCAATAGGAAGTCTTCAAGTTACTCCCTTCCCTGCACTTTGCACAGCACAGCTATCAGAAAGCGTCTCTTCCATTTGCGACGTGCCAGCACTTTCTGACCCTGCAAGGCCTGAGCGAACACAAATACGATGCCTTGGCACGGCAGTCGTTGTTCAGAGGTGCTCTCGAATTGTTAAACACGAAGTGGGCTTTATCACTGGTGGCTGAATGCAAGTGGCTGCAGAGGCGCAAGGGTGGATATCGGTGTCGTTACTGCAGTGTTTAGCGAATGTACATACAGTAAAGCTGTGGGCCATGAGGAGAATGAAGCACCGGATTGTGGAGGATAATTTACGACCGAGGGGGTACTCTGAGGGCCAGGAACACCTGACTGCTTCGATCGGGGAATTTGCCACGTAGCCCTTGAGCGTGTTTTGTTTTTATAGCCCGGCTTACGTTCTTCTGAGCTGCAGTGTCGTGCTCGCTCGCTTCTCCGAGCTCGTCATCATACAGTACACTATCATCCCATTATTCTGGTATTCACGGCCTCGGCATGGACGAACCCTGGACAAAACAAGCCAATGAGATTCTACAGTACTATTCCGTAGATCCCGCCCGCGGGCTCTCCCCAGATCTCGCTGCCAAACATGCGGAACTGTATGGCAAGAATGGTGAGCAACGTCGAAGCCGCAGCATACCCTCAGGTCTCATACATTGTTGCAGAGCTGCCAGAGGAGCCATCAACTCCCCTATGGGAGCTCATTCTCGAGCAGTTCAAGGACCAGCTTGTGCTCATTCTTCTTGCCTCGGCGGTTATCTCATTTGTCTTGGCGCTGCTCGAGGACTCCGAGGGCGCAAGCTGGTGGAGTGCGTTCGTCGAGCCATCGGTCATCCTTCTTATCCTTGTCGCAAACGCAACCGTGGGTGTGATCCAGGAGACGAACGCGGAGAAGGCGATTGACGTTCGTCGTGCAAAGCATTATCATTGAAGTGTATGTCCTAACCTTCCTCCTAGGCTCTCAAGGAGTACTCCCCGGACGAGGCAAAGGTGCTCCGCAATGGTCAAATAAGTCGCATACATGCTTCCGAGCTGGTTCCGGGGGATATTATTTCTGTTGCAGTCGGGGACAAGGTCCCGGCGGACTGCAGACTCCTGTCCATTTCGTCAAGTAGCTTCCGTGCAGACCAGGCCATCCTGACCGGTGAAAGCGTCAGTGTCAACAAGTCGGTGGACGTCGTTTCGGACTCGAAGGCTGTTAAGCAGGACATGACGAACATACTTTTCGCTGTAAGTTGTTGATTTTGTTCATGCCGTAGCTCCCATCTAACCCACATATAGGGAACTAGTGTGGTCAGCGGTAAGGCGACAGCCATCGTCGTCTTTACGGGCCAGCGTACGGCTATTGGCGACATACACAAGTCCATCACCTCACAAATCAGCGAGAAGACGCCGCTCAAGCGTAAGCTGGACGACTTTGGCGATATGCTCGCGAAGGTTATCTCCGTGATTTGTGTGCTCGTCTGGCTTGTCAATTACCAGCACTTCTGGGACCCCGCCCACGGTGGTGCTCTCAAGGGTGCTGTATATTATTTCAAGATTGCCGTCGCGCTGGCTGTCGCTGCTATCCCGGAGGGATTGGCGGCTGTCATCACGGCTTGTCTCGCACTCGGCACCAAGAAGATGGCGCAGAAGAATGCCATCGTTAGAAACCTTCCCAGTGTCGAGACGCTTGGATGCACCAACGTAATTTGCTCTGACAAAACAGGTACATTGACGACTAATCAAATGAGTGTATCAAAGGTCAGTTTTTCGATGCATTGAATCCGCGCTCTCTACTTCAACTGGTGCACAGTTCTTTGTAATCAATGGCGCTACCGGCGCACCAAAAGAATACACAGTCGAGGGGACCACATTCGCGCCACATGGGTCGGTCAGGTCTGCTGATGGCAAAGTTGCCTCTGCTGAACTCAATTCTAAGCCCATACAACTTCTGGCTGAGGTCAGCGCGATCTGTAACGACGCAAAAATTGTGTACCATACGGTAAGCCGCATACATGCTCCCTCGATAGTCTCTTGATCTGAAAGCGGTGTCGTTCAGGAAAAAGGGACGTACGCCAACGTCGGCGAACCTACGGAAGCCGCACTCAAGGTTCTCGCAGAGAAGCTGCCTTGCCCGGATCTTGAGCTCGCAAAGTCGCTCTCCAGCTTGGACCCGTCCGTGCGGGCCAGCGCTGTTAACGACTTCTACGAACGCGCGATTCCCAGAGTCATGACATTCGAGTTCTCCCGCGACCGCAAAATGATGTCCGTCCTCGCGCGCAAGAACGGTACCGGCATTCTGTACGCAAAGGGCGCGCCGGAATCCATCCTAGAGCGCTCCACTTCCGTGCTTGTCGACGGTCAGGTCGTCCCGCTCACACCCAAGATACGCGCGCATATACAGCAACAAACGGCACTTTACGGCACCCAGGGCCTCCGCACGCTCGCGCTCGCGTTCGCAGAAGGCCGTAGCGTCAACCCGGCGCACTACCCGACGGAGAACACGACGGATTTTGCGCGCTTCGAGCGCGAGCTCACGTTCGTGTCGCTCGTCGGCATGCTCGACCCGCCGCGTCCCGAGGTACGTGCAGCGGTTGCGAACTGCAAGGCAGCGGGCATCCGCGTGATCTGCATCACAGGCGACAACAAGGGTACCGCGGAGACGATCTGCCGGCAGGTGGGTATCTTCGGCGAGGACGAGGACCTGACGGGCAAGAGCTACACGGGACGCGAGCTTGACGAGCTGAGCGACGAGGAGAAGCTGAAGGCAGTCATGCGTGCGGGGTTATTCTGTCGCACGGACCCGAGACACAAGAGCCAACTTGTCGACCTGCTGCAGAGCCAGGGCCTCGTCGTTGCTATGGTCAGTCTGCAGAGATCTCAGTCACTTACGTCATTGGTACTCACGTGTGGGATCATGTAGACCGGAGACGGAGTCAACGATGCCCCGGCACTGAAGAAGGCTGACATTGGTGTGGCGATGGGAAGTGGTACTGATGTCGCGAAATTGGCGGCAGACATGGTGCTTGCAGATTCCAACTTTGCTACCATCGAGCTCGCCGTGGAGGAGGGTCGGCTGATCTACAACAACACGAAGCAGTTCATTCGCTACCTCAGTGAGTGACAAACCAACCTCTGGTTTTGGCGCGTTGTGAACTGACCTTTACTTCTAGTCTCGTCCAACATTGGCGAGGTCGTCAGGTACGTTGTCGTGCGATGTGATGAGAGGCAAAGCTAACACGATCAATTCAGTATCTTCCTGACAGTCCTCCTTGGCATGCCCGAGGCCTTGATACCAGTCCAGCTGCTCTGGGTCAACCTCGTAACAGATAGTCTGCCAGCGACAGCCCTCGGCTTCAACCCCCCTGATCACAGCATCATGCGTGTGCCTCCACGAGACAGCCGCGAACGGCTCGTCGGCTCTTGGTTGTTTACGCGATACATGGTCATTGGCATCTACGTTGGCTGCGCAACGGTTGGTGGCTACGCATGGTGGTTCATGTACTACGTCGGCGGGCCCCAGATCACGTTCTCACAGCTGGTGCGTACCGAGCGTTTCCCTGACACGACGCCGTCGAGCGACTGACTGATCCGTCCGTTGCAGTCGCATTTCCATCAGTGCTCGTCGCTGTTCCCTGAGATCGGCTGCGAGATGTTCACGAACGAGATGGCGCATCGCGCGACGACGATGAGCCTCTCGATCCTCGTCACGGTCGAGATGTTCAACGCGATGAACTCGCTTTCCGAGAACGAGAGCCTGCTGCGGCTGCCGGTGTGGAAGAACATGTACCTCGTCGGCGCCATCACACTCAGCATGGCGATGCACGTCGCCATCCTGTACATTCCTTTCTTCACGGTAAGCCCGCGTTCCGCTGTGTTTTTCCCGTGTTTCCAGTTTCCTTCCCTGTCGTTTCGGGCGCCGGCGGCTGACATGGTTGCGGCCAGACCCTGTTTGCCATCACCCCGCTCAACTGGGCCGAGTGGAAGGCCGTGCTGTACATCAGCGCACCCGTCATCCTCATCGATGAAGTGCTCAAATTCATCTCGGTGAGTGCTATTAGTACACGTTCGAGCCGGCCCGCGCCCCGTACTGACCCGCCACAAACAGGCAACGTTTGTTGCGCCCCCATCAAAAGTCAAGTCGGACTAGATGCTGATACGCAGTAGATAGACTACCGACTGGTCCGTTGGTGGCCATATTGTGTACTTATTTTTGTGTAGACCTATCTATCAAAGAGGACTTTCATACCGTCAGTTCAGCGACTGCTCGCTGGCGTATTTGCATTTCGTCCAGTATATATGATTGTGCAGGCGAGCCGGCGCACAGGGTGCTACATACGAAACGGGGAGAATCCACGGTCTTGAGACAGAGATGGGACACGACAAGCCACATCTATGCAGGCGCAGCGAGCCGATGCCAAGGTAATATTGAGTTTATGGTGGTGAAGCAAGCCCACCGTTGACTTCGATGCTGTCAGCGCCAATGTCGTAAGATGGACATATCGAACTCTCGGCGTAATCGCAGCCCAGTGGGACTCGGGGATGGAATGGCAAATGCGCGGCAAATGCATGACCCATGCATGCATCATGCGTCGCCATCCAACAAATCACCCGCAGGAGGTTGCGCATCACTCAAATACTTACCAGCCGGGTTCGCAATGCTCACCAGCCCGCGTTACGTCCATCAGCCGATGTCCTCCCGCCACTGTCAGCCCGCGTCCGGCGATGATACTCGAGCAGAGGTCCGAATGGAGACGCACACCGACGGGGCAGGTCGCGAGTTCGATGATGATGATGGTGGTGGTGGTGGTGGTGATATTTACGTGCACCCGGTTACGCCGTGGGCAACGAGGGAGATGCGCGCCCGGGGGCCTGGACAACACATGCCGTCAACGGTCAACGTTCCGCTGCATTGCAATCATGGAGTCGGGCACGGTGACGTGAGAGGGACCCCCCCGGTGGGACGGCCCTATTGTTGCAGTTGCTGTGGAAACGAGGACGAGCGTTGAGCGAGTGGGCGCAGACGGTGAACAATAATAGGGTGGTCGCCTTCCGACGATGGCATTGAAGAATGCATAACAGAGTTCGAACTTCGCTGAGATCAAGTGTCCTGATGAGACACCGTTTGCGAGAAGGCGAGAGAGAAGACGCAGAGGCGGAGAGCCGCCATGGGAATGACCGCCCTCGAATAGAACAGGACTATCGAAAGGGAGTGCGGTCACGATGCACGCACCTTCCGGGGTTGTCGACTTGTCGCCGTATACAGTATGTGCACCACACCAATACACACAGTGATTGCATGCAAGCCCAAGCCATTGCTGGACACTCGGACCGGGAGCCTAAGCTGGTGTACTCGTGCAGACACAGAGAGCTTCCGCGGAAAGCCTTCCATCGTACCACGGGCCACCAACGTCTGCGCCACCGCGGCCAGAAGACGGAAGAAGCGGGGCCACGCACCGGCGGTGGCAGCCGGCGGTGCACGTTGCAGGCCAGAACGCGGCCACAGTGGCACATTGGGAGCGCGGCCGTTTTCCACTGGCACTGGGCAGTGCGACCATGTTCCGAGGAAACACCAACGCGCCCGCTTGTGTTTTCTAGCAGAGGTAAGCTCCGGGCGCGAGAAGGCGCGAGGCGGTGATGGTGGCCCGTGGCCCGACCGGACGCGCAAGGTGTGGCATACGCGGAGAAAGCGATGTTGGGCTAGGACGGAGAACCGATCCACTTAGTACGGACTGGGCGAGGCGTGCGTGCGGTGACGGCGTCGCGGTGGTACACCGGCGCCTGTCGACACATGTTGTGATCGAGCCCAGTGGAAGCCATATCGGGCGTGGATCTCAGCAGCAGATGGTGACATGTCACGCCCTGCGCCAAGTCGATTCGCATCTTCGCGTCCTCGTCATGCTGCTTTCCACTCGACCATTCCACCCGTCCGCTCTTCTCGTCCGCCCGAGCCGATACCTGCTGCATTTCATAGCGGCAAACGGGCCCAGGGTCACGCGAGGCCAGCCCCGCTTCCACTTGTCATCTTTGCGACGGCGCACATCCCACACGCCTCCACATCCGCGAAATCGCAATCGCGTCGGAGAAGGGTGGCGAGCGCACGCCAGGCTAGAAGCGCACCGGCCGCTCGTCATGATCACCGCTAAGCTTGCCCGTGTCGACGGCTGCTTCTCGCGTGCATGCCGTGGCGGCCTCAAATACGTTGATCACGGCTTCGATCGAGTCAAATCCCTCGCCTCGGCAGCTCTAGCCCGCTCGGCGTCGGTATGTATGTCACGCACCCGTGCTGCATATCGACGCAAACTTCCGACCGATGATTCGTGCATCGCATGGCGTTCCAACACCAACACTGAAAATGCTGCCCGTAGCGTTTCTTTTCGCGGTAGACTCGGGGCTAGACTCATTACCCTTGACATTTGTATCCTTCACACATACAGAAGGCCAATATGCATGTGTGTGCATCACCTCACAGAACTCTCTTCGCGACTGAGTACTAAGTACCGAGCACCAGCGGAGGGTAATTACATCTCGATTCCTCCAGCACTAACGTGTTCCCCGGGCTCGATCCCCAAGATCTGATCGGTTATTAGCAATGACTCAGCCCCGTCCTCGACGGAGCGTGCATGGCCATCGCCACTGCTCGCTGGCCCCGCCGTATCGAATGCGTCAGACCATGCGTCGAAGCACGCATTGTTCGCGCGCAGCAATACTATTCCAGCCATGCGTATCGCGCGATCTAGATCGCCGCGTCCCCCCGCACGCAGTCGGAGCGCCGGCACCACCGTGACCCTGGCCTGCTGTTCGGGACCGCTATTAAGTGCGCGCACACGATCGGTCGGTCTCACCGTACCCGACGTCATGCGCGACGTACGCGTTGTATTGGCGGGTAGACAGACATGGGCTCCTCAGATATACGTGAGACCCTGCGGGCGCAGGTGATGACGAGACGGCTGTCTCGCGTAGTTGAACGCAGTCAGTCGGCTTGCGGACATACTGCCGCCTCGATGGCACGCCGCTCTGGTCCTTCTGTCGCCTGCATACAATTCTGGCACTTGCATACAATTATCCTTGTTGACCGCAGTCCGATCACCTTCATGAAATGCGCCGTTCGCAGCACGAGTAAGCGTGTCCGGAGATAACTGGCAACGCGCCGTGAGCAACTCGAGAAATTGCGCAGCAAGCCTCTGCATTCCCGAGCACAGATACTATGTACAACGACGATGCGAGCACGTCCCATGATGCAAATGACGCGAACAATGCGATGCAGCCAGACCCGGTCCATATCCATTTATGAATTCATGAAGCCGCCCTCGCGAAGTCGTCCGCACTGGTGGCGCTCCTACCTCGTAGGTGCGGGCGGGAGCGCGTCGAAGCCGCTCTGGCCCAGATCCGCTGGGAGCGCGGCGGTCTCGTCGAGCACGTTCTCCGCGATGAGCGCACTGCGCTCCTCCGCGTCCTCCGCGACCGGGTCTGCCACGGGCGCAAGGCGCAGGAACGACGGCGGGGTGACGAGGCTGTTGAAAAGGAACTACGTTGTCCCGTCAGCAGGGCGTTAGGCAGCCGCCACAGGATCCGCAAAAGCGTGCTTACCGTCCCGTACCTGCCGGCAGACGCGTTAGCAACCCGGAATGCGAGGAGGCCAAAAAACGAAGGCAGCACTCACACGAGCAGCCCGAACCCGACGACCTGCAGCAGCGAGATCGGCCACACGATGCGCTCCCACCCGAGCCCCAGGCTGACGACCCAGATGCTGAGCGTGCGGCACGTGTCCGTAAGGCTGCGCACGGTCGCGCTGACGTGCCGCGTCACGCTCAGCCCGAAGAAGTTGAAGAGCGAGATGCTCAGCGCGATGACGACGCCGCTCCAGAGCACCGCGGGCGTGTGCACCATCTGCGCCCAGCCGCGCGGGAGGTCGAAGAACGGCGACGCGTCCGCGTAGCGCGCGAGCAGCGGCATCGCGAGCACGATGCTCAGCGCGCCGAAGAGGCCCTCGTAGCCGACCGCGACGAGCGGCGCGACGGAGTAGCGCGCCATGATCTTCTCTGTGCGGGCGGGCGGGGCGGTCAGGGTGCGAGGGGCGCGGAGGGGAGCCCTGGCACGCACCTTCGACGACAAATTGCGTCGCAGTGCTGCATACCAGGTGCCGGATAAGCTCACAGAAGAGAAGCGTGGGGAACGGGCACGTACAAAATCTGCGCGAAAAGAATGAAGAAGACACCTGGGCGCGCCATGCGTCAGCACGAGCTCAGCGTTTGGACCTCCCGGCGGGGTGTGGGCCCGGGAGAAGCGAAAAACACGTACCAACGAGAACTTTGGTAATCTCCGGCTCCTCGGTAGACTCTGAGTCGTCGCGCAGCGCGAGAAGGGCCGCGGCAGGCTCCTTGACGGCGTCTTTGATCAAAGAGCCACTGAAACCTACGAGTGATACGCCTGCCATAACGGTCACAAGAGAGACCCATCTTGAGAACAAGAATTAGCGCGCCGAGGTCAAGTGAGAGAAGGGCGAGAGCAGGACGAGGAACGGTGGGGGAAACTGCTGCAAGGGGAACAGGATGTGGGAAGCAGACGAGAGGAAGTGCTCAACTGGTAAAGCCAGAGCCGGCGACGGAGGAAGACGACGGAGAGGACGCCGACGAAGAGGACGAGGGCGCCGCGGGTCATCTGGTAGATGGAGACGGGGGTGTAGAGGAGGCCGACATTCATGAGCTTACGGAGCGGGACGATGCCGTCAGAAGGCGAAGGCGAAGGACGCGTCGGGGATGCCGGGGATTAGGGTCGCGGAACCCAAATGGGCGGGCGCTGATGAGCGCCAAGCGCAAGCATGAGATTGGCGGGCGAGGGGACGTACCGTGGTGCCGGTGAGGTCACAGGCGGCAGGGAACCACAGCAGCAGGATCTTCCAGCCGCGGAGATGCTCGGGCGCGGCCTGGAGCTTGACACCGTCTGCGGGCTCGTCGTCGTCGTCGTCGTCGTCGGCGGGAAGCTGCACGGCAGAGCGGGAGCGCCGGGACGCGAGCCAGGAGTAGATGACAGGGAGGAAGCCTGGTGCGAAGCGGCGGAAGAGTTAGGCGGAAAGGGGAGGCAGAGAAGGGCACATACAGAGCATCTCTCCGACTGGGACGGGGACGGGCTGTCAGCGTGCATGTGGAAGGGGAGCGGCAGAGGGTGACGCACGGAACATCTGGAGGGTCTGCCAGACGGGCTGCTCGTAAAGGACATGGCTAGCAGGGTTGGGATCGGCGCAGTTCTCGACGCATTGCATGTCCTGCGATTGGGCGTGTGAGCAAGTGTACTCGGAGAAGGCAGGCAATAAGGACGCCAACCTGCCACTTGCTCCATAGGGAATTGCTGGAGCCCTGTGGGAGGTGAGCAGGTGCGCGGGCGAGAAAGAAGCAAACGGACGGTGAGGAGCATGCCCCCGACGAGGATGGGGACGTAGAGCGAGGACGGCATGGCGGGCAGGCAGGGTGGAGGGGCGCGCTGGCTGGGGAGGGTAGAGGGATTAAGCGGGGAAGGCGGTGGCCAAAGTGGGGAAGAGGCGTCGATGGAGGCCGAGATCTGGATCGGATGTGACAGCGTGACGGGGAGGAGGAAGCGAGGGAGGGAAAGACGCTAGGCGGATGCGATGGCTGCAATCAATCGCTCAACTCCCCTCCCATACAAATAAAATGCCCCTCCCCTCCGCTGATCCCGCCACCGGGCCATGCTCTCCCTCCATCTCGCCCCCCAAAAGGGCCCAAATCCCTCCGCCCGCTTCTTCCCCCACTCCGGCTTCCTCGGCCTCACCCCCGTCATCGTCGAGGGCAGTGAGTATCCCCTCCCGTCCGCCTCTCCCTGCTCGCTCACCCGCTCCTCCCCCAGTCGTCCGCACAAAGTTCGAGCAGGACCGCAAACCCCTCCCCGCAAAGTCTCTCTCCGTCTCGGTCCGCTGCTACGAGGTCTCGCGCTCACGCGGCGCCGTCCTCCTCGTCGACCACACCGACGTCCTCTGGCGGAAGCCCCCCGCATCCGACTACGCCGACCTCGCAGAGGTAGAGTTCCCCTTCAAGTTCACCTTCCCAGAGCATACAGCCGGGCCCAGCACCGCCAACTTCCAGGTCTACCGCACCTTCTGGCGCGTCGAGGCCAGTGAGTTCTCGCGCATCCATCTGTCATCTGCCGCATATTGACGTGTCCCATCACCGTCCCTGTCCATCACCCTCCCAACACCTACTTTGCCCGTGATAGTCCTCGAGCACATCCCAATCTTCGGCGTGGGTCACCGCCTCGTCCGCTACTTCGACCTTCCCCTCGTCCGCTACGACGTCCCATCCCACCCCCTGCTTCCCGCGTCTCCTTCGCACGCCCTCCACCTTCAGACGAGCAAACCGCGCGCACCTGTCCTACGATATACTGTTTCCACCCCTACCCATCCAGTAGGTCCTAATGACATTGTCTTCGCGTCTCTCTTCGTGCAGCCGCTCGACCCCAATGTCTTGGTGCGCAGTACCACCCTCGTGGTCGAGCGCAGGATCGACCTTCTCAATCCACCCACCTCACCCGCCTCCTCTCCCCCCACGCCCTTCTCCGGCCCGTACCTTGCCCCGGATGACATCACCACGTCGCCCACGTCCAGCAGCACCCAGCTCGACGTCTCGAGCTCATACGAGTCGACGGTCAGTGTCCCGTCTCCCCTAGAACTCACTCCATCCACCAGCGCCACGACTCTCGACTCCTACGCGTCATCTTCGCGCCCGCTCGTCTCGGCACCACCCATGTCACCCACGCAGAGCAGCCTCTCGCCCGACACGCCCGCGAAAACGCTCACCTCGACCATTCTCACCACCGAATGCACTGGCTTCACGTGCGACGCCGCGGGCATGTGGTCCAAGACGACGACGCTGCAATGGCCCGCCGCGCGGGCGCAGAGCCGCTGGGCACTCGGCGAGACCATGCACAGCGAGCACGTCGCGGTGCGCTTCTTTCTGCGCGTCACCGTGCGCGTCGCTGGCCCCGCGGGGAGCGACACGCTGGAGCTCGAGCCGCGCGAGCTTGTCGTCGCCGCCACGAGCGAGGCCGAGCGTCGCGTCGCGCTCACGCAGTACGCGGAACAGCGTGCCGGTACGGGGCGGAGCAAAAGCAAGAGTCCCTGGCGCGCGCGACATGCGGACGAGCGTGAGGAGGATGAAAGGGCGGCCGCGGCGCAGCAGGCGCAAACGTTTCCTGGCGCGGCAGTCGAGCGGCGCGAGGGACACCGGTCACACCAGCACCACCGGAGTGCGATGGCATCGGGGTCGCATTCAAGTTCGAATGGGAAGGTGAAAGCACCCAAGATGCGACGGCCGCATACGTCTGCGGGCCCGAGCGACAAGTCGAACATCGCACTGGGGATGGGCGAAGGGGTGCGTATGGTCCCAGTGCCGGCGTCGTCGCGACGGGAACAGGAAAGGGAGCAGGAGAAGCACCGGGAGTGGGATGGCGCGCGAGTCCATAGGAACTCACGCGAATCGGGGCTGGGGGAGAGCATCGCGAGCGTAGCGGGGCAGGGACAGAATCGTGAGAGGGAGCGCGCGCGGGAGAAGGAGAAGGAAAAGGAGCGGCAGGCGAAGATGAGGGAACGGACACCGGTGGAGCACGACCAGGTGCGCGCATGGGAGGAGGAGCTGGCGCGGATCGAGGTGCAGTCGCGGCGGAGCAGCGCGCATATGCTGGGCTCGTGGGGGCTGCCATTTGGGCGGCGGAAGTCGGCCGCCGTATTGCAGCGCGGATAGGGTGCGCACGCTCCTCTCAAGCCGCTTTGCATAAGTCTCCTTTCTCCCTTGCGTTGCAACACACTGCTCAAGTCATTCAAGTCTACGACGCCACTGCGCTCAATCGCCCAGGCTACACACCATTTTCGGAGCATCACGCTGTTTCGCACTCAAGACTGCCGCGCACTAATTCATGGACCCTCCTCCGTCTCAGATCTCATGTGTCGACTCGTACATCGAAGCATCCATGCATGACCGTCACTATTCACTTTGCTGGCCCATCATCCTTTCCACGAGACACGCACGTACGTCCACCGCATACACACCGCTAGTAAGTTACTGCACCCATGACCATCTCCGCTGCTTCGCATCCATCGATACCTGCTTGCTTTCTGCTTCGCGTTCCAGGCATCCGAACCTTCATATACAGTAGTCTCGTCACCATGGTGTCCGTCTCCGTCGCTGCCGGACATCGTAACACACTGACGCGTTACCTCGGCTTCCCATCATGTCGAGCGCGCCCTCAAGTTGGCCTTCCATGCCGCCACCCCGGGTCATCATCATGCCATAATCGCGATGTCGTCGATGTTAACGTTGCTCCCGCCCGAGTAATGGGCTGCACGTCATTTGCTGCCGGTTCATTAGCATTAGCATCGATTACGATGGATGTATGCCATGTAGTGCCACGGCGATGCTATTTGATGCCGCAGTGCGCGCCCGCAGCGGGTTCTAACGTCTCTCGTATCTCGCCTACCGCCAACCCAATTCGAGAAGCACGCACTTCCATTCAGGCATCATCGTCGACGTTTCTCCCGTCGAAAGCGACACGCGCCGTCACCGTGACAGAGCAGGCGGTGATCAAATACTCCCGGGACGGCAACTGCAAGCCAGCCAAATATAATGTTCTAGCGTACACACACGCGTACTTAGCGCATGAGCATCCCCCGCGTCGGGCGTCGTGTGACCGTGACCGGGCACACGATTCGCGGGAAGAGGAAACGCTGGGTCGGTGGAAGTCGGGCCGCCGGCTGCACCCTCTTCGTCAGCGTCCTAGTCGGTGGGCTTCTAGCAGCAGCGCGCGGAGCGACCCCAAAGGCAGAGGGCCACTCTCGCGAGATGACGCACGCATCTGTCGAACGTCGCTATGCCGGAAATGTGTGGCAGCGTGCACGCAGGCCAGCCCGAGCGCATCATCCGCGTCCGATCGATGACCGGTCCTCTCCCGTGGGTCAATTTGCAAAGAAGGACACTGCCCGCTGAATTTGCCTTTAGCCGGCCAGCCACGGAAGGATTCAGCGCGTCGTCACGCACGGCGGGGGACGTGACGTGACATGCATGCCCATGACAGCGGGCAGCCTGAGCTTCGGGCAGATTGATGGGGTCGCTTGGGCCGATCCGGGGCGTGCCACATCGATCTGCTCCCTTCCAGAAACACAGGAGGCAGAGTGTGGCTATCTGCTGTATCTATTCCTGTGTCAGCGGGCGGACGCGATGTGCCGTCCCGGGGCACCGTCGACCAATGCCCAGCTGGGAAAACAACACAAGTGCTAGTGCTGCGTTGCTGTAATAGTGCAGTCTTGTTGGGAGAACCCTAAGTGTGAGTGCCAGAATGCGTACCGTTTTTGAAATGGCGTATGGAATTGGCGTGAGGTGAGGTGTGCTGCGGCCCATTTATGGGTGCAACGAGGCAGAGAGTTTCGACGACGAACTTGGGCCTATCAAGGCGGATGCTCGCACTCCGCCTCGAGGCCCCGGCAGTGTACACTCGCCGGGCGTATTCGGTACCACCTGTGCCACATTCGCTGAATGTCTCGCTGGTTGCCCAGCTTCTCTGCTCATCATGGTCACGGAGATGTCGGTGAACGTAGCCCCAGATGTCATCGCCATAATCCGCGTCAGGCTCAGATGTGGTCATCTGTGCGGTTCGATGAACGCTATATTTCATACTTCTGCAGCTGCTCTGTCTGTTTCCTGATTTCGAAACAACGATACCAGAATCGTCGGTCGGTGAAGTCTGCGTGCGTTCGGTGGAAAGTGACATCCGTCACCTCGTTCATAGGGTGTACCGCCAAGCATTGTATACGCGCGAGCTTCGCAGCTCGCGAGTCTTCTCCGCTGCCCCTTACCTCCATTCTGAACTTTATACCCACTTGCAGGAGGAACACCTGTGCGATGGGCGTGTACCTTAGCTTCAACGGTCTCATACGGCCTTGACTGAACAAGCATGCACATTTGGAGGCATTGCCCTGTCAAGAGCTTGGACCCATGTCACAGTGCCATAAGACAGACTCACCAGCTGACCCGTGAAGGGTTGGTTCGAGCTGGCGTAGGCGAAAATAGCACAAGGTGAGTCATGATCCCCTCAGCAGATGCTCCCTCCGTGCCAGCGCTGAACAAGCCGTCTGAAATAGGAGCATGGCTGAGAGCTTTCCAATGCGTGTCTTGGCAAGCCACGACAGCCACCTCCCTCGTTCAGTTCCAAGAGAAGGGTTCACCACATACAAGCGGCGTTAGGACGGAAACCCAATCTCGATTCGATTTCAGCGTTGGCGTACATCGGTACGCATGGCTATACATTCATTCCCCACCCTCGAACACAAGACACACGCCCCCGCGGGCGGCTTTCCGCTCTCGGGCGCGTCTGGCCCCGCATTTGTCATACTGAACCTTCCTGTGTCCCATGCCGCGGCGACCCAGTTGGTCTGCAGGTGTGGATGTGTCCTGGCGAGCCCACGGTGCCATGTGCACCCTTCCCCGGAGCAAACTCTGTTACATACCCCCGCGATGATAGCTTATCCACGCAGCGCCCGCCAGGGTCAGCCCTCGGCACCGAACACATAGGCTTCCGCGTCGAGGACACCCGCGATGTCGCATGGCGTATCGTATCTCGAGCTGTATCCCTACCGTGGGGCCGCTCTCGCGTGCGCCGTGTGGTGTATCGTCGAACCTGTCAGTGGCGTAGGCTGTCATGCCGTGACGTGCCCCCGTGCCCTCGTATTTAAGCTGTGTCCCAGCGGGGCCATTGTCGCGGTATCTGGGTTTGGGTTCACGCCTGTGGCCAATGCACCGGACCGAGACCGTAAAGCTGGCGACGATCGTCCCCCGATGGGCTCCGGGGTTCTCGGATCACGCACGCCGTGCTCTTGTTCTCAACCTGGTATGCATGCAGTATGTGTTGCTCTGTGCTGGGCTTGCTGGCCGCCGCAGCGCACTCTCATCTCGGCACGGAAGGACGCCCGCCCACCCGGCTGGCGTAACAGTACTAGTGGTGCGTAGCTTATGGGCTGTGACACCGTGACACGCTCGGCCGAGAGATTAAGGTGCTCAATTTCCGTTTGTATGGAATGGACAGATGGCACACTCGAAGATGGGTAAGGTTTGTGAGAAGATCCGGGTAGGCCGCCGCGCTTCCTCCAGGAAACAGCTGATTAGCTTCTGTTTCAAACTATCACTCGAGCATGTGTTAATGTGGAACCGCCTCCTCGTGGAATTTACAGGCGCAGCGCTGCCGGGAGCTCCATTCTGTTCCCTGCAACGGAAGAATCAGCGCCAGAGGAAATCCGCTGAATACACTGTTCTATCGAACGAGATGCCTCGTGTCGGAAGGGCTCCTACAAACCCCATGTCTCTGCCCGACGCACCCGCGTGAATCAACGTGTGCTGTTTTGCGCGCACCGTCTGTCATTTTAGCTTTAGGAAGTACGTTCTAGTTGCTCGTGGCGGGGAAGCCACTGTCTAGAGGCGCAGTTGTCTAGAACGTTGCGCCACGGCTCCTGCACCGCTTATATTATATGGCAGAATGTAAGGTACTTTTGAACTCGAGTATTCACGGAAAACATCAGCGCCGAGCCGTGGAAGGCTTGCACTCTCCCGGGTACTCCAGATGGCGCCCAGTCTCTAGGATTGATGAGGGCGTCCGTCAGAGGGGAGCAGGCAGCATTTGCTCGATTTCATCCTCAGATTCGTCGTCGCTGTCCGATTGCCTCTCCGTTTCCTCAAGCGCCGCCGATTCGAGCTCGTCAAGGTCCCAGCCGACCATGCTCTTTGCTATCTTGAGGCCTGCGATTTTCCGTGATAGCTCATGCAGAACATCGTCGCTGGGTAACATAAAACACACGTTAGGGTCGCCTTTCACGCACAGAAGGGAAAAGAGCATGCCTGGTATATGCGAGCGTCCATACGCAGTAGTCGTCTACCCACACTTTGCTGTATACATAATACACCTCGTGGTGGTCGAGTACGTGCTTCATCCCGAGCAAGCAGCGTGTCACCAGGCGCCGGCCTCCTGCGAGGATGTCGACGACGTCTGCACGGCACCGCTCGGCCAGGGCGAACGAGCGGAATAGTGGGAAGGCGAGCGCGCGCCGATAGGACGCGACGAATGTCGCGGAGAGTTCGGTTTCAGTGAACGACGCAGGGTTCGACCGTTCGGGAAGAGCGTGATAGGGAGCAGGATCGAGCGCGGAGAAGGCTGGAGTTAGGGAGGCGAGCGTCCATGCGCTCTCAGGAGTGGGATCTTGCTGCGTTGTACGTGTCTCGTATGCGTACGAGAAAAGCAGTGTCAGTAGAGTGAGGTAAAGGTCGTGGGTCTGCTGCGGGATGGTTGAATCTTTTTTCGGCAGTCAGTGCACGACGCAGCAGGGAAGTGAGGTGAGGGCACACGGACATTCCTTGCGTGGGAGACGGAGCATCGTGGCGTTTTCCTCTTCGGTGAAATGGTGCCCGTCCGTCGTACCCGCGACTGGACTCGCCCAGGCGAGGAGTTCCTGTATGTACTCATCATCGACGAAATCTGCCCTGCGCCCTGTGAACCAGGGTAAATTCGGCTCAGAAGGGATCACCTACATGTAGTATTCGTCGTCCCATTTTTCCTGCTCGTGGATGAGGCGTCTCTTGCGCCGCTCGGCGGGAGGCATCGTTTCCGCGTCAGGGCCCAGCTCGTTGACCTCATTCTCAGCGTGTGCGACATGTCGGAAGTACCCTATATGCATGTCGAGGAAACCGTATCGGTGTTCGGGCGTGGTACGCAACGGAGGTAGAGGCTCTGGAGTTTCCTGGGGTAACTGCCAATCATTATTTGCGGCTGTGAAGAGTATGAATGGACGCAGATGCAGATGAAACCGCCCTGGGACAGACCTTCCAGTATCTCTCGCTGCTCGAGCGTCAGCTGCTGTGCACGTTCGGCGAGTTCACTGTCGTCATCCCTGTGCGCATCTTCCGATGCCAGCACTTCTATCCCAGGCTCTTCTGGGATTTGTTCGGCCGGGCGGGGTGCAAGCAATTTAGCCAGCAGATCCAGGTCCTTGAAGTCCTGCCCCTTCGTCTCCTTGTTTAACGATACGGTCAGGTACCCGGTGCCGGCATCATATGACGCGGAGGCGTCCTCGTCCCCTCGGAGTGGATGAGGAAAATTGAGCCGTAGGAAATATGGATTGACATGAATGCTGAAGAGTGTGTCATCCACGCTGATTTCGACGTCCGACGCCTACTTCCGGTGCAAGTGGGTCAGGATGGGATCCATATGGCCTGCAATTACAGGCAACTCACTCGAACAGAGGGGCAGTACATGGTCACGATGACTGCATCTTCGGATTGGGAGCACGAGAAGCGCGGTGTGATCATGATGATCGTCTATACCGTCTCGGCCGCAACTGAGAACAAATGTTACAATATGCTGCGTCCACTGTGCGATTTTCTTTTCTGGCCGATGACCAGCGGGGGCGTGTGAGTTGTGGCTGAGGAAGAGGACGTGCGGCAAGGATGGAGGTGTCCGCAGGTGTTCGCGGACTGACTCAGATCCTCTCGATCAGTTTTTCGATCGCATAAGTATGTCTGCATTGGACCAGCTACTGCACACATCATTTCTCGCCTGGGTATTGGCACAAGCCCGCAATGGATCCACAGGTCAGTTGTATCCGTTTCTGGGTCCCCCAATGTTGTCCTTACACGCGTTACTCTACAGAAGTTGCCCGCGTACCCGCCGCTGGCCCAGGTCGAGGACATTATCCTCAAGCAGAAGCGCGGAAACTGCGTCCCAGTCTTTGTGGAACTCCCCGGTGATCTCTTGACGCCATGCGTCGCGTATCTACGGATTGCGAAGGACTCAAAATACAGTTTCCTCCTGGAGTCTGTCGTGGCCGGGGAGAACATTGCGCGGTATAGCTTCATTGGTGCCGGTGAGTCGCGTAACCGTAACCTTGTTCGTGTCATCTCACGACGCTGCCCAAGACCCGTTCAAGATCGTCAGGACCGGACCCAATGAAGAGATAACAGGCGACCCTCTGGCCGCCCTGCAGAAGGAGCTCAATGTGTACAAGTATGTCAAACTGCCCGCAGTCCCCACATTCACCGGCGGTGCTATCGGCTACGTCGCGTACGATTGCATACAGCACTTCGAACCGAAGACCGCCCGTGAGCTCGCGGACCCGCTCGGTATCCCCGAAGCCGTGTTTATGCTCGTCGACACGCTTCTCATCTACGACCATCTCTTCCAGAGCGTGAAGGTCGTGTCTCATGTCTTCTGCCCGGGCAACACTGGCACGGTGAATCTGTCCTTCATATACCAGACCGCCGTCGCGAAGGCCCGTAGGCTAGCCAAGCTCGTCCTCGGCGCATCGACACCTGAGGTTCCGCAACCACTCGTCACTCTTGGGGCAGAGGCTACCTCGAATGTCGGCAAGGAAGGCTACGAGACGTTCGTAACGAAGTTGAAGCAACACATTGTCGCTGGCGACATCATCCAGGCCGTGCCCTCCCAGCGGCTCGCGCGGCCGACTCAATTGCATCCGTTCAATGCGTACCGACACCTCCGCCGTGTCAATCCCAGTCCATACATGTTCTACCTGGACTGCGGGACCGTCCAGTTCGTCGGAGCCAGCCCGGAAACCCTATGCAAAGTCGAGAAGAACAAAGTGTTCAACCATGCCATCGCAGGTACAATCCGGAGAGGGAAGACGCCAGAAGGTGTGCTGCTTTATGCTGAAGTCGCTCGCTATTCCGTGCTGACGTTATTGCCAGAGGATGACAAACTTGGGGCTCAGCTGCTGGCGTCCGAGAAGGATCGAGCTGAACACATCATGCTGGTTGACCTTGCTCGAAATGATGTCAATCGTGTATGTCAGCCGCAGACCGTCAAGGTCGACCACCTGATGCGGCTGGAGAAGTTCAGCCATGTCACGCATTTGACATCGCAAGTATCTGGTCAGCTGCGCGGAGGTAAGACAAGGTCAGTACTGATGGCGTGCCATAAGACCGCAAACATTGACGAAAAACCCTGACAGATTTGATGCGTTCCGCTCTATCTTCCCTGCTGGTACTGTTTCTGGTGCACCCAAAATCAAGGCGATTGAGTTGGTGTATGAGCTCGAGCAACAGCGCCGCGGCGTGTACGCCGGAGCTGTCGGGAGATTCGACTTTGCTGACGACGAGATGGACACTTGCATTGCTATCCGAACAATGACGTTCAAGGATGGCGTCGCTTACCTGCAGGCCGGCGGCGGCATCGTATTTGACAGTGTCGAGGAAGATGAGTACATTGAAACCATCAACAAACTCATGGGCAACGTCCGGGCGCTGGAGCAGGCGGAAAGTGCGTGCTCATCTGCAGTATCATCGACACATCACTAACAAGTGCGGTAGGATATTGGCATGACATCCAGAACGCGGGGACGACCACCCCTGGACAGTCATGACATCTGTATATAGCTCTAGGATAATGATGTATGTTATGGGCGTGCCGCAGCGCTGTCCCTGTCCCGTACTCTTGACCTCGTTTGCGAACGCGCCTTTTGATTCCTCGCGAGCTCCTCTGCGTGAAGAGCGACACCTTCTCTCCCAGCAACGCTGAGAACTCCAGCGATGAGTTCCGCGGTCCGTGTGCTCTCGTCGTTGGCGGGTATAGGGTACATGACTATCCGCGGGTCGACATTCGAGTCGATTATGCCGATCGTGGGGACGTGTTCGATCGCGCACTCACGAATGGCGTGCATATTCGGAATGGGATTGAGGAGGATGACGAGGTCCGGGATGACCTGCTCCGACTTGGCGACGTCGGGGCCGAACATGACTATCTTGTTCGTGAGAGTACCTGGCAGCCACTTCTCTCCGACGTGGAATGCACGCTCGCCTATCCGCTCTGCGGCCTTCCGCACAACAGGGCGTAGGTCCGCACGTGTGCCCACGAATACGATGCTGCCCCCTTTGGCTGCCACGCCACGCACGACGTTGGCTGCCCGCCGGAGGAGGGGGAGGGTGTGGTCGAGGTCGACGACAGTGATGCCTGCACGGACACCGTACGCATAAGGCATAAAATTGGGGTTCATGAGGGCCTGAGAATGGCCGAAGTGAGCCCCTGAGGCGAGCAGGGCGGACAGGGTCAAATTCGCGGGGGCGGTTGGTCGATGCAGACTATGGTGAGGTTGCCAAGTATTCCCGCGCGTCTGGGTTGAGCCATACTGCGAGAAATATTCAACTGTTTGCAATATGAGCCCTGTCACTTCCAGTTATCATGGATAAGCCACACGTACTCAGTGCCTCATTGTCTGCTCGGTCCAGCTGGAATTTCGTCCAGTCCTCTGTTGATTCAAGCGGCCGCTCCTTAGAAGCGGATGCAGACATGAATCTTTTTGAAGTTCCCGATGCCGCTGTGCGCGACACTCGCCGTGAACATTGTGCCACAGCCGCAAGCCAAGGACGAATATGCGAGAGGGACATGTCTGGCCGCCGACACGACTTTGGCACTCGCAAGGCGAATCGTCCCGGCGACTTGCGACGGGCGCTAAGCCGATCGCTGATGTAAGCGAGCATCGATATTTTTTCACTTCGCCCATATCGCTGCCTTCTTCACCCTCCTCCCTCAACACCTTCCTTGCCTTTTCTTCTTCCCTCTTCCTTTTCTCTCTACCAAAAAATGGAGGACGCGTTCGACGGCGCTATCGGTATCGACCTTGGCACGACCTACTCGTAAGACTTTTGTACCTATTGGAAAGTACATCGGCTGAAGGCTTTGTAAAGTTGCGTGGGTGTCTGGCAAAATGACCGTGTCGAAATCATTGCCAACGACCGTAAGTCGTCTCGTAACTGCCTTCAGGGATGTACGCTCACCTTCCAATTCAGAGGGTAACCGGACAACGCCCTCCTACGTCGCCTTCTCCGCTGAGGAGCGTTTGATCGGTGATGCCGCAAAAAACCAGGCCGCGATGAACCCTCGCAACACCATCTTCGATGCGAAGCGTCTCATCGGCCGCCGTTACGAGTACGCTTTTCCAGCATTTCTCTTCACACAGAACGCTGACATTCACTCTCAGCGACCCGGATGTCAAGAAGGTACACCACGGGCTGATCCGCGTCAACCCTTGTAATTTCTGACCTGTTTCCCTGTAGGACATGGTTCACTGGCCGTTCGAAGTCATCGAGAAGGACGGATCACCAATGATCAAGGTTGAGTACCTCGGCGAGGAAAAAAGCTTCAGCCCTCAGGAGATCTCGTCCATGGTCCTCACGAAGATGAAGGAGATCTCGGAAGCGAAGCTCGGCAAGACTGTCAAGAAGGCTGTTGTCACGTATGTAATGTAATATATTATGATTCATCTTCCTGACAATGTATGCAGGGTTCCCGCATACTTCAACGACTCTCAGCGTCTCGCGACCAAGGACGCTGGCGCCATTGCCGGTCTGGACGTCCTCCGTATCATCAACGAGCCGACCGCTGCTGCCATCGCGTACGGTCTGGACCGTCAATCGAGCGCAGAGAAGAACGTGCTCATCTTCGACCTGGGTGGAGGTACCTTCGATGTGTCGCTGCTGAACATCACCGGGGGTGTGTTCGCGGTTAAGGCTACCGCTGGTGACACTCACCTTGGTGGTGAGGACTTTGACAACAACCTCTTGGACCACTTCAAGAAGGAGTTCCAGCGCAAGACGAAGTTCGACATCTCTGACGATCCTCGTGCTCTGCGTCGTCTGCGCAGCGCGTGCGAGCGTGCCAAGAGGACGCTCTCTAGCGTCACCCAGACTACTGTCGAGGTTGACTCCCTCCACCAGGTATGTCACCACACGATGCAACGGTCATAACTTCGACCGATCTCCTATTTTCGTTTTACAGGGCGAGGACTTCTCAGCGAACATTACCCGTGCTCGCTTTGAGGAGATTAACGCTTCGCTTTTCAAGTCGACGATTGACCCTGTCGAGCGAGTGCTCAAGGACGCGAAGATGCCCCGTGAGAAGGTCGATGACATTGTCCTTGTCGGTGGCTCTACCCGTATCCCCAAGGTCCAGTCGTTGGTTTCCGAGTACTTTGGCGGCCGTCAGCTGAACAAGTCCATCAACCCCGACGAGGCTGTTGCCTACGGTGCCGCTGTCCAGGCGGCCGTCCTCACTGGCCAAACGTCGGACAAGACCGCTGACCTCCTGCTCCTCGATGTTGCTCCTCTATCCCTCGGTGTCGCCATGCAGGGTGATATCTTCGGTGTTGTCGTCCCCCGCAACACCCCCATCCCCACGAACAAGTCACGAACCTTCACGACCGTCGAGGACAACCAGACGACTGTCACATTCCCTGTGTAAGTCTACACGAATGCCTATGGGATTATGGCCGCACACTGATTGCTTATCCAGCTACGAGGGTGAACGCACGCAGTGCCGGGACAATCGCCTGCTTGGAGAATTCGAGCTCAACGGAATTCCTCCCATGCCTCGTGGGCAAGCCGAGCTCGTCACCACCTTCGAGGTCGACGCGAACGGTCTCCTCAAGGTTACTGCACAGGACCGTGCATCTGGCCGCAAGGCTCAGATCAGTACGTAACATATTTTTTGCTCTACTCACGCTAAAGCAAACGCCAACGTGTACTTATAGGCATCACCAACTCTGTTGGCCGTCTCTCGTCTGCTGAGATCGAGCAGATGATCAAGGATGCCGAGCAGTTCAAGCAGGCCGACAAGGACTTCTCTGCACGGCACGAGGCGAAGTCAGACCTGGAGAGCTACATCCACCAGGTCGAGAACACGATCACCTCGCCTGAGATCGGCATGAAGCTCAAGCGTGGAGCTAAGCAGCAGGTTGAGGCTGAGCTTGCGCGTGCGCTAGAGAAGCTCGAGATTGAAGACTCGACCTCGGACGAGCTCAGGAAAGCACAGCTTGGCATCAAGCGTGCGCTCCAAAAGGCCACCGCTGGTATCCGGTGAGGCTGCAGGATATCGGGTTTTTGTTGCTTGTTGGCATGTCTTTTGCATCTGGTCACGCTCAGCTTCTTGTTGTGCCCTACAAAATCGATGCTTTCTTTTTCGCATTCGCACTGTTGTATAGCCTTCGCTGTATCGTTTGTATCCCATACGAGGTTGCCCGATGCTGCTCAATTACTGTCTGATTTTCAAACTACGATGAGAACAATGCGAAGAAGTCCCGAAGAATCAGTCATGAAGCGAGGGCTTTATGCACTCGTAGACCGACTTCAAGGATCCACAGCTCCTCGTCGGCACCGTCACAGAGCGCCTTGTCGGCCTCTGCGAACACAAGTGCGCACCGCGACTTTTGACGCGCGGTGAGAGTAGGATGTTCGATGACGAGGTCATGAAGCTGGGCAAGGCAGCAAAAAATGAGCGGTTCCTCGACCGCGTTCAAGAATACACGTACTTGTGAAAGTATCTGAGAGGCAGAGTACCCTTGCCGAACGATATCCTTGACCTTCTGTCTCACATCGTCAAATCCTTTTGCTCGAATGCCATCAACCTTCATTTCGTCGGAGGAGAGGATTTCCACTCCGAGTGTCGCTGCAAAATCGTTAATCACAGCATCAGGCACTACCCCCGCAATTTCCTGAATGTCGCTGGCAGTGACAGGTGTCGGAGGAGAGGTTGACATAGACAGACGCGACGCCGATTGTAAATACGTGATAGAGCGACGTAGATCACCATGCGAGGTGCTAATAAGGGCGGTAATCACATCGTCCGTGACTGGGACATTTTCAGCTGTAGCAATCTGAGCAAGACGACTTGAGGTGGAGGTAGGATCGAGAGGTTTGAACCGAAACTTAGAGCATCTTGAGGCTAGCGGTTCAATGATGCTGAGTGGTGTCAGAACACGGGGCATACGACGTGACGGAAGCTCGCCTACCGGGTAACATAATTGCACACGAGACAAAAGCGGGTGATCCTGGCATAGGTCTCCATGATGCGTCGCAGGGCTCCTTGTGCATCCTGGGTCATTGAATCTGCTTCGTCCAGGATGATGATTTTGTACGGTGGACATGGGTGTGTCTTTCCGTCCGATGAGACAACCTGTGCGCGAGGAGTTTGACGCGCGAAGTTCTTGATTTTCTCTCGGACTATCGTAATACCACGTTCATCTGAAGCATTCAACTCCAATACTCTTGCGCGGAAGTTATCTGGTCTGCCTTGAACGGTCAACGCCAATGAGAAACGAAGTGCACGTGGCGTGAGGGTGAGACTCACCCGAAGAGCTGACGTGCTAAGGCGAGGATGGTCGACGTCTTGCCAGTACCTGGTGGGCCGTAAAACAGCATGTGCGGCAACTAGGATAGTCATCCTTTAGTAAGAAGATTCCCTTCGAGCATCTTACTAACATTTGTTGAAGTCAGCGTCTTGCGTAAGACAGCTACGGTGTGTTCCTGGGCAGAAACATCGTCTATGGTCTTCGGACGACTGTGGCAGGATTAACTTGGTTGTGATTCACAAACTCTGAGAGCCAAAAGGCGTACTATTTCTCGACCCATGGTTGGTGTGCTGGGTCGGCCTTGTGCTTCTGTTGAGCTTTTGACACTTGCGGTTGAAAGAATGACATCGTTGACCAGGCTCAAGCGAAGGCGCGTGCCACAGTCACGCACAAGACGCGTCGAGTCGCGGTATGTCACGATATGTCACTTGTGACCGAACGCGTCTCTGCTGGTGGCACATCTCCGTCCACTGCGACGACGACATCTACGCGCCTTCTCGTCTATCTCATGAGTGTTATGACGGAGACCGGTGTCGGAAAAGGCGCGTGCAGAGACCACGGCAACGCGCCTACATAAATCTAACGGCCCCTCTAGTGGCGGTAGAACCAACTCAATCTAGCGGGAAGGATGTTATCCGACCCGACGTGTCAGGCATCTCAAACCAGCCCGCCAACCAGTCCATGAGGGCATCTCATATTGACATACGGAATGGGAAACTTGTACTTAAGCAGAAGATCCTTTCCTTCGAGAAAATGTCGGAGACAATGCAAGGTCCGTGGATGCTGTGAATGCTGATCCCGAAATAACCGAAGTATCGTCTGTAGAGATCGTCAAGTTTCGCGAAATGATTGAGATGCACATAGAACGCAAGGATCCTCCGATGAATACTGTTCCGGAAGAGCATAAGCCTCTGATTGCCAAGCTGGTCCACGAAAGGTCCGTCAAAAGCGTTGTTGTGGCATTGCCCCTGAACTTGACAGCGAAATCTTGTTATTAGCGACAAGACCCTTCAAGCACTGGTCAAGCACGTACACAAAGAACTCTTGCCAGCACACGAGGACGATGACGAAGATGCATCAGAGACCATTACATTGGCCCTTACCCCCGAAGCCGTCGAGAAAGCCATTCAGTCCGTTGCTATCAGAAATAACTATGGACTCGACAATTGGCCGGGTTATGCTAAAACACCCGCTGCGCTCTGTATTTGGAGATGGGAGGTCAAGGAAGACCTCAAGGATTATCTACCTAAGGCTGCGAAAGAGAAAGCGGAGACTCGATTGGCTGAGAGACGTCAGGTATGTGTATTTTTATCCTGTATGCCTGAGACCGTCCTTATGAATGGGCGTAGGCAAAGCAAGATGCTTCAGATCTATTTTCATCATTACCCGAGGAAGAGCAGAAAGTAATGCTGGGTAAAACTCCTGGGCGACCCTCGAAAACGAAGGCTAGTATAAAGAGCGTAGACGAGGTCGTCTGCATAGACACGGACGACATCAAGGCTCAGTTACAGCAGTCGAAGAACAACGCCACAGATCAGGTATTATGATGTTTTTGCTCATAACGCTATTACGCTCATGTATACATCGACTGTCCAGCAATCTGGAGGTACGCCACGAAGTCGGATAAGGAAGTTCACTGACCCTGCGAAGGTAAGTTGTTCGACATATCAGGTGCATTCAGTATAGAGACATTTATCAGGATAAGGAAAAGCAAGAGAGGAGAACGGCAAGAACCGAAAGAGAGAAGAAAGAGAAGGAGGCACAAGACAAATCTCGCTCCCTCATGGCCAACTTCTTTGGAAAAGCCAAGGCACCAAGTGCAACGCGTACAACCTCGGCTCACAAAGATGTTAACTCGAGCGTGGCTGGTCCATCGACGATTGAATTCGACTTCGAGCGGACATTCAAACCGTTTGTGGTCAAGAAAGATGCGAAATTGGCTTCCTTGAATTGGTTCAAGCATCCCGGAAAGTCCTCTACCAAGGGCAAGGAGAGAGTGGAAGGCAATGTTATCGTGATTGACGACTTCGATGATGAAGAGACAGCAGCTGATGTTGACATGAGGGATGAGTCTCTGAGCCGTTGCAACGTTTCTGGCATGACAACAGAAGGTGGGCAGCGACTTATTGGTTGGTCGACCAGCATACTCATCCCGTACGCAGACCGACTACGCGATGTGCTTAAACATATGCCTGCATCGCTATGTCCCTCACATCGAAGAGGATCCCCAGTAGCCCATCTAAGGAGCTGTGTCCCTTACTCCGTGCGCAACATCATGACTCAGCTTAACGAAGCTGAAGTTGCAGGAGACGACTCACAAGTCCGCTCTCTCCTGTTACTACTGCGCGATCGCACCAAGATTCCAATCAAGGTGCTGATATTCGATGAAGATGCACGACCAGGGTATTTTGGGACGTGGACGCGAAACTCACGAGAGGTCGGGCCGCGCGCACCGTTTGCTCGCGACGTTCTCTCGCTGGACTACGCATACGACAGTGGCGAAGAGTGGGAGGAGGAAAACGGGGACGCGGATGATGTCGTCGAAGATGCAGAAGAAGACGAGGCCGGTGACGAGGAAGATTCGGACCTCGATAGCTGGCTGGTTGATGATGATGACGTCGAGGATCCTGGCACGCCAATCGACAAGCGGGAAAGCTCTCCAGACCTATTCCTGGACGTACCAATGCCCGCGCCTCCAATAGCAAAACGGAAAGCAAGCGAAGAGAAACCTAAGCGAAGCAAGAAGCGGAAGGTGGTCGTGCCTCTCGTTCCTTTCACCAAGGGCCCATGCTGGGAGACGAATATCGGCGACTGCTTGTATGAACCGTTTGCTCCATATCGGATACACTTGCTAGATGGTATTCTTACGTGACATTACTATCGTTCAGTTGCGCTGACCACGTTGGGCAGATACGCCGTTTCCTATCGACCCCTTCACCTTTGTCGCGGGGAGTATAGAGTCGGTGACGACATCGTCGAAGGATCGTGTCACTACACAGGACGGCTTCGTGGTCCCCGCGCTTCCTCCTCGTCTTAATGCACCCAATATTGCCACGCCTTCTGCGCAAGCTTCTCAACCAGGTACAAAGCGGCCCCTACCGGCGCCCAAAACAGCATTTCCTGAAGCTCACCTGCCACTCCTGCTCGCACGCATCAACAGCCTCGCAACGGGCAGTCTGCCATACATAGTGGAGGCAGTCCATCAGGAGCTGAAAGAACAGCGTGTGAAGAAGAATTCAATTGAGGCGAAGATTAGGGAAGTGGGCGAGAAATGCAAGACCAAGAAGATTTGGGTGGTCAAGCCACATTTTAAGGTACGCTAGCCTAGAATTGCGCTGAAGCTCCGTACTCAACATGAACATACGGATACACAGGTAGCGAATGGCTTGGCGTTATGAGACGCGTCGCGGGCATAAACTGGAACATTGACGTACAATGTACCGTAGGACCTGTCTTGTTATACGTACTATTCAGCAAGGAATATTTATTTCTCCTGCAGCGCGTCTGAAGTGACTGTTAACATTACAAAGCGAAGGCAATACATGCTTGATAACATCAATCTGGAGGTAATACATATAATAGTGAAAAATACAAGTATAGGACTCATGATGAGGCTAGTTTCCAGAGCAAATCCGCATACTCCCTGTCTGACTTTCCGTCTTCGAAGGTAACACAATGTACATCGCTTGATTCTGAGCCTGTACACAATGGGAAGCGGTGGGCGACTGAGCGACTTAGTCTCGAAGCACCGATGAACAGACGTACGGACGAGCATCTTTTCTATTCGGCCGTCCTTGGTCATGATGGGCTCGAAGCCCAGTCCCTTGTACAGCGCAAGTCGAAGTCTGTAAAGTCCATGTATGTGAGCGTCATCAGCGCCAGTGTTCACCGGGCAACAGGCGCAGAGGCTCCTCGCGGGAATCGCTACTCACGCTGTGGCATCCAAGTCGTGTTCTGTGGTGGAGTCAGATCCTTCAAGAGCCGTGGTTTCCTCTTTGAGGCGTGCAAGCTCCGCTTCTTTGCCTGCAAGTGAACTCTCCGCGTCGTTGATTGCTTTGGCAAGGGACAAGCGTGTAGCATCCAGCTTATTCATCATTGCGGCATGGGCTTCCGCTGAGGGGATCGTTGGTGGTCTCGTGGATGACGCTCTTGCTGCCTCCAAGATGCGGGTGAGTGCTGTAGGAGAAGGGCTGTCACGGGCGTGGCACCGAATCCACAAAAGAGGACTTACAGCGCAGTTTGAGCTGCGCTTCTTCGAATTCTCTCTTTCGCTCTTGCTCAGTAATGGACATCTGCTCTTCTGCAGCAGCAATAGTGAGATAGTCTTCCTCCGGGTCGATTATAGGAATCATGTCCCTGATGGCCTTACTGTAATACGCCATCGTGGGTAAGTAACCGCCCAACTACGCACATGCAGCAAACTCACATCGTGTCTTGTATACTGATGGACATCGTGCTTGTTAACAAGGCAATTGTGGTAGGAGTTAGATCTTCGACGCGCCTCAAGTGTCAAACGCTTGACTGCAACGCGCCCCACGTGATCGCGAAATACATGCCATTATTATCAGTCAACTAAGGGTCGACGGTCTATATCAGTACTACACTCCCGCCTTCACCTGCTACGGCCAACGTGTCTGGTACCGAATAGGCGGCTCTTAGGCCCGTGCGCACTATCGCTACCCCGGAGTAGCATTGCAACGTGGGTACGCAGGCCTGGACCACTGGCGTAGCAAAGTTACCCTGTCTAGAGCCGCCGGACAAAATCATCCGGACTCCTTCCTTTGCGGTCATAAAGAATCGTCGTCTCAGACACCCATTCTCCCCCGCACCATCCCCAAAACGCCTTTTCGACACTCACAAAATGTCTGGCATTTTTGTAAGTTCTTATCCATGGGTAAATAGACTCGACAGACTGATTTCGAGTCTTGTAGAGAGCAGAGCCAGTCGCGAGGCCGCCGATTTTGAACGGTCCGTTTGGAGGCACCGTGATACGCGCTGAGCTCGTGGAATTACAGAAGGCAGACGTCGGTCGCAAGTACGCAACCAGCGCTCGCGCTTGGCTCGAGATTTATGGCTTCTCCAGATATGGAAGAAAGGACAGAAGACCACTGGATCCTCCGCCTGTCGCACAATTGAAGCTGTTTCGCGTGTTGTCCGTTGGTACATCCAACCAGCAAGAAGTAGAAGTCACCGACTACAAGTTTGTCCATCTTTCCATGATACCAAGCATGAATCAACATGCTTTTGCCCACCCATAGCGAGGTGAACAGCATTGGCTTTGTATGTCACGTTGATCTTTTCCCCGTCTCCCCGACCGCCGGCACTGATGCCAGGCAAGCAAGCCGGGCGGCAACTACACAGGCTCGCTCGAGCCACACAGAGAGGACGCAAGCCACCGGCCCCTCGTCATACATGCATCCATATCGCGAGTGGGCTCCTATGCAGCTCGGGTTTCCGGCGGTATTACCTGCGGTCTTGCTATCCGCTAGTTTGAATCCTGAGTCTGCTCGAGGTCTTGTCCGACCAAGCGCGCAGGCCCCCTATTCAGCAGGCCCCCTTGCTTCGACGATATCCTATATCGGTCCAGGAATGGACGCAAGAGGAAATCCCGACCCAGACGTAGTCGCACATTCGGGGGACCGGTTGGTCCGAGAAAGCTTGAAATGCACTGCGTCTCTTGTGGGCTCTAAAGTTGCGGCTGCTGTGTGTGTTGAGTACCAGGAAAAGAATGCTTTTATGTTCGTCTTTGCGGTACGCCTAGCCGCCGGTCACAATGGCGATATGGTGCCAAAAACTGACTATGAATTTAGGATATCTCGGTGAAGGTCGAAGGAACATACTTGCTGCGATATCGCGCTTTCGACATCTTCGCTCAGGCACATGGCACAAACGGACATCCTGTTCTTGCTGAATGCTATGGAGGTACTTTCAAGGTCTATTCTACCAAGGATTTCCCCGGTTTGCATGCGTCTACGGATCTCACAAAGGTGTGTTGCTACGTCCACGGGTCTTGTTGAAGCGACGTTGACGTTGATCACTGCCGGGGATCGCAGCATCTCTCATGTCGGAATGTACGCGTAGCCTCTCGCGAAAATGAACGTGAGCGCAAGCGTCGCAGGACAGTCCAAACAAGCTATGTCCCTATCGCTCCTGCCATACAGAGGTCGGACCGGCGATCGACCTGGTCTCCGTGCTCTAACTGGAACGTTGGTAACCGGCACGGCGTCAGCACGAAGCTGTGAGCCTCGAGCACAGCATGACGTGAAGCTGGAGTGCTACAGCTACTCGTGTGTTGCGCCCGGAGATCATGAAGCTCACTACACGTAAATCAGACATAGGATTGATGTTTTTACCTTTTCATAAGCAGTTGTAATTTGTCACCCGTTAATATACTAGGTAATCATGTAGTGACATGAATTTGACTCGACGTAGGTCTGTTTGTTGCCACGCTGCTTCGCACTCTCGTTTCAGCAACTTGCTCGGTCTAAATCAACTGACACGCCCGCAATCCCTTGTAAGGCCCCAGAGCGGTCTAGTACTGTGATGAACTGTTCGTGATGATTTCTTGCCGGACGATGAGGTGTACATGTCAACTGTCGGCAACCTAGACGCAGCCTGAAAGCTTAAAAGCCGCCAGATCACCAGCTTGTTCTCTGGATCTTATATCATGCCAGACGTTGATCCACACAGCTCATCCCAGCCTTCAGGAGGATCAAAATCAGCTCGTTCTTTTCTGACGACGTTATCTCATGGCTCAGCACCGTTCATCACGACGTTCGTTCTGATCCACTTGTCTGCGCCCGTGCTCGCGAACCTGGGCGGTTCCTCGCTCTCTTCTCAGGTTATGGTAGGCAGTCCCGCTTGCTCCATTGTTGAATTGTAGGTAACGATGGGCATCCACACAGCTCTTGGGCAGGGAATACTACCAGACCTCGTTTGGCGAGAAGTTCCTCGTCCTGACACCGCTCGTCATCCATCCGGTCTCAAGCATCGCCAAACGATTTCTCTCCCCGAAGCCTGCACGTCGCCTGCAGAGCGTGCTAAGCATCACTGGCTACGCCGCACTGATTTCTATCCCCATGCACTTCCTCGCACATCGCTACTTTCCGAGCGACCCTTCCCTGCCTATATACGCCCTCGGTCCGGCCGAGCTTGACTACGAGTACGTCAAGTACGCGCTGCACGAATGGCCATGGCGCGGTTTCTTTGCGTATCTCGCGCTGACAGCTGTAGTGGCACGCCATGCTGCTGAAGGCATGGGCGTGATTTGGAACACTTGGCTGCGGAAGAGACTGGGCGGCTGGAAAGGAAACCAAACAACGGCAGGCATTATGACCGCAGCTATAATCTTGCCCGTTGCGTCAGGGCTGTTTGTGCTTTCACAGGAACCTCGCATGGTCTTTACGTCTACCATTCCACGTTTCCAAGCTGCTTTCTCGAAATCCCTCTTGTACAGCCTGTTCTGATATGCTTGTAAGGGTATATATTCATTACCGAAACTTTGTGCTACATGTCAGTATTGGCTGCATAACGTTGTATTGTCAACTTCCTAACGGTCATAAAGTCGTAGGTCTCAAATCACTGATGTCCAACAAAGTCCAATAGCCATACATCAGTGCTTTGAACGCATGCTCATCGTCCGCATGGTCGGGACTAGGGAAGGGGATGATTAGCGTTCGACGCATAGAAGATAGGTAATGTTTGTATGACTTACACATCATCAAACCCTTGATATCCTTGACCCGCGACTGCTCGACGCTCTTCCTCAAGATCAGTACACGAATACTTGCCCACACCAATAGCAGAACACCGAACGCTACCGGGATAAGCCAGTATAATGGTGACAAGTGGTACGTGCCCCCAAACACAACATGAAGGGGCGGCGTGTAAATGATGAAGATGCCCAGGCACGCGCCGCCGAAGATGCCAGCGAAATTGTAGTAGTTGCCAACAACTGCCTTGCCGAATGGGAAGGAGAACCTGGCTTTCACAGCGAAGACCTGGAGGGGGGCCGTGCTTTAGCTGGCGGATGCAAATCTAGAGAGGCGAACCTACGTTGAAGCACTGAATGATAAAGATGGAAAGATAGACTGTGGGTATATTGTTTGTCAAGCGTATGTGGATCGTGAAATGGTATAAGAGATACTCACCAATAGACTGAGCTTTCGCGAAAGCCTCTACCTGCTGGGAGGAGCCGATTATCTGTCCTCTGCTATTGGTGAAATCAGGGCTCGACTTCGTGAAGTAGGCTACAATGAACATGTCCATCACCGTCGGAATTGAGGTCGTGAGTTATTATCTATGACGTACTAGTTTTGGATGATTGTGCCATGCGCAAGTCAGTTGGCGTAAAGCCGTTCTTGTAAAAGACAACAAAGTAGGCAACAAGACTGGTCGATGGGTCAGCAGTTTGCTCCCACAAAATCTTAGGCCAGTACGTACGCTCCAAGCATCTCGATCACACCAGCTTCCATGTATGAGTAACTCAGAAGCTTGCCGTCGACCAAAGACTCATCGTCGGTCCTCTCCATGTTATCTTCCCAGAAGTCCCGAGTGAAGGGTGCTTTCGCTTTCGAGGCCCATGCCGATATTTTACTTGGGGGGATCGCTTCTTGCATCTCTGTATCACGCCGAAGCGTCTTCGTGCGACGAAGAGCACGTCGCTTGAGGGACATGATAGAGCGGTCGTTGACTACCACGACATTAAGGTCATGCAAAGTGTGGGTTCGAGCATAGTCTGACCTGGTTTCCGGGGAGCCATGCGCATGAGCCCGTCTTTTGTTTCCGGCTTGTCCCATGCGAACGAAAGCTATGCACCAGCTATCAGAGCGCTGCTCTCGGTTCTGTGTTGAAGTGACGTACAGCCACAAACAGCTCGAAGCCAAGATCTGTGAAACAAATAGCATATATCAGACACCGCGATGTCCATGAGCTAAAACTCAAGGACTCACCGATGACAAGGATGAGAATGGCAGACAAGGGAAGAGGGATCGGGACAACAACATCTATCGTACAGATCAATGATAAGACGAGGCGCGTGACTATATGTGTACTCACAAAGCAGTTGCGGGATAACTTCCGGCGTACTATGAGAGATTGTGTATCTGATCGATCCAAGGTGAATTTGTGATTTGTGTCTGACAGGAGGACAGGCCATACTGGATGGAACGCTTCAGGTTCACGAATATCTGACGGCCCTCAGCGACACCCTCTGTAGAAGATGTATCAGCAATACAGTCCTATGAGCAAGACAAAGGACACTTACTGACTGTCGAGGCGAAGTTGTCATCTGGAGAGTATTGTTTAGGTGAGCCATGAACTGTGGCATAGGCGTCCAGTCGTCTCACCAAGGAGAATCATGTTCGCTGCCTCTTTGGACACATCCGACCCGGAAATGTTCATTGCAATCCCGAGATCCGCCTACGGGCGAAAGTCAGTCCTAAAGAGTCACTGGATTGCGCTCGTCCCCTTACTTTCTTGAGAGCGGGCGAATCATTGACACCGTCCCCAGTGCTGTATTACTATTAGCAAGTGGATTGGCGCTCCTTGAATTTTGTTTACTTACACACCGACGATATGGCCAAGTGCTTGAGCACGTTTCACTGAGGAGTTGATGTTAGAGGCATATATGCATGTCTCGATAAAAAAAACGCGCGCACCGATCTCCAGTTTGTGCTGTGGAGAAGTACGCGCAAATACAATCTCATTTTTGGAGAATACTGTGGCGAGGTCAATAACGTAACATGAAACCCGAATTATGCATCCTTACTTTGGTCCCACTGCCAGCCTTGGAGCCCATCGATACTGTCGCCGTGGACAACAACCGCGTCGACCTCGTCTTCATAAATCTCTTCCATTGATCGTCCAGTCTTTGCGCTGAGGGTCTCCTTAGTGTCGCCCAGGATAAGATTGATCTTGCGCGCAATAGCTTCAGCAGTCTTGGGATGATCACCTACGTATGGTGTTTACATTGAGCAGCGTCGAAAATCACTTCAAGGATCCACTTACCGGTCACCATCATCACCTTGATGCCAGCTAGACGGAGAGTACCGATCGCCTCTCGCACGCCGTGCTTGGGTGGGTCCTCCAAGGAGATCAGTCCGCAGAAACAGAACTCCGTGCCGGGGTATTTGCCATCATTCTTCGAGAACGGATATGACAGGTCATAAGGATCCGAAGGGAGCAGCTTCTGCGCGCAAGCGATCACACGATGGCCTCGAGAGGCCATGTACTATATGAGATGTCAGTGAGGGAGCCCTGGTGCAAGGAGAAATAAGTGCACATTATAAGCGTCATCATAAGCATCCTTGAAGTCATCCGTGATGGGTTCAATGTTGCCGTCCTTGAGATAAGTTGAACACTTTTCCAGGACACGTTCCGGAGCGCCTTTGATGTACAAAGTGAGATCTCCGGCAGTATGCGGTTTGTTGAGCTGCAAGCAGTGTTTAGTAATTTCCCATAAGTATGCATACGATACGTACGATGACAAGAGCCCACTTGTTCGAGGAGTTGAAGGGGATTTCAAACACTTTGGGATGTTGCTTGTGTAATGCATCATAGTCCTGGATGTACCGTCCAGCAAAACGCGTCAGACCTGTTTCTGTGGCGTCGCCAAAGATTGTGCGCTGATCGAAAGGAACATCCATCTTGTCGAACTTGACTCGAGAATTTAAGGCAGCGATGTCGACCATCTCGCGCATGCCAGGTGCACTGATGGAGAAAGCTTCCACAGAGTCGGAGTCATTATTCGACTGTATGAAACGGGCTATAAGTATTACAATCGAATGTGACGGTTGCATGAACCCCTGCGTACCTGGAATGCCGTGTACATCTTCTCGCCGTTCCAGAGATTGGTAACCTGGCACATTGTCAGCCACCATACACATTCACAAAGGCTATATGTGAATATACCGTCATTTGGTTACGGGTCAAAGTACCGGTTTTATCGGTGGCAAGGAGTGTGAGCTGGAAGGGAGTCAATAGTGCATTGCAGACCACGAATAAGACATATTCACCGAGCCTAAATACAACGCGATTGGTAACGTTAGGCACTGAGAATGCAACAACGGAACCTACCAAGTGTCTCAACGCCCTGCAAATCCTTGACGAGCACATTCTGAGCAGCCATTCGTTTCGCCGCAATAGATAATCTTAGAGGTTTATTGAGCTCTGACTCGGGCAGGCTGTACTTGAAATACAAAACACTCACAGAAGGGTAACCACTGAGGGCAGACCTTCGGGTACAAAGGCAACCAATATGGAAACGGCGAAAGTCACCGTCTCCGCACCCTTGCCTTTGTACACAGTTGTAATGCCGACGACGAAGAACACCACGGCAAAGATGATAGCAATCGCGGATACCATCATCACGAATCGAGCGCTAGCAGACTGTCAGTTCTCTGAACTTCTACAACGGAGTGGGGCCATACATCTCGACGGCAAGAGGACTCTTGTTTCCGGATTCGCCACCAGTGAGAGCCGCGATTTGACCTACAACAACATGAGCACACGAGTCCCATGGAAGCCACGATTGTGTTCACCAATCAGGGTATGGTCTCCCGTGCGCACAACGACTGAATCATATTGGATCAGACTCGAAGAACCAAGTCTTGATTATAAAATCCTCACCTCCCCAGCCTTCGCCATTGACGATCAAAGTCGAGTTGAACACCTACGACACGGTTGATATTTCGATCAGCAAAACAAACCTCCATGAGACGTACCAGATTCTCTGCTTCCACCGGCCGGGACTTGCTTCCTTCCGGACGACCAAAACGCTCAACCGCTTCCGATTCGCCGGTCAGGTTACTGTTGTCAACTTTGAGATCGGTAGACGCGAAGATGATCAAATCGGCAGGCGTCTTGTCACCGGTGCGCTATATATCCAAGGATATGTCAACTTCGGATCACCTGTGCACTGACGCTTCGTTAACTCACGAGAAGGACGATATCACCCTTCACCAATTCCGCTGCGGGTACAGAAGTGATGGTGCCATCACGGACGACTCGACAGGAGGGTGGTATCATCGCCAGGAAGGACGCCAAAATAGCCTCAGATTTCTGCAGCTGGAAGAATTCGATGAAGGCGTTGAGGAAGGCGACTGCAATTAAAATTCCACCAAGGTAGGTATTGGCGAAATTATCCTGAGGTCGTGTGATATGAATATGGTGTTTACGTCCGATGACAAGAAGCAAACCTTGAAGTCAATACCTAACAAAATGTATTCCAGGATGCCAGCGAAGATCAAGAGGATGTTGAACATCGTCAAGAGAAGATCAATGTACTGAAAGGTTGGCATCGATAAGTTGACAATCCAATATAGCGGATTGCCGCACGTACCATGCGCAAAGGTGACTTCTTCTTGGGAGGAGTAAGCACGTTAGGTCCATCACGGGCCAATCTCGCCTTTGCTTCGTCTGCGGAAAGTCCGTACGAATTGCCAGGGTCCTTGGTGTCCATAGAAGTATCGAGAGCGGACCCAAGCTCGTTGTACGACAAATGATGCTCTTGAATGTCGACATTGTCCAACTTATTGTCACCTTTCTTATTCTTTGTCTTTTGCTCGTCGAGGTGCTCATACCCAGCAGCGGCGAGCTCCTTGTCCTCCTTGGTCATCTCGCGCTTCATTTCAACTCCTCTGGGACGAGGGTATCCGTGTTGGATTCTCTCCTCTCGAATGTCGCCATGGTCGTCCGGGAAAACTACCGCTCGCGTGCCGGCAGTCTCCTCATCGACGATTGGCGGGGAACTGCCAACCAGCTTCTCGCTGTTCTCCATGAGTGGTCAGAGTAGGGGGGGAGAGGAAAGGGGAGCAGGAAGACCACTCGAACCGCATCCTTACTTCTGTACGATTTTATAACTTGCACCGTTGGGAAAAATCCGCCAACCTTCCCCTCATCCGATTAACGGTAGATTCGAGAAAAAACTTAGCGATTGGGAGCTCCGGGGTGCACATGGGTAGCGTGATTGGGCACTGGACCATGAACCGCTGGTTGTGCCTCGTCCCCGTCTAGTACGACGAACAGCCAAAAGCCCTCAATCTTGATGGGCCTCCGCTACCACTCAAATAGGAACCCACGTGGAGAACCTTCCCCAGCGCTAGGCGTCTCACAGGCGACGTCTGACGGATTTCCGGGAACTAGAACGGAAGATGGCATGGATATGAATGAGATACTGGTACATTTCTGCGCCAACATGCTCATTTCCGCAGGACACGGAAGCGCCGACACCTTCGAGCGCTGTCCCCAAGATAGCTTCTGAACCGCTCCGACCGGTGGTTTGCACACCTCTAACATAACGCAGCGGTCTTTGCGGTACATCCGACAAAACTCCTTGTGGGGCTCATTGCGTGACCCCCAGATTAAGTATGAGCACGCATCGCGACAGAGGTCATGAGTGAACTCACTTTGGTCTGGACGGACGGCGGATCGTCCGATACCACCAGAAGCACCATGCTCCGCCCTACCAGTTCCAGGCGAAGCTATTTGAGGGCATCGCAGCTGTTCAAGCTGCTCCAAGCTGCATCCGCGTTCGATAAAGGTGGCCGTCGCGCGTGATGCTGCGTGCTGATGTTCCAGTCTTGTGAGATGTTGCAAACAAGCTTCTATAACAAGCACGACCAGTATTTCGGTTCGGACACTCCAGTCGTTCATACGGCAGTAGACGGGAAGTGCTGTCCTACGTGCGCTCAAGGCTTCCTCTGGGCGCGATGGACAGCGGTCGGCGACTCGTGGCAGGACTTCCATATCATGACAACAGTGGATTAATGTTGACGAGTGTATCCATTAGTAGTATCCGACTCCATCGCCATTCTACGCCGTGTGAGGCTTTTGGTACGGTATATGCGTAGTGCCAGGTGCCAGGAAAGAAACCCCAGGCGTCTCGCGCATGCCGACATGGACGTAAAGGGCAAGTGCTGTAGAACACGTCTGATCGCAGTGATCGATTTCATTTCAACTCTATCTTCGGGTCAAACAATGGGAAGTCGAGCATTGGACCCTGCGCGCAAGAGACCGCGTGAGCATGATTCTATGGCCGCAAAAGAGCAGTTATAGAGCGAAGTAGAGCACGGCGTTGGTGCATAGTTGACAAAACAGTGTGTCTCGGTGTTACCATCTCGATCGGATCGAACTGCGGACACGGAACATACCGAAATCATTCATATGAATCATGAATGGCACGGACTTACGGCTGCAACGCTGCACACCGAGCTATACTTACAGCTGACTTCGAGCGTATCTTGCCAGGAGGCACTGCGCTCAATCAATTGGATCGCGCTGGAGATGCTTTGGCAATCGAATGTATTGTTCCTCGTACACGTAAAAGTGCTTCTTACAGCGCCGCTCCACTCAAGCGATATCCTGCGTCAACACATACCGGTATCGCACCTTGCCAGACTTCACCGCCTCGATGGCGACCTTCGCCTGGCTCATCGGCACCTCCTGGATCCATGGCTTGACGCCCTTCTCCGCGGCGAGCTCGAGCATCTCCAAGCACTCGGTCTTGGAGCCGATATGCGATCCTCCGATGAACGCACCATTCGGCTGAAGGTCGAATGCATGCATTGGAGGGAGCGGGTTGTCGTTGTCGGGCAGGCCGACGTTGATGAACTTGCCGTGGACAAAAAGCATCGAGAGATAGACCTTCAGCGGCCGATCGGGTCTGAAGACGTCGATGGTGGAGATGATGAGATCGAGCTCGCCCTGGTAAGGCTTGTAGAAGTCCTGCAGAACGTGTGAATTGAGCGACATCAGATAGCTTAGTAACTGGACGCACCTCGTCGTGTGTGCTAATGACATGGTCAGCGCCCATCTTCTTCGCGTCTTCGAGTTTGCTAAGGCTGTGCGTGAACGCGTATACCTCCGCACCCAGCGCTTTTGCGAAGAGAACTGCGTAGTGGCCGAGCCCACCAATGCCAATGACACCGACCTTCTTCCCAGGACCTGCGCCATTCGCCTTCAAAGGCGAGAACACAGTGAGACCGGCACAGAACATCGAAGCCGCATCCTTCGACTCAATGGCGTCAGGAATCTTGAAGACGAAGCGCTCATGCGCGCGGATAGCAGTAGAGTAACCGCCCTGAGTAACAACACCGTCGGGGTACACATCATTCTGCCGTACGTCCGTTAATCGTCTGCCGCGAAATTGATGACCAGGAAACACACGCACATAGGTATCAATCAGCTTGAGGCAATAGTTCTCGTTTCCGGTCTGGCATCTTCTGCACTGCATACAGCTCCCGATTTGGGCACCGATACCGACCCGGTCGCCGACCTTGAACTCAGTCACCTTCGCACCGACCCGAGTCACATTTCCGACAATTTCATGTCCCACAACGAGGGGAAGCCGCGTGTTACCCCAACCTTGGGTCAAGGAGTGCACGTCGGAGCCGCAGACGCCACAGTGGGTGATGGCAAGCTCGACGTCCTCGTCCAAAAAGGTCTTTGGCTGATAGGAGTAGAGGCTCAGCTCGTTCCACGCCGCGGGGTCTACATAGAAACAATATATCCATAAACGAGCAACAGGACTCGCCGAACCCCGAGGGTGGGAGCACACGCACCGGTGAGGGCAAAACCTTTAAATTCGACAGACATGATGCGGTGTCAAGGCGGGCTGTCAATGTGGGCGGCGGAGGATGGGAGAGGTACATTCCCCTTTTCCGGGCCCTTTATACAGGGGCTCCCATCGACAGTGGATGACATGCCCACCAATTTTATCAACGGGGCCGACGGCATGCCTTGGGCTTCCCCTGTATCCGGATCGCCCTTCCGGGCTGGCGGCAACCCGGGATGGCAAGGGTGCTGGCCGTCGCTGGCTGCTACGTACTGAGGGCGGCGCATGTTATCAGATGTCCATGTCAGCGGTGGCCGTCGCCATACCAGTCGAGGACGTTCTTGCTTCCTCCTCCGCTTGCAGTTCGATGTGTAATGCAAGATACCTTCGGGAGTAGTAGGTGGCACTCATGACATCAGATAGTGCCGTCAGCGATAAGATTGTTGCAGCGAACTCGAGGATAGCAACTTCAAGGCAGATGTCGGCGACGTGCGGTAGCCTTATGGAGCTAGCAGTGAGTGGTGAACGTTTCATAACCTAGTTGCTGACCGAACCAGCGATGTCAAGCGTAGTCGACTTCTGTAGATGTCCTATGGGACCCGTAGGTCGTCGACGATCCTTGGTCTCGTGGGACACAGAAGGAATTCATAGGACTCCGCGCGAGGTGCGTTTTCTCAGACAAGAAATAAATTCTTACCCGTTCGTTGAATTTCAGATATTTCCGGAACGTTCCAGGAGAGTTGACGTCCTACGGATATGCGCTCAGCCGCACACAGATAGAATCAGCAATTGGTAATTTGAGCTGTGCACATTGTGCAGAGATGAAGGATGAGCAAGCCTGCGGTAGAGGCGCCCAGGATAATATCCGGAACAGACAGGCGCCCACGTGGGAAAGCGGCGGTCCGCCCTCTCGAACGTTCCCGTTCCGAAGGCACGGCGTTCATAATCTCAAGATCGTTCATGGCGGCGGCGATTCACAAACACGCAGCTGGAGTCTGGAGGGAGTGGGGCTCACGACACTAAGACATAATTCGATCACAACGACGGGACTGGTTTAGGGAAATGAGACTGCAATGAGACTACGGTTACAACAAGTCCGTCGACGACTATCGTGCGCACATATCCGAGTTTTGTACAGTAGAGCAGCAATACAACATGCAAATGCTACACGAATCATGGGCTATGGAAGTACAAGGAAGATCATAACGACTACAACTCACAGATAGAATCAGAAGTCCAACGCTTCCTTAAACTTTGTGCCACTCTCGAATTTACGCATAGAGCGAATGCTGGAGTCCCCAGTTCGGACGGAAAATCGACCATTCTCTCTGGCACCCTCGTCGTCGTGTGAAAGCGTAGACCCCATGGAGGTTGGCGAAGAGGACAAGGGCACATCGATGTCCGGATGAGCATCTGGGACTGAGAGCTCGACAGATTCCGTGCTCATGTCTCGCTCCGGGGAAGGAATCCGCCCTTCAGAGACTCTCTGAGGGACGCCAGCCGTCTGTGTCCCTTGCATTTCTTTCGGCTCGAAGCGCTCATCCGCAGCATCCCAATCACCGCTATCGTCATCGGCAGCACGAACCCAACCTTCAGCTCTTCTCCTGCCGAATAGCCTTGCGATCTTGCCCCGGAAACCTGGCGAGCCAAAGCCCGAGGCTGCGGTGCCCGCGCGCCCACTCTCCCGACGTCGAGCTCGACGTAGCTCGCGCTCGTATGGTGTGGGGTCATTGTTTCGCAGGAGGAAGAAGACGGCTATGCAGCTGAACACGACGATGGCAGCTAGCGCCACAACGAGGGCAATGAATCCGGCCGATGAGCCATCTATTTCTGGTACGCCCGCGGTTGATTTTGCAGCCTATTCCAGTCAGGAATGAGACCAGTCAGCATGCAAGACGCCTATTCTTATAACGCAAGCGCTGCTAGCAACTTACCGAGGAAGGAGCCTGGGGAGACTCTGGCACGACATGGTCTTGACGCGGGAGGAATGGCATGACAAGGTGTGTGCAAAGTTTTCGCTCAACGATCACGGTCGACGTCGTTGGATTGATTATAGGATTCGTGAAGTAGATTATAGTTAGAGATGTCCTTTACGCCTCGCATTAATGGGAGCAGTGAGAGAGGTGGGATCGCGGCCTTGAGGCTCACGCACCGGATCAGCACATGCCGGCCCGGGAGTAGTTCCACAATCGGCAAGTCCCGTAGTTCGTCGCGACCTGGTTAAGCAAGTTAGTCTCATTTCGTTTACCCGCTACTCGTCTCGCGACGTGTCACTTGGTGCCCTGCTCACCCTCTCTCTCGACTTGGGAGAAACCGCTATCACTCTACTCTCTCTTGAGTGCTTGCCGTCGATGCGCTCAGTCCTATTCTACTCTACTGATGCAACTCCGGTGTTAATTGGCCAGGAAGCGCTCGCCAGAGACGCGCGGTATGTTATGAAGCGTTGACAACCAACTGAATCTGCGGTGAAGAGGGGATATACAACGGATACATTTTTGTCAAGCCAGGTATGAACAAATTGAACGAACTATGCTACACACATACATACAACGCTCATCGCATATATATCGTCAGTCTCATATATATCATAACGTGAAGCTTCGTCGCGGTGCGAAGCGCTCTATATACATTGCCAGTCCGTCTTCAAGGCTCGTGTTCGAAGTTGAAGAACTCGTTAATGTCGAGGTCCTCGAATGGCGACATGTTGTACACGACGGGCTCGATGCCGAGTTCTGCGAGGCCCATGGTATATGATATGAAGTCTGTCTCCGCTGCAATGTAAGTGTTGAGCCCTGTCCCGTTTTCCCTACTCCCGCCTGCGACCGCCATCGTGCTGGACGGCTTTCCCTGCATGTAAGCAACGTAACCGGTCGAATTGGGCTGCGGAGGCGGGTAGTGTCCTTGTACGTCGCGAGGAAATTCTGAGGACCTCGGCGTGCGATCTAAGTCGAACCCGGTCGTCGCGAACCCGGCCGTCGGAACAGGGAGGCTGCAGGGCTGCTGGCTCATACCGATACCAACTCCCGCGTATGGCGTGATAGGCAATGATGGCCTGCGGGTAGCGAGGTACGTGCCAAGACTTGACGGATCAACGGCGGATGGTCCGTCTCCGTTCCAGTTGGCGAGCGACGACGTGACGACGGTCAATGGCGAGGGCAGTGCGGCGGAGGCTGTTGCAGCTCGTCGGCGACGCAACAATGGGCTCGCAGGAGGGCACGTCGCATGCCAGTCCATCCTACTATCTCCGGGAAGGGTAAGGGATGCCTGAGTTCTCTCAACGGCGGCAACCTATGCGAGAACGCGGCCATGAGTCTGCGACGGCGTCTGCATCTTAATCGCGTAACTTACGTTCATACCAGGCCCACCGAAAGTGAGCATCTCCAGCGACTCGTCGTGTGGATACGATGTCGACGACGATAAGGAGGCGCCAATCGCTCCCGCCGACTGTGTGTCTTCTCCAACCGACGGGTAGGGATTTGACCACGCGGGGATGTCTAGGACTGCACTGGGGGACGGGAGGATGGAACTCAGTCCTTCACTGCCGTCCCAGAGGCTACCTGTTCGCAAGCCAAGAGTCGGGCTGGATGCAGTGTACGCTGGAGATAGGAACAACGACTGTTGCAGTCTATTGTGCAATGCTTCTTCGTGTGTCGGAGGCCTCGACAATGAGCGCGCCGAACGTGCGGGGGACGAGCTGCGGCTCAACTGGGTATCTGAAGGTTCTGGTGATGAGGATTCGAAGCTTGTCGGGCTCGAGGGTGTGGTATATTCGCTCGCGGAATCCGACTCAGAGAAGCTGTTGTCTTGACTAACGGTGCGACGCAAAAACGACTCGACCTGCTCGCGACGAGACATCGGTCCTGAGACATTGCCAGCGGCAGTCTGTCCCCTTCGGGGCCTGTACTTGTAGCCTGGGTTACGCCTCTGGTGATCCGCCCGCTCCTGCTCTGCTCGCAGCTTGTAGGGTTTCTTCTCCGCGTCCGAAAGCAACTTCCATGTCTCCCCCGCCCTCTTCGAGAGGGTCTTCTCCTCTGCCTTGTTTGTGCCGCCGTGAGCATGCTTGCGTGAGTACTCGGAGCGGAAGATGATGAACGCGTTGGGCGGTCGGGGCACCCATGTCGGGTCCCGCTCCCGGTTCCGCTGCGCTCGCCATCGAGAGGTGGCGTTATTGTAAGGCGTGGGGGGGTAGGGTATATTGCCCGTGGTAGCAGGCATACTTGCGGACGACATACAAGTGTTTCCCGACTCGAGGGGGGCCGGTCGGGTGAGTGGCACCTGCTCGACGGTAATTGCGGAAGGAAGCTCTGTCTGTCTAGTGGTCGCGCCTGTCACTATCGGACTACTCGTACTTGTATTCGTCGACCGTAGCCTCCAGAGAACGGTGCGCGCGGGAATAGAGGGCGGGAATGAGGATGAGTGTGGGCGGGTGCCGTTGTGCATGGTGTACAATGGGAGATGCCGGTCGAGACTGCCAGAGCGCGTCTGCTGAAGTGCTACTTCAATCACGGGCGACCTTATTCCCCTTTCCTGATTAATTGGGGTGCGTGCTGCCGTCCGAATTCTCTAATTGTGCGAATGTGCATGTCCATGGCCAGGAGCAGGTGTCCAGTGGCGGCGGGCGGGATATCGGCGCTTGAATTAGCCCGGCATTGAGATTGCGATCTGTGGCATCAGGGCCAGTGGAACATCTGATGAGATCCACGATCTACAAATCGAAGCTCGGCCATGAGGCTACCCACCGCACGTCACCCCCCACCCCTTACTATTCGGCCACCGTCCACTCTCCTAGCAGGCCTCGGCCCTCGTACCACCTCCGTCCCGCAAAAAGACTCGCAGCGCATATCCCCCTGCTTCAGCTCAAATCTCCCTGTTTGGGGTCGACAAGGTCGGGCCTTTTTAGCTCGCTTAGAGCGGAACTTGGACGTATGGCGCTGATGGTGGCTGGCTCAGGGATGTATCTTCGCGGTATTATTTCGTCTGCTGAGCCAGGGACCGTGGAGCGGGCTTGACCCGATCCTAAATGAATCGCACTTGTTCGGCTCCGATCCAGCACGATTGGATCGCTACAAGCGCAGGCGATCAAATCACTCGGCCGCTCACACGCATGACAAGGCGAGAATCAGTCAGACATCAACGGATTTGGACACTTATACCCGCGACGATCGCCCTTAGAATGTGTAGCAGCATTCGCTCGTCACCACTGCCTTCATGGACGACATGGATACTTCGGTGATTTGTCCAGTGTGACGGCGGCACCGGAGACCTGCCTCATGCTCCTTTTCCCAGCATGCCAGAGGTCCAAGGGAGTTGGATATACTCAGTGCGTTTTGTCATTTATAAGCAGGGTACTCGGAGTGTGCTCTCTGATGCGGCCCGAGAACGTGCGAGGGAAGGATCGAGGCACACGAACAAGCACTTCTGGGGTTCTGAGTCCGAACACACCCGACATGCACCGAGGGCCTACTTCGGGATCAAGGCTGTATAACGCTCGCACCTCCGGAGATAGGAAGCCGCTGAGCGCCCCAGGAGCGTGTCACTCATCAGTCGGCACCAACAAGGCCAATCGCTCGTCCAATGCTTGTTGTGAACAGGTACATGTGAAAACAATCAACCCTACGAGTCCTTCTGAGTCCATTAAGTTCCAGAACGTCCAACAACACGTGCAAAGTCCGTTGTTATAGTCCGTGCGATCGCATATCGACATTGCCCATGACACCGTTGCACATGTTCCCTCGCTGCTTGTGCACGTGACTCTCTGTAAGCCAGCAGTATGATGTAAGAAACACGAGACGACATACGCAAGAGCATCCCAAGCTGCACTACAAGCCGCACACTGATGCGTCGACCTGCACTGCCGAAGCGTCCACTCTGCCGAGGAACTCCGCTTGGTTATCTGTGAGTGCATTCATCGCCGTCAACGCGATGTTGAATCCCGACAAGGTGGAGTCGATGGCGAGCACGTTGATGGTAATGCCGTCGTATGTCAGCGCCCAACAAGTCCCGCATTCAGCAGAGTCCCACCCGCCCACAGCTGCCGCGCCTCCGATGTACGGGAAGTCGGGGAGGGAGTCAAACGTGGTATAGCCCTTGCTCTCGAGACCGTTGGGGCCATCTGAGCAAGCGACGGTGTTGAGCGACTGAGAGCCCGTGTCGTACGTCTGGTCGTAAGAAACGGTGACCGTGGTCTGAGCAAAGACCGTGGGTACGAGGAGCGCGGTGAACGAGACAACGATAGAGGAGAACTTCATTTTGTTGTGTAGTAATCGTCTGTGTGGAGGTAGCGTTGTCTAGCCGTCGAATGTTGGGTAGAGCTGGTGGTTGTACGTGTTCTCATGGTCGTTTTTATAGCAAGCAACGGACAGTTTTGACCGCGTTTCGAGCGTGTCCGAAAGTGCTCTCATGCCGCCCTTGATCACAAGGGCACAGCGCCAAGTAGGGAAAGACACTGGCCAGACAGGTCGGATCTGCAGGAAAGCGTCTAGTTGACTCACATACACGAGCCCAGCCGTCAACGAGAGAATATCATGACGCGTCACGGCCCAACGAGCCCGCATGACTCTGTCAATGCCGCAGACTTGTCATTCACGACCGTGGCAAAGAATCAGTGTTATGCTGCCAGCGACAGGCATCCTGCTTCCTTGATATACATATAGCAGCCGCAGAACTTCATGAGTTGAGAGAAGTCGGCATGAAGGAGGAACAGCTGAAAAGGTCTCTGAGCTTGGCCTGATGCGGGCTAGTCAGTCGTCTATTTTGCATCGTGGCTCGGCACATGACAGCGGCCAGGAGATGCCTCTTGAGTATTTCTGAGATGTACGAGTACCAAGGCAGGTCGTGTGATCGTGTCCCGGTGTAAGAGACGTCAAGCCCAAGATAGCCTGTTGGTGGGAAGTCGTTGGAAACTTGCAAGCGGCGATAGCGCGCCGGAGATGTGTGAAGACCGCCTCGAACGTCGTGTTCTGTAGTCCCGAGTGTTCCCGTCCGCTCTCAGACGGTGTCGAGGTCGAGTTTCTACGCAGAGGCTCAGGGAGTAAGCGGAGACCACGACTCTCGTGACTCGTGGGCATTGATCGTGACATAACGCCACTCGTGATGTCACGCTCGAATCCTGATGGGCGCTTGAGCGCTTGCACCCTCAGTACTTGGCTAACATATTTCGGAGGTGTTCATCGGAGCGCGGGATGGCCAACGTCGATACACTTCCACTGCTGCTTCCGCAGAGGACGGCACCGGTGAACTCACTTCCACCACACGAATGGACACCACAGATGAACCTTTCCCTCCCCAATCCACCTCCTCCCGAAGACTCGAGGACACATGACCAGGAAATGGCCATGGCGCGGCAGTTGATGGACGGAAAGACGGTCAAGAAGGTTCGGCCGCGGAGAACGGTAGACTATGGTGGTCCTATGGGAAGATGGGCCCTGGTGAGTACTTTGGCCGCACACAGCATCCCTCAATGATTTATGTGTGTGATAGTTGCGGAAATTGCGGCCAAATGCTACACATGTACCGTATCTGAGGCCAGCGCCCCCGTACATCATTGATGTAGGACTCGGTAACGCCAATATATTTATTGTGTCCGCTAAATACAGTGAATATACAGCTCTTGCCTCCGAAAGCCTACCCAGACAACGCGTCAACATCACTATGCACCAAGTTCGTGCATACATCGACCAACAAGATCAGATGTCCTGTCAATTGTGTCACGGTTCGTGAGCCTTCAGCCTTTCTGTCTACGTAAACGTGCGCGATATTGAAAGCAGTTCAATCGTAGTGGACGCCAGAAGGCCGTCGAGTGCTGACAGGCTCAACCAGCGGTGAATTCACCCTGTGGAATGGGTTGACATTCAACTTTGAGACTATTCTGCAAGCTCATGACACTGCTGTACGAACTATGCGGTTTACGCACTCTGGGGCTTATTTGGCATCTGCGGATCAAAGTGGTATCATAAAATATTTCCAGCCGAATATGAACAATTTGACTGCATGGACGGGACACCGAGAAGCTATTCGTGGCCTGAGCTTCAGTCCCGATGACCAACGTTTCGCAACTGCCAGTGACGATTCAACAGTCAGGATATGGTCCTTCGAGGAGAGTCGTGAAGAACGGGTTCTGACAGGTTGGTGTGACAGTCATTCATGTTCATCACGCGTTATTGAATGTACGCGTCAGGTCATGGATGGGATGTAAAGTGCGTTGAGTGGCATCCAACCAAGGGCCTACTGGCGTCCGGTAGCAAGGACAACATGATCAAGTTCTGGGATCCTAGAACAGGGACTGTGCTGTCTACGCTGTAAGGCATCTTTCATGGCAGCGAGCGCCACAGCTCATGGATTTCATCAGACATTACCACAAAAACACTGTGCAAGCACTTACTTGGTCGCCAAACGGTAACCTCCTTGCTAGTGCATCAAGAGACCAGACTGTACGTGTATTCGACATCCGTGCAATGAAAGAGTTTCGAGTCTTGAAAGGGCACAAGAAAGAGGTTTGCTGTAGGTCTATCTACCAGTGCTCTTGGTTTTCGTTGCTGAACTCTTTCCAGCTGTGGCATGGCATCCTGTTCATCCACTTCTTGTGTCTGGAGGCTCGGAAGGAGCGATTTTACATTGGGACCTTTCGTCGTCTACAGATCCTAAGACTTTGTCTGCAATACAACAGCCAGGGCCACGAGCAACACTCTCACAAGCGCACGACTCGAACGTCTGGTCGCTTGCGTTCCACCCGCTCGGACACCTCTTGGTCAGCGCGTCTAACGATCACACAACTCGCTTCTGGTGCCGCGAGCGACCCGGCGACGCGACGTCCGTTTTCTCTGGAGGAGGTGAGAAGCCACCCGAAATCACAGACACAGCAGGACAAGACGAGGACGAGGAGGCGATGGTGCCTGGTTTCGGCTTCGGTGGGAGCGGTGGCGGCGCTGTGGCACAAAACTGGTGGGGAAAAGAAGAAGAGCTGGATGCAGCTGCGGGCCAGTCAAACGCGTACGACAGCAGGTTTGCCCCCAGGGGACGCCAGGACCAGGGCAACGATGACTTCATTCCGGGCTTCAGCGCATCGGAAGGCCCTGGGCTGTCACGGCAAGGCGCGCCCCTGCCATCGCAGGAGGACGTGTATGGGTCAGGGGATGCACCAGCAGAGGAATGGAGGGGAGGGCGCGGTCGAAATTACAACCATGGAGGAAACGGTGGCCATGGCGGTCACGGTGGTCATGGTGGTCGATGGGGCGGAAGAAGAGGACGATACTGACATGTTACATCACCACTTAACTGGCTCGGATCCTGTTTTTTATATTCTTTACCATTCTGTATCGACAATCTTTTGTCCGCTAAGTCGACAACCGCACGCAGGCTCACCAAAGCTATCGGCAAAGAATCCTATATCCTGACACAGCGACAGATGAAAATGTGGACTAGATGTCATATGTAGTAGGTCGTTATAGTAGGTCGTGTATCGTAACGTGACGCTGGTGTATTGTTGTAGACGGTGGGCTAATTGTACCGTCTACATACATAAACCAAGGAGTTTTCGGCGAAGTCGTGCTGCAAGAGTAAACGTGACTATAGTACAGGGGGACATGTCTGACGTTATCATAAAGATAAGGGTGAACATGGGCACTGACTGCCACACGTCGATAGGGATAGTATCTAGGAGCGTCCGAATCTGGACAATGTGCGTGATGGGGAGACAGATGAGGAACAAAACGAGCTCAATATGCAAGAGGAAGAACCGGAGTAGCTGTTCCAGTGGTCATCATGCTTCGTGCGATCGGGGTCGACGCACCGCTCATAGAAGCTACATCGTCGAAACTGGGGGAACGGGTAGGGGTTTGTGCAGGAGAGAGGTGGTAACTGGGCTTAGGCGAGAAGAGGAACTCCTCCACACTCGAGGCCGAGTGCGAACGCTGGATAACGTCCGGCTGGACGTCCAGAAGGGAGTCAGAGCCTGTGTAGAAACAGAACCTGGGCGAAGCTATCAGTCACTGTCCACGTGCTAAATGAGACTGCGGGTCTTACTTGTTTAAGAACATGTTCAGATTGTCGTTGACCGGGTCGGATACGCGCTCTGCGTGAGCATCCAAAAAGTTGAAAATGACGCCATCGTCGAGCGGAGAGCTAGAGGGTGAAGACGAACGTGATGATTCAGATGTCGACGTAATTGACGGCGTCGACTCGTCACTGCCACCGCGCTCAATTGGCCATGGACCGTACGTCGGACCAGTCATCAATAATAACTTCGTGGACGAGGGGCCGCGAGGCGTATCTGCATTGCCGTACCTCGGAATCGCGTCATCCCGGAATGCAGCGGGGAGTGTTTTCCTGGCACTCCCAACCACAGGCAATCCCGAGTCGAGGTAGCCGCGCTGGTGATGTCTTCCCGCTGAACGAGAGAAGACAACACGCGTCGACGAAGGCGTGTCCTCCGAATCGGAGCCAGCGTAGAAGGAACCCGGTGAGGTGACTTCGTCATCAGGAGCGAGTATACGTGGCGAGCCGCGGGTCATGCGCGTCGGATCCACGAGCATCTTGCTCTGAAGAGGAGCGTTGTGCAATGCGCGCTGCGGGGAATGCCGCAGGTTATCCGGGTACGTGCTGTTTCGAGAATGCGACGTAGGCGACACGGGCGAGCCACCCTTCCAGGGGCGCTTCAACGACGCTGAGAAGTCGTATCTCGATGACAGCGGCGTATCGGACCGGAGGTCAAACTGGTCTCCGCGGGGCGAGGGCGATTTGCGCGACTGGTGCGCGAGGTAGCCGCCGACAGTCTCGCGACCGATGGCAACCTTCTCAAGCTTGCTCTTGAGCCCGGCGATGGCAGGATCAACCTCATCGGCTTTCTTCAGCTCCGCCTTTGTTCTTGAGAATTTAATCTGGTAGTTCTCTCCTAAGTTGTTGTCCCAAATCTCCTGTCCCGTAACCGTGTACCGGATCGCCATGAATAGAGTCTTCTCCTCGATCCGCGAGAGCATGTCGTTCAGTCGGATAGTGAAAACGAAGATGTCGAACTTGCCTTCCTCGACCGTCTGCATATACTTCGCGGTAACCTCGCTCGTCGTCTGCCACCAGTCGAACGTGAACCGTACTGCGATCCACTTCTCGAAAGCAATGTTGCGCACACGCACGCGGCCGTTAGCAGATGTGCGGTCAGTCGACAGCACAAGCTCTTCCATTGCAACGTCAGCGACCTTGTTGATCGTCGCAGGCATATTGACAACTTCCATGACAAGCGTCTTCGTGGAGCGATCGTCGGGGCCGTATATGAAGGAAGGGAAGTCGCTGTCTGTCCCACTCGTGTCCGTCGTCGGGCTACCGTCGCGGGAGACCGCGAGCGGCTTCTGTTCTGCGATGAACAGCTTGACATGCTCCAACTGCGCGTCGAAGTGAACAGACTTGCATTGCGTGGGTGTGTTGGGCTCGCTTTTGCTGGCCACTACGTTCGCAGTGACTACAGACAAATCGCCGCGAGCAACTCTGCGCCGCGACTTGAGCGATGACTTGAGCGGCTCCCCAGACTTCTTGCGGACAAGCTGCGAAGAGACCTCGGAGGGGATGCTGACCGACACGGACCGGACCACGGGCTCCGGACGCACGGCGGTAGACGGCTCAGGGACGCTGACAGTCGTGGTAGGCCGCAATGTGCTACCTCTGAACATAGAGGGACGCGGGGTATCCTCACAGGTAGCAGTATCGACAGGAAATGGGCGTGAAGGGAACGCTACACGCCCTGCTGATGACTTGGCACGGAATAGGGACGGAGTAGGTGTCGACTCTTCGGGCGGGCGCATCGACTGAGCTAATACGTTGACACTGCGCGTACGTCGCTGCCGAGTGACGGTGAACTGTATAGGGGAGTCGTCATGAGAACTAGATGAACCGGACGCAGAAGGCTGCGAGTGCATATCACGACGCTGTTTGGAAACAGGCGACATGGGAGGCGGTGTTGATGGTTCTATGACGAGCGCCGCGGGTGCACTGGGAGGCTTGACAGGGGTCGAAGGATCGCGGTGCTCCTCCGAGAGCAAGCTGCCAATCGACGACACCGTTTGGATAGAGCGAGATGCAGACGGTGTGCGCTTAGGTATCCGAGGTAACGGTGCGCCTGCACTATTCGAGTGACGAGAAAATGGATGGTCCATGGGGAGGGATGGCTTGAGGCCGACGGCGACGATCATAGGAGCTGGGTAGGCGGTTTGCAGAGTAGTCTGTCTATAAATATGAGAGCATGATGAGTGTCAGGCGCATTGACAGGGAACAAAGCCAGAGATATGTGGCGGCCAATTGGCGGGGCTGCCGTATGAAGCGACGGAACTTACATCGGATAGGTGACGTCGCCCCGGCTTTGAGGAGTCGTAAAAAATCGAATGGGCTTGGATAGATAGAGGGGATAAATATATGCAAAGCGGGGGGCGAAGTTGTACTCGTGTATATGCGCCGGTAGGCGGCTGTCCTGGAAGTAAATAGCACGGAATGAGCAGGTGCGGCTGACGGTCAGCCGCGGGGCTGCCTGAACGAATATGGAACTTACTGAGAAATTGATGGTAAATGAGGAGACTGTTACAAATATCTCAAACCACTAGAAGGACTAGGACGAGGAGCACGTCACAGATGTCGTGAAGGAGCTGGTGGTGGAGATAGAGGGACAAGGCCTAGCTCAGGAGGTCTACGCAGATGGTTCGACCGCGGGTCGGAGATGAATGCTCAAGAGGCGCACTGAAGCTGGCTATGCGGAGACCCTCAGAGTCCGCCGCTGCGCAAAGCGAGGAGGAGCGGGTGAAGACTAAGAAAGACGACGTAGAAAAGAGCAAGGCGATGTTGGGGAGAACCACCCAGACACGGTGCACGTGCGCTCAGGAACATACCATCAAGCGCCCATCCATAGCGAAGCCTATTCCAAATTCTATTTCGGGCAGTCACCTCTATCACCTCCAAGTTCTCACACAAATTGCCTTCGTATAAACGCCGGTTCTCGGCCAGTTCTCAATCATTTGAATGCCTGCAGTTCGCCCCCGACGATTTGTTTTCGTCGCAGCGGTCTGGGAGCGTCAGCTATCCTCAAGAAGGTTTCGCCACTGCGCTCAAACACCACGTCAATTTCGATGTCACTGGGAGGAGTAGATTTGCTGGTCATGCGAATTTCACATTCGCGCCTTCTTAGCCTCCGAGGCCGGAGACACGAGCCAGGCGCGTCTTGGCTTCCCCCAGCCTCGTTATCGGACGCACTGGCTACCATACATTCCTGCTTATCGCTGGCTTGCTCGTATTGTCTGCTGGTCTGGAGAGGGTGTCACTCTGCTCGAGAGCGTCTTCGATGCGTCTCGACGACCAGAATACGGTCGTTGCGTATATCCTCCGTGGTCGACGGCCCTGATTCGTGGCCGCCTCATATCGCGACGCTTGAAGGCGGGCCCGAGATCCGAGGTGCTGCAGTGAGTAATGGCCCTACTTGACGCGCGCCTCCAAGGGGTCAAAATGTCCGCCGGATGGATCCAAGTGTACACCGCCTCATTGTCGTAATAGGCCCGTGCTTCGCTTCTGCAATCGCAATTGGCTGCAAATTGCCACAGTCATGATAGAGTTTTTTTTAGTAACAGGGTTTACAGTGGTTTGCATAATGACCGCAATGTATAGCCTCGAGCTCGCGCTGCTGTGCTTGGCCCGGTATACAGTGCTTACGCCATCTCGGCCACCGCCGGCATCGGTGAGAGATATGAACAGATTTTTGGATGTCTCATCGGTATATGACAGTTGATGACAGATTTCATCCCAACTGAGAGCAGGTAATCTGTTCTGCATTCCTATCAAGTCAGTCCAGCCTGAATCAGGGCGGGAACATGACTACACAATACCACGCCAGTCCAGCTGGTGTCAGCTGTGTTACACTGCATGTTGAGAAAGAAACATATATATCCAGCGGCGACAACGGACGATCATACACCCACGCCGCCATCAAATTACTGTACATCGTAATCTGTATCAGTAATGGGACGGGTATGACAGGGAAATATTCGTCACATGAATACAAAACCTTCAGTAGCATGGCCAGCCTTGGAGAGATGTTGTTCTTGCCTCTATTGATTTACGTGGGGCACTCTGCCGTAGCAAATGGTAAGTGCCTCACTTGTGATCCCACTTCTCATTGAGGTCAAGACGTTACTTACTCCGTAGGTCTGTATTCTCCTCGAATCTACGGGTCTATAAGTCTAGATATCTCGTCATTTGCTCATCGTACGCAAGAGTCACGGCTCGGATATGGATCAACTAAATGCAGTCTTCAGCAAGCCTTCTGTAGCTCGAAGACTGATGTCGGCACAATTAACAGAGCCTTGAACTGTCTCGCAAATCGTATCCGCGATGCGATCTGTGCCTTCGTTAAATTCCGTTGAGTCGGTCTAACATTGCTGACCAACCCTCAGTGCTACTTGTATGGCGCTGTTGTGACTGGATGAATCAGCTGAATGATTCAATGCAGCTTCTTTTGCTGAAACCTTCGTTTTGCCGACAGTATATTCAAGGCTGACTGTTGTGTATGGCGTGGCTGACACAAGCAAGTGACCAGCACTGCGCTTCCGAGGTTGGGCATATTGACTAGTGCTGGAATTAGTCAATCCTCGGCCTGTTATGTCGCACGCTGCTGAAAGACCTCTCGCGTGTACCGCAGCGACCACCGCCGATAACATCGAATAAGCTAACTCCCACCGTTCGAATTCTTCGTTCAAGAAGACGTCCCTTGTCCGGACCGCGCCAACACCCAACGGCCAATTCGAAAGGGACCCCATTTACGGTATAGCGTCTCGTTTGGCTGAATCTACAACTCGTCTGCTTACCCGTGGCGCTGACGTTTCCCAGCTCGGTTTGCGTGCCGGTCCCACTAGCGTATGGCCTTTCCGCAGTCGTCGTGCCTCTCGTCGAGGCCATTAGGCGACCCGGCAGAGCGCCTGCACTACGGTGGAGTTCCGGACGTACGAGACAATAAGCTCGGGTGTAGGTAAGATCTCAGCTGGAACTCGAGTGGAACACTATCTTATCCACTGGCGCTGGTACTCGGTTCCCCGCATGATGGCTAGCAAGCGATTCCTCTGAGCTGCACTCTGGCCTATCCGGAGAATGTATGGTACCCTCGTAGGTGCAGTGGCTTCTTACTATATTGAGCATTTTACTTCTCATATTCTCATGCGCCCAGACGTCTGATGGCCACTCCCTGCTCCTCGCGCACAAGAATAGCGCATGTTGACCGTCGCGGACCTAGTACGCTCCAGCGAATATGAACGGAATCAGTTTTCCAGAGGTGCGTACGGTCGGAATTGCAAGATCGCTATCTCAAACAATCGCATGGCGCGCGGTTCGTTTGCAGTTCGACTCGGGACCAAAGACGGCCACCTGGAGCAGACATACCCGAAGCGACTTCCATCTGCAAGTTCGCGGCAGCGACGCCCCGCCTGATGGCAGGAACAAAGTGCAGCCCCGCGTACAGGGCCCGAACCCGAGCCCGAGCCCGGGCCCCTAACTGCCATCCTGGGCGTCTTGAGATCCCGTGCCGACGAGTCCGCATGCCGGCGATCTACGGCGAACATCCCCTCGATCGCGATCGGCATGTGCTTCCGCACGTGTGGGCCGAATTCCTCGAATTCCACCTTGAGGGTGCCCTCGGTCGCTTCGCCGAGGGAGATCAACGGACGGACGGAGGGGTCGACTCGTCTGCATCAACGGCGCATGTGCTCCTCGTCTTCCCGTCGACGCGTCCAGGCCTTCCATGTGATACCCACGGGGCATTGCTAACCTTCGCGGGTTTGCTGATCGAGCAGAGCACGCGCTTCATAAGTTCGCCTTGTATTCTCTAACGATATCTGACGGCGTTCTATGGCGACGGCTAACGCGGAATAGCTTCGGGCTTGCTGAATCACTAAAACCCCAATTCGAACAAGTGTGGGCTGGTAAGAGTTCACCAGACCGGATCCCCGCCCCCGATCTACTGAGTTCAGCACTCGATTGTCTCTCCGCGTTCACGCATTATGAGCCTCTTATGCTCGCAATCGACGGCGATCAGTACTTGAAATGGGCAAATTATCTCCACGGGGTAGATGGGTCTGCCGGCGTGTATTTGTGTTGGTCCGCTGCTAATGTACGGACTCGCTGGGAACTCCATAACACTTATTCGTGGCGTTTTCTTGATAACTGCACGGCAGGCCTCGCAGTTGAGTTGTGTATGTACCGAAGAACGGTACTGCAAACTCCTAGATCATTACAGCAGACCTTATAAAAACGTCTGAACTGGTCTTGGAACAGGACTGCTGTGTTAGATCCCGGGCGCAGTCCTTTCACGCAGATGCGTGTGAATATACGCTGCACCTGTCGACGTCCAGTCTTCGGACCTTGGACGACAGAATCAATATGACATTACATACTGATATAATCTATACGTCTAGTACGGACAATGGGGAACTGAAGCGCATAAGATATCTGAAACCACCAGGGGCGCATGGGGCGAAGCTATACTAATACGACACCGGGCATAGCTGCGTCTATGGTACCGCGGAACATACGACAACACAAAATATATGGCTTGGGTCGACAGAGAGCGGGTCAGAATATGGGTGGATCAAGACGGGGGGAGATGGGCACCTGTGGGGTTCGACACATCCGGCCGCTAGTGTGACAACAAGGATATGTAATAGTTTAGTATGCGACAGAGGATTGCTGGAGAGAAAAGACGAATTGCGAGGTACACATAGCGTTGGATGCGAGAGACGGAGAAACAAGAGAAATATGATAGAGGTATCGCAAGGTAGAACCCACGGTTGAGGTCAATGCTCCTGGCGCGCAACGCTGCCAGGGCCAATATCATCGCCATCCACGATGAGCCCGTCATCATCATCTGCGTCGGCGTCCATATCGGCATCCGCATCGATGTCAGAACGGGCATTAGCGTCCGGCTGGCTTGTAGCGTCGCCGCTTTCGCTCTTGTAGTCGATATTTGCGGGAGCGGCGTCTCCGTCAGCAGGAAACTGTGAAGGCGCAAGCGGCGCGCCCTCGCCACGCATCCACTCGTCCTCCCACAGATCAATGATCTTCGAGCGTTTACGCGGGTCCCGAACGAGCAGGCGCTCCACGATACGGCGCACACCGATACTCCGTACAAGGCCCGTCCCCTTCAGTGGCTGAGCTTCATTATCACCGGCCAGCGAAGTAGATCCATCTGCAGTAAGCGCATCTTCCGGCCATGAGAACTCGGCTTTGGCTATGCGCATCAGGAGAGCTCTGCGTTCTGCTCGAAGGTCAGCCTTGTTTGGTGCTGAGGGTTGGTTGGTCTCGTCTTGTTCACGGGTCCGCTGGCGATCGAAGGGGAGCCTGCGGGTGGCAAGCGCATACAAGACAACGCCGCATGCCCACGCATCCGTCTCACGTCCATCGTATGGACGCCCAGTGACAAGTTCTGGGGCAGCATACGACTCGGAGCCGCAGAGCGTTGTCAGTTGTGGATTCGCCGGGTCGATGAAACGTGAGAGCCCAAAGTCAGAAAGTTTGATGAGAGATGCGGGCGGCGATGGCAATGAATTTGAGAAAATAGACGTGGTGAGAAGGATGTCTGTGGCAGTGCAAGGATCAATATCGACGTCACCATAACGGATACGGATGACGCACTCTCGAGCTTGATGTCACGATGAACCAGCCCCACGCCGTGCATCCAGCCGACGGCTTTGCAAAGCTCACCGAATATGCGACGCAGCAACGGCTCGTCGAGATGCGAATGGCTTTCTGCGTTATCGATAACGTCGAAAAGCTCACCACCGCTCACGTACGCTAGCACGAGACAATGGTAGGACGGCGTGCTGAAGGAGTGTACATAGGAGATTATTGACGGGTGCGATATGTGCTGCGGAAGACGCGATGCATTGAGCAACAGCGCAAAAGCTGACCCTGCAATCATGGCTTACCCGTAGAATCTCGACCTCGCGGACAAAGCTTACTCTTGACCGCGAGTTATTGTCACATACCTCGCGCTCCGTCGTCTTGACAGCGACAAGCCTTCCAACCTTCTTCGAAGGCCACTGGACCTTGCTCATGCCCTCCTCGTCAAGGTAGATGCTCTCGTTGCTCTGCTCCTGTCCATGCACACCTACTCCAGTCTCTCTCCTCATTGGGACGCCTCCGTACGTCTTCGAGCTTGCATGTGAGGTGAGCTTGGGCCGCAATCCATCCACTCTCCTCGACCTTCCTCTCTTCAGGCTCTTACTCTTCAAGAGGCTGTTCTTCCTTGAGAGCTCGAAAGAACTCAACTGATCGTCGATGTCATTTGCCAGCCACACACTGCTGAAAGCGCCTTGGCCCAGCACTCGCACAAGGCGTAACGAGAGCGATGCGCTTTTCAAGACCTGGCCTGATTCCGAAGCGATTAACGGTAGATCAGACTCGGATGATGATGCGGGCTTGGGTTCTGGAGGAACATGGAAAAAGGACCTGCGCTTGGGCTCACTGTCTGGCGTTGGAGTGGGCATATCTGACGGTGCTGGCGCAGGTATAGCAAGATTCTCGACGGCTGGAGAGGCGGTGTACGCTTCCGCATACGCCGGAGCGGCCTGATGGACATCAGGCGGTGCAATTGGCTCAAGCTGTACGAAATCGCGCCGGTGGCCGGGAGAAGAGTCGCTTTGTGTGTCATCTTCTGTTCCATAGCGTCTGCGCGACGGGAATAGGCGAGATAAAGGAATCGATGGGAGAGGCGGTAACCTGGTAGGCGGAGAGTTCGAACTCTCACGCGAGTCCGTAGGGCTGCTAGGGAAGCGCGCGGCGGTAGGTGGGGGAGTAGGGAGGTGTGAGGGCCCGAAGAAGTCGGCGTTCAGAGAACGCTTTGGGGCACGCTGCTCGATGCGCGGCGTCTCATCGGCAGCAGCGCTGCTTCCATTTTCGGAAGAGGAAGTCGCGGAGACTTGCGACATGAGCGAATCGATGGAGGCCCGGGACTTAACGGATCCAGTGCATTTGTTTGGGTTGGGTGGTGGCAGAGGCATTGACGAGCCGCTGAAAGGAGAGCCGAAGAAGGCATTGGTTTTTCTCCCAATCGAATGTACTGACACAGAGGGTGAGGGGAGGGGAGAAGGCGCGGACGCTGAGGTTATCGATGAAGAGGATGTGAGGACACTCAGATGGGACGAACGAGTGGAAGAGCTGTCAGTAGACGGCGAAGGGCTGAGATAGCCTGACCAACTGGCAAGCATTTCGGGTATGAGAGCAGCCAATATGCACAGATGAAGAGAAGCGGCACGAGATACAAGCAGGAAGGGAGCGTGGATGGAGTCAGAGTACAAGCAACGCGTACTGTGCCCCTGTAGTGACTCGGAGGGAGGTAAGTTGTCGGGTGGTACAGGGTAGTCGCCCCAGCGCCAGCAAGTGGCACTCGAGCCTGCTGACCAAAGATCTGACGCGGTGGAGGCTACGATCCCAGGGGGTGGCCTAGTATTTGCATACGCGTTTGGAGGACCTGCCGGAGGATCAGGCGAGCCCAAGAGTGTCGTGAGTTTACAACTTTGAAAAGTTGAGTGTCAGCAAAACATAACGCGAGCGAAAGAGAAGAGATAGGTCGACAGAGCGGTCGACGTGGTAGAGAGGAAGAGAGGTGGAGCGTAATACGCGGGCACGGAGGGCAACCAAGCGCCGGTCCGCCCGTGTCACAAAACGCCAAGTCGGCTGTGACCACCGTGCGCGCGTGATGTAGTCACGCACCCTTCACATGGTGTCAGTGCGCGCTACGGTCCATCTCGTGTCCATACACATAGCGAACGTGCACCTTCAAACAGGACGTTCACGTACATTGGATGCTTCCCATTGAATGCAACGTCAATCTGGCACATCGCGCCCCAGCGATTACAGCGATAGCGTACGCGGGGAATGAGGAGTTCATGCCGTACTGGCCCCGCTGCAGCGGGGGTGACCGGGACCGTGACGAGTCAGCATAAAGTCGGGAGCTCCTTCGGAGAGAGATAGGGAAAGGTCCGTCAAGCTCTCAGGGTCCCAGCATGCGCACTTTCCGGAGAGCTAGACTTATCGAGTAACCATTTCGCAACAGCTGTCATTGTCAAGCAGGCAGTCAGGAGATTTCCGATAGCGCAAGCCGGCCCAGATCAGACCAGCCAACCGTGTCGACAACTAGATATCACAGAGGGAATGTAAGATTTCCTGTCAGCGTTGGGTAGCAGTCGCCGTGTCGCAGTACTGTACATGCTGGTCGCAGTACAACTTTCGCCTGCCGTGACTGCCACCTAATCATCAGATGAGTACCACCTTCGGCAAAGATGCGCGAGGGTCTAGGCAATGCCTGTTAAGGACAACCTTCAAGGCTTCCTCCGCCTTATCGTGCCTTTACAGGGTGAACATGTATCCTTATTTCACTCCCCTTGCATTTGCCTTGCCTTTGTGGGCTCAATATCCGGTCCAATTTATCGCTGCTCATGACGTTAACGTTGTTCCGAAAGGCGCCACCGAAGACACGCGAGGCTAATATAATACATGTGCGCTTTTAGGCTGGCAGTGTTAAAGCGACAATTTGTCTCGTACCCAACTAATTTCGCATTTCAGCAGGAACCCAGACTGGCCCGATCTCGCCTGAGACCAATCAGCCCCTACTGTACTCAAACTACTCAAATCCCCACTAGACCATCCCATTGGTTCTGACAATGAAATGACGGGACAGCGCTTTAATATTTGTGCCCATGACTGAAGGAGGCGGGCACAGAGCGGATGTTAAATATACTTCGGAAGCAAAGTAAGTTGAACAAACAACGAAGGACTGAGGTTAGACGCGTCGCAGCGTAAGTGATGAAGTCCGGGTACACGAACATGTGACCGTACATGTACGTGGTCATAGACTTCAGCACGATCGAAAGTTGATCGAGACGCGTCGCAACGCGATCACATGCCCCCACACGTGCCCCACACTGCTTCCAGGGGCCTGGCAAGTTGCATGATGTCCAAGTCTCCCAGGCGAGAGCTTCGAGCAGGCTTCCATATGCATAGTCGAGGTGAACCATCGTTGCTCGCTACCCCCACTGCGTTCGCAACATGGTCGCCAGTTGCGATAACTACGGTACGGTGAACGGCTCCTCCTGCGACTGTCCCACTGGTTTCGGCGGCGCGACATGCTCCCAGCCGGGTTGCGGAGGTACCATCTTTCAGGGTTCTGATCGTTCTTTGGCTCCTCTTTTTGGAGGCTATGCAAATTTGACTGGTTGCTCCTGCGAGGGGGGTTGGGCCGGGACAGGCTGCAATGTGTGTCAGACGTCGGTAGCTTGCCAGTCTGCGTACACCAGCTCGGGCAACCCTCCGAGCGGCCTGTCCTCTGCCGGGCTCACCAGTGGTGAAAATAATACCCTCACATGCAACATAAACCCGCGCGTGTATGCGTCGGGGCAGATGAGTTGCGAGGTAATGGTATGTATACATAACCATTGACATTATACGCTACCTATAAACATACATAGAATCCTACTTTGCAAGCTATATACCCCCTGTCCTCGACACTTAACATCATGCGCACCCTCAATCCCTCACTAACGCCGCTGCCCAACATCACGGGCTCTGGCTCCTCAGGTTCAGTCTACGCGCAGCTATACTACAGCGGTGTCGAGCAGTTCTACTGCACGGCGGACTCGTGCGAGCAGCATGCGGGTAACACGACGGATGGAAGCTCCAACTGGACGTGTCAGAACCTCCGGTGCACATGCGTCCCTGGGACGAGCTTCTGCGGCGCGGTCCAGATTAGCAACCTTACCTCCATTATTGACAGTCTTTCCGGCACGCTGGTGATCTCGTGCGACGCTCCATCAGCGGGGAACCACACGGCCAATTGTGCATTCCAGCAAGCGACTATTCAATCCGTCTTTGGCTCGTCCGGTCTGACGCTCAGCGGGTGCCAGTTTGGCGAGTGCGTGAGCCAGAGCGTCATCGACACCGTGTCCTCCAACGCTACGAGCACTACTAACAATGACAGCGGCGGCAAATCGCTCAGTGGGGGCGTCATCGCTGGGCTTGCTGTTGTGGGTGGTTTTATTGCCCTCGCACTCCTGGTCCTGGCATACGGATGCTTCAGCCAGCGGCGTGCCCGCAAAACGGGTCCTGGCTCTGCTGGTAGAAGCGGCGGGGTTGCAGTCGATTGGGCCGATATCAGCTACTTCGTGTCTAATCCCGACAAGGGGATGGGGGGATGGTTAAAAGACCCGTTGAGCAGACACGCTCGACGCGACATGAACGACCAACGTGTAATCCTCGACAATGTCAGTGGCCGTGTCTCTCCAGGGGAGATGATGGCGATCATGGGGCCTAGTGGTAAAATCTTCAGTTGCCTCACCCTTGTCTTTTGGAGACTAACTGCCTATAGGTGCCGGCAAGACGACGCTTATCGAAATTTTAACGGGAAAGAGCAAATCTGGGCATACTACCGGTTCAGTTTCGTTTCTGCCGTATTCGGCTCACCGGGGTTCTTCAAACGAAGCTCCACGTGTTGGCTTCGTCCCACAGCAAGACATCTTGCCACACACGCTCAGCGTACGAGAGGCGCTTCTTTTCGCGGCAGAGCTCCGCCTCCCGGAGAGCATACCACATGCCGAGAAGCTCGCGCGTGTAGACGCTGTTATTGACCAGCTTGGTTTGTCTCACATCCGGGACATGCACATCGGCGACGGCGAGAAGCGCGGCATCAGTGGGGGTGAGATGCGCCGAGTCAGCATCGGTCTGGAGCTTGTTGCCCGTCCCGACATCCTCATCCTTGATGAGCCTACGAGCGGACTGGACTCAGTATCAGCTAAGAAGGTTACAGAGGTGCTCGCCGCACTTGCGCACGACCCTCAAAATCCAACCGCCGTGATTGCGTCCATTCATCAGCCAAGGCAAGCATGCTTCGAGCTATGTATATTCATGTCTTCTCCCTGACCAAATATCGCAGCTCGCAGCTCTTCCAGACTTTTGACAGGATCCTGCTCCTCGCTCATGGCCGTGCTTTGTATTACGGGAAGGGGGGCCTCGCGCCTGCTGAGCACTTCTCTGGCCAGGGAATTCCGTACCCTAATGGGTACAATGTGGCGGACTATCTTCTGGACGTAGCCAGTGATCCTCCCCTTTCGCTCTTCCAATCTGCGGGGAGCAGTGGTAGCGAGAAGACAAGCAGCAGGGAGCCTGTGGATGTAGAGAAAATCACGAGTAGAGAGATAATGTCGACTGTCGAAGCGGAAGAGAAAGGGCTGAAGCGCGCGATGCGTACTTTCGTGGGTCCGAAGTATGCAACCACGTTCTTGACGCAGCTCGAGGTTCTATCAGGTAGGGAGTGGAAGATCCTCAGGAGGTGCGTTGGTCAAGCACGCGTCCTCGTACGCTTTGGCTGACCGCGAGCAGGGACAAAACGCTGTTCTTCACTCACGTTGCGGTCGCTTGTGTCTTGGGCGTTTTCTGTGGTACACATCCCGCGCCATCGAGTGTGACAATGGTTCTGAATACCCAATTCCAGGCGGCTTGTATTACAAGACTGGTATCACAATTGCGGGCTTCCAGTCCCGAGTAGGGTGCCTGTTCTTCCTGGTACGTGTTATGCCTTCCACACGCTGTGGTTTGCACTGCCATGATTGACCTCTCGTGGTAGGGCGCGCTCATTGCCTTCTCGTCCTTGAGTGCTTTGTACAATATCGTTGAGATACGACCGCTCTTTTTGCGAGAGCGATCTGCGTCTTACTATAGGTCCGTCGCATGCCCTCGCAGAATGTTTAGATGGCTGATAGACCCTGAACCGTCAGTCCCACTGCTTGGCTGCTATCGCGTCTCATATTCGATGTTGTACCTCTGCGCATTCTTCCAACACTGATAGTGGCATCGATGTGAGTCCGGGATACTACTAATTACTACTCCCATTGATGATGAGCATGTGGGTTCCAGCACATATTGGATGGTTGGATTCGCGCATGACGCCGCTCACTTCTTTAAGTTTCTCTTCATTCTTGTGTTATATACCCTGGCTATGACGCTCTTCGTAAGTCTCTCTACCAAGAGTTTTCAGCACATTAATTGCCGTTTATTCATGTCTTCCTCCAGAATTTCTTACTCGCCTGTCTTTTCCGGAATGGCGGGATAGCGATTCTTCTCAGTGCCCTTCTGGCCTTATACCAGATGACTTACGCAGGGTTCTTTGTGCACCTCAACAGCATTCCACCTGTGCTTCGATGGCTGCAATGGCTTTGTCCATTAAAGTATACCTTGGAAGCTCTCTCGGTGAACGAGGTCGGCTCTGGCCTCAAAATTCAGGACACGCTGGATGGTGTGCCTATTGATGTTTCAGCGAGCCTGATTATGGAGACTGTAAGCAATCTGTGTAAATTATTAGATGCCTTGGAGCTGATCCATTTCGTCACAGCTGTTCGGTTTTGGAGAGAAGAATTACTATCGCGATGTGTTGGTCTTGTTCGCGTTCATTGCCGGGTTCGGCTTGATGGTTATTGGTGCTGTTTGGATCAGATTCCGAGAAAGACGCTGATAGACTGTATATTACGGACTTCTGTTGTAGCTTTATACACCCCTATATCGATTATCGTATCTCTAACACATTTGCACGATCTTGAATCTGAGCAAGATGCGACGCTTCTGCGCTAGTCATGTGACCCTTTTCAGGGCTTGCGATTGGTTCCGAAAGGCCCTCATTGCGGCGCTGTTGCTTCAATATCGTCTTTCGCAGCTGCAAGTCTCAAGCGCTACCTTCCTGAGCATAAGGCATGAGCACCTCCCACTCCCCCTCCCCAGAACTTGAAGTTCCACTCCGAAAAAGCAAGAAGTCAAAAAACCAGGATGGGAAGTCCAAGTCAAAGAAACAAGTGACGTCTAAAGAGATCATCGAAGAGGACTCGAGCAGCGAGTCTGAGTTGAGCTACCAGCCTCCGGCGGGATCTGTGCTCCTGAAGCATGACATTGATGCTGGGGAGTTTGATTGGGATTCTATTAACGACAATGAGAACCTCGAGCTATGGGTCATTCGGGTGCCCGATGCTGTGAGTACACACTTCTTCCTACATTCTTTCGACCATCTACATATACACAGTGTAGCTCAAGCCTAAATACCTGCAAGACGTCAAAATAGGTACACCAGCGTCGCATTCAACAAGCAAACTGGGTACAATCGAACACAAGCATACCTCGTATGACATATGGTCTCTGGGTGAAGATCAGGAAGACAGTATAGGCGGTGCTGAGGTGAAGGGATTATCCTGTCTACTCCCCAGAAAGTCAAAGGGCGGCAGTCTCTTCCAAGGTGCGTTTAATTCAGCTTCCACCTCAGCAGACGTGGTCGCTTACTTCAGGTTTGCTTCAGCGCCGAAGTCGATAGCACGCCATATTGTTGTCACCACAAAAGCTGAGCTGCCTACTCCTGATCCATCCTCTGGGTCGGATGCTGCATCACCTGTCTACAAGAATCCTCCTCGATATCGCTACCCGCCCGAGGTGTTGAAGCATAGATTTATGCCCATGGGTTCCCTTGTGCGCACCATTGGTACGCCCGAATCGATGGACATCGACCAGGTCGAGGACATGCTAGATACCAAGCAGGACAAGGTATCTCCTGTCGCGAACGCGCAACCCGAGGTGGCAGAAGTAGTGAAGAAAAAGCGTAAGGGTGACGAGGAACGTGCCAAAAAGTCGAAAAAGACAAAGACGTAGTTCATTGTATGTCTCAGCTTTCAGTTCGTTCCCGGGACGCACAGGCAGACCATGCATTGCGAATAGGGTGCCAGCGAGGTACGGAAGTTCCAGAAACGACAGCAAGGAATAATATGAATAAATGTGGGAGCGTGAGGCAGATATGAAATTCTCGATCATCCAATTTCCATCAAATCATCCCCGGTAGCCTTCTGTTTCCCTTTACTCGTATTCGAGCTACTACTAGTCCGTGCGTCGGGAAAATCTGACGATATTGAGTTCACATGTTGCTTTGAGCTGGATGTCGATTCATGCGTGAGATCTTGCCGCACTTCGTCGTCGATCCCGTCAAATACACTAGTATTTGGCAGACCCCATATTCGCCCAGGGTTCTCCTGCTGCTTCTCCTCGAAGATAGCACCAATGTTGTCCACCCAATCCCGTCGCGTCTGCACTAGTTGCCTTAGCTGCTCTGGTACGTGGAGATGGTTCTCTTCGTCCGGACTAAGACCAAGTGCAGATGGACAAGGCGGTAAGGCAGAAAGACCTGTCGGCACACCATTCGGTGCGCCGCTAAAGTCTGTGCTTTTCTTTTTCTTCTTGTTCGCCTTGGGTCCGTCCTTCTTCTGCAGCTTGGTGTACATGCTCGTGATATTCTTGTCGAGCGACTCTCGGCAGTCGACATACTCCTGGTACCCGAGCCGATCGCGTGCGATGTCGGCGAGACGAGTGCGTCGAAGCTTGTTGGCAGCATAGACTGTCCGAAGCTCACGCTGGGCATGTCTGAGCGCCGTAGCGATAGGATCGTCCACAGCCTCCGAGTAGTCGGGCTAAGTACAATTATTTTTCGTGTCAGAACTAGCGGTTAATTTCCCATGGCAGTTGTTAAAACTCACAATCTCATCAAGCAGTCCATGAAAGCGGAGTACATTCCTGACACGCTCTTCAAGATCTGCGACATTGAGTTTATCTCGCGCCGCGGCAGCGGCAGCGCCGTTCGTCCCAGGACGACCCTCCATCGCTTCTTCGGCAGCCTTGACACCTCGCCATTCCGCATTATGCATAGGAATTAACGCGGTGACTAGCCGCTCGGTCAGGGGGCCGTGACCTCTCTCTTCAGTCAAGAGATCAGTCTCCATCAGCGTTGATGGCTCCCAGCGAGGTAACGGTCCTGTTGGATTCGGTGGATGCGTCCGCGCTCCTGCTCGCATTGTAGCGGTGACTGGCAGCGGGCCGCCATAGAGTGTGGTGTCCTCCTCTTCCCATAGTTCCGTGTAATGCCGCCCAAGCTTAGGCATCACGAACGGTTCTACGTCGTCTCCTGTGTACTCAAGGAAGCCGACATCTTCCTCCTTGACGGGTCGCAACCAGGGTTCGATGCTCGTATAGAATGTCGTAACCTGCACCTGGCCAGCCGGCGCCTTGCTCTTGCTAAAATCTTCCCGCACATCCGTCGACTTGCTAGGTCCAGGTATTGGCGGTGGTTGCACCTGTGGTCGCGACGGCAGCAGGGTTGTCTGTTGAGGCAAAGCAAAATCTTGTCCACCTGGCGCCTAATGTACGGATTAGTACGGTGGTTGGATCAATGACCTGCACGATGATTACCTTGGTAAACACAAGCGATGCGGACGGGTACTTGGCCGCTTTCGGTATCGACGGGAGAGGAAGTGATTGCTGATGAGTGTGTGCAAAAACAGGAGACGCCTTCCGGGCTTTCGTCGGATGCTCTGCAGATACCACTACGTCCATATCACGCAAGGTTGTCCGTGACGTCTTTACTCACCTTGTTCCCCATCACTGACATCTTCCCGTTTCCGTTTCTTCTTCTTCTTCTTCGTATCACTAGTTATACTGACCAGTGGTCAGCAAGCACCAAATCGCATGCTAAGACGCTGCTCACGACTTCCGGATTTCTATCACTGGAACTGGTGTCGGAGGTACCGGAGTAGCGGGAACAGATGGTAAATGAGGCCTATGTGGTGAAGGCTGTGGCTGTGCAGTATGCCTGGTATCATCTCCGTTCAGAGACGGCGTGACTAGATGATAGCAGGTGCGGTCAAGATTGAGTCACGGTAGATAGTCCGGTAAGCGGCGGCAATGACCACCAAAACGTCAGGGAGGCGGGCAGCATGTGCATTCGATGGCAGAATATGTGTGTGCGACGAAGGATCATTGAACAAAAGGACATGACCGTTCAGTCGCATGGACAGTGTCATTAAGTTAGAGGGCCGTAATGAAACCATAGGTATGTCCAACTTTAGCGGTGAATTGGGTTTATTACAAGTGTAATACGTACAGCCGCGTTCTCTCTTGACTTTCTCAGTTGCTTTCGCCTTTCCCTTCTCCTTCTCTTTAAGACGTCTCATGGACTCTTCAATTGTCTTGAGGTCCTCTCCAGCTTTTCTGGCTCTCTCCAGGGTCTTCTGTTTGACAACCTTAAGCTCCGCATGTAATGCCTCTAGTTCATCAGTTGGAGGGACAGTATCAGAGGGACTCTCGAAGAGAACAGAGCGGATTGGCTGTGGCGAGAGGTACGACGGTATGACCGACGACATGGTCTCGGAGCCAACAATAGAGCGTTCCTCAGAGTTACAAGTCAGTTCCCACACTGAGCGCGGGCTGGCTAAAGTCGACCCGTGCGGATGGTAAACCGCAATGGCGAGGAACCAGATGCAGTGAGCGAGCAGTGTCGCGAACGAGAGCAAGTAGTGGAAGCGCCGGTCGCGCCGGTCACGCGTCTCCGAGACTATTCACAGGTCCGTTTTCCCACGGCTGCTTTATTGACTTCAGTGCACGTGACCCTTCGGTTCTTGCCGATCTATTACCGCCAGTGTAGTATGCTCGAAGTTATAAAAAGATCAAGACTGATGGGCTCCCCCGCGCGTCTGCCTCTTGTCTACCCCAGATGCTGCCCTGACCTTCTTGCGCTTGCCCATCTACCCGCAAAATGCACAAAACACAGTCCCCGCCGACCTCCCCCCCTAAAGTATCTGATTCCATAGAACTAGCAGACTTTGAGGAGATTTCCGTGACGCCCGACGCCCACCATCGACATGTTTCCAGGCAGGACTCGGATTACGCGCCTGAGCAGGAGGACTCTGATGAGGAGGATCTGGAGGGGGAGCGAGCGTTGCTCGGCGCCGGCGTGAAACAACCTGCGCCTGCCCGTCGGCGCGGTGTCTGGGTGCAGGTGAAGAGTATAGTCATTGAGGTGCATGAGTCGCATGTAATAAGTTAGTCGAAGTCGACTGACAAGAAACACCCAGACAGTACCAACGCTACTTGTGACTACCATTGGGTTGTTATTTACGGGAGAGCTGTTGAACACAGTATCGGTACGGCAACACCTCATGTAAATTGCTACCCCACACTGAACGAAGCAGCATTGGAAAGCTATGTCTCGTGTTGACGAGCTCATCATGATAATCCCTGTGATTCTCAATCTCAAGGGTAACCTCGAAATGAACCTCTCTGCACGACTGGGTACCGCCGCCAACCTCGGCGACCTCGACAATGCCGACAGTCGCCGTCAACTCATCCTAGGCAATCTGACGCTGTTGCAAGTGCAGGCTGCCGTCGTTTCATTTGTTGCGGCTTGCGTCTCATTCTTGCTTGGTCGCTTCATGCCTCAAGGAAGCTCGGTTCCCACCCCTTCTGAGGGTACGAACTCCACGATACCGGGCAATAATACAACGTTGGAGCGCGAACTTGGATACCTATTCGCTCGGTCTCTTCTTGAGATGCGAAAACCACGACCCAGCACTCCGATAGGAGGTAACAAAATTTCTAAGCCCGCAGAGTGCGTTTCCTGTCGTAGCTCTGTCAATGCAACGTAAACGTTTTCCTAGGTTTATCATGGTAGCGTCCACTGCCATGTGCACTACCGCTTTATCCAGTGTTGTTCTGGGTTCCTTCATGTGCTTCCTCATCGTCATGTGTCGACGATTCGGCTTGGATCCCGGCAAGTGGCTTGGTTTGAAAGCATGCGCATAAACAAAGCTGATGACGCCCATGTGTAGACAACATAGCGCCTCCCGTTGCAGGCTGTCTCGGCGACCTTGTCACTCTTTCTATATTAGGGCTAGTAGCGACTTTGCACGTTAGCATCGTGAACACCATCATTCCCTTGATCCTAGTCATTCTCCTTAGCCTTGCTGCGATTGGCTGGGTCGTCGTCGCCCGTCGGAATACCTATGTCAAGGACCTCCTAATACAAGGATGGTCTCCCCTGTTTGCAGCAATGATCATCAGCAGCGGGACCGGCCTCGTACTGGACACTTTTGTGAGCAGGTACACGGGCTTCGCGCTCATCGCTGTTGTGATTACTGGTATGTATCCTCGCGCAACTGGCTGAGTTAATATAATCATCTAATCGAGAGTTTTTCGTCAGGCCTTCCGGGAAGCGTTGGCTCCATCTTCGTTTCGCGTCTGTCGACTGCCCTTCATAGTGCCGGCACATACCGTCTCCCGTCTCTTGTTGATCACGCACCGCACCCCAAACCTCGTCTAGTGTTGATGACTCTTCTCGTGGTCAGCCTGCCTATCCAAATTGTCTTTCTCTCCGTGGTATATATGTTTGGCTGGCTTCACCTCTCCATCGTGTTTGCCGCACTAGAGGTCATGTTTTTCTGCATTACAGTAAGCTTTCAAGACATTACATGGCATCACGCGTATTTATTTGCTAAACATACTCACCTCCAGGTCCTCATCTCTCTCTTCCTCGCCCAAAGTGCCACAAATATCCTATGGTCATACAATTTAGACCCGGACATGTACGCGATGCCATTACATTCTGCTCTCATGGACCTTGTGGGGCAGTCGCTACTGGTGGCATGCTATGAACTCGCTTCGCTATTAGGGTCGAAGGTGCGCAGTAGGCCCGCTACCTAGTTTACGTGGAGCCTATGCCGGAAAGTCATCGGACTCAATGCCACTCAGTGACTAACAATAGCCTAATTTATTATGTCTGTTGTAATGCATCGTACCTACTATGATAGAGCAGTTCAGAGCGATTCCCAGAAAAAGTCAATGTGCATTTGGTGTGAATGTCCAGAAACCCATGTGAGGAAGTTCCGGCGGCATGACCATTCGTCACAGGCGCGCAACGCCGGAACGCACTCTTTTCCACGTTCTCTGCTTACCCCGCACGCAAGTACTAGCTGTCCCTCTCAGAAGCATCCGGTGCGTCGCAGTAGTATCTAGCGACCAACAAGGACCAACAAGCAGAGCAGACGACATGATCAAAGGACTGGTCGCGTACGATGAAGATTCACAAAGCGACCACGAAGAGTCTGTACATCCACAGCGATATAAGGACAGTCTCAATGTGAGAGTCTTCACCGCTGTCTTTCCCAGCTTGTTTCCCTGTTGCTCGCTCCTCCCTGTCTCGGTTAGGGCAATGCGTCGGAAACCCGTTCTAACACAACCACGGAAGGTATGTGCTCCCCTCGAACTGAACACGCACCGGAACGCTCTTGATGGTACCAATCTACGGGTCAGCCGCCACACGTTCCCACCAGTCGAATAGAGCTCAAGTAATGATACGCCGCCCTGCGCACACTAAGCCGCGGCCGAGGGCTCGCATTGACGATGATGTCAAGAAAGTCGAGACAGCTGCTGAAGAACAGCCCGATGCTACCGGCCTTCCCAAGTCGACCTCACAAATCACTCTCAGCGACGATGTAGAACCGGAAGATGAGCTGATGCGCATACGCGCATTGCTGCATCCACCACCGATACCTGGAGTCGACGACTGGGGTATCCCACCTGAAGCGAGTGAACCCTGCGATCCGGCCCTGGAGGTACGAGCTTCTGTCGTGCGTCGTCGAGACTCCCACTCAGTCACTCTATATTGTCGATGCAAAGGCGAAACTGTCCGGATTCTTGGCCATGAAACGAGATCCCGGCGACCCCAAGCACTTCAACGATTCCTTAATGTCAAATCGTTCATTTCGGAACCCCCATCTTTATACCAAACTTGTCGAGTTTGTCGACGTCGACGAACGTGCCACGAACTTTCCTCAAGACGTTTGGGACCCGAATGATTTCCCCGATGACTGGTTTGCCGACCGCATTGGTACGTGTATGTTGTTGTTTCCCCTACGAACTGTCATTGATGCATTACCGCCTCTTCGATGCCCTCTGCCCTTGGATGGCTGGTCGTGTCCTGTTCTCAACACCGTATGCGTGGCTCGCGCGTCTCACATTTTGCCCAACACGGCGTTGTACGGACATACATCCTGGGCTGTACTGAACCTACTATCACCAAAGCCGAATACCAGAAGCTTCGCTTAGAGCAACAGTCCGCCGCACAGAACAGCGGCGCAAAACGCACACAAATCGACTTTACGACGCCTGCCTCGTCTTCCTCTCAGAGGAAACCGATCAACGACGCGTCGCGGGGTCAACGCAATGGTGGCGGTGCACCAGGGCGCAGTGGTGTTCTGGGAGGTGGATATGCGAGGGGAAGAGAACGGACCCGGTGGGGATGAACGATCTCGTGGCTCCATGTCGTGCGTGCTTTTTGTCGATGTCTTCAGAGACTTTCGCCGTCGTCATATTTTACTCGCCACCTAACGATATCATGGCTGCGGTCGCTCCCTGAGCTGGCGCCACAATTTCATTTTGTTAGCTCTAGGCAATGCCCCTATCGCGTCGAATCTTCTCGTTGTCATTCATCCCTGATGTTGGCGCCTCGCAGTCGGTTGGATTGACGACATGTCACAAACCGCTACGTTCAAGGTTCTGGACCCTGTTGCTCAAGCAAGCCACGGGCAGTAGCCACCCGAAAAGCATGGGGGCGTCGGGCCTGGAATCATTTGTAAATGCGTGTTTTCCTGACGAATGAAGACTTGCGCTCACGTTAGCCGGATGGATTCGCTCGCTTGTGACATCTCAAGCCATGTCTACGTCTGAGGGTGCATGAAACAATTTTGAAGCCCTTCTTGTTCTAAGATTTCCGGGAGCGTCGGCCTCAAAGTTAGTGACCACGACCTCTGGAATGGTCGCATCGGTCTCTGCCATAGTAATGTCGGCCTCTGTCATGGTAGCATCGGCCTCTAGATCAGCGGCTTCTGTTTCTGCAACTGTTGTGTCGGCATCCGGCTCCTGGACCTGCGTTCTTGCGCGCCCGCGTGCGCGACCTTTGCCTCTACCTCTACCCCTGGATGATCGTGCGGCAGGCGCAGGCGTGGTCTCTGGTTTTTCTCCATCTCCACCGCCTCCGGTATCATCATTAGTAGTCGCTGTGGCCTTCCCTCTTCCTCTTCCTCTTCCGCGCCTAGCAGAACCTCCCCTTGTCCGACGAGTCGCTGCCTTGGTTCGTGGGGGCGCAGGTACCGGTGCGTCTGCGTCGTTGTCCGCCTCCCCATCAAAGAACTCATTCCGGTGGATGGAGCGGTCTTCCCTGCTCTCTCCTGCAAAAGCCGTACTCTTTTCCTCTATTTTCTCCTCGCGTGTCCTCGATTCATCTTCGAGCCACCCGGCAAGATCTGGGGGAATCTCCTGCAAAGCGACACTAGGGGCGCCTTGAAGATATCGAAGCTTATTGCGGATACCGGTGGTAATGCGCTGAAGAGATGCCACAGTGTTCTGGTTCTCCACTTTTCCTGTGAGGGGTGGATGTAGTTTCCATTGCGACTCTCTGAAGAAGGAATCGTATATGGTGACAGGTAATTCGTCTGGGATAGCGGCGCCGACTAGGACAGAAGTCTCATACGTCCAGCAGCGGCTAACATTTTTAATGGTGTAGCCGCCGCCGCCAACGACTAGAAGCGGGACGCCGAATTTGCGAACAAAGTTGACACACTCCCCGTGCGCTGCGATGGACAGGTTGAACGCGCCTAGTCGATCGCAACCCAGAGAGTCTGCGCCACACTGCAGGACAATGGCCGTGGGTCTGAAAGCTGTGACGGTGTCTTCGATGACAGTCTTGAAGATTGTAAGGTACATATTGTCGTCAATCCCATCTTGCAGGGGGACGTTCAGGCAGAAGTGCTTGCCGAGACCAGCACCGTTGTCGTCCAGCTTCCCTGTACCCGGGAAAAAGTCGCCAGTGTATTTGTGAAAGGAGACAGTCATGACGCGGTTCGTGTGATAGAAAGCGAATTCCACCCCGTCGCCATGATGGATGTCAATGTCAATATATAGGACTCGAGGATGATATCTGGGAAATAAGATGTTATCAAGCGATGTACAAGGATACACATCCTACATACCTCAAAAGCTCTAAGATAGCAAGGACAATATCGTTCACGTAGCAGAATCCACTTGCCTCGCCTTTCTTTGCGTGATGTAGCCCACCGGACCAATTGATGGCGATGTCAGTTGTCCCGGCGCAAAGCTTTCTGGCCGCTGCAAGGGAGGCGCCAGCGTACATACGACAGAAGTCATACATATCCGCAAAGATCGGGCAATCCTCCACGCAGTTGAAAGTATCGATGAGGTGCTTCATGTCAGCTTGGTTCTGCGGAGTGACTCTGCGGCGCAGTCGGTATTATAACATTGCAGGTTTATTCAGGAATCTCACCTAGACAGGAATTCGATATAATCGTGGTCATGGTATACTTCGAGTTCGGCTTGGGTTGCTGAACGAGGGTTATATATGTTATGGATTTGCTTGTCAAGACCATAGCCCGTAACGAGCGTGTTCGTGAGCGTCAATCTATGGGGCTTCATGGGATGTCGTTCCTGTGTATGCTTTGAGTACTAAGATCAGTCAGGACTTTGATTTGCTACGTACACCATAGTGCTGTTCGCCAACCCCCTTCGGGAAGTAGTATGAAACAATGGGTCGCGAATGAGGCTGCTGCACCGTCAGCGGCGTAGATGCACTGAATTTAGACGATATGTACGTACATTCACACGCTCCGTGATCGGTTGGGCATAACCGTGAGGGCCTCTGTCATCGAAATAGGGCGACGAAGAGAAGGTGTACGCCTGGGAGGATCGAACCATTCCTCACGCTCTCCTCGAGTTGGATACCGCCACAAGTTACAGAGAAGGAACTGTAGCTCAATATATGCTTTCGAGCCTGTGGCACACTGCCTGTCTTGCCTTGAGTGCAACTTTATGAGTGCGCGAGGAGGGGGAAACTCAACGCTGCGTGAAATATATGACGGTGTGATTAAGGTTGAAAACTTCGTATGGCCAGGTGTCAACTAGTACTTACAGATGATATTTGCCTCCTGTAAGTAACAGTTCTCCTACAGGGCCTCTTACTTACCTGTTTCTCGGTTGTTGGTGGTGGCAGTCGGTTGTGGCCGCGGTTGTCCACTCCAGTGCCATTTTAGACCATCCGCCACCGCTGACTAATCTGTCCGATTTGGGATATTAATGGTTGTGCGTACTGGACGGTCTGCCACCAACTGCTACATGCGCCTCGCCCTCGTCTGATAGAATTCTTGAAGCTTTGCAACGCGACTCATGCTCTCGAGGTATAACGTGCTGTTGATCTTGACGGCGGTCTCCTTAGTGCACGCGTCTTCAGGAGATAGAGCTTGGGAATACCAAAGATGTGTCTCGCAATGCTCTTCAGCTGTCTGCGCCGACCCCAACTGGGCCACTTCCCTCCCATTGTCGATGCGGATCACTCGTTGGACATGCACGGATGACTGCAAATACGGCTGCATGCACTCGATCACTGATCACGCTATTGCGCATTCGCTCCCGGTGCAGCAATACCACGGGAAATGGCCATTCTGGCGTTTCGCTGGCATGCAAGAACCAGCCTCAGTGGCATTCTCCCTTCTCAACTTGCTGGTGCACGCCAGAGGAGCATTGCATGTACAAAGGTCGATCGCCGAAGGACATCCCATGAAAGGCTACTATTTGAAGTTCGCATTGGTTAGCATGAATGCTTGGGTATGGTCCTCTGTCTTTCATACGCGCGGTCGGTAGTTTGTTCACTCGACTGTAGCTCAGCCTATTCACTGTATGTCGCTAGATTTACCTATCACCGAGAAATTTGACTATTTCTTCGCTGCCCTAGCCATCCTCTACGCCGTGTATTACACCGTCATCCGTCTGTTTCACCTCTATTCGTCCGAGACTCACCGTCCATCCAAAACCAAAGCAAGCTGTACGAACTCTCGCCCTCATGCGTTGTGGGCCCTTACATGCATTGTGATGTACTTGGGCCATGTCTCTTACCTCTCGCTCCTCCCTCGATTCGACTACACCTACAATATGGCTTTCAACCTCGGAGTCGGCATGGCTCATAACCTACTTTGGCTGGCGTACTCCCTACCATCCGCCGTGCCTCTGCTGCGACGCTTTCCGTTCCGCCCGCACATGTATCGACCCACATATGCGTCGAGAGCTGCTTTCTTTGTCTTGACCACCATCTTCGCAACGTCTCTCGAACTCTTCGACTTCCCTCCGTGGCACAGAGTCATAGATGCTCATTCGCTGTGGCATCTGTCCACTGTTCCGATTGCCGCGTTCTGGTACGATTTCCTTGTACTGGATTCTCAAGACGATGGTTGGAAACCGTCAAGATCGTGAAGGTGACTATGTATACCGCACATGCAGTGTGTTGTGCTGATGTACGGCGTTATAGACACATGTAAGCTTGGTCCACAGCCACTTCCGTCTTTGTGGACCTTGCCATCTCTGACCTGGCGTACTCCCGAAATGCTATGTTCCGTCGATTCTGAGTGCTTTCACGCACGGCGATATCTGGATATGCTGAAGTTGCGATGATAAATGGACAATGGTACATCTAGGCTTGTACACTTCTGTTTTCATCAATATGACCCGACCCCGTTCACCCCAACACCCTCCGCCCAATCCCCAAAGAGCAGGCTGATACTTTCCCCATTATGCGTTCTACGAATACTCTCGGCAATGGTAGGACTGACGTCTATCGTGACTAGCTTGGAGCATGCTGCCTTGTGCGAGTGCTGAGGGATCGTATTCGTCACCTGGAGGTAAGTCAGTGGAGGCCGACTGATGATTTCCCTTGAACATACCACCAGTTGTTCTAGTGGGAGCTCCTCGATCATGCTCATCTTGGTCTCAGAAAGAAGGCCTTCAGCAACACAGAGTATGAGGTTTATATATGCGAACGTATCCTGGACACAGGCTTACCATGAGAAATCAAAGCATACACCTTCGAGGCGCCATTAGCCTTCAACAATGGGACAGCTAAACCGAGAGTTGATCCCGTATCGATCATGTCATCTATGAGAATGGCGACCTGGCAAGTATTCAACAGCCGAAACAGGTTGACCAAATAACAGAGCTTACCTTGTCCCGGACGTCTCCAACGAGAACCTCCATTTTCTCGGAGGGGCTATCGGGTTTTCGGGTGCGCTCTCTGTGAATTAGAGCGAATTCGACACCCAGCTTGTCTGCAATTGCAGTAACTCTGAACCCGCCTTCAGAAACAAATCAGTGACGAGAACGTGCAGACATACCGTTTAGCCCCTCCTGCGTCCGGACTGACAATTATACTGTTTTTCCACCCCTCGATGTGTCTCTTAATGTAAGAGATCATGAGTGGCTCTGAGTAGAGGTTGTCCACCGGGAAGTCGAAGAAACCCTGAATCTGGCTCGCGTGGAGATCCATGGTAATGACATGGTCACAGCCGGCAACGGCGAGCATGTTTGCCACCAACTTTGCAGTGATGGGGGCTCGTGACTTGTCCTTCTTGTCCATCCGCGCATACGGAAAGCAGGGGATGACAGCGGTGATGCGCCTCGCCGAGGCTCCTCGGCAGGCAGAGATGAGGATGAGGAGCTCCATGAGGTTGTCGTTCACATCGCTACATCCTGACTGGATGATGAAGACGTCCTCGTCCCGAACGGATTCGGCGATCTTGACGTTGATCTCGCCGTTCGAGAATTTCTTCACCGTGCAGGGAGTCAAGGGGATGTTCAGCCTGCAGGAGGGCACTTTGAGTGAATCACCGGTGCACAGACTGCATTCGCGCCAGTCGACGCTGCAGCTCACCGCTCGACCACGGCCTGGGCGAGCTCGGGGTGGCTGTTCCCTGAGGGTACGCGGGTTAGCGATGCTACAACTTCGAGGCCGGAGGGGACGCACCCGTCAAAATTCTAACGGAGTTTCCGTGAAGCATGTCCGTCCAAGATTATTACAGCATTCAATGCGAGGGGTGATAAAGTAGAAAGCGGGGAGGGGGAAAATAGTGTGTGGATTGCAAGTGGAGTTCTTCAACCTCCACAACCATAAAACCTGTGATTTATTTGCGCATCCGTATATGGCACTACCCACGTGCGTGACGATCATGGCGTGAAACGATCGCAGCACTTCCCGGCAGGCCCTTGCAGTGCCAGCCGGTGTCTCATCCGTATCGGGAATCAAATTTGGTGACGAAAGATATCCATGCGTGGGTCATTCATGAAAACATACTACAACGTCCATCACAACCACACCCTGAGAGGATGACTACAGTTCCGACAAACACTCAGGCTGACAACTACGACCGTGCATCACGGAGGAACACGAATCGTGATATTTTCTACCACATATTCGGAATCCGCATATTCAAGCAGTTGCGGGATGTAGGAACTGTTTCAATGAGTTGATCAACGAACTGCTCTGCAGTGTAAGATGAGACTATGTACCTTTTGAGGCCTTTGACCTTCTCGATCTGCGCAGAATTGTAGTTCGCAAGGCCTCGTCCGACTTCGTCTACTTCCCATTCATCCGTCTCTTCGCGCGGATGCTCAACCAGAGGCTCATCTTCCGGTAATAGCTTGAGGGTTGCTGAAGGCGTCATGTCTTCGTCAACGGTCTTCAGTGAATGACCGGCAACATCGAGACCAGGATCCAAGGTGGATATGGACGACGTAACAGAAGCGCTCGCGAATAATATTGGTGTGTTGGGTTCAGAAGTACCTGGTGCATCGATGTGATCTCTCTCGCTGAAGGTTGGTTCTTCAGAGTTCGCATTCAAAGGGCGTCGTCGTACGAGAATACGAACTGCCTGTCCCGATGCAAATGCTCCTCGGATGCCAAGGACACCTGCGGGCAGTAATCGACCACCCGACTCGCGGCGAGCCAACACGCGGTGTGCGCCGCTGTCAATGATGACACTCCCGGACGGATGCAACGTGTGACTTGTCCAGGACTTGAGATCGCGCAGTGGCATTGGCGAAGGTTTGAACAAAGTATGCAGTGGTCTCGGGACGTCATTTGGGGGCGGTTTCGCGGAAACTTCTGGAACCTGATTGATAGCAACGTGAGATGAAGAGGGACTTGAGCGGCCAGAATATGGCTCTGCGGGCGTCGAAGTCCCAGATTTTAGCGCGTTGTTGTATTCTATGATCTTGAAGATATTCTTGGGATCTTTACTGGAGGTAATGACAGTCGTGACACCTGCCGCTGTGGCAATCTCTGCCGCGATAAGTTTTGTCTCCATACCGCCGGTGCCAAGGCTGGAGCCAAGAGTGGTTGTGCTGACTGCCCCTCGTTTCAAAATGTGGTTTAGCGGTGATCAACAGCACACTTACCTTGTGAGCGTATTGTGGATATGGACGAAACAACATCTATGGACCTCGCTGTCGGGTCTTTTCGTGGGTTGGCGGTATATAATGCATCCACGTCGGTCAGTAGGAATAGATAATCTGCGTGTATCATCGAAGCCGTGATTGCAGACAGAGTATCGTTGTCGCCGAATTTGATTTCCTACTCAATGAATATAATGATTATGTGGCTCTATATGAACCTGCGACCTAGCAGACTTACGCTGACGGACACTGTATCGTTTTCGTTCACAATAGGAATAACTCCCATAGATATGAGTTCCTTGAACGTATTCACGGCATTCAAGTAACGAGTCCGCTAGGATTGCAAGTCTAGTCTCAGATTGTATGCGCGAAGGTCAGCATGCGAGGTGGACTTACGTCTGAGATATCGCCTCTTGTCAGTAACACTTGAGCAATTGGCTGCTCTAACTGACTGAATAGATTGTCCCATAATGCTATCAATCTCCCTTGACCTATTGCGGCTAATGCCTATGAGTACGACGTTAGTACAACTCGAAGGCTGTGAACGCGGTCCATAGGACACTTTGAGATGCAGAAGCATTAGAAGCCCTCTCACCTGCTTGCCTGACAGGTTCTTTGGACGATGGGCCATATCCATCCTCTTCAACCCGACTCCGATAGCACCTGAGCTGACCAGCACCACCTTGTGGCCTTGCGCACGAAGGTGAACAACCGTCTCAACGACGGCCGAGAGCGTTGACAGCAGTGGCTGGTGGGTAGTCTCATGGACAATTGAGGATGTTCCTGCAGTGCCCCAAAGGCATTCAGAAATCTTATGCTTGGTGGTGTAGCGAGAGAGGCGGACCCAATTTGATCACAATTGTATTCGATGGGCCCTGGCGTGAGCGAGCCATTTCCTTTGGAAGAGTACCGTACAAGCAGTCGACGACCGTAGATGTGAATGCAGTTTTAACGAGCGTATAGGCTGTGAAGCGCAATCGTTTTTATGTTCGAGGGGTGGACAAGCTGTGAGGGCGTCAACATGATGACTCGAGTTCATGATGCGCGCGAGTCGATTGGCACATCCAGTCCCGGGCGTGATGCAGGATATTCATCATTTGCAGAATTGGTACAGGTGCAGGGTATCCTCGTCCATCACAATCGTTTGCTCGGGCGACTGACTATGTGCTCAACGACGCAACAAGTCGTTCATGACGATCGACTCGGAAGACCCGCGGTGATACAAGGTCGCGAAGAACACCATATCAGTCGGCATAAGAGGGCACACAGCTACTCTAAAAACGCTAAGGCATAATGAGAGGACTTCCAGTAGCACGCTCGGAAGGAATGCACGGGGAACTGCCGAGTCACTTCCTAGTCACTAGGAGCCTTGGCAGCTTCCTTTTCACCCTTCAAGATACGCTCAATACTTGTTCCTATCTTGCGCCTGTCTTCAAGAGACAGAGTCGGCGCGACGGAAGAATAACCCAGCTCTGTAAAGACAACAATCATGTAACACATAGTTAGTCACGAACACAACGCGAGCGGATTTTACGAGACGCACTCAGACTGGGGTATTGTAACGGGACCTCGTCAGCTTTCACCGGAAGAGTGGATAAGTCCAGCGGGAAGGCAGGTCCTATCCAAGCGTTTCGTATCTCATGATCTCTAGAGTGGGATGAGGTGTTCATGAGAGGGCACAAGATTCCAAGGATCTGAAGACGCACTTTCTCTGCAAAGGGGATGATCAGTTCTTGTTGGAGAATAAAAGCCCAGAGCTACTGACCTCTTCACGTGTGAGAGGATGTACGAGAATGCTTCACGTATTGGATGTGAGCATGTGAGCGTTCAGCATTACTTAAGACATGCCTGAGATCCCCTCTGTTCATACACAAATAGGAGAACACGGAAGCGAAAGACTCAGAGGGGCACCAAATCTCATATGAACCTACATCGGCCATGGTCACTGAATGGATTGTGATTTAAATTACTGCAGAGACATACCAACAGGATGCGGACCGATGGGGTCTGTATTCACGCGGAAGAGAGGAACTGCGACGAACGCTCCGTCCCGTCTGAGACGTAGAACAGCGTCACGTAACTCAAGCGCAGCATGGTGTTCATCCGCGTTGCGCTGATGGAAGTAGATATCTGCATTTTCGTGAGTCAAGCTGACGAAAGATGAACTTAGCTGGAAAGCAACCCACGGAAATGCCACTCTCTGCGTGTTGACCGTAGTGAAATAGCTCGAACGCTGAGCCCTGGTCGGCCAAACGACTCACTTGATTTCCGATTCTACTACTTCCTTCAAGTCCGTTGGAGGGCTCATTCCGTTATGGGGGCACCGGACAGACTATAATAGGTCGTTCGCCGATATGACAGAAGTCAAGGAGGATAGCGCAGCCACTTGGGCTAGAGAAGGCAACCCTTGTTTGCTCAGAACTCAGACTGCGATCTGAGCGCGTCTGCCACTTGCCGGTGGCATCCCAGTGCTATACCTGTATCTTGTTTCGAAGGAACATATAGATTGAGGGCACCAAATCTAGCGAGACTACATCTCAAATGTCGGACGACTCGGATGCAGGTTTCCCAAGCGATTCCTATGATTCTGACGGTACAGGATTTGAGGTAAGGATTGTACAATTTCCGCTCTGATCCATTACTCATACTGCGATCCTAGGATGACGATTCTGACTTCGGGGTACCTATGACGAAGGATAAAGGAAAGGAGAAGACACCAAGTATAGAATATGAGAGCCTTACGTCTACACGGCTCCAGGAGCTCGTCGACGAAGATATCCGCAATGTGGCGAGTGTGCTTGGCCTAGAGGTCCGCACAACTACTTCCTGACTATCTCTGCGCTCACCTGTCGTGTGTCTTCAAGTCACCTATCGGATCCATATTGCTTCGTTATTTTAGGTGGAACAAGGATTTACTCCTCGAGAGGTTCATGGATGACCCCACTACCGTCCTCCGCAATGTGGGCGAGCCTGAGCACATCACTAGCGAATCTTCTGGAGAACCGAATGGTCGTCCGAACAAGCGTGCACGCTTCGACACCCCATCCGACTTCGTCTGCGCCATTTGTTGCGATGACCAGCCCGAGAGCATATTCAAACTCAGATGCGCACATGCTTTCTGCGAACCCTGTTGGCAGATCTACATTACCTCGAAGATTAAAGATGAAGGACAATGTCTATTCAATTGTATGCAGGACGAATGCAAGACGATCGTCGACGACCCATCGGTCCAGAAATTGGTAGACACATCTGCTTACGATCGGTTTGTCCGTCTCCTGCTCGTCATTGTCACTTTTTCTCACGAGCCATTTGCCTCCAGGTATCGAGAGCTCGTCACACAGTCTTATGTTTCCGCACATCCAGAGATGCGGTTCTGTCCTCATCCGTCATGCAATGAAACCGTGTCGTGTCCTAGTGGCAAAGGTTCTGTCCTTCTCACGGAAGTGCCCACAGTCAGGTGTGGACATGGTCACGTATTCTGCTTCGGTTGTGGTTTGGACTCGAACCATCGCCCGCTCATCTGCAAACTGACCACCGTCTGGCTCAAGAGCGCTCGAGAGGACGCGGGGACTGCTCAGTGGATCAAGGCGAACACGCGGTCATGCCCGAAGTGCGAGAACAGCATCGAGAAAGCGGGGGGATGCAAGTGCGTGGTTAGGGAACCTCTCTGTACTTGCCACTGACTCGATGAAAGTCGCATTTTGTGTCGCCATTGCAACTTCCAGTTTTGTTGGCTCTGCAGAAAGAACTGGGATATCCATGGTTACAATAACGAGATTTGCAACACATGGAAAGAGCCCGAGCCTGATGAAATTAAGACCGAGGCAAAGCAAAACCTGGAGAAATGGCTCTTTTACTTCGACCGATTCAATAACCACGAATTGTCGGCGCGGCTTGATCAAGAGTTGTGCGAACGTACGGAAGAGAAAATGGTAAACGTACAAGAGAACAGTAACCTATCGTGGATCGAGGTACGTCATGAATATGAATTCACTTTCTTGGTCGCAGGCTCATTCAATCAATGAAATGATGTGGTAGGCGAAATTCGTGCAAAATGCAGTGGATGAGCTCACAGCATGTCGACTAACTCTGAAGTGGTCGTACGCTATGGCCTACTTTCTCGCCGCTGGCAATCAGAAGGAGATGTTCGAGGATATCCAGGCGTCAGTGCGACAACATTCCTACGCTATCACATAGTACTGACTTCAACGCCAGTGACCTTGAGAAGGCAGTAGAAGCCCTTTCGCAGCTCCTGGAAGAGTCCATCGAAGAAAGCACTATCAAGACCTTGCGACAGCGGATGATGGACAAGACGGTAAGCCTCATAATCGCGAGGCCGTCATTTGGCTGACTTCCTCCTGTTCAAGGTCTACGTTCAGGGTAGACATGAGATTCTGTTGCGGGACACGGCAGAAGGTCTCGCGGAAGGTCGCTGGGAGTGGAATGTCCTTCTAGAATGATTTGATACAGTCTGCCTTCTGAGTTCGCAGCGCCATGATCTATTGTGTAGCTGTTCATTGGCGGGTCCTAACATGACAGGCTGATACGGTATGGCAGTGAGTAGGGAGATGTTATTGCGAGAAACACATCATGAGTAAAAGCGCTTCGCGAGTGCTCTGAAATGAATTATGGTCAGATCTTGAACCCGTAGCCTCGCATGCAGGCGATATGTCTCTGTACGAGTTCCCGGCACTTCTCGTCCGCCTCAGATGAGTCGTACTTTAAAAAGCAGTCATCCCGAACAGATTTAGTTTCAGGGCATGCGCAACATCTGCAGCGAGTAAGGGATATGGTCAGTGTGAGCTTCGAGTATTACAGTGCGGGGTACTCACGGTTTCAGCCCTTGGGGGTTCAACGGATTCTGTTTAGGATCAGTGGGGTCAAAGGTGGTGGGTGCCACAGGTGCCGATCCCCACCAAGACGCCAACTGCAAAGCATCATAAGCGCAGAGCGAAGACTGTAGCGATAACACGCACAAAGTTTAACATTGTTGCTGGATGGTAGTTGGTCGCAAACCCAGTGTGCTGCACCGAGTCGGAACGGCCAGGGATTGGTCAAGGCTCGGGGATTACTCAGCAAACCCAAGCGCCCCGTGCTACCGACCAACACTGAATCCAGGGTTAGGGGCAAATCTACCACCTGTCTTACAACTCATTGGCCAAAGGCTGCCGAATTCGCTGACAAACATCGGAGAATACTCTACTACGAGCGAGGTTGCGATTCAGCGAGTATTTATTTATGTCTTTGAGTATGCAGGTACGTAGCACATAACGAGCGACAGAACAAGGATCATAGACAATACATGTACCAGCAGTGAACCAGTGCTGCACTCGCGGACCCTGCCTTCATAGTTATCATATGCCTGGCGTCATGTTAGCAGATAACATTCAAACTGGGATGAAGACAAGATTTCGCGGCGAAAGATTTGCGATGGGTTTCGACGCCAAAATAGTTGGTGTGTGCGTGAGTGGTATTGTGGAATGTACGGCCTTTGACGCATATTGCAATGCATCGTGCAGCTTCATGCTAAACCCCATGCAACAGAGGCTGTAGCAAGGAACACTCCATTCACCGATGTCGTAATGTCGTCGGACGTCGAGTCCCGTGCAAGTAGTAGGCAGCTGCGCTTGTTCAAGGATTTGAGCCTTGACGCGGAGGCAATGCTGGTCTTTCGTCTGTATGGGGTTAGTATCTTCGAACCTATGGTAGTCTGTATCTCGCCGCACCTCGTCATCAAGTATCATCCATTCGGACAGCTTCATCTCGTATCCGACTAGCGGTGCGGTCACGTACGTGCCTAGGTACTTCCACTAGAGTTACGCGTCAAAAGTATTGCAAGCAGGATAGGCTGCGGGATTACCTCATGCGGATCGCCCTCTACCACAAGCTCAAACGCTACATCGGGCGCAAATGTCCAAGGAGGATAGAACCAGTAACCTGATTGAGCGATCGACGAGACCCGTAGAGGCAAACACGATGGTGGACGCGGCAAGAAACAAAGCCTGTGAGTGAACGTGAGCCTAGAGCCAGTTGGCTGTGCAGCTTAGTGGAGGCGTACCGCCGGCCGCTTAGTAGGTGCTGGGCACAATGACTTCAAACAAGATATTCATGACAAACAAGACGTACTTACGTCTGGGAGGACGTCGTAAATGAGACGCGGGTTCTTAGAAATTAATAGAGGTGAATCGAAGTCATTCGCAACGAACGAATCAGTCTTGAATAATTCTAATATTTTGTCTCTCCGCCATTTGTGCGCTTCCGCCGCCAATACAGTCGCTTGGACAGCAAAAGTGTTCATCTGCGGTCGTGGTATATCAAGTGCACACCCGCGCAATGAAGAAAAGCTACTAAACTTACCTTCGCCACCAGGACAGTAAGCTCATCTTGGCTTTTCTTTAAACGCATTTGGAGTTCGTTCTTATCCTTCTCAAGTTGTGCATAACACTCTCCAGGTATTGTATCTCCCTTGCATGTCAGTAGGCGGTGCAGTTCTACGTCTGCTGCTTGGCGCCGCTCTGCTTCCTCTCGAACGAAGCTCATGAGGGCGCGCAGTTCCTCAGATACAGAACTATGTTGAACTCCCAAGCCATACTGGTATGAGTTGTAGGCCTTGCTATCCACGACCTGTGCGTGTTGGTTATCATGAGACAAGAACACTTTGACGGAAACTGCCGTCGAAACACACCTTCAGTCGATCCAGCTGTTGTACAACTTCCTGATATTGATTTCTCCAGTACTCAGCATATTCAATATTACAAGTCAAGTACGAAGCGGCCGAGCCAGACTTAGGATCCATTGAAACACCTTGTATTAGTACGACGCCTAGAACCAATAGCGCCTGTGATGACGGTTGAAGCCAAGAGGGCCGAACGATGAAGAGGCTGCTGCCATCTTAAAGTACCCACCCTATTAATAGCGCGTGTCTTACGTAACCCATCACCCGATCGCTGCGGTCTACGTGGTCATGTCTATGCAGCTGCGCAGGTGTAAGTCCTTAGTTTACTGTGACCCAGTCAGTCGCGTAGTGGTCCCCTTGTCTGGCTGTCATGCTTTCGTTATGGCCCTTGCTTGCCGCGCTCGTATCTCTCTCCATTAGCTCATACGCAAAGTCAAGCACAGGCGACTCGGTGCTTGTTGTGCTCGACCCGAGCCTACAGAGAGACAACTTCTCCATATTCTTTAAAGGGTTGGAAGGTTGGCGCGTTCACACACATACTTGCTATTGCTCAAAAATTTCTAGCAAATGGCTACGATCTCACATTCCGCGCACCAAAGGATGTGCAGCCTGCTGTCATACAGGACGATCACGCTGAATTCTCGCATGTCATCCTCTTCGCGCCGGAGGCCAAGAGTCCGTGTTAATGCATTTATGTGTCCTTGGCCCTGACTTGACTTTGCCTTGAATCAGGTTATTCACAAGACATTACACCCCAGAGTCTCGTAACGCTCCTCGAGAAAGGCACAAACCTCTTGGTAGCCCTATCGACAAAACAAACACCCTTAACATCACTTGCTGCCGAGTTTTCTCTCATTCTCCCTCCAGCGGGAACACCACTCGTTTCACACTTCCCCGAGAGAGATACCCCCTCGACTGTGGTGCCCGTCAACGTTTCTGTCAACCCTGTTGTCCCATCGTCACTGCCTCCGGTCTGGTTCTCTGGTACTCCATTTGCGTTTGGCAACAACCCACTACTGGTGCCTATTCTGAATGCTTCACCTGAAAGCTTTGCAGCCGACTCTGACCGCGACTCGGGAGCAGACGCTGTGTACGATGCTGCGGAGAAGGGCGGAGAAGGGTTCTGGGCAGGCAGCTCTCTCGGGCTGGTCGCGGGATTCCAGACGCTTGGTGGTGCTCGTGCAACGTGGGTGGGCGGGATAGAACTGTTCAGTGATGAGTATGCCGAAAAGACTATTGGGTGAGCGTCATCCTCCATGGACTGCCGCTCGAACAACTTACACAAGATTCTCTCAGGGGTATCAAGTCTGGTAACGAGCCATTCGCCGCGGACGTAGCATCCTGGACCTTCCAAGAATCCAACGTTCTGAGAATTGAAAGCGTGGCTCACCACCGTGTCAATGAGACCCTTCCGCGGGAGACGTACACCATCAACGACCACGTTGTAAGCGAGTTTGCACGTTGGACTTCCTTCCTGCCGTCTGATCTGCTCCAATATGTAGACGTTCTCGGCGCAAGTGTCAAAATACAATCCAGAAACGTCAGCATGGGAGCCGTATTCTGGCATCAGTGATCTGCAACTCGAGTTCACTATGCTTGACCCTCACATCCGCACTTCGTTGATACCGGTCCCCGGTGAACCTGGCAAGTATTCAGTGACGTTCCGCGTCCCTGATAGGCATGGTGTTTTCAAGTTTGTGCTGGACTATAAGCGCAAAGGGTATGTTTTCCCCAAGTCAAACCTCTCACACACACTGATGTGACCTTGGTTTAGCTGGAACTTCTTGGAAAGCACAACCGTTGTGCCAGTTGTGCCCCCTCGGCATGACGAATACCCTCGATTCCTTAGCCCTGCTTGGCCCTATTACGCGGGGGCCATCAGTACTAGCATCGGCTTCCTAGTTTTCTCCGCTCTATGGTTGACCGGCGATAACCAAGAGCAGAAGAAGTCAAAGAGTGCAAAATCGGAGTAACTGTACACGCTTGGTCATTGTCATCGTGTAACTCCACGTAATATAGCCGGTCCACTAGCCCAGTTGTTATTATTATTGCCAATGGTAATTTGCTATGCGACTTATGGTATTCTTCATAGCAGGTGAAACATAACCGAAGCGGCCTTCTCGTGCTCGTCGGACTCTTGAGATCAGTCGCATAATATACGTAACAACCTCCTCTGCGAGACGATTGGATAGGAACTATGTGTCGGATCCTACGCATCGGACTCCGTGGGGTGCTTCGACCCGACGACCACGAACTAATGCACTTTGAATACCTGACGAAAGTGAGATGACAGTGTGCGATCGATCTCCAGATTTGAAAGTTTAACCTCCGCGCAAAACTCCGCAAATTTCCGGACAGCGTCATCTCGTGCCCTTCCTCAACGGCCGACGATACTGCAGCGGTCCCCGCATCGTCCTCCATTCTTGCGCCATGGCCGGCTCAGACGAACTCGCGTACCTTAAGTCCCTCGTCTCGCAGCTCAATGCGAAGATTGAGGCGCTGGAGACCAAGGCCAAGGACGCGGTCTCGAAAACGCCAGCTCAACAGCTGCGTACCATTCTCATGGGCCCGCCTGGTGCAGGTGCGTGTTCTCGACGCGTCCATTGTCGGAGGCGGCAATCTGAGTGGATGCGCGCCTTGTAATAGGAAAGGGAACACAGGCTCCCCGCATACGGGACGAGTTCTGTGTCTGCCACCTTGCTACCGGGGACATGCTGCGCGAACAGGTCACGAAGAAGACCAAGCTCGGGGTCGAGGCCAAGAAGATCATGGATGCCGGTGGTCTTGTCAGCGATGACATTATGGTCGGCATGATCAGAGACCAGCTAGAGAACAACAAGGCATGTAAGAATGGGTACGTAGAACAATCATCATGTGTTGCGCATTTTCGTCAGTCCGTGTGAAGTGAGGCATATATATATACCCTCACTCAACCTGCTGCGCAAGCAGACAGAGCAGTTATCCTCATGTCAATTATATTGTTGGGTCGGGTCGCTGATCCTGGCCATATGCCCTAGTTTTGTCCTGGACGGCTTCCCTCGGACAGTCCCTCAAGCGGAGAAACTGGACTCGATGCTGCAAGAGCGCAAAGAGAAACTAGACTCAGTCGTGGAACTCGTGATCGAAGACCAGCTCTTAATCTCTCGAATCACTGGTCGACTGATCCACCCTGCTAGCGGCCGAACCTACCATAAGGAATTCAAGTGAGTCGCGACATGAGAGTAAGGAGAATGTCCATCATATCTGACCTTTGTTTACCAAGCCCCCCGAAGAAGCCTATGGCGGACGACGTCACCGGCGAGCCCCTCATACAACGTTCCGATGACAATGTGGAGGCCCTTCGCAAGCGGTTAACTGTCTTCCACGCCCAGACTGGTCCAGTCGTCGAGTATTATAAGAGGAAAGGGCTGTGGTCCCCCATTGACGCAGCGCAGTCGCCCAGCCTTGTGTGGGACAACTTACGCAAAGTCTTCACTAAGCAGTAGTAGTGCGATACCGATCTAGATCAATAGATTGCTTGCTGTATACTTTGTCTCCGCCTCTGCCGCTGAACGAGTTGCACTTACAGTGAAGGTAATTCAACAAATGCTACCACCCCCGACTTGCAGTGCAGTACATTCTACAGCACGGCTGCAAGAAACTCAGCTGAAATATTATACGTTCTGGCTATTGATACAATGACAGATACACCAACACCCACACGTAACCCTACGATTGTCCTGTATGACGATTAGAGAAAGACAGAAAGGAATGGGTTCTGTTCTAGACTTGATACATGAGTGTCTGGAAAGCATATTGTGAGATTATGACGCGCACGCACTAAGCTGAAAAGACAAAACACACCTGCTATCGGACAATAAAATGCGAGGCGCTTGAAGGATGCGATAAGAATGCGTAATTCATCGCATATAGCAATGAGATCGCATTGTTCGGGCGGTAACTGGTCGGCCGTCATTATGCGCAAGTAGACATCAGCGACATAGCGCCAACATGTCTAACGGGAAAGGTCAGCGCGGATTTGCACAAGCTATCTGAAAGTACCAACGCTAGTGATAGGATCTAAGAAACCATAGTCGTCTTCGTTCAGTTGACGTACGATGGCGGTTACAGAATTGGCCGACGTGAGACACTTTTCAAAAGAAGTGGTTTGCGTCTCAATGAATTCCTTGTGGAGGTGGATAGTCGCCACATAGATGAGCATATAGATATCGACGATCTCAACATCCAGACGAAGCGGTGTGTCTTGACTCGTATGCTTGCTGATTTCTGGCAGGTTGGCAGCAAATTGAGCGAGGGACATCTCCAACGAGCGTTGCTCTGTCCAGCGTGAGGTGTCCGAGGAGGAGACTGGGAATTACTATGGTGAGAGAAGTAGGAAGCTAAGGTACTGTGTCGCATACCGGTAGCAAATCTGGCTGTACGTTCGAACAGCATCACTGCTTTCGCCCGTAAATTAACCGTAGGTGCTGTGAATATGCCACCCGACATGTCGTACCCGTAAGGCACTGGGTCAGTTTCATTGCCCTAAACTCTCCACCATCTAGTCTTTGTATACGTGAACGATGTAGCCCACTCACTGATGGAGCAGCTGTAACACCCATCGGCCACGCGGTCTCAATTTGCATGCGTGGATGATCGTCGTCTGGAAGAGCTGAGGGAAGGCCTGTCGCAACGGACCATGCCCGGTCCACGACAAAAATCTGCCAGAATGCAGCGACACGCTCTGCATGTTCGATTGTGTCTTGAGGACAAGGCAGAGGGAAGATGGCACCAGAAGGGTTAGCCGAGTCTTGGAGGCCGCCAGATAGCGATTGAATCACCAGCTCGAAGTCGATTGGCCGAAGTTGATGAAGACCTAGGTCGATTGCTAAACGTGCAGACGTGGATGAATGGTAGTATGCTTCGAGTATTCGGCCGTGGCAGTAGAAGTAAACTGAGATCAGACAGGACGCTTGCAGTACATGGACCACGCGGTCCTGATGATGCAGAGCGACAGAGATGCCCTTCAATGCTCGTTTCAAGAAGTAAGGTTCCAACTCAGTCAGATGTGGCGACCTTGAGAAGTAGCATCCTAGAAGATATATGGCGTCTAGAAGGGCTGGATGAGGCCGGGGCATGCATGGGTCCTCTAGCGAGCTCCGTAGTCGACCGACGTGAACGTCGAAGGAGCACTGATGACGATGGACCAAAAATATTTCGAGACTGTTATGGCTAGGGTGAGAACTGCGCTCCCGAGTCGATCATCCACTCACGCACAGTTTCCGTTTGTCGTTACAAAACGTGGTCGAGTCACTCTCCCACCAATTTGGTAATGCTGTGGAAGGATCGCCCGCAGCAGATTGCACAGGCGATCCTTCCATTGGGGGAGATAGTTGGATCGTGTTATTCGGCCATATCCCGGGAACATCGAATAACGGCGATGACGATGACAGCGGCGCGGCCGAGGGCGATTCATCCAAGATGGACAGATCGAGATTCCATTCGGAGTTCGCAGATACGCTTGCGGGCGCGGAGAGGAAGATTGTATCTGTTCGTTAGTAAAGTGAGCGGTGAAAGGTGCTTAGGTGTCAAACGAGTCATACCCTGATCGTCCTGTCGGTTGCTTGGACCGGGGGCGAGTGTGGGCGCAGCTGATGAAGAAGCAACACCAGAAGGTCCCGTTGGGTCGGATTCGAGCTCGCGGAGACGTGCCTCTAGCTTCGCGACCTTCTGTTGCAAAATCTGCGTCCGGCTTATATGCTGCTTCTCATGGTACTGGCATTCAGAACCCCGGTCGGCTTTCAGGCATTGTGTGCAAATAGGGCGCAGACCGTCGCATTTCTGTCTCACGCGGCGTCAGCCTGGGAGCGCACTGTCACAAGCCACTGTCAATGAATGTATCTTACCATTTTCCTCTTCCGGCAGCATAGACAGGCCCTGCCACGTTGTAAGGTGGAAGTGTTCTTCATCGTACCGAGATCGGAGGCAGTAGACTTCCCTCCTGTGGAGTACTTATAGGGACGCGGCAGGGATGATGGTGCTGGGATCTCCAGAGGACATCAAGATATTCTGTACAGGAAATCAACCATACTCGCAGCAGTCACGGCGCTGCACAGTGCTATCATGCAGATGGACCCTGACTGATGCCGTGAAAAGGGCGCTGTCGGAAGGGATGAAAAAATGCCTGCCGCCCGATAACACTGCTTGAGACGCTAATGGCGTGAATCATGAAAAGAGTTTGCATGATCAAGAAATTAGCTTGTAATCCGATGATTGTCGGGGTCGGCGACCAGAAAATAAAAGCCGCGCAATGTCCCCAGGTTTAACACGGCTTAAAACCTCGTGAAACCTCGACCGTGCATTATTGCGCAGTTCCTGCGGCACTGCGGCATTGGAGCGCTCACCGCGTATTATCGCTCCGAGGCGTTACAGTGGTGGCATTTAACTTGAGACAGAATCACACTAGCGTCCCGCTCAATCAGATCGCCATGTGGATTGCATGATGCATGAGGCCTTCAATTATACGAACTGTTTGCTCGGTCGAGATTGCAGAACCTGGTAGAATTCATATTTTTTTGAATGCTCTTGGCCTCTCCGTCGATCCTGAATCTCAGAATAGCTAGCCTCGCAACAAATACTCGGTTTCGATCTTCAATAACGTGGGGGTTGGACACGCTCCAAAGTCAATGATGCATGCGCTATTAGTCGCGCACGGCCAACCCAGCCATGAGAAGACTCTGTCAATCTGCGTTTGTCTCGAACCTACTTGAAACAGTCTATTGAGAAGTCGATGTGCCAGTGTGGGGCCCACGGCAAACCGGATGCAGTGGGTTCTCAAGCTGTCAATACTGCGGGAGAGATTGGCGGTGCTCGAGTAGCTTCAGGAGCTGAAACAACAACCGTTGTGTAGAGATGGTTGCTATTGAGAGGAGTAGTTGATGTGGTTCTCTGCATTTGCATGCTTCTAGTACCTGGAGGACTAGAAAAGTTGAACAAGGCGGAGGAATTAGGGAAGTATCACTGTACTGCATGAGTGGCAATGTCGCTGTTCTGTAGCCACGTTTAACACCCAGCTTCGCGTCGAAAGGATGGTCAAGCTGTAGAGGAGAACTAGTAGACTATGAATATGATCCGCAATACTGAGGATCTGACAATCGAACCGAGGGAACGCCCACAGGTCGGATTGACCATATCAAAGAATTTGGCAGTCAAGCTGGAGTTATTCTGACAGCGTGTACCAATGTAGCCGCTAACGCTTCCAAGAAAACAAAATTCACCACGAGATCAGGAAGATTCTCGCCGCGTTGGGTTCAACAAGGCTGCGCTTCCAACACTGAAACTTAGCATGAAGCATGATGCGTACCGTGGCCTGGATGCATCAATTCGAAATGCAGGCAACATCTTGCGAGTTTTAACGAAAAGAGAGCCTTCTCAGCATGCATCGACGCCGGTCGACGGTGATAAGTCTACGTAAACTGTTGCAGTAAACGTCAGGAAACAAATTGGGAGTCGCAGCGAGGCCGAGAATACGATCGAGGCGCCAAAGGGGCGCTTGCGGGCGCAGTGTATTTGGCAGGAGCAAATATTGGCTCTGCGTACAGCGCACTTGCGTCGTTCACTTGTCTGTCGTTCCGGCTTTGCTTCACATCTACTCAACCAAGATCGGGATATACAGAGAGAATGGGGGACGACTACCCGTCTCCGTTCCGTGAGTGAATCTCACAGGTGTACCGCATGTATCGGGATTCAAACGGCCCAACAGGCTCGGAGCAGATGAGCCTAGTGCAGTTAATTATACCGACAGAAGTAGCCCATGACACCATCGCAGAACTTGGCGAGCTCGGGGATGTTCAGTTCAAGGATGTGAGCTCAATCATAGTCTAAGGCTTTCGTAAGTTGAGCATTGCTGGTAGTTGAACCCGGATGTCAACCCCTTCCAACGCTCGTTTGTCGGGGAGATCCGGCGTGTCGACGAGATGGCTCGTCGAGTACGATTCTTCAGCACTCAAATTGAGAAGGAGAAGGACCAAATTCCTATCCGTCCACTGTACGATTCGGCGCCCCTGCTCACGGTCGGGCCCCGCGCAGCACAGACGATGGACGAGTTGGACCTCAAATTGAAGGAGCATGAGGGACGTTTGATACAGATGAATGACAGCTACCAGCTGCTGTGTGAGCGTACCAGGGAACTCGAGGAGGCGCGTCATGTACTACGGGAGACGGCTGTGTTCTTCGAGCGGGTAAGCCGGCTTCTGATATCGCTACCATACTTCGCCTGACTCGGATGGCAGGCAACAGGCTACCAATCAGAAGTCCGTTCATCCATGGATGACAGCTCTGCTCCGTTGCTGCAACACGATGATCGGGAGTCTCAGTATTTCAGCAGCAGCGTGCAATTTGACCTCGAGTACGGTCAACCCTTGTGCGGTCCTCTGCATAGCTGACCCAATCCCGTTAGATTTGTTGCCGGTACTATTGAACGGTCTCGCTTACCGACGTTCGAGCGTGTCCTATGGCGTGTTCTTCGTGGAAACCTCTATATGAACCATACCGACATCGCGGAACCGTTTGTCGACCCAGCGACTGGCGAGGAGACGCGCAAGAACGTGTTCATTATCTTTGCTCACGGAGACACGCTACTCGCCAAGATCCGCAAGGTCGCAGAATCCATGGGCGCGACCCTGTATCCGATTGACGCCAACGCGGACAAGCGCTCCGACTCTATGCGCGAAGTCACAGCGCGCCTGGAGGATTTGCAGGTGGTACTATTCAATACGGGTGCGAACCGCAGAGCCGAATTGGTTAAGATTGGTGAAAATCTAGCAAGCTGGGTCGACGTTGTCCGCAAAGAAAAGCTGATATACGAGACGCTCAACCTCTTGAACTACGATGTACGCAGGAAGACGCTTTTCGCCGAGGGCTGGTGTCCTACGAGAGATATGCCCATGATCCAGGACGCCCTCAAGCATGCTACTGTAGGAGCCAGGCTACATTGTTGATGTCACAGCTACTGACTACTCCACTGTAGGAGGAGTCGGGCACCAATGTTCCTCCGATCTTACATGAACTAAGGACGAATAAGACACCTCCCACTTTCATCCGCACCAACAAGTTTACAGAAGGTTTCCAGACCATCATGGACGCATATGGTATTGCGACTTACCAGGAGGTGAACCCGGGCCTCTTTGCCACCATAACTTTCCCATTCCTCTTTGCCGTCATGTTTGGAGACATCGGTCATGGATTTATTACATTCAGCGCTGCGTTATTGATGATTCTAGGCGAGCGGCGTCTTGCCAAGGCAGATCTGGGCGAGGTACGATCGCGCTTGGCTGTGATTGACGACAAAGTAACCTATTGTCTTACAGATTTTCGGCACATTCTTCTTGTGAGAGCCATCAACACTCATGGCAGTAGTTTGCACGCTAATATTGATCACAGCGGGCGCTATATCATTCTACTCATGGGTCTATTCTCGATGTATACTGGATTCCTATACAACGATATCTTCTCGAAGTCGTTGCATGTATTCCCCTCCGGGTGGTCGTGGCCCGTGAACCACGGCAACGACTCAGTCCCTGCCAATCCCACAGGCTGGACGTATCCCATCGGTATTGACCCTGGCTGGCACGGCGCCGACAATGCCCTTTTGTTCACCAACTCGTATAAGATGAAGATGTCTATTGTGCTCGGTGTTATCCACGTAAGTTGTACATTGTGTATGCTTGCTTATGCGCCGCTCTTACGATCTCGGTACATGTAGATGACGTTCGCTATCTGCCTACAAGTTCCCAACCACATACTCTTCAACCGTCGGTCGGAGATTTGGACGAACTTTGTTCCTCAGATGCTGTTCTTGCAGTCAATCTTCGGCTACCTCGTGATCTGCATCATTTACAAATGGACAGTCAACTGGGAAACATCTTCTACAGGGCCTCCGTCCCTACTCACCATGTTGATCGGGATGTTCTTGTCTCCCGGAACTGTGGACCCTGATACTGAATTGTACCGAGGACAAAGCTCCGTACAAGTGATCCTCCTTCTCATCGCATTCGTCTGCGTTCCTTGGCTGCTCATCGCGAAGCCCTACTTGGAATGGAAGGAGATGAAGAAGATTCAAGGTCAGGGTTATATCGGATTAGGAACAGAAGAGGTCCCCCGCCATACATCCGATTCGGAGCTCGAAGGCGAAGAAGAGGGTAACGGTGGGACCATCGCAGAATCGATGGACGACGATTCCGTGAGTGCAGAGCTCTTCGGTGCACGTAAAAGCTCATATACACTCCTTTTCAGGAGCACCATGATTTCGGCGAGGTTGTGATCCATCAGGTCATTCACACCATTGAGTTCTGTCTAGGTTGCATCTCGCACACCGCCTCCTATCTCCGTCTATGGGCACTGTCGCTCGCCCATGCCCAGCTGTCCGAAGTTCTGTGGAGCATGACTTTGGAAGGTGTCTTGGGCATGTCTGGTATCTTTGGATTTGTTGCGATAGCGCTCATGGGCGTGATGTGGTTCACCTTGACCGTGTGCATCCTATGTGTTATGGAGGTACGTAAAGTTACGTGCAGCGCCTCATGGCGGCAAGCTCAAGGCTAGCGAACCGCAGGGTCTGTCTGCTTTCTTACACGCATTGCGTCTACATTGGGTCGAGGCGAATAGTAAGCATTACCAGGCAGGAGGATATGTACGTGTCTTCGTATCGACTGATCGATATACGTGGTGCACGCATGTTGACTGATGATGCTTCTTTTCTGACTTCCACAGCAATTCACTCCGCTCAGCTTCGCCAAATTGAACGAAGAGTAAGCAGAAGGCAGGACGCGGACGTAGATTTACTCTTCCCCTGTAGCTTCGGTATCGGCCGCCAATAAAGCGCTATCTGTACCTGAACTTCCCCGTCAGCGCGGAGTCGGCGTTGTGGGGTGACGCTGACCCCAGGATGCTGTGGTCACAAGTTGCGATCATGATCAGTTGAGGGCGAGGAGCAGACTCGCCCGGGCGGATGCTGTGCGCGCCAACGGAGCTAGCCACGGCCTGGGACTAGCGCACGTGCCCTCGGCGCGACATTTTTCATAGTCCGCTCTTAGAGAGGACGTGCTATATAAGCCTCAGTGTGCGAATTGAACCCTATCCCCACACTCCCCCTTCCCTTTTCTTCATCGTATAGAGGTAATTGCATGTTGCTCCTGGCCCTTGATGGTGCACTCGTACTTAACGCCTCGCTTAGGCTCCTGCCGGGCTAAAATAGAGAGTTCCTCATCCTTGACGGTCTTCTCGCGAAACTACGCATTTTTCACGCTCTCCGATCATAATCATCGTTAGAAGTGAGTATCTCGAAGATCGTGCTAATGGCTCCGGATGGGTCTAACGGTCCCATCGGTATGCAGATTAACGACATGCCTGCTGCTACTGCTACTGCCCCCGCTACGCCCGCCGCCGCTGCGCTCAAGGCAGCTGTTGCGCCTGCGGACGGTCAATTCGACGTTTCCGGTCTCTTCGTCTCTGACAAGGCGACCCGCGGGACCGCGGCGGCTACCCTCGTCGCGCTCGCTCAAAAGGATGGCCCCAAGGCCCTCCAATCTATTGGCTTCACAGATGCTATTATCAAAGCGCTCAACGACAAGAAGTCGCCGGCCGCTCGTGAGGGCGCAGCCAGCGCTGTTGCTGCCCTCTCTAGCGCGACAGACGCCGTGAAGTCATTGGAGCCCGTTTTCGTTGACTCTGGCCTGTATGCAGCTCTTATCGAAGCCTTCGCCGACAAGATGCCCGCTGTGCGAACAGCCGCCATTGATGCAGTCAAGGCGTACGTCACGAACATGAACGCGTGGGCGACTGCCAATGTGCTTCCTGCCCTCCTTCACGAAATCAAGACGGCCGGCAAATGGCAAGTCAAGACAGGTGCCATCACGATTCTCAACCAGCTCGTGACCAGTGCGCCTCTTCAGACTGCTCGTCTTACTCCCGACATCGTTCCTATACTCTCGGAAGCAATCTGGGACACGAAGGCCGACGTGAAGAAGGCGGCGCGTGATTCGCTTGAGAAGACCACTGCTCTCATCTCCAACAAGGATATCGAACGCTTTATTCCAGCTCTAATCAAGGCTCTGATTAACCCCGTCGAGGAGGTGCCCAACACAATTACGCTTCTCTCAGCTACTACGTTCGTTTCTGAAGTAGATTCGCCCACACTGTCTCTGATGGTCCCGTTGCTATCGCGTGGTCTCTCGGAGAAGCTGACTGCAACGAAGCGTAAAGTCGCAGTGTAAGTTTGTTGCGTTTGGGTATCCAATGAAACGCTGATTTTTGTCTGTAGTATTGTCGACAACATGGCCAAGCTTGTCGACTCGGCAGTCACCGTTCGTCCCTTCATTCCCAAACTACTTCCTGGCTTGATCAAGGTGGAGTCGACTATCGGCGACCCTGAAGCTCGCGGTGTCGTCGCCCGTGCTATCGCAACCCTTCGTCAGGTTGGCGACGTCCCAACCGGTGACGGTTCCGACCTACCTCCTTTCAAGCTGGCCGACGGCAAGCAGCTTGCACAGAGTGTCGTCGGTCTGTACAAGAAGGCGGGCGCTAACCCCGTACCGGTTGCCACGTCCGTCGAGATCTCTTACGCTGGTGGCCTTGCCGCCAATCTCGTCATCGCCAAGAACTTTGACATCTCGGAGTGGCAATCGCTTGCTCCTTACCTCGCCTTTGCTACCACATCTCCCGAGCCCATCTCGATCATCAATGAGTGGGCCGTCAAGTCGGCGTCGCAGGAGGAGGACGAGGGAGAAACTCTTGATGACGAAGAGGAGGGTGAAGATTTGTGTAACTGCCAGTTCTCGCTGGCGTACGGTGCCAAGATCCTACTCAACACCGCTACTCTTCGCCTGAAGCGTGGTCATCGCTACGGTCTGTGCGGTCGCAACGGTACCGGAAAGTCTACCCTTATGCGCGCCATTACCAACGGTCAAGTCGAAGGATTTCCGTCGCCTGATGAGGTCCGCACTTTCTACGTCGAGCACGACATTGATGGCAGCGAGGCCGATACTTCTGTGTTGGACTTCATCCTGGCCGACACACGTATCCAGGGAAGCAAGGAAGAGGTGGTGGAGACGCTGGCATCTGTCGGTTTCAGTGATGAGCGTCAGAAGCAGGCCATCGGCAGCCTGTCTGGTGGTTGGAAGATGAAGCTCGCGTTGGCTCGCGCCATGCTGTTCAAGGCCGATATTCTCCTCCTCGACGAGCCGACCAACCATCTGGACGTTGTCAACGTTGCATGGCTCGAGAACTACCTCACCAGCCTGACGACCTGCACATCCATCATCGTCTCGCACGACTCTAGTTTCCTCAACAACACCATCACCGATGTTCTTCACCTCAACCGCTTCAAGCTTAGAAGGTACAGGGGTAACCTCGAGGCCTTCATGAAGCAGGTTCCCGAGGCGCGTTCATACTACACTCTTGAGGCGCAGGAGGATTACCAATTCAAGCTTCCTGATCCTCCTCTCCTCGAGGGCGTCAAGACAAAGGAGAAGAGTCTCCTCAAGATGCGTAAAGTTGGTTTCCAGTACCCGACTCAGACTGTCCAGCAGCTTTACGACATCACCCTTCAAGTGTCTCTCTCGTCGCGTGTTGCCGTCCTCGGTCCTAACGGCTCTGGTAAATCTACCCTCGTCAAGCTGCTCATCGGCGATCTTGAGCCCAACAGGGGCGGTGAGATCTGGAAGCACCCCAACTTGGTCATCGGTTACGTGGCGCAGCACGCGTTCCACCATATCGATAGCCATCTGGACAAGACCCCACTCGAGTACATGTTGTGGCGCTACCAGACCGGTGAGGACTTGGAGGAGATGATGAAGGCGAATCGTCAAATTACCGAGGAAGAGGAGAAGAAGATGAAGGAGGGTGGTGTAGTCGTCGTCGAAGGTCAGAAGCGCCTGATTGAGGAGATCGTCGGCCGCAAGAAGCTCAAGCAGTCGTACGAGTACGAGGTGTCGTTCAAGGCCCTTAGCTCGTCGGAGAACATCTGGCTCCCGCGTGACGAGCTCATCAAGCGTGGTTTCGAGAAGAAGGTCCTCGAGGTCGACACCCGTGAGGCGCAGCGCCTCGGTCTCCTCCGTCCGCTCGTCCGTCGCGAGATCGAGAAGCACTTCGCGGACTTTGGTCTCGAGCCTGAGTTCGTCTCGCACAACTCGATGCGCGGTCTCTCCGGTGGTCAGAAGGTGAAGGTGGTCCTCGGTGCCGCTACGTGGCGACGACCGCACGTCATCTGCTTGGATGAGCCGACCAGTGCGTAAATCTTATTCTACTCTTTTACGTGCTCTAATACATGCTTTGAAGACTACCTTGACCGTGAGTCGCTTGCTGCGCTCATCAAGGCTCTCCAGGAGTTTGAGGGTGGTGTGCTTATTATCACGCACAACCGCGATTTCTCCGAGTCCCTGTGCAAGGAAGTCTGGGCCATGCGCGATGGCCGCCTCGAGGCGTCCGGCCATAACTGGGTCGAGGGTCAGGGTGCCGGTCCTCGTATCGACAAGAAGGATGGTGAGGAAGACGACCAGTACGACGCGATGGGTAACAAGATCGAGACGAAGAAAGTGAAGAAGATCACTGCGGCTGAGGCGCGTAAGCTCAAGAAGGAGCGCATTGCGCGGAAAAAGCGTGGCGAGGAGATCACCGACGACGAGTTGTAATTCTAACCTCTCGGCTGTATTCCGTCGCTGTTGTCTTTCGCTGTGTGTTTCATAGGACGTCCTCAGGCTATATCGTTACATCGTCTCGTATCCTGTACCCTAGCACTAATTCTATCATTTATGTACTCCTGTCTTTCATGAATATGCACGACTTTTTATGCTCACCTGTGTCTGTAAACTGCTGCTCGGTTTTTCAAAAAAACAAGGTCGGGCTATTGGTCTCACACCTGTGCAATGCGAAGGTCAATCGGCGACGCATTAATGCAGCCGCAGCGCTTTGTCGGATGCAGCGACGAACCGATCCCGAAACCTTCGTTGAGGGCTGTGACAAGTGAACGCCGAACATATTAGGCCTCAAGGCCTTAACTTGCGCACTGCGGCTGCTGCGCTCTGTCAGGCTCAGCTTTTGCTATTACTAAATGCCAGCACGCCAAGACACAGCCTCGAGGTCGATATATGTGGTACATACCGGTCATACGTGACGCACTTATTGAACTTTCCTCCCAACCTTCATCGATTCATCTACCGACCTTGAGACCCATCTGCAATGCCGTACACAGGAAGAGATCCTGAGCATACCTTCGACCTGTTTGCACGAAGTGCTCGAGATAGCCTAACGCCGAACAGCACTCAGCGAACCACGTTGATTGTTGCCGCTTGCTATATTGTGGCGATAGCTATCCTGTGGTACGTCTTGTGTTCAGTACTTGTGGTCGTTCCCCGTATTCAATGTTATGATTAGGCATGTTCCGTATCTGTCGTACATTAGTGAGCTGTTCCGTCTATTGTAAAAGGCTCCGTTTTACTGAGGTAATCGATTGTAGTCTACCCGTTCAAGTGAGTCTCGCGCATTCGTTTAGTCAAGAGCTGCAAACGTTGATGAGGGGTTCAGACTGCTCACAGTCGGCTTCCATGAGGTACGCAGGATAAGACTTGTGAAAACGAAGTCGTCCTGACACGCTTGCTAGATGAGCCATGCTTTCATGGGCGGTATGTCCTAACATGCATCGCGCTGTGCTGGAAATTGGATAAGGCTTATTGAACTTTCTCTCTAGTGCTCACCTGCGCGCGCATACACTCTATTGAGCTCGACCGTGCGTTTCTCGACCTTGAGACAATGCAACCATCACCTAACCTCCTGCGTAGCGGACGAAGGCGGCGCGACGCGCATGTCCGGGGGCATACCTTGGCTCACTCTTCCTGCGGGTTACCTCGGATCGTGTTTCATAGGTGCAGCCCTGATTGTGTGTGGCTTTGATACCAACGCCAGCAAGGTCGCCTCTCTTGTGATGGCTGCTTTCTTCATCTTCACCCTGTGGTGGGCGCGCAGAGACTGGCTGTAAGCGCATTCGATTTTCTTGCATGCTGATTGATGTCACACGAAGCCGACAGGACATGGGTACTGATTCTGGGCGTGTCTGGACTAGTCGTGCTATTCTGGTTTGTCGAGGGCGGAGTTGCCCTTAGATACTTCGTGCGTTACTCCATTCACATGCTGTCGCTTATTCACTCATACGTCGCTTGGGGCAGATCCTGTTCATAGGAGTTATGTCCTGCATGTATGCTCTGTGGGACATTGTAGGTACGTTAGACGACATCTACTATTCACTCTTGTATGTTAACATATGGCCTCGTAGACGACACAATCGAACGAAAGGTGAACAGCTCTGACGCGTCCGCGTTTGCTAAAATCTGTGGCTGCTTCCCTTCTCAAGGTAAGTTTCAAAATTTTACTTGGTTCAACATCACCACCAATGCGTTTCATCCAGTATGGGGTGTCATCTGGCTCTTGATTGCATTCGGCTTCTTCGTCGCTGGGATCCTCATCGGGATAGTCGCATTCAAGGTGCGCCCATGGCGACGACTTTCGCTCTCCGTCTGGTCTGATTTGTATCTGCATAGGAAACCGCTGCGCAGCAAGCTTCGGATGCGAAGCATTTCCTGCCGGTCCCGGGGGCACCTAGCGCCGCACTCAGCATGTCCACATCGCCGCATATCGTTGCAGTGTCAGTGGCGGCTGCCTGGATACTCATTCAAATGATGTGAAAGGGACGACCTTACTATGCCCATCTGCATTTCCTATATTGTCCTTTCTGGCGTAATCTCTTGATCAGCATTCGCATCGTCGAATGCTTTGTGTTCACTTTGCTGTATTCATACCAACTTATCATGTATCATTTGGTGACGTTGCTCTTACGGACGAAACTTGCTATCTATCTATCGATCCATACCCTACTCTTGTAATTCTTGTCAACCCACCCTGTCGCCCCCGCACGTAGTGTCACGAATCAGATGAGATTGACCCGTACGTAAGAAAAGTTGCTATAGTCTCATGATGGGAAAATGGGTGGATGCACAGCAAAACAGTTCGATGGGTGCCTCCCTGTAGGAACCGGATGCAAGGGGCGCTAATGCACGCCGTTCAAGTGGGCATCTCGTTGGAGACTGCGACGGTCTGTCTGATATCCCCAGTCGCTTTTGGCCGCCCCTTCCTTCCCCCGCGTGAATTACCACCAGCTGCTGCAACTGTATTCTGTGGCAGCGCTCCTCTCCTCTTGCTCTTTCCGCGCTGAGGTGCCTCATCGACGCCATCCCCAACCTTGATGACTATGCTGATGCTCGACTTGCCTCGCGTGCGGAATGTGATGTCTTCATCATCGTCCTCTGGTATCAGCTCATCATGCACTTCGACCGTTCCAGTCAGAACTTCCGTGTGAACCTCGTCTGGCGCGAACGGTAGAATGGTCGGCAGCGACGTCGCGAGTTGCATGAGGTGAGGGATGGCGGCACCCATTGCACTCAAATGTAGGGTCCTGTACCTATCACAAAGCCGCGACGAGACGCTACAGTTCAGTATGAGGCGGCGAGACCAGGACGCAGGCACTCACCCATCCTTCATGAACACGTCCTTGCACCGTCTCATATACGCGCCCAACTGCGTTTTGCGCGTTACACAAATGTAGTTCTTGCCTTCTGCGTGCGCGGAACGCGGCCCCGTCGCGGACACGGACGTCGGTACTGTTGGAAATGGACGCTGTGGCGCGAGTTTCCGAATGGTGTGTGTGGGTTTGGACGTGCTTGCATGCGTGTTGGTGGGCTCAGGCTGCACGTCTACGTGAATGATTTCGGTGGTATTTTCTTCGGACGTTCCGTTGGAGATGGGAGCGACTCGTTCAAGGGTATCCTTCTCGGGGACTGGTGCTACTATTATTTGGGATGGCCCCGCGTCTGGCATTGTGTCACTGTGCGTTACAGTCGGCTCCGTCCGTATACGCTTAGCATTCAAAATCTCGCCCTGAGAGTCGGCCTTGCGCTTTCGCCCATTGTCGGACATATGATGAGCCCAAGACGAGAGGCGATGGGGAAGCTTGTGGTCAGTGAGAAAGTATACATAAATGTATTAGGAATCGGATAAACGAGACTGCTGTAATTACGTCAGGAACCTGATTACTCGGATAAGTAATTGATCGAGGCGGTAACTGGTGGCGCCTATCCTGTGCCATCTTGATCGACGAAATTTTGGGCCGCTCCGTCGTCTCTGCCCTCTCTTCCTCCTCACTCTCTCCGCGCTGAGTGGTCCCGCATAATCGCTAGAGAAAGGACCTCCACCGTGCGCCAAGATGAGTCAGGACCCAGCAGAGCAGAATATCCAGATGTGGAAGGTCAAGAAGCTCATCAAGAGCCTTGACGCCGCCAGGGGGTACGTTGCGGACTCTTCAGCTCACACTATGGCCGGGAACCTCATCGGACATGCAGGGCGGGCACATCCATGATTAGTTTAATCATTCCTCCAAAAGTATATGCGCTACTGTGTAGATTCTGGGAAGATTGCTCACTGGCATGCGTTAGGATCAAATCTCGAGGGTCTCTGCGATGTTGACGCAGGAATACGGAACGGCTTCCAACATCAAGTCTCGAGTGAACCGGCTTTCTGTGTTGGCTGCCATCACGAGTACTCAGCAGCGATTGAAGCTGTACAATCGCGTCCCACCCAACGGTCTTGTGCTGTTCGTGGGCACCATCTTGACCGATGAGGGCAAGGAAAAGAAAGTGTCTTTCGATTTTGAGCCGCACAAGCCTATCAATACGTACGTCTCTGAGTCGTCATGTTTGTTCTGTCTTTCTCATAGTATACAGGTCGCTGTATCTCTGTGACAACAAGTTCCACACCGAGGCACTGCAGGAGCTTCTCGAGTCGGACTCCAAGTTCGGCTTCATCGTCATGGATGGAAACGGTACGCTCTTTGGTACTGTCGCAGGCAACACCCGCGAGGTCATTCACAAATTCACGGTCGACCTGCCGAAGAAGCACGGCCGTGGTGGTCAGTCCGCGCTGCGTTTCGCCCGTCTCCGTGACGAGAAGCGACACAACTACGTCCGGAAAGTCGCCGAGTTGGCTGTACAGCACTTCATTACGAGCGACAAAGTCAACGTGACGGGTCTCGTATTGGCGGGAAGCGCAGACTTCAAGACGGAGTTGAGTCAGAGCGACATGTTTGATCCGCGTTTAGTCGCGAAGATCCTCAAGGTTGTCGATGTCAGTTACGGTGGCGAGAACGGCTTCAACCAGGTCCGCTGCCATCTTCAATGCGTTGTCTTGCCTGTCTGACGAGCGTCGATGCATGCAGGCGATTGAACTTGCAGCAGAATCTCTGGCGAACGTAAAATTCGTGCAAGAGAAGAAGTTGATCCAAAAGTATTTCGACGAAATCAGTCAAGATACTGGCAAGTACTGCTTCGGTATCGACGATACCCTAAAGGCTTTGGAGTTGGGAGCTGTTGAAACGCTCATCGTCTGGGAGAACCTGGACACAACTCGCTACGTACTCCGGAACGCTGCTGGCGGTAAGCATATGTCAAGCGATCACGGGGTGTTATGCTCAATCATCTTCTCCAGAGGAGATCGTTGTCCACGTCAATAAGGAGCAGGAGAAGGACCGTGAAAAGTTCATCGACAAGTCGACCAACACAGAGATGGAGCAGGCGTGTGAATCGCAGTCGCTGCTTGAGTGGTTTGCGGAGAAGTACAAGGAGTTCGGCGCAAACCTCGAGTTCGTAACCAACCGCTCTCAGGAGGGCGCACAGTTCGTGAAGGGTTTCGGCGGGATCGGGGGCCTGCTGCGCTATAAGGTTGACTTCACGAACCTAGCGAGCGTCGATGACGAGGGCGAGGACGAGTTTTTGAGCGACGAGGAGGATCTCTGACTTACGTGGTGGCTCCGAAGGGAGCCCTACCTGACGAGGGCACGCCGGGTGGGGTGGGAGACAGGGGGAGTGCGCGCAGGGGCGGAAGTGAAGTGCAAGATAGGGACACGCGGAGAAGACGTCGGATGTCGCAGTCGCGGAATTCGGTGGCGGGGAGGCTGTCGCGAGAGTGTGGAAGACGAAGCCCACAAGCCAACAACGTACGGGCAGATTCTAGGATCAGCAGCGTGGCCTGCATGGTTATATGACATGTTCTGAAAGTCAAATGAAGGTATGTACGTCTTCAGCTGGCCTTGAATCATGCTGACTTGCGCCATAGAACTTGTCGACCTCACTTTGTATTTGTTAACTCGCTTGTGTCGATGCTATTGCTGTCTAGCTCATTGTCTTGAGTCTTGTATCGTTGTATCACCTCGTTAACATCAGCGGACGTTTTACAACCATGTTTTTATTTCGCAAACGTTCGTCAGAATTGCTTCGCGGGCACAGCATCGAAATTGTCAAGATGTCCCGTGGCAAGATGCAAATTATAAACATTTCACGGATTGACATTGGTGTCAGATGCTCTCCCTAACAAGTACTTTTACATTACATAGATTCTTTGCTCATCATACATAACGAAACAATACTCGTTACAGATCAAAGTCTGAGTCCGAATCTTCCTTGGCTTGCCTTATGTTCTTTGCGCTCTTGTGATTTGTCCTGGTTGCTGCAGAACGCATCCTTGACGATGGCTCATCGTCGGTGTCGTCTTCGTCTTCCGAACTGTCGCTCCTTGAGCCACGCTCTTTGGGCGGTGGGCGTTGCTGCGGGACTATCGCGCCCGCCAGAATCAATACGGCTTCCAGTTCTGAGACAGGCAATTAGCGCGAACTGGGATCTGAAGCTGCCTTAGACCGACCTTCAATACGCCGTTCTCGGTCTGCGCCCCATGCCACGACCTGGTTGAGTACCTCACCGTTGCGGTAAACAATAAACATAGGAATTCGAGTGTCCGGGAGGTTCTGGATGCATTTGTCCCCAACCATGGATACGAACTTCGTGTCTGGGTGCCGTTGCGCCAAAATTCGGATATGCTCAAATGCACGATCGCTGCGAGGAATACTGCGGGCTACTTAGTCGCTGACTCTGCTCATCGAGGGATGCCACTCACCCGTCCTTATAGAGGAAACACACAACGCCGGTCCCATGCGACTCCGGCTTGCCTTCCTCGGTAACCTTGCTCGCCTCGGTGACTTCCCTCGTGTATTCGTCCCGCCCTATGGGGTAGACGCGACCGAAGCGTGCCTTCTCCTGTTTGCGCAGCTCTGCCACGCGCTGCCGCCGGTGGTTCTCAACCACGCGCTCTGTCTCTGAGTCGTTCGCATCTTCGCCGAGCTCTCTGAGTTCCGCAGGTGTGAGATCGCCTAGCGCCTCCTCGAGGGTGGGCGACGGCGGTTGAGAGGGTGAGGGAGGCGGCTCGCGCGGGGGGAGGATACCGTGCTTGCGGAGGGCATCATTGCTATGAGATGGTTGGATAGACCTGCGTAACACACACTGCAATGGCTTACAATTCTGTGTCTTCGTCTGCATTGACTGCCATCGGGAGCGAATAGATCGAGATCAGGATACTTAGGCGCACATAACTTGGCCCTTCGATCGGCTCGGCTAAACCTCGGCAACGCCACCACGCTCGGTTGGATCTTGAAGCATTTCTCATCCTCACTCGTTGCTGTCCGGTCGAAGCTGTTACTATGCTTCACACCAGAAACATGAGTCTGAAGGGAATCTATTCTGGATTCAAATGACCCTGACTGAACCGTGCGATCTTCGCTGGAGCGCGGCCTCTGCATGACACCTGAACCGCAGGCTCTCAACCGACTTAACTCACCACCACCTCTGTAGGAACGCAGTTCTGACACGGAGTATAGCATGAAGAGGTTTATCTTAAGAATAAGCTCACTTTTCCACAGATAAGAAACTTAGTACACAGCGGACTGTGTCACCTCGGAATCTATGATAAATGAATCAGCTTCAGCATGCGGTCCTGGAAAAGCCGGTCGTGTGCCCCGGTGCGTTTGTGCAACTATCGCTGTGTATTGTCCCATATGCTCCCGCTCCATGCGTCATGGTTGTCTCTTTCACGTGTCTCTCGACGTACGCCTAGGTGTATTACTCACTGGATGATAATTGCGGTTCTCGTCATTCCCACCGGAGATTACCAAACGAGCATAGACTATGCGTATCTCCTACTTAATTTTGGCCTCCAGGCACGACATATGTTCCGCGATAGGGCTCATCGTCCGTGGGCTTTATGAACCTGGGCACTTTCACATCTCCTGCGCTCCCAGCTTCTCCTCACTCCTCGGACGACTGCTTGAGTGTGGCTCATCTCGCTCATCATGGCTCTCCTTGACCACGAGCTTGCCCCTGTAGAGGCTTCCGATGTGGCTGAGATGGTCTCCGGACTGCAACATAGCATGGATGAAAAGCGCGACTACGAAGCCGACGTGGAACTCACAAAGCGGGTTTCCAGCTCGAATGTTTCTGCCAACGAATACGAAGTTGACGAGAAGCTGTACAATGATAACGGCAAGGAAAAAGTGCTGGAGACTGCTGAGGACTTCAGTAGGGCTCTCGTGAGCAGCGATGACGACCCTAATTTGATCATCCACACGTTTCGCATGTGGTTCACCGGCGTCGGTCTCGCCGTCTTCGGTGCTGTCCTCGGTATGCTCTTTGTAAGTCCCAGAAACTCGGATTCTGCGGCCCATACTTAGGTTCGTATGTAGCAATTCCGCCCACAGGTCATCAGTGTCTCGGCTTTATTCCTCCAGCTGCTCGCCTACATGATCGGGCGTCTGCTTGAAGTCGGGATTCCTGGTCCCGGAACTCGCTTTAACAACGGTAACTGGTTTTGGAGGTTCATGAACCCTGGACCGTTCAGTATGTATATCATACTCGCAGACTTAACAAGGTATTCATAGCTCTCTGCGCTTTCCAGATATCAAGGAACACGTCGGTGCTCAGATCCTCGCGAACACTGCTGCGTATGTAGCTATACACCTAGTGCAGAGTGCGGACTGACGGAGAAACTTGACAGCACTGCCGCGCAGGCATGCTTCGTGTTCGCCTCAGACGATCTCTTCTACGGGATCACAGTTAACGTAAATCGTGTGCCACCGTCGTTCCACGTCTTTCTGATTTCTTTCGGTTTTCCCACAGCCGGGAAACGCGATATTCACCCTTCTGGCTTCCCAGTTAATTGGCTATGGATTTGCAGGAATGTTCCGTGCGTTAATATCCTCTATATCAGTTTGAAAACTTGCTGAAGCTCCTGAGCACACAGGTGCATTCCTTGTGTATCCGACGATCATGCTGTACCCGCAGAATCTGATTTACGTGAATCTCTTTGATGTGCTGCACCGATCGAAGGGAGAGATGCTCCAAGGCAAACGGTAAGGCAGATCGCGTGCCGTGTAATTGCACCTCTGACAGCCTTGATCTATAGATTCCGCTTCTTCTGGATCATGACTGCGGTGATGTAGGCATTTGTATTACCTTTCCTCGACCAATGGGCTAATCAGCCGTCGCATGATGACAGCTTTGTATACGAGGTCAGCATTCTGTCCGTTGATCTGCGCTCACGCCATCTGACAAGTGATTGTGCCCGATAGTGGTTCCCAGAGGTGATGCCAGTGCTCATCATGAGAGACGTCCCTAATGATTGGAACAGTGGATCGCGCCGCTGCTTGGCTCGTTCAATATTGTTTGCTTATGTGCAAGAAACTCCAACTGGGTGTCATATATCTTTGGCGGGGCTGAGGGAAACGAGGGGATGGGACTGATGGGCTTCGGGCTGGATTGGGCCAGTAGGTGCATTTGCCTGTCTGCCTAGCTGCTACTGATGTCAACGCGCTAGATATTACGAGCGCCCCGTTTTATCAGCCGTTGCCGACGCAGATATCTAGTATGTGCCTAGAAACAAGCATGAAGGTGGTTACTGACCCAATCGCCAGCTTATGTCGGTTGGGCGATCAACTACGTTCTTCTTCCCGCCATCTTTGCTACCAATACTTGGTCTGCCCTCGGTTATACAAGCTGGTGCAATGTCGCTGACTCTTTGACTCAGGTACTCCCAGAACTTCCCATTCATCTCACAGGTAAGATTTTGAATATCTTGAGCATGAAAAATAAGAAGCTCACTCTTTGGCTACCCACAGAACTTGTGCGTGGTATGAGCCCGCAACTGCCTATGTACTGACCTCGAATATTTCATAAACCCTCAGGTTCTGTAAGTGCTTCATACTAAAACGCCGGACGTACAGGTGCCTCATTTTGTTTTCCAGTCCAAAATGGAACCATCTACGATCAGAATTTGATCCTCACTTCGTGAGTCCCTCCGTTCCGGCGTACCGTTTTTCCGCACCCAACGCGTCTGTTGTGCAGCGATCAAAGTCTCAACAAGACAGCATACGCAGAGGTTGGCCAACCGTGGCAGAGCGGTTCCACCGTCGTACGTATCATTGTTCGATGGACATAATAACGGGTCTAAGATGTCTCCTGTGTAGATCTATAACCTCGGTGTCAACTTGTCTATAGGCGCTACCTTTGTCCATATCGGCCTGTGGCACGGGAAGGAGGTGTGTGGTTGGCTAACTGTGCGCTAACGCCTGACGTATGATTTGGACATGGGATAGCTTTGGGAAGCGTTCATGGACTAGTATGCCATCCATCGACCTCGTGCGCTATGTCGTTGGTGACATTTGTGTCGATCTAGTTTCCATGGCAAGACACCCGCAGATCTGCATTACCAGAAGATGAAGGCAGGGGATATTCTTACTCGTGTATGTCAGATGTTGACAGAATACACCTACTCGATGTAGATCTACAAGGAGGGTACGTAGTCGGCTTTTCAGGACAATCAGCCGAACATGTGGCTCACCTTCCCTGTCAGTCCCGTTGTGGTGGTATGGTTGTATTACCCTTGGCGGTATGCGCCCTCCTTTTCTCGTTGTTATCTGTCATCTGATTCGATATTCTACTATTGCAGCATTCATCACAGCGAGTAAGGTTCCTCTATATTTCACCCTGTGGCGTTTGCGTAACACGATCCGTGTACAGTGGTGTGCGCATACACTGAGCGATCTGGGTAAATCCATCCCCAAGGTTTTCCTTCGTGCTTTAACCATTCTCGCACGCAGATTGCCATGGTGGGCCCTGATAATTGCTCTGTTGTTTGCTGCCATGATCCTGCCATTCTACGGCGCGATGCAAGCGGTGGCAGCGTGAGTCTTGATACAATCAGCCTGTATCCTCTGGCTGAATTTTTACTACAGCTGGGTGCCCGGAATTACCAACCTTTTCCAGATCTTCGCTTCTGCGTTGATCCCTGGGTCGTCCCAAGCCAATATGGTAAGTTCGGCGGTAGTTCCTGGGACGCGGCTCAATTTACTTACTCTGTGAACAGTACTTCGAGTTGTATTCCAGCCAGTCCCTCATTCAGGCGGCGAGTATGCTGAGTGATCTCAAGCTGGGGCAATACACGAAACGTAAGTGGTTGCGTATTTGGCTTTCATGACGCGGACCTGACCGCATGCACAGTACCTCCTAGAGTACGCCCTTTCACAGCTCAAATATTTACCTTTTTTAAGCGTGTTCCGTAGGTGACATTCTCAGTACAAGTCGCGGGTACCGTCGTCGGCGCTCTGCTCAACTGTACGGCTTTCGTGCTACCCCATTCTAGTACTCAATTAAGGTCCCGTAGATGTGATCATGCAAACCGTTGTTCGTAACGAGCGCACTATCCTGGTACGTTGATGAATCAACACAATCTGACCCAGAGATGTTTCGAGGATCTGACGTGATGTTCAACGCTAGCTGAGCAACGAAGGCACGCGTGTTTGGAGCGGACAGCAGATCCAATCGTACAATGCCAACGGTACCGCAAATCTCGTGCCGCCTCCTTTTCTAAGCCGTATTTTAATGAACTATTATAGCTGTGCTATGGGGCGCGCTCGGAAAAGAGATCTGTACGTCCACCGTGTAGTACTGACTTATGTATGGATTTTGACAACCGGTCCGTAGATGGTTCTGGTGGCCCGTACTTCATCGTTCCGCTGGGCATCGTCATCGGACTTGCCTTGCCTGTTATCCCGTGGCTTCTATATAAGAAATACCGCTGGTCCTGGATATTGCACGTGAATACGGCAGTACTAGCTGGTGTGTCTCGTCCATTAACTTTGTACCCATAATGTGACCGTATACCCCCAGCATGTATCGGTGACCTGGCCGGTGGTACCAATGGGTATATCAATACTTGGATGCTGATTGGGCTCACTTCCCACTTCTACATCCGCAAGTACCGGGCTGGTTGGTTCCGAAAGTACAATGTAAGTCGCTAATTGTGAAGGATTCACTGGCAAACCAATTGAATCTGTCATCTAGTACTTACTGGGCGCAGCCGTGGATGGTGTATGTTGCTCGTTTGTGTTTGGCAATTTAACTACTCACGAGTCTGCACGCACAGGGCTCTCAAGTCTTCGTCTTCATCTTCTCGGTACGTGGACTTTAGCGTGGCCGTTGGTCTTGCCTAACTAGTTTGCCGTCTCGAAGTTTGCGCTTGCAGGTGCCGGAGGCGTCACCGTGGATATCCCCTTGTAAGTGTGTCTCGACAATGCTGTGTTCCTTGATGCTCATGAAATACTTGTAGCTGGGCATTGAATCCCGATGGCAATGCGGTATGCCTCATGTCTATGACATTTATGCTCGCATATTAATGAGGAGACGCTATAGGACTATTGCAAGGTCACTCAGCAAGAAGGTTGAAGTAACATGCGTGGATACTTCTGTGAAAGGTGTTGGAGTTCCTGATTCCTCGACTTGTCCGCCTGCCAGGAAGTAGACGTATCGGTAGCGTGTATGATAGTGCAGTAGTCCCTTGAATACGCTTTGCTTAGACGAGATCTACTTCTGTCAAGAGCTTCTGCTGGGGGCAGACTCCGCATCGGCGAAATTCGACTTGACATCGTTGCCGGCAAAGTCAAAACACGTTGAATCTTATATTGTACTCACGAGTGCTGGTCGGATCCGTCGCAGGTCTATCTAATGCTTTCGCCACCATCTTGTAAATATTGTTCCATGATCCTCTGTAATCTGCAACGATCTGAGATTGTTGTAGTAGGCCATCTGACTCCTGTTTACTGTACGCCTCACGTCCTGTTTCGGTAGTACTTCTGCCACATTTGGAACATACACACTAGAGTCGCTTGGAAGGATTAGAATTGGCAATTCGAAGCCTACGTACTACTATCTAAGCACGCTCGAAGCATCCCTGACACACAAGCAAGGTCATCTGCCATCCCATGCGGAATAAGCACTCTTGTGTGTACGTAGATTACCAAGTCAGTTCGAATTTCGGGTCGGGCCGAGAGGCGAGGGCACTCACATGACTCGATCAGGATGTCACGGTAGACTGTGGACCAGCAGCCACAATCCTATTCGAGAGTTTCAAGTAATTGTGTCTTCTTGTCTCCGCGACGCTGGCGGTGTTCGAAATGTCCTTGAGCCGTCTTCACATCTTCGACTCGCTCCGGTATCCCCACTGCTACTGAAGGATGACCGTCAATCTCGAGGACGTCAGCGATGTACTACTACCGCGCCGATATCAAGAAGAAATCTTCGCGCGAGCTCAACGCAGCAATGTGATAGCTGCTCTAGACACGGGAAGCGGGAAGACATACATAAGCACACTGCTGATCAAGTGGATCTCGACAAAAGATGCGGGATTGGGCAAGATTATAGTGTTCTTGGTGCCAAAGGTTGCCCTGGTGGACCAACAAGGGGACTTCATCGCGAAACAGACCCCTTTACGCGTAAGGAAGTATTGTGGCGCCACGGCAATTGACTTAGCAGATCGGACGACCTGGAAGGCTGAGTTGGAGGGCGCAGACGTATTCGTTATGACAGGTATTGAATCCTTGTCCATAAGGGGGCACGAGGACTGAAGCCTTTACAGCCCAGATATTCCTCAATTTGCTCACACATTCTCTATGGAGCCTGGACCGGGTAAGTCCTAGCTCAGCTAGTCATATCAATGATACTGACGGAAGTATCCCAGGTTTCGCTAATGGTGTTTGACGAATGTCATCACACACGCAAGAATCATGCGTACAATGGTATCATGCGCGAGTACTTCCAGGGATCATCGGATAGGCGTCCGAAAATCTTTGGCATGACAGCATCTCCCATTTGGAATCCAAAGGATGCTGTAGAGTCCTTGGCAACATTGGAGAGGAATCTCGATGCGAAGGTCATCGCAGTACGGCAGCATGTTGACGAGCTGATGGACCATTCGCCGAGACCCCAAGAGGTATGTGGCTCGGGATCACAGCGTGGCGCGCGAGGCATTGATATTAACCCCAGCTATTGCACCAATATCCTGCACCGCTCGAATCATATCCTGCATATCACAGCAAGACCTTGTGGGATCGCCTGGATCTGCAACGTATACCCCCCGAGATTGACATACCCGTGGACAAGATTCGGACGAGATACGAAGTGACCTATGCGAGTCTGGGCCCGTACGGCGCTGAACTGTACTTGTATAACGATATCAAGCAACGCATCATACAGATGCAGAACACGACGAGCGGCATGGATGAATACCTTGCTCTTAATCTCGCTGAGCTGAATGGGGATGATGCCTTGACTGCCATCTCTGCTGACATTCCCCTACCGAAGGAGGTGGAGGATCTGCGAGACGGTCTTGCGGAATTCAAGTCCTTCTTCGAGGACGAGAACGGCTCAGAAGTGATCCCTACCACTGTCCATCTTAAATGGTGCTCCCCGAAAGTGCGGGAGCTCATCGATATTCTCTTTGCTCATTACACGTCCAATTTTCAAGGCATCGTATTCGTCGAACAGCGCCATGTCGCAGCATGTCTGTCAAAAATACTGCCTCGAGTCCCACAATTGAGCCATCTCATCAAAACCGGTCAGTTGATTGGTCATGGCACGACCAATCTCGCAAAGATGCAAACCAAGGGCATGGCACTTCGGACGCAGCAAGATATTGTCAAGCTCTTCCGCGAACGTAAAATCAATCTCCGTGAGTACCTGCGACGACATTGTAGCCATTCACTGACTGTTGGAATTAGTCATCGCCACGTCTGTGGCTGAGGAAGGACTGGATTTTCCGGTAAATTTTCGCGCCGTCGCTGCTGTCGAGCATTGTGGCTAACATCAGTATAGGCTTGCGACCTTGTCATCCGCTTCGATCCCTTGCAACATATGGTCGGGTACCTGCAGTCGCGCGGGCGTGCCCGGCACAGGAGCTCTAAATTTATCATCATGGTCCAGGAAGGACATGAGAACCACCTGTCGCGTTACAAGAATTTCTCCGAAAGCGAACCGCATCTTCGCCTGGTGTACCAGACACGCGGTGACCGCGATGACACCGACGAAGACGAGGAGGAACGAGACGATCCCGCTGACCTAGCGGAGAGGGAGCGCTACGTCGTCCTGTCAACCGGGGCAGTTCTGACTTACAACAGCGCCGTCGGCCTGCTCAATCATCTCTGTTCTTTGATCCCTCACGACAAGTACACGCCGACGCATCTACCGAGATACACGGGCGACTTCACGTCGACTCTTCAGCTCCCGTCCAGCCTGCCTCTGACGCCTGCCGACTTGTCGTTTATGGGTCCGGAGAAGCGCTCCAAGAAGGAAGCGAAGCGTGCCGTTGCCTTCCTTGCTGTCAGGCGTTTACATGAGCTTGGTGTTTTCGACGACTATCTCCTTCCGGCACAAAGCAGCGGCGTCGCGGATCATGCAGACGCTGACGGCAGAGCGATAGACGACGTGAGCAAAGTTCCCGATATGCTAGACGTGCAAGTACGGGATCCGTGGACACGCGGCCCCACGCAGTGGATGCACATCGTCTATCTCGACGGCCGACCAACCGCTGGCCTCGTCACTGGCACGTCGCTGCCCCCTGTTGAGCTGGCCTGCCGCGGAACCTATGTATCGACGGGCGAGGGTGTTAAGCTTGATTTCGACGAGGTAGAGGAATGGAATCAACGAAGGGTAATAGAGGACTTCACGAGGATGGGGATATGGTGGTGCATCACTGGAAGAGGGGTCACTCTCCCATTGACGTGCTCCCTGGTCCCTATCACTCATGATCTGCAGGTCGACTATGTCCTCATGGAGAAAGCGGTGCTCAATCCATACGGGGTATATGACTGGGAGGGCATCGGCGAGGAGCATTACTTCCGCCTCCTGCTCATGTGCAATAAGGAGCAGGGCAGGCCCCTTGTCCTTCGGAAATTCCGCCCTGATCTCTCTCCCATGTCTGTTCCCCTGGAAGGCTCGCGTGAGACTGGGTTTCCCACTTACAGGGACTATTGGATTCACAGATTCACCAGACGAGGTGTCAAGCCTGAAGTGTCGGAGGAAGGGATCTGCGTCGAGGTGCAGGCCTTCAACAAAAACTCATCGTGCATCTACTCTCTGGATAACAGTGCCGTTGAAGGGGAGCAGCCTGCGACTGCTTCCGAGATTCTCATGTACCCCCTCAGCATGTGCCGTCGTGCTGAGTTCTCCGAAGGTGTTCGTGACGCATTCCACGTCTTACCAGAACTCTGCCATCGCATCACGGACGTCTATCGCGCACATGCTGCCCGCGTGGAGCTTGGACTCCCGCCAATTTTGGACGATCTACTCATCCAAGCTCTGACCATACCTAGCGCGAATGCGGGCTTCAATAATCAGCGCCTTGAGACTCTAGGCGACTCTGTGCTCAAGCTCACCACCGTCGTCCACCTTTTCAACAGATTCCCATTCCGACACGAAGGCCAACTCGATACTCTCCGTCGTAATTCGGTATCCAATCGTACTCTTCTGGCCCGTGCGAAAGAAGTCGGGCTAGAGGAGTACCTGTCGTGCGAGTCGCAGAGTATGCGGGTCTGGCGCTATACACTGGCCGCTGAAGATGATCCGTCATGGAGTGTGGAACCACGTCGGAGGGCGCACAGGGTGTTCCCTCGCCGGAGTCTCCAAGATTGCATGGAGGCTACGCTAGGAGCTGCCTTCACTACCGGTGGCATGGGTATGGCGCTCCGTGCGGGAACGGCCCTCGGGCTGAGCTTGGGCGGGCCCTTGCCTTGGGATATTAGATATGGGGGTTGCATACCAAAATCCCCTGTGTCTGCACTGTTTACTCTCCTACAAGAATCCCTTGGGTACCGCTTCAGGTCTGGCCGGCTCCTGCTTGAAGCAATGACGCATCCTTCTTTCAACTCCTTTGAGACATCCTCCTACCAACGGCTAGAGTTCCTTGGTGACGGTATGTACGAAACTCTCATCTACTGTCCTTTAGACTTACGCCCGGATAGCCGTCGTCGATCTCGCAGTCATGAGATACCTTTACAACAAATTCCCTCAGGCAACCTCGGGCCAGCTCTCCTGGGCTCGTTCGCGCGCGGTGTGCGCTCCGTCACTGGCGTCCGTCGCGGTGAAGCGCCTCGGGTTGCACAAACTTCTGCTCGTCAACAATGTCGAGCTGAGCATCGCCATTAACAACTATGTTCCTATCCTGGAAGAACTTTCAAATGAGGAGCTCATTCACAACGCTTGGAAGCAAGACCCTCCGAAGGCCATCAGCGATGTCATGGAGAGCGTCCTAGGTGCAGTACTCGTCGACTCCGACTACAACTGGGAAATAGCATGTAGCGTTTCAGAGATGGTGATGGGAGACTTGCTAGTCGTCTTATCTCCCAATCTTCCCCGCGACCCCATATCAGAGTTGATGATATGGGTTTCAAGATCTGGGTGCTCGAAGGCCAGCTTTAAGTGAGTCGCATAGTCATCACTATATGTTATCCTGCGTCTGATGAATTCTTGCAACAGAAAATCTCATAGCAACGCTGAAGCAAAGAAGAACGACAGCATCTCAGTTATCGTGCACGACAAGACCGTTGTTGGCCCTCTATTCGCTCCCAATCTCTCTCTCGCCAAGGGGCTCGCTTCAGAGCGAGCCCGCAGTATCCTGGAGGATCCGAAGTCTCCGTTCTACTTGAAGCGCATATGTAGTTGTGGGACGGTGGATGAGACCACCGCGCAGTCCCATGAGACGGAAGGCTTGGATGATGAGACAGAGGAGGGCTTCGCGAGACTGGCTCGTACATTGAAGGAACTTGACGTCGGGGACGAAACAGAGAAGGCCAAAGTGCCCGCAAAGCAGGCGAAGAAGTCCAAGCAGACTAAGCAGACTAAGCAAATTCCTGCCGACGACTTGATGGATCTATGTGAAGAACGGGAGGTCGAGGACATGATGATGATTGATGATGAACCGATCACCAACGAATTGGAGCCGCAATTTGAGCCACATGAAAGCAATATGCGGTAGGACTGCCACCGGCGTTGAACACACCTGAGACTCGACGAAGGCAAGGCGACATCTCAATTTTGCTACAGGCTATATTGGGAGGCTTTTCTAGGGGAGACTGGATCTGGCTTACTTGAACCCTGTGCTATACAAGGTTCAAGTGTCTCAGACCCAATCATCTCTAAAGAAGGTTCAGAATATATCTCTTGTGCTTTAAATATTGTCAAAGAATTGTCTGTAGGAGAATCATGATGTCGCCTTGCCATGGTCGATTCTCAGGTATGTTCAACGCCGGCGGCAGTCCTCAACATGTATATTGTCGATCGTTGTGTTATGCCTCGCTACTCTGCCTACATTGTTTTCTGAATGTATCGCTATCGCTGTGTATCTTTCCGTGTATCGTCATATGTATGAATCCTCTTGGATCTTATCAAACAGCTTGGAATAAAGTCGTTCGTCCGTGTAAAACTACCTGCACCCAGCGCGTTGATATTGTGTAGGCCAGTATTCGACCCATAATATCAGATCGTTGGTGGAACTCATGCGCGCGGTTCAATAGGGCAGTCACCCCAATGCTCGTATCCATCATGATGATATGATGATTTTTGTACGCGATCACATTGTTTACACATACAGCATTGGGCTGAGATTGTGTCATGCTTCTAGCTATTAGGGGCCAAGCTTAATCGATGGGTCGGAGGTACTCCGCCGGAGAGTTGGTATCCCAATGTAGAAACTATCTCTTGAATATCAAGTACCGGCGGACCGTGTGGAGCACTATTATTCACCTTGCCTCTGCCATCCCCCTCCCTCACCAATACTTCGGCACCACATGGCTGCCCTCGCGAGCACAGAGTTCCTGCAGCAGCTCAAGAGCCTCTACCCGTCCGACCTCTTGACGACCCCTGACGCAGTCATCGCTCAACCGTGGTATCTCATTGCTGCAGTGTCATTCAGCGCGAGCCGCCACGCGGAGGCCGTGCCCGCGGTGTTCGAGTTCGCGCTGGCCGAGTTGAAGCTGGTACAGTTGGGGGAGACGAAAGAGCGTGCCCGCGAGCAGCAGTTGAGACTGGCAAGCAAGATCCGGGAGGCAATCTTGCAGTCTGGTCTGTTGAGTGGCATCCCGAGGGTAAGGCACTGTGTAACCTAACCAAAAATGCCGCTAAGAGTGCATTGCGGAATATATAGGTAATTGAAAGTCTTATCGCGCTGCACGGCGTTATGCCCAAGGAGCTGGAAAGAGAGCAAATTCTCCGGTAAGCTTAGACTCACGACCAGAAAAGACATACAAAGGCGACCGCGTGCTCATCGCCTTGGCTCTCGTAGGGACGCATCTAAGTCCATCGCGGACTATGAGAGAAGCGGAGAACAGCTGTTCCGCTCAATGTACCGGGAGACCGCAGATACCGTGCAAGGGCTTTTGGACGCCGCCTACCCAGACCTGGGTATGTCTGTTTTACAAGGCATGCGGCGGTGCTGACGAACATGTCCATAAGGCTGGTTCTGCAAAATGGTCGGATACGGCGTCGTGTACGGCGGCACAGACGTGTTGACCCAAGTAGAAACGTCGTACGCGATCGTAGCTGCACTCATCGCCATCGATGCACCGCGGCAAATCGTCTGGCATTTGGCGAACGCACAGCACGGCGGAGCCACGAAGGAGGAAGCGAAAGCTGCCAGAGAGATTGCAATGAGGATTGCAGAAAAGGCGGGTGTCAAATGGAAAGACGGCGTACCAGAGGTCGCATGAACCGGCTGGCGCCGTATTCCCTATTGTTATATTTACATGAGCTATATTATGTGAGGATCAATTGACCAAGAACTATGATAGTCCGAACATACGCTCTGTGGGCTGCAGTGAGGTGTAGGCCCATTCACAGGCTCGTATGCGATACTTATTGCCTACAAACCCAGACTCGCGACGGAGTACGCACTGATCAAATCGAACAAAACCATGCGGTCGTGAACGGCATCAATCCCTCTGAGCCTGAAAAGTTCACAACAGCCACATTCGGCTGTGCTAAATGCCCGTCATAAAAAAATGCGATAAATTGAAGCTAAAGCTACAACATTACCAGACAAGCAAAGCACAATAGAAGTCCACTAAATCTCAGCCCATGTACGCTTGCTGGGGCATGCCAGGGGGCGGAGGGGGCATCATGGGCATTCCAGGCATGCCTTGAGGCATGAACCCTGGTGGTGGGGGAGGCGGAGCGAATCCAGGCTGCGGCTGATAGACTGGCATGTTGGGCGGCGGAGGCGGCATGCCCATGGACATACCAGGGGGCGGCATACCACCCATTTGCATGGGCATAGGTTGCGGGACCATGGTCTGCTGAGGCGCAAATCCGGGTGGTGGCGGCGGAGGCTGGGCAGCGAGTGCCCCTGCGAACTGGCCTTGATACGGACCTTGGTATCCAGGCATTGGTGGGCGGGAGCCGAACGCAATTGGAGCCGGGGGCGGCCGTGCCGAGACTGGGAGTGCGTTATTCTTGCGGGCTTGCGCTGCCAGAAGACGCTCGGCGGGAGTTCCATGACGTTCGCCCTTTCCGTCCTTCTTGAACGCATACTGGACAGTAATTGCCTTGTTCATGAGGAACTGGCCGTTCATGGACTCAATGGCAGCATCAGAGGACTCGAAGTCGGTAAACGAAACGAAGCCATAGCCTTTTGATTTGCCCGTGCTGGGATCACGGGCGATCTTGTAGTAGCGAACCATGTCAATTTATGATAAATAAATGACAGACTCATGGCGCACCTTTGCCGTGGTGGCCATTACACCAAAGGCACTGAATGTGTCATATAGCAGTCGTTCGTCGACGTTCTCGTCCAGGTTGCCTATGAAGAGGTTGGCGCCAACATCCAATTGTTTCTTGTCCGAAGATGCCTAGGAAAGGGGCATCTTCAGCACTAGAGCATCCAAGTTTCAGTGTAACCACGTACCTTATTGACCCTAATCGGTTTCCCCCACAGCTTGATTTGGTTCATAATCTTACAAGCATACTCCGCATCCTCCTCGGTCAAAAACTCACAGAAACCGTAGCCCTGGTGCGCCATGGATATACGATCTTTTGGCAAGTGGACGTTGACTATAATTACGAAGTATATCAGTGGGCAATATTCCAACACAATGTACAAGGGACTGGCTGCCTACCGACTGGCCCGGCTTGCAGCATCAACTCCCATACGAGCGCGTCCGAACATCGCTCGTCCAGATTTCCCTAGCAGGACACAATCAGCAACTGAAACCCGTTGGGTCCGCAACAGTACACACCAAATACACAGTAGCCTCCTGATTTCTATCATCCTGAGGACGGGACATGGTGGTATACCGCGAAGTCGAGTCGGTGTTTACGGGAATTTGGTTCAGCGGCACGATTTCCCAAAGCAGTAAAACCCCGTCTAGCGTCTACAACGAACTTGACAAGAGTGTCCACCAATTGCATTTCCGTCTGGCCTACTGATCTCTCATGCTGCTTATCTGGCGCTACTGCGGGGAAGACTGGAATTTGGATGTTGGTCCTTCTAGTCTGTTAAGGTACTGATAGGGCCTGTTCCGAACTTGAAGAAGGTGCTCTTTGTCCCATTGCTGGTAGAGCAGAATGCGTGCAGGCATCAAAATCTCCCATCATGACTTCAGCAAGGTCATGGCATTGTAAAGCCTCGTGTACGGCATGCTGCGATTGAGTACTGGTTGAGGCAAGATTGAGGCTCCACACAAAGCTTTCACGTTCATCCATCTGCTCCGCTCGGTCCGCAGCACGGGCTATAGGTGTGTACTTTATGGTGGATGATTACTGTATCAAGATCACTGGTCCGGCGTATCATTGAACGGACATCGTCTGCCTCGGACATGTCGACGAAAGTTATCTATGTAAAGTATGGCGAGGCCTTATGAGGCCTTCGCACACGGTGCATCCGCATCGTTTGCTCTATACATCGGACCGGAACCTCTTCCGGGGTGTGTCCCCTGCACATCTTCTGTGCCTTTCCATGCAGCTGACCTTATTCTCTCACTGGTCCAGAAGCGGTGGCCGCCCCAAGGTCGACGTCATGATTGTGCAGCAATGCTGTTGTTCGCTTGAGCCTTGCCCGCACGCGTTGACATCTCATACACACGCTAAGTATAAAGCCCCGTTGGTCCGCTGACCGTGTGCACGACGCATCTTGCTTCGGTCCTGTCGTCCACAATGTGGAACCGCTCACTAGTCCTTCTGGTCGTTGTCCTTGTGGCGTTTGCTTTGAGCGCAACGGCCTCGCCACTATCGGTGCGCAGCCACGGCACATCGAGACCACTGAAACAGTACAATATGAGGCGTCCAAATGGCCATGGGCACGCGAGACGCCAGGACCTGAAACCATCCAAGTGAGTGCCTCATGACATACATCTTATGTCCAACCTTGAGCTCATTGCTTGCAGAGCATTTGGCGTAGCAGCGGCTCAAACGGATTAGAGGCATCGTCCAATCGATCTATTCTTCAGTCTGGTGAGCATGCCTTCCTCATGTGTTGTTATTTTAGCGTTGCATGCCCAACCAATTTTACAGGGATCGTCGATATGCACTATCCACGTTCCTTCCGTAATGTAAACAGCTCTAGAGCGTCTGGACAATTTCGCTTGTACACTCGCAATTTAGCTTGAACTACATTATCTCACCATTTCTGTATGCCCTCGTGGCGAGTTGTTCAGCTACAACATTCAATTCAAGCTATCTTCGCGGCACTTGGTGTTGAACTCTACCGTGGTCGATACTTTTGCGAACGTTCACCGTGCCATATTCAAGATCGCACTCGGTTGCTCCTCAACCTCATGGGTATTAGATACCCCCTTAACCCAATGGAAAGCTATAAGAACTACACAAGTTTAAAGGAAATGAAAGTGAAAGGAGACAAAGGCATCCGGGTGGCACAGAACTACCAGACATACCAAAGTGAGAGAATCGTAAGATCAGAAGACCAGGCAGGGGGGCGATGTGTATTTGAGTTGGAGCAAGACAGTGGAAAGGAACGTCGTCGAATCATGGCATGGAGGATATAGAGGCGAGATATTGCGGGGCAAGAAGACATGCCGTAATCTAGACAATGACACACTTCTTCTTACTCTTGACCACGGGTGGCTCAAGGGCTGCGACAATCGCCTGAGAATGCGTATACTGTCAGAAGCGAAGAGCAAAGTGTATGCATTGAACTCGCCTCATCGAAGACGTTCTTCAACCCCTTCTGCGTCAGCGCCGAACATTCCACGTACTTGACCGCACCGAGCTCCCGAGCAAGCCGCTCGCCTTGCTCGCTCGTCACAGGCCTCTGTTTCTGTCTCGCCAATTTCTCTAGAACCTGGGGGTCCTCCCGCAAATCGATCTGCGTGCCGACGATGAGGCACGGCACCCCGGGACAATGATGGTGAACTTCTGGGAACCACTTCTCCTTTACGTTCTCGAACGATGCCGGCGAAGTCACACTGAAACAAACGAGGAACACGTCCGTCTGTGGGTAGGATAATGGTCGTAGACGGTCGTAATCCTCCTGACCTGTGGGAGAGTGGGGAGCATGGTCCCGCGCTGGTGAGTCGAAAGCACTGGTTGTGAAGGGAAGATGGCGTACCAGCGGTGTCAAACAGACCCAATGTGTACGGATCATCACCAATCATCACGGTCACAGCATAATTGTCGAAGACCTGCCAGGAGAGCGATGAACGGAGGACTCTCCTATCCTCACGCAATGCAACGCACAGTAGGAACATATTCACTCGGGAATTTGTTCGTGGTGTACGAGATCAAAAGACAAGTCTATAGGAGGCCGCATGCCGCAATTAGACAATCTGAGGATCAGCGAGGGCCGCGCACGAACCTTTCCTACTGCACCATCTCCCACTACTACACACTTGATTGTTTGCATAGCTCTCCACAAGCTCTATCGTACCGGCTGGGCGGATGACAACTAAGGTTCGCGGGTTCAGTCAGTAAACATACTAGATATCATTGGATGCTAGATCGGTCTCGTGAGGCGCGCAGCGCGCATGCAAGCGACGTGGTACGGCGCCATGAGAAGTTGAGGGCGAGATAGCATGCACTATGACTTAATCGCAGTGGGCTCAGGGGTCTAGGGCTCACCTTGCTGATGCACAATAGCGAGTGCCCGAAACGTAATCCTTCAAGCCAAGAAGTACCCCTCAGATGTAGGAGCAGAAGAACCAGGGCGTGGTCTCAAACCAACCTGAAACAGACGTCACTTTGCCGATTCTGCAGCGTGTTGGCGACGACGCACCTAAAGGAAATACGAGGAAGGCGGCGATGCAGACTGTTATCGACAACGTCGGCCGTGACGAGCAGGATGGGCGAGTGCGGTGCCAGGCTGCCTTGTGGAGGCCTAACAACCACTTGTTGACCGTTTCACCGCCCGCTCCGGCCGCCTGCCCTGAATTCGCCGCCTTGCCGCCGCCCCCCAATTACGGCCTCTCGCCGACTTTGATAGCCCACTATCTCCCTTACATACTCTCTGGTGTCGTCAGTCATTGTATTTGTATTACAAAGGCCATGATCTGCTTCCAAACGGCGGAATCGGCAATTGGCAAACGCAGTTATCCCCCGGGACCGTAGAACCTGGCGACGGCGCAACTGTCATCACCGGCCATGTGTCCGGGCGCTACCACAAACGCGAAATGTTTAAATGGGCGTCTAAGCGACCTGTACCAGCCCGGAAACATGTCTGCTAGTGTGATTGACCCCTCCAAGTAAGCATGTATTAGCATTTGTCTGCGTGCTGAAGACAGATGCACGAGCTAGATGGAAGCATCTTCCACCACCTCCAGGCTTTGGTGCCTCATCTTCAACCGTATGTCACCGAGTTGGATTATGGATCCCGTCTGATACCGCGCAATGGCTACACCTAGTCTAAGACCCCCACTAAGACGTCCAAGGCAGCGACAGCCTCGTATGAGGAGTTGAAGACTAAGCGTGCATGGGACTTTGCTATAGCCCCCGCAAAATCTCTCCCCATGCAGGCGTTCATGCTGTACATGTCCGGGGGCGGCGTCCAAATCTTCAGCATGGGTATCGTGTTCATGCTGCTGAGTAGCCCATTCAAGAATTTAGCAGGGATCAATACTGGTACGTCTATCACCATGTGGTCAGCTCCCATACTCTGGTTCACTCCCTCCGGTAGCCTTTGCACCCTTCGCGCCCGGCTCCGCACCCCCGAAAGCGTTCTCCACGCTAGTTTTGCAGAAGATTGTTTATTTCTTATGCAATATACTAACACTCGCGTTGGGGCTGTGGAAGTGTCGATCAATGGGCCTTCTACCTACTGGGACGGGTGATTGGCTAGCATTCGAGACAAGAGGACCGGTGAGTATTGCCGTCCTTCTCATTGACGTGGCCTCAACTCGCATATTGCCTTGGCAGTCTCCAGAAATTTCACTGCTATGATCGCATGTTGACACATTGTACTCTATGGGCGAGTTTATGTATACCTTCGCTGTCTCCGACCCCAAACAACGTCGCTCGCAGGATGTAGTAATTATTGAGATGAAGGTGCACTCGCGGCGTCCCCCTCGAACCGGAACACTTCCTCAAGATCCTGTGTGAGCGATGAGAACCGCAGTCCGCGTGTCACGAGTGACCTCGATACTCACCAACCACCACGGGAGCTCTCCCCCACTTCCCTCCGCGCCTTCGACGAAGCTCTCCTGCATCTTATCCGTGATTGCCCACCATCTCCGTGTCTCCTCATCTTCAGCCATCATCTTCATGTCCGCATCGAAGTCATCACCCGTGTACTTGAAGTGCGCGATGAGCAAGTGCAGTGGGGGATAGTAGTGGATCAAGTAATCGGCAATGTGGTGCCGTGCGAGCGCTACTAGCACCCCTGGCCAGGCGGCCGCATGAAGGGCCTTGTACTCGACTTCGGCTTCAGGCTTTAACTGTATCGAAAAGGACGGGTTGGAGATCAGAACTTTGCAAGACTACGTGCACCACACCTTAATGATCTGACAGACGCGTTTGCTGTGCGGTACAGACATGGTTAGGCAAGTGCAAGTACCCCAGCAGAGAGCAGATGTCGAGCTTCAACGTTCAACGTTCAACTCGCTCACTCCCGGCCCTTTACTGTTGGTCGACGTGACCCTACAACGGTCCGGCGTACCGCTGCAAACATTCTTAGGAATATATGAATGAAACAACCTACAGGCTCAAGCTTCTAACTATCTGTAACCTGAGCGTCGCCTTGCCCTTGCGAAGTCACGTAGCGGGAGATCGCATTTCCAGAAGTCCTCAGCAGTGAGCATGGGGACTACTCCATTGAGTATCCTCCGAGTCGAAAGGCCCAGACGGGCACCAGTAGTCTGATATAACCTAATAACAGGTGCAAGAACTGCCTGTGCGAGTACTAGCGAACTGAAGGCACCGGCAGACCATACAGCAGTCGTAGGGATTGCCTGGATTCATTACGCGTCACCCAGAATTGGTGCTGCTTCATACGGTGAACAAAGTATCAGACTGCGACCTGCAAGCCAATCATATTGTCATGCTGCGAATAAAGACAGATGTCGAGTACTGCGACAACGGAGGATGTACAGGAGGCAACGATGCGACGAGTTACATCCATTGCTATGTCGGGAGATTGAAACTCCGCCGTTGCCTCACCGCCTCGCGTGTCGCCCATTCCAATCCACGTTCTCTACTCGCCTGCCATCTGCATACACCTTGCTTCACGTTCTCGTTTAACACAACAAACACTCACTCTCGATATCCTTGAACAGCAACAATGACTGAGGGAAGCAACTTCGACTATCTCTTCAAGGTGTGCGATTACCTTTCCCTATTCGAGTCGGCGTGGTTGACCTGTCGTGATTTAGGTTGTTCTCATCGGAGACTCTGGTGTCGGGAAATCGTACGTCGTCCGTAATGGCTCCTCAGATGTGCACTGATCCCTCATGCGTCCTTAATGTCTAAAGCAACCGTACGTCGCACGTTGCTGGGCCGCGTAACTAGCTGTTGACATTACATCTGGTTCTTGCCAGTGCTCTCGCGTTTCACTCGTAATGAGTTCAACCTCGAGACGAAGTCGACGATTGGCGTGGAGTTCGCGACACGGTCAATCAATGTGGATGGGAAGACGCTGAAAGCACAGATATGGGACACTGGTGCGTGTATGTCCATGCCTTACCCCGCTTTCTGTGTCTTCGGCAAACAGGGATAAGGGTCCGGCCACCCTGCGGGGGACGCATGCAAAGTTGTCTGAGCTGTACTGATGATGACATCGCGCAGCTGGTCAGGAACGGTATCGTGCAATCACTGCTGCGTGAGTACTAGTCCGTGGCCAAGAACGAGCCATGTCTCACTGTTAACCAGCTACTATCGTGGGGCTGTCGGGGCGCTGCTCGTGTACGATATCTCCAAGCACGCAACGTACGTGAACGTTACGCGATGGTTGAAGGAGTTGCGTGACCATGCCGATTCGAACATCGTCATCATGCTTGTTGGAAACAAGAGCGATTTGAAGCACCTGCGTGCTGTGCCAACGGAGGACGCGAAGGCTTTCGCTGGTGCGTACTCCTGGCATCTCGGTGGGTGGCCTGCCCTGATGACCTTGAACAGCGGAGAATGGTTTGTCGTTCATCGAGACGTCAGCGCTGGACGCTTCAAACGTTGAGTCTGCTTTCCAGACCATTCTGACAGGTAAGTCAAACAAATTCATCTCCCAACGTGGTGCTCACAACGCCCATCTTGGCAGACATCTACCGCATCGTCTCCAGCAAATCGCTCGAACAATCCTCAGACCCGATCAAGCCATCTACAGGAGACTCCATTACAGTCAGCCCGAGTGTAGATGCCAGCTCAAACCAGGGCAGTAAATGCTGTTAAGCATGCATTGACGGGTGTATACTTGGAGGGTGGATGGTTGTCTTGACATGGATGTTTCTCTGTGCATAGTGCATTTCCTCATCTTGTAATCTCATTTCGCTTGCCCACGTACCTGAGATGGGGATCTGTGTTTTTTGACCTCGAGTCAGTCCGTGAACTGGGTGATTTAGCCACACAATAACCGCGCGTTAACCCAAGCAGCAATTTCAAAATTAACCAAGGGAATACCAGTAAAAAGAAAGGTTTGTGAGAGGCACGGCCCATCTACGCGAACAGACGACTCGTCCTGATCTCCTAAGACTAACTCGGCATGCCCTGCAGGTTGCGGAATTACTTCCCTGGCCAGTCAAGGGCAAATTACACCGAACCAAGCCTCCGCTTTCGCGGTGGTCGGACAAGGTAACCAAGTTTTCTGGAGGGGACGGTCTTGAACCAGCGCACAGATGAGTGAACCCGTTGGAGCTTTAGACCACCTCACATTCCCGGAATAGGACCGTTACAGCCGCTACGCCATTGTACCATAGTAATCCTACCGTGCTCATTCCTCACATCGCTGACCTTTCATCGCGAGGCAGCTGACTGCTCAACCCAACTGCCCTTTTGCGGCCCACTTGGGTTTCCGACACGTAGCGATGATTATCCTCAGCGCGCAATATATCTATCCTGTCTCATCTCCGAGGCCATTCCGTACACATAGGCGTAGCTGAGGTTGAGCCTTCATCGGTACTGCACAATGCTATACCTCCTCGCCCCTCTCGTCGCGCTCTACAGGTTCGTTCTTCAGCCGGTAGCACCATTCGCTTGGTTTGGCTTGAGTTTTTCGCTGCTCGATGTCGCCGCGGCGTTCCGGACCTGCGTCGCCCTGCGCCAGCTGAAGGAGCAGTTTCATGCTAGACACATAGCGAAGAAGCAGGCAACGAAGGAGGTGACTGTGCAGGATGTCGAGAGCCGATCGTTCGTGAGGGATGTCACCGCGACCCTCATGGTGGTGTACGGAGGGGAGGCCGTCACTGGTGAGTCCATTAGTACTAAGGTGCTGTACATAGACTGACGCATACCTGTTAATTTCAAGCTCCCGCCCTTGGCATTCCCTGTTCGTTCATGATTTCCGGTGCGGGACCCGCATTTTACGCCGGCATCGACGCCATCGTAAACAGAATCCCTGCCATCCACGCCCCATCGCTCGAGACAGAGCTCCCCATCTCGATCCTGGATGGTTTCACGCGTGCCATGCTTTTGTGCGAGATCGTCCCGCCCATGATCACGAAGCACGCCGTGCCCGCCGTCGCTAACTCTCCTTGGTCACTGCTTGTAACTTCCCTGGTTAGTGTGCGGCAACACATCTCATGATGAGTATACTGATGGAGAACCCAGGTCACAGCTAACGGCGGATGGTTCTTCGTCAACATGTTGTCCTTCCTGCAGCCTTACTCGCTGTCTCTCACTACGCCTCCCGAGTTCCTACCGTATGGCTGGACTGCCACCGACCTCTGGTGTGCCCCGCTCGTTACGGGTCTATACGCGCTCCTCACGCACGCGCAACCCTTCTGGGCGGACGCGCATGCTGTTGCGATGGGATGGCTTGGCGCGGCAGCAACAGAGAGCGAGAAGGTACAGCCGGTGGACCCAGAGTATGCCCGTGCGCTATGCGCGGTCGTGCTCGCGGGCATGTTCATGACACGCACTATCAAGACATTTAGCGCCTCGACAGTGAAGCCGCTTGCTGGCCCGAAGACGAAGGTGCAGTAGAGAACGGTTGACGATCGATGAGTACCACTGTCTACCCCTTCTATCTCTGATGTACCCGTCCGTGTGCTCTTTAAATCTTCTTAGAGTATATATACGTGGAAATTGACGAATGTTTTCGGATTGGATACGCATGTAGGATCAAAGTCATAAGCATATAGGAATAAATGCATAAAGCTACATAGGGCGTCATGAAGATGAACAGCATACTGTATCAGCTACACTTGGGTATTAAGCAGGCTGCGACGGGTATACTATTCAAACGACGAAAGGAGAAAGGAGTGTCTGTTAGGTTCCATGAGTCTATTCGTTCTCGTCAGACAACTCTTCGTGTAACGTCTTCCAATCGGGTGTCTGTCTGCGGAGGCATTGCGGTTGAGCGACGGGGATAATAAGCGTAGCCTCGATATTCATAAGCGCCTGAAAGACCTGAGAGTCGAATTCGTGGTTCTCGAGCACGAATATTGATAGTTGTCGTTTCCTCGTGTCATACGCGCGCGCCGTTACATCAGGAGGTGTACCATGGAGTTTCTTTTCGAATGTGCAGACGCTAGTGCGGTCCTGGTGGCATGTCAGTAGTCTCGCTAATTGAGGTGGCATGGATTGGACATGCCTCCTGTTCGAGGTTGAGCCATGTCTCCACAGGTAATGGTGAAGACGTTATTGAGTAGACGCCCAGATATCGTCCCGTTTCAAAGCGTTCGCCAGTACCAGTACGTGTCATGAGATGGAAGATATTATATTTCACATATCGCACGACATCCTCGAGTATGGGCGACGCGCTGTATAGACATCCATGTTCACCCGGCTTGAGCAGATCGCAGCGAACCGTGTTCTTAGGACACACGACCACTATTGGCAAGTGTTTTGAGGGTGATTGTGAATTGTGGCGGAAACACTGGACATCAACCACGTTCTTCCTTTTCCTGCACGTCATTCGGTTTTGTTTCACATATTCGTTCAGGGTTTGGAGACTGAAGGGTCGAGATAATGAGACTTTGTCCTTGTGCGGTAAACCAGCTAGAAGCTCCCTGTGGTCGCAGTCCGGGACGTTGCGAGACAACGAAACATGGGGGGGCGGTCTTTGCACGACAATGGGTGGCACTTGTGGCCGTTTTAGTGGAGATTTGGGCAAGAACAAAGGCGCTGCTTTTGAACTGGGTTTCCTGACTGGCGAGTGCGGAGGTGTATGCCAGACTGGAGGCTGAGGGATTGAGATAGGTTTCAACATGGCGAGGGAGTAAGAGAGAGAGAGAGAGTAAGAGCTCACCTTGTCTGTCGCGTCGGAGCCATGTTCGGATTGAGATCGAGGCTGGTCAGCCGCTGTGGTGTCGTTCATCGTGCTTGGGCCCGTCAACGTCTTTCTTGTGAGGTCTCGTATTTGCCTTGTAGGGTTTGTCTTGCGTTCTGCGGGGCATTAGAGCAGAAATACGCCCGAGCTTTATAGTCCATGGATTGTGGCGATCCTCGTGTTTAACAAGACTCTTTGACCGTCTCGCTTGTGCGATGGGTGGCTCAGCATCAAAGCGTGGGACGAAACCGATACAAACAACCTTGCTAGAAGAACAAAGGCAAAGCCACAGAGCGGGACAAGGCCTGGCAACCCTTTTGGAGTCAGAGGATGTGCGGATATCGCAGCCGTCGTGTGAGGCGAAGAGCCACCAGCGAGCCACCGACTTCATTTGCCACTTTCCTCTCATCAAATTATTCCGAGCCAGTGACGTAACAGTTCTCCCAAGTGAATGAGCAGGTGGATAGGGGCAGCCTTGCTGAAGACGAGAGCTTGGTTTGAAAAGGGACCTTTTGGTCTGTACGAACTAAAGAAGATATTCGATCGCAATGCCGAGCAGCCCACAGTAGTCGATTTGAGTAGAGTCGATAGGAAGTCATGGTTGTCGTCAAGTAGCTGCGCCGCCAAGGTTGAACAGTGGGGAAGTACTGTAGCAGGCTCCAAGCAAGCAGGCAAGCTCGAAGGAAGAGAGAAGAGAGAAGAGAGAAGAGAGAGCCACAGGCGTCTACATACTTGGTCTGTATCCCCACCTCAGGCAGCTCTCGCTCAATCTGAACACGAAAGTCAGCCCGTTTGCGAGAATATACAAGATAACAATCTGGGCTCCTGAGGCTGGCTGCGGCCTTTGAGGTGTCTTCAGACTGCTTTTTCAGGAGACGCTGCTACACACCGTTCTGAATCAACGCTCTGTCTGTCCTCTGTGTCGAGATATGTGGACTATCCGGAGGGAGTGGATATGTATTTCTCTTGTGCTGGCCCAACTTGCTCTCCCAGGCGCAGCAATGTGGCCCTTCTCCCCGAAACGCTTTAGCGGCAACGCTCTGCTCTCTGCAGGATCCATGGGTGTTGACGGCGATGGTGGCATTATTGCATTTGGGGACTTCAATGGGGACCAGTTGTGAGCGCGGTTTGTAAGTCGTTTGATGTAATACTCAGGTCAATCTAAGCTTGGATTTGCTGGGACTTTCATCCGACCGCCAAACGCTCTCAGTCTACCTGTGGAATCACGGTATGTTAATACCCTGTGCAAGGCGCATCGAGGATATTGACGCAGATCAGACGAGTATAAATTCAAGAAGTCTGCAGTATTTCGACATCCGCAGAAAGTGCAAAATGTCGTTCCTGGCGACTTCACCCAAGACGGCCGACTGGACATTCTGGTCATGAGTCAGGCCGGAGCTGGAAATCAGCTCTCCCTTCAGCTGTATATTGCGTCTGAAAAGGGCGGTTACAGTACGTGTACTATGTGCTTGTCAGGACGTATGTTACAATGCAGGTTGGCAGGCCCGCATCCGGTTATTACGCCACCATCTGTACAAGCACAACCCATACCAATGGATATGGATGGAGACCTCAAAGTCGATCTCTTTGGCATTCCCTCGCCTGCCTCAACGAACACTCCTTTCAAAGTGTGGTCGAACGTCTGGAATGCATCGCAGAGTAATTCCCCCATATTCAATGTGTGCGTGTGATTCCATTCGAGACGACTGGCATCGACCGACTACTGAATGGTAATCGGTTACTCTTACTGCAGCACCGATCCGAAGTTCAATGGCAGCCAATGTACACTGTCCAATCCACACAGCAATGCAGCTATAGACCTCAATGGAGACTGCTTAGCAGGTCCGTATCTTATCGCCACGAAATATTGTGCATCGTATTGAAAGTAGTAGATATCTTCCTTGTTTGCGATGAGGGTAGCACGGGGTCCAAGTACTTTCAGATATGGGTAAACAACAAGGACAATGGCTTTGTCTTAGCACATCTCGGACGTCTTCCGCAAGGAACGCAGTCCATTTCATTTGCCGATATGGGTGCGCCATTCTCTAGCTTCCTTATTCTAGCTTGATCATGAACTATCCGACAGACCGAGATGGAACCATTGACATGGTCTTTGCGACGTGCTCTTCCATATCTGCATCCTCCGGAGTGGGATCAAATTGCTACATCAACATAGCGTACAATAAGCAGCTACCATTGTGCGCATCGACTACGTCTTCAGGGATCCAGAAAGGCAAGCGCGTGTGTCGACAGCCAGAACAATTGTGCACAGCAGATCCGGACTTCCAGTTCGACTTGTCCGAGCGCAGTGACAATGATGTAAGTGGTTTGAAAGTTCACCAAAAGGGCAGTCCTTGATGGTGTGGGAATAGGCCTTCGTCCGCTTCCCGGTGTCAGACGTATTCCGACCCTCAGGAGATGCCTCCACTGCACCGTCTTTACTAGTTCTCGACACGACGCAGAACCCCCCTCTTCCAGTCCCACTCAAGATTGCTGATGCCAACCAAGATGGCTTTCCGGATATCCTCGCCATTGTGGCGACGCACACGGGCTCGAAGACAACTCGTACCCCACAGCTAGCCTTCTCCTTGCCATGCGGATCAGGCGTTGGCGGCTGCAAGAACGGCCACGGACGCAGGGGCTGGACCGTGGTTACCAAAGGCGCGTCACCGCTGCGGAACATTCAGGATGCACGTTCCGTTGCGTTCTTAGACGTGGACGAAGACGTACGTGATAAGCCCTGAATGGAGAGGAGCTCTCATGACGTATTGTTGTGTTATCAAGGGCACGTTGGACATCATGGTTCAGCGCACAGGGGAGCAGGGTGAAGGCAACATTCTCTTCATTCAGAACAACTTCTATTACGACGCGTTCTTCTTGAAGGCGATTGGTGAGTTCTCCTTTCACTCGATAGAATGCGTTTGCCCTGATACATCGTGGCACGAAGTCTTGAACGGAGCTTGCGGTGGAGGGATGTGCAAGAGCATCAATGGGTCGGGTACATATCAAGTACGCGGTGCTTTAGCTAGGTTTTGCAGTTGCTGATCAGTCTCGGCTCCAGCCGTTTGGTGTTAGCTATTCTGGAGCCACATACAAGTACACAGTCCTTGACACGTCCGGGCGTCGCTCCGCTGCTGAAGGTCTGTGTCAATGTGTGCACTATGATGACTGAGGTTAACTGCTGTCACAGTCGGCCAGCTTCCCCAGACGTCTTATCAGGCTCTGCTTACGCCATATACGTATTTCGGACTTGGTCGCACAAACAACTACATCGAAAACCTCTTCGTCGGATCGACTAAGCATACTGATAATCACTACATCAATATGGAGGGCGTTATCCCAAATTCCAAAGTGGTCATAACCCCACCGCTAGATGCCAGTCTCTGGAAGCGGGAATTGTATTTGCGCCCCGGGGAGTGGATCCCGTGGGTCACCTTGACCGTCGTGGCTACCACAGGCGTGCTCGCTATCATTGTCTTCGTCTTACATCTGAATGAGAAGGTAAGCTGCCCTTGGGTCCCTCCCTAGCACTCAGCTGATGGCCTCATCCTTACAGAGGGAAGACGAGCTCGAAAGAAGGCGGGCCTCACATCACATCAACTTCGATGCACTATAGTACATAATTCATATGGACTCGCACCATTCTATATACCCCGAGTCCGTTGTAAGCCTTACAGTCACTTTGTCAGGCAATTGCTGGCAAACACGGTCCACTAAACCAGGTAGTCTGACCCAATCTACACGAGCTCCCACTCCATATGCTTACCATCCCCTCCATGACAAACAACTCGATTATCCGCCTCCAACTTGCGCAGGTGCATGTCCACACTGCGGGCTGCGCCGTCCCACAATTCTCGAGGATAGTCCTTGTAGATGGCGGATACAAGAGTCCAAGTTGTACAGTATTCCTCTGATGGAAGCGACTGAAGCGCCTGGACGATCTGGTCCTCTCGAGCTTGTCTGTTCTGCAGATACCCACTGACGTGCTTCAGGCCCTCCTCTACCACGGGTCCATGTCCTGGATACACCGGACCATACTTCGCACCGCCTTCACTGAAGTCGATCATCGTGCGCAGACTAGACATGTATGTACGTAGATCCTCGAAGACGGTGCTGCCATGACCAAGGACGGTATCGGCAGTGAAGAGGGCACGGTCCGTCGGGTAGTAGAGGCAGAGAGAATCGGTGGTGTGTCCCGGAGTGTGTAAGACTTCAAGGACGGACGTCGGCGTTGCAGAGACCGTCGTCACATCCAATGTCTGGCCATGTCGTAGCTCGTGGATGTGATTGCCCGAGGAGTCGGGAGTAAATGAGTCGCTTGGTATCGAGGATAGGGTATCGAGCACGGTGCGGAATCGTGTGTCGGGAATGGTTAGGGGATACTTGTGGATGCGGGGTGGTTGGTACGGAGCGGGATCAGACCCACAATGCGTGGCCCATAGTCGTTTAAGCAAGTCCAGGACCGAAGGCAGCCCGAAGGTATGGTCATGGTGTTTGTGGGTCAGGATAATGTCCGATACATAGGGCCTGTCTACCGCATGAGGCCGCGAGGCATCTCGTAGCGCAGCTTCCAGCAAAGGAATATACGCATCCTTGCCTTCTCCGGTGTCGATCAAGATGTAGGGATTGCGTTCGCCTACAAGATAGGTGTTTGTTCCTATATGCACCGATGAGAACACGGACCGTATACAGCGTAAGACGACGTACCTTGGAGTGTGTAGGGACCGGGATTCTGACAAGCAGCGCTGAGTCGTTCAAATCGAAAGCCCTCTCTTGGGATGGCTCAGCGTACCTGCCCAAGTATCCGCACTACAGTCTTGCTAAGCTAGATGATGAATCGTTAGAACATCTGGGAATGAATTTAGACGTCAAGCTTTCCGCTCACCTGAGTAGTCGAAGGCAATGCTCTCAACGCCTCCATACTGTATGGGACCGTGTACTAAGCAGTTCACAGCTAGTGGGGAAGCCACTTGCGCATGTACAGTGCTGTGAAGCGCCGAACCGAACAATCAAACAAGCTGAATCATCTTGAACTTGGAAGTCGTGCGGGGAGTTTTCCAGCTACATCCCTGAGAAAGAGGAGCCGATACATGCCATTTCACAAGAAGCAAAGCAGTGCCCCCCTCTGGCCAGCTCTTTAATTTATGGAGGTTTGATCTGGCGTCTGTCTTGAAATGGCAGCAAATCAAACAAAGACAAACATGCTCTCACTGAGCATAGCAGGCTCGACAAACATTAGGCCACTACTGCTTGCTGCTCTTGAACGGCGACAATGGCAACCGCAGCGACCATGACACCCGTCGTCCCCTCGAATGGACCACAACAAAAGCGCAAACGGTATGTAATACTGCTGTAGATTTCTTGAAGCGTGTCGGTTCTGACTGTGGTACAGGACTCGTTCGCGTTCACCTGAAAACTCCGAACAGCCTCCTTCGTCCAGGCGGAGATCTCTCTCGCCTCCGCCTCCTAGTCGTATAGTTGAGGTACCAAAGGTCAGCGATGTTGACCCTGTGCGTCGCGCAGAGCGAGAGAAGCAGCTCGCGGCGCGGTTGGCAGCCATTGAGCTGGAGAAGTTGGGTCGGGACAAGGACAAGGACAACAAGGAGCCTAGCTTTGATCCGAAAGCTGAGTTTGCGAAACTCACGAGCACTCGGTCTGGCGGTGTCTACATGCCCCCGGCGCGTCTGCGCGCCTTGCAGGAGGCCGCGTCGAAGGACAAGACGAGTGCCGAGTACCAGCGACTCTCGTGGGATGCGCTGCGCAAGTCCATTACCGGTATCGTCAACCGAGTGAACGTCACGAACATCAAGCATATTATCCCCGAACTCTTCCAAGAGAACCTTATTCGTGGCCGAGGTCTTTTTGCGCGCAGCGTCATGAAGGCGCAGGCGGCAAGTTTGCCCTTCACACCTGTCTTTGCTGCTCTCGTGGCGATTATCAACACCAAACTTCCTCAAGTGGGCGAGTTGGTACTCACTCGTTTGATCAGTCAATTCCGACGTGCATTTAAGCGCAACGACAAGGTACGTCACTGCGGAATCGAAACATTACTGTCTACTCACAGATGTACCTAGATTGTATGTCATTCTACGACGACTTTCATTGCCCATCTTGTCAACCAAGGCGTCGCACACGAGATCATTGCCCTCCAAATCCTTGTTTTGCTACTTGAACGGCCGACAGACGACTCTATCGAGATTGCTGTTGGCTTCACGCGTGAGGTCGGCGCCTACCTCGCTGAGAACTCGCCTAAAGCCAACGCAACGGTCTTCGAACGCTTCCGCGCTGTGCTGAACGAGGGCAACATCAGTCAACGTGTCCAGTACATGATTGAGGTCCTAATGCAGGTGCGGAAAGACAAGTATAAGGACAATCCGATCATTGCAGAGGGCCTGGACTTGGTAGAGGAAGACGATCAAATCACTCATCAAATTCAGCTGGAGGAAGAGCTACAGGTACAGGAGGGCTTAAGTGAGTACTTAGCTGTATCGCTGGTTGGGTGGATGCTGATGTATATTTAGACATTTTCAAGTTTGACCCGAAATACGTGGAGAATGAGGAACGATACAAGGCTATCAAGGTTGAGATTTTGGGCGAAGATTCTGAGGATGAGGAAAGTGGTTCGGAGGAATCATCTGAGGAGGAAGAAGACGAGGAAGGCATGTTGCATTTCGCGAGTCCATTTGGTCATATTTTGACAATTTTGCAGCTGTGGAGGAAAAGGCCGGTATCGAGGACCGCACGGAGACTAACCTCATCAACCTTCGCCGTATTATTTACTTGACGATCATGAATGCATTGAACTACGAAGAAGCCGTCCACAAACTATTGAAAGTTCAGGTTCAAGAGGGCCAAGAGGTGGGTCAACCTTACTATGATCATTGAGACGCGTACTCATATACCCTCCGCAGATTGAAATGTGCAACATGATAATCGAATGTTGCTCGCAGGAGCGATCTTACTCCACTTTCTACGGTCTGATCGGTGAACGGTTCTGCAAGCTCAACCGAATTTGGAACGAGTGTTTTGAGCACGCTTTCGGGGATTACTACACAACCATTCACCGATACGAGACCAACCGACTCCGCAACATCGCCCGCTTCTTCGGACACTTGATAGCGTCAGACTCTGTCTCGTGGACGGCGATGGAGTGCATCAAGCTGACGGAGGAGGACACCACGTCTAGTAGCCGTATTTTCATCAAAATCATGATGACTGAAGTGACGGAAGCTATGGGCTTGAAGACCATAGTGGAGCGGTTCAAGGACCCAGAGGTTCAGGCCGCGTGCAGGGGTATGTTCCCGTTGGACAACCCGAAGGACACGCGCTTCGCAATCAACTACTTCACGAGTATCGGCTTGGGTGCCGTTACCGAGGAAATGCGCGAGTACTTGAAGGTATGTCCGCATCATTTCTACAGGTATGCCACGCTCACATCTGGGTTCAGAATGCCCCGAGGATCATCATGGAGCAACGCCGAGCCATGTTGGAGGCTGAATCCTCGTCGTCGGACAGTGATACCGAATCCGATGATTCCAGCGATGCTTCCTCTGACTCAGACTCAGACCCCTCATCGTCCGAAAGTGACACAGCCTCACGCTCTCCTCCGCGACGTGAGAGTGGCCGAGGCAGAGACTCGCGTTCGCCACCACCCCGTCGCAGCAATGGGCGCGGACGCGACGACTCACGGTCGCCGCCTCGTCGTTATGGGCGTGACGACTCACGAACACCTCCGCCTCCTGGCCGGCGTGCCTCTCCTTCCCCGCCTCCTCCTACACGCCTCCGGGGTGACAGGGATGCCGACCGTGACCGGTACAAGTCCCGGAGGGATTCACCCCCTCATCGCCGTGAACACTCCCCTCCGCGGAGACGCGAGTCGCCTCCGCGCCGCCGTGACTACACACCGGATCGGCGTGACCGAGCGCGCGCGCGCACTCCGTTATCGCCTTCGCCTCCCCCGCGCGCCCGATATGACAGCCCGCGGCGAAATGGAGACAGGGACAGAGATGCAAGACCGTCGAAGAATGGCTACGACCGCAGACGGCGGGACGACTCGAGGGACGACCCTAGGGAACGGCGCCGGTCGGTCTCGAGAGATCGGTACGGCCGAGACTCGAGGAAATGATTTCCACACAAAGTTCCGGTGTTATGATGCCCGCAATGTCATCTATCATGTCACGCTCTGTACCTGGTTGCCTGTAATGCCACTGCTGCTATCTTGTATGGGACTCTGTAATATGGCTTTTGCCCATGGAATTTTGAGTACGTGAGGTACAGGAGCTGCGTGCTGAAGTATCCATAAATCTGCATGGCAAAACAGCTTGAATCTCGCGTGGGAGTCAACGCGTGGTCACGTGCTGCGCCACCGACGCGTCGAGCAGACGCGCTACGTCAGGGTGGGAGAGTGCACGCGGTCGTCATGGGGTCATTTGAAAGGACCCCCTTTTCGGCGCACAGGAATACTCTGCGATAAATAATACTCCCGCTACCTCTATTCCCACATCTCCTTTCCTTCCCCTCCTCCGACACACCGCCTATCCCTCAGCCATGGTCGGTGAGTTCCCCACCACGGCCAGTGCGCCTCGCCGTAATCTTATGTGGTGATGTCCCAGGAACGAAGCGCGCCGCCGACGAGGAAGCCACTGGACCCACCACTCGGTCTGCGAAGACACCCAAAACCGCGCCCACTGGGCGGGGCGGCCGTAAAGGCGGCAAACGAGGGCCCAAAGTGCGTTTCCACGCCCTCCGGCGCGCGCCCGATAGCTGACTGTACGGCTCCCAGACCAACTTGGCCGCGTCGGCGTTCAAGGCCCGCGCGATGCCCCTGCACGTCAACATCACACACACGCCCCCGCCGCTCCCAGATGCGGCGGAGGAGGGCGAGGACGCCACGGCTGTTGCGACGGTCGACCCCGGCTTCATCGGCGCCGTGACACTCGTCCCCGACACGTTCGCCACTGGGAGCTACGGCTGGAAGGGAAGCAAGCGCCTCACCATTGAGCTCCAGAACGTCGAGAGCGCGGAGGGCGAGAAGGAGAAGGTGCATGTGATGCTGACGTACGTGCTTCCCCCCCAGCTGTCTGTTGCTCCGTTTGAACGAACCCTCGCTGACGCCATCACCTCGCCTAATAGGATAAACGCAACTGTGATGGGAAGCAAAGGCGCCAAGGAGGAGGGCGGCGAAGAGGGCGCGGACGAGCATGTCGAGAACGGTGCGGAGGCAAAGGAGGAAAACGGCGCGGAGCTCAAAGCTGAAAATGGCCTAGAGAACAAGGGCGAGAACGGCGCCGAAGAGAATAATGTCGAGGCCGACATCACGGAAGCGGCACAGGAGACGGCGGCATGAGCGTACGGGGTCTACCTTATCTTGTTTATTCAGCCTATCTGTATTACTATCTGCTGTAGTGTATTGCTGCGTGATCTAGTATAAGTGCAAATCATGATGCCAATGCACAGCATGTGTAACGAAGACATTACCAACTGCCGGGAGACTCTATGGAGGCGACATAGTAGAATAAGGGCATGTATACCCCAAAGCACAGAAAAGTCCCCATGCTATTCAGTCTACATGGACGCGATGTCAGAGATCGTCCAAGAGAATGATTACAGATATACGCACCTCAGCCAACCGCTAGTTCGCTAATGAACGTGCGTTCTCCGTAGCGGCACAGACAGTGAACTGATCGCTGTGCTTCACCCGCCGTCCTCAGCGCGTATCCCTGCAACCACTTTTGTCAACGCCTCCCGCCTCATTGGAATCCAGAGCGCCTCTCCCTGCGCGACCCCGTTCGCCCCCGGCACATCGACCGACACCACCAGCCCATGATCTCTAAACTCTGCCAACAGCGCCCGCAGCGCGCCATCACTCGTCGCAACAAACTCGTCCCGCGCCGCGCTAAACAGTCGCGCGTAATCGTACGCCGCCTCCACACCAGTCGCGCCCGCGCCCACGCCTCCCGCTGCGCCATCCGCCATCAGCTCGAGCTGCTTCCCTCCGAGCAGGACGAACAGCTTCCGCGCCTTCTGGGTCACGCTCGCCAGCACGTGCCGCGCTGCGCTCTCGCTCACAATTTGCACCCCCGCGCCGGCCGGTGCCCCCACAGCGGCGGCGGGCGCCCCGCGGCGGGTGCCCGCCGGAGCACTCGAGAGCGACGCGGGGTCTGCGCCCGCGAGCTCAAAGTCGTATGGCGCGAGCGTCGTCAGATCGTGCCAGAGCCACGCGAAGCCGCGTCGCGGGAGCGCGTTTGCAACACTATCACCGTCCATATTATCGTCGTCATCATCGCCGTCGCCGCGGGCAGCGCGGGCCTTTCCTTTGCCCTTCGCGTTCCTGCGGCTGCCGCCGGGAGCATGCGGCGCGGAGTCTGATTTGCGCGCGAAAAGCTCCGCGAGCGTCCAGCGCGTCGGCGCGGCGACGTGGTCGATCGACGCCACGAGGTGGATGCGGGGCGCAAGAGCCAGGCGGGCGAGACACGCGCGGGCCTTCGCGGTGCGCAGCCCGGGGCCGTCGACGTTGTGCACGACGAGGTAGAGGCGGGGCGCGCCGTCTTCTTCATGCGCCGCGGAGAAGATGTCGTATACCCGCTGCGTCTGCGCCTCGATCCCGGTAGCGGCGGCGGCGGCAGTGGGGAGCGCATCGTCCGCATCGCGCACGGGCGGGGTCTGCGCGATCGCCGCGAGGAGGTCGCGCAGCGCGAAGCCGGGCTGGAAGGCGTTCACGACGAGCACGTGCGCGCCGCGGCGGCGGGCAAGGGCGGCGGCGAACGCGTTGAGCACGCGGCGCTTCGAGCCGTAGCCGTGGCAGAGGACGTTGAAGCCCGCGCGGAGCTCGGCGGCCCACTGCGCGAAGAGCGCGCGGCGCGCGGGGGAGTCGGCGGCCCAGAGCGTGCGCGGCGCGGGGAGGCGCGCGAGGGCGGCGGCGTACTCCTCTGCGGCGAGCGCGGGGACGCGGTGCGAGAAGACGGCGGCGGAGGTGCGGGCGGGCCTGGCGGCGTGCGCGAAGTACGCGTCGAACGCGGTGTGCGCGGTGAAGGTGGCGCTGGGGAGCGTGTCTGGGTCTGCGGCCGCGTCGTCGAAGGGGGTGGTGTGTGCGGGCGTGCCGGGGGTGCTGGAGAAGACGGAGGACGCGCGCGAGGAGGCCCGGGTGGACGCGCGTGAGGATGTGGCAGGCGTGGAGAGCGGCCATTCCTCGACGCCGTCGTCGTCGCCTCCGTCTGTGGTGTATGTATCCGTGTGGTCTGAATGCATCGGTGCAGCCGCCCCAAACAAAGAGTGGCAGATGGAAGTCGGTCGCAGAGTCGAGCGCTGATGTGGCTGTCGATCGCGACTTGCTGCATCAAGACAATCGCCTGCCTTTTCAGGTAAGCGGGCTTATGTCGGACATTTCCGAGGCCCGTGAATTATTTGTGAAACTCCGTTGACAGCCGTTGCGCCACAGTGCGGTGGGTCTGGGCCGTTGCAATTGAGGATGGCTTGTTCCCGGTCCATGATGGATCATCTTGGTATGATAAATATAACATTATATTATGTATTAAATTCGGGCTTGCGCAGCGCATTTCCTATGACTTGAGAACTGGTCGATCGCCGTAGTGAACATGATGCATATCACTCAGTGAGATGAGAAACAAACCAGAAGGAACGAATCGTGTAGCCGCCTATTGACATGACGGACTTGGAACACTGCCTTCCGTTGGCGAATGATCTTACACCGATTCTGAGCTGGCTCACGACGCCCACGCAGTCCACGATAGCAAGTACAGCATGTCATAATGTAACAGCGAGACTAAAATAACGAGCACCCAGTAACGACAAAAGGACACGACAAAGACCAGACCAGACCAGTAGACACGCAAAGTACCTAGCTAGACACACGTACAGCAGCAGCAACCGCATCTCTGTCCGCTGTCCCTTCCCCTCTCACCCCTCACCCATCCCCCTGCGACCTCAAGTTCCAGTCCGGTGATAGTATGGTGCCGACCCGCACGCACGCCCCAAATCTGCCTGCCCCGGCACTCACTCACCAGCTCTCCAGCCAGTGATCACCACAGACGCGCCCGTCAGTGCACAAGCGTGAGGATGCGCTCATAGTCCTTCCGCACAGTGTTGAACGTCTCCTCCAGCTTGCTCTGCCGCTCCTCCTTGTCCAGCTGCGACAGCGCGTCCTGCATCATCCCGCATCAGTCTCACACAACCAGACACAAAGCGCGCGCGAAACAAAACCATCCACTCACAAAGTTGAACCGGTACAGCCGCTCCTTCACCTGCAGCCGGTATTTCTTCTGCGCCTTCACGTCCGCCGGGTCGAGGTACCGCAGGACCAGCATCTCGACCAGCCGGTGGAACTGCCGCTATCATCCCCACCCCCCACATCCCTTTCGTCAGCGCAACCCGCGAACCCGTCAACAATCAGCCACTCACGCTAGCGATCTTCAGCTCGTTCCGCCACTTCTCAAGCCACGCCTTGTCCGCCGGCGGGCCCAGCCTCCCCCGCTTCGCTGCCGCCCTGCTGCGCGCAGCGCCATTCGTGCCCACGCGGCCCCCACCGTCGATGCTCACGCCAGTATCACCCGGCTCATTTATGGCACCCAGCGCATCACGCTCCCGCCCGTTTCCGTTTTCCCGCCCATTCTCGTACCCGTTCGCACAGTGCCCGTGCCCGTGCGCGCGGCCGCCCCGCACGCGCCGCGGCACGCGCCCGCCCGCCGTGCCCGCCCAGCACTCGCCCAGCGCCTCCCGCATAAAGCGCTCGTTCGCAAACAGCATCTTGAGGTCGTTCCGGTCGCGCAGGTCCTCGAACGCCTCCGCGGGGTCCTCGACCGTCAGCTCCGCGATGTGCGGCGACGCGAGGACATGCTGGTAGATCGCGGTGTAGAGCGCGGCTGGTGGCCAGATCAGGGAGTCAGGGCGAGAGGGTAGGACAAACGCGTTAGCGCAGGGAGGGCGGATCGAGTGGGCGTACTTACAGCCATGCCCCTCTTGCTGGTACGGCGGCAGGATAACGAATTGGCTGCAGGAAGATGGGCCAGATGGCGTTAGTATCGCCCCGAACACCGGAGCCCCAAAAAGGAAATAAACGCATTCCGAGCGCCATATCGTGCGCAGATCAGCGGTCACCAAGCGAAGGCCGCACACGAGGCCATGGACAGCACACTTCCTCCCCCACAACCACCCACTACTCGCCGCGGAGCAAGCGCGTTGAGCCGACTCGCTTCGAGCGCTCGCGTTGCCGCCGTCCCGCGTCGCGCTCTGTTTCGTTTCATGCGCCGCGCTCTGTCTCGTTTCTAGCTCTGTGACTCCGCGATCCCGCAATCCCAGCGATCTTGCCGCTTATGAGATGCAAGCCGTAAGAGAAAACGCACCTTATCCGCATCCTCACGCGCTCCGGGAAGCAGTAGAACGGGTACAGCGACGAGTACCCCACAAAGTGGTATGTCGCAATCGACGGATCGGAGCGGCGTTTGCGTTTTTCGTACCTGCTCGCGCGGGTGTTCGTGGTGGTGGCACAGCGCGCGCAGAGGGAAGAGGCGATTTCGCACAAGCGGAGGGAGAAGGATAAGGATTAGCGGGTAGCACGGCGCGCGCGGGCGATAGCAGGACGCACAGGACAACAAACTCCCAGGTCTCCTCGTCCTCGCGGATGTACGAGCCCGCCTCGATGTAGAGCAGGACGAAGAGTTGCATGCGGCGGTGGTATTCGCGGAAGCGGGGCGTCGCCCATGTGCACTGTGGCCAGAGGAAAAGCAACGCAGCGCGTCAGCACCATTTCTCTGCTTGTCTTACACCTGCCGACGCCGTTTCGCCCCCTTTCCCCGCTCCTGTTCTCCGCCACTCCCTCGTGCGCGCGCGTTCCCATCCGAACAGAAGCACGAAACAACAAAGGAACTCACGTGGTAGACTTCAAACTCGACCGTCTCCTCGTCCTCAGGGCTGAGAAATTGCGGGATGGCGATGTGCTTGCCCTTGCGGGAGAGCGCGCCGGCGGGGCGTGAATAGGCGTGGACGCAGGTGCCGGGCGGGGTGAACGCAAGCGCGTCCTCTTCGACGCGAGCGAGAAAGTCGGCCTCGGTGGTGTAGTAATCTGTGGATGCGTTAGCGGTAGGAGACAGCGGCGGGAAAGAGAGGGAGACGCGATGCCTGCCACGCACCTGATGGGATGAATTTGCGCAAGGTGGCCTCGATGTCGTCGACGGCAGATGAGGAGGGGAGGCGCTCGGCGTAGGTGATGTTGAGGAACTGGGCGAGGGAGCCGGAGGCGAATTTGAGCTGTGTGGGGTGGGGGAGCGTCGGGGCGGGAGAGGACGCGGGGCGGAGGGACGGGGACGCGGGGGAGCGGGAGGAGCGGGATGTGGATGGGGGCGAGAGGGAAGGCGGGGAGGGGAGGGGAGAAGGGGGGTCAGCCTGTTGTGTGGGACGCGTCGGTGGGAGGGGACGCACGTCGACGGTGAGGTCGCGGTAGCCGTATATCTTCTCGTCCTCGCCGAAGATCTGGGGGCGCGGGTCAGCGCTGGATTACGGACGCGATTGCGGTGCGCGACGCGTCGCGGGGGCACAGCGACGTACGGGGTAGGTAAAGGTGGGGTGGAAGCCCTCGTAGGCCTCGCGGGCGGTGAGAGCGGCTTTGTCGTCCTTTGCGCGGACTGGGGGGCGGTGAGTGTGTATGTCAGCGGGGGAGGAAGGGGGAGCGAACCGAGGGAGAGGCGGAAGGCCTCGTTCGCGTCTGCGGCCCAGAGGGCGGGATTGTGGGGCGGGGGCGCGAGGGGCATGATGGTCATCGCCAAGGGCGGGACGTGGAGGAGGAGAGAGGAGTGCGGAGTGGCCAGGGCAGAGGGAGGAGCAGCAGAGAGCGAGACGGCGAGAGAGAGCAGCTGCATTCTCGGCTCGTTCTTGGCCGTGGCTCAGCGGGCGCCTGCTGAGATCGCATGCCCGATGTGGCCTGGGTCGCCCGCGCCCGCCCAGGCCCCGCCGCGCACCCAGACCCCAGACGTCATGTGCCCGCTCCCCTGGCCCGTCCCTCCCCACAACGGAAGACGCGATCCTCCGTCCGTCCGATCGCCTGTAGCCGCGCAGACTCTACACTCCCTGCGCCCACCGCCGTCTGCCCAGCGTCCTCGCAGCCAGCCCCCCTTCCTCCCCCCTCTGACACAGCCCGTGCGCGACACCCAGCGCGCACTCCGTCACCAGCATCTGCACCCGCGCGCCCTCCCAGGCCCACTCCACCCGATCGTCCCTTCCCCCTCCTAGCTTATCGCCCCATCATGATCACCCCCCCACCGCGCACACCGCTGCCAGCGCTACAAGCTCAAGACCAGCACAGGCGCGGGCCCATCACCGGCAACGTACACCCACGTTCACGCCAACCACGCCCTCCCGCAAGGCGCCCCCCCGGCCTGGGCCTGCTCGGCGAAGACGCGGAGATAGCCCCGTCCAGAACGCAGAACCCACAAGAAGCCCTCGCCCCACAGCCCACCCCCGCTCGAGGCCCATCGAGATCCTCCGTATAGCGCCCGCGATCGCACCCCCTGTCCCTGCTCCCCGCGCCCCCGCCAACAGGCGCATCAGCGCCCCAACGTCGGCAATGTCGCGCAAGTCCGCGTCCGGCCCAAAACACCGCGCACGTCTGGCCCTACGACGCGCCATGTCCCCAGCTCCCTCCCTCGGGCGAATTCGCACTCAAAATGCCAACCTGTATTTAGTGACCGTTGTCCCTCACCGGCAGCGTGATGTACGCGTCGATGTCCACCGCCGCTATCCATCTATCGCATCTTTGTCTTGCTCACGCCGTGCACACCACCGTGGCAGCAGGACGCCTTGGCGCGGTCCAGATTTACTGAACAGCACACATCTTGAGGCCTGATGGCGCGCACGTCCCCACCGCGTAGCCAGAAAACCGGACGCCAAGCCGCTTGGTGCGTCCACCGGATGTCAGTCAGGCACGAAGCCTAGCGTCGCAATATTTACGCCGGGCTTGCCTCGCACCGCCGCGCCTCAGTGCGTCTGCGCTATGCGGGCTCACGCCGCCGCTGGCGCAGAGATGCCATGGCCGGAGAGGCAAGGTCCACAGTCGCGTGCACCACACGGCTCCTGCTCTTCCCGCGTCGCGCCACCCGTCCTATCCGCCAGCATCGACCAGGCCCGCTCGAGCGCGCGCGGTGCGTCCAATGTAGTATAGCCCCGACGCGGTGGTGCTCCGGATGGTTCACCCCCTCCCCTCGTCTCTGCATGCTGCAGTCCCACATCGGCGGCTGGGCCCGAGTCGAGCGCACGTGCGTATTATCCGCCGCGCGAACACACCCTCTTTCACCCGCCCCCGGGTTCCACACCATCCGTGCTATTGGTTGCTTGCTCTGACTCTTGCCCGCGTGCAGGACGCTAGTGCGCGGCGCGCAGCAGATGGCAGGCACCGCGCCGCGCTCTGCGCTGCGCTGCGGGCTGCGGGCAATACATGCGGGCCCAGAGCTCACCCTTGCACCACCGAGTAGCACGACAGCATGTCTATCACGCGGTCGCGGCAGGAGTCGTGCGGGGCCCCCGGCGCGCGCGCGCGCCCACGGCGGGAGAAGCGGAGACGTGTCAATTGGAGTCTATTTCGCGACGAGACAGCATCTCGCGCATCTCGCGGAGGGAAATACTCCAGCACCCCACCTCCCAGCCCTCTTCGTGTCTAGGGCTCAGAGAGGGGACGCGTGCCGAGGAGCCGTCCGCTGAGCCATCTGCGCGCTGGGTCTCATGTCCGTATTTCCGTATTGGCCCAGACGACCCTCGTGGGCTGGGCCGGCCAACTACCGTCGCGTCTCGCGATTGTATAGGTGTGTTGTGACCGCCGATGTGTCCTTTCGCGCTGAACCACACGGCGTCCCTGATCACCGCAGCCCTTGTTCCTGCGAAAATCGTCAGTGCACTCGTGTTGGCCTGGCCAGGGCGCGGTCCCTGGAAATCACCGCAATTGGGTGGGCTGGGTGACGGTCAGTTCAGCGATGCAGCGGTTCTGCACGCTGTGCTGTCCAATGCGCCGCAGGGCCATCCGCGGCACGCACTTGATGTTCTAGCCGCTACTACTGACTGAGCGGTCCCCTTTCTCCGACAGGCGTATGTCCTGCGCCCTACATCGAAGTCGGCCAAATCAAACACGCAATTTCTACATAGCACACTAATGCGAATATCTGTCGTCGTCCCCTGGCACTCGTCATGTATATACACCCTCATCTCCGCAGCCGGTATTCAGGGGGCTCCCTAGGACCTGCTTCGACTCCGCGGCACTGCTCGGTCGTTCGCGAGCCTCATCCGTCGTACGCCTATAACGCCCGACGATCCAGCTGAACCGAAGCTCACCTTGATTTGTCGGCTTTCACCGCTTCATCCCCGTCTCCCGCATGCACGCATCCTTGCCTCTCCCAGCCCTCAAAGACCCAGAGCTGTCCACCGCTGTCAGATGATAGAATGATGACCGTGGCGCCCAGCTGCAGCCCGAGTAGTTGGCTCAGCGAAGACGCGCAGCGTGGCATGGAAGCTGGGAAGCCCCGGAAGACGCGCGAGGGCATGGCGTGTTATGGGACGCCTGCGCCCGGAGACCCAGTGAGATAGTGGCCCTCAGCGAGACGGGGCTCTGTGCCTGTCGCGGCAAGATGCAGGACCTGCTGGTAGACTAGCGTGGGGCATGCCTGGCCAGGCGGTTCCGTCTGCTCTTCACATTACAGTAACTTTCCTCCATCACCAAGACATTTCAGGTGCTGCTGGTTTGGACAAACGGCGTTTCCCGGGAAAGGCCGAGAACACTATGTATGTATTCATCTCCGGGAAGGTTGTACGGTGTCCACAGGCTACCGCGGTCCCGGATTTCGGGCGTACCGTCCAAATCTGGTAGTCGGATATTACTTGCATCATCACAATGACGATGTGGTCGTGGAATGCATCATCTGGTGCGTGTTGATACGACAACGTCCGAGCTGTATATTGCAATGCACAGGAGGGCGAGTGCGTGGGGATAAATACTAGTACATGACTCTCTCCACATCGATATCTGGCCCTCCATTCCATGTGTCCGTCCCATCTCCTGCACCGCCTACCAGCTATCAGGAGGCCATGTTGGCGGCCCGCTCTTCGAAGGCATGCATCAGATGCCTTCCCAGACCTCGCAGTCGAGTGAGTGTCCCATATTTAGTTCCGCCTCCATCTTTCACCAGTTTTGATGTAATCATCACACAGCATTCACCGTCCGCCCCATCTACGTCCAGAGAGCGGCTTATGAAGCCCAAAATCGGGCTCAACGGGATATGGATACGCCGGCGCAATGGCCACGAGTGCTTCGCGCCTTGGAAGCAAGTCTTCTTCGCCGTCGTTTACCGTAAGGGCTCCTCGCTCGATCGCCGCCACGCGCGGACGGTCTACTTGCAGTGACGTGCCTCTGGTCGACTGTGGACATACGGCCTTGAACCTTGTCGATGCCCGTCCCTTTACACATGGCCCCAGCTGTTCTGGCCGCCGAAGCATCTCTGATTTGTTAAGTCTGAGGCCTGGACGGACCCTGGTTCTCCGTTTCTCCTCCCATATCGTTTCGAAGACAGGCGCCGTGTGGGCACTCAGCATTCCGCTTTCTGATAGCTCGGCCCCTCTGCCCCTGAGACGAATTCGAAGCCAGCGACGCGTTCATAGGCCCGCAGACTGACGTCCTGACAAGATCGGCTGCACCCCAAATGTTGCGGGCTTCGTGCGTCTCGTGTGTGAACGGCTTACTCTTTGGTGACACATATATATTTGCAATCCCCAGATTGCACTGGAGCCCAGGCACCGTCGACGATGGCCCCTCGATATCAACTATCAGCCAAGTCAGCAGCAATCTGACTTCCACAGGGCGTCGTGCCGGGAACGCGGAAGCGCGACGACGGTCAGGATGTGCTTGATGTATGTGACATCGTGCAGAGCCCTGCGGGGGGCACAGCCTCATCTTCCTCGTCCTCATCGGAAACGGTCCACACGTCACCCTACCCATGGGAGCTTCGTTTCCCATGCAATTAGGGTCTGGTTTGCCTACCTACTCCTAATGGCTACACCCAAAGTTCTCGCGCTAGTTTTTCTGGGGCCAGCCCACGGTGGAATGGGGCGAGCGGCGGCCCGTGTCGACATGACATCACGATACCAGAGCGACAACCGCTATGTGGCTTGACTCGAGACGAGTTGGCCAGCCTTCTACGGTTTCTCTTCCGTAAAACTTCTTGGATGTAAGCTCAGGACACCAGCTATCCAGGAACGTGCACGATAAGGTGCACATGAGTGGCCACTACTGTGGTCCATTCAGAGTTCATGATTAGACGACCTGCAAATCATGACCTCATGCTGTATTTCTTGGCGTTGTTTCCTTCGGTCATGTCATTAAGAGTGCTCAATGTCTCCTTGGCTGTGAATAGACGTCATTGAATGGACGGACCCGCAAACATCCTGGCGTCATTCTCCGGAAATGAAGTTGCGATGACCGATACATTCTAGACGCACCCGTGCAATCACAGGCGACTAAAATCTTCCGATTACGTTGGAAAATTACATCGAGTGGGAATGGGGAGAGGATAGCTCTCGTGCAAGAAGCTAGCGTGAGCCTGGGTTGAATCACCCTATCGTAGCAGGCTTATACACCGAACAGACACGCCTCCCTAAACCGTACCTCAGTCCGTCTTCTTCGGGTCTGCGCTACCACCAACATCTTGCAGACGCACTGCAGGAGGAGTAGCAGCGGGACCAGCACCCACAGGCCTGGTGACAGCAGCACTTGAAAGCATCCCACTGACGATGCTCTTGTAGATCATGCCGAAGTCAGTCCCAGGAGGCAAAATATTGGCTAGAAGCTCACAGTAAATGATTGAACCGAGCGCGACGCATTTTGAAATAAGATCCGCGTCGTGGGATAGACCTACCGAGACCTCGGTCATTTTGTAATGTTTGGAACGTACAATGGGATGTGACGGACCTTGCCAACAAGATGTCGTGTATTGTCCCTGGACACATACACAGAAAGCCGCGTGTACGCAAACTTCGTTGCAGAGAACGACTGTTTATTCACCATGCTGCTTTCAGTATCACCAACAGACTCGCGACTTTAGTGAATCACCTTGTTGGTCATCCACTGGACCTGATCGATAAGTGCCGTGTTTGCGAGCTTGTCGAGCAAAAGAGCAGGGCGCGACATCTGCACATCGGTGAGGACTCCTGCTGCAGATTAGATAGTGGTAGAGAGGCGAGCATACCAAGGCCTCGGTTCGTAGGGTGCGCACGTCGACGCCTCGAGCGCGAACTATTTGTGTGATTGAATGATATGCACGAGGAAGAATAGTGAGCTGATTTCTCATACCGGAAGCCAGCCAGCTGGTACTGATCGCAGATCCAATAATCAAGATGAGGCCTCGTTCCCTAAAGAGCCAAAGTGTTAGGGATTGTTAGCAGGGTTACGGAGGAGTGTAGGTCGGACATACTTTTGAGCCATACCGAGAAGAACCAGTTTCGCTATCTTCGCCGGCGCAAACACATTGGCGGTGAGTACGTCATCAACGACCTGATCAGAGACAGTCGAAATATCGTTCGACAGCTTGCATGTCTTGTCTTCATGCAGGACTGGAGAGCAGGCTGTTCAGGAAAAGCAACAAGCAAAAGCATGAAATTTTGAATGTACCAAGGACACCGATATCGAGGTCGGCAAGCTCAGAGACGACATCCTTCCATTGATTGTCATCGCGAATTCTGACCTGATCAATGACAAGGGCCTTCATCTGGATAGGGGCAGCTTCAGGACCGCAAGTCGATCCTTCCGGTGTCATAGTATTCAGATAAAACAATCCAAGCTCGAAAGTAAAATCACTACGTACTTATCTCCGACAGCAGTAGATCCAGCGCGGCCTGGTCGCGTCCGGTTACCAAGATATTGAAGCCCTCACGGGCGAGGCGGAAGGCGCATTCTCTGGCGCGCCCGTCGGTGGCATTGGTGACCACTAAGGAGAAGGATACTCGTGAATTCCCTGCATCACATGGCAGAAATCAGAACACACCCGCCCAAGCACCTTGTCCAGCGCCATATCTAGCAGCCTGGAGGTACCCATACGAACAGTTAGTACGAGCACGATGTCCGGCCGACACACGGATCTCACACCAATCCGTGCCTTGACGAGCCTGTTGATGGCCTGTAGGATCAATTTGACGATTGAGAGAAGCCCGATCGCGATGAGGAAAGTAGATATAACTGGATGGTTGGCCACTATTCGGGCAGTCGTCATATCACTGTTAGTGGATTCGGTCAGAATGTCACTCACAGAAGCCTTGGTTCCGTCGGGGATATGGGGGTAAACGAGGGTAACGCTTCAGGAAACGAGGAAAATGCTGGAGGGGACGCATGGTAGATGATCACTATATTCAGGTGGTGGTGTCAGTAGCAAGACGTTGAGTCCCTTTATACGTCCTCCTTTACTGCGGAAGCAAGAAAGATCGCAGGCGGACAGATATCGCGTGTCCTTCCCTCACTTACGTACTCAAGATACGTCTGACACGTCGCTGCGTACTGCTGCTCGAAGGTTACATATGACTGACCATGACCGGGCGTCGACGCAGTATTCACACTATACCGACGGCGATCGCTAACCGGGTGAGCGACACTTGATGATCACAGTCGACATGGGTTAAGCATGACAAGACTGTGCATCGCAGTAGATAGTTATCCAGTAGAGATCGCGAATCACAGCTTCCCAGTCAGCTCGAGATATTTCTCGAGCGTGTGCCTATTCAAACCTCTCGCGCAACTCAGTGCGTTGCCCTCGGGGAAGGCTGTTCGAGACGCACCAGGTGATTAGACAGGTGACAATGGCCCCTAAACGACAGAATCTCTCAGTTCGCTGAAACAATCACACGTCTTCCGAGGGCTCCGCCGCTAGGTTGGCCACAATTTGCTCATATTGCTATGAATGAACGTACACTCTCGCTGTTGCTGCTATTACGTTACCACATTGAGGCTCCCAGTCCTACCAGCGTAAGGAAAGAGGAAAGTGATATACCATCTGGGTGCCTCGCCCCGAGCTTGCGCCTATCGCAGCGTCACCAGCTCTGTGCATCATTCAACGTCAGCAATCTCGGAAGCCAACAAGCCGATAAGAGCACCCACCCTCTCCCGACGTCGGGTGAATCGCCACTGTATCGTCCAGATCCTTCTTCGTCGCGCCCATCTTGACCGCGACCCCGAAGCCCTGCATGACCTCGTCGCTTCCCAGTCCAATGATGTGGATGCCCACGACGCGCTCTTCGGGCCCCGTGACGATCAGCTTGTACACCGAGGGCTCCTTGTGCTCCTCCGGGAGCATGGAGAAGTAGAGGGCGCGGAAGCTCGACTTGTCTGAGCAGGTCGTTCAGTATATAGGATCAGGATACATTCTGGGAATTGCACGCACAGATCTTGATATTCGCGTCTCCGTACTTCTTGCGAGCCTCGGGCTCAGTCAGGCCAACCGTTCCGATCGTCGGGTGCCTGCGCGCATGCACGCATACAGTCAGCCAGCGTGCCCCATACACTCAAGTAGACGACACGCACGAAAAGACGACCGTCGGGATGTTTTCGTAGCTCAGCTTGTCGGTTTTGTACTGCTCACCGCCGTACAATCGGTTGCTCAGCCTCCGCCCAGCTGCAATCGCAACCGGCGTCAGTAGCGCCTTTCCGCACACGTCTCCGAGCGCATAGATCCCATCCACGTTGCTCTCCTGCCACTCGTTGGCGACCACCTGGCCCTTCTCGTCTAGCTTCACGCCGAGCTCCTCGAGGCCAAGCCCCTCCGTGTTCGCGTGCCGCCCGATCGCCCACAAGAGCACGTCCGCCTCGACCTTCTCGCCCTTGTCCGTGTGGATCGTCAATGTCTGTCCCCGCGCGCCCTCGACCTTCGTCACCTTCGCCCCCTTGTGGAAGTTGATGCCCGTGTGCTCCATCCACTTCGTGAGCGTCTCGCCTAGCACGGGGTCGAACGTGCGCAGGACAGTGTCCCCGCGGATCAGCACGTCCACCTCGCTCCCAAGCGTGTGGAACACGCCCGCGAGCTCGACGGCGATGTATCCGGCGCCGACAACGACGACGCGCTTCGGTTGCTTCTCGAGGTCGAAGAAACCGTCTGAGTTGATGCCCAGGCTTGCGCCGGGAATGTCCTTGTCGCTCGGGATCGTCGGGCGCCCGCCCGTCGCGACCACAATCTTGTCGGTCTTGAGCTCGTACTTCGACCCGTCTGCCCGAGTGACCTGAACGACGTTGCACGAGAGGATGCGAGCTGTGCCTTGGTGTAGCTCGACGCCCTCCTTTGCTACGTTGTTGTCGTAGATACCGTTCAACCTGCGAATGTACGCGTCGCGTTGGGGCTTGAAGGAGTCCCAATCGAATTTGGGGGTGCCAACGCCCTCGCCCTTAAATTGATATGCGGAGGCATGTTTGAGTTTCTCGGCAATGTCTGCAGCATGCCACATGATCTAACAGACATGTTATAGCGCGAAGCCGATCGACCAAAATTCAATGAAACAAACCTTCTTGGGTACACAACCTATAAAAGCGCAATGTTAGTTAGCCATAGGTGATATGCAGGTCAAGTCAGATCGGCGCTCCACAATCCGGAATGCAAAGACCACAGTGTTTGTGGGCTTCCCAAAGCCCGCCAGATACCAAGCGAACAGGGAAGCTACTCCATGAGTGCTAGTCACGCTGACTTTGCTGCGGTCATCCTCCTTGCAGCGTACGTCGAAACCAAATGTCTATTCGGACGAAGTCCTTTGAAGGAAATGCGCGACTGCATTCCAACCCAGAGGTGAATATGCCGCATATATGCTCCCGTCGCGCATCACACATGCGGTAGCTATCTCGGCGCCCATCACACTCGACCAATCGGACCCGTTCTGAAGAGCGGGTTGAGCGGACATACCGACATTCACGCAAGTACCACCAAGTCTCTCTGTCTGCTCAATGAGCGCAACTTTCGCTCCGTAAGAAGCTGCGCGACGCTGATATGTGTGAATAGCTTAGAAAACAACCTTGTTTGTGTAATTTGGCACGTACTGATCCTGCTACACCACCGCTACCACCGCCAATCCAGACAATGTCAAATTTCTCGTGACCGGGCTTCGTGACGGGCGGCATATTCGATGTCGAGGGTGTAGAAAGATATCTAGTAAACTGTTTGGATGATCGTCGATGTCAGCACTGTGTCAAATGCCCACAGCGCAGCGACGAACGCACCAATGCGAGTCTGCGAGATGCTATTCTGGATGCAAGAGGGGCCGTGGTAAGCGTGCGCGCTGGAGATAACAACGATATGGCGGGTTCGGAGATCGATAGGGAAGGTGAGAGGTGAGAGATGCGGACAGCCCGCGCTTTATAGCAAGATGCGAACGGGCGTGTCAGCTGGAGGACAAGTCGAGGGCGTGTCATATGACGCAAGAGCTCGTCCGCCTCGAAGATTATAATAATCAGCCAGTCTGCTCGCAAATCAATGCAGCACGCTCAACAACGCGTCTCTTCCAGCGCTCTCTGAGTCAGCTCGCCGCCTGAAACAACCTGCTAGTCGCGTCGTCGCAATTGAAAAGTCGTGTATGTATGCACGTGCCCGAGAGTGCCCATGCTCGCATCATCGTCCATCCGGCATCGCGTAACGCGCAACGCATCGCGATCGAGTGATCGGCCAGCGTCTACTTGGGATCTTGACCGGGTCGTCCTAACGTACGGGAGCGGCGCAAGCCTCTTTCACGATGATGGTGTCTACATGTCGAGATAAAAAGGACGCACGGAACACAGGTGTAATGGTGAGACCCTTCCTACATAGGACAGCACTGGCACCGACCCTGTGTACGGCGCCAGCTAGCCTGTTCGTCAGCATACTGGCGTCGCATGCTTCCGCTTTGATGTTGAATTGAAGATTGATAAGATATATCTCATAATCTGTTCAATATTTGCTGACAATATGGAGGTTTCTCCTTGTGTAAGCACAACGCGTCGAGGCGTCAACTTAACGCCTCGACGCGTCTTGAAACAGCGGCAGGTAGGGTCAAATTTAAAGTTATCTCAATGTAGCAAAACATTCAGATGCACTGCTTATTTTGCTAGGTACTCAACTTCATCGTCCAACAAAGATTTGTTGTCAGCACTCTCTTACATAAACGACATAGAACTCCCTCTTGAATTGAGTCGGGTGCGCTCTAAGCTCGCCTCGCACATTGTCCAACGTACAGCCCCGCCAATTCCGACATGGTACTTCATCTCGTTTACGACACATATCAGGTACATTGTAACAGCCAATAGTAGCATTTGCATTCTTCACAACCACGACAACTAGCCATAACCCTGAACCGAGATACAACGCCGGTTGGGTGCTCGAGGCATCACACCTTCTGGAAGCTCCACAGCTGGCTGTTCTTCGCTCTGTCGGGATTGGTGAGTGTTACCTGCTTATAAGTGAGTATAGGCATCAACGCCAGGCGCATATGACGCACAGGGGTTTCGTTCGCAGTACTGTCGAGGTTGAACGCATAGCCCTCGTCGATGACGGTGATTCTAAGTATTGCGCACCATGCCCATTAGCACTAGTTGACAGGCCATCAAGTTGTACACTTACTGGACCTTGCCTCCGCTCTCGGACACCCTGAAAGTCTCGGAGATAAGACTCCCGACGACTCGGCCTCCCTGGTAAAAGAGAATATTTTGGTTTGCCTCGCGGACGATCGGGCTTATCTAGACGGAAACGCACAATGATGTGATCGGGAGCACGAGCATATGTCCCACCAGCAGCGTTCAGGAGCTTGATGTGGCCCTTGCTCTGGTCAACCACCTCCACGGTCCACTGTAATCGCGGGAGAAGTCAGCAATTACAAATTGGACGGTACATCACGAGGAGGATAGTGACCAGCTGGGGGTTCGACCCGTTGTACTGATACCCAATGACAGGGTTGTTCTCTGCTGCAGCGCCGCGTTGAAGGTCGAGATATGTGCCCGTGCTGATGTTCTTGATCCTGACACCGCCAGCCTCAACCTTGAAGACACCCTTCTGGAAAAAGAGATCGACTTGGGCCATGTTGCGTGAGAGTTAGAGCGAGGAAAGTAAGCCGAGGGATGTGGGTTTAGGTGAGAACCTGGTGTCCTGCACACATTGCACTACAGGTTTTATACCATCCTGCGTACAGTCTCCTGCTGTATTTGCTCGGATGCCATTCGATGACCCAGAGCAATGGGACTGCTGGTTCTTGGTTCTAGGACATGACACCCTAGGCCGCTCCCACTCTAGTGTCAAGGCGTTGGCGCGATGAGACATCCTGGATGGCGTTCTCAATCGTATGCCATATGAATGAATTGAGAGTCGCGCAAGAGGAGCTATTTTGACAGGTCCAGCAAGGTCCAGCGGGCATCGAGGATCGTTGCCTCGCCGCTGCAGACCTCATCTGACGCAAACCAGTGTGTCAGTATTGTACCATGCTGCCACTTCAACGCACCCTGTGCATGGTTACCGACACATAACCATCACAGCGTCCTCGCAAGTCCTCACTCCTAGAATCAATGTTTCATCCCCCATTGTATGTGTTTTTCGAAATAACGATTGCGAGAGGTCTTCGACAAGCTGGTCACCGAAGGTACACAAAACCAGTCAACGAACACGCATCGTCCAAATTGCGTGACATTAAAGTTTGCGCGCGCCATGTCTGGTTCAATGACATCAACTGAATGGACAATGAATGTCAAGACCGCCCGTCTCATGATGAGACGAGATAGCGCCACAAACGCGACAGCGACGAGGCACATTGCTGATCATCGCAGCGCGTTAAGATGCAGTGAGTATGAAGCGCTCAAGCCCTGGACCAGAAGCAATCATGGTCCTGCAATACACTCAACACATCCTGGAAAGCATGGGAACATGCCTAACCCATCATGGCTAGCTGCGGTCTAAGACGATTCAATCACAGCCGGGGCGCTGGGTCTAGTACTTCGACTTCATGAGAGGACTGGTGTATTGCGGGACCGTACAGGGGTCAATTTTGAACAGGAACTCACAAACAATGAAGCACCTTCATTGAATGTCAGCCTGAACTCGGCCGTGTGGTACGGCCCTGACGCTTCTGCCATTAGACCGTACTATCTGTGTTGGGGTATATAGATTGACCACGTTTTAACGGCATGAAATGCGCGGTCAAGCCAAGAGTATACCTGCCGGATTCCTTCCGTACTGCCGGGAGGATGCAATCAAGGTGCATACCGTTTGCGGCGGCTCGGCTTGAAGGACGAGAGCATAAGGTCGCCTTATGGAACATGACCAACGGGTTACAATGCGCGTAGAGGGGTCCCTGCGCAGCAGCATTGTTTCGTCCAGAGAATGTAGCTAGGAAACGTATCGAGATACGCGAGCATCACATCAAGTGATCGGCCAGAATCGGCGTCTACCTACTGCGGTCATTCGCATACCAAACGATGTCACAAAGTGCATATATTCCACAGCAGGCAACATAAAAAATACAACGAGGGTGATACGGCCCCTATGGGTTCCGGTTAACGACAAGGACTATTAAAACATGGCTTCATTAGGCCCCTCGGACTCTCGCATCCTGCCCGCGAAACTCGAGCTGAAGCCGACTCCAAACCATCCATCAGACATGCCCGCCTGGTCGGGGACGTGCAAGATCGACGCTGTACTAAGCTCGCTCTCGGCCCAGCTCACTTCCGACGCCAAGTCGAGAGATTCCTCGTCGCTAAAGATGTCGTCGTCGCGCACCCGTTCAACGGTGGACCATGCGTTGTGGAACTCAATATCGGAGAATGGAGACACCAAAGACGACGGAGGGAAGACGGGGAACGACGGCGGATGTGACTGAGTGGCGGCAGTGAAAGAAGCCGAAAAGTCCAACGTCGGCAGAACCAGGGACCGCGCGGGGTCGACATGGCCTCCTTCCACGTCCGACCAGCTAGCCTCTCCGTCGCTGCTCATGGTCTCGAGGATGTCTTCTATCCTCTGTTTCTCTTCCGCCTCTTTGTCCTTTCTGACCTCTTCAATAACGCACCAACCTTTGCCAGCCTCACCGAGCACACTCCTCACGCACGCTTCATCCCACCCGTCGAATGTGATCTCCAGTAAAGTGCAGAGTCCGCTGAGATCGCCGAGCGCTTCACAGTGGACTTCGGGGAGCTCGAAGACACGTGCAGCATCCAAACGTGCAAAGAGCGAGGACACACGCAGTGTCTGGGTACCGTGCATAGAATGGATGTTGCCAAGGATCGAGAGGGGGAGAAGTGGGTGAGTAGCAGACGACAGCGGCGAGTCGATGGGCAGGGGGACCCGGGAGCTCTGAGTTGGTGCAAGGGGGATGAGGAGGTGGGTGATCACGTCCTCCTTAGGGGCTTCAGGGAAGTAGTGGTTCATCTCGGCCTCGCGCACTTCCTCAGTGGTGAGCGCCTTCTTCTCCGCGCGAGGTTGTAGTCTCTCCTTACGCGCCTTCTTCGCTGCCTTCTCCTTCACATACTTCTTCAGCGTGCGCTCCTTCTCCTTCTGCATCTTCACGTCCCAGTCGGCCTCCCAGAGTGCGCGTCCGCTCACGGGAACATTCTCCACCAAATTCTGGAACACCGGGCGCGCGGGCGAGAAGTTGCGAGCAAGGCCGAGTCCGACTTGATTCATGCGCTGAGGTACGGCAGGCACACGAGGCAGGTGCGGTGCACGCAATGGGCGTGCGAGTGCCATGCGCGCGGATAACGAAAGCCCCTGTTGAATCGTCGGCATGCGCGCCGCGCCATGATGCAGTGTGCGGGCCGCGCCAGGTACGCGCAGGGTTCCGGGTGTTGTGAGGTGTGCGACAAAGCGCGAGAGTAGCGTACGAGTGTGCTTGAAAAGCGTTTGGGCGGTCGAGGAGCTCTGGCTGGCGGTGGGGCGGGGCACGAAGGACGGGATGTGTATTGAACGGGCGGTATGGGCCTGGTGATTCGTATGCAGGAAGACGTTGCCCCCGCCCGTAGGCTTTAGGGCACGCATCCCGGACGATGCGAGCGGCATGGTCAATGCAAGTGGTGGTTAGAGACAAGTAGCAGCGAGTACGGGCTCGCTATATGGCTCGCGGCATGCGCAGCCGGCGGCGTTCGTCAGCGCCGGAGCGCTCGCCCCATCTTCGGCCCGGCAAATGCCAGCGATCCAAATCGGCGAGAAGCTACGGCTTGTTTTACAGCGGCTGCCCTTTTTGGTTCCGCACGTTGGCGTGTCATAAGGAAAATAATGCGTCCTCATGTTGACGGGGCCATCTACCTCGAAAATCACAATTATAACACAATTACACTCTGATTTGCAAGCTTAGGACTAGAAAATATGGAAATGCACGCTCAGCATACTCCAACTTTATTTCAGAGCGGCGCGCAAGGACGAACTAGTATGACTAGATGATCCCGACCCGCCAAATTCCAATCTTCCCGGACTCAGAAGACAGTTGTGGGTTTTACACTATTTCCCACTGGAACATGGCCCGAGACCATGATTATTTAAGCTGATCAATGTGTTCATGCTGTCTACAAGCGCAGATCTCGCCGCACCTGCAGCGGATACGACATACTTGCCGCGGTCATACGCTGCGCAGTACGGGCTGTCAGATGCTTTTGAATTTCTAGGAATAGTGCTCTGATTGCTATTGCTAAACCCCGTAACCGTGAGGGCGAAACAGTCTTATTTGTGTCTAAAGTTTGGCGTACGGCGAGCCGTTGGTGTAATTCATATGGTGAGGTCATGCGTATTGTATATATCCCGGCTCATTGAATTATCACGGTGAAGCACACTCTCAGGATCTTAGGGACATGTAAGTTGGAATACCCATCAGCACAGCCCACGGTACTATTTGACTTCCGGATGAATTGACACTCCGGTCTCGTCGGGACTGCCCAATGTACGACTGCACAAATCACGTATTTCGATTCATCCGCGACACATATACAAGTACATTGCGACATCGCACGGCAACAAAGACCTCGCTACAACCACAGCCACAGGCAGACAAATGGCCACAGCTCCGAAGTCAGACGCGACATCGCCATGGGCTCGAGTCGTCATGCATTACACCTTCTGGAAGCTCCAAAGCTGGTCGTTCTTCGAGCGGTCGGGATTGGCGAGTTTCACCTGCTCCTGCATGAGCACATGCCTCAATCTCAAGCGCAATAGACTTACGGGGGTTTCGTTTGCAGCACTGGCCAAGGAAAGAGCATAGCCCTCGTCGATAATAGTGATCCTAGAATCCGTGCGCCAGTTCCAGCAGCAGTATCTTCTATGGCTCAGAACGTTTACTCACTGGACCTTCCCCCCGCTCTCGGACACCTTGAAAGTCTCGTCGACATTGCTCCCGACGACTTGCCCGCCCTGATGGATATCTGGTCAGCCTTGCGAATGATTAAGCTGAGTCTGGGCTATGGCGCACAATGATGTGGTCGGGAGCACGGGCGTAGGTCCCGCCAGCGGCGTTCAAGAGCTTGATGTGTCCCTTGCTCTCATCGACTACCTGGACAGTCCACTGTGGTCGAAGAAGGGTCAGGAATGGTACGAACTGCACACCACAGATTGAACAATTACCAGCTGGGCATCAGTCCCGTTGTTCTGAAATCCGATGACGGGGTTGTTCTCGGCACTCAAGCTATGGTACAAGTCGAGGAAGGTGCCCGTGCCGATGTTCTTGATCCTGACACCGCCAGTCTGGACTTTGAATACGCCTTTGTTGAAGAAGAGGTCGACTTCGGACATGTTGCGTGAGAGTTAGAGCGAGAAAAGCTGGCTGCGAGACGTGTGTTTAGGTGGGGACCTGATCTGTTGCAGACATCGCAACACAGGCTTTATACCATTCGGCTCGCGAACTTCCTTTGTGCGTCCACATGTTTTGCTACACGACGATTCATCACATTTGCACTCCGCTGGGATGTGCAAGTACAGAGATCTCAGTTTGGCGACTCGATGTCAGCACGTCACTTCGTGAAGAATTACGACAAAGTGAAGACTGTATTGGATGAACGGACCTAGATGTCGCAACAACAGGTGCGGATTTCGCGAGTCAATTGTGAGGACCGGTGGTTCATCGTCGCCGACCTCATGTAGAGGGAAGGACAGTCACTGGCAGAGATGTTCAGATTGTGCCTTCCTCAGCATATCTCAGGAGGCTGATTACTGACAGGCCAGCATGGCTACCCCCTGCGGCTTGTGTTTCTCGGGGCTCATAATCGATTTTGGGCGAGTAAATCTCTCTTCAGTTTCAGTAAACAAATACAAGAAATTTGTTGTAGGAACGACTGCCGAGAACTCACAGAGTGAGCCGATGCGAACAGATACCCGCCAAGGGTTCGTGGGATTGAACTTTGTGCGCATCGTGGCCAGGGACAGCATTAGATGAATGTTCTACAATAGAACCAACTAGTGTAGTTGCCTCATGACCAGACAGGATACCATGTATGCATTGATGCAGCCATTCAGCCCTGCAATGTGCAATGCATTCAATGCAAGGCGAGATGCTCATCATTATGACACCTTATGCCACCAGGGTGTTAATGAAACACTAGTCTATCTTTGGCCCACAACCGTTATGGTTCTGTAAGTCATTCGTGCCATAGAGAAGCGAAGGAGCGTACCTATTCCGTGATAGGAGGGCGGCAGCAATCCTTGACAGCCCCGAGTCAATTCAGGACCTAGCCATAGACTGCTATAGTGCCGACGAGTCCGGGACTACATCAGTTAGTGTCGAACATTCGAAGCTTCGGAGTCAATGAAACTGTGATATTATCAACGACTCGGACGTCCAGTGAGGCAAGCGTGACTCGGAGGCCCTTATGCTTCAGGTAAGTCAGACCATTCGTTACTCGGACTATCGTTGCGGTGATGGATAGAAGCTAGGAGGAGCTGTGCGTTGTGTGGTACACACATTTGCAAGGGGCCTGCAAAGCGTGCGGTATGACCTGATTCTGAACTTGAAGGTTCCCGATTCGCTCGATCAGACTACTGGCGACGTTTTCGGTTTTCCAAAGGTGGTAATAACACTATTCTAAGATACGATCAGCAATATTAAGTGTAGTAATCTCGGAAATGATGCCACAGCGTGCTTTCGCGGATCACAGGCTGCTTATGTACATATTGTAACTTAGACGTCGGCAATCATTTCAATGGCTCGATGGCGTGCTTTAGGGACACGGTACACTCACACCGCGCTCAAACCATTCACAAGAATGTGCTTTAGATAATCCAATTACATTGGCCAAATCTACGATCGGCGAACGTAGAGGTGCAAGCTTGTACGTTCTGGTTGATACAGCGTCCAAGCCCTATGAATTAGCTCATGAACGTTCTGTGCCGTGTGGCAGACGTGATCAAAGCGAGACAAGACATAATTGTGCTCGATGGACACGAGTACTCATGCTCGTGAAGACGAACCCTTGCTGCCAGATCATGACGATGAACTCGCACTCAGCCCAACGCAACAGCAAGAACGTCGCACTTCCCTCGACTCAGACGACGATCGTGAGTCTTTGCTCACTTGCTGCACATTCAATGAGATTTGAACGGTTCACTAGGCACAATACCTAACGATATCCGAAATGACGACAGTAACCCCGAGAAGCGACGACTAGGTACCACTTGTATCACCGGTGTCCTTTGAAAGGCTAACTAGTTTGATGGTAGGACTATCTAGCACAGCATTCCTCGTCTTTAATCGCGTTATTGGTACAAGGTATACAGCTTTGTGCGAACTGCGAAATTTCCACTTCATCTATTTACGCCTTTGCAGCATCTTTGCTACGCCTAGCACAATTCTCCGAGCATCCGGGAGTGTTGGTCTGTCCTTTGTGCTATGGCTCATTGGTGCGTTGGCAGCTGCGTGCGGCACCGCGGTGTACATCGAGCTTGGTACTGTAGGTTCACGAGATACAATTTGAGAGGCACGGATCTCATGCGTACACCATCTCAGGGTCTCCCACGCAGTGGTGGTGAGAAGGTCTATCTAGAATTCATGTACCGCCGCCCCAAGCTACTCGCGACATGCGTGTACGCTGCGTATGCCTTACTGATTGTACGTTCGCGGATATTCTTATTCCTTTATCGCAGCTTACATCTTATGTCAGGGTTGGTCCGCGGCAAATAGCAGTGTCTTCGGTGAATGTAAGCCAGCTTGTACCCTCAAGCTCGGACATTGCCTCACACGCCTGTGTCTGGCTAGATATCTTGCATGCGTTTAATCCCGCACAAACACCTTCCGATCTATCGAAACGACTCGCGGGCGTTCTCTGCATTACCTTCTCTTTCATAATACATGGCACGCGGCCGCGGTGGGGTATCTTTCTTCAGGACACCTTGGGTGTCTTGAAGATTATAGCGCTAGGCAGTATCGCGCTGAGCGGTCTGGCTTCCCTCGCAGGAGTACCAGGATTTGCTATACCTGATGTAAGTTGTTGAAGATCGAATGCCTTGGTGAATAATGCTAGCTGTCACTGACCGTGTCCGCCTTTCCAGCCACCAAATAATTTCGAGTGGCAGAATTTCTGGGAAGGCAGCGGACAAAATGGAGCCAGCGCGCTCGTCATGGGCCTCTTCACGGTTGTGTGGTATGTCAGATCGACAAAAATTTCAACACCACTCGTTCATAGTGGATTTCTCTCGGAATCATAGGTCTTTCGTTGGCTACAACAACGCGAACTATGCGCTATCAGAGGTACGCGACCCGGTGCGCACCATAAAGCGGGCCGCACCCGTTGCAATGTCGTGTGTCACCATCGCGTATATTCTCGCGAACATCGCATACTTTGCTGTAGTCCCAAAGGACGAGATCCTTGGAAGTGGAAGAATCGTCGCCGCGCTGTTCTTCGGGAAATTATGGGGAGTAGGTGCTGAGAGAGTATGTTGCTACAATCTCACTACCTGGTAAGGTGTGTCATTGATGGCGCTCTGAATACCTAGATCGTCGCCGGAATCGTAGCGATGTCCACGCTAGCCAACGTTCTGACCGTCTTGTTCACTCAAGGGCGCGGTATGTTCAACAATTCGGGGTTCCGTCATATGCTCTAACATCTATCGGTCGAGCAGTGATTCAAGAGCTCGGTCGCGAGGGTATTCTGCCATTTTCGGGATTCTTCGCAAGTAGCAGGCCATTCAATGCACCATTGACGGGTCTTGCCACCCAATGGCTTGTCAGCTCTTCTCTCGTGCTCACAATCCCACCGGGTGATGCGTACCTGTTCATGCTCAACAGTAAGTCTCCGCCTAACACCACTGGCGATCACTCATTCATGGGATCCAGTGATCACGTACCCCCTTGCTCTCATCAATGCCTTCGTCTCTGCCGGGCTACTCTTCCTGCACGCACCGCCGTCAATCCGAGCACGCCTGCCCTGGTTCGAATATGATGCCGTATGGAACCCACCGTTCCGCACGTGGACACCCGTAGTGCTCCTGTTCTTCCTATCGAACGTGTTCCTTGTCTTTGCACCTTATGTTCCTCCCGCACCTGGATTTCGAGTGTACGAGAACCTGCCGTACTGGGTAAGTCGCATCGAGTCTGTCGTTTGCACGCAACTGACGTTAATTGCTCGCTCTCTTGTCGTTGTGTAGTTGCATGCTGTCGCCGCAACCTGCGTCTCGTTGATAGGTGCCGCGTACTGGTACGTCGTCTGGGTATGGCGGCCGCGACGCGGTGGTTATACTCTTGTGCGAGAATGGGTTAGAGAAGATGGAGCCACTAGAGGAGTCATCAAGAAAGTCAAACTGAGCTTTCACGATACTTGATATGTGTAGAATATCCGTTGAAGTTGTGCCTGGAGGCATGCTCTCATTCCGTATATCTTAGGCAGTCTGAATCCGGGCTGAGAGGTTTTATCGACCGGAGGCACACTTCACGAAAATCAAAAAGCCTGCTCTATTCAAGACCGTCGAGAAACGGGTGGGGTCTGCTGGAGACCATCCAAGTTTGTGTATGTACAAGATGCTCTGCCGAATGCTACGAAGACGAACGAAATCCGAAACACAGCCGCATACTATCCGAAAGGACTCAGAATCCAAGATACTGAAAGAAAAGGAAGAACGAAACGATAAATAGCACTGATAATGGTACGTGGAGAGGGGAGACCGATTGAGATGTGATGTATATTGGCGGACGCAGGACGTTCGCCAACGATTGTATTACGCTACGAAGAGGCTGGAAGCAGGCCGGGATGCGAGCAAGCACGATGACAGGAGCAGAGCACGATGAGAAGCGACATACGGGCCAAAGCAGTGTTCCGTATATCACCGTGGGCTGGCAGAGTCGGGAAGGATAGCGCATATGATACAAGTCGACGACCAGTCGGGACGGTCCCGGTGGCGGGCGGGTGGAGGGGAAACGAGATTGGAGCGAACGGAGGTGATGGAGGCGAGCGGGTATTAGGGATCAGACGAGTAGTGGTAGCGGAGAGGCAGCAATTACTGGTACACGTAGAGGATAGGCGAGAAGAGGGCAAGCAATCAAGAGAATGGAGTGGGCGATATGCACAGATGGTGGTGGTGGAACGAAATGAGAGTGAGGAAATCGAAATTTGAATACAGGTTCACCCGTATCGAGCAGGGCAAGGTGCACTCTCGGATGGCCTTGGGCTCCAGGTCCCGGCATGGACCGGAAATTTTTGTACCGCTCTTCTTCGCTGCGCAACGCAACGTGCCGAGAGAAGAGAAAATATACAGCGCTGCGTATCGGCGATATGCGCATGAAGCGAGTAGCGGGAGCGGAGATATGGCGGTGTTATGGACGGGAGTGGTGTACATTGGAGGCCGCCAAGGGATGATAAGGCGACGCGTGAATTTGCAAGTGGGACGCCGGCAGCGGAAGAATCGACTTATGACCCCCTCTCTAGTAATATGGGATGGCCGCTGTTGACCCCGACACATTACTTGCAGTAACGCTTGGCGGTAGCGGACAGCGACGCTGAGTGAGTGTTCTCCTCATGATCCGACAACACGCTTCCGAGACCAGACACCAAGAACGAGTGCGTTTAGCTCGTCTCGGCATCCTGCACGGGCGTGCTCGCCCGGTGTCTGCTGATCTTCTCGACACCCGCGCCAAGAGCAGTGAGACGAGACTCCTGTGATTTTTGGTCCATTATTATAGTCACAATTATTATAGCCGCATCGGAGTGCCGACGTACCTCGAGCTCATCGTCATCGTCATCGTCTTCTTCCTCATCCTTCGGGCTCTCCAAGTCCTCTTCCTCGTTGTCGCCCTCGTCCGCATCCTCACTCGTGCTCGAGCTGGACGTATGGCTTGCCTCTGACCGGACGCTGTCCGCGCGTCTAACTTCACCCACTACGCCCGCGTCATCCACGATCGATGGCTGGTGCACGTGCACGTGATCGGTGGCTACAGGCACCCCGCGCGCGGTATCCGCGCTGTCTCTGCGCTCCGGCTCGCCCTTCACTGAAGCGACCATACTCGGTGCCCTCTCCAGCGTGCTCCGCGAGTGCGAGTGCGTATGATGATGGTGGTGGTGTGTGTGCGCGGGGGGGAGAGACACGGCGGTGAGTACGTGTTTCTCTTCTGTCGAAGGTGTGCTTGCTCCGGGCAGCGCTGAAGTTATTGTGGCCGGCGACGACGTGAGGACGAGCGGGGTAGCATGCCCTTCTGCGTCCTTCTGCGGCGGTTCCGGGTCGGATATACTTGCATGGGGATCCCTGTCGCCCGGGAACGACTCCGCGACATCTGAGGCGCGCTCTTTCGCCTCGACAACCTGCACTTCCTCCTGCTTGCTCGCCTGCTCGCGCTCTCTGGCTTCGCGCTCTCTCTTCTCCTTCTCGCGCTGCTCCCTGCGCCGCTTCACCCATCCCATTCCGCTGCCGTCCCCGTCGTCGTCGTCGCCCCCTAATCTTCCTCCACTTTCTGTCTTTGCTGGACGATGGTGGCTCGTACTGTCGTGCGCTCCAACACTTACGCCGCCGGTTGACTGCACCTTCGCCCAAATACCTGCGCCTACTCCTCCTTTCTGGACGCTGCCCATACCGCCGAAACCCCACTCAACGAACTCTGGCTCTTCGGATCTGGAGGGGGGTAGGAGGGGTAGTCAGATGGAGCTCCGGGTGATGATGGAGAATTGAGAGAGAGAGGAGATAGGTACGTAGAATGCGAAGGGATAGGAAGAGAGTAGAAGGTGAGGTAAGTCAATGTAACAACGTAAGCCTACCAAACAGAGAAATTACAGAGCAGAAATATACGCACCTAATGTTTGCAAACGCGTTCTGGTTGTGCATTCTCTTGGCACCGTAGACTCTGCCGTTCAACATCCTGGTCCCGCTCCCGCTGCGCTTACGCGCCCTTGCTATCTCCGCCTTCCTCCAAACGTCGGGTCCAGCGTCTCTCAGCTCCGGGATCGTCATTGGCTGGCCCTTGTTGTTGAGTGGAATGAGGGGATCGCCCTCGCTTGACCAGCGGTAGAGTGGCATGCCGAACTCGCGTACCCATTCCGGGTCCTCTCGCTTCTTCTTTGGCTTCTTCGGTTTCTCCTTGTCGCCTGCCTTAGCGCCGGAATGGAGCCCAATGGAACAGCCCTCAACACCCGGACTATGCGGCAGCGTCAGGGTGCTGTTCAGGCTAGTGGTAGAACCCGGCGTGCGAAGGTCATCTGTGGACCGATTCGGCTTGGCAAGAGGTGCGAGTAAGGGGCCGAGGAGCTTCCTCGACCACTTGCTCTTCCGGGCGCTGTTCGACCTGCTGGGCGGATCTTCTGGTAGGTTGACTGAAGAAGGGCGGGGACTGAGGACATTCCAGTCGCCCCCTTCGAGCGTCGATGGCGCGGAGGCAGAACATGCACTGCCTGCCTGCGCCGTAGGGTTAGGGTTTGCTGTTATGGTTGAGGTACTTGCAAGCGTTGGAGTGGACTCTGACGCTTGGGCCCTCAGATGAGGGTTACCGCCGAAGAGCAGGGAAGCTGATGAAGCCTTGACTTCTTGGTCCTTGAGGCAGCCGCCCTGCCCGGTCGAGGACGCGTTGTGGTTTTGATCAGATTTTAGGCTGTCCGTATCCTCGAGGAATACAGAGGGAAGTGGGTGCTCGCCATCTGTGAAATACTCCTCACGACGCGGGTCGGGCAGGGGTGCAAAGCGGATGCGGCGCGAGGTAGGCGTAGAGCCTGCCCGGGGCTTTTGTTGATACAGGTGCTTCTGTGGACGCAGGGGACGAGACCCTCGATTGGAAGATGCAGGGGTGCTCGAGGAGGCGTAGTCAGAGTCGGATGTGTTGGGGTTGGATGCCGAGGACGTAGAGGAGAGCGAGGCGTTGGACGGAACGAGGGGGGGAAGGGATGCTGTATGGCGGTAGGGGGATACGGACGGAGAGCGGTTGAGGAGGATACCTTGGCGCGGCTGCGGGGCAAGCACTGCGGCCATTGTGCAGTGAGGTGGGTGAAGCAGTGGAGACGAAGATGTGCAGAGCTATAAGAGGAGGGGGGAGAAGAAAAAGGAGGAGAGAAGGAGGGAGAAGTGGCACGGAGGGTGGAATACGAAGAGGAAGGAGGAGAGGGTCGCGTATATTGCTCCAAGAGAGTTACTGGGCTTGGCTGCGACTTGCCCCCTCGGGCATATCCCCTCCCGCCGTGTCAGGCGTCCCCGGGGTCTGCGATGGAGACAAACACGTGCACCTACGCGCTCACATTCGTCGCGAAGCCGCGGCCAGCTGATCCTCTTCCTCTGGGCTCGGGCGAACACAGTCGCGGCCAAGCACCGCCCTCTCGCATTGGTTCCTCCCGTCAGTGTCTCGTGCCTCTCCCGACGCGTCGTTGACAATTTACTTTGTGCAACATTTGACCCTGCTCAATCATCGCATGCGAAGTAGGACCTCGATACAGCCCATCGTCCGCCCATCTATCACCGTCGGGCACGAGTTGCTTACTTAGGTCTACCTCAGCGGCCTCTCTCCGTTTCCAGACGCCGGTCTGCGCGGCCTGTCTTGGCCGGCGCTGTCGCAGGTTTACTGTTGGCAGCACCGCCTCCGACAGTGTCGGAGGACGCACGTTGTGCTGACGCGTAGCCGCGGCCGCAGCGCACATAAATGTCGGTACAGTAGCCTATTCCGACTTACGCCGGGATCCCGGAAGTGTACGCAATCCCGTACCCCTGCCTGCTGAACGTCCTAATGGGCAACATTACAAATTCGAGAGCGCCCGGGACACGGTACGCAGGTCCACATCATCCATCTCGAGGCTGTACCCCGGCTTCCTCTGTGGGTCTTTAGAACGGTGACTGTGTCTTGTGTTACATTCTACATCTACCAATTATGATGGCTTGGGCTTTAATGATCGGGAACACGAGAGACATGTTAGCAAGGACCCTGCGCATCTGCCCTGTGCCCACTGTGTCCGCCCTACCCACGGGCGCCCCGTCCCAGGCTGGCCGCAATTGACCAGCACCCCTTCGCCGCCATGGGCGGCAGTAGGCTTACATGGCTCCCTCGATCGATCTCCAGAATACACGCGAATTCTCCTTTGAGCCCACGCTCGGGTCCACCCGGACTCTCGTCTGCTTTCCTTGACTACCGGGGTGCCCGAGCCACCCCGAGCAGTTCCCTCGCTGAACGCGAACATGCTTGGCCAGTGGTATATCATCTCAGGTGAGCATATCACGGGTACAGCGCAGTCGCACTCGGTGTAATGTCATCTCTCTGGTGTGTTTGGACAAGCTCCCGCACGCCCGAATCGCGTCCGCGACGCACACGACATGGCACCCTGTGGCTGCCGTGGCGTTCTGGCAGGCTGTGGCGTATTCCATGTCGCATTTGTAACCAGGTTCCCCGTGGGGGAGCTGACGGGGTCCTCGGCGCGCCTGTCCGCTGTCATTTTTGGGTCCGCTTACGGCTCAAACGGTAACCTATCGCTGTTGTCTCATCGCGATCATATGAAAAATCTTCCTGTTGCGCAGAGCCGCTGATGAGATGGGGCGCCCCAACGTCCAACGTTCGGTGAAGAACGAAGTACATGCTGGAGGTTTGTGTCCATTATGTGTTTAGTATGTAGGGAACATGTGCTCAGGTACGGAGATCTCGCTGGGACGTCGTGTGTCATTGTGGTCAGCATCGATTTGGTTCCGTTTACGCCGAGTTTACACGGTGTCGAGCACGGAACAGAGCGACACACCGCGATCTATCGATCGTATCGTACTTGGACGCATCAGTAGTGCGCAGCCTCTGGAATTCCCGATGTCGTTTGCTGTGGCACCTCCCCGCTCACATCTGGCGGTGTGGTGTGTCAGGCTATGGTCACAGCTGCTCTTCGCGCTCTGGTAATCCTCGATAGACATGAATGGCCTCAGGCTGGTGTGCACACTGATCGTGGAGGGATCATTTCGAAAATCTGTCACTCATCTCAGCAACATTGTTCTATCAAGTTTCAAGCCACAAACATCTGGACCCGGCCGTGCGAATGCGACACCTAGGGTACACAAACGGCGGGACCTCTGGCAGCGTCTTCCCAGGAGGACCACTCGGGGCCGAAAACGCCAGTACTCATGAGTGGGTCATAGGGCATCCATTTATATGCCATGAAGGCCACGCCACACGGTTCCTGCACCCAGAGAGTCGTCGTGCGCACTCATTATTTCCGCGTGTGAGTAATTCGCGTCGTTCAATTGGACGAATATTGGTTCACCGCCTCTTAACCTTGCTGCTCTGTGGGCAATTGCATCGTGTGCTATAACATTGCTATGGATGTGGTTCCTGTCTGTTTTAATAGCCAGAGCCTGAGTTGTGCGGCTCGGCTCTGCCTCCCGGAGCTTCCACGAACAGCGCTTCATGCCAAACATCGGCGAGTTGCTCGACGGCGCAGTCGTGGCGGATCTTAGTTAGCAAGCATCCTCGTACAATCGGATATCCTGGGGTGGAGTACGCAGATAGACAGTGGCAGGTGTCCGCCATCTGGCATCGGGATCTGAGAGGGAGTTTCTTCTGTTCGACGAGAGGGGGATTCCTTCTACTGGTTTCGTTCCGCTACCTATTCAACATGTCGTTGCCTGTCATCATTGTCGGCCAGGCCAAGCTTTTCCCTCAGGCACCGCTAGTTCTTATGGGTCCCGAACAGTGTTGGGCAGTGTTGTGCGAGTCGTCAAATGATCGTGCGACTGTCGTTTAGTCGCATGATGCCAGTCGAAACGACTACAAACGACGACGACTGTTCCCACAGTGGCGACTATCCCCACAGTGGTGACTATTTCCATGACCATTCAGCCACACCTGAGGGAGATTTGGCCACAAAATAATGTACACAACAGGATGTGATGGTAGCAAGATATGTAAAAGAAAATACATGTATATTCTATTAGCAGAGACTCAGCACTCAGTCAATACTATCTTCTGCATCGAAGATGAGAAGTCAAGAAGCTCATACAACTCAACTTCATCCTGCAAATATGTCCAAGCCTCTTTTCCATCCTTGCGGCATCTTGAAGTCGAATAGATCTCTCAATGACAGAGAGAGGCAGCCAAGTAAAGTCATTGGGCCCCTCATCCATGCCTTGATCCGGTGCCTCTTTGGGACTCTTCGGGCGCCTGCGTACCAGAATTGCGCACGTGAATATCGGGCCGTGTCTGCTCAGGCCGTGGGAAAAGTCGCCGCGACTTTTCTCATGCGACTAAACGACAGTCGCACGATCATTCGACGACTCGCACAACACTGGTCCCGAACGCGCGAGACTGCGACAATGTCTCGCACACCGGCGACGCCCTCTCGCAAGGCCTGCATGACGGAACGCTCTCACGCAATCGCCGTCCCAGACCAGTTCCCAGGCCAGCGCTATGACGCTGCTCGACGCCCTTCCATACACTAAACCAGCTCCTCACAGCTATCTGCAAAATTGGCGCGGCGCCGCGTCGCGATACGCCCGAGGAGTGTCCGGGCCAGCCAGCCCGGCCTCGCTCACACGCGCCTCTGGGTCCGCACCCTCTTTCGCTGCCTTTCCAGGCCCGGACGACCCCCGCGCAGTGCGTCATGCGACGCACGTTCGCCATCACGTACCCGCACATTCGCTGAGCGCGAACACGTCGGTTCGCTATCAAGATATACGGCGTGCGGGGCACGCGTGTGCCAAACGCGGTGGGACGATCAGTCAATCTGGCGCCGACACAAGGGAGACTCGCGCCCCTAGTGCTGGGATAGCGGGGGCAGGGGAGCCTGGCTGCCCACCTGGTGCACCCGAAGGCCTGGCCACACGACGCGCGGCCGCTAATGCACCAGCTACCGCTGGGTGCGAGGGTTTGGCGCGATGAAGATGCGCCAGATCATGCCCAGATATCAGCGTACGTGATCAATGAACACGCAAGCGAATGACCGCAGTCGCTCCCGAGAGAGTCTCAAACTTGTTGGCGGGGCTGAGGTATCGTGGGCCGATGCAACACTCCCCTGTGCTCTTGATGCTGGAAGTTCAAGGCCATTTACTTGGCCTGACGGCGCGCAAATACTGATGCAGGACTACTGCATAAGCGCCACATCGAAGAGGTCGGTGGCGCGCTCATTCTGTGGCCTCCGCTTTTGTATCAACGAAATGCGCAAGATCGCCGCATCGTCTGGCAGAACCTAGAGGATGACGAACTACCGTTATAACGTCATAGGTTAGTCGACCGATAACGTGGAAGCCGGCAGTTGTGCCTTTAGCGATCGGAGCAAGTATTGAGTCGCTTCTTATGGTATCCGACTCTAAGCATTACTTACTGCTCTGTTCAGAACATTGCGAGCATGCCCGAAGTATCCCCGTGACACACGTCTCACGCTGGGGGCAGCGAGGGACGAGCTCTCCGCTTATCTTGACTTCATATCAGCCCGATCGAGAGATCGCGGCATTTGATCACTCACGTTTACCGAAGACACGAAGTACACGCATTCGCTACATGGGCCGCAACGTGGCCTTCAATATGACGGCTCGCATACAAGGGCCAAGAGCCTTGTGAATTCGGCTTCAGTCGCGATCAGGCTATTGGAGCTAACGACTTCACAGAAGTATATTGGGTTGTGCTCGATTGCGCGAACGATGTTGTCCGGAGCTCGAAGCGATCCGTGCCCCGCTTTGAAGAGGCGAGCATGCGAGGGAAGACGCTGCATGTGCAATAGAATCGGTACGCTATCGAGCTCTATCATCTACATGATCAGCGGCGATGCTCCGATTCAAGCCCTTAGGCACACTCAAAGAATCTCTGTTAATGGCATGCATCTGAAATAGCCCACGAAAGTGGCGTGGCAGCTCGATCCCCTGCGCGTGCGTTCCGAACGTTGTATGCTGGAAGTACGGGCGTGCGCCTGCAGCGCTCCCTGCTCTGTCCCTCTTCGCCGCCGAACACTCTCCGATCCTCGTGGAGAACATCAAGCCCTAAGCAACTGGTTCTGTGCGACTGCGGGAAAAGAATCGTCGGCTCAACTGACGTGTTAGGCTATTCTACCGAATTTCACAACGTTAGAGTAGATTTCGATTTCAGCGTTATAACTGGCAACAGGCGCTTCACGATCGTGCGGGGGATAAAAAGCGGGGTGCGACCACTCGGACCTCATCCGCGGTGCGCTGGTTCAACATTGTCTGATCTGTCTTCGTCGATCGAGCCGCTTCCAAGGATTGTCTTACGTTGCTTCGCACACTCATGATTGACTTCTCCACGTACTGCAGAGCGCTTTGCGCTCTTGTTTGTTGCTTGGTGCTCGCCAGGCTCGTCGACGTGTTCAAAGTACGCACTGCCCTGCCTAACGCGCCTGACGACTAACCCATGTCCGCCTAACATCTTGCCACACAACGACGGGCCCGCACGTCATACCGAGGCTGGGCAGTGCAAGGAACCGCGTTTGGAGCGCTTCCACGTTCATATCCGGGCTACTTCGACATCTCGATGCGTCCGATTGCCCTCTAGATGGCGGTCATGTGGATGCGTCGTGCCGCCGTGTCCAGCGCGCGCGCGTCTGAGCGCTTTCCGCTGTTGCCCATGGACCACTATCGTATCCAAGATGGCTGATGCTGCGGGCACGAACCACTCGTGCTAGCATCGTGCATCGCTTCCTTCATGTTTGTGTGCTCTGCGACTTTGCGTTTTCATCTCGCCACTCGGACCTCGCACTAGTCGCATCGTAGTAGGCCTCGTACCCGCGGTCATGGCGCATTCCGCTCATTGTATGACTCTATTCCGCAGCTCGCAGACCGGTCCGTGCGCTGTTTGCGCTATACAGACTTCAGTAGCCGGCGCTATCGTAAAGTCCTCGGTTGCTTGAACACGAGGTTGGTCTACTGGTCTCTACAGTTCTCTGAAACACCGACAATGCCGTGGGCGTCGACTATGCGACTAGCACAGAGGTGGGGTATTCTATCACTTCATCATTTTTGCTAGACTTGTCGATAAGTACTGAAGATAACCGCGTGGAGTACTTCTTAACCCCCGCTGTCAATTAAGAAGCAACCTGAAGGCCCCCGGACATTCCGCTATATAGGCAAGGGAGTGCTTGTGGTGCGCGCTCGAGGGTTCGCTGCATGGCTTAGCATTACTTCTCAGATATCCCAAGCGTCACACGGATCTCGAAGGCTGAACCTGTTTCTCTGGAAGCACCCCCAGACGTTTCTCGAAGGGTTTGTCCAGCATGGCAACTGGTGCCCACCGACGTCAGGGGTGTACGGTTTCCCTTCTAGTCAGGACTTGCAACCTGCATCATTAGGTCCTGGCCTTCACGACACTCCAGCCGTTGCAGTCTATGGTAAGCATGTCGTTGTGGAGTTGTGCTTGATATCCCATCAGTAACGCATCTCGGCAGATTAGTCTGCAGTTGTTTCTGGGGCGCCATGTGTTCCCACCTGCAGCATGCTCTCTGAATGACCGTCTTCTGCCCAGAGTGAATGGAGATATTCAAGGGGCGAATCGAGCCTGGTGCTCTATATCGCAGGTCATAAGACACTTCAAGCATAATCGAGGTAATTCTCTGCGCGCCATTCGCTACGCGCTCATTGGACAGGGTACATCCTTGGGACGGAAAGCGCATCCGGGCTGGGGCCTCCGGCCCATATATGGCGCCTTCCCCGGGCACTAAGCGCGAACTCGCTATTCAAGCATGCTTGCCAATCCGAAGGTACGACGCACTTTCCCTTAATTTGCTCTTGCGTTGACACGTAGACCTCTGTAGAAGACTACGGCGTCACATGAGCGCACTTGCCACATGATGTTCCTCAAAGACTTCGGCGGCAATAGGGCACCTACTTACTGCATGGTATTTGAATCAGCGGGGACTCGGAAATGCCGTCTGTCATACGGAACATGGTTGAGGGCTTTAGAGCTACTTGAACGTACTGGAATTGTTGGTTCTTCAACTTCCGGGATTGGCAATGCATGGTAGCGGCAGCAGGGTCTGTTCTTCAAATGACCAGCCATCTAATTTAACGGCGACAGGGCTTCACTGTAATATTCTGATAGGCGAGCCTTATATAGCTATTTGTGATCCAGAATTAGACACAGCACTGTCACGGTCGGCGATGCCATCAACTGCGGCCCAGTCGTCCAGCACTATCCCTGGCTGCTTGTTGCTGGCTGCTGCTCCTGTCCCATTTTAGTGCCTGGCCATGAAGCAGCTCAGCATTGTCAACCATACCTCTGAAATCCTGTTGGTGGAGGCCACCGGCGTTCTTGGAACTCGTGAAACCAAAGTGCTCTTGCCTTCGCTTGCTACCACCACCACCATCGCGAAGCATGCTTCTGTTTTCACATTTTCTACGCCCGCACAGAGGGGCGACTATGAGAAAGATTGGGTTGCTGTTCCTAAAGTCTACGCCGTTACTTTACCTCGGGTCTTAGGGGCAACATGGAAAGTGGTGGACTTGCCAAGCGGATGCCCGTGGACAATGTACCGAGCTAGGGTGCGTGACATCAGTATGTGCCTGAATCTGCTTAGTTATTAATGCTGCATTGACTCGGAAGGTGTCGAGAAAACACCATCGCCTTTTAATTCTACCTCGCAGAGAGCTATCATCATTCCTTGCGAAGCTGCCGGACTCGCTCCCGCTCTCGTCTCTGATGCTACCTGGTACGTGTTCAATCATAAGCTTTACTCAACACCAAAACTCATGACAGGAGAACAGGGACGCATGACACGTTCGTGTGCTCCAATCTCATAAAGTGGTCTAATATTGACAATCATGACCAGGATGGCATTCTATGGTTGGCCCATCTCCCAATGCCAGTCGCTTGCTACACCACTTGCATTGCAGCTACAGTCCGGCATCCGCGTACTCGATATTCGCCTTGCGGTTATCAAGTCCCGGCTCATAGCTTATCATGGCCTTTACCCGCAACGCGCATCCTTCCAAGAAATCCTTACCACGATACATATCTTCCTTACCGCATCTGCGACGTGTCGCGAAAGCATTGTGATGTCTATCAAGCAAGAAGACTTCGAGGTGACGTCGCCATCCCTGTTCTCGGAACTGGTCCACGAGGAAATAATGAACGGGCCCGGGGGACGGGATATGTGGTTCTTGGAGAATCGCATACCGAAATTGGGTGAAGTCAGAGGCAAAGTTGTCATGTTCAGTCGATTTGGCGGTGAGGGTGCAGGCTGGGAGGGCGGGCTAGAAGGCCTAGGCATCCATCCAACTGCATGGCCCGATAGCGCCAGATCCGGGTTCACCTGGCAGTGCAAAGATACTCTCGTGCGCACACACGACTGGTATGCTTTCTTTGGGGTTCTTCGTGATGACTTGATACAACTCGTTACCACAGGTATAACATCCCGTCCTTCCTTTCCATTCCGGAGAAGACAGCCCTGGCGACGGAGATCCTTTTACCTCCTCCAGACGACCCGCCGTTTCCTACTCTCGCGATCTCATTCTTCTCGGCATCTGGCTTTCCCCTCGCATTTCCGCCAACAATTGCACGGGGCTTTGGGTACCCCAAGCTCGGCCTCGGTGTCGAGGGTGTCAACGGGCGGATAGGCAGGTGGCTGCTAGATATGCTCAGCGGCCAAGATGAGAGTACTGCTATCAGTCCCCGGTTCACATTGTCAAGGCCTGCAGATGCAAGCATGCGCATACGCGGATGGGCGCTCATGGATTTCTTCAAGGACCCACAGGATAATGGGCTCGTACCCTTATTGGTGGAGTGCAACTTCCGCGGGAGGCGGAAAGGTGAAGAGGGCTGGCTATAGCTTATCGGACACAGCCACACGATTTATTCACTTTGCACATGGACTTCTTGGAGTGCTTTGTCTTTATTTGCTTTTGCTACATACCGATGATAGCATCTATAATACGCACACAATCGTTTAACATCATTTTGCATACACATATGGTCAGTACCTTCCACCTAATTCTATATCACTAAAGCCCATACATATCCCATCCGCCGTCTCGTAGACACAGCTGTCTTTTCGTATCAAGGGATTGTTATGGTTTTCATATGGCGTCTAGAGGGTCTGCGCTAGTCTTGCCATCCTTGCGCGTCGTCCAGTTGTAGAAATGAGTCTGCTCGGGACGCTTCCACGAATCTAATGCTTCTATGGCGGCCTCCCCCCATTCGAAAGTATCATGTGCCTCGCGGGCCGAGGGTCCATCAACGAAAACAATGAGGTTTTCATTCTTGGGAGGTATGAAGCCTTCTGCGACGCCGTTCCTAATAAGTTCGCGAAGAGCATTATAATAGCCAAGAACGTTGAGGATGATGATGGCTGGCATGTTTCACCTTAGCCTTTGAGAGCAGCCGCCATTATATAGCATTGCACTTACGCTTCGCATGGATTCCTAAATGTGACCAGCACACGACCTCAAGGACCTCCTCAAATGTTCCGTACCCTCCTGGTAGAGCAATGAAGCCGGATGATCTCTTGGCCATCTCGAGCTTCCTCTCGTGCATAGAGTTCACAACAATCTACGCTCGACGTGTGTGAACATCGGCACATAACGACATGCCCAATCACAGCATTCGAACTCACTGTCTGAACCTGCAAATTGCCTGTGAGCCTTACCCAACATCGTCCACGCAGATGTGTCGAAGTACCTTCTCCCGTCCCACTTCCTTCAGTGCGACAGTAGGGCCTCTCAGGCCTTTCGTGATATCTACTTCACCGCCAGACAAGACCATTGCTTGTGGCACGACACCAATGACGTCTCCGCCGGCTTTCAGCACAGCTTGGGATACTTCGCCCATGATCCCTTGCGACCCGCCACCGTACACGAGGGGTCTTCCGGATGCAGCGATGGCCGCGCCAAGAGCTGTTAAGGATGCGAGGTTAAGTATAAACCTAGCTCAGTACAACCGGCGTACATCTGGCTGCGTGGACGTATGCTGCCTGCTTTCCGACCGAAGATGCGCAATAGACAGCTACCGCTCCCGATGAAGATTCCATGGCTTTTTATACTATCTCACAGCTGAAAAGGCGCGGATGTGGTTTTGTGCGCGTCACGATTAGTACTTAGCGATTCTGTAAAACCTTTATCTGTTGGAATGCTGACTCACCAGGAGGTCACTATGAGGCGGTGTCGGCTGTTCAACGCCTTCCACAACACTTGCTATTCTAGGACGATCGCATCGATCATCATTGTTCGTGGGCCACGATCACGTGCACCGTGGTCACTAACGCGTCTACTTGCCACAGTAGCTCAGACGCGTCTGTTAAAGCGTGAGCAGAGACCACCATCACACAATCTCGAAAGCCAAACGCATACAGTAGTTAAACGCAATGTCTGATGCGGGTGAACCCGAGGGAGACCAAGTAAGTTGTACGATTAAGCATAGGCACCCATGTTTATCCCCAGCAGGTCTTGATTGCGACTGCGCATGATGTGCGATATTTCATCACTATGTTGCGTGGTGTCAATATCTCCAATGTAAGTCATATAAAAATACAATATAAGATACTTGATGTATGCTCTTCAGCGTGCTACTTTCGCCGTAACTGGGAATGGCTTGATTGTCTCAGTCGAGGAGGCCCGTACTTTGCTCGGTAAAGCTTCCTCAATTGTGACTGAATCGGTTCTCAGGGCCTTATACCGCCTTTTCCTAGCTACTGCATACATCTACAAAAGTGTCTTTGATGAGTTCATATACAATCCAGACACGCCACAGTCGCAATCACAGCCGCAGCCAGAATCACAAGAAGACGAGGAAGAAGAGAAAACCTCAATCACATCGTTCGAGATTCAGCTCACTACGCTCATAGATTGTCTCAACATCTTCGGCACAGCAGGAACATCCGCCTCAGCAACAACGAAATACCGACGATGGAAGACGGACCAACCCTCAGACAACGAGGAAGACGGAAACGAGCAGTCAAGCCGATCCAAAAAGAGTGCTGCAAACGGCCGCATAGAACAGTTTTTTGGATCCGAGAAAGGCACGGGCATGCACTTGACATATGCGGGGGCAGGCTACCCACTGACATTGCTGGTGTATGTACAAGAACCGGTCCGCGAGACTTGTGCTGAGAAATCTCAATTTTCAGAGCGGAGGATTCAAAGGGTCCCACTGCGACCTGCGAGATCACGACATTCCAACCGGACCCTGTGTTATCTTTGGATTTCGAGCCCGAGGACGCGTGAGCCTTGTTTTGCTGCACATATTTACAAACGATGACCGAGATTTATGCAATCGCACGTAGTGTGGCGCAGCTCATTCTTAAGGTCAGCGGACACCATTGCGAATATCCCATGTTGCTCCCCGACCTGAACTCCCTTCCCATAACAGTCGTCTTGGCTCCGAGACGCTCTGTCAGAGATAGACCCATCGTGTGACAAGCTCACCATCATCTGCAATCCTCCCCCAGAGGAGGGCAGGGCAGCTGGGCGTTCATCCCCGCCCCGACTGCGACTGCATGCCGCTGGGAATTTTGGAAGCACGGAGGTGGGTTTCCGACTGAGCTGCTCTTCTGCTCGTTCATTGTATAGCGCCTTGCAGATGGACTACCCCAGCGACAGGGAGGTCTTGGAATCATGCAAGTGTAACGAGCAAGTCAAATACAGGTGATGGTGGTCCGCAGCGCCAGCTCGACGACTGTGATTTACATATGCGCCCACAGCTATCGTTTGAAGCATATCCTACACACACAACGTGCATTGCAATCATCGACGAAGACCTCATTGCGCATTAGCCACACGGGTTTATTGAGCTTGCAATTGATGATGCCCACTCCTCACATTCGCGATGATCAGTCGAATGACTTCATAGAGTTCCGAGTAAGCGTCTTTGTACTAGTCACTTCAAAACATGCTGACGAACATGTAGTGTCTGCCGCTTGAGGAATGAAACGGATGTGCTTTTCTCTTTTCAGGTTTAAAGCCCCAAACCGCCGAGAGATGTGCTTCTATGATGGCATTTGTGGGTGTAATCATAGCTTCGTTATATCGCAGGTGGTGCTCTGCACACGGCAGCTGTGTTTCAGAGCGGAATCACGATGGCCATATCCTAAGCAAACATCGAACAGCGAAGTGCATTACATGATCCTAGAATAGTCCATCTAGGTACGTAGCATCAGTTTTCGACGGCTTTGAGGAAAGGGGAAGAGTAGGAGGGGAAGTCGGCTTCGATCGTGGCAGGTAGTCCGCAACAATAGAATCGAAGTCTGCTGGTGGAACTACGCGGCAGGGTCAGAACATATTAATTAAGAAACGACTAGGTTGCACTTACCTGGCACTGATCGCGCTTTCAGCGAAGCGTCCAGCATGCTATTCACGATCAGTCTGCGAATAGAGGTGCCGTCCAGAATCTGAGGCTCTGCCTTCTTCGGTGGTTTCGTCACGTCATCTTTAGGGGGCTCCTTGTAGGTCCCCAACGGGCCGCTGGCCTTCCCCAAGTGTGCCAACACATCGCCTTTGGTCAGCATCCCACGCACACCCGTACCCTTGATCTTGTCAGTGCTCTTGATGCCATTCTCCTGTAGCAGACGGAGGACGGATGGGAAGAGCGGCCGTGAGCTTTCCGGGTGAACGGCAGGACGCTCGGCCGGGATAGACGGCTCTGACTGCTGCTTATCAGGGACGGAGGCGGGAGGAGGGGTCGGTGCTGAAGTGGATGCTTCGGGCTTTGATTCAGACTCTGCAGGAGGCTGCAGGTTGGAGATATCGTCGCCTTCTTCTGCGAGAAGGCCAATAACCTCTCCGATTTTGATGTTTTTGGCGCCATTGGGGACCTGGTTGATATGAGCGGTGAGCTTGACGGACGCGGCATGAGGAACGCTTACAATAATCTTGCCAAGGATTCCGTCATCTTGAGCTTCTACATCTATGGTGGCCTTGTCTGTCTCCTACACGCGGTAGATGTTACATTGCACAAGGAGCAATGGCGAATAGAACGACTTACAATCTCGAGCAGTACGTCGCCGGCAGAGAAAGCCTCGCCCTCCTGCTTCTTCCATTTAGCAATACCACCCTCTGTCATAGTTGGAGACATAGCCGGCATCTGCAAGTTCGTGACGGCTTGGCGAACCGCGGACATCTGCATACCTGCACAACATGAGTGGTGAATGTGCTGTGAACAGACCGCGGTGCTCACATCGTCGACTGCACGATGACCGCGCAGCGGCCTTTGATAGCTGGCGTAGGGACTGCATGAGCGGTGCCCGCTGTGCGCGTCGTGGAAGAAGTTGGGGAAGGTGGGACGAGTCTTAGCAGTCCGTTCCGAGCATTCCGTCACGGATGGTACGATCACGTGGTCACAAACGCATCGACATTAATGTGAGACTACGGATAGTCCTCTGCAGTGAATAAGGACCTCAGCTAGCGGAGTCGACCGTTGTTGACAAGTATAGGATTTGAATAATCGTGATGAAAGAGGATATAAGGGCTCATTGTAAATGCCTACGACATAAACATTGAGCATTCCTTGGGCGCTGAAGCGCCGGCTGTAAGCGCGAACGTACGATTCACGGCTAAAAATGACGTATGCGACAACAGGAAAAGTAAGGCGATAAGTATTGGCTTTGATACAAACGTGCTGAGACTGACTTCCTATCCTCATTATTCGTACCGCGAATTCCGCTCACAACTCCCGACAACTGTCGCCGAGTCGATGATGTTGTTGCGGGGTTCTCCGACCCCGACTAGCGCCAGTGACCCGACCCGGAAACCCGCCACAAGCTCTTGCCTAGGAAGAAGCCTCATCACCGCCCACAGTTCTCCAGAATTCTAGAGGAGGTTGTGGCAGTGCTAGGTTGGGGAGTGTTGATCTTGGATTCAGGGGCTTGGAGATCACGAACTGTCGGTGAGTGCGTAGTTCGCTTCGGTCTGGATGGCTGTGCAGGACATCCGTCACCTTCCGCTACAGACGAGGCTTCCATAACAGTGTATCTGCTCGGCCACCTTAGGCGCGACATACAAAATATTCCTGTATCTTGCCATCTTGTCCGACAAGAGGCCAACTAGAGACTGTTCTCATCCGGCCGCATGTACTCACTACCGACCCCAGCCGTTCTGCAGCGAACGCGTGAGTATGGAACCAGGTTCTTTCACCGCTTCGGAATGTGAGTAGCAAATTCGATTCGTAGATACACGCTCTGACCTCTAGTTTACAGTCACTGTGCGACTCATCAGATACGACTAATTCTCGTGTCCTCCGTCGTTATTACTTCACTCTTGTTCCCGGCCATCGCTGTCTACTCGTCGCCAGAAACACGCTTCTTCGCCGGCTTCACTCTCCGTGTTCTCGACTCGTTCTCGACCTCCGACGATTTGTCGCGATATTTTGACCATCATGATCTCCGCAACCTGTGGGAAGGTCACAGCACTCTCCGCATCCGCGAGGATTCCGTGGCCAGGGCGCAATGTGGTGTACAAGGAATCTTGCGCTCAGAACGAGTGTTGGTCGGCAGCATATCGCCTGATTATGGCCTGGAGGCTGTGGAGCCCGGCACCCTAGCTTCCGCGCTCAGGCTTGAGAAACGGCTTTCGGGACTCATCACATCGCGAGGTCTTCCCTGCGTCAAGACAAGTGCCGGTTCATGCTTTTCACTCAGTCCATCAGTCTTCTGGGATCATAGCGAGGAGTCAATTCTTGCGGACGACAATGTCTTGGAAACGGTCAATTCAGCTCGCAACGTCTCGAATGCCGGTATATCTATCAACCCAGAGATTCTGCTGGCTGGTCGAGAGCTCCGCGACCCTACAGGCCCACACATAGACGGGGCCATGTTCTTGGCTCTCACGTACTTCTTCCGCGATCGAGACTGTCTTGACAACACTGGCCACTTCCAATGGCTGAGAGTGCTCGAGGAGGCAGCCGGACATGCAGGTGACCTGGTTGTACAGGCTCAAGCACCGAAGCTGGTTGCCCTTGAGGTGAGTTTTTGGCGCGCCGTGAGCTATCATCCGTGGCCAACTCGTAATCGCCTCTAGTATGATAAGAATGTTTCAACACGAAGTCGCATCACTATCCTGTCTGCGTTCTGTTATGCAGCCTATCTTACCTTCTTCGTATACTGTGCTCAATCATTGAGGCGCATGGTCACCGTCCATTCACGCTTTGGTCTCGCACTGACAGGTTTGGTTGAACTCTTGGTCAGCACTATCACCAGTTTGAGTGTCTGTGCCCTTGTGGGCTTCAGGATGACTATGGTCCCATGGTATGTCTTCTATTTACGTGCTCCCTTCAGAGGATGGACCAATGTAACGCGCGCAGGGAGTTATTTCCGATCATTGTTATATTCATTGGGGTCGAAAATATGTTCCATATTGTGAGTGCGAATTTTAAGCGTCATAACATTGCTGTTTCTCAAATTCGGCGTAGGTGGATGCGGTTCTCAAGACACCCGTCACTGTTCCCGTGAAGGAGCGGATTGCGCAGGGTCTGAGTCAAGCAGGGACTTCAAACACTCTGAAGGTCGTGTCATACAACGCAGTACTCGGTGTCATTGCATTCTTTTCTACTGGTGCTATCCGCCAATTTTGTGCCTTTTCGATTGTCGTGCTCGTCGCGCATTGGTTCTTGGTGCACACATTCTTTGTGACTGTCTTATCAATCGATATACAACGTCTCGAGGTATAAACGGACATATATGTCATACAAAAACAGCACTGACACGCCACCATTTAGCTGGACGAGCTACTCCGTCAGGATAGCCTGGGTCCTTCTGATTCCTCAAAGCCTGCTACTGCGACGAAAGTCCTCCCGCCTCCCAGAACATGGAGTCAGGCTATCACGGCTACACAGAATGCCATCAAGGGTCGCCCAGCCAAGAACATAAGTTTTTTTCTTGTACGTCCCTTGCCTAGCTCCGAGCGTCACAAGCGGTTGCTTACTTCCCGAAGTTGCTGGCAATTACAGCGACACTGTATTTTGCGACATCTCCCGTGTCGGTACCTTACAGAGAAGATACAAGAAGCGCATACCAGCGACACCTCCTTGCGAATGTACATAAGATATCTTCTGCCGACAGGATTTCTCCCGCGTTCCGTATATGGCAAATGCTCAATCCTTCTGATGATGCCCTCATCCACATTCGCGTCGAGTCACCGACAATCCTTGTTTTGGCACCCGAAGAGGACGCTGACACAAACCCAGTACCGGTCATAGACCAAGAGAAAGCCTTCCGACCCCGCGTCTCCCGCCTAGGCCGTCTGTGGAACCGTCTGTTCAGACATGTGTGGTGGCTGACCAAGTACATGGTGCTTCCCATCACGGCTACGACGGTCTTGCTCTACGGCCTGCTGCTCTACTTGCTGAAGAATGTCGAGCTGCTCGAGACACAGCGACAACGTCCGGGTCCAGACCACGACAGCTCCGATGAGTCGTCATCTGTGGAGGGTGAGGTATCTTTCACGACACTTCCTCGAGCATCCCCTACCGATGTGGATGCAATCGCGTCCAGCAAAGATGGCAAGGTGGTAGCGACCTTGGGGCTGCAGAACGAAGTTGTCGTTTGGCGGACCACGACCCGCGCATATATGACCGTCGATACGTCTAACATCCTGCTAAGCAGTGCAAGCACGCCTACGGCAGCGACAACGCTCACGACTCTCGCGGTTCACCCGTCGGGGACGGTCTGTGCCGCAGGTACCGGCTCCGGTGTCATTGGTGTCTGGACCATTTACCAGGACCAGGCCAAGCGTCTGACCGAGTTGACAATCTCGGATCACACGTCAGGAGCTGGCGTTGCTGCACTTTACTTCGCTCAACCCCAGCTTCGTCCGCCATCACCCATGCGCCCACTTACGCCTTCGCCTTCTCCATCAGACAGGCGGTCGTCGCAAAGCCCTATCGTATTGTATGCGACATATGACAATGGGTCAGTGGTGAGGTGGGAGGTTGAGGCCGATAGCAAATGCAGCGCGCGGTATGTCGCCCCGACGAGGTCTGGATCCGTGGTCAAATCGATGCTCCTGCCTGTACACGGAGATGACCGCTTACTGGTCGGCTTCTCTCTGGACGACGGCACATTCGAGCTCTGCGATATCAACCGGCCAGACCAGCTTATAGCCAAAGAGTGTTGGATTGCGGCCGGCAATCCTCAGGACCTTGTTTGCGCAGTTGACGTATGCAATCTCCAGCTCGACGGCAAGCGTTACATAGTAATTTGTGCAGCCACACAAGCGGGGGTTGTCTCGCTATGGGACGCGGGCACTCGGGATTGTCTGTTCATCATGGACGAGCCATTCGGAGAGGTCAACCAGCTGCGAGTGACAGCCGTGCCCCTGACTAGCTGTCTGGTCTGTGGGGAACTCCCATGTGAGAACTTCCTGGTGTCCTTCTCGGTCGGCCAAGTCATCCTGTTCTTCCGTGCCTACCTCTACCTTCCGACACGGCGATGCTCGTGTCCGCGAAATCAGCCTCAGAACAGTCTGCTATCTAGCAGCCTTGGACATCGGTCGCGCAGTGGGAGCATGGCTTCGATAGCATCGTCGAACGGAAGCAATACTCCAAAGCGTGCTCGCTCTAGGAACCCCTCCATCTCATCCATCTCATCCATCTCATCCACGTCTTCAGCTTTGGAGGCGCCGATGTTCCCCGTCTCAGCGCACGGCGTTCATTCGCGGAGAGCGTCCGAGAAGGAAAGTATGCGTCGTACTCATGACACCTTCTTCATCAACTCCGACTGCGACGACGCTGATCCGCGTCCGCTTGGACCTGTGGACGTCAACCCAATTGCCGGGTTTCTCTCTGTGCATCCTCCAACATCGATATGGCAGAGTCTAATTGTTGTCAGAGTGGCTGACGCCATGTTTGAACGTGGCAGCTGGGATGTTGTCGGGCATCGGGTTGTTGGAATACGCCGCAAGGCGCGTCCACAGTTCGTACAACGGCGCAATGACCACAAGGTCGAACTGAAAGTGGAGTCGCCTCATGGACTTAGCGCGTCCACCCTGGAGCGATGGGAGCTATGGACATTTGACCCCGATGATTCTCGACTTCAAGCATCGCCTCTCTCCGCCATTAACCGTGACGTCCACGAGCGTGGTATAAACAAGCGAAGGCGCGGTATGTCCGTTACGGAGTCGTCCAAGGGTCAAGCCAGTCCTACGACAAAACGGATCCAGCTTATACCGCGACTGCATTTTACCCGCGTCACACCGTTCGTCGGCAGCTCGACGATGTGCATGGCCGGATTTGGGAACACGGTTGGCCTTTTTGACTTCGGTCTGCTCTCAAATGCCCGCCGGCGTCGACTCTCCCTGGTGGATGACACGCGCAAGAAGTCGAATACAGACTAGCGAATCACTCCGCACACTGCTCTTAGGTATTTGCGTGTATGTATCGATGAAATTTATCTACTGCACTGAGATGTATGTTACATGTGTGTATAGTTGGCTATGCTGTAATGGTGCTGGATACTTAGACGAGCAATCCTACTGGATAGGTTACCCTGAAATCTCGAATTGGACCAGGGCCTGTCTCTCACAAACTCGGCCGTTGGCGCTCCATTTTCTCTCTTCGAATGAGGATAATCTGGAGTACCTGGAAGTTGGTTGCTTGATAGAACACCTCCGGTGTGTCAAGAACATGCTCTGACATCGTTCAAATCTGCATCTTTCATGCTCGCAGATTCCACGACATATTCACAGGACCTCATTCAGGCAGGACTGCAAGTGATCGGTCCCTGATGTTCTAGGCCGTTGCCTGACCATTGTCGCATAATAATGTCTCTGTGGGGCAGCCTCTGTAGAAGCTCTTCCCCATACACCCTCCCGTTGATCCCACAGGCCAGATACCTCTAGCAGTCGCGACCTCCTTCTGTCCCACCTTGCAGGAACTGCTAATGATAGACTTGTATCTGGTCCCCAACAATCCCGAGCGTACGACGCTTGTCTCCACAGTTGGCGTCGCATACTACCAAGTCACGACGACAAAGTCGCAGCCGTTTGGTGGGCCAGCCATTTCGCGGATCAGGAAGCCTGCAGACACGGAGGGCGAGAGCATCGTCGCCGAGATCCATTGGAGAAGATGGGGCGCGCACCCAATTGTGCGGAGCAGGGTCTTCGATGGCTCTGAGCAGGAGCTGCTGGTCAAGGAGCTGCTCTACAAGGCGGGGAATCGCTTCAGCCCGTGCGTAGCTCGTCCCAACTAGAGCGCGTGAGGATGAACTCAGACATGGTGTTCCTTTAGGACGCGGTATTTCCTGGGGAACGATGATGAGGTGTATCGGTGGAAGATAGTCAAAGGCATCGGATCAGTGGTTCGTTGGACTGCCATAATCTCAAGAATGAAAACTGACCAGCTTGAGTGATACAGCTAAGCAACAACTCTACTGGGACAGAAGTTGCACGTTACACCCAGGACGATATCAAAGACGGTTTCTTCAAAGGAGAGAAGAAGTGGTATCTGCAGATCCAACCTTCAACTCTGAGCGTGGACATGATCGTGACCACATTCATGATCATGGAGAAGAAGCGACGTGACCGTGTAGCCGACCATCACGTTGTACGTGTTTCAGAGCACGACGAAGATCCTGCAGAAGGAGGTGGTGCGGAGAGCTGATTCGCGTGTCAATGCGTTCTGTGTTGGATCTTTGGGGTTTATGGGCGCTGACTTCACTGTTCTCGGTGATATGTTGTTGTTTGCTCTTTTGGGATTTTGGGGTTATGTACGGGTGCATGGGGCTACACAAGGATGTCTGGGAGTTATTGTCTCGTACCCATCCCCCCGTATCCGCACCCCACCACCGCGAAAAGGGGGTCTGGGGCAGTTAGATAGCCCCTGGCTTAAGCGCCCAACAAGCGCCGGAATGTAACGGTCACAGGTTGCTTCTGGTACCTAGAAATGATGCGATCTTTGATCGCTTTCCAAATGCGGTACTCACACCTAGCAGGTCGTGCTCGAGACTGGTGGACGCTACATTGTGGTCTGCTACAGAATCTCAAGTTTACTTGTTTCAAGCATCTTAGATAAGTCTCATATACTATATCCACCAGCAACCTAAGTATTCCATGAGATATACCCCTCCAGTAACATCATGAGGATGCCACAGGTACTGAAAGGAGAAGTTGCAGCTTTCATGATGATGCTTTCCACATGATACTTCATTTGGTCATAAATTTACAGGCTGAGTTTGGCATAGATACTTTTTGTGTGGCCTTTCAAGTATTTTACAAGCTCAGGTATGCCTTTGTTGACACTTCCTCGAGCACGACCTGCTAGGTGTGAGTACCGCATTTGGAAAGCGATCAAAGATCGCATCATTTCTAGGTACCAGAAGCAACCTGTGACCGTTACATTCCGGCGCTTGTTGGGCGCTTAAGCCAGGGGGGGTGCGCCTATCTGACTGCCCCCTTTTCGCGGTGGTGGGGTGCGGGTACGGGGGGATGGGTACGAGACAAGGGAGTTACTGTGATAAGATAGAGTTCAACGCACGATTCTTCCGAGGGATAGCAGTGCAAAGCGGACTGCCGTCGATCGCCCTTCGCGTGAACCTGACAAATGCCGCGTGTCATGTGACCGCGTTTCGCTCGTTATCGCTGTGGGTGCATGCGACACCTATCTCCTCCACGGCCACCGTCAGGGACGGAGGGTGCACGCTGGGATATATAGACCGTGGATGCGGTTTTGCTAGACTCTCCAAACAGGGCCGCTATGCTCGCAGCTTCTCTCCTGAGTCTCCTCGCCTTAACCACAGCAACAACTGCAGCGCAGCGACCACTCGTGCAGCAGTTTGTTGACAATGGTCAGACCTATAGCGGGATAGACTTGCCAGGCTCTGATCAGGCCTACGATGCCGGTTTGTTCACCCCGCTTGAGGAATTCAGTCTACTGTCCACGTCAGAGTTCACAACGTTGAGCCATCCCCTATTTCCTAACTATAACGTTCGCATCAAGAAGTCCGACTTTTGCGACGGCACTGTTGGGTATACACGCCTTTGAGCCCTCAATGGCAAGGTGTATCAGACTGATTGATACCACGTGTAGGGCATACACGGGATACATTGACATTCAAGCGCGGCACTTGTTCTTCTACTTCTTCGAGAGTAGGAGCAACCCAGACAAAGACGATGTGATTTTTTGGACCAACGGAGGTCCTGGTTGTTCGTCCTCCCTGGGCCTCTTTATGGAGCTCGGTGGGTTTTTAACAAGATTCATTAGCATATTCAGTTTTATCTGACAAACTTCGCAGGACCATGTCGCGTTTCGAGTCCTGATAACTCCACATTCAATCCGTACTCCTGGAACGAGAACGCCAATATATTCTTCATCGATCAGCCCATAGGCGTTGGTTTCTCGTACGCAGACTACGGCGAGACGGTCGTGGGTCACTATTGACTAATCCGCGTTGTTCATTTCTGACATGCGTTAGAGCACGACCCCAGAAGCAGCGAAGGACATCGCAGCCTTCGTCGCGATCTTCTTCGAGCACTTCAGCAAGTTCAAAGGCCGGGCTTTTCACATGGCCGGGGAGTCGTATGGGGTGAGTGTGTGATGCAGAATGACTGAGCAGCCAGTGTGACAAAACTTTCATAGGGCCGGTACATCCCCGTCTTTGCGTCGGAGGTCTACGACCAAAACGCGAGGCTTGTTGAGGCGGGATTGACGCCCATCAACCTTACTTCTGTTATGATTGGTACGGGTACAAACTGCATGCACAGGGCATCTCGCTTAGTTGTTCTAGGCAATGGATGCACGGAATGGCCCACCATGACAACGTCTTACTATGACATGCAATGCAAGCCCATGTCCGTCGCACCGGTACAGGAGATTAGGTGAGCCTGCTCTTCAGAACTCTCAGTGAGTAGCTGACATCGGCCAGCTCATGCATCCGCATGAAGCAAGCGGTGAGTTAGGTTGTTATGTATTCCTTGCTAGCATACCCTCATCCACTGGGATAACTAGATCCCTCGCTGCGAGAAGATGTTGAAGGAATCGTGCGTCGACAAGTTTGACAGCATCGGCTGTGAAGCGGCCGGCCTATTCTGCCAGTCGGAGATCTCCGTCCCGTTCTATGCTACAGGTGAAGTCTCCGTATTGCCGTATTGATGGGCCCGAGCACTCAACTGTTGACAAGGCTATAACCCATACGATATAAGCAAACTCTGGTGCACCTGATTTTATGGTTCAGTTCCGCGATATAAGTACTGATGCTGTCTTTCCGCACACCTACAGCGAAGGGGCCATCTCGGATACGCTGTGTTATCCAGTGACGAAGTACACCCCTAGCCCGTATCCTAAAGATAGACTCACACAGATGTGTTGCACAGAGTCATAAGTCAATACCTCGACCGCCCTGACGTCCGCTCGACGATCGGCGTGGACCCGTCGATCACGTCCAATTTCAGTAGCTGCAACTACGAAGTCAACGCCGCCTTCCATGCGGCGGACGACTCCATGTTCCCGACGCAATACTACATTGCCGCGCTGCTCGAACGCGGGATTCGCGCCCTCATCTACGTAGGGGCAAATGACTGGATCTGCAACTGGGTGCGAGTCATTTCTGCGTGGTTTCCCATCACTGCTTACAAGACCGTACTTCACGCAGGTCGGGAATGACCGTATGACGCTGGGATTGGAGTGGACTGGCCAGGAAACTTTTGTCAGCCAGCCGCTCAAGGAGTGGAAGGTGGATGGGGAGATCGCTGGCTTGACCAGGAACGCGGGACCGCTCACGTTTTTGACGCTCGACGGGGCCGGCCATATGGTGCGTAATTTATTACGAATGTGTTCGACGAAGACTCATGCCCTTGTTCGCAGGTCCCGTTCGATAAGCCAAAGCAGTCTTTGGAGATGGTCAAGCGCTGGCTGGCTGGCGATAAGTTCTAGCGTAGCTTATGTGTGATGACGAAAATGCGGTGAATTCGACAGCTTGTATCTGATTTGCAAGTGTCACTATGCACTTCACCCATCGTTATAAAATTTAATCAGCTGACATGTACTTATCACATTCCCAAACGCTATCATGGGGAGGCCAGTATTTCTCCAGGAAGCGAGGCGAGTTAAGCAGGCTACAGAACCTCAGGTATTCCATTCCTCCATTTGATACCTGCTTTCTCTGCGATTCTCATCGTAATCTCTCAGATAGCCCTTGCCTCCTCCGGAGTCGCTTTCTTCGTCGAGCGTTCCCCACATGCAAACCCATCTGTCGAGGTGTGTCGATTGCGATGAGCGCGGCCGTGCAGGAGCACGAAGTCTCCACATGAATCAGTACATCCTTGCCGCCGTTCACGAAGCCGTATCCAAGAGCTACAATGTAGTAATCCGATTGGTACGATGTGCTAGTCCAACCCACCAAAGTTGGGATACGCCGAGTCCATGACACCCACCCTGGATTGCATCTGCAATGTTGCAGCACATTGCTTTGAATAGCTCTCCTTCCCTGTTTACAAAGTATGCCAAAGGTTTTGTGGTGTCGCTGAAACACCACGAAGAGTCAACGGCCGTTGACGTACGTCCCCTCTGGCTCCTTTCTTATCCCGACATACGGAACCACCCGCTTGTCCTGTAGATCTCCAAGCGCTGACGAAGGGCGAGCAGACCTTCGAGTACTTGCATATTTGTTACGGTGAACTAGGTGCCCCGTCGCTGAGCCAAAGCTTGCTCAGGTGGTTCTTGCACCTCCACCCGGAGCTGCTCTAGCTCGTGCAAGACGAATTCGAAGACCATGAGTACCGCTTTAGCATGACGGCATGTACTGAATACTGCCACGGCGACGAGGTACCACAGCTGAGCTATGAGCGAGTCGGGGCGTGTGCAGCTCGCTGGACGGATACATGGCTTTGAGGTGCTGCAGTAACTCGATGCTCGCAGTCGTAATCACGAAGAGAATAAATCAACACAGTGTATGCCACCATTGCTCTCTACTTAACGATTCCATGAGCCTAGCCATCTCCGAGCGTGAACGAAGCTTGTTAAAGCTATACGCCGGTTCATCGTGATGTTCTTTGAGGTCGGGCTTACCTTTGACCTTGCCCTAGTTTCCCAACCTTTCTGCGTATGTCAACGCATGGACGTAGTGGTATGCTTGGACCGTCCGGAACGGGCCGGCGGAAAACGAATGGTCAGACCTTGCACGCCGAAAAGCCTGTAGCAACAACAGGCGGAGGCACGAGCGTAGATCTGTAGCGTAGTACAGTCCTCAGTGCACGCTCGGGAGAGCAAAGACTAAATGTATATTAGCATTCATGTAGCGTAGTACAGTCTAATGACATGGTAAGCTATGGTATGCGGACATGACAGACAACTTTGCACTTACCCTCAGTGCACGCTCGGGAGAGCAAAGACTGAGGGTCAAGATGCAGGCACTCAGGTAAAATAGCTACAGTCCGTTAGGGGCTAGGTACAGTAAGGTACGTACGCGCTACCGTAACGGGTAATGATGGATACGATACTGACAGCGTGAGCGTCGGGGCGAATCAGAAAGAGCGCCGCGCCGACGCAGTAAGGCGCGGCGCGGGAAGGCGGAACAGCGTGAACTCAAATAAGAAATACACGGGTATGGCGCGCAACCGGTCCCGGAGCGCGGCGGACGACGCACGGATTGTCGTGCTCCAACAAAGCCTTGCTTATATATATCACTTCGTGTGTCCGGATCCACGATTATCAAGTTGAAAGCATTTCAGAAAGCGTAGGAGCATTTCTCATTGTTGCTCTCACCGGTCTCAAGTTGCCCGCACAATGTGAACCCGTGAGTAAATAGCGGCGCTTGGGTGGTCGTTACCGAACGGAAACGTGCTTGTTCCTCGGTGCTGATATTGAAACCCACCATTGAGGCGATTATGCATGCGATTGGTAGATCTATCTCTGTTATCTAGATGCGCAGGATCTGAGACTGCGGTACTCGTCAATATAAATGCATGAGAGCATCCTAACATAACAACCGACACATCCCAGACCCCTCATGCGTCTACTACCCTTTCTGCCATTTGCAGCCACTGCTGCGGGCGCTGTTGACCAAAAGCCGTTCAACAGTCTCCTAGGACACCTAGCCACTGTTCCAAGTTTTGCCGTGCCTCACAATGCTTCAGAGTCGACGGTGTTCAAGCCTTTTGATCATTTGATTGATTTATCCGCATCTGAGTTCACTGCCTTGGGGCACCCGGTCTTCCCTCATTACAAAGTACGCATCAAGAAGTCCCGCTTTTGTGATGGAACGGTCAAGTGAGGCGTAATCTCAAACATGGTTCGTACGCGCTGACGTCTCATCGTTAAGCGCATACACAGGCTACATTGATGTAGAGGCTCGGCATCTGTTCTTCTACTTTTTTGAAAGCAGAAGCGACCCAGACACAGACGATGTCATATTCTGGACCAACGGAGGGCCTGGTGGCTCTTCGTCTACCGGTCTCTTTATGGAACTCGGTATGTCTTCGATATAGTCCTCGGGATTCGGCTAGCGTTGACCTAATATGAATGCAGGACCTTGTCGAGTGGTGAACTCGACCACCACGACCTTCAATCCCTATGGATGGAACGACAAGGCCAATGTCTTCTTTATTGACCAGCCCATCGGGGTTGGCTTTTCCTACGCTGACTACGGTGAAGCCGTGGTAAGAGACATTGTGGCTTTGACCACAGACCGAAATACAACATGACAATCATAGAGTAATACATTGGACGCAGCTAAGGACATTTCGGCCTTCGTCGCAATTTTCTTTGAGAACTTTAGCAAATACAAAGGAAGAGCATTCCATATGGCTGGCGAATCTTACGGGGTACGTATCATCTGATGCGTACCATGTACTGATGTTATAACCCCGAAGGATATTACCAGGGTCGTTACATCCCGGTATACGCGTCGGCGGTTTATGACCAAAACGCGAGACTCGTCGAGGCTGGGCTGACACCAATCAACCTGTCGTCTGTCATGATAGGTTGGCTAATGTCACACCTCAACAAATAATGACTCACGACTATGATCTGCAGGCAACGGATGCTCAGACTTTAGCTACATTTTGCCATCATACTATGACATGCAATGTCGTCCCATGTCAGTGCCCCCGGTCCTGCCTATTAGGTATATTCTTGCCACAAACATACTTCTGGGTTCTCATCGTATACTTTCAGTACATGTATTCGCATGAAACAAACGGTGCACAAATTGCCAGCCTCATGCGCGGTCAATGGCTGATGCTGAGAAATGGTGCTAGCTCCCCCGATGCCAGAAATGGATGAAAGAAGCCTGTGTGGATCAACTTGACGATATAAGCTGCACGGCTGCATGGATGTTTTGTGAAACAGAGATCAGCAACCCTTTGGAAGCAACTGGTGCGTTGAACTGGCCGCGAACATTGTGATATATTGACGTCCGGAAAGGTCTTAACCCTTACGATATCACCAAGCCTTGGTTAGTTCTCGCTCAACGCATACATGACGACCTTTACTTACGCAATGCAGCGGTGGGCCGATCGCGGACGTGTTCTGCTACCCCATCAACAAGTGAGGCAGAAGATCCCTCAATGGTCTTCCCTGTATGCTCATGGATCAGCCTTTCAGAGAAATCAAGGGCTACCTTAGCAGGCCAGACGTCAGGTCTACGCTCGGCGTCGACGAATCAGTCCCACAGAACTTCAGCCTCGTGAGCTGGGAAGTGAATAGCGCATTCATGGCCAGCATGGACTACGTGTTCCCCAACCAGTTCTACATCGCTGCCCTTCTCGAGCGGGGTATCCGAGCATTGATCTACACCGGTGTGAACGACTTCGCATGTAACTGGGTAGGACGGCTCCCACCTACTCTGCTCCATGGGATGCATCTGATCGTACCGTTCGATCGCCGTAGGTCGGTAACGATCGCATGACACGGGACATGGAGTGGACCGGCCGGGAGGCTTTTTCCGTGCAGCCACTGAGAGACTGGCTCGTCGATGGCAAAGTGGCTGGACAGACGAGGAGTGCAGGCCCGCTGACCTTCGCGACTATCAACGATGCAGGGCACATGGTGGGTTTATGACCCAGCCGAGAAGGTACTGCAGCTTAGCTGACGCTCGTATGCAAGGCACCATACGACAAACCAGCCGAATCCTTAGAGCTGGTGAACCGCTGGCTTGCCAATGAAGAGCTGTGAAGCAGGCAAATACCGAAGGGTATCCGCTCTAAACCGTTCGGAGATTACGGTTGACAGTACAATACGTCTGCATTTGAACCTTCGAGTCACCTAATAGATATGTTGCCTGTAGCATATCCATTTATGTGTCGCCGACCAACCAACATCCACCTATTCTCGTAGAACATCTGACCTGAACAAAATGAAAGCATACACGTGAGGGTCAGAGAAGTGCCGCAGGAGCACATTGACAGTAATACATATGTATACATTTTCTCCTTTTCCTTCTAGCAACCTACAACGCAGATCTCGGGCTTCACTGTTATGCCGCCTGTGCCGCTGATGGTGCGATCTTGCTCTTCCCGAATGTGGGATCAATCTTGCGGCTGCCGTCCATGAATGCGCGAACTTGCTCCTCTGTAACTGCAGCTCTCCGCTATGTGCCATGTAGTCAGCACCGGCGCCCAATGAAGAAACGAGAGCCGTACATCTTGGAACCCCTTGACGAACTCCTGGAGAACCTGTGTGCACTTCGCCTTGAGCTGACCGGTCAAAAGGCGGCCCGCGCGGTATTCCTGGCCGCATTGAGGCGGACTTAGCTCGATTCATGCAGCCAGGCAGGCAGATACGCACCTCTCCCATCTTGGCCCACTCCTCGTCGTCATCCATGAAGAAGCCCAGGTACTGGTACGCAACATCGACGTCCGGGTTCCCGCCGAGCCGCCTGTGCTCCTCCTCCGTCTCCTGTCCGCCCGAGAAGCCGTGGCGGTTGATCTTGTTTTTGATTTGCCCGGGCGTGTCGGACATGTAGATGCTCGAGTTCGTGTCGGAGGCGCTCATCTTCGTCTGCGGGCCCTGCAGCGCGGGGAAGAACTTGGAGTGGAGCAGCGCAGGTTTGGGGTACTTGAGCTTTGCGGCGACGTCGCGCGTGAGGCGGAAGTACGGATCCTGGTCGATCGCGCAGGGGATCAAGCACGGTATGTTCGAGGCGGTGCCGAAGATCTGCGGGAAGGAGTTGGAGAAGGAGGGCGCGGCTTGGATGGAGGCGAAGTGGATCTTGCCGATGTTGTCGCTGGATGGAGGTCATGCGCTGTACGCGGTGCTGAGCAGCGGGCGGGGACGTACGAGTCGTTGAAGCCAAACGTGGCTTTGGCCTGGTTGATCGTGATCTGCCGAGAGATCTTGGAGACGTTGCGATAGAATGCTCCGCCGACGTAGTCGTAATCGCTGAAGATGAACGTCTTCTCTAGGTTGAAGCCGACGGAGATGATGTCCCGCGCGTTCCACTTCGAGAACTCATATGTTTGTTCCACCTTGAGCTCGTGCTTGAAGAGGAACTTCTCGTCGTCTGTAAGTTCGTTGAGTGAAACCGTACCTCTAGAACGAACAAGACCAACCTGTGAGCTGGACCACTAGTGGGACATCGAAGACGTCTTGCAGCCACCTGTATCGCTCTCAGGCTTACCTGTCAGGATGAGACGAGAGGCCAGGACTCACTTTGTGAACACGAACGGGACCATGTGTCCGAGATGCATGCTGTTGCTGCTTGGCCCTCGCCCAGTATACAAGAAGAACGGCTTCCCCTGCTCATAGCGGTCGAGGACCTTGTCAAAGTCTCTGCACGACAGCGCGACACAGTCAGTTCCGCTCCCCGCTGCACGGTCAGCCGAGACAAGCACGCACCGATGAGAAAAGAACAGCCCCCTCCGCAGGAACACATGTGGACGGCGCCCGGTCAACCGCTCGAATCGCTCCAGGACCGCCTGGTCGATCCTCCGCGTGCCGAACTGGTCGATGAGCTTGTCGTAGTCGATCGCGAGCTGCTGGCCGTCGGACGAGACGGACCCCTGCACGTCCCAGGGCGTCACGACCTGATCGTGCGTATCCGAAGCATCGGCGGGCTTGACTGCGGGTGCAGAGCTCTCTCCGGTGAGGGTCGCGTGCGATGCGGACTCACTAGAACTAGGACTGCACAACAGGTGTTCACGCCCTCCTCAGAGAAAATCGAGCGGGGCTACATACTCTGCCAGGCTTGCCTCCGCCAGAGATGATGCGATCTTGTCGACTGAGACGGGAGAGGTAAACTCGGACGTCATTTTGTCGGGTACGGCGAGAGGTGGCCAGAGATGATTCTATAGCGTTTTATACGGGCCAGAAAGTAGATTTAGCTAAGATGATAGTAGGGCGAGTGGACAAGTCGGAGAGCGTGAATACTAAGGTTCTGAGACTCGCTAGCGCTGCTGCACAGTATCGAGTCAGAATTCCTTTACCATAATTCTCTCCTCGAGATCAGATCTGTCGATCGTGCACGAGCGCTAGTCTCCTGTGAGCGGCACGAAATAAATTTCCTTCAAAGTACGCAGGTTCCGGATATCCATGTATAACACGAGCGCACACATGCTGCTGTCGAATCAAGCCTACAGTCGGGTGCACGCACAGCGAGTACAAGGTAATAACGTCTGGCTTTATTTGATACAATGCTACCGGCGTAATGAACATATGTGTAGTGACTATGGGGTGTTATCATACTCTGCATAAGGGAGCGAAAGGGTCATCGTCAACTTCATAGAAGGTCCGCAATTTTCTACCTCGACCGCAAGCAACCTCGTTCCCATCAACGATCCCAGCACCCCACGCGTGCGGAACCCTTCGTGATCGCAAAGGTGAGGAACATACTCGTAACAGAAAGCGAAGATCGGCTACCACTTATGGTTTCCGGAACTCGCACAACACTGTATAGATCGTGTTGAATGCGGTGTAAATTTCCTCTCGGACCTGGAGAAAGATGTGAATGTGCTATCACGACGTCGATACAAAGGTTCGTCACCTTCGCGCCCGTTAGGACAATCTTGCCGGAAACGAAGATCAGCAGCACGACCTTCGGCTTGATCATGCGGTAAATGAGACCAGGGAACAGCTACGAAAGCGACAGTTGGCGACAAGCCCTGACTAAAACGGCATGCAGCATACCTCTGGCTCATAACTGCTGAACTGTCCGTGGCTGTACGCAAGACCCTCCAGACGGATAGGGAACTTGACGTCACAACTACCGACAATGTTCTGAATCTTGAACTCAGAGAACTTGGCGTCAAAGCCAAGCTTTTGCACGATTCGCGCGTACTTGCGCGACGCCAACCGCGAGTCGTCCTCGCTCTTCGCGCCGGTGACGACCATCTTGCCCGAGGCAAAGATGAGCGCGGTCGTCTTCGGATCGCGGATGCGCATGATGACGGCCGCGAAACGCTAGAAAAGAGTGGAATGCGGAAGAAGCCCGACATTCACACAGGTCAACAACAAACAGTACCAACCTTCGGGTTGTACTCCGCGTTGCGTGCGTGCAACGCAATCGTCTTCAGGTCCAGCCGGCAGTCCAGGTTGACCGTCGCGACGATGTTCTGCAGTGTCGGGACGATGCCCTCGACGGCGGTAATGTGCTGCTGCTCGAGCGTCAGCGGCGCCGGCGTCGCGGGCACCGCGGTCGGCCCTGGTGTCGAGGGACCCGCTAGCGGCGCAGGCTGGCTGCTACCGACGATCGTGGGCGACTGCGAGTGGGAATGTGGCGGTTGTTGCGACTGCTGTTGCGACTGCATATATTGCTGCACTGATTGTGGTTGTGCCTGCTGTTGCGTCTGGTACGGGGATATGGACGGTGCAGCAGGCGCGGGACCAGGCAGAGCAAGGCTCGAGGGGCCTGGTCCAGCTAGGTAGGGATTTGAGGAGGCATACGGCAGAGCAAGACCATTAGACTGTTGCGTCTGGGGCTGCGGCTGTGTGTACTGCTGCTGCTGGGACACAGCGGCGGGGCGAGAGAACGTAACCTGCCGCGAGGGGAGTGCAAAGGACATCTTGCGAGGTCTAGAGGGGGTCCAACGATGAATGTATTGAGCTCGACACCGAGCGAATGGATATGCAGAGCAGGTATACAACCGTGAGAAAATATCTCAGAGGCACGGGACTGGGGAGGGGGGGGTTTGTCGCGACGCACCCCGAGACTCTTATATACGCCCGGAACTTCAAGCTCCGCCCGAAGTCCTTCCGGATTTAGCTTGAGCCTTGATGGCATCTGCCGCTTTGGACCGTCCTTGACAGATGAGTCGTTCGCCCCTGTTCATGCATCGCGTGCTGTTCGACGCTTTTCTTTAAAGCTCTGCCACATCTTTTGCTCACCATCCGATGTGTCCTGCCCAACGCTGCTCGTGGCTTGCTTGCTGGTCTGGTCTTTGCACAGGAATACCAGATACTTATCGCTTGCTGGAAGAAGCGCTGACCACTGGCCGCCCACGCGTGATCCGTGACGATAGCTTCGAGAAAACTTTCTGCGAAAGTAGCTCACCCAAGGGCCAACGACTGCCATCCAGCGTGCAGGCTTGGAGGCGGTTGGACCCTAGCCACATGCCGTGTTGTGCGGAGTCATGAAAACGCTGTTTGGGAGGACGGTACGAGCTCGGTTCATTGTTTGCCTGAAAGGGGGCGTTTCCTTGTTGTCTCTCTTCGCTGTGCTTGATCGATAGTCGCCCGTCGTCTCTCTTCGTGTTTTCCCATGTGGAGGCGACGACAGTGGTGGTGGTAACGTCCTTCTAGAAGCCCTCTGCCAGCAAGTTGAGTGGCCTGGTGGGAAGCGAGAAGCCCGCCCCATGATGCCTGTTTCGTGGCGTGTCGCACAGGCTCGCGCCAGGGACGCCGTGCGTCAATCTGTCAGTATGCATTACGTATATTAGGACTACTATGTTACATTGGTGCACATAACACCATTAGATACAGCCATAAAGTTAGCAATCACCACGTCGTGTGCGCATCCATCGTCTCTCGAGATCATGCATCATGATGCATCACACTGCTCTGCTCACTCAATCTCATACTGTTCGCGCGGATCCTCCGGCACGGACACGTTGCGCAGAAGGGGATCCAATGACGCGAGCTCGTCCTTGATGCCTGCCCGCGCAAAATCGTCGAGCTCCTTCAGCAGCATCGCGATCAGTTTCTGCGAATGCGTGGTCAGGGCGCGCGAGGGGGGACAAAAGCTGTGGCGCACTGACCTTCAGCTTATTGTCAATCTGCTTCACTGTGTCACCGAGCGCAGAGTTCCAGCTCGGTGGCGGACTGCCCAATGCGCCACCGTACATCACGTTGCCTCCTCCAAGCGCGGCCGGTGTGCCTGAGCCGGCAGCGTGCGCTATGCCCCACAAACTGCTCTCGCCCTCATGTGTCGTTGCCGCATCGATACCCGTGAATAAGTACGACACGCCCGGATGTGGAGAGAGCAGCCCCAGCGGGCCCATCATATGTTGCCCCGCATTTGGAAAAGGCGACGGGCCGAGGATCTTGGATATCTTGTTGTACACTTCGGAGAGAACATCGAGGAGAGAGAGCAGCGTCTGGTGGTAGTCGAGGGGGAATGGCTGCGGCGCGCGGCACGCGAGGTCAGCTGCATACAAGAGAGAGATTGCGTAGTTACACTTACGACGTGTGGCATGCTGAGATAAGGCGTGTCGGACGCTTCTGGATATGATAGCGCGTAGTCGGTAGCGCCGGCGTACCGCTTGTTAGGCTTTCTGAACAGACGCTGGGTGGTATAGGCGGTGAGTTCAATGTACGGGAGAATGAAATGCCAAGTAACTTCAGTCATGGGAAATGACAACTAGTGCCAGCCGGTGTACTTAGTGTTGTGAGCAGAAATCTCAGAGGCCGACTATTACCAACTGCCGGCAGAGTGGCAACTGCCACCAGTGGCAGGAATGGCAGATTCTAGATGAAGTTACACTCATTTGCGAACATGGTGACACTGCCTAGCAGTAAATCCCATGATACTTCACCTTCAGAGTTTGTGGAGAGAAATGAGCGCTGTGAACCCCTAAATCAGAAGTACATTTGCCACCGTCTGCCACCGACCTAGAGAGGTTCTGGCAAATGCGGCGGCAACCTCAACAGAAGGCATTGCATACAGGCGGTATTATGGAATGGCGGTACAAGCACGCATCGCGCGATGATGGCATTGAAACGGTAGAGCTCGATCATCACGCGGTATTGCCTGAGGTTCGCCAAGACCTGTATGCAAGCCTTGTGCTGGTTGAATTGACTGGTCGTGAAACAGGGTGGTGTGGAGGCAAATGAACCTGACACAGGCTAAACACGAAATTGGCGACAAGCCTCGCGAGAAACGTGTCATCATATCTGCGACGTAAGGGACCACGTACCATCCGCGGTCGGTCGCCGTCCTCCTTGGGTGGATCCTTCATGGTGTCATACTCATTCAGCACGTTGGAAAACCCGCGCAGCACATCTTGCGGCTCCTTTACGTCGAATAGATGCGCGAGCGCCATACCCAGCATGGCTAGCCGATATGTTCTGTAAATGGGGAAACGGCTGAGAAATTCCAGAAGCGACATGCGAGGCACCACGAACGCACCGCTGCTTCATGGCGCTATTCGGGAACACCCTCTCCAGCTCCCCCCTCGTTATCATGATGGTGTGAAACCAGTGGCTCCGCCTGGGGACACGCTCGGTCTCGTCTCTGACGCAGGGGAGTGAATCGCGTACCCTTCGTGCACGTTGCGCAGATAGGTGAGCGTGATGATGCGCTTCTTGACGAGCTCGCGCAGCATCTCGACGGACGTGCCCTGTGGGAGGGCGGGGGTGCCGTTGGGCACGGACGACGCGCCGGCGGACGTGCCGACGGACTCTGAGTGCTGCGACTGGGCGTCCCAGTCGCGGGGCATGGTGGCGGCGGTCGGGGTAGGAACGGAAGCGAACTGAAGGCCCGTCGCAGAGGAGAGGCTGCCAAACTGGGCAGAGGACGCGCTGCTGGACTTGAAGGAGGAGAGGAGGTTTTGGGCGGAGGACTTGCGACGCATCGAAGGCCGCTGGGCGCCAACGTCTGCGTGCATCGAAATGGGAGTCGCCATGGGCATGACAGGATTGCAGTTGAACGCAGCTGCCATTTGCGCCAGCTCTGGTGAAGAACTTACCCCCGATCTCCTTCACATCCTGATCTTTGTTATCTGCCAATACACCCGTCTCTAACCGTGGGAATAGCGTGATGCCAGTCATGTGGCGTCATCCCGATCTCTCCTGTGCAAACTGCTCTTCGTCTCCCAGCCTGCCCCCTCGTTTCGTCCTCCTCCATCTGTATCATACTCACCCACAGCCATGGCCGACATCAACGCCATTGCGAAGCAGTTCACGGATTTCTACTATTCCACTTTTGACTCCAGTCGCGCCGGCTTGCAGAGCCTCTACGTGCGTCAACGTTGATCTACGCGATCTGTGCGCTCATAACATCCTCATGCGCCCTTCGTCTTCCCGACACAGCGTGACCATTCGATGTTGTCCTGGGAAGGCTCGCCGATCCTTGGCGCAGAGAATATCTCTGAGAAGCTGACGGTCGGTCTCAGCATGGCGCGACGCGTCCGTACACTCAATGCCTCCCATGTAGTCGCTGCCGTTTGAGCGTGTCCAGCACAAGGTCACCACCCTCGACGCTCAGCCATCGTCTCCTAGCGTCGCCAGCCTCATCGTCAGCGTCACCGGGCTCCTGCTTGTACGCGTCCACTGTTTCTTGGTGACGCGTCTCATCGACTGACTCGCTCACACTACAGGTCGATGACAGCACGAACCCCCTCCAGTTCAGCCAGGTGTTCCAGCTTATCCCTGATAACGGGAGCTACTATGTGTAAGCCCAATTTCCGCAACATCTCATCGCCCCTGACGTGTTCGCAGCTACAACGACATATTCCGCCTCAACTACGGCGCGTGAGACGACGCATCGTCGCAGTCATATCGCAAGGATTCGCGCTTATATCAGATGTCCGTGGTTTGAAGTAAAGGAAGTTGTACCTCAAGAATTGTCTCCGCTATAATGTAGCTCTGCATCTGAAGTTTTCACACCGGGACATCGATTATCTCCGCCGTACAGATCGCAACACGAAGCTGTCCGCAAGCCGCAGCCCATGCCCACTGCCTCAGGCTTCGATATATTGCGCCTCAACATGACATCAAGCCCATTGACACAAGCTCGTTGCCTGCCTGCACGAAGAAATAATCGCCTAGCATGCGTATGTAACATTTTCTCAGCGATGCTGGTAGCATGTTCAGGGGCGCCATGACGTACCGTATACAATACCGGTCAGATTATTTCCCTCGGGATTGTTTACCGTTCCGTTTGCAAGTAGACTCTGCCATGCAGGGCGCCAGGCCAGTTTCGTATTGACGCCCAAGAGCTGCCCGGTCACATCTTCGGTAATCAACGGGACGCGTTGAAGTGATGATTGCCTACCTGAATGGCAGCATTGAGATAATATGTTGATCCTGTGATATTGGGCGGACTGAGCGACCGTTCTTGCTGCGACAAGAGGATGAGCCCGTTCACTGCAGCCATGGCTGCCGAGGAGTCCGCGGGTCGTGGGGGCGTAAGGGGTGCGTTGAAATCCCTATTCGCGAGAAAGTCAGCGCCGCATGGAGACTTGTAGCGACCTGCGCGGTGACTGACCATGGAACAATACCGTCACTGGGAAGGTGAGTGAGGAAGTACGAGGCCATGCGCCGAGCGGTGGTCAAGTAGTCAGGATGCTGAGTGTGCATGTACACTGCGGCACAGTTAAGATTGTACAATGACAAGACAGCGTAGGAGACGTGCTGTTTGAGAAGCCGTAGATGCCCCATGCTTGACCACGGCTCCAGGTACTAGTATTGGCGATGAGATCCCCGCCTGTCGCCGAGGCCCTAGTGCAGCTCACCTCGAATTGGAGTAGCCCTGTGCGGTGAAACGTGCGATCACATCCCCAGTAGTAGCGTTGTACTCGACGACATGGAATGAGGAGCCTGGCCCTCGATCACAATGCCTGACCCGGTCCACTACAGCAATACGTACCGTCAGGCCGGACGTGGTTCTGCATTGTCTTGTTGGCATGCGAGATTGCAATGTTTTGCAGGGTCTTGTTTCCTGTCAAGGACGCAGAAACGAACAACACCTGACGGGGCTGGTCTGGCATTGAACAACGCATCAAACACATCCGTGAATACCTCGAGGTTCATCATGTTGTCTATGATGACCTTCATGATGTCAGTCAGGGGCACCGGCGCATTATAGACGAGCGTATGTCCTCTAAACGCACTTCGAAATCAACGGGATTCGGGGTGTCCCAGCTTCGGGTGCATCCCACGACGGGATTGAAGCGCGCAGCCAGGTCCGACGCAAAGCGGTTCACGGCCGTGATGGCAGTCGCGTTGTGTGGATTGCTGTCTCAGGACCGTAAGCAGTAAGCAGCCACGCACAGCACGTCGAACGGGCCCGGGGAGACGCACACGGCAAGCTCCGCGACGAACGGGTAGCTCAGGAAGCCCACGTCGTGCCCGACGGTGTTGTCCGCCGCGAGCGGCACCTCCGCCGCGCTCCACCGCCGGCCCAGCGCCAGCCACTGCGCCGCGTTCGCGGCGGGCCAGCGGCACAGCTGTGCGCGCGCGTGCAGCGCGTAGAGCGTGGCGGGGAAGAAGCCGGACGTCCAGGTGTCCGGGGCGAAGTAGAGCCAGTCGCCCGCGGCGCGGTCGGTGTACTGCGGGTACTGCGCCGGGGTGGGCGGCGAGAGAGCTGTGCGGAGGACTTTCTCGGCCACGAGGGGCGAGAAGAGCTCGGTGGGCGGCGAGGGGGCGCTCGTCCCGATGGTCGGAAGCAAAAACGCCAGACGGAGGGCGGCTGAGCACCAGAGCATACGCATCGTCAGGTTGGCAAGAAGTTCAGGCCGCCCGAGTGGTACAGGATGAACGTCGGCCTGGTGTATATATGGGCCTCTCCATTGCTGTGTTCGCGGTCCGACCACCCATGACCTGCTCACTTGTGATCTCGGGAATGTAATGACGATTTGACTTCACGTGATGGTGCAGAACTGGCCTTTTCACGTCTCTTTGAGTCCAGAAGGAAGCGATGCATTGTTCCAGTCCATGCATGGAACGCCGGAAACAGGCAGAGGGTAGGGTACACGAGTCATGGTACAACTCGTCATCAATGATGTCCATTAACAAGAGTGCGCTGCCGGCGCATACATCTCACAGCAGTGCATACGTCGCCAATTTGGACGTACTGGATACTGGTAATACTGACCATCATATTGGCAATAGTGCAAAACTGAAGTTGCTGTTATATGCACTCTTGACCCAACTTTTTATGGCTGACAAGCGAACCGTAAACAAGAGCACCGAAAGACAATTCTCAGTCATGTTGAACTAAGCAAGACAGAGTTCAGGGGCGGTAATATCGGCAGCAGCTAGTCGCAGTACATGGTGCATGTCAAAGGCGTGGCACTGGGCGCAGCCGCCAACTGGCTGCGCGTTTGGCCGAGTTTGGCAGAACCTCTGCTTGTACGCGTCCCACTTTCCCTGGTCTGTCCTCTCCTTTCTCCATCGTTCCTCCCTCTATCTTGACCTGTAACAACAATGGGAACGGCTACTATTGGCTCGGAGATTGTTGGCGTCGTCAACAAGCTACAGGATGTGTTCACCGCCGTCGGGTCGTCGGCGGCCCAGATAGACTTGCCGCAGATCTGTGTGTTGGGAAGCCAGAGTAGCGGAAAGAGTAGTGTGCTTGAGGTGCGTACATGTCAATGCACTGTTCCAACAAACGAATGCTCAACAAGGTCAACCTGTAGAATCTTGTTGGTCGCGACTTCCTACCACGGGGGACGGGTATTGTGACGCGACGACCATTGGTGAGTGCAGCTTGTTTGCTGAGTGCCACACCTGACAGAGCCTGCCAGGTTTTGCAACTCATAAACCGGAAAGCGACGAATCAACAAGCCAATGGCGTATCTGGTGAGTCTTACCTGAAGTACGCTTATGCCTCCGCTGACGGCCATGACGTAGCCAAGATTGAAGGAGACGATCCTGCTGCGAATGCAGATGAATGGGGAGAGTTCTTACACTTACCAGGGGAGAAGTTCTTCGACTTCAACAAGATACGAACGGAGATCGTTCGCGACACCGAGGCGAAGACAGGGAAGAACGCCGGCATCTCGCCACAGCCCATAAACTTGCGCATTTATTCGCCAAATGTCCTGACACTGACGCTGGTCGACCTTCCTGGGTTGACCAAGGTGCCTGTTGGCGACCAGCCGCGGGATATTGAGAAGCAAATCAGGGACATGCTCCTGAAGTATATCTCGAAGTCCGCGTGTATTATCCTTGCCGTCACTGCTGCCAACACGGATCTGGCGAACTCGGATGGATTGAAGATGGCGCGAGAGGTCGACCCCGACGGTCAGAGGACAATTGGTGTGTTGACGAAGGTGGATTTGATGTACGTCACGCTTACTTCGTCTTGTTCTGGCTGTATTAACCTTTGTTATGCAGGGATGCTGGTACAGACGTGGTGGATATTTTGGCTGGAAGGATCATTCCCCTGCGACTGGGCTACGTTCCAGTCGTCAACCGTGGTCAGCGAGACATTGATAGCAACAAGCCTATCAGTTCTGCCCTCGAACACGAGCGTGAGTACTTCGAGAACCACCCGTCATACAAGGGCAAGTCGCAGTATTGCGGAACGCCCTTCCTGGCACGGAAGCTCAACGTCGTGAGTATCATTGTGACCAGCTATAACCTCTGTAGGTGCTGACTAGGGGCAGATTCTCATGGCCCACATCCGAGCAACCTTGCCAGACATCAAGGCGCGCATTTCTCAGCAGCTCGCGAAGTACAACGCGGAGCTTCAGAGCTTGGGCGGTGCTCTCGGCGACGGCAACTCCGCCAATGTGGTCCTGTCGGTAATCACGGAGTTCTGCAACGAGTTCCGCACGGTGATTGACGGTAACACAAACGATATTTCCCTGAACGAGCTCTCCGGAGGAGCACGTATCAGCTTTGTGTTCCACGAGTTGTTCAACAACGGCATCAAGACCATTGATCCATTCGACCAAGTCAAGGATGGTGACATCCGGACGATCCTATACAATTCATCCGTAGGTCTCATCTAGGTCGAAGACGTTCTGGAAACTAACTAGCGCGTAGGGTTCCACACCTGCAGTGTTTGTTGGGACGCAAGCCTTCGAGGTCATCGTCAAGCAGCAGATCAAGCGACTCGAGGAACCTAGTATTAAATGCTGTCAACTCGTCTACGACGAGCTAATCCGTATACTGGGACAAGTGCTTGCGAAGATTGTGAGATTTTTCATGATCCTTTCGAGCTACATGACCAATTGTTTCACAGCAAGCGTTCAGGCGGTATCCGGCACTCCGCGAACGTTTCAACGCTGTTGTTGTCAACTTCTTCAAGACTTCCTTGACCCCGACGACTAAACTTGTGACGGACCTTGTAGCGTTCGTCAGCCCTCCAATATTACATATTGGTAGATACTCATAGGTCGAGACAGGATGCAAGCATGCTATGTGAACACGACACATCCCGACTTCCTGAACGGGCACAAGGTCAGTACATGATCGTCTGTCAAAGAGCTCGATTCTGAATGCATAGCACAGGCGATGGCTATTGTGAACGATCGTATGAACGCCAACAAGCCACCTCCGCCTAACATCGACCCTAAGAGCGGCAAGCTTGCGCCGGGTCAGGTCAACAACAACAAGGATCTAGACGTAGAGGTCAAGCAACAAGAGCAGAGCTTCTTTGGTTCATTTTTCTCTGCGAGTAAGAATGCGCCGAAGAAGAAAGGCGTTGCGGTTATGGAGACGGTGAGTTAATATCTGGCATTCATTAACATGGTCGTCATAACGTCCAGCAGCCCCCGCCGATCATCCGGCCTCAGGCCGCGTTGAGTGAGAGGGAAACCATGGAGACTGAAGTCATTAGTATGTGGTATAGCACTCGCAGCGCTGATTTGCCATTGATTGATGTCCTCACTACAGAACTCCTCATCCATTCGTACTTCAATATCGTCAAGCGCGAGATGATTGACATGGTACCCAAGGCAATATCACTGACGCTGGTTATGCACTCCAAGGATAACCTGCAGCGCGAGTTGCTGCAAGAGCTGTACAAGCCTGAGGTCCTCGACGATCTACTCAAGGAGTCAGAATACGTCGTCAGCCGCCGGAAGGAGTGCGTGCAGATGGTGCAAGCACTGAACAAGGCAGAGGAGTAAGTCACTTCATGAGATGTAGTTCTGGTCTAGCTAACGACGCTATTGCAGGATCGTGGCAGGCGTGTAATGAACCTCATGTGTGGCTTTGCTTTTCTTTCCCGCTGTCGCTGTATGCTCCGTACCATAATAATACCCGGTATCTTGGATGCTAGTGGCGAGATGCCTGTCGGATTCTCATGTGGCCACCTTTTCGATTTGATCTACGCGCTCTTTCATCTGCCGTTGGGGTAGTCCCCGGATCTGTTGCCACAAATATGGCGTATTGTGGTAGTGTGTAGATTAGAGATCTCAAAGTTTGTTGTTATGTCACTTCAAGCCACCGGGTGGCTGAAACGTGGGCGCCAGTATGATACATTGTGTTTATTCTTGCCCACCCTGAAAACGGTCCGGGGGTGTTAGTACCCCGATGGGGTATTGTCGTATGATCGGCATTGCCACGTGGCTTCGATCGGAGTCAGTGCCACCATCTTGGTCAGGATCCGATCTTGAGATCGGCAAACAGCTTCATCACACCCGACCATGTCTACCGAGGCTTTCAACCCGAATCCTGTTATCTTTGCGACAGCTAAAGCAGCTCGCGCAGTACCTGCTTATGCAAGAGCAAACTCACTCTGGCTGGATTCAAGCGAAGATGTGCGTGAAGAGGGGGACGAGTCAAACGATGTCGAGGAGATTGACCAGGACGAAATATTTGGTATGTCGTGTGCTCCCTCACATAAGTTCATTACATGGCTTCAATCAATTATTGCGCTGAACTCATTTAATTTATATCTGTTCTCCAGAGTTGATACGATCTATCTCGGACCCTGAACACAGGAACATGACTCTTGAACAACTTGCCGTTGTCTCTGCCCCTCAAATCACGTTTGACCCACGGTCGCCCAACCAACTCACCGTCGAGTTCACGCCGACAGTACCACACTGCGGAATGAGCACATTTATAGGTCAGGGCTGTGGCTGCACTATTTCTGAATGGTCAAACCTTGACGCATATTGTGACGCCAGGCCTCTCCATCCGGGTCCGACTTCTGCGCAGCCTGCCCACGCGGTACAAGGTAGACATTCGCGTAAAGCCAGGATCACATCAGAGCGAGCAAGCACGTACGTTACCATCCGTGTTATAATGATTGCCCGTTTCTTGATTCCCCCGATTGTCCACACAGTTAATAAACAGCTCAATGACAAAGAACGAGTCGCCGCTGCCCTGGAGAATCCCGCGCTGGTGGAGGTTCTGGAGCAATGTCTGTCCACAGTAGGCGACAGCCCCGAAACAGCCGCGTAGTCTTGGTGCACCTTCCATCGGTCACCGCCTCGGAATCATAAATTCCATGATGTAGCTTTAGGATATCTGTATCACATACGCCATGATGCCCGGAAATATTGGATTCATAAAGGTACTTTGCATATACGCATAGCCATGAACATAATATGGTACGTGTACTACGTACTATGACTACGTACTATGTAAGTGTAAGATATCTAATCGACAGCGAAAGAAAACAGTATGCTGTTGCTACAGTGAGAAGTATCCATGGGCTACAGTGTGTATGCTAACAACGAGACAGATGATGGTATGTGATACAGGGATGATGCGATAAGCATGAGACACGCTCGCTAGGCGTGAAGGCGATTGTGAAAGTTAAAAAAATACACAGGTGAAAGGAAGACGCATGGTCAATCCTCGAGCAGAAAATCCCAGTCGATGGCCACTTCCGGGATGCGTTTTGAACACCACCCCAGTGCGAAGACACGTTTGCACGCCTCACGACAGCGAACTTCGGGTTCCCCGCGATGGACGTCCCACATACGGAACGTTACGTGCCCGAGCGTGTGGACGACAACCTCGTCTTCCTCTGTCCCGCTGCTGATGTAGCCGGCGTTCCACTTCTCGTTATCGGAGTAAACGCCCGCATCATCGGCAATGTAGATGTCCGAGAACTGATGTGTGACGCTTTCCGGGGTGGAAACGACAGAGGGCCGGCGAGACTGTGTCAGGCAGGCGTTGGGCATGATGCGGTTCGTGAAGCCTGCTGAGAAAGAGACTTTCTTGCACTTTGCGGAGCGGTGGATGTGCCCGCGGAAGTCGGAAGGGAGCCATATGGTTACGTCCGCGTTTGAGGAGGAATACACCTCCAGGTGAAACTTGGTCGTGCGGGTCGGGAGAAAATTACGGCACTGGAAGGCGGTGCATAAGCGGCGGGAACGTGCGCGCGTGTGCGCTGTGGGACCGCGGGCGACTCACCACCTTGATCTTGATGGTCTCACCGATCTCATTTCCGACATACATCGACAGGCGATGATCCAGCGGCTGGCTACGGGCGCGGTAGTGGGGCAGGACGAGGGAGACATCGATGGGGCGATGCTCGGTCTCAAGCGCAAAGTCCCATCGGGAGTGCTCGCCTGCGCCGCGATACTTGACGCGATGGGATCCCGTGGGCTGCTCGAGTAGGCTTTCTGTACTTGCAGGGTATCTCGACTGCTGCAAGATACGATCAGGCCTGAATTTGACCACACTCAAAGTGATTGACGGTCGGAAACTCACATTGGAGGAATAATAACTAGGCATTTTGAAAAAAATTAAAGGGTGCGGAGCCGAGAAAGTCGAAGGGGCGGCGGGACAATTGATGGCTAGTACATGCTGGAGGGAACTGGTTTTAAGATGCACGAGCGCCTATGCTAGACGACCTACTTTGTGCCATATTTGGCGACGCTTGTTTGCACGTCGCGGCTAGAAGGTTGCCATGTGGCATCTGAACGCCCGGAGTCGGTGCGGACTGCAGCCCTAAACAATTGCATGGGAACAACGCGACGGCATCAACAATAGCGGGCGACGCGGACCCTTTCTTGTTCCATCTCTTCCTTCTTCGCCGCGCTCTTCGCGCCGCATGCCCCGCGTCGATGTGTAGCGATGCACAGATACACTTCGAGCGCAAGCGTACGAGAGATCTAGGTACGCCCCTGCATGATGCCCTGGACCTACAGAATGGACCGTGTGACCGCAAGCGCTATGCCAAATTCCGTCAGTCTCAACTACAAGGCGACTTCCCGAACGGGAAAACCGATTGGCTGATTATTATCTGGCGGATGGAGTATCTGGAATGGGTGGATATGAACACAAAAGCTGAGCAACCAGATCCTCGTGGCGGGCCGAATTTGTGCTTCCCATTCTCTTCCTCACACAGCGTGGTCAGTGGATAATATGGAAGCCAGAGGAGGCACAAGGTAAGTGCCCACTAACTTACTCAATGTGGACGTGCTATCTAGAGCGTCATGGTGCCCTCGTTCAGGCTTGTTGTCGTGTTACATGTGCGCAACGCGCGCACTCGCTTGGCGCTCATGTTCTCACGTCGGACCGCAGGAACGGCGGGATGCAACGCGGCAACGGGTCCCTGGAAGTCAAATTCCATGGTATTCGGTCCCAGAGGCGCCCCACTGCCCTGCCAGACGAACTACGAACCATCCTAGAAAACGTTATAATTGCTTACTGTAGTAAGCGTTCAAACTGATTTGTTCGGCCGTGATGGATTTCAGAAGGCCTTTCAAACCTGATGAATCTCTTCTCGACCGGGTTCGCTTCCTCGACTTGAACCACCTGAAGGCTACAGAAGCAATTGTATTCCGAATTCTCCAGCGGCATTTGCTTCTTGAAATAGTTTCCAGGCGTCATAGCCCGCTTGAACGGGAAGAAGATTTTACAAATGAAACGCAAACCGCTTCACGCTTTTGCCGCCACCTTATGCTCTTATATGGTGGTAGTGCAAAATCCGCAAATTGGATTTAGGCTGCTGATTGCTTCTAGCGTGTCTTCGGGGGAGGATGTTACAAAGAGGTGGGCGTACATATATGGTCTAGCATGGGCTATATAGGAAGGACATACGCTGGTTGCGTGCGGGCCTTCGGATGGTATTATGATGCATTCTTTGATTGTCTTGTCTAGGGTAGAATAGTGGCCTAACGAAAGCGAAGTGGCGGGTGGAGGCCTGAGGGTGATAACAATATAAGGGGTCGTGAAATGCGGCGCTTTGAGCTGATGTGACACTCCTTGAGTGCGATGACGCGCCGCAGCGAAGCAAACTAGGCCAGGAATCCTATACTGCCAATAAAAGCGGGAAAAAAACGGTATCGCAACTGTCTGCAGCCTCGTAGCGATGTAGATGCATTGCTCTAATAACGAAAAGCGATCTGACATTAGAACATGTACCTTTGTTGCTGGCAATAAGAAATCCACGACGTGTTCTTTACGTTCAGACTTCGGTCTCTAACTATGGCACTAACACGGCGCATTGCATTTCCAAGAAAAGGCTCGCGATACTATGCTGCCTCCACCTATAGCACGTAAGTGGCTTGCAGCTTAGTCTCCAGGTATCACTTGCGAGCGTCTGGCAGACAACACATCACGCCACAGATTTCATAAACGGCTTTTAGGGCTCCAGAACTACACCACCAAAGACCCACGTCAGCCGCATTGCAAGAATGGAATACCGAGGGAGTGGCTTTGGTGCCCAGTCCCAAGTGACCTATGTTGGATTATCTACTGTAAACCACGTGCAAGGGTTACGATAGTTGTTCCAGTTGGTCCTTGTGTGGTCCAATTTTGATCGCACAATCGGATCCACACAACCCAAATGAGGAAGGCCAGTTTCCTTTTCTAGTGGGGGTGTTTGCCGAACTGCGCTGTCCACCATTGGTCCACCAGCGCCCACCAACACCACGTGCGCGTGATCCGACGCGCTTTAGAGCGCGCGTCTCCTACCTTGCTCTGTTCCGCCACAATTGCTAACACTCTCTTTCACGCGCTCAAAGAACCCTCATGCCACCGAAAGTCAGTAACTCCAGTGTAGGCCGCGAGCTTGCTCATCTTATACGACTTCATGAAGCGGAAACGCGCCGGTGACACGACGGTGGAGACCACGAGGGCCACTCGCTCTTCTACTCGCATCAAAACTCCAGGTGCGTGCCCTCTTACATCCTCAAGAATTTATGCACACAGATGAAGCAACACTCAGCAACAGACTCCGCGGAGCAGATGGACGCCATCGAGGTAAGTCAGTCGTCGTCGTGGCCGCTGTACTGCATAACATTCTCCAGGAGGCTCCAGTGACCAAGAAGATACGGAAGGCTGCCTCCAAAGCGACGACCTCGAGAAGCAGAGGTAGAGGCAAGGCACAAGCTGTGTATGTCTTCGCTGCCGTTATAGTATTCTATTTTCTGATACATAATGAAACCCTAACCCACTGTCAAGCGCGAGCGAGGTTCGTGACACTCCAATTCAAATTGGATTCTGACTAATTTAAGGTTAGGAGCGGACCGAAAACCCTCAGTAAGTTCCGTCTCGCGTGTCTCGCTACGTGTCCTACTGCGAGCTGTGCAGGCCACGACCAAGGTCGTTCTTGCATGACGCAGTTCTCGCAGGAGTGTTCTTCCATTGGCAAAGTGTCGCGTCCAACACGGGTGTCACTGTGGTGTTCACTCGAAGTTCAAACTTTGAGCGCACAGTCACGTGTTGAAGCTCTGGCATTATGCGTCTTTCGTCTTTGTTATGCTGTCTTCCTTACGCCAAATCCAACAGCGGTCAGGAGGATACAGTGGCTCCTGCAGGCTCAAAATCAAAACCGACAAAGTCGTCAAAACCTGAAGCTTACAGTGCACAGCGGGCTGCGGCACTCTACAGCAACTATGTCGACCCAGATGAACCGTCAGTCATAGGCCCCGAAGGATTTGAGCGCCTGTGCTCGGATATGGATATTTCATTGGAAGGCGCCCTCCCTTTGATCTTGGCATGGCAAATGAAAGCAAGTGAGATGGCAAAAATCACAAGGAGCGAATGGGATGTAGCGACCGCAGAGCTACAGTAAGTTTATGGCAATTCAACTGGAGCTTGCCTTGCCTTATAGAAGTGTCACTCAGAATATCAAGTCTACAGGCGCTCTCCACAGCACTTCGTGATGTGGAAGACGCTCTGATACTGGGCAAGGCGCCTTCTACAAGTCCGCCCAGTGCACCTATGCAGGCAAAGAAGAAAGGGGCTATGCCTTCGGGGCCATACAATCGTAGCAGATATCAAATATATGCCACTGACGCGAAGAAGGCGCTCGGCGAACTCTATTCGTTTTGCTTCACGTTGGTCAAATCACCGTGAGTACTCGAGCTCCCTTGGATCTTGTTCGGACTTGACGTGAGGCTATTCTTATCAGGCAAGGACGGAACATTGATATGGAGGTATGTCACGTACCCGACGATGTATGTATGCGTCCGCCCTGCTGACTGAACGTGTGTCAGACTGCAAGCGCTTTTTGGTCGGTGCTCCTCGTTCCACAGTACCCCCTCATGTCGGACTTACTGGAGTTTATCAATGTGCGTTAGAGTGACATTGTATCGCTCATAAGCTGATTTTTCAAAACCAGGAGAAGGGGTCATATAAAGGCGTCAACAAGGACCTATGGAACATGGTAAATCTTTGGTTATTACTTTGTCTCATTCGAGGCGATATATTGATACTGCGGCCAGACACGCGAGTTTTGCCAATCAGTGAACCGAGATTTGTCCGACTATGAAGCAGATGGAGTCAGTAGACGCCATCAACTCTCACCCTTGTTATGGAGAAACTGACTCTGAGCATGGTCTTCTTATAGGCCTGGCCGACAATGATTGACGACTTCGTCGCATGGAAGAATAACAAGAGAGCCGATGCGGACATTACGATCGAAAGAGACACTGCTTAAATGCTGGACTTTTGCTATATCTATGACTGGTATAATGCGTGTGGTCCGGTGCTTTGATATTGTTATCGCGTTGGCAATGTGCGGGTACGGTAAGATATGATCAGACGAAGGTATGGATGTCTAGTCTTGCATTGCTGTCATTTCCATCTCCATCGAAAGAGGCCACTTATCATGTACCCCCTGAGCCAACGTGGAAACATTCGCAGGCCTGTCATTGTATGAAGTAGGTTAGTGTTGGCTGGGTTTCTGCCGCAATGCTGCTTCTGCCGGAATGCTGGCGTGGCCATCAGATCAATAAATATAATAGGTGCAGACATAGACTGCGATCATTGTCCTCCAATCCACCATGCTCGCGCAGGTCATAGCGTGGGCTATCGTGGGCGGTCTCCTGTATACTCTACTTTCCTTTCTGCAGAGGACTCGTCGAATTACAGCCAATCTCCCTCCCGGGCCGCCTGGCCATTGGTTGTCCGGAAATTCACCACCTGAATCCTAGTAAGAGCCCGTACTGATCAGCTGTTTTGGCAGAGGAATCACAAGGCCACCTAGCCCATACCGGTCTTTTGAAGAGCTTGCCAAAGCTTATGGCCCAGTATTTTCCCTGCGCTATGGCAGTCATCTCGTTTGCGTGGTGAATAGATACCAGGTCAGTTGCGACTTGATCAATGCTACCTTCATTCGTGTCTCCACTGATTTTAGCCGTACAGGCTACGATGGACATTCTCATGAAGCATTCTGCAGAGACTTCTGATCGGCCCCGCCTCGTAGCTGCTAATGAGATTCAGAGCCATGGACTGCGCGTGGTCCTGATGAGGTCTCAGGGCTCAAGGCTCATGAAGAATCGGAAGTGAGCAACTCATGATAACTGATACGCTGTTTCCTAGTTCATCAGCGGTGTAGAGCACTCCATGCGCACCTCCAACAACGATCAGCGACGGCGTACAAGCCGATACAGCTCAAAAACGCGAAGAACTACATACTGGATTGCCTGCGTGACCCAGAGCACCATCTTAACCACGGCAGAAGGTAATAACGTCGGAGCAGCCAGCTATCACAGAGAAGCTGACGAACGCCTGGCGTAGATATGCAGCAAGCGTCGTGATGACAGTTGGTTATGGGAAGACGACACCGACTTCGTATGCAGACCCTGAGGTCCGTGCAATAAATCTTTCTCTTGCACGTATGGGTGTCACTATGAGACCGGGAGCGCATCTCGTGGATACTTTCCCCTTTCTCAAGTATATACCGGGTTATTTATCGCATCTGCGGCGGTATGGTGAAGAGGAAAAGGCTTTGTTCACTGGCCTAGTGCAAATGGTTAGAGAGCACTTGGTGAGATTTGGCTGGATGAGTTGTACTAACCGCGATCACTGACAATGATACATGCAGGTGAAGGGAAAAGCTCAACCATCATTCGCGTCGTATTTGATCGAGACTCAAGAACAGCTGGGTCTCTCGAATGATGAGCTAGCCTACCTGGCCGGCGCCCTTTTTAGCGCGGGATCTGACACAGTAAGCGCTTCCTATGCGGTGTCCATCATGTTGTCACCCCGCGATCAATCTGTAAGACAGCAGCAGCGCTTGGTGTGATGACTATGGCGGCTGCATGTTATCCTGATGCACAAGCCCGTGTGCAATCTCAACTGGATGAGGTAGTTGGGTATGACAGGGGTGAGCACCGCGCTCGTTGTATTTGTCTTCATCTGTCTTGTGATTTACGTTCTGCCTGTAGCAACGTTCGAGGACGAGAGTATGCTTCCGGAAGTCACTGCGTTCATCCTTGAGTCATATAGGTGGCGACCTGTCACTCCTGGAGGCATGTTTAGTCGATTGACATCCTGGTGTTGCAAACGTATATTGGTCTTGGGGCAGGTATTCCTCATAGCACCACAAAAGACATTATTTGGGTAGGTATCCAGCTTGACTCCGCCATCTGTGTTGATGCAATTTCATTATCTCAACCGCCAGAACAATTACGTGATCCCAGCCGGCACTCAAATCATAGGAAATCACTGGTAATGTGTACAATTGGCTGCAACGTCTGTAACTTAAGTTGTTTGTCACATGCAGGGCCATTGCTCGCGACCCGGAATTCTTTCCTGATCCTGAGGCGTTCAAGCCCGAACGTTGGTTGAATGAGCATGGTCGCATCCGAGATGATGTTCGGCCGCAGGTATGCCCACAGAATCGACGTCTTGATGTATTGTTGATTCTCTTCGTCCTCAGAGCCTGCCCTGGACAGCATGTCGCAGATCAGTACGAACATAGTGCTTCCATCGAGCTTGCGTAATATGGTGTTTATATTTTTCTCAGGTCTCTCTTTATCAACACCGCTTTGGCGCTGTGGGCGTTCAACATATCGCAGGATTCAGCCAGGCCCATCGATATATTAGCGTTCACGGACGCCGCCAACGCTCATCCTCTGCCGTTCGCACTCCGTTTCGTACCAAGAGTCAAAGGTTTGGAGGCAATGCTCGGTGATGTCTAGGCTGAATGTTCCGTGACGCGATTCCGGGTCTGAATCCAGATATGTGTCATCCACGCCCCGTAATTCTTCGTGTCCGTGATCGCAGAAGTACCTGTCATGTTTTGGACGAGCATGACGGAGATTGATAGGTGGACCGGGGTATAGCGCTTCGGATGTCGTCATTTATAGACTTCCTTATAGCGCTTTATAGCGTCTAAGAGCTCCGGGACCGGTTAGATATAATAATGGTTATGAATAAGACAATCGAAGCTTGCATCGCACCTGGCTAGTCTGGGAGCTATCGAGGAGACCCTTAAAGCACGGCGGCTTTTCCAAGACGCCCTCAAAACTCATATATCAGGGAAGGTGCATTCTCCAGCCTTGGCCTTGTGTAACCAGCCTCCTATCACCATGTTTCTGCAGATCGCAGCCTGCTTTACCGTGATCGGCCTCCTCTATGGTTTGGTCTCAAATTTGCAGCAGAATCGAAGACTGGCTGCCAGCTTGCCGCCGGGACCGCCTGGTCACTGGCTATTTGGAAACGTCCCCCCGAAAAATTTGTATGCTCCGGTCAACCCAATTGCGCATACGAAAGCTGACCGAGGCCTTGCTAGTCCGTTCATTCGCTTCGCGGAACTCACCGAAATATATGGCCCGGTTTTCACCTTACGCTTTGGACGTCGAATTGTGTGTGTGGTTGGCCGCCACCAGGTCGGTGATAATTGGTCGCACTGGGTATAATGATGACCGACACTTGTCTATCCAGGCCGCCGTGGACATTCTCGTAAAACACTCAGCGGAGACTACTGACCGACCCCGCGCTATAGCAGCCAGTGAAATGCTGAGCCAGGGTTTCCGCATTTTGATGACCCCTGCCGGTGAGCGGTTGAAGAAATACAGGAGGTAGGTGTCAAGAACAACACGGATGCCGCATACGTATTCATGCGTCTATAGAGCGTTCCATACGTGCCTTCAACCAAGCGCAGCCGCGACGTACAAGCCCATCCAATACAATCATGCGAAGAACTACATTCTGGATTGTTTACATGACGGGAAGTGCCACTTGGAGCATGGTAGAAGGTACAGGCTCAAGCTCTGCTATCACAATTTGTGGCGGTAGCCAATAGTGTCTGCAGGTACGCTGCGAGCGTTGTCATGTACATTGGCTATGGGAAGACTACGCCCACCTCGTACTCGGACCCTGAAGTGCAGGAAGTCAACAAATGTCTTGGGCGGTTGAGCGAAGTCATCAAACCGGGGGCGTATCTCGTTGACACGTATCCCATCCTTAAGCATATTCCGGGCTACGCTTCACACTTGTGGCGATATGGCCGGGAGGAGCTGGCGCTGTACACCAGGCAAGCGAATGCTGTCAGGAAGCAACTGGTAAATATTATATTGAGCCATTTAGTTGTATCGGCGCCAACATGTCTTTTCAGGAAAAGGATGAAGCCCAGCCGTCATTTGCTGCATACCTTATCGAGAACCAGGAGCGTCTTGGGCTCTCGAACGATGAGCTAGCCTACTTGTCTGGTGCTATCTTTGGTGCGGGATCAGACACGGTAAGACGGACGGGTGCATTGTGTCTTATCGTTATTGCTCACTGCATGGCTCATAGACTGCAGCTGCAATCGCTGTGATGACTATGGCGGCTGCGTGTTACCCGGAGACTCAGGCCCGGGTGCAAGCCCAGCTGGACGAGGTGGTTGGCAGCGATAGAGGTACACGTTTCGCAGACACTCCTTGCAGGACAAGAGCGATCACTTACCTTGTACATTTAGCCCCAACATTTGAAGACGAGGAAATGCTTCCTGAAGTCACCGCATTTGTGCTTGAGGTCTACAGGTGGCGACCTGTGAGCGCAGGAGGTCAGCTTCACGAATGTGCATCCGGCGTAATAATCCTCATTGATTGTGTCTCAGGTGTCCCCCACAGGTCTACAAAGGATATCGTTTGGGTGAGTAGCCGATTTGACCGCTTCGCATGGAGCTGATTCACAAACTTGGTTTTTAGAACGGTTATGTGATCCCCAAGGGCACTGAAATCATAGGAAATCTCTGGTATTTCACCATAGCTCATCGTACGACTTGTCATCTTATTAAATCCCCGTGGCTAGGGCAATTGGACGAGATCCTGAACTCTTTCCTGATGCCGAAGAATTTAGGCCACAGCGCTGGCTGAATGAGAATGGACGTATCCGAGACGACTTGAAGTACCCCGTTTTCGGCTTTGGACGCAGGTGTATTCATTGTTAATCATACTATTGTTGACTACCCCGCTAACATGTCTCCCCAGAGTGTGTGTGGGGCAACACGTGGCTGACCAGTAAGCACCTGTTCTTCCTATCGCGACCTCTATTAACTTGAAGTTCGATGACTCCAGATCTCTTTTTATCAACACCGCTTTAGCCCTGTGGGCTTTCAAGATCTCTCAAGATCCTGCAAAACCTATCGATGTCCTTGCCTTCACAGACACAGCGAATATCCGTCCTCTGCCGTTCACTCTTCGTTTTGAACCGAGGGTGAAGGACATAGAGGCAGTTCTAGAAGCGCACTTGGACTGAAGGGCATCGTATATCCTGTTTAGCATTATTTTCTCTTTTCACCAGTGTCTGAATGTAATATAAGGAGTGTCGGCTGTGATGACTAGAGTTGCCATATTCGGCTAACATGTAGAAATGGCAAATGAGCATAGAGGTTCCCACGCTCCTTCATCCTGCAAACATGACAAGCAGAGCAGGCGGACTGTACGGAGGCATCCAGTTCTCCTCGAACAAGGCCTTTGCTTCCTCTGCTGCCCCTCAGGATACTCCTCCTACTTTCCCTGTGAGTCAAACTTCAGAGAACAACCAGACGCCACCAGCACCTGCGGCCAGCGACCAACCGCCCTCAACATCCGCTTCGCATAACGCGTCAGCTAGCACCAGCGATGCAGGTGCTTCGATGAAGGCCACAGCCGGTATCTCTTCCTCTCCTGCAGCATTGCCGATGTAGAGCTCGTTATTCACGATATCATCGTTCATGCTTATCTCGCGCGTGGCATCGCCCCCCACGGTCGCTAGGATGGTCCGCCAGTCTTGCATTTGCGCCCGTTCGCCGAAATCCAGCACAGAAGCCAAAAGCGCCTGCGGTGCGTCTCCCGGCTGGTGCAGCGGTCACCATCGCACAAGCATCAACTACTTCGTCAAGCGCAGTCATCTCAAGCACTGCTGTGGTTTTCGCCCCACCAGCTCTTACGGAACCCCCCAAATCCGCAGAAACCGAGTTCCAGGCGCAGGAACAATCTCAAGGTCAGGGATGGGGCAAGAAGGTCAAGCCGCCTTCGATGGTCCTAGACGAAGACGTGAATGGGTTCAAGGCACGACGAGGCGACCGACGAGGCGGCGGAGGTGGTAAGAAGAAGGGCAAAAAGGTATGTACTTCTTTTTTGCACAAAGACAAGTGTTCTGAAGCTTTCACCAGAAAAAGAATGCTCCTGTCATTGCCGTCTGGGACCCTGATGAGTCGTACGATCCAATGCGCCCGAACGATTACAACGAGTACAAGAATTATAAACTGAGAGATCGCGAAGAACGTCGGGAACAGATGATGGCCGAACGCCGGCGCGTTGAGGAGCGCAAAAGGTATCGACGCAGCAGCAGCTATTCCGACGACTATGGCAGTGGCTCGGAAGACGAGCGTCCTCGCAAGACAGGTGGGTAGTCATACTTGGTGTCATGAGCCACCTGTACTTATTGGTACGTCTCGACACCTCTAGGGCGTTACGATGATCGTGAAGACGATGACTATGATCACATCCGGGGGCTTGGAGCCGCTCCTACGAGCGCCCCGCCTGCTGCGGTGGATCCGGGTCTCACAGGTGACGAAGCATACCAACGTAGGCTGGCAATGTCCGCTGCTTTTCGTTCGGCAGTGTCCCCTGTCCCTGCCACTGTTCCAGAACCGGTACCCACGGCCATAGCCTCCTATACTAACCAGCCAGACTCATTACCCGATTCGTTCCCTGGCTTTCATACTTCTGCGCCACCGCCTCTGGTGACAGAAGACGATGGTGATAATGATATTCCTGGCTTGGGTGGATCAGGCGCCAGCCCCGCAGCCCAGCCTCCCTTGGCCCTTGGCCCGGACGAAATAGGCGAAGAAGCCTACTTGCGACGTCTCGTCTTGTCTCGGTCGCGTCCGCCCCTCCCGCCTGTTCCTTATGTCCCAGAGCCGCCAACACTGGCATACAACCCCTTCGCGCCCCCAACTTCAGTCCCTCCCCCTCCCGCACCTCTTCCTATAGGCTCGTCTACGCTCTCAGAGGAGAAAGTACGCAGTAGCAGGGAGGCAGCTGCGGCCATTGCGGCAAAACTGAAGGCACTTGCGCCGCCTGCTGGGACTGCTGAGCCATCAGGAGTATCAGTTGCTACCCCCACAAAGGAGGAAGTCGCGCACGAGAAACGGTGAGAACCATCGCCACCCTTGATTTAATGTGCACCAATTTACAGTTGCCCTGTAGATCGGACCCTCAAGGTTTTGCTGCGAGGTTAATGGCTAAGTGGGGTCATAAAGAAGGGCAGGGGCTCGGCGCAGATGGCGGCGGAATTGTACACGCCTTGACCGTCGAGCAAGTTGCCGGAGGCAAAGGGAAGGGCAAAGGAAAGGAGAGCCAGGGCAAAGCGCCCGGCCCCGGCGCAAAGATGGGCAAGATCGTCAACCTGAATGAGGATGCGAAGACAAGGGAGGACAGAGAGCGATTCGGCGAACCCAGCCGCGTAGTGGTGCTTACCAATATGGTTGGGCCGGAAGACGTCGGGGATGAGGACCTCAGGGGAGAGATTGGTGCGTTCTGCCCATCGCAATTAAACAGCGTGTACTAATTGAGTCCGATTCTACACTTCAGGCGACGAATGTTCGAAGAACGGTACAGTTGAGCGCGTCATTGTGCATCCAGTGTACCCGCCACCAGAGACTCCAGACGATGCCGTCCGGATATACGTGCTTTTTGCCGGTCCTGTGGGCGCGTGGAAGACGGTCCGGGAGCTGGATGGTCGCTACTTCGGTGGCAGGAGCGTGCGGGCGCGATACTTCCCCGAGGAACAGTTCCATCGTTTCGCATTTGATGCTCCCCTATGAATACTTCTTGCTGTACTTGTCGATGCTGTCTTGTTCTAAGGTTTTGACTATGTACAAGTCTATGAAGTACAGAGCCTTGAGGCTACACCATGTTGTATAGTGAAAGCTGCTCATGTTCTCACAGCGATGGGATCCTCAAGCTAGCAGTGATATCGAGGTTCAGCTTACAAGCGTTGAAGTGGGAACGCGAGCGAGTAGCCTCAACCTCAATTGGGGAGGCGGTATACTACAATACTCAGATTGTGGACAGCGTACTGCAGTTTGAACAATCCGGCGAGTGATAAGGAGGAGTCCCATGATCAATTCCGAGGGTTCGAGAATTTGAGAGATGCCTGCCCCTCGGCCTGTGGAGTGTTACGGCGAAACACACGCTCAAGATCGTAGCGGAAGAGGTAAGTTGAAATATGCACCAACTCAGCCCATGGCACTACTCGGATGAATTGACACTCCGGTCAAGACGAGATTTCCCAATGTAAGGTTGCACCAATCACGCATTCCACATGCGAGTACATTACGACATCGCACGTCCACAAACACGTTGCTAGACAACCACAACCACAGACAGACGAATTATCATAGTTTCGACGTCAGACGCGACGTTGCCATCGTGTCGCCATGCATTACACCTTCTGGAAGCTCCAAAGCTGGTTGTTCTTCGAGCCGTCGGGATTGGTGAGTTTTACCTGCTCATGGTTTGCAGCATTGGCCAAGGAGAAAGCATAGTCTTCATTGATGACGGTGATCCTAGAATCCGTGCGCCGAAGTCAGCAACAGTATTTTCTATGGGTCAGAACGTTTGCTCACTGGACCTTACCCCCGCTCTCGGACACCTTAAAGGTCTCGGAGACATTGCTCCCGACAACTCGCCCACCCTGATGGATCTCTGATCAGCCTTGCGAATAATCAGGTCGAGTCTAAACTATGGCGCACAATGATGTGGTCGGGAGCACGGGCATAGGTCCCGCCAGCGGCATTCAGGAGCTTGACATGTCCCTTGCTCTCATCGACTATCTGGACAGTCCACTATGATTGAAGAAATGTTAGGAATGACATATGAACTGTGCGCCGCAGGATGAACAGTTACCAGCTGGGCATCGGTCCCGTTATACTCAAATCCGATGACGGGGTTGTTCTCGGAACTCAAGCCGTGGTACAAGTCGAAGTAGGTGTTCGTGTCGATGTTCTTGATCCTGACACCACCAGCCTGAATCTTGAATACGCCTTTGGTGAAGAAGAGATCGACTTCAGCCATGTTAAGTGACACTTAGAGCGGGGAAACCGGGGGACCTGACCTGCTACAGACATCGCAACGGAAATTTTATACCATTCTGTTCGCGATCTTCCATTGTGCTCACATGTTTTGCCATACGACGGAGCGGTGCAACAGCGCTCTGTTGTGCTTTTGACGTCCAGTACTCTTAGTCCGGCGATTCGATATTGGCACATCACGTCGTGAAAGATTAGTTCACTTGTCTTCCTTGCCCGGAGCGGCGAAGACCACGGTGAGTAGATGAAATCCACATATCGCAACGAAGAGCTAAATTGGAAGAATCGAAGGCTGTCCGGGAGGTTGCGATGAGAATCGCAGGGAAGGCGGGCACCGAGTGGAGTAATGGAGTGCCTGAAGATGAGTAGCGTCTCGTTCGAGCATGTCGCCCGAGGTCCCGGGGGAAAATGAGCCTTGATTCGGATATATGCTCCCTCGTAGCCTTAGCGGACGCGCTATGTCAGCCAACTTGGATGAGCAATGGTTAGCGACCTCTGTAGGAGGGCGAATGTGGTTGATATCCACCGCGTTGCTGTATGCGTTTTGGCCTTAGGTCTCATAACTACCTTTAGAATTTCTTCGGTCATCCAATACTTGACCAATTTCAAAGACGGCTTTACGTGATCGTATGTGGCCTGTGGACGACGACATGAGCATTTGTCTAACGCATTCTCAAAAACGACGCACCATATACCCGGCTCCGTCCAGCGTTAGGAAAGTGAATGGCCTCGCACTCCTTATCATGCCAGTGACCTTCCCGTCCACTGCGAAAGATAGCCGAGAATGTACTGCTGAATAGTATTCGTATAAACCCAGCAAGCACCAGACATCATTGTAGTTTGAAACGGTGACGGCACTTGTCGTCTGAACATGGTGTCGGGGTATTGTTGCCGTGTGCAATGATCATGACGACACGGCACAACTACCTGCTCAATCGCCCTATAAATACGTGCCATTCTTCGCCATGCCTTCTTCGAGGAGAAAGTCGGATACCTTGACACGTTGATCTCCCTGAAGCTGGATGTTTTGACCGGCCTCCTTATCCTCACCTCAGAATACCAAAGAACAACTCTACACCGTTTAGCATGCTCCAGATGCCTTTCTGTACGATGAAAGCAGCCCAGTCTCTGGTTCGACGCGCTCTTGCTACCTGCTGTCAGACGTTTTGAACTGCGCTTTTGGAACCCTTGTGAGGGCATTTGTTGTGGGCAGCGCGCATGCATGCAGTGCGTTTTACATGATGCCACCCGCAGCGTCCGCGTACTATTCTAAAGACGGTTGCACGTAATGCGGGCGTGCCCAATCGTCTTCGGGATTCTTAATACCTTCTGATCCTGAGAATTTGCGTCATGCTGACCCTGGCCAGCTCGCGCCTGCGAGCAGCAGCGGGCAGGCGCAGCGGAAGCGCAGACATTACCACGCAGGGGCTGTTCCGTGGTGGGCTCCGGCAAGGCGCCGGTACGATGATTGACAAGTCTGTGTAGGGCCCTCAGGACTAGTCTCCTGTGAGCAGAACGAAGTACACTTCCTTCAACCTACGCAGGCCCCGGATATCCATGTATAGCCTCAGGACTGGCTCCCTGCGAACCCACGTCTCGATCCCTTCGGTGCGACTAGCAGCAATTCTTCCTACGTTGGTGGCATCTCGCCGGCACCCTCCTTGCCATTCTCCTTTGCTCACCTCAACCACGGTGTTCTCGACCGATACGACATCTTCCCGCCATCACTTGGCGATACATATTCGACGTTCTCTGATCCAGATATATTCTCGTTCAGCAGCTTCCGCGGACTATGCTGGTGGTTTTATCTTCGGTGCGCGCTCGCACCAGCTGCAGCATCAACCATTCGACTACGGGCCCGGATTTGGATTTGGCAACGCTTGCCTTGGGCTGTCCGGCGTGCAGCCGATGCAACTACACACACCCGCATTGCCTGGAATTGATGATATCGAGCTGATATCGATTACACTTGAAGCTTGAAAACCGGGGTGATGTACGGCACCCGCTCGAAGAGGCTGCTGACACAGCTGTGCTCAAGGATGACGGGCGCGTTTGGCGTATCGCCACAAACGCTCGAGGACATAGTCGGCTTCAGCTCGGAACTCCATGCCACGCCGCCGGGCACGCCGCAGTCGACCTCGCGCTCGATGCGTGCGCATTCTGCCATGCACGTTGGCTCGTCTCATAATCGCCCGATCAGTGTTCCGTCTTCGGGAGCATCGTGTGGCAATTAAGCGCGCAGCGCAGACGCAGGTGATGAAGACACGACCCCTGCAGCCTCCGCCGCGATCCATGTCTCGCACGGCGATGCTCCCTATACCGCCGGTGGATGCAATGACCTCGCAGGCGCAGACAATCCAGTCTTTGCAGGCATACGCGACGGAGGGCTGGCGGCAGCAAGCGGACATGTACGACTTGCCATTCCTCAATCTTCACTACTACACGTCAACCAACAATGCGCCTGCCACGATGCCCGGTGTGGATCCGAACTCGGTGTTTGCGAAGCTCGATACGGACATCTTGCGACAGGACCAAGCACTGGATCTTGCGGAAACGTATTCGAACGCGTCGAGAACGTTCGGATTGCCGCCATCCCTGACTCAGCATATCCCAATGATGTCTCAAAAGCGCGAGCAGTACGCTGCCTGCGACGACAAGGATGCTACCGTCGCATCATCATGGGCAGAGCGCAGTGTCGCTGCTTCGCAAGAGTAGTGACAATAAGAGGAAACGCTCGAGCTGGAATGGACCCGTTCATTAGCTGGAAGATTCAGAGGGATTTCGGCGGATCTCTGAGACTGCGGCCGCATGTTCGAAATTTGATTGGTATATTTCTGGATCATTGTTTGCTCGTCTCATGCATACTGTCATATCTCATTTATCGCCTTCCATGCACTTATGCAGACGCATTATTCACGGATATCAATGGTACAACCGGGTCGAGCAAATTTCGGACGACTGTCTCAACAAGAGCTCCGTGACCCGAGTCGCCCCTATCGTGACTTGCGAGAGCTTGTGCTGACATTCGTGTAAATCAGGGCTGAGCAAATTATGTCGTTATTGACGCTAGCATGTCAGTCCAGTAGGGGAATCGCAAGGACTCCTAGGATCACCTCCACAGCCCGTGTCATTTGAACATTTTTAAAAGGGGGCCAGTGATAGCCTTCAGTATTACTTTGCGCAATGGCCGGTCCCAACCTCCATCTCAATAGCACGTTGGGCTGCTTCTTTGTCGGTACTCTATTTTCACTGATGTGCGTCTCTGCTTTGTGCTATCTGAACGCCGATAGTTGACACAGGAGATGTAAGCCTCTACGGGTACACTTGTGCGCAGACGCTTTATTACTTCAAGAGATTTCCTGGCGACAACGTCTTTACAAGGGTGTTAGTAAGTTCAGCAGGACAAGACTTGGCTTCTGGCCTCCTGACGACACCGACCTGATGGTAGGTTGCATTCCTATGGTGCGCCTTCAATCCTTGCTGTCCGCGTCTTCACATTGTCTCATCCAATGCATCTTCAGTCTCCTGAATACTGCGAACAGTATCATCAACGCTAAGGTGGTTTTATGTACTCTCCCATGAAGTAGAAGCTGAGCCTGTCGCTAGCTTCTGTGGTATTATCTCGTTCAACGTCACGGCCACATTCGTGGGGATATGCAGCTTGTTGGGTTGGTTAAAATCTCTAGACATTATAGTCCTGCTCATTGTTTGTGCACAGATCGTTTGAGGTGAGTTCCGGCGACCCTGACCAAAAACAGCCAATGATCAGACTATCGTAGGCTTTCCAATTGATAGCTGTGGGTACTCCCGTCTTCATCATGCGCTCACCACTTGACAAACGTCGATCTCAAGTCCGTCACAGCCTTCCTAGTGCAATGGTCTGCTCAGTCATCCCAAGCAATTGTCTCGCTATTGGCGCTTACACATGTGATAGTTTCTTTATCAACACAATCTGGCGACGTGAGTGGTTCACGCCATGGTACAGAACTCGGGATTCACTCGGAAGCTAAAGTATTGGTTGACAAATGGCAACGACTACCAGTCATCAGCGCTGCGGTAAATTCGCTCTGTTACTGTGATTTAAGGCTTTGACCGAGGCACTCTGTTAGATCTTGCTATCTGTAGTGTCGTTGGGTGTGTCATTTCGTCGAATGCTTTTTTGCGATTTTAACTTGGTGGACAGGCAGCGGGATAGGTGCGTCGCTGTCATATATACAAAGCATAATCACGAATCGATCAAACGTCAGCAACGGTCCAAAATTTGTTAGTGTGAGCTACTTTGAACATGATGGAATGACTGAGGTTTGCATATAGTTCCTCGGTTCAGTATATCGCAGAATCGGCGGCTGACATGAAGGTATGGATCCTTATGACTGTGGATATGACGCCAACAGCTTGTATTTCTTCAGATTTCGGCGTTTGTATACGTTCCGTCCGTACTTGCTTCAGATGCATTCATTACAGCAACCCTGTGCTGGATCTTGCACGGGAAACGGACAGGATTTAGACAGTAAGTAATATCACAGCAAAGGAACACAGCTGACGTGTCATGCATGGGGCTTAGAACGGAGATGCTGCTCACAAAGCTCATCGTTTATTCAGCAAATCGTGGCCTCACGAACCTGTAAGTTACCTGTTTAGCTCCCTTAGCTCCCCTGGCTGCCAGCTGACGTCTCCACACAGTGTGGTGCAAGTACTTATACTCATAATGGTAGGTGATGACACTATTTCTCAACACACTTATGCTTATGGCTCGTCGGGCATGGCCTCTACAAGTTTGCTCGTGACATATATACTGGTCATCTCGTTGTCCTCGTCTTCTTTTTGCCAAACACTACTCGTACGTCATGCAAACAGCTTCGTCGTCGTCGTATTGACTCATCGAGCGCAATCCCCACAGTCTACATCAATACTTTCCTTGCAGTGTTAGCCTGATTTCAACTCGCCAATGTGTCGCTGATAGCACATCATACAGGCTGAACGCCAGACATTATCTCAGGGCGATTGCCTTTCCCCTTTCTGGTGTCGAGTGCTCCTTAGAGCTTTCCGGCTTCGATATCGATATGCATCAGCATGGCTTAGACGAGTACGCGATTAACTCCCTGTACACTGAGTCTGACATTCATCTCTGTAGTCAGAAGCAAGGCGACAGACCGCCTGCCTTCCTCGCGAACGATACTCACTCCAGAAACACCGATCAGGCGGAGGGTAGTGATCAGATCTATGGTGAAAATATCGAAATAGGAGATGTCGTCTGAGCGTGTCCTCCTGCTGCCTGCAAGTCAAAGACAGAGTCCTACTTTGTACACCTTCATGATGACTGGACCGATTGAAATTAATGTATTGCGAGAATGTACCCCAATTTCCACAGGCAGTTTATATCATATTTATTCCTATTGCGAGCGTACCCTGTTAGTTTTTCCCTAGTGATTGTAGTGATTGTAGAGACTATCGTCGGCAACGAACGCGGCCTTGCGCGCCGATACGGGCAAACGAGTAGCTACCTCGTCGACAGTCGCAGAGGACGTAGTCTACGCGCGGTGCACCGTCTAGTGTCGTGAACTGGTGCTGCGATAGCAGCCTGCATGCTTCTATAGGCAGACATCGAGGGATCTGCCTGCAAGTCTTACGACACAAACCATCTGTCTCTCTCTTAACGTGACAACGGGGCCATATTGTTCAACTGAATCTAAATCCGCATGGCGCCTGTACGCGCTGAGCTGTGTGTCTATGTCTATTCCCTTGTCTAAAACTGGGAATGCGTACTGTGGTCCAGGAGGTACGTTGCCAAATAGCCCGTCACGCGTCACGGCGCGCGTGTGTTCGGAGCATGCACGTACGACTGACCCATAATCAGATAGCTGAAAAGACTTGCCGGACCAATCAGGAGTAAATAGCTCTGCCCGATGTTCAAGTGCTCTGGGTCGATATCAGTACACCACACTGACCCATGCTGGAGCTCTCTCAGCCTTTCAGCTCGACGATTGTCAGCTTTGTGCCACTCGAACACACAACGCTACTGCTCTGGTTGATGCCGACGCTGACAAGTTCTCGCTGTGCTATGTAATTAGCATGTCGCTTGACCTTAATGCAAAACTGACACTATATACCTCGTCTCAATCATCGAAACGGATCGGAATAAGTCAGGGAGAGTTGTCAACACACGAGCACAACGTGGAGAAAAAAGATGCACAAAAACGCAATCCTGAATTACAACACGATAGCTACAGCCAACTTCTCCCCCACGCAAGACTAGACGGGCACAAGAGATTTTAGTAGACACGCTTGAAGGGCGGCACGTGCTTGCACTCGTTCTCATCCAGGGTCTTGTCGATGACATTACGATACTTAATGTTGACGTCAGGCTTGTCCGCGTCAGGAAGCCATGTCAAGGTATGCTTCATCCAGTGCTCATCGTCACGCTTTCAAACACGGGGACGTGAGCATGGGAAGGAGATTGCTTTGTCAAGTACTCACCTCAGGATAGTCCTCGCGCGCGTGCGCGCCACGAGACTCCTTGCGAGCAGCGGCGGCGGTGATAGTCTGGACAGCGTTTTGCAAGATGTTGCGGAGCTCAAGAGTCTCGACGAGGTCCCTATGCGAATCGTGAGCGGTTGATCAATGTGAGAAACAATAAGATACTAACGAGTTCCAGATCATGCTCCTGTCCTTAATGCCGACCTGGTCGAAGCTCTGGTAGATTGAGCGCAGCTTCTGTACACCTTCATCAAGCGTCTCTTGTGTACTAGAAGTGATATGAGTGTGCTGGACGGCATGAAGATAGCAGTAATTGCATACCGGAAGACAGCAGCATCCGCCTGCATAGCCTTCTGCATGTCGAGACGAATCTTCGCGGTGGGCAGGGGGCCATCGGACTTCCTGCAGACGGACAATTGATCCTGAGCATCTGATTCGCGACACAACAGACAGACTGTTGTACCTGATCTTGTCGAGGAACTCAATGCTCTCCAACCCAGCTTCCTGGGGAATTTCCTTGTGGGGCTTGCCGGGGGTAAGCGTCTCTTTGATGTGGTGTGCGCATGCACGACCGAAGACAACGATATCCAGAAGCGAGTTGGCACCGAGACGGTTCGCTCCATGGACAGAAACACATGCGGCTTCGCCTGCCGCATAGAGACCCGGAACAACCTTGTCCTTGCCATTCTCGTCAGTTGTGAGGACTTCACCAGTAAATTTGGTAGGAATACCGCCCACTGAGTGATAATTGGGGTTAGCAATACTTCGGGAAGAAAGAAGACGCAACGTACTGTTGTAGTGGACAGTGGGCAGAACAGGAATTGGCTCCTTGGTAACATCAACACCAGAGAAGATGGCAGCCGTCTCCGAGATACCGGGCAGCCTCTCGTGAAGAACCTCAGGAGGCAAGTGGCTGAGCTGCAAGTAAATGTGGTCCTTCTCAGGACCAACACCACGACCCTCGCGGATCTCGATCGTCATGCTACGCGACACGACATCACGAGAGGCAAGATCCTTCGCAGTGGGGGCGTAACGCTCCATGAACCGCTCACCCTCCGAGTTCAAGAGGTATCCACCCTCACCTCGAGAACCTATAGCAGAATCAGAGGACCGGCCCCAAGTCATTGACATCGGTGCTCACCTTCGGTGATGAGACAACCAGCACCATAGATTCCGGTAGGGTGGAACTGGACGAACTCCAAGTCCTGCAAAGGAAGGCCGGCCCGGGCAACCATGGCATTGCCGTCGCCAGAACAAGTGTGTGCACTTGTGCAGCTGAAGTATGCACGGCCGTAACCACCAGTGGCCAACACAGTCTTGTGTGCACGGAAACGATGGAGCGTGCCATCCTCCATGTTGAGGGCAATCACACCAACGCACTCTCCATCTTGCATGATGAGGTCCAACGCGAAATATTCAATGAAGAAATTCGTGTTGTGCCGGAGAGACTGGCCGTAGAGGGTGTGCAAAAGAGCATGTCCAGTACGGTCGGCAGCGGCGGCGCATCGATATGCCTGACCGCCCTTTCCGTACTTCAATGACTGACCACCGAACGCGCGCTGGTAGATCTTGCCCTCTGGCGTTCGTGAGAACGGAACACCGAAGTGTTCGAGCTAATAGCTGGGATGAATATATGCGGGTAAAGGTTTTGACACTTGACCTCACCTCGATAACAGTGCTGGGAGCTTCGCGACACATATAATGGATAGCATCCTGGTCACCAAGCCAATCCGAGCCTTTCACCTGCAAACGGGTCAGGCACAAATAGCCGTGTGCGGCAACATCAATGACTAACCGTATCGTACATGTGCCACCGCCAATCATCTTCAGTCATGTTCTGAGCGCGATGACGGTCAAAATATGCTCCCCTGTGCATACATAAATTCAGGAATCGCTCACCCCAAGCGCGGCGTTGATACCACCCTAAGTCGTGACGTCAGAGTAAGACACGACTGCAATAGACCGCAGCATATACACACCTGAGCGGCGACTGTGTGACTCCTTGTCGGGAAGAGCTTGGTTATACAGGCAGTGTTGAAGCCAGCCTCGGCAAGACCGAACGCTGCACGAAGACCTGCCCCTCCTGCCCCTCTGTGTTCGAGGTTTGCGTGATGAATACTTGCAAGATCACAAGTGTGCTCACACAACGATAGCATCATATTCGTGCTCAATCAGAGGATAGTTCCCTGACGCCCAGGACTAGAAAACATGTCAGGGGTCGACGTAGACCTGTACTTCATGCGATGTACTTACCGGGACTTCCTGGGCCTTGGTAGGTTTGGTCGCGACGACCATCTTAGCAGGAGAGGTCGTGTGGAACGACCTCTGGGAGGCCCGCAAGGCCTTGCGCAATGATGTCCTGAGCATGTCCCCGCTACAGACGCTCCCGATAATGTGGATGACGGCGAGAAATAAGAGATGACCTCAGAAAGTCCCAAACCGAGTTCGGGTTGAGCCAAACGCCTCGGCCAGTGCGACCGAAATCCCGTCCGTCTCCGATCTCTGTCCCGTGATTGTTCCCCGCGTCGCGTCAAGAAGCGCCCTCGCGGCCATCCGCATTCGCCTGATCGACCAATCACGGCCGCCGCATTATTCCAGCACTCTGAATCGCCCAACTCCAGTTCATACGAGGCCCTGAATCTACAGTAGCAAGTACAAGTACACAGGATAGTCATGGAGAAACTAAGGCGAGGAGCACTGCACTGCGCACTATCGCAAGACTCCCAACGGATCCTGCTCTATGACCCGACGCGGAGCTTGATCGGCGCGAGAGACAGGCTGCTCGGCTACTCGAGGTGGGGAAAAGGCGGGCTTGTTGGTAGGCAACATGGTAGACGTACGCGGAGGAACGCGGGGAAGTGATGTGATGGGTGAGTCCCGGATTGAGAAGTCTGAGCGGGTATAATTCCACGGGGCAATAGGCGCTGTCTTGGACGCGTTATCGGAAGGAGAGGATGAAGAGAGAGGCGGCCGGGCACCCTCGACGGTACCTTGGCGCAGGAAGTCCGCTGCAGCTTTGGGTAACGGACGTAACGAAGGTGGTTCGGCCGTTCGTGTTGGTCGTGACGGCATCGCGACCGGTCGACTCCCCGCTGGAGGCGAAGCTGCAGGCTGTGGTGGGGACGGCATCGCAGGCTTGTTGTGAGCTTTTGCTGCTTCAGCTGCTTCCTCTTCTTGCAGGGATTGCCGCCTCTTACGCTCCTCTTCCCCAACTAAGCGTTCGTCCTCAACCTCCGTGACGGAGCCCTTAAGCACGTCCCGGACATAAGCAAGACACTCCAGAGCCTCGCGCTTCCTGCTCCGAATGATCTTCAGTTGCTCCTCGTTCTCCGGACTTTCCTCGTCCAAAAGAAGGGTATCGACGATCCAACCAACCGAATCACCGAGCCGCCGCTGCGAGGCGCGCATATCTGCTGCTTCCCGCTCCACTTCGAAGCGCGAGCGAGGCTCCCACGGGGGTCGCTCTGCAGGCGGTCGCTCGTCTACCAACGGATATGCAGCATATGCCGTTTGCGGGGATATGGGTAGACGGCTGAGATGGGTTGCAATATCGGGCAGATTGCGCTAACGCACCTCATGAATTCAACCGGAAACCTCGAAAATTCAAAAATAGGCTCACCTTCAGTTCAGAGACAGCGTTCATCACGGTCTTGTTGATTCCCTGAAGACTTTCGCCTCTCTCCAGCAAACCCCTCGCGAAAAGCTCTGGAAGGCCCATCGGAGTAGACTGTTGGCGCGAATGTGTATGCGTATTACTGCCACTAGGCACGCCTTTTGATGCAGTGATAGTAAATGATCGGTTTCTTTCGCCAGCAATTGGCCGTCGCCTAGGGGGAGGAGGAGGAGGTTCTGGCACCTCCATCGGTATATCAAGCAAATTGCGATTTTCATGAATAATTGACACCCCGGTTGTGGGGCTGGGCGACATCTGTAATGTTAGAGCTTGACGGAGTAGAAGCGTTGCATGATGGACTGTGGGTGCGTCCACCCCGCTTTGCAGCGACGGCGGCGAAGGATATCGCAAGAGGAGAGTGAGCTGGCCACTGTAGTCAGAAGGAACCACTATACATATTTGTGTTCACTTCGGCGTTCGTGGCTTAGAGAGTACGACAAGACGTACGTTTGTTGCGTATGCGAATGAGCATTGCGACGCAAATCCACTCGGCAAGGTCAAAGGTCGGGTCGCAAGCGAACAGACCGTCCCATAACACCATGGAATCGTGCATGTCAAATTCACGGGTGAAGAGGAGTCGTAGCCAGCGGCTGCAGTCAAGTATAAGTCTGAACGTTCCGCCTTCAGCCATTCGTGCATGGTAGCGAGACTTACATTCCATAAATCTGGGGTTCAATACCCGCGCTTTGCATGCTCTTCCAGAGTTCTGGATCGACAGACTTGAGGAGCACTGACTGTATGCGATTGCATGCCCCTACTATAGGCGCGACATACGGCTTTACGCCCGCACTCCCTGAAGAGACCTTGAGCTGAACATGAGATGCCAGTGGGGTCTTCTCCACAACCGTTCTCGGTTCCTGCCATTCATACCACCGTTCTACTCCCCGCATCACCGACGCGAATAGCGCCCACGCGTCGGCAGCAACCCAGGCGCGGGAGCAGAACTCTTTCACGGCTGCATCGTCAAGGCTAGAGGAGTCTTCGTCGACCGAGTCGAAGTCAGTGGCGTAATAGAGCGATGCGAGCAGCTCATGCATGCCCTGCCGATACCCGACATCCGGGTGCATCACCGAGTAAACGAAGAGGATGTTTGTGAGCTGCACCTGCACTTCGGTGTCACGGAAATAGCCAATGTCGGGGAAGCTGCAAGAGCGGCTTTAATGGTGAACGATGAGACAGGCGTCGATGACGTACGTGCGTTCAACGTCCTGGAGAATCGTCCTCCTCAGTTCAACATTCGCAAACCATTCGGTCCATGGGTTCTGCACAATCATCATCACCAATGTGACTCTCCCACTTACATACTGAACGAACCTGGTCGTCCAAGCTTAACGGGTTGTTCTTCTCGAGGTCCTGCCTCAACTGCTCGACCTTGGGGGGAGACGCGCCCGTACCAGGTATGACAAGGCCCTCTTCGTAGCTTCCGTCCGGTGCCCGCATCTTCTCCATGAGCAGCGCTGCATACTCCTTGCGGACCACTCGCAAAGCCTCCAGAGGTGAGACAGAAATCACGTCCGTCCCGTTCTGCAATGGTTCGCCTTGAACCAAGAACAACTTATATGTCAATCAGCTCACAGTCCGACCCATGTCCTCGTAACACATACCTTCCAAGCCAGGCTCCTTCCGGCGACGCCAGGCACGTCCTCTACCGCACGAAAGAGTCTGCCGCCTAGAGCTGCATCCTTGATCTTGGAGAGACTGAGAGACGAGTTGAAGAGGTAGTCATACGCATCCCTGGTGCAGCAAGAGGTTACAGGAATGAACCTCCGGACTTAAGTTTCAATCGTGAGACAGACTTGATTTCCTTCACATCAGGTCTCGTCCGTCTCTCAGTCATGCCACACGAGACTTCTAGGCTTTAGGGTTATAAATGGAGGATACTTGAGACTTAGTCTTTGGGGAACTCCGAGTCAAGGACGAAGGGAATTAGACGTAAAATCGGAGATGATGTAGGGTGTATGGAGACTGAGGGTTGTTACAGCGGCGCTTCTCGCGCACAATGCACGCCAGTAACGCGAGCCAGGCTCCTGTCCTGATCACACCTCAACTATATTGTCAGAAGTCATCACATTCGGCCTATAAGTGCTTCTAGCTACACAGCGTCAAGATGCATAGCACGTCAGAATATGAACACAGTCCGCCAACAACGACCCAGCGATGGTCTGACCGGCGGCGAGATGACGGAGGGCGAATTCGTCGACCCGCGTGCCGTAATGCACTTCCGTTGGCCGAGCACCGTTTCCGGCGCGTCTAAGAGCTTGCACGGCGTGCTCCTCGAGGGAAAGATGTTGATGGACACCATGGAGGATATAAGGGCGGTTACCCAAGTACTCTCCGGTCAGCTGTCACTCGTTGTATGCGCGATTGAGCAAAATCTCTGGCCGAAATTCCGCAGTCACCCTTCCTGTAATAGCGTTCACCGACCTTCTGCTTGTAGCATTAACACCAATTGTTCCTTGGCGGACTGACAGAGCGAGACGGCCCCAGAGAGCCGTGGCTCTTCGACAAACTGTTACTTCTAGCTCTGATCGCTGCGATTGGATCTCCTGGTAGCTTACAACAGTGAATGCAATCACATCAATACTAGGGCGACAGTGGTCACTGCGGTCGCGCCAAGGACGGCGTATCCAGACTGGTACGCTCCCTTCAAAGATAAGACTGGAACAACAATGAGCACCACAGGTCTAGAGGGTGCTGTACATCACTCACATTTGCCCATATCCCAGCTCAAGTGGCGGAGTCCGTTCAAGGAGTGGAACGCGAAAGGCGCGGCCAAAATGGTCTTTCCGGCAATCTTCACGGCGTCAGGGAGGCTAGCAACAAGCTCGATGACATGTGTGGAGTCGAAAGTGGTCGGAGCAACCAGGTATGCAATCGCGTATCCGTACAATACTGGGGAGGAGCGCGCCCTAAGCATATTCCTTCGACTAGCATACAAGGGCACTCACAGACGCTGAGCGCGGCACCGGTCATACGATTGGCAATAGAGCCCAGCCATGTCAGCTGGGGCTGGTAAATGGTGAAATGAGGGCTGGAGGGACGCTTCAGGCGTTGCGCGTTGAGGATCTCCTGGGACGCCGAAGGAGGAAGGGAGTTTGTCTGAATGCCGCTGATACGATTAGACATTGTAAACTATTCAGCACCACTGCCCGCTCAGGGCGACTGCAAAGTATTCACCGTTTGACCACCATCCGGCGAACGGCAGCTACTTGCGCTGCTCTGAACCTGAGATTCATGGGCACTCACGAGCTGAGCACTACGCACCGAATTTCGGCTTCAGTGCAGCGCTTCGCAGGGCAGGTCCGAGGCCCAAAGCACGAGTGGACATCATCTTTGGCGACGGAGATGAGGCGAGTCGACGGGGAGGAAGGGGTTGAATATGACGCGGGCAAGTAGTGGACACAGTGCGGAGGGTGTCGGCCGTAGAGGGTGTGACACAACTCACGTGCGTGAAACATCCCCGGTGCGCGTCAAGGCGCATCGTCGCGTCTCAAGGCTTCACCTCAGCCGGGTACTAGCGCTTTGCCATTTTCGCTCGCTGCCCTCACAACGACCTTGCGCTAAGTTTGCTCTGCGCTGGATTGCGAGTTGACTTGCGCGTCCTGTCCGGCAATCCTCGGCAGGGGTATACACCGATATTGCGAGCGTACAAAGATTCCCTCTGGCCGCGTGAATCCTCGTCAGATCCGCCGCGCAGGCTTGCGCTAACAAGTACATACGTACTGGTACTCTGTCTTGCAAGTGACATTTTCGAAAGCATCGCGTCTATTGCATCATGATCCCTTGCCCCCCTCTCCCCGATGGAACTGTCAAGACTGCCGAAGACCGCGGCATCACAGGGCGCACCACAACGACAGGCAGTCAAAACTGGTTCATATCTACTGATGAAGATACGGGAACGCAGCATTTCGCAGCAGTAATCCCATGGCCGTCACCAATTCTTCCTTCGCGCTACACGGAACGTGTCCTGCGTTTGTGCGCGCGCCGCGATCGCAGATTGCGTCGAGAAGGGACGGTCTCGATTAGCGGTCGCCTGTTAACTCTGCACTCGGATTTAGTGTCGCTCAATACCGCGAATCTCTGGGTCAGAGCTCTCTGGAAATCGGTGGTCGGTGACCTTAATGAGTGGCTACGATTGGCAATACAGCTGCGCTCGGAGTTCAACGCGCTGTTTGGAGCTATGGTGCTACAGCGACAACAATCTCCAAACCGTTAGTATATAATCTCACTCACGTTTGAGCAGTTACACGTCCATCTCGAAAGAAAACAGTACCGGTTATAATTATTACAATGCGTGCATAAGAATCCTTTCACGGCATCCGATTGTCTCAAAAGGCCGTTCAGCCTCTCGTCGTGATACATAGTACTGTCCAACAGTGCTGGATCATCTGATGTGGCGAGTGCTATTTGTGGGCCATTTGCATTCTGGATTTGAATCTGAATCTGATGAATCACGTCAATACGATTGTGTTCGTTGCTCGCGCTGTTTGCGACCTCCGTTCGAGAGCACTCTATCTTGCCAGGCACCAGCTCGATGTGGTTATTTGGAACAGGGAGTCGATCGAGTAGACTGCGAGGCACAGGTTCTCCGACCACATGCGTTGAAGTTGTGGTAGGCCATAGTGATGCACAACAGACTACGAAAATTGGAATCAGAACCACATCGACACCGAAAAGCTTGTCTCTTCGCTACGCATCGCATGCCACCAGCCCGGCGGGAAGAAAAGCAGGTCGCCCGGCTCGAGCGTAACGGACATCGCGTGCGGCACCACGTTTTGCCAGAACGACGGCCAGGCGTCGGGTACATGCTCGTGGTCTGTCCGTGGGCGGAAGACGTCCACCTGGGAGGTGTTGCTCATGGAGGGGTTCGCTGTGTTAGCGGCTGGGTTGTGGGGCGGGTCGGGTGTGGCGGATACGGAGGATGATGATGGCGGTGGGTAGGCGTACATGGAAGATGAGACGGATGGAGGGGCCAGCCAGACAATCTTGCGTCCTACGACTTGTGCTAGGCAGCTGTCAAATGGCGGGTTTTAACTAGGATCAGGAGTCAAGCTCACCGTAGAAGTTGAAGTAAGGGTCCTTTATGAAGTAGGGCAATCAGTATTGGTGATGAATGCTGGAGGTATGCACGTACGGTATGTGCTGGTGATACGGTGCCCATTGGACCGAGCCATGCATTTAACACTAGCTGATCCTCGTTACCTGGCGGTGTATAATCCGGGAAGTCTGGCGGTGGCGGAAGCGAAGCGTAGGCGTAGTCCGGCACCTCGATATCTGCCCGAAGCCCAGGAAACTGCATCAGCAGGTCGTGCTGTGCGAGATACAAGACCGGGCGACAAGATCGGTCGATTTTCGACTGGGGTCCTTCAACGAGAGCATCCAGGAATTCGTCCCACGGCATCAACTTCTGTGTCCAGTCATTATCTCTGTAGTCGCTCCCTACCTCAACGGGGACCACTCGCCCTGGACCTGCGACGGCGCGTAGGTAGTCAGGCGAAGCCCACGGATGTTCGTTCATGGCGGGCCAGTCCTTTATGTATTTCGGGATGACGAAGGGCTGCTTCGAGTAGCGAGACAAAAAAGAAGCCAGCGAAGGAGGAACCCCCAATTGAATTACACTTTGTGAGGCTGCCGACAGTGGGTGAATTGGAGCGATATTGATCTGGGTTTGAAATGCAACGAGGCCGTTCCGCGAAATTGCGCGGGCCAAACAACGGGATTGAACTTCGTTGATGAGGTCGGTGATTAGATCAAGTCTTCCTTCTCCAGGTGCACCGGCGATCACGATCGCTTGATCAAGCTTGGAGATGCTTGCCAATGCGAAGGACGTGTCGCTTGTTATGTAGAAGGCACGCACATCGACAAGAGCTCGTAGAATGCACGATTCTGTGTACATCCTGCGCCAAGAGAAGCGACTCTGTGGAGAAGATGAAGCCATTGCAGTATGAACCTGTTCAATGAGGTGGTCCAGCTCGGCGGAGACGTCTTCGCTCGGTGTTGACCCTGTGGTAAGGTGGTCCGCTGCAGACTGGAGGGCACGTACATTTGCTGCGCCGCATGTTTGTATCTCTTGTTCAACGTGTCTCCAGCTGCAGCTATGTCAAGAGGGCATGGAATCCGACATACCCTCGACCACTACACCTCCCGAACTTAAGTCTGCTGCTTGCGCGCGCACTCGATCCTCAAGCCATTCGATGTTCATGATATGCATACGCCTTGCGACTATCAAGCGACAATGCTTGCAATCTCAAAGAGCTGCTGGTAAGATGGCCCGACGATGTCGGATTCGACAGGATAGGTGAGCCTCGGCGAGGGAGCGGGCGAAGGAGTGGCAATACAGACAGTGCCCGACGATTCGGTGCTCCGAGATTCTTGCCAGATACGCATGAGATCAAACTACGTTTTGATCTCATCAGCGCCTTGTCCGCACAATTCGCACGACCCCTCGTCGGCTTTTCCCGCCAGGAACTTTGCATTTCTTCCATGGAGAGCATGGCAAGGGTGATGGGGCAGATTTTCCTTGGGGGATCCGCCAAAGTCGACGGGTGTCCATGCTCTGACAGGCGCCGTGCTAAGAGACTCGACGCGCGGTAGGATTGGCGGCTGCGTCACACGTGACACCCGTATATGCAGATGACCGCGTCAATGTCACGCGTGACATGGGCAAATTTGCGTCACAAGAGAGGACTGATAAAAGGTGCAGTCGTCGCGGGGGAGAAGCGTGAGAACATCCCCGTTAGCTGCCTTCGATCCTGTGCCCGGCCTCCCCCGGTCCGGTGCCACCCTCCACACGTCATGACCTCGAGGCAAGCACTTTTGGACAAATAAGGAAGGTCCTGTCGTACTCACTGAGGTGCTGCAGGTTGGACCGGCTCCTTCTCCTACTCGACACCGGTTCTTCACCTTCGGTGAGAGCAACCGCAGCAAAACAATTAGCACAGCTAGCAGCAAAGAGTGTAACGGGCGATGTAGCGTTAGTTGAAGAAGATGTGAAGACGAGCAGACAACATACTGTGCTTGCTGATCAGTCTGCATGGTCGGAGTTAATGGCAGTTGTTGCTCGGGTACGCAGCCTACATCCTGCATATACCCTATGTTAAATTACTTCATGCAGATTCTACCATACCTACACTCAAGGTCATACGAGACGCGTTCAGCCGCCTCGACTGCCCTTTCCCAGATATTCGCATTGGTACCACTTTGGAAGCCGTATCCAGATGTTGAGTCCAAGTCTTCTGAGCAGGAGTCTGCGCTGCATCCTCCAGAATTTCCGTCCTTCTCAGTCTGTGAGCTAATGGAGAAGGGCACACTTCTCCTCGCCTCCTCGGGCAAAGAGTTCGTAAAGCCGACCGGCATTCTCGCCAGTTCGTCAGAGGTGAAGAAGGCCCGCAAGGAAGCCATGGGTCGCCTAGGGCTGGACTTCCTTGATAGCTTTGGGGGAGACGACGACATGGATATTGAGAAAGAACTCGCTGCGGAAGAGACTCACCAAGACATCGACATGGATGAGCACACGAAGATGGAAGAAGACCAGCACATGCTATCCCCGGTAGACCAATCAATGGACACCCAGGTCAAGAAAGAGCTTAGCCCGCCTGCGCGCTCCAGGACCAGCACGCCGGTTACCACTGCGAGTCCAGCGCCTGAGGTAATCATGACGGACGATACGTCCACTCTATCCGCGCGTGAACGTAACCGCCTGAAGCGCAAGCGCAAGCCGGGAAACAACGCGTTCGTGGCGCCTCCCCCTCCAGCTCAGGGTGCAGGTTCTAAATTTAACACGGCGCCTGCAGGCCCATCGAAGTAAGTGCAACTTCTGTGATTTAGAAATTAGCTCACCAAGAACGCAGAGCTCGACTTGTAGCGGCAGATAACCAAGCGTCTTCTAGCAAGACCGGAAGTCCAAAGTCGCCCGTTGAAACAACGCCTCAAGAGCGCGTTGTCATTGATCCGTCAAAGGGCGGCGCTGTGTCGCCGAAGGCAGAGAAGCAGTCAAAGGCGCTCGAAGTGCAGCACGGACATTGGGTGTGGGATGGCTTAGTAAAGATTCTGGAAGTTGATTTGTTCAGCCCCGCATGGGAAGTGCGGCATGGCGCGGCCATGGCGCTCAGAGAGCTGCTCAAGTTACAGGGAAAGTATGGCGGCATGCAAGGTGAGGCAATTGCGTCCTATTTTCTGAGCTACATTTGACATACTCTGCGTAGTGACTCTTGCGTGGGAGGATAATTTGATTGCCCATGAACGATGGTGCAATGACCTCGCCGTCAAGTTCCTTTGTGTCTTCGTACTTGACAGATTCGGCGACTTTGTATCCGACCAGGTTAGTGTGCTGTTCACCCACGCGCGAATTTGGCCTGAAGTGGGATCTAGGTTGTCGCTCCCGTCCGGGAGACGGTGTCACAGACGCTCGCTTCGTTACTCATTCACATGCCGCGAAGATCAGTCCTGCACATCCATTCCATCCTCCTGCAAATGATCCGACAAGACTTCCCCGTCTCTGTGAAGTCAGTGAAGGGTAGAATTGTAGAGCTTAATGACAGAGGTCATGTTTGGGAAGTCCGCCATGCCGGGCTGCTGGGGATCAAGTACGAAGTGGCTGTCAGAAGCGACCTCGTAAATTCTGCGTCCCAGGCAGAGCCCGAGGAAAAGCAAGATGGCAAGAAAGTGTTAAGGGGTGTCGTGGACGCTGCTGTGCTGGGGTACGTCCGCGACACTTCGCTATCTCATCTTTGATGGAATACTCATCTTGCTTTTGACCAGTCTCGGGGACAGAGATGACGATGTTCGCTCTGTCGCGGCGTCCTGCCTATCGCCAGTCGCAGCGCATCTCGTCGAGCAGTTGCCGGAAGAGCTGAGCCGAGTACTGGCTGTCTTGTGGAGTTGTCTCAGTAACATGAAGGATGATCTGAGCTCTAGTGTTGGCGGCGTGATGGACTTGCTTGGTTAGTAGGATCACTCTATTCCCTCCGGCAAAGCAAGGTGCTAATTTTGCGTTAGGAAAGCTCGTCACCTACGACCAGGTCATTGAGATCATTGGTGACGAGACACGATCGTACGGTTCGGTTCGCTGTATGAAGATTACTGTGACTTATTGACGATGGTTTATCTCAGGCATCCGATCACGGTCTTAGCACCGACCCTGTTTCCCTTCTTCCGACACACGATTGCAAATGTACGGCTGGCGGTCGTCAAGACGCTGTACATTTTCATGACGGTGCCAACGTTGTCCAAGGACTGGATGACGCTGCCCTTCCTTCGACTCTTGTACCAGAACCTCGTCGTTGAGGAACGCAACGACATTCGCGAGGCAACCTTGTCGGCGTGGAGGCTTGTCCTGTCGACACTTAGCTCAGTAGCCGGTTGGATGGAGGCGCTTATCAGCCAACCACTTCTTCTGGAATGGTACGCGGTGCTCATGACGCCGCTCGGACTTCCTCTCGACGCGTCAAATTTCTATGACCCGACCGTGTCATCCGACCATGAGCGGCATAACGTTGATAAGAACATGCTTGCGCAGGATCTAGCGTTGATTTCGGTCGAGATTGTGCTCAAAGCTCGAATAGCTGCTGCATCTGCATTGGCTTATGTCATTGCGTTCTGGCCACGCACGGTGAGTTCACGTCGATGCAAAGACGTCCAGAAGCGGACCTTACTGATAATCATTAGCTGGTACAGGGTCTGCAACTCGACGATATGTTCCGTCCGATCCTGCTTCATTACCTTGACTCCACCAGTATGCTTCAGAAGTTCTTAGCAGCGACTGTGGCGGAAGAATGGGCCAGAGAGCACGACTTGACCGCAGGTGAAAAGGCGCCGTTGCTCATAGAGACGTCCACCCTTGCCGCGGAGATTAGCACGAAGACGCTGTCATGGCTGCAAGCCGATCCGCCGGCCGCGTATCATGAGATGGCCTTCACGCTCGCCCGCATTCAAGGCGAGTGCTACAACCTTTTACAATCATTCGCACAAGACTGCAAGATCCCGTACTCGTCGATTCCTATCCTGAGTACTGAGGTCGACGTGACGGGCACGAAGCAGGGTTGCTTCACGATCCAGACTGCGCAAGATGCGGTGGGCGACATGTTCACGAAGCTGAAGGATAGTCTTGGGAGGACGAAGAAGCGCGAACTGGCGATCATCAAGGACAAGCGGACGAAGGTGACTACGAGTATCGAACACTACATCGAGGTGAAGGCGCAGTATGACGTCCGGGTATCAGCTGCTTTCGCTGCCGCCTTCGTGGCGTTGAAGAGCACGCCGGATAAAGTGAGCCCAATCGTGAAGGGTATCATGAACAGTATCAAGGTACGCTGCTTCATCCTCATTGTAACGTCGCGAGCGCTGACGTGGAATATCTCCAGAACGAGGATAATGCGGATCTGCAGACGCGATCGGCCATTGCTGTGGCGTCCTTTGTCGAATTTTGTGTGCAACGAGATTTGTCTCAGCCACCTGACAAGATCGTCAAGAACCTGTGCACATTCCTATGTCAGGATACCGAGCAAACACCCACTTTCGCGTATGCTCGTAAGATCACGTCGGGTATTCTCTCGTTTGCTAAGGCGCAGGGCCTCAGCAAGGAGAGCGGGGAGAAAGGCACAACCAGCGCAGAGGATATTGCCAAAGCTCGTCTGTCGCGTCGAGGCGCTCAGTTCGCCTTCGAAGAACTATCAAAGAAGTTTGGCCCAAGACTTTTGGACGTTGTCCCGAAGATGTGGCAGTCGATGGCAGGCGGGCTTCTCAGTCCTTGCTCAACTGGTATGTTTCAAATAACTTCACGATGTCTCCGAGCTCACACCATGAACTTAGACACAGTCGAGAGCATGGACAAGACAATCGGGAAACAGTTTGGCCAAGATGTCATCGATTCCTTCAGCGTCTTGGAAGCTGTTGTCCCCACATTCGACGCCGCCCTCTGGCCGAAGTTTACGGAGTTGTTCCCTATGATCATCCTTGCTCTACGTAGCCAGTTTGCCATCATCCGCCAATCCGCCGCCAGATGTTTTGCGACAATGTGCGACGTAATGACCGTTGACGCCATGCGATGCGTGGTCGAGACGGTTATCCCCTTCATCGGCGACTCGTTGACCTTGTCTAATCGTCAAGGTGCCGTCGAACTCATGTACCGTAAGTATTGTACACAATTCAAAGCACGGCAGCTTCATTCACGCCCGCTCCAGACATCGTGCAGAAGCTTGATATCAAGGCGCTACCCTACGTCATCTTCATGGTTGTCCCCGTCTTGGGCCGCATGAGCGATATTGATGACGATATTCGGTCTACTGCGACAAATACATTCGCTTCCCTCGTCAAGATGGTTCCTCTAGAGGTATGTCGGCGTTTTACGATATATACCGCGCGCAGGTAGATGAACAGTATCATAGGCCGGTCTTCCTGACCCTCCAGGTTTCTCCGAAGAATTGATGCAGCGCCGTGACGAAGAACGACAATTCCTTATGCAGCTACTTGATGGCAGTAAAGTCCAGCAGTACAATATCCCTGTCACGATCAAGGCGGAGCTGCGCAAGTATCAGCAAGAAGGAGTCAACTGGCTTGCATTCCTGGCGAAATATCAGCTGCACGGCATCCTATGTGATGGTATGTCATGCTGCCATTACTGACGTGACTCCTCATGGCTAATATACTACCATAGATATGGGTCTAGGCAAGACGTTGCAGTCGATCTGCATCCTGGCTAGTAAACACTATGAGCGAGCCAAGAAACATGAGGAGATGAAGTCGCCAGATTCTGTCCACCTTCCATCGCTCATTGTCTGTCCGCCCACACTAACCGGACACTGGTACTACGAGATTTTGAAGTACACAGAGAACCTGAAGCCTGTGCTCTACACCGGGAACTCTCGCGAGCGGGGTAAGCTGCTTGGCAAGCTCAAGAAATTCGATGTGGTGATCACGTCGTATGAGGTGGTACGGAACGATATCGCAAACTTGCAAGAGATCAACTGGCACTACTGCATTCTCGACGAGGGACACATTATCAAGAATGCGAAGACGAAGCTCACGAAGGCTGTCAAGAGCATTAGGGCGCATCATCGCCTCATCCTGTCCGGGACGCCAATTCAGAACAACGTCCTGGAACTGTGGAGTCTCTTCGACTTTTTGATGCCTGGGTTCCTTGGTACCGAGACGTCGTTTAGCGAACGGTTCAGTAAGCCCATTTTATCGAACCGTGACGGGAAATCCAAGAATGGAGAAGCTGGTATGGCGTTTATGATCAAAACCCGAATGACCTTCTGACCACATTATTCGCTCTTTCAGCTGCTCTGGCTCTCGAGGCATTGCACAAACAGGTCTTGCCATTCCTCCTGCGTCGTCTCAAAGAGGATGTCCTCAATGATCTGCCGCCCAAGATTATTCAAGATTACTACTGCGAGCTATCGGAGCTCCAGAAGTATCTATACGACGATTTCTCGAAATCCCGTGCTGGGGCTACTGCAGAAGATGTCGTCCGTTCCGGTTCAGAGCAGGGTGGCAAGGGCGAGCAGCAGCACGTGTTCCAATCGCTGCAATACTTGCGGAAGCTGTGCAACCACCCAGCGCTCGTACTCAAGAATGACAAGCCGGCTATCGTTGACGCTTTGACACAGATTGGCCAGAAGTCTGGGACGGGCGACTTGAGCGATATTCATCATGCACCAAAGCTGCTTGCCTTACGGTATGCGTCCACTTCTCACGTCTCTGCGAAGACTGGCCTCGCTGACGATGGTTTACCCCAGACAACTCCTAGTTGACTGTGGCATAGGATCAGCGCCAGGAGTAACGGGCGAGACTGTCAAGAGCGAGCTTGCTGATGCAGAAACGACCACTGGTTCATTCTCGCAACATCGTGTCCTCATCTTCTGTCAAATGAAGCAGATGCTGGACATCATTGAGAAGGACCTCTTCAAGCAGCACATGCCCTCAGTGACCTACATGAGACTGGACGGCGGTACTGACGCCAAAAAGCGACATGCCGTCGTGCAGACCTTCAACTCAGACCCTAGCATCGACTGCCTACTGCTGACGACACATGTCGGTGGACTTGGCTTGACATTGACGGGCGCTGATACGGTCATCTTCGTTGAACACGACTGGAATCCGATGAAAGATCTCCAGGCGATGGATCGAGCACATCGAATAGGACAGAAGAAGGTTGTCAACGTGTATCGGCTCATTACGAAGGGCACTTTGGAAGAGAAGATCATGGGGTATGTCGGGATCAATCTTGATGATCGTGTTTTGCTGAAAGCTTCCCCAGGTTACAACGCTTCAAACTGAATATCGCAAACTCAGTCGTGACACAGCAAAATTCTGGTCTAGCATCGATGGATACGGACCTCGTGTTGGACCTCTTCAGGCGGACGACAGAGGAAGAAAACGCCTCGACATCCACGAAAAGGAAAGAGAAGGACGGGCCGCCGATGCCCGGCCAGAAGAATGTACTCCGCGGTCTAGAAGATCTGCCTCCGGAAGAGGAGTACGAGGGCTTAGACCTGTCGAGCTTCATGGGCTCTCTCGGGAAACGATGATTGTCGCTTATCTTATTCGCTCACTGGCTGTCGAACTCTGCATTGCATAGCACTAGAACTATTGATAGATGTATATTCGAGACTGTATTGGTAGGATACCCATACGTATTGTCTGTATAATTGAGCTGTTTTGTCGCAAGAACATCATTTTATTGGCCGCACAACTCTGACGAACCCCCCTGATAAGCCGTTCGCCCAGGTACGGGTAGGTTGCTGGTACGCGACAATCGACGCGTCAGGAAACCGGAACGCGCAAACGTGACCGCGTTCGCTCTACGACTGGGTCTTATCTCTCCGCCATGCTGTGATTCCCCATGGTTCATGCTATCAACAACTCTATATCGACGCGGCACACTGGGACGCGACGTATTGCCCTGTCTCAGGCCGCAGCTTATCTCCTGCGAACTGTGCTATAAATCATAATGCAGTGCAGGGACTGGAAGCCCGCATCCCGCTCGACAGATCTCCCAGTGTCCTGCTCGTGGTTTCGCAATGCGTTCAACAGCCCCTCTTTCCGCCCTGATCGTGCTAGCACTTACGCACTCAAACTCTCCTGCTGCAGCTAGACAAGAGCAGTTCCATACAAGAATCCCCACGCTCCTTGACGCGGATGCTGTGAACTTCACGAAGCTGTTCTCCTCTGAACTGGTGTTCAGGGAGACATGGTCAAAGGAGTCGTGGAATGGGCTAACGACGTTCGCACGCTCAACTCCTCTGCGTTGCTTTGGAAGCGATGCGGACGTGCCGTACGATGTCGCTGTTCTTGGTAGGACTCATGTCTGATTTACCATATGAGACATATGTATGCTCATCGACGGTGGTAATCAGGGGCGCCGTTCGATACGGCCACGAGCTACCGGCCAGGGTATTGGATACCATGTCAATAAATGAGCAAGTCAGTGCTCATTGTCTTGACCACAGGGCGCGTTTCGGACCCAACGGCATCCGCCAGGGAGCCCGCCGCCTGGGTGTGGACAGGATCAATGTCCACATGAAGACACGCGTGAGCGAGTTCCTGAATGTCGTCGATTGCGGTGACGTCCGTACGTTTATTTTACCTTGACATAGCCGAGCCGTGTGTGATAGCAAACTGTAGCCATGGTATATACGGATAATAAGGTCGCCCTGCGACAGCTTGAACTTGCCAACAAGGCTCTGTTGGCCAAAACTCACGCAAAGGTCGCCGAAGGGACAAGCCTTGCAAAGGATGAAAAATTCCACCCTAGAGTGTTAACATTGGTGCGTGCCGTCAAGAGACGATGGCAAGCAGGTGCAACTAACAGCGACACGTATACCAGGGTGGTGATCACACAATTACTTTGCCTCTGCTTCGTGGGGTTGTGGATGTGTATGGTCCCGTTAGGTGAGTGCATAAGAATATAACCGCCTCCGAAGATACAGCTCGTGACCTCTTCGAAGTGTAATTCATTTCGACAGTCATCTAGGTGAGCATTCCCTAATTTTTATATAATGTACCCGGTCAATGACGTGGCTCAGACACATGGAAGCCAAGAGCATGGGTGCGTATTCTCTGTCCATTCTGTACGATTGCAATGAGTCTTATGGTATGTATCATTCTCACACAGGGAGATGACAGCCCGTGGCTCCCGGATGAGGTGTGTAGAGTTCCTAGATATCTTCCGCGTGCCATCTGATTCAACACCGCTCGCAGGAAATCCCCGTGACTCATGGCAGCTACTTCTGGTACGCGCACAACGAGGGCCTTCTTGCACCAAACAATTCCAACATCGTACGTCACCACGCATCGCATAGCTGTCGTGCCAGTGCTCTTTCTGACAGGCGAGCCGCTTCTCGTAGCACGTTGGCATCCGTGGTGCGATCAACAGCTGGGACGACTACGATAATGACTACGAGGTCGGATTCGTGATTTCACATGCGGATGAGCTCGAGGAGGTTGGCTGGAAGGGCGTAGTGAAGAGGATCCGCGAAACAGTTGGTGATAACCCAGTGTACAGTAAGTGCCGCCACACTCCGACGAAGATGGACTATGATACAATACCTTTGCGCAGTCACCTTGGACATTGATGTGATTGATCCTGGAATGGCGCCTGCGTAAGTGATTCTGTTATCGAATGATGAATGAGAAATCTGATTTGTCTGTAGCACTGGAACGTAAGTGCAAGTCTGCTATGTCCACCGAGGTTACTGACGAATTGCGCAGCCCGGAGATTGGTGGCATCACGACTAGGGTACGTGCCGATCAGTTCCTAGCACTGGAGCTGCTCTGATATGGTCATCATAGGAAATCAAGAAGATCATGCAAGGCCTATCAGGCCTGAAGATTGTGGGTGCCGACATCGTCGAGGTCGCACCGGGATACGACACGCAGGGTGCGTCAACCACGTCGACCTACCTCAGTCTTTCTGACCAAGTATTACAGACGAGATCACACAGATCGCTGCTGCGAACATAGGCTGGGACATTCTAGCTCTGATGGCTAAAACACCTCTTGTGGCGTAGAATTGTTGCGATTGAACATGATAGAGGTAGCTTCCCTGATTGTCAGCAAGCTTGACTGTGGTGCGTCTAGAAAATGGTCCTGATTCAGGAGCTGGTGTGGGGCTCAATGCGAGGTTTACTTGGTAAACCAGGTACGATATGCAGTATTACGAGATTGTCAGAGTTCCTCGCTGGGTGGCGAGTGATTCGAAGTATAAGTGTGGCTCATTAGCTGGTATACCATGGTCGTAAGCTGCTGCGGGACCCCTTATGTTAGAGAGGTGACGTAAGTAAACCCAAGGTCGGAGATGGCCTCACGTTGGCTGAACTGCCCCGGATGCTTAATCCAAGCTTCATCGACCTCATGGTTGACGGTATTAGCCATTGAAACCTAACCCCATGCTAGGGTCACATATTGCGGGTGCCGAGATGATGCCGAGATGCATGATTGCAAACTTGTAGCGAACAAGGCTGTTCCTGGACTGCATGCGTGCAGTCTTGTGCATACATTGATATACACCTGAAATGATGCACTGTGGTATGGAATTGGCTGTCTATGCACCAGCCGCAGCTAATAGTTATTCGCTACAGGTCATCTCCCACCTGCTCTGTGGTGATGCTTTCGGGCTGCGTTAGTAGAGCGTAGTCTCAGGGTTCTCTCCTATATATAAAGAGCTCATCGGTTCACCGCTGCTGTTAACAAAGTGCCATCACAATCACACGCTGACATGGGGAAGCCACGAGACATTGTCGCTGTCCTCAAGCCATATCCGTCGCCCCCACCGCCCTCGAAGAAGGGTTAGTATCATAAAACCTATAAACCCACCTTATAGCTTGATGGTAAGGGGGGGAGATAAAGCACTTAAGTGTGGGGGAGGTAATGCTGTTAAGCGCAACAACGAAGTGAATAGAACTGGGGGACAGGGTGCCCCAGGATGCTGCTTTATATACATGAGGGAAAACCCCCCAGGGACCGGTAATGGACCCCTGGTACCTAGCTGGGTAAGGATTACTAAGTATCATGTGCTCTATAATGTCATATATGATGTCATAGTCTGGCCCTGCCCTGCCCTGGGCCTAGGGTCCAGAATTGACTGGCCTATGGCCTAGTGCCTGAGCCTAGCTCCTACCTATGATGTCAGAATGATGTCATGGTCCAGAAGGAGTCTGGTTTCTATCTAGAAAAGGTCCGGCATCAGAGTCCAGCCTGATGTGTCCAGAACAAGATCATGTGTCGCTTATTTAAGCGGATAACCCCTTAGATATGCAGCTGTACCCATATGCGGACGGATAAGTATGGATAAGTCCCTATACCCTTTGATATGTCCGCAGAAATAGCGGAAAAATTAGGTAAAATTAGG